GGGGTTGCAAGTCCCAGAGCGGGGCTTGCAGAATTCTAATACTCCTGCTTCGGGGGTTGCAGGCCTGCTCCGGAGGTGACCGGAGGTTGTACGTCTGCTTCGGAGGCGCGTAAGGACGCTGGGGATTTGGTGCGTACGGTCAGGGACAGTACGGAGCGGATCCGGATATTGTCAGGGGATCTGGAGAGGATACCGTGACAAGGACCAAGGTTGGCACAAGGAGGTGGCATCTTGGGCAGTCATCAGAAGATCTGGCACAGGCATGCTACAACAGCTTCTCTTTCCTTTGTTTGTTTGTTTTGTACTTCTTTTATTTCCTGCATCTTTGCTCTGGGCCTGAGCCCTCACCATCACTTGTACCTCCATTGACCTCACTCTCATGTAACTTAATCTTTGCATTACCAGAGGAGCTACTGCTCCTCTTATCTTCCACAGTCTTAGACTCAGATAGGACGTTAAACCAATCAATCAATCAATCTCGAAGGAAGAGCGACAACCAAAACATACAGTGCGCTCTGCTGTGTGAACATGTTTTTGAGAACAGCGGTGTACTCACTTCACCTCTGTCGGCATCCGAGTTACTGCTTTGTGGGGAAGAACTACCATCAAAACCATCCGACTGGAGACTACCCAGACAAGGTTCGGTTACCGCGTCAGAGCTGGTCTGGCGCGGCTCACACGTGGAACTGACAGCATTGTGACGTAGGTCAAAATTCGCGGACAAGAGAGAATGCAAGTGTTGATAGTGAATTCAGAGGTATCTCGTGCCATGAAAAGCAAAACCAACCCTATCCAACACCAATACTTTTTCTTTTCCTTTTCAGGTTTCGAACGGTCATCCCAGGCTCAGCGCTGCCGCACTCTATGTGCACTTGGCAGTGTCTAGCGAGGTCTTCGTCCAATGTCCATGACAGTAATAATTGATTCAGCCGTGCAATGTCGTACAAGATCATAGCCATATGTGGATGCCCGTCCACATAATGATGCGGATATACCAAAAGGTGTTCATAACACTCCAAAACGCCGTGAGTCTTATGCAAATCCAAACAGTGGGAGATCAATGATGCGTGCAGTGCTTAACGCCGCTCCTATGCCGACGCCATATGAACATGGCGGTCTATGAGGGTTTATGGTGGCGGTTACGAGGTATATGTCGTGGCTCGTGAGGATGTGCTGTAATTCCAAATGCTCAAGTCTCGCCGCTCGTGAAGCCAGTGCTCACAATATGACGCACTTGGGCTTGTCCTTGCGTTTAGCTGGCCGGCCGTTGTTGCCTCCGCGATCACCGCCGGATCCTCGAACGCGGTCGTTGCCTGGCACGCGTGTTCGAGTCTTCTCACTTCTGTCCGAATGACGGCCAGAACCCTGGTGTCGCTGTCGACGAAGCTGCCTGACCACGTCGAAGAAGGCCTTCTCGACGTTTACGCAGTTCTTAGCAGATGCCTCGACAAAGTCGCAGCCCAAGTCCTTGGCTAGGGCCTGACCCTCTTGTGTGGATACTTCGCGCTCGGTAACGCGATCGCATTTGTTGCCCACGAGCATGACAGGGGCCTGTCCAAATACGGGGGCCGATGCGCTGATAGGGGAGCCGGGGTAGGTGGGGGAGCCAGCCATAGCCGTCTCCTTGACGCGCTGGATCTGACTGTGGAAGCGCTGTATGCGCGCGAACGAAGATCGTGACGATATGCTGTAGACGAGGACGAATCCCTCGCCGTCACGTATCCACTGGTCTCGCAGTGCAATGTATTCCTCCTGACCAGCGGTGTCGAGGACTTCGAGCATACACGACTGGCCGTCGATCTGGACCTGCTTGCGGTACGAGTCCTCGATTGTAGGGTCGTATGTCTCAACGAAGTGGTTCAGGCAGAGCTAGCATAGTGGTTAGTTTCGGTCCACTCCAGTCCGGCCATTGAAAAGGGGTGCATACCTGGATGGTCAGGGCTGTCTTGCCCACACCTCCGTCGCCCAGCACCACCAGCTTGTACAATGTCATTTTCCCCGCCATCTTTGCTGGAGCGGTGTAGAGTTGATATGAGGATTGGTGCGTGGTTTCCTGGGGAGCAAGAGGCAGTCAAGAGCAGTCAAGAGCAGTCAAGATGTTGGAGACTCGGGTAAGCGGCTCGGTGTAAGCTCTCAGCCACGTCGTCGCAGAGTTCGTCTCGTGAGAGCGTTCTTGCAGGTGACCGGCGGCGTTGGCGGTGGTGGATGGCCGTTGGGGATGGGCAGTAAGGATCGAGGGCTTGTCTCTGGGCCGATCTTCCCAACTCGCACGAGGGCACAGGTGCGCGTGTCGCGGACAGCTGCAGCGTGTTCAGAATCGATCGGGGGCGGCGGAGCACAGGGTTGCACAGGGCTGCACAACGGACGTTGCGGCGGGACGTGGACTGTGCAGCAACGTCGGCGCAGAAATGGCTGCAGAAGCGAGCGGGGGCGTGGCTGCGGCGGGCGGTGCGACGAGTGGCAGGGCGCGCAGTGAGACAGCAGGGCGAAGGAGCGGCGCAGAGAGTGTGGGCAGAGAATGCAGCAATGCAGAGCAGGCAGAGCGCGCTGGATACGGCCGTGTGGATGCGAGGGCGAATATCGGGGCTGGCGGACGGTGCTGGCAAGTCAAGGTGCAAGTCAGGGTTCTCGCTGGCTCAGAGTCCCCACGTGAAGGGCTAGATATCGACTATCGACGGCTATCGTCTATCAACAGCAACAACAACAACAACGGCGGCAGGCTCTGTCTGTGCTGCGTTGCATCGACGCGGGCGACGTGGGGAAGGCTGCTGGGCGTCGTGCGGCGGGAGGGCAGCGGGCACGGTGTGTCAGAGGCAGCGAGCAGATAGGGTGAGGTCAAAACAAAGGCGATGCTGGGCCATGGGCGGTCGGGGGTTTTAGCAGCTGCCAGCGCCAGTGCGGTTGAGGTTGGGCGAACCGTAAAACCTCAAAATTTCGGCAGAGTGAAGGCTAGTCCTCTCCAAGCCCCTCGCAGCGAGGCGGCAGTGGCCTGTCTGCTGTCTGGCTGTCTGCGCTCGACTCGCTGCACCAGTGCGCCCGCGAGCACGCAAGCACCGTCCCAAAGCTGCCAGCGACCCGGGCCCACGGCCGCCTGCCGTGCTGCCTTCACAGGCTTGCAGCGACGCCGTGCTCCACGCTCCTGGACGTGTCTCTGCTGTGTTTGCTCACCAGGTCCTTCATCACCGCCGTGCCACTTCGTCTGCCCAGGCGAGCAGTCTCTACGTGCTGCGTCCTACCACTGACTTGTTGATACCGAACCTAGACGCAAGCGGCAGGCCTTTAGCTGTACCAACGCTGCTAACATGCTAACACGTGCATTGCAGCACACTAGTGGCTCCAGCATGCAGCCTCGACGCTTGAGGTACGTACCGCCTATGTGAAGGCTGCGAGAGACTCGCCGCCTGTCGACCCCAGACAGTTTTGGACGGCAAGCAGTGACATGCCGATGATCCCACTCTGCCTGTGGACGGCATGTGCAACCATCGCCGACTGAGCCGAGACACGACAAAACGACGAGGATGATTCTGGGGTGATTCGACAGCGCAGGCCAGTACTTACCGCAGAAGCCGTCGTGCATGCGGCTGCGTGCAGTAGCTGTGCCCCCGTCTGATCTTATCGTTACTGCCCCTCGCGTGCCTGAATTTGCTTGTGAGGCGCTCAAACGCGGCTCACAGCTGCATGTGTGGTCGAATCTATCCGTCACATTCTCAGTGTGTGACGCCACTGCAGGTACTGTGGCTGGAGCTGGGTTCCACAGAAACCCCCGTCAACACTGTCGACAGCACTCTGCGCCAGAATTTCATAACCTCAAAGCCGTCGAGGGACCGTGCATAGCGGAAGCTTTCCCATGCCCGCGACAGCGCAGCCGGCCGGTGCTTGGCGAGCAGGTGAGCTCTCTCCCGAGCCGACGGCTTCACACATCCAATGGACACCCCCTCCGGCATGCGTCTGTTGATGGGACTGACAGCCGTACCCGAACGGCCGACTGCTGCCATGTATGACGACGCATCAGGCGAGACTGCGCTGTGCCCATTGGCGACAAAGCAGTCGTGCTGTTGGGCCTTAACCTGAACAGCCACGGTCTGCAAATTGGAAGTCCGCTCGCCAGGTTGATTGCAGGGCTGGGATGCTCCTGGCCGAGTCGAACCACCAAGCGGCCCAGCTCGATGGAACCCTGAAATTGGTCACATTTCACACGTGGTTACGAGCCCGGAAATGCTCAGGAGCTTTACTCCGGCAAGGCATGCAGAGCCCGCAGCAATTGTCAAGCACGTGAGCGTCTAGCCTGATGGACGCAGGATGGTGACGATCTTGCCAGGCGGCCAAGGCTGTGACAAGAACATCATCTCCATGATGTCGAATTCGTCAGTAATGACATGCCATCGTTTCGAGACGTTGGTGCACCTCTGTGTAACTAACAATTGACGCGGGGGACGGGCCGTTGCGATCTGACACCGTTCAGAGCAGCCTGACGCAGCCGGTAGCCAACCGGGCGAATACGAGCCAGCCTCGCCGGAAACTTTGTTCTTGCACACCGTCAGTGTGACGTTCGACGCTGACGACAGGTCGACGAGCGACTCCGCGACCAGGACGTGTATCGTTCGTCGAGTGGTGGAAAAGCTTGGGGAAGTTGCGGTGCTCCATGGGTACCGGCATAGATGTCGCCAAGTAAGATAGGCGATGAACAGGGTCAAGGCAAGAGGAGTGCGGAATCGTCAAGATGGCCTGTCGTGCCTATCGTGTGGTATGATTGTGGTGAGAGTGAGTACTAGCAGCTACGTAACAGGCAGCAGAGCAACTGCCAAGACGGGACAGTCAGTCACTCTCACAGCAACACTTCAGAGTCTAGACCTAGTAAACAACCATAAACGCTTTTGTATGCACTTCTGGCAGTATTTGATTTAGAAATTACCAAAATATTGCTGACCGTACTTACAGCTTCGCCCTGACTTCAGTCGCTTTGTGTAAATCCTTCCCCTTGACCTCGAAGTATTCCCTAACCTTCTCCCTCGCTACGTTCACAGCCTCACGGTCTTCGATCGTACTTGGCACATTGACCTCCTTATCTAACTCCCCGTGCGTCGCGTTTTCAAGCAGCTCTCGCAAGACACGCCTCAGTGTCTTCCCACTTCTTGTCTTCGGGATCATAGCTTTGCCCTGAATGATACCGCCGAGGGAAGCAATGGCACCAATCTGCTCACGCACAAGTTTCTGCACCTCGGAGTGAAGCTTGTCGTCAAGAACGGCGGGCTCTGGGTGCGTATGCGTAGCGAGTGTGACAAAAGCAAATGGTAGGTGGCCTTTCAGGGCATCAGGTATGCCCACGACAGCTGCCTCGGCGATGGAAGGATGTGTCGTAATGGCCTGCTCAATAGCGCCCGTACTAAACCTGTGAGCTGCCACATTGATGACATCGTCGGCCCTGGACATAATGGAGATATAGCCATCTTCATCGATCATACCAGCATCCCCTGCCACCTCGTTAGTCGTATCTCGAGTCCGTAACATCAAGCCTGCTTACCAGTATCAATCCATTTCCCGTCGAACCGCTTCATATAGCCTTTGTAAAACCGCTCCTCATCCTCCCACAACGTTGTGAAAGCGGTCGGCGCTAGGGGAATGCCCATGACGATGTTACCCATCTCTCCCCTCTTCACTTCCTTGCCTGAATCATCAACGATACGTACGTCGAACCCAGGCATCGCTTTGCCAGCGGAGCCAGGCTTGATAGGAAGTGGTTTGGATCGTTCTGATGAAGAAAAGTCAAGACCGGCAGGTGCACTCAAAGCAATCCCAGAGATAGGCGACCCGGACTCGGATGACCACCAGTTATCGACGACTATAGCGCCGGGCGCACAATGCTTAGACAAGAGCTTCTGGTACATCTGTACGATGCTCGGTTCACTTCTTTCGCCAGCCAAGAACAGCGCTCTCAAGGACTTCAGCGTGCCCTTCTCTCCGTACTTGTTCTCGAAGAACTCGTTATCTCCATCCTCGCGTCGAATTGCGCGTAGAGCGGTCGGAGCGGTGAACATGGTGGTCACTTTGTAATCTTGGATGATTCGCCAAAAGGTGCTTGCATCGGGGGTGCCGACGGGTTTGCCTTCGAAAAGTACGGTTGAAGCGCCAACAAGCAGAGGTGCGTAGACGATGTAGGAGTGACCTACCACCCAGCCGATATCAGACGCTGTGAATTGGACATCCCCAGGGCCGTGTATGCCGAAGAGATACTTCATGGAGAAGTTGAGGCCAACTGCGTGTCCACCAGCGGAGCGAACCACTCCTTTCGGCAGACCAGTGGTCCCGCTTGTGTAGATGATATAGAGCCCATCGCCGCTCTTCACAGGCACCGCCTCGGCTTTAAGCCCTCTATTTTTGGCGCTCTTGATAAGGCGTTGCCAGTTTCGTTGACCTTTCTCTTTGACCACTGGGTCCCATCTAAGCTGGTCTCTCTGCCACACAATCGTCTTTGACGGTTTAACTTTGCTCTTCTCCACCGCTTCTTCAATCATGCTCTTGTAACCTGTCGGTTTCTTCGACCCCTCGATGCCGCATGATGCTGTCATGATTGCAACTGGTCGACTTGCTTCGATTCTCTGCGCCAGTGCTGCAGGGGAGAAGCCACCGAATACGACAGAATGAATGGCGCCCAGCCGAGCGATCGCCAGCATAGCAAACATCGCCCCAGGGATCATTGGCATATAGATGAGTACGACATCGCCCTTCTTCACCCCTTCTTCTCTGAGCACTCCAGCGAGTGTCTCGACTTCTTCAAGCAGCTGCTTGTATGTGTACTGCTCTTTCGCGTTCGTGACTGGGCTGTCCCAGTAAATCGCTACGTTGTCGCCGTTTCCATTCGCCACATGTCTATCCACGCAATTGTAGGTCGTCGATATTTCTCCGTCAGCATACCAGCTCCACGAGTCGTGCGATACGTTGCTCTTTTTGAGGAATTTGGCGCTCCTTTGAAACGCCTGGGTAGGCTTCTTGTGCCAGTACAGATTTTGTCCTTGGCGCATCCAGAACTTCTCCGGATCCTCGATAGAGGCGGCGTACACATCGTCCTGAACGTGCTTTTGAGGCATGGTGAGGTGCGTTCTATTGCCTATTGACACTCGTAGTAGATAGTGGTGGCTACGCAGGGGGCATCTGGGCCTGCAGACGTGACTCCAAACTTCTGCTGTTCTGATGCTCGGTTGGCAGTAGCGAACGTGTATTCGATTGAACCAAAGATGGAGAGCCAGATTGGATCGGAGTTACTCCGAATGTTTACCTCGGTAGGAGGCAGGCGATGTATTCTTCGTCTTTCAAATTCGTTCTTTGAAGTTGCGCGACCTCGTCCGCGTTATCACTGTAATTAATTTGTATGGAAATCACAGTGTGTCACAGTTGAATCTTATCGAGAACGTTCGGTCCAAGGGGAGCTGATGACGATGCCGATGGCATGGTGTCTGGGGCCGCTAGCGCAATGCGGGGAGCGCTTGCTTAATCGGATCTACCATCCGTGTGGGTCTTCGCTTTGCATCGAAATCCTGGTGTTGGTTCTAGGGGTGCGACACAGTGGACAAATGTCTTCATCTTGCTTTCTAGTCTAGTCTGTTGTCAGTGCACTATATGTGTGCTCGCACTATCTTGGGGTAATTGTTGTGTGGCAGTGCATGACAATGTCCCGGTCTCCACCTACACTCGCCTTATTTGGACTTGAATCACGTAGGCAACTTGATGTCCAGGACGTCCGGTACATGTAACCGCGTGACTCTAGTTCTGTATATCTACAAGCTTACATGTGCGTGCAAATTTGCATTGTTCTGGCACATAGCCTCGCAACATATCAGAAAGCGCGGGAGATTGTGCACAACACGTCCGTACAACACACTTGACACGATTCTAATCATTCTAGATGCATCATGTGTGGTTTTGAGCATGTCAGTATTGACTGGTGTCCACAACCTATGGGTGTTCCTTTGCTGTTCTGAAACCATCGTGAGGTTGTAAAGATGTAACTGCCATTTTAAACATATTTTGCCTCACATGTACTGTATCGAAAAACCCTTCCCCCGCCACACCTGGTGCGAAAAGCCTCAAAACCCCGAGGATGAGTCACAGGATACGTAAGTAGGCCTCGAGATACCCAACAATGTCAAACGTAGTCATCTGAGTCGTGAAGCTACCATGTCACTGACAGCCAGATGGGCAGCCTTCCGATGTTCAAGAATGTACGACTTTGTTGTATTGTTCACGTTGTATCACATGAGAATTAGTCCTCACAAGTCATGGTTATAGTATATGCTTAGTTCCTACTAGACAGTAGCCTGTCATCAGACATGGCTTGAGGTACACGTATAGGTTCATATTCGAAAAGATCAATAAAGATGGACTAGTATATCAAAGCCAATGACGCCGAAGCAATGCCTCAGAAACAAAGTAGAGCAAGTGGATACCTCCAGGCCCCGGAGCCCTTGCCAGCGCACTCAAACAGCGCTCTTCTCCCTCCCCGTCCGCCTAAGTCTACTCTTCTCAACAGCCTCGTCAACCTTTTTCTGCCGCCAGGTACAGTTCTCCGCAAAGTCACATATCCTGCACTTGAACGCTTCTTCAATCTCCACACCCTTAGCTTCTCTGGTGCCCTTCCACCAAGCCATCTCATCCTCGATGTACTTCTCAATGACATCGGTTTCGTACAGAGTGAGCTCGTTACCAATCACATCTCCCGTCTTTGAATAGCGGAACTCAGCACGAAGGATAGACGAGAGACTCGATGGAGGAATGGTAAGCTGCATCTCCGTGACAAGCAGCGACCACAGCGAGAGCAAGTTAGGAAACTGAGCGGCTTCGTTCTCTGGGCCAATGTCGCTGATATCTTGCAGAAAGACCTCTGTGAAGGACTCTAAGGGCTTGAGGTCATAGCGTGCGAAGATGGTCTCGGCATCGACGGTGTTGAGAGACAGAGATTCGAGGAGCTTGCGGTACAACATAAGCTGCATCCATGTTGGTCGCAGTGATGCGCCGGTCGGCTTTGTGCGTACACCGCGTGTCTTGACATCTGTGATGTAGATCTGCCTGTCTGGTTCGAGACTGCCTATCCAAGCATCGCCGTTGTTGTCTGCATCAGAAACCTTAGCGAAGACTTGCGCAATACCGGGTTGGTCATTTGGTAATGGCACTGTGCCGCCACTCTTCTGTGCTTTCGACCGTTCGACTTGTTCCTCAAAGTCTGGATCAGGACATTCGTAAGAGACTTCGTCTATTACACCGTTCACTACCTGTCCCTCGATTACACCCCAGACTTCGAGTTCTCGTGTCAGTCCGGTCTCGCGAAGACATCGCAGCCCGGATATTGTGTTCCACATCCGCAGACCGAAGCGGTCTTCTTTGGTTTGTATCTGCACTGGTACCGTCGTGTGCACCTCGTCTTCTAGCTTTTGGTGGATCTTGGACCCAGTGCGCATGGCCTGTGTCCGCGGCTTACGCCCGAACGTCGACAAAGTGTAGAAGTACTGCAGCTCGCACCATGCTGGCGAGACGAGGTCGGTCACAGACAGTGGCTTCTTGGGCTTTGTACGAAAGCGCACGAGGGGCGGGCGTGTGTCGTTCTCTGCAGCCTCGGGAACTAAGAGTGTGCGTGAATTGCTTGGAATAGAGTTTGCCCGCGAGAACTTTGTTCTGCTTGGTTGAGGCGCTGATTGCGGTTCTTCAAGAGGAACTAAGCGCTATTAGTCGTCAGTCTATCAGATCGTGCAGCTGGTTGGAATCAGAGCAACGCACCACTCCATGCCCGACGCGACCTTTCGTCGTACTCGACTTCCAGCGTCTCTCGAACCGGTGAGCTCTGGATATCTCTGCGCGTGTCGATGTTCGCAGCGCTGCGCCGGTCTCTCCTCGCCACGCGCAGCAGAGACGGCCTGTGTACGACAACGACATCATCTTGGTCTTCGTCCTCAATTTCGCCCCCTTCAAACTCAATGCTTGGTAGTACAGAGTTCTTCTCCGTATATCTGGGTCGGTTCTGGGTATCTGGGTCGAGGGTGCTTGCCAGCAGCGTATCCTCGTCAATCTCAGTCACTTCGAACTGTGAACCGTAGTCGCTCATGGAAGCAATAGACTTGACATCGATCTCGACTTCGGAGCCATAATAGCTCGAGGCCTGCGTCACCGGCACGGACTGTGCGGCCATTTTACCAGCTTCTGGCGGCGCGCAGTGGTGATGTGTATGTGGGTGGCAAGAAGCGCCAGACGCGACTTCCGAGGCGCGCTTCGCGTGACGTCGTGAGGTCATGAATTTAAGCGTTGAGCAGCGAAGAATCCTGCGCGAAACGTCAATATCAACCAAGTGCTTGAAGCTGAATGTGCTTATCGAATACCTATGCATATTGTCCTCTGTTGCATTTGTTAAGTTTTGTGAAGCTCACGATCACAGTTGCTCTTGTTAACACCACGAATCACACGAGGTGTGTGCAGTCACATTATCAAAAAGCAGTGTACAGTAGGATGTATTGCATGAATCATCATGTCCATTCCGCTTCCAGGTTGTAGAAAATGCATTGTGCAACGATCGTACACTATCAGACATCAGCGCGCGCCTGCCAGATTCCGCTCCTCTGTTGCAGCATGCAGCCGTATGTCAAATTCATCCTCGCACACCCACTGTCAACTAGTATGCAGTTACAAGAGAGATGCCCTTCTTGAAATCAGACATATCGTCAGCCCGCTGATGCATTCCGTTCCACTGGACGATACCATTCTTATCCACCCCGTAGTTGCCTCCTGTCTGCCACCTGTTCCCGCTCTCAGTGGGCCTGTTCCAGATGCCCTCTTCCTTACCCAGCTTGTTCAAGTTGCTCAAGCCAGCCGGCGACATGACGTGTAGGAAGCTCGAGATGCCGAGGCCGTATGCACCATATGCTTCGCGTTCAGCGTCTACGACGATTTGCAGATTGGGCTGAGTGTTCTTGGGTGTGTCGGGCAGAGCGGCAAGCCAGCGGTCTGTTGAGCCTTGGTCACTGTGTGAGACGCCGATGAATTGGACGTTGGGGTGCGCAGCGGCAGCGTCGCGCAGGTTGAGGAAAGTCTTCTCTGCGACTACTCGTCATTAGTACGTGCGCATATTGAAGTAGATAGGCTTACAAGGACAGCCGCAGTGCCTCAGGAAGGCAATGATTGTGGGTTTCCCATCTTTGGGAACTGTGAGCTTTGGTGTCGAAGGCGCCTTTTGACCAATTGCTGGAGGCTCAGCGGTTTTGACGTAGGATGGGGTCATCCATGACCAGAACTCTTGCTGCCAGGTCATCTTGGAGGTTGTAGAGTTGGGTTTTTGGCGAATGTTGATGATAGACTGGTTTACTGTTGCAGCACTTGCGTGCGCAGCCATGGCACGACCTTTTCCTTTGTACTCATGGCGATGGTCGTGGAGCGGGTGTGCGGAGAGCGTCACTGCGGGGTGATCGGATCCAGCCTCCAAAGACTTTCAGTGGTGCCATCTGCATGCGGCAGCTGACAGATCTTCACATAGCTTTTGCAGCATTTCAGCGATTTGCAAGAATGTAGCCGAGGGGCGTTTCTCTTGACAGCAGAGAGCATGCATCGCGTGCAAGCAGTCGCATCACGGCTGGAGGCATGTTGTTGACAGGCAGCGCGATACCAACCACCAAGAACGCGCCAAGTGCAAGACATCACTGACAAGCGAGGAATGAGTTTGAAGTTTGAACCGATCGATTCATCAATCGTCAGTGAACCGTCACTGATTAGCTGGATATACTACATGCTCAGCACCACTCCAGTGCACCCATAAACCCGAGTTGAAGACCGTGAACCATGATTCCCGTGAAAACGCCTAAGAAAGTAACCAAAGATCCATCGCCGACCAAGAAGTTGTCGTGAGATCGGTATCATGAAGTAGCAAACTTAACCGCGCTCACCACGGAGACGACGAGCGAGCTGGATGTCCTTGGACTCTGCGAACTGTTAGTGAACGATAGCGTGGAGTGTGAGTGAGGAAGACGTACGGATGGTGACACGCTTGGCGTGGATGGCGCAAAGGTTGGTGTCCTCGAAGAGGGAGACGAGGTAGGCCTCAACGGACTCCTGGAGAGCGCCGATGGCAGAGGACTGGAAGCGGAGATCCGACTTGAAGTCCTGAGCGATCTCACGAACAAGACGCTGGAAGGGCAGCTTGCGGATGAGAAGCTCGGTAGACTTCTGGTAGCGACGGATCTCACGGAGAGCGACGGTACCAGGCTTGTAGCGGTGAGGCTTCTTGACACCACCGGTTGATGGTGCGGACTTGCGAGCGGCCTTGGAGGCGAGCTGCTTACGGGGAGCCTTGCCACCAGTGGACTTACCTGTTGCAGTGTGTTAGTGATGTGTTGCAAGGTAGTAAGGTGCGATGAGGTAATGCGCAAAGGCAGGCAAAGTCGTGGTGCGCAGCGCGAAGGTGGCGGCGGCAGACAAAGTTGCGACAGCAACACCAAAGCGCTGCACCGACGATGCATGCGATTCAATGAATGTGATGAAGGTAGAAGGCACTTACGGGCGGTCTGCTTGGTGCGGGCCATGGTTGATGATGGTGTTGTGTGTGTTGTGGATGAAGATGGTTATTGAGGCTGGAGTGGAGCTGGTGTGGTGGATGAGAGATGGAGGAGGACGGGCGGGCGAGGTTAATAAGTAAACGGGGGCGGGCGGCTGCCTGGAAAATCAACTCAGAAAGCGCGCTGGAAAGCGGCGCAAGAACATCAACACTGTTTTGCAACGGGAACAGCAACTTCGAAACTCACAAGTGAGAGCGAGTTACGCTCATTGGCTCGCTAAGGCGCGCGCCCGATTAGGAAATGGCACGGTCGTTGATCTGAAAAAGCGCGCCCGTGCGCACTGTTTGATCTGGGCCGGCAGGCGTCTGGCGTGTGTGATCCAGCGGCAGCAGTGCACGACCCGCCTTGTCCTCTTAAACACAGACATCCCCAACTGCACTATTCTATCATCAGCCAACTGCATCTTCTCCCCAGCCTCAACCCGCTTCAACTATCTCACCAATCTCCAACAACTCCCCCACACACATCAACATGACTGGACGTGAGTCTTCCCTCTTTCCCGGCTCGACGCGTCTCTCTACTGAGCGCGTCTTGCTTTGCTATCTCCACAATATACTGACGCGTCTCAGGCGGCAAAGGTGGCAAGGGTCTCGGCAAGGGCGGAGCCAAGCGTCACCGCAAGATTTTGCGTGATAACATTCAGGGTATCACCAAGCCCGCTATCCGCCGTCTCGCGCGTCGTGGTGGTGTCAAGCGTATCTCAGCCAGTATGTCTCTCACTCTGCCTTATCCACTTCACAGCTAACAACATCAAGTGATCTACGAGGAGACCCGTGGTGTTTTGAAGACCTTCCTTGAGGGTGTCATCCGTGATGCCGTCACATACACCGAGCACGCCAAGCGCAAGACTGTCACTTCTCTCGACGTTGTCTACGCCCTAAAGCGTCAAGGCCGTACTCTCTACGGTTTCGGTGGTTAAGCGCATTTCTTTCACGGTTTTCATATCACGACTTCTACCGGCCTCATCGGTCCACGGTCGGTTTCGGTGCTTGGTGGGATGGTCACAATGCCTTGTATAGTAGGCTACGGAGTTTACGGTCACATCAGTGGGATTGATTGCTTTTACATGGAATGATACCATAATTCTTCACACTCTTCGCCTTTGCCTATGACATCTGCGTTCGTTTCGTGACAGTTCTACGCGTCTGTTTGTTGTGATGTTGGTCAACGCGGTGGTCATGGCGAAGTGGATTGACGTGTGTAGTGGAGCTGGCGCTCGATTGGTCGTTAGCGTATCTCTACACTTCCGTCTCGAGTCTTGCATCATAGCCTGGAAGCACTGTCGTAACTCCCAGCATCTTGAGTTATCCGTGTCCTTGTGGCCGCTGCTGCCTGCCATTACATGCGCTGCTGCTATTTCGCAGCGGGCCTTTGTCTGTTGTGACGGCTGCATTCGGCAAGTGTGTGCGTGGTCAAGCACAGCTTCCTCTGCAGACCAATGTTGAGAATTGCGGAATGTTTTCACTGCAACTTCCCTTCCTCCACTCTCCTCGCTCTGCTTTGTTGCTGTCGTTGACGTTTTTCCGTCGCCCGCTGCATATCCGGTGTTCCTTGCTGCTCTGACGTTATCGTATCCGTGGGGCCCCTCCATGGCAGGCTCACCAAATCGTCCAGTACAAAATGACCTTTCATCGCCAACTCCGTTGCCGAGAGCATCTCCGCGACCGATCTCTGGTGTCACAATGGCTCTTTCACCAACACCTCGTGCTTTGTTCTTCGATGTCTTTGGTACCTGCGTCAACTGGCGCTCTACCGTGGTAGGCGAGTTGGAGGCCCAGGCTCATGCTGCACTCAATTCGGCTGCTGCGTCTTTGGCGTCCCGTGTCAGACTTACAGCATCTGATATGACCACCCAACACTGGGGTGAATTTGCTCGGCAATGGAGGGACGGCTACAGGAAGTTCACACGCGCTCTCGCTACAGATCCATCCGTTCCCTGGAAGTCGGTTGATGAGCACCATCTCGAATCCTTGAAGGAGTTGGTGGTCAAGTGGCAGATCAATGGTTTATGGGATGATGAACAGCTTCGCGCTATCAGTCTTATCTGGCATCGACTGGAACCTTGGGCGGACTCTGCTATGGGTGTCTCCATGCTAAACAGGCTCTTCTGTAAGTCCTGTCTCACATCGTCACGTCAGATGCTGACGTCTCAGATACGTGCACCCTGTCCAACGGCAACCTTAGCCTTCTTGGGGACCTTCGTACTCATAGTACCATCCCCTTCACGCATCTCTTCTCGGCCGAGCTCTTCGGTACCTACAAGCCTTCGCCGCGTGTGTATCTTGGGGCTGCCGAGAAGCTAGAGCTGCCGCCTGATCAATGTGCCATGGTGGCCGCGCATCTCAACGATCTGAGGGCTGCGAAGGACAATGGTTTGCAGACCATATATGTTGAGCGCCCTGGTGAGGAGGAGTGGAGCAATGAACAGGTTGAGAAGGCGCGTCAGGAGTGTTGGGTCGACTTGTGGATCAGCTCTGGTAACGGAAGTAAGGGTTTCATCACTGTGGCGGAGAAGTTGGGCATTGAACTGAATGCTGCCGATCAATCAAGGAGGCTCAGCACGTCGGCTCCCGTTGGTGGTGCATGAGCCTTGTCGCGACGTTGCCTACCGCGTGTGTTGGGACGTGATTATATACTCAAAGCAAGCATAGCGTCAATGAATGATATCAGATGATTGTTACATTCCCTTCTGGTATTTGTCTTTCGCCTGTCTTTTGTTGGTAAATCCTTTTCCCGATGTTTTTCTCTTCAAATGTTTTTTGAATGTCATGTGTTTAACACTCACTTTACACATACGTAGAAAATCATTGCAACAACAGAACATCATGGAATTCACTCAGACTTCGAGGATGAACTCAAACGCATCCCATTCACATACCAAGAAATTTTCAGCACAAACAAATGTGTTGTGGTCATCGTCGTTTTCGCATGTTGCGACGTGCAGCCTTGCCAAATGACTCGCGGCACCCGCTTGAGCGCGACACAGAATAACGCACATATCCACGCTCATAGAGTTGCATAGATTTGAACTCCAAAGAGACCGCACCACCATGAACCGCATGCCTACGAGATTGTCCTGCATATGTGCGCGGACGCGTTGTCGTGGACTGTCCTGCGCGCGTTCCGCTCTCCGAAACGCGTCAACACGAGCAACAACCACACACCAACGATTGACATAGTATCTACCGACTCAGACATGCTCGGGTATGGATGTTGTATGATATAACAAGAGTTGCTCTAATATGTACCACCTACTTGGTATTCTCTCGTGTTGCAGGACAATTCGGATGCAGCGGCCTCCAATCCTCACTCCTTACACCGAAGCCCGGAGGCCCTCAGACGCCCAAACCACACATGCGACCGTCTACTGTCCACCAGGAACCTGATATGGCCCATAACCAGGCCTAGGGAAGTTCGGTGATCCATCCTCCTTCCACGTAAACTTCTGCGCGCGAATCGTCCTCGCGCCCCAGCCGTTCGTGGGATCCCGCATACCATGGTAGACAATCCAATCCTCCTTGCCATCTGGACTAGTGGTAAAACTCGCGTGTCCGACACCGTATGCCTCCGCGCCTGGGTTTTGGTAGAAGACAGGGTACGGATGCTTACGCCAATCGCCTGGGTTCATGGGATCGTCGCCAACAAGCTCCAATTGCGCAAGGCAGTAGTTGCGATTGTCTGAACGGGCGGCGCTGTAAATGAGGAAGTTCTGCTGCGTCTCCGGGTTGACGAGTTGTTGTGGTCCCTCATTGGACGACAGACGGTCGTTGCTTGCGCGGCCGAACGGCGTCTTCTCCCAGGCATACTCGGGCACGGAGATGATTTGACGTTCTGCGAAGGGCGAGGAGACGGTCCAAGGGTTGGACAGCTTGGTGATACAAAGATTGGCTGGCCACCCATCATACTGGCGATACCAACACGAGTAAATGTGGTACAGCTGATCGTTGTGTTGGAAGTAGGTCCCATCGATGGCAAATTGGTTGTACGTGTCGAGCTCGCCTTTGTAGGTATAGGAGGCAGTCCATGGATTGGGACCAACGCCCTCAACTACGTACATGCGATGATTGACAGCCGGGCAGTTGTACTCACACCACATTTCTGTCTCGGGCGGCGGAGAATCATTACGGGGGTCCGCAGTGAAGACGATGTACCAACTGCCGTTGAGGTTGTGGAGTTCGGGTGCCCACAGGTCCGTGGAGTAATTCATGCCTGGAGGTGGCTTGAAGAGCAGCTTGGACTCGGCATTATTCCAGTCAGTGAGCACCTTGCTGCGCTGAAGGGTGATGTTATCATTGTTGGTGTAGGTCATGTAGTAGTAGTCATCGTAGCGGAAGACCCAACTGTGGAGTATCAGCATGGAGGAGATCAGACCAAGGAAAAGTCACCTACGGATCAGCGCCTACGGTGTCAAGGATCGGATTCGTGAACGTGGTGCTGGAGTTGGTCGCATTGGGTGTCGTGTAGCAAACACTTACAGCAGCAAGAGCCGCCGTTAGCAGAAGCTTGAGCATTCTTGATGTTTACAAGGGACAATGCTACGAAGTTAGTTGACGAGAGAGAGAAGGAACAATCGAACATGTCCCAGGACGTCAGCACTATATACTACGGGAAGCGGAGCGGAAAACAGGCGGGTGAGCACGACGAAGGATTCAGGGTAAAGGTAGACGCACGGTAGATCTGCATGAGTGTTTTGGTGGGGATGGTGGTGTAGCATCACTAGGTCATGGCCGGGATCGTGTTGAGAACCCTATATTGTGGCGCAACCAGTAGGACGACTCAATGGTCTCACGAGTAGGCTGGCCTTTCGAGCAGACATGGCACAAGGCGTACCGTACCATGGCTTTGTCGCTCGAGGTTGACACTGATTGTTTACATGAAGCGTGCTGGGCACGTTGGTGCCTGAGTGACGCAGTGCGGGGAAGGCGCGGAGAGCATGCACGCTAAAATTGAACGCGCTCTCGGTAACTTTTCCGCGCCGAGTGCCATCACGAGCATATCTCTCACGCAAAATGAACAACTCGCAATTCCGCCGGCTGCTGCTCAGCGATCAACCCAAGCAGCAGGATGGAAGCAAGCAGGGCGCATCACCGGCCTCGCGCACGCCTGGTGGTGCACTGGGCGCGCGCAAACATTCAAGCATACCCATGACACCGAAAGTATAGACTTTGAGAACTGATGTCGTCGCGTACTAACATGACTACAGGCGTCAGGTAGGCAGAGGTTCTGTTCAGGCTGACTTTGCTCGTCAGCTGGCAGAGCGCAATGCGAAAGCGAACCCGCAGAAGAAGACACGAGCTTCAGCACCTAAGGGCACGAAACTCGCCGCTGGCTATACCGATCGCACGAAGGAACGAGTTGATGAAGCAGACAGCGAGGTTGCCAAACGTATCAAGAATCTCGAGGAGGTGATGAAGCTTGGACAGATCGACCGCGAGACGTTTGAGAAGCTTGTGTCAGAGATCACAGGCGGCGATGTTGGCACAACACATTTGGTCAAAGGGTTGGACAGGAAGCTACTCGAGCGAGTGAGGCGGGGCGAGGATGTTCTGGGCGGCAACAAGGATACAACAATCCAGAAAGAGGAGCAAGAGGAAGCTGGTGAGGACGTTGAAGACGCCTTCGATGAGCTAGCTGAGGCAGATGTGGGTCCCGTCACCCGCGAGAAGGTGGAGAAGAAGGGCGAAAGGATGATGGCACCGCCGCCACCAGTCGCAGGCGCGAAACGAACCCGAGCAGATATCCTGGCAGAGCTCAAGCGCCAACGCGAGGAGGCAGCGAAGGCAGCAGAGGCAGAGCATGAGAAGAGGTTCCCAGCCCTAGGACCCGGCTTTCGAAAAGTTACTCCTCAAGGCGAGCGATCGAGAATCGAGATCGACGACAAGGGGCGCGAGGTCTTAATCATTACAGGGCCAGATGGCAAAGAGAAGAGGAAGGTCAGGAAGCAGAAGGCCGAAACCCAGCCGGCACCCGAGGTACGGCACGATCTGGACGATGTTACAAAGCCGATCAACATGCATAATCTACCTGAACCGAAGAAGCAGGAGGAGTCAGAGGATGAAGACATCTTCGCAGGAGTCGGATCGAACTACAACCCCCTTGCGAACCTCAATGACGATGACGACGAGGAGGAGGAGGAGGAAGAGGAGGAGGAGAGAGAAGCTGCACCAGACACTGCAGTCAAGCAAGAATCCACAACACCAGGCCCTGTCCCTACCTCAGGTGAGGCAAACTCGGAGGCTCCTTCAGCGGAAGCGTCAAAGCCATCTGAGCCCAGTCAGCTCGCGAAACGAGACTACTTCAAATCCAGAACTACACAGAGCAGCACTTCCGACACCACCTCCAGTCTCTCTTCCGCGGATGCCACAGTGCGCGCTGCCCTTGCCAAGGTGCGGAATCTCGACGAGAAATCAACACTGCTGCAAAACTTGTCCTCTGCCAATCCTAGCGACGCCGACTCTAAGGAAGCTCGCCTCAAGAAGCGTGCCGCCGAACTTGCAGCCTCAGATCGCGATCTGGAAGATATAGATATGGGATTTGGCGAGTCACGATTCGACGATGCTGATGAGATGGAGCGAGAAGGGGAGAAAGTCAAGTTCAGCGAGTGGAAGGGACTGGGTACCGGTGGTGATGACGAGGATGACGACGGACCCAAGGCTGCAAAGAAGAGAAAGCGTGGACCCAAGAAGAGGAAGGGGGATGTCAACAATGCGGACGATGTGCTCCAAGCCATGGAAAGGCAGAAGGAGAAAAAGACGAAGACGTTGGGGTAGAAGTCTGATCACGCTATATACCCGTTATACCACACATATGAATTTAGCATGTATTCGTTCTGTGTCTCGCCTTGAACTCGATAGCAGATTCACATCTGTTCATCTAGACCCTGGATATGCTCTTTCACATGCGGCTGGGAACGAACGTTGTAGATCAATCAATAAGGTGGGGAGCCGGGGCAGCGCGCTAGTGCGTCATCTTGAAAAATGTCCATAGCAGGCTACAGTTCGCTAGGACTTCAGAATACCACCAACATGCCTCAGCAACAGCGGCAGTCGGCTCTGGGCAACATACCCAGGGTAGTTGTCCGGCCAACATGGGACAACATGGTTGCAGTGTCGTATCTGCCAAAGGTATGTTCGCCCCCCGGAACAGCGAGGCCAAACTGACAGGCAACAGGGCTTCTTCTTCTTCATCGCACACCCGTATCTCTACCCTATGCTCAAGACTCGCCTTCTGCCCGCCTTCTTGCTCAGCGCATTCGTCTTACTGAATCTTTTCTTCTGGACATATCTACCACAAGTCGCTTTCCTTTCGATATTCCACAAGGGTGGCAGTGCTTGGGTGAACGGCACGTTCCTCGTGTTGGGTGAGGGAGCAGCTGCCGTGGCTATTTTGTTTGAAGCTTTCTTGGTGGACGAGACTCAAGTGGACATATTCGATGCTGTCATGATCCACAAAGGCTACGAAGACCTCGTCCGCCAGCATCGCCCTGTTTCAGAGGAGAACCTGAACGACCCCGTACGCCGTCTTGGGCGGCCAACGAAGACCTCAGTCTACGCCCCATTCTCCTTCCGTCAGATCGCCGAGTTCATCATACTGCTCCCGCTCAATTTCGTACCATACGTCGGAGTGCCGTTGTTTCTCCTTCTCACCGGATACCGCGCAGGACCTTTCCAGCATTGGCGGTATTTCCAGCTCCTAGGCTTCGACCGCAAGCAGAGGGACAACTTTGTAGGTAAGCGTAGATGGCAGTATACATGGTACGTTTACTGATACAAAGCGCTGTGCATCCTACTGATAACCTCTCAGGTACGGTACAATATACCTGTTCTTGCAGCTTGTGCCACCGTTCAGCATGCTGTTCCTTCTGACAGCCGCTGTCAGCTCTGCACTATGGGCGGCCGACATGGAGACGGCTCGGCGAGATCAGGAGGAAAGGATAATTGCTCCTCAGTACACGGACGAGCTGGACGCTGCGGTATGAGGCACGCCTTTATAAGTTTTAAGACGCAGAACCATACGTTCTAAGTAATTGCCATATGAGACCTATACTCGCATACCGCTACATGTGAGCTTCCCACTGAAGACCCAGCGTATGCATCTGGATAGAGCTCCTAAGCAACGGAGCGTCATGCGACAACCGAGCTTACGCCAGGGCTGCCCGGCTAAATTGGCCTCGCCGAGCCAATGTGCCCCTGGTAGTGACGCAAATCAACTTCTTGCTTGATCTGATTCTGTGTGTTCTGAAGCTATTGGCTGTTTGGAGAGTACAGTGCAGAGCAGAGGCGCAACATAATCTGACATCTTGAACAGCTTGAAAGTAAGATTTTGAGACCAGGAATCAGTCGATATCGATATTGATATCGATATCGTTCAGCTGACATTGAAACAAGCAATCAGCTTCAATAAAAACCAGTCAGATGAACGCATCTTTGGCGAATTAATACTACGATAGATCTCCAGGCCCGGATTGTATGGGGAATGCAGGGATCGAAGCTCTTTGGTGCCGAAAACGTCTGGGGTGTGGGCCAGCCAGTGTTTGATCCCGTCATGCAGGAACTGGCGCGGTCCGCACGTGCCTTGTACCAAGAGTAGGCACTCACTGCCCAGGTGACGACACTCCGATAGCTCCAAGCGCTAAACTGCTCCCCCCCCCAGCCATCTCCCAGGCACCCTCCGTCACAACCCTCCATCATCCACTCCACCTGCATTCTTTCGAGTGCAGTTCCCCATCAACACATATCGTTTACTGCCATCATGAAGACGGCTATCCTCCTCGCCGCGGGCGCGCTGGCCTCGCCCGCCGTTGCCGGCGTCCACAAGATGAAGCTCCAGAAGGTGCCTCTCTCGGAGCAGCTGGTAAGTCGATAGCATCGTCGCCTTGCGGTGGCGACATAGTCTAACAGCTCCTAGAAATACGCAAACATCCAGGAGCACGCAAAGGCGCTTGGCCAGAAGTACATGGGCATCAAGCCTGAGGACCACGCCGAGCAGATGTTCAAGGCGCCCTACGTCGCCGACGGCTCGCACCCAGTGCCCGTCAGCAACTTCCTGAACGCCCAATGTACGTTACTCCCTTACCCATCTTTAATCTAGCTCCAAACAGTGACTAACACGATTAGACTTCTCTGAGATCTCTCTTGGTACCCCTCCTCAGGACTTCAAGGTCGTTCTCGACACTGGAAGCTCCAACCTCTGGGTCCCCTCGTCGGAGTGCAACTCCATCGCCTGCTACCTTCACAGCAAGTACGACTCATCAGCTTCCTCGACCTACAGGAAGAACGGCACCTCGTTCGAGATCCGCTACGGATCCGGTGAGCTCAGCGGCTTCGTCTCCAACGATGTCTTCCAGATTGGCGACCTCAAGGTGAAGCACCAGGACTTCGCCGAGGCTACCTCTGAGCCCGGTCTTGCCTTTGCTTTCGGCCGCTTCGACGGTATCATGGGTCTCGGCTACGACACTATCTCGGTCAACAAGATCGTTCCCCCCTTCTACAACATGCTCGACCAGGGTCTGTTGGACAAGCCCGTTTTCGCCTTCTACCTTGGCGACACCAACGAGGGCCAGGAGTCTGTTGCTACCTTCGGTGGTATCGATGAGAGCCACTACACCGGCAAGCTCGTCAACATTCCCCTGAGGCGCAAGGCTTACTGGGAGGTTGACCTCGATGCCATCACCTTCGGCAAGGAGACCGCCGAGATGGACAACACTGGTGTCATCCTTGACACCGGCACATCCCTCATTGCCCTTCCTTCCACCATTGCCGAGCTCCTGAACAAGGAGATTGGCGCTAAGAAATCATACAACGGTCAGTACACCGTTGAGTGCAACAAGCGTGACAGTCTGCCCGACCTCACCTTTACCCTGACTGGCCACAACTTCACCATCGGTGCCTACGACTACATCCTCGAGGTTCAGGGATCGTGTATCTCTGCTTTCTTCGGCATGGACTTCCCCGAGCCCGTAGGTCCTCTTGCCATCCTCGGAGACGCCTTCCTCAGGAGATGGTACTCTGTCTACGACGTCGGCAACTCGGCTGTTGGTCTTGCTAAGGCCAAGTAAGCGGTTGGTGATGTCGTTGGGATGCATTTGGAGTTTAGGAGGAATCTGGGACCACAAGACCAGCAAGTGGCATTGCTCGGTCCACATTGTATTCAGCATTAATTGGGTTACGGTTCTTTTGTCGACACAGATTGTCGAAATCATGTATATCAGCGAATCGAGTCAATACAAGGAGAGTGTCTTGGACCAAAGTGACTTGCTGTTGGTGTACCTAGAAACCCAGTAGCGTGATTTGTTATCGATATTGAGGAATCGCTCATTGAGTGACGTATGACAGGTCTGAGCCTCAACGCCAGGTCATGTTCGAATACCTGTGTGTGATTTGTGAGCGTCTCGTGGGAACAGACATAGCGGGGGCAATGTTCCTGAAGAAGGACTGTTGAGTGATGTTGCCTAGGCAGGTGCTTATCGACCAGTCATTCGGGCGGCGGATGTTGGCGCTAAATGTCGTGCGTGCAGCGTGCAGCTCGTCACATTGCCAGCGTATCAGTCCATTAATGTACTCGTTCAGTATGTGACGATTTCTCCTAGAAGCTGCCTGTAGCAGTGAGCGTCTCGTCAACAACGGAACAACACATTACAACCATCTGCATGTCCAAGCCGCTTTGATCGGCGCAGCAGCACTCCGCCGCAACGACCTCCGAGCCTCTAACCCTACGTGAAGCTACCGCGACCTGAACGCGCCCAACACACAAGATGGCGTCGCAAGACCGAGGGCGGGCCAGGTCGAGCCGCAGATTGTCGAAGAAGCGTAGAGACTCACAGAAGGAGTCGCGCAGACTGTCGCTCGATATACCAGAGCGCTTCAAGGATGGGGATGATGCGGAGGATGATGTGACGGCGCCCAAGAGAAACAACACCATGTCGATGAACCAGTCCATCTTCTCCATGATTGCCCGCGCGGGGCAGCAATCGCAGACCGATCTCGTGACCATGCAGGAGGTGGACTCGGGCGACAGCGACGAGGAAGGCAAGAGGCGCCAGCCTTACCACAGCTTAGACGGCGCCGCACGATTGAGCCGTCTGAGCTCAGCGAACGACTTCCAGCGGCGGACAGAGGAGCTGCAGGACGACAAGCCCGGGCATGGCAAGCAACATCGCAGGGTGTTATCGGAGCACAAGCTGTTGCGCTCTTTGCCCAAACTGAAGAGTAGGAAGGATGCTCGGTCAGAGGGCCGGTCTATGGACCAGATGTCGTCCTCTCAGCTTCTGCCCCCACGACCGCCTCCGCCAGAATCTCCCTCTGCAAGCCAAAGCGAACGATCGTCCAAGACGAAGCCCAAAGTGACCGCCGGCGAGGACGTGCATGTTGAGAAGCTGAAAAGCTCAGGAAGGAGGAGTAGGCATGGGAGCTCAGCAGGGACAATCAAGAGCCCAGCGCCTGTCACTCTCGCGCAACGGATACAGCAGATATTTGAGTTTGAAGACGTTGAGGCGGTCATCTCGGAATACCCCTGCTGGCTACTTCAGAGTATCCTGCTGCAAGGGTACATGTACATCACGCAGAAGCACATATGCTTCTATGCATACATACCCAAGAAACATGTGAGCAGTCGAGGAGCCTTCTCTACGAAGTGTACTGACCTGTTGCAGCACGATGTCAGCAAGACTGGCTACCTGTTCAAGCGCGGTCGGTCCAAGTACAACAGATACTGGTTCATTCTACGAGGCGACGTCTTGTCCTATTATACGAATCCAGCTGAGCTGTACTTTCCGCGCAACCGCATCAACCTGCAATACGCCATCTCCGCCGAGATAGTCGAGGCAAAGAAGAAGAACGAAGAGGAGACCATATTCACCGTTACGATAGATGAGCGGACGATTCAGTTCAAGGCAGACAGCGCTGCAAGCGCGAAAGAGTGGGTGAGGTCCATTCAGAAAGTCATCTTTCGGACACACAACGAAGGGAACAGCGTCAAGATCTCGCTGCCCATTCAAAACGTATTGGAAATCGAGGAAAGTGCCATACTGGAGTTTGCGAATACTGTCAAGGTCAGAGTGATCGATAATGACGAAACCTTCGCCATCGATGAGGTACATCATAACGACTCCGCGAGTAGTAGGGACTTTGTTGACATTGTGCAGTACTTCTTTTCGTTCTTCAGCAATGGCCAAGATGCGCTTAACGTTCTACGGATCATGATCAACGACAACGAGCACCACCAGGCAGTGGAGTCTCGCAATGACGCCGAGGTCGTCACACCCACTGCTTCGCCGAAAGCTGATCTAAAGTCACCGAGCAGTGCGGCCATCGTCGAACCTGTTCGTGCGACTCTTTCACCACTACCAGCACCACGCGTTGGAAGGTCAAGCTTTAGTGATGCATCTGCTCGATCCAGTGTGGACGCGGGTAGAAAGAGTTGGGATGCGCGACGGAGTATGGATGCCAGCCGTATGTTCCGGCGCCCAAGTCACGAGATACGACGAAGCTTTAGTAGAGGTCGTCACGACGTACAAACGAGGAGTCGCCCCGGTGATCGCTCACCATTATCGCCGAGAGCAATGGATACGGAATCTGCGACTACTTCACTCGAGCGCGATACTGAGTCTTCTGCCGCAATACAGTCCATAGACGAGAGCAACGTGTCCGCGTCCCAGATCTTAAACCGGTCCGACGTGTTCCGAGCACCAGCGAACAATTCACCTGTCACTGCTTCTGACCAATCGGGACCACTAGCGCGGTATTCACAAGATACAACGCGCTCTTCTGGGCGGGGAAGACAACCACCAAAACCAACGCAACACTTGAAAAGCGACAACAACGCAAAGGCGGCGGCTGTCGCACCTGAAACAACGGAGGATGATGTGGAAGCGGGTCTAGCTCAACCACGGTTGTCAGGTTCATCGTCAGCGCTCCAAGACATTGCATCCTATCCCCTGAACAAAGCTACAGGCCTGGCAGGTTTTCTTCGAAACCGATCGAAAAAGATGGGCAACTTGCTCGCAACTGAATCCATGGGCTACTACGAAAAAGTTTCCGGGATGTTGGCTGGTGGGAGCAAGCACTACAATACCGCCGAAGGGCTCGAGACTGGCGACCAAGTGCACGGCTATGAGGACGACGAAGATGCAGCCAAGGCGGCGGAGAATTTCAGGGAGCATTTCGCCTTCCCTGAGACTGAGATACTCCAGTCGTCCTTCTTTGCTTCACTACAGCGAGTTTTACCCAATTACGGCAAGATCTACATCAGCGGAAAGTATTTTTGTTTCCGCAGCCTGATGCCTACATCGAAGACGAAGATCATCTTGCCCATGAAGGACATTGAGAATGTCAATAAAGAGAAGGGCTTCAGGATCGGCTACCACGGCCTCGCTATCGTTATCAGAGGACACGAAGAGCTCTTCTTCGAATTCTCCAAAGCCGATTACCGCGACGAGTGCGCTATCACCGTGCTTCGCATACTGGAGAACGCAAAATATCTGGAAGATAGAGACTCTTCTTCCTCGGGCGTTGACAGCGACGACGAGGCGGCCAAAGCAGAGCACGATCTTCTCCAACAAGCGCGTCAAGATACTGCAGACGATCCACGAGTCGATGTATCTAACATATTCCGCGCTGCTGACCACGAGCGCATCCCGCTCATCTTCGACGATCCGCTTGCCTCATTCGTCGACTTCAAGCCAGCAGAGTCGCTGATGATTGTCTGCCTTACCATCGGGTCCCGTGGCGATGTGCAACCCTACATCGCACTATGTAAGGAGCTTCTAAAAGAGGGCCACAGGCCGCGGATAGCAACCCACGCTGAGTTCGAGCCATGGGTCCGGAAGCACGGTATCGACTTTGCGCCTGTCGATGGCAACCCAGCAGAGCTCATGCGAATCTGTGTCGAGCACGGCATGTTCACGTACAACTTCATGAAGGAGGCGAATTCCAAGTTCCGTGGCTGGCTCGACGATGTCTGCAGTTCTGCGTGGCGAGCTTGTCAGGGCGCCGATGTCTTGATTGAGAGCCCAAGCGCGATGGCCGGCATTCACATTGCAGAAGCCCTCGAGATCCCCTACTTCCGCGCCTTCACGATGCCCTGGACACGCACTCGAGCCTACCCACATGCTTTTTCGGTCTTGGAAAAGAAGATGGGCGGAGGGTACAACAGTATCACGTACATCACGTTTGACGCCATCTTCTGGACTGCTATCTCTGGTCAGATCAACAGGTGGCGCCGTCGAGAGCTGGGGTTGCAAAACACATCCCAAGCTAAGATGCAGGCCAACTCTCGCCCGTTCCTGTACAACTTCAGCCCTCATGTGGTACCTCCGCCACTTGACTGGCCTGACTGGATCCGCGTGACCGGCTACTGGTTCCTGGACGAGGCTGACATGTACGAGCCGCCTGCTGACCTACGGGCTTTTATTGAGAAGGCTCGCAAGGACGACAAGAAGCTGGTCTACATTGGCTTTGGCTCTATCGTTATCGATGATCCAGCTGCTTTGACGAAGACTGTAGTCGATTCAGTCCTTAAGGCAGATGTGCGCTGCGTCCTGTCGAAAGGCTGGTCAGATCGCCTTGAGACGAAGGATGCATCGAAGCCCGAGATTCCCCTGCCACCTGAGGTTTTCCAGATCCAGGCTGCACCGCACGATTGGCTGTTCAAGCAGATGGATGCTGCAGTACATCATGGTGGGTCAGGAACGACGGGAGCAAGTCTGCGAGCCGGTATTCCGACCATTATCAAGCCTTTCTTCGGCGACCAGTACTTCTTCGCTCAGCGTGTCGAGGATCTTGGGGTTGGTGTGTGGCTGAAGAAGGTCAACACGAGTGTCTTTAGTCGGGCACTGTGGGAGGTGACTAACAGTCAACGCATGATCGTAAAGGCGAAGGTGTTGGGTCAGAAGATCCGTAAGGTGTGTAGTGAGAATCCACTTCCCCCTTGACGACCACTAACTCGAAACAGGACAACGGCGCGCAAGTTGCCATCCAGACGATCTACCGCGAGCTCGACCGCGCCCGCACGCTTATCAACAAGCACGCCAAGCAGGACGATGACCGTACAGACGAGTTTGATGATGATTGGACGATGATTGAAGACGGTGAAGAAGTCGACGTTGCTCCATTTGAGGCTCAGCAGGCAGTCACAGGAATGACTCAAGACACATCTCGGACGGGTGGAGGCTCATTGGTCGTGGGGAGCATGGTATTGAGAGGAGCATAGAAGCGGACTTCGGAGTCTGCGAATAGAGACTGAGCATTTTGGGTTCGTTGATTACAAGCATGGCGTTCTAGGAGCAAGGAAGATTGATAGACATGAACGCTTACGACACTATGACCTAGGCACCGACTTAGATGACTGTAATGCCTGATAGCTGCCTTGTGGTGGTGCACTACATATACTTCTGTCATGTCCACGATTCAGCGTCCTACATACTGCCTCCATGCAAACGACAGTGCATGACAGACAATGAGCAGGAGCACGTGCCCACTAGCAGAGACAACCGTAGTTGCCTGCTTTGGCGAAGTGTAGGCAGACCACCCTTTGCAAACAACTGCATGTCACCACACTGTAGCCCTCCTGGCCTTCGTCTTCGAGGGCCTGCTTTCGACGAACACGGTCCCTTTGTTTGATGCTTCGTCGAGGATGTGCGTCGTGCACTTGCCCAGGCGCTAACACCCCTGGTCCCGCGTCGAAGACGCATTTAAACAAGCTCCAAGCCCCTCTTTGGGAGCTCCAGCTGCTTTTGCGAAAACGGTGGTTTACACACACAACGAGCCGCAACATCCCTGTCCCTACGCGATTTCTCCACAACAGTCGTACTGCATTGCTGCGCGCCTGCACCCTGCGAACACCCCCGCATCGATTTCCTGTCACTGCAATTACTTTGCGCATCGCGCCATAGCTCCGTCTGCTCCAGTGACGCGCACCCAAGCTCCCCTTAGCTCCCGCGGAACCGTCCCGAATGCGCCGACTTGCGCGACGCGACTGCCCCAAAGACAACGCCCACGCCCACAATCGCATGCGCAGCCTCCACGCGGAATGAAGATCTTATCGCCCCCGGGTCTGCACTATCCCATCACCGTGCTCGAGCTGCTGAAGAAGCCGGACGATGACGTGAAGCGCTCGGAGCGCCTGTTCACATACACGTACGAGAGCACGGTGACGGAGACAGACAAATGGGGAGACGAGAAGACCGTCAAGAAGAAGTTCACAGCTCACTTCAATGCGAGCACTGAGGGGAAGATATCGCGCTGGTACATCGGAGCGGGCGCAGTCATCGCGCGCTCCGGGTAAGCTACACGCGCTGCCCTTGCTTTCGCGCTCCTACTAATGTGTCCAGAACCGAGATCATCGAGATTGAGGAGCCATGCACGCACGAGATCCAGTTCGGCGGCCTCTGCGCTGAGTGCGGCCAGGACATGACGAAGGTCGACCACCTTACGCAGTCGCGCAACACAGACCGCGCGACGGTCAACATGACCCACGACAACGTCGCCCTGCTCGTCAGCCACAATGAAGCCCTGCGCGGCGAGGAGGAGACTAAGAGACGGCTGTTGAACTCGAAGAAGCTGACACTGATTGTCGATCTTGATCAGACTGTGATCCACACGACCTGCGAGCGCACCATCGCTGAATGGAAGGCCGACCCCGAGAACCCTAACCACGAGGCGGTCAAGGACGTCGAGGGCTTCCAGCTCGCTGATGACAATGTCTCGAACGTGGCAGCGAACTGGTACTACGTCAAGATGCGCCCAGGCTTGAAGGACTTCTTCGATAGGGTGTCGAGCAAGTACGAGATGCACGTCTACACAATGGCGACTCGCGCATATGCGCAAGCAGTGTGCAAGATCATCGACCCCGAGCGCAAGTACTTTGGCGACCGCATCCTCAGCCGCGACGAGAACTACACGGACAAATTGAAGAGCTTGCAGCGACTGTTCTACCACAACACCTCTATGGTTGTCATCATCGATGACAGGGCAGACGTCTGGCAGTACAGCCCCCATCTTGTCCGTGTACCCGTCTTCAACTTCTTCCCCGGCGCCGGCGACATCAACGCAAGCTTTCTGCCTAAGCAACAAGAGCTTGTGACACAATCAAAACCTCTCGCAGCTCCCGTCAAGAAGATAGAAGATGCACCCATGGCTGCCTCCGATGCTGGCGAGTCTGCTGGGGCTGCACCTGCGGAAGGCACCAATGGCGTTGGGGAAGCACTCGAGCAACAGCTGTTATCTATGGCATCTCCCGAGACCCTGGACGAGCAGACCAAGGAGCAAGAGAGAGTCATAATTGCGCAGCAGACAGAGCGACCCCTGCTGCAACAACAGCTTATGCAAGATAAGGCGGACGAGGAGGCAGAGGCTAGTGAGGAACCAGATGTGGCAGCCCACGGCGATTTACAGCACTCTGAGCCTCCGAAACACCGACACAGTATCCTGCACGACGACGACCGAGGCCTGGAAATCGTTGAGAACAATCTGAACCGGGTACACGCTGCCTTCTACGATCAGTACAGGAGGTCCAAGGCCGTCGGACCGGCAGGGCGGGTCGCCGCACTCAAGGGCGAGAGGAGCCCAAAGAAGCGCTTGAACGACTCCGTCCCTGATGTTGCTGAGTTGATGCCGGAGATCAAGGAGCAAGTACTTGGCGATGCCGTCGTGGTGTTTTCGGGCATCATACCACTAGGTGTTGACGTCCAGACGTGAGTATTACTTTGCTGTCAGTTGGTCCTTGCTAACAACGTCAGATCCGACTTTGCGCTTTGGATCAAGAGCTTCGGCGCCGAAGTATCCACCAGCGTGAACCGACGAACGACACATGTCATTGCCAACCCCGACCGAAAGACGACCAAAGTCAAGAAAGCTGCACGCTACGAGAACATCAAGATAGTTAATCCCGAGTGGATGTTCCAGTGCTGCTCAAGATGGGAGCACGTTGACGAGACACCGTATCTCATCGAAGTTGACCCAGCTGAGCGCGGGGGCTCGCCGTTCGAGGACGATAGCATCAACGCGTCAGGCGAAGAGGAGGCCGACGATCCTGCTGATTCGCCAGTGACTCTCAACCTGACTGCCGATAACTGGGAATCCGTGGATGATGAGTTAGCCGACTTCATGAACGGCGACGACACAGATGGTGACAATGCATCAGAATCTGACAGCGAACGTTCAGACGACAGCACGGCGTCGACTTCTAGCAAGAATCAGAAGAAGCGGAAACGCACCAATGGCAATACTACCGATGGGAGCGAGGCGGAAGAGAGCGACAGCAGTGTCACAAACACATCCCGACTGCAACGGCGGAAAAAGCGCACAATGGAGCGGGTGACATCCCTCACAAATGTCGTCACCGCAGAAAAGTCGTCCGGCCTACCGACGCCAGAAGCAACAGGAACAGAAGCAATACCAGCAGATGACCTGAAGGGAGGGCCTGAGGAGAATGGTGTCGCACCAGACCTTCAAGAGGACAACGATGACGCCCTAGAGGCAGAGCTGCTGGCCGGATTCGACAGCACTGATGGAGAGGCATGATTTTGGCAGCATCTGATTCGCCTGCATAGCGTGGGGTTTGGCATTTGGCGTTTCTGGTTGGGGATGTATGAACATATGGTTTTGGCTATCGCCTGGATATCTTGAGAGCGCTCTTGCATGTACGGCCATATGCGCGTCTATGCACCCAACCATGCATACATGAGATAACCATACTACAAATTGACCCTATGAACACTATACATGGCCTGATCGAGCGACTGGTAAGCACTGAAGGTGAGCGCCTCATGGCTGTGCTCGAGCCCGCCGGTGACGGCACCCTGCAGACGACCCCACCCAATGGGAGCTAGCCAGATGCGCTTACCCCAGCTTCAAAGTGGGGCAGTCGGCATTAAAGGTGAGGCTGAAGGTCCCTTGTGCTGCTGCGCAAGTGCTCACCAATGCCTTCTCTCACATTGTTTGAAGCTAAAGCCCCCACCGCTACCAGTCAGACTGAGCCTCTCTCACTTGACCAGGCAGCAAACCCATTGCTACGCACCCACGCGCTCCAAGCACGATTGTCGTATCAATCGCCCAACTTCTCACAAAGGTTGGAACCTCCGAGGCCGCCGCAACCGCAGAGTGCTCCAGGCTCCACGAACACGACTCTGAGCGACCATGTCTCCGCAAATTCCAAATCCGAACTTCACAAACCTCCCGACAGATCTCAAGACGCTGGTCGTCGACCACGTAAGTAGTACCACGCTTTTTGTACCACGCCGGCGCATGGCTAAGCGCCTCGCAGATCAACCGTCCCACTGATCTCAAGAGCCTGTGTCTCACGTCCAGGCAACTCCGCGAAATCACGGTCCACCGACTCTACCGCGATGTCACCATCGATGTCGGCTCGAGCAAGGACACACGCCTTGGGGCGTTCCTCAACCCCAAGAACATCGGTCTGCCACACATTCGCAAGCTCGACCTGTACCTGACGGATGTGATCGATAAATGCAACCAGATACACCAGGCCAACTTTGCTGTGCGCATGATACTGGAGCTGTTGCCGGAGAACATACTCGAGAAGTTTTCATGGCATCCGTGGTCGCCCTTCTCAGGTGACAACCTGGTGTTGCTGTACAAGAAGCAGAAGCGCCTGAAGTGGGCGGAGAGCATCGCTCTAGACAGGAACGTACTGGACGAGCTGCAGAAGATTCCAGATTTCAAGGAACAATTCGCCAATGTTCGTAAGATCGGTCTATATCCAGACTCTCGAGAGGTCCTCGACTACTGCCATTTCATCTTGAAGCACACATCGAATCTGGATAAGATCACATTACATGCGAGTTTCGACGATAGCGATGTGCCGATACCAGAGAGGGAACTGAACGACTCGTCGACGGGGCCTGGTCTGATCACTTCTATGATGTTCAGCCACATGCAGCCTTTCGCGAAGTGCACACCTCTTGCGCTAAAGGAGATCACGTTGCAAAAGCTTGGTCTGCGATATGCAGCAGAAACGTACTGCAAGATCATCGACTTCCGCACCGTCAAGAGCATCCGTGTCTTCAGCTGCACTGGTACCGATGCTTTGTTTGCAGAGCTGAGCAAGAGCACGAAACTCCCTCAGAAGCTTGAGACTCTGGAGATTAAGTTCACAGATAACGCCGAGAATGATGGGTTGGGCGCGCTGGATGGCTTCTTGTGCCTCGTCTCCGGCATCAAAGTTCTCACGCTAGACTATTCAAGTGTGAACAGCTTGCCTGAATCTGCCGGTGTTGTACGCCATGGCAAGACGCTCAAGCAGTTGAGCGTACATGCTTCGAGGGCGCCCGACGAGTGTGATGACGAGCTGGTGTATGACTATGCCTCGTTTTCGCAGATCTGTAAAGACTGCACATTGCTTGAACAACTCTCGATGGCGTTCCCGAATGTAAGCGTTGTTCGGCCCAAGAACGACAGCTTTGTCAACTTCGAGGTAAACTCACCCGTCTGTCAACACATTGGAATGCATGCTGATTTCTTCCAGAACTGCCTCGGCGACCTCCCCAACCTCGTAACCCTCAATGTCACCACATGGCCAACAACACGTCCATCGTCCAGCAAACTACCCCGCAAGATATACGAACACCTCCTCGCCGGTCTCGCGCAACAAGGCTTCGAAACCAGCACTAAGCACGCCAAACTCCAGGGCAGAAACTCGAAGCTGGCAATCATTGCTTTCGGCGCCTCAGATCGTGTGTACGACCGCGAAGATAGCGAGAACCAGATCATCTTCGTCAAGGGGCGGCAGATAGATCCACTAGGTAATGAGAAGAGCACAGCGGTGCAGATTGGGTGGTGTCTGAGGAAGTTTGTGGATGCGGGCGTGAAGAGTGATGTCCTTGACTTCTCGTTGAGCCATTCGAGGAGGCCACCGACAGAGGATCCGCCTAGTAGCGATGATTCGGATTAGAGATCGAGGATACGGCGTGGGCACCTCGTGCGAATAGCAAGGGGCATGCTGAAATGGGTTCCCTGGAGGAAACCGAGGGGGAATGGTTGAATTTAGCGATGCAGTGATCGTGCCACAGTCTAGCATAATGCCCACGAAGCAATGCGCTGGTACCTGTAGCCCATAGCTGTTCGAATCTCGGGTCCTGGTTCGCCGTAGACGGCGTCCTAAGAAAGCATGCACTCGTCACCTTGGAGCTGGACGACCCTGCAGCTGAGGAAAGTTCACTGAAAGGCGTTCCACATTGCGAAGTTGGTCTAGGCACATACTGGTGCGATTACATTCCTGTCTGGCCGTATCACGGTTTCGAGTGACTTGGAACAAAAGTAAAGACTAGAACACCTGCACTTGATCACATGGGGCATATATCAATCTGCTACAGAACGCAGTCCAAAGGAATTGAATTGAGTAACGACGCTGACTACATATGGCACGACATTCGACATCGATACGATCAATTCGCTAGTGGTCGAGTCTAAAAGCTTAGCGGCTATCTTTGCTAGATTTCACGGTGCAGAAATGCGAAGTACTCATGATGTCAGCGTGCGGCCAGCGCTGCCCCACCGTCCGAACGCTTCGTCTGCGCAACAGGATTGTTGCTTGCAACACACGCGATCCCGCTTGTGTTCTCCCTGCACATCAGGTCAAGAATATCTTGCCCATTGAATACCTAATCCTACGGGCTCTCTGGGTTCTCTTCAGAGCCAGCGCTACGCGTTTAAGCTTTCGGCCGGCTTCAGATTGCACACTTCATCACCACTGTGATCATGAGGGGCTGACAAGACAAAAATCGTAAGTGCAACCAACGATGATAAGGACCTCTAGATCAGATCGAATTAGACTGTGGGAGAACTCATTCACATAAGGAGGCTTGGTCGCAGAGACCAATGGTGTCGTTCTACTCGACGGTGAGTTTTGACCAGGTGGACGGGTGGCGTGGGAGTTCGCTGGGTGGATGTGTGCCGGGGAATCATCTTGCATGCTGTGCTGCAAGCCCGAGACGCCTGTCCCTCTCAGTCTTACTACTGATATCCAACCCAATCATGCGAGATCTGCTTCGCATCATTCCCTAACCGTGGTTGGTTCCGTTATGGCGTCCCAGGGCTTTTTTGGAACCGAGCTCTAGCTGCTCTGGCGCTGCTGCTTCCGCCCAGGTCCTCTTTGTCTCAAGGAGGTAAAGCCCGTCAATCCTGCCAGGGGCACGTTGCATTTATTTTCGGCAGTCACTTCGCCCTGTCGCACCTCCGCAAGGCTGCTATAGGTATATATGATCAAACTGTCCCGTCCCAAGCTGCACTCTGTCGAGCATCACAATCCGACATCCATTCCATCAAATTGAACATATCAAGCTCAAACTCAAACAAGCAGAACTGCTTCTGGAGTTCAGCATCAACTGCTGAACCTGCAAGACACATCCTCAATACTTCACCACAGGGAGCTGAACTGCTCACTTGCTAGAGCCTCGCTACTCCAATGATAGTGAACACCAGTAAGCAGTCTTTCGTACATCTACACAATATCATATTGTGTCAAACTACGGTCGACCCGTAATTGACCAAACGCTAGGTTCAAACGTTCCGATGGCGTCAGATGCTGGCTCTACTTGGTTGATTGAAGCTATCTTGGCGCTCGCCACTCTCCTTCTGATGCTGTTACTTTCCAGTTTGAACCTTCTACTCAAGTGTCCGATGTTAAGATCTGGCATCTCAGGCTTTGGGAGCTCCACGTCGGTCACCATCAGATCTGACGGTACAATATCCACGCACCATATACCACTAGGCTTTGGCTAATCACAGTCAGACACTGATATGGTCTCCACGGAATATCGGTGCAGGCGGATGGGTGGACATTGGAGATGTACGCCGATATCAACAGCAGACGTACACTTCATTACTTCACCTTAAGAAAGGGCCCGGACCTCTGAAACGTCACTGAAAGTACTTGTGGAACTCACTCTCGCCGATGACACGTAACCTTGTTGAACGGTATAATAGTCTTCCCGTACTGTTATTCATCAGCGATATCATCCATCTGCTTACACTGCCTCATCCTATTGTTTCGCTTGAGATCTACCAATATTCATCCCGCAGTACAAATGCTCCGCAAAGGGCAAGATTCACCTCAAGAACACATCATGTAAGCCAGAAATTACCATCTATGATATGAGCCATCTCAGTTCACACGAGTGCCACGATTCTGGGACGCTGGACCAAGCTATTTAAACTTGAGAACTAGGTAGGTGCTTGAGTGAGGAAGTTGTCCACTGCCTCGTGCTTTATGCTATCAGATAATCTGGCAATCGCGGTTCGAACCCAAAAAGGCACACCTTCTGTCACTTCACTTTTACAGCACATTTCTCTAGTTTCCTCGCTAGCACCACGTCCCATCACCTGGAACAGCTGAAAACGCTCCTTGCGATCCTTAACTGAGCGATGCTGATCAAGCCAACCACACAACTCCAGCGACGGCCTATCTACCAGTTGATCGAGCACCCTGTGAGTACCATACCTACACTTATACTGCGTAAGCCGAATCTTGTCCTCTCGTGACTTCTTGGTCGCCTGACCTGGGTTTGCGTGCATTCCACTTTCGGCGTTGTTGTTGAACTTGCCTGGACAAGTACGAAGGATGATGCTGGAGGGATCCAGGATCTTGTCGTTGCGCTCGGCATATGCAAGTTGTGGCGACGTGGGTGGTCGTGGAGGGAAGTCGGAGAGACGGGCGGTGAATCAGCTGCACAGCGAGTAGTTTCATAGTTGTCGAGTGCACTGTCGCTCACCTCAACTGTCAGTGATTCTCGTCATCTTCACGGGCTTCCAGTGGCGCGTCTTACTTGACTGAGTTGGAAGTAGGTGCATCCACACAAGCAATCGGTGCACGGAAACGATCGTTGAGCTTAAGATGCTGAAGAGCTGTGTGGAGGAGTTGTTTGGTTTGAGCGATGCAAGACCACCAGCGGTCGTCGTAATGGACTTTGGGCATATGTTGCTGTGAATGGCGAGGAGTGACTTACAATGCTTTTTGAAGGCACACGTTTGTGCTGATGGCATTGTTCAGCGTCCACCATAGCCATCTTGAAAGTACTGTCGAGTGTTGTATCTTGTTACACATGTAATAGTTTTTCTCACAATCAGAATCAGCAAACCCCTGATGTCAGTTGTCGGGGTCTAAACCTGTCTTGAACATGGGCAGTGTATTGGGTTGGTGAGTAGGTTGCTCCTATCATTATCGTTCGCATCATCTGACAGAACACGAGGGTAACAGTGTTGATCTATTCGCTATGAATGATGCGAATGCTCAAAAAGTAGACGATGCCGCTAAAACCAGGAAGCCTGAGCCCTGCTATTATCCAACCCAAACACCTAACCATGTACAGTCGTTCATACCGTAAAGAAATATTGGCTCTAGAGAGTCAGAAGCATAGCAGCGACCAGCGCCACTACGAAGCTGATGGTGGCACTACCAGCGAGCTTGCTTCCGGCGCCGCCATGGATACCAAGAATCTCAGCCTGCCTTGAGAAGGTGACGTTCTGCTGGATCGACTCGTTCAAGCACTGTCCATTGGCGATGTCCAAACCTGCCAGATCGTCAGGTACATGGAAGAACATGTAGCTGCGGTTGTTCAAGCCTTTGAAGCCTTCAGTGTTGTACGGGAACCAGTCGCTGCTGTCGGTGGACGACGTGTTGCGCAGGAAGATACATTGCACCTGGTTGGGGTAGTCGTGGGCGAGCTGAGGGTAGTCCTTCATAACATCGGAATTGGAGGTGTCGGCGACAAGCACGAATTTTCTCTGAGGGAAAGTCACGAAGATCTTCTGCAAGAGGTACATGCGGATGGACAGAGTAGCCTTGACGTCAGAGAAGTTGAGGGGTCGTGTGTCGAAGGAACCGCCAGGGTAGGTCTTGTAGATGAAGTCCATGTAGTTGCGAGTGGCCTGCTCGGGGGTGGTGGTCAGGTAATGGAAGTGCGTATTGTTGGGCAGAGTCTGCGACCAGTTGCGGTAAATGTCGGGCATGTTCATCCACTGGGTAAAGTTATGGGCGAAAGAGTTTAAGAGACCTTCTTTAGGATCGTAGATCTTGGTCACCCTGAGGATGTCGTCAATGTCCGAGATGAAAGTGATACCTGTGGGAGGAACAAGGAATGCGGTGGCATTGCCAGTGTTGGTACCGTTGGTGTGGACGTTGAGGCGCTGCACGTTCTCGGTCTCGTTACCGTTCAGAAGACCGTTGCTCTGAATTGGCACGAAGACATCGAAGTCTCCTTCAGGGGTGGTTTCGTATGGCAGTGTGATGGTCTGGTTGCCTCCGGGCGGTGTGATAGCATTGCCGCCTCCGGGCTCACCATCACCACCCTGCATGGGCGCAGGCTCGAGTGTCATGGTAACATTCTCATCGCCTTGCTGGACAACGAAGATCGATCGTGTAAGATTACGAGCGTTGGCCTTCTCGTCGTCAGGCAGCTTGTCCACGCTTGTGTCGATCAAGAAGACGTTGGCGAGATCATCAATCTTTGACTGCGAGATGTTTGGAATCTTGTAGACATTGCCGTGGAGACGTACGTTCCAACCCTGGTCGGTCCAGTTCGCGTACGGTGGGACGTTGAGGACTTGAGTGGGTATCGCAGCAAGGTCGTCATCACCAATGCCCAAGCTTGACATAACATCGGTACCGGTCGGGAGATTTTCGAACCAACCAGGGATGCCTACTTCGGTCAGCACAAGCTTCTACTAGCGTAGCCTATACCTAAAGCTTACCATCAGTGAAGAAGCTCGGCAGATCGGTTCCAAGGACGCTTCCCCAAGACTTGGCTACACCTTCAACTCCGCTTTTGATATCATCCAAGATGTTCCGTCTCTGAACGTAGCTGTATCTGTCGTCGAACCGGATCGCCGCGGGAGTCACGATGGGTGCTCGGACTTCGACCTTTGCGGGTGCGGCAGTTGGGTCTGGCAGAGTTATGGCGTGTGCGAGGCCCAGAGTCGCGCTCAGCAGCAGGGCGCGCTGCGAGCTTCTGTTAGGGACCATGTTGTTCTGTTATTGTTGATAGGGGCAACCGGGTACAGTCGCGTGCTGATCGCGTGCCAATTGCATGAACTGGTGGACTGTACTGCTTCAAGCAATTGACTGAAGGATAGGAGAAGTCAAGAAGCAAAGGACCGACGAGATTGATTGAAATGTAGAAGGTAAGCGGCGAGGACTTGTTTTATCGGTATGTCGTCTAGCAAGTTTCACATAACGGCTTGTGTTGTGGCTGCAGTATACTATGATGTCACTCCTGCCGTTTAGCGCCATCGAAGCTTGTTTACGACACCCAGAAAGGCTAAAGCGCCCACATCGAGTCCGATCTTGAGGCACCACACTGCCACACATCATGCACGCTTGCATGGTGCATTCGCGATTCGGAATTCGCCCGAGAGGCCAAACGAAATTTTGCGGGAAATGTTTGGAAAGCTTCGTTTTGGCAAGACAGACCTTGGGCGCATGGGGCGGCAGGGTAAATCAGGTGCACGTGCCATCTCATTTCGTCTCTATCCCTCGAGTCGTTCCCTCAAGTCTCACTCCGTCGCTATATCTAAATACATCAGGCCTAATATACCTTGACGTCGCGTTGGCAGTTTTATATACCTCAGAGAAATAGTAGTTAAAGTACTCCAAGAAGACATACTTTGGCTCGATCGGAGTTCACTAAACGTACAGCAAATGCCAAAGGGCTCGTGCAAGCAGAATGCAGAGTTCAGAGGTCAATGAGATCAAGAGGGCATGGCTTTAGAAATCACGGACCATCGGGGCAATGGGATGTCAATACTCTACAACTTCTCGATATAGCTCTCCAGTTCTCGGGAATGTAGCAGGATCGGCCTCCGGAGTCAATGTACTGCTTACAACCCATAAATGACCCACATTTGAGCGATCGATTGGTAACAAAACCAAGAATCGAGTGATAAGTAACGCGGATGGGCCTCACATTAGCGTACTATGTCCTGTTGGAGACGCTGAACCCAAGCCCAAGCCGAAGACGACAAACCCCGCTGCTCCTAAGACATCGAAGGCAGTCACTCCTCCAAACACGTCGAAAGCTGCTACGCTACCCAAGCCCTCTTTGTCCCTCAAAGCTTCCTCCACCAAGTCGTCGTCCAGCGTAGCTGCGTCCACTACCGCCAACTTCGCAAACAAATGTGCCCAGATTGGTCGTCGAGACACGGTGGGTCAGCTTCCCGAACGTCGTGACCTCGAAGATATGGGCTCTGTAACTCGCGACCTGCATGATCTAATTGTCAAGCGCGGGGCCAAGTCGGGGACTGGTTGCGACATCAAGGTAAGCCTCAGAAGATCAACTTAATAACAAAAGACTTTGACTGATTGCCTTTCTCCATTGCAGCTCACCGCAGACAACTATCCTTCCTATAGTAGCATCAAGACTGCCAAAGCATAGGGCTGGAAGGTTCCAGACCCTTGCTCCGACTACACTTGGGGTGGACCTCTTGACAAACAGGCGCTGAAGCCCCTTACCACGTACGAATCGGAGCACATCCTTGCATGGCAGACAATCACTGGGTTCCTAGACTATGTGAACCGATTGCCGGCATACTAGGTCAAGGACGATAACGGCGTTACGAGGAAGACCTACAATTTCTTCACTCATCCCGTTCCGGCAATGAATGGCAAAAAGGTTGACTTTTGTCAGTACTCCAACGCTACGTGGGCACCTCTAGAGAACGATGTTACGTTCACGGTTGGAAACGGCAGGAAGCTGGCTCCGCGGAAAAGCATGGCAGCCGAGTAGCCCAGTAATAACAACTACAAGGACGAATTTATCCTGCTGTAGAAGAACACAAATGCGCTTACCAAGGCCAACGTAAGCGAGTCGCCCCCCTGAGTTTCGATGTCGCTGACACATCATTGTAGTTATGGAACACAGAAGCGATCTACACCGATACGAAAGTCTGTTGACAAGAGACGTGAGACCCTCCAACGCGTCCGCCGCATTATCGGTGCTCCGAGGTACCATACCCACGCCGACATCCAAGCGACACTTAAAAGCAGAAAGCGCGTATCAGCAAACGGTTCGAAGCTATCGAGAAAGAGCTACCCATTAACTCGCGCAACAGCGTCCACAATGGCCAGCCCACTCCTTTTGCTGCCTATCAGGTCCAAAACCTGAAGGCCAAGTGGGTCACGTGTATGGATGGCATGTTTGACAAGGCCAAAGCAAAGGCGAAGCATTATACAGACGATGGTATCCGAGAGTCTGAAGGCGGAGTTCTTGATGGCAAAGAGGATCCAGGAGGCCAAGCCTGTTGCGAATGATGGTAAGGCAAAGAAGGAAGAGAAGGAGATTTTGGCAGATTTCCAGAATAACATCAAGGACTTGGAGGCATCGTACAAGATGGTCGCTGATTGGAAGAAACCTTGGTAAACAGGTTGGAGGATGATGTGGGTTAGGTGTTATATGGACAGGGAACAAGGCGATCTGGAGCCGTATTATACTTTAACACCCTATCAAGATCTTCCATGCCATTTGAAGAGATTCTCATCATATTGTAAAGCAGCCTGATAGAGATTTACGACTTTCCAAACTATCGAAGCGATTCAAGGCGCAACTGTAGAATAATCTTGCCTTCATAAAGGGCCTAAGAACTACAACGTATTTTGTTCATAACGAGTAATCCAGTGATACTAGCTGGAGACCTCCAGCCGTCACTATGGAATGAGAAGGGGTGTGCTACGTGCGACTCATTGAAGGGGGAAGATTGAATGTCTGCTCGTTCACCCTGAAGGGACGACACTGCAGATTCATCTCTAGATGAATACCGATCAAGCGGCAAGCCGAATCTATCCCAGAATGTTCATGCCAATGAAACAGTTTTGGTGGACCAGACAATCGCCATATTGCGGATCGCTCCAATATTCAATCAGGTCATCTCCATGGTCCCGTTGCCCAATGTCCTTACACAACGCGTGTAGCGTAGCATCCGGGCGCCACTTGGCAACGCTCCACCAGATCTATCGTGAAGCCGAATAATCTTTCCATGTCCATAGATACCAGATTCTCTCTCCTGGCCGAAGGTATTGAATGCCGAATCCAAGAGGCTGTCCGGCTCCTGGCGCATGGATGAGATCCTCAGGCTCATAACGTACTTCTCGCTCTCCGAGCTCCTACATCACATGGGACCAGAGTGCTGCTTCCTTCAGTTTCGACATCGTAGCAGATGCTTTTACAAACGAGGTGAAGAGTGGGACGAGCTTTTCGTCGATGGGAACGACGCGGAATTCGGCCGGCCCAGTAATTGACCATCGGTCGCCCTCGTCCTCTAGACGGTGGCCGAAACTCTGCTCATCTCCGGTCTCTTGGAGAGGAGGGTAACCGCTCTAGATGATTTGGTAGCCGACCGTATATGTATCTTCTCCTTCCGGCCTTTGGAAATACCAAGACCCAGAAGGGTGGACAGGATGAAACATGACATCGAGGCACTCAATGTTGGCGAAACAGCCCAGATACCCATTAGAAAATAAGTTCTCGTCTGCAACCACCCTGAGCAGGGGCTTGCGGAGGTTCTGCACAAGGAGCTCAATACTGGAGCTGAAGGGATCTCGAGTAGCTGGGCTGATGAGGTCAGGCATCGAGCGTCTTTGGTCATGACCTTCAATTTCGGACAGTGGGTTGAGAAAGTCCAGCCGCAACCGTCTCAAATTTTTGGGCAGAATGATGTTGTTGAACGCCTTGGTGAAGTTGTGGCGTGGGTCGCGTTGGGGTCCAGTGTACTCACTCTTCCATGAAGTGCAGTGCCACCTCATCCTCAAATGAGGGTGTCCATTCGTCTCCACCGATATTACAGCCAAGATACTCAAGGTTGGGAAATTGGTAGCCAGATCGAGGAGTACACGGTAATTAAATTTGAAGAGCGTTCTATTGATCTTGTCGATTTTGTTGACTGCTGTGCCGTGAAATACCTCAGAAGAACGAATAGACTGTATCTCCGGAAGCGTAGTAGCGGATAGTAGATGGACACGCTAGCTGAAATACCGGCGGTGCAAGCACATCTTACTGTCGATCACTTTTGTGGGAGTGAACATTGTAAGTCGTATTCGACTAGGGGCACATTTTCCCGCGCGCTCCTCCGCAGTCTTCAAAGTCGTGAAAAGGAATTGGATCTGCCGAGAGAAGTTCTCGTCTCTCAAGCGGATGTTAGTCTCGGTTTCTCGACACTGTATCTTCTCTTTCGTCAGCCTCAAGGCTGGATGAGTAGGCCTGAACTCCACCTGGCAGAGGTAGAGAAGTCGATGGCTGGTGTAGGTACTGATGAACTTTTGAGCAGTGGAGGTGGTTAAAACTCTCCTGGTGAAGATTTCAGAATAACTCTCTGACAAGAATTGGAATTTCCGGGAGAACAACAGCGTAGTTTTCAGGTCTCGGACATCGAGATTGCGACAGATTCGATCCACCAGTTCTTGCAGGAGTTGGTCCATCACAATCTATGTGTATTGAAGCGTCTTCCATAGTCTTAGACTCAGATAGGACGTTAAACCAATCAATCAATCAATCAATCAATCGCCCTATCCCACAGATCATGAGTGGAGCTTGATGCCCCATCGTTACCGAACATGTTTCGCGAGAGACAACGTGTGCAACGCGTGCGGTGAAGGAACTCTTGAGCGCGATTGAGTCGCCTAGGCTGAAATTGGACTGATCGAATTTGTCTTCTTCCAGGGTTCGAGCGTCGCTCATCCTCCGCTCTACACAACACATACAGATTTACACTTCGAACATACGCTTGCGTTTTTGGCTGAATATCTGAGAAACCAGTCTATGCCGAGAGTATTCATGACTGCCCCGCAGTGCTGATGTGGCCTAGTGTAAGCCTGCAACCCGGCTTCCGTCCCGGATATCCTCTGTCGACTGGGCAGTCGGACAATTCATAAGCACCACTTGAGACCGTAGAGCAATATCCCATCCATACGTCCTCTCGCCCAATATTGAGCAATAGGTATCTGATACCATGCCTGTACCATTTGTGCGACCTTACGATTCAGCCCGAGATTTTGAGAACGGTCTTCACGTCGTAAGTAAAGGAATATTAGATTTGACAGCCTCCCATTCATCACTTTAGAGTTCTTCGTCACGATCGAGCCCACATTGGATTGGGAGCCAACGCGTACAATTGGTTCTTATCTCTGGTACAGAGGTTACGTGAGCCTCACACCCGCTACTTGTTTTGTGCTCGACGATGGGAACGAACGCGCTGTAGGCTATTGCATTGGCACAGCCGACACGACAAAATTTGCAGAAAGATGGCGGCAGGAATTTGCTCCCACAGTGGACCCCCATCAAGTTCCAAGGCCTGATGTTCAGACTGAAGACCCGTTGATGGAGAAGGAGGAGACCAAAGGCTTCAGACATGCAATGCACCACGCTGAGTGCAGTGCTCTACAAGCATGGCCAAGAGAGCTGGAGAGGTACCCGGCGCATATGCATATCGATATTCTGCCCGAGTTCCAGAGGAAAGGGTGGGGTTCGATTCTGATCAACACACTGTTTGATGCAGTGAGACGAGAAGGCGCACCTGGAATACACTTGGACATGGTCCGGTGGAACACAACCGGCAGGCGCTTTTACGAGAAGATTGGTTTCAAATCATGCTCTTTGGTGCTAGACAATGGGAAGAGCGGAGAGACCGGCGTGAACGATGTGGTTCTGACGTTGGTGAAGACATTGTGAGCTATCTTTTGCACTACCGTGTCCGTGCTCGCAATGCGCATGTTCGTGCAACGCGCAACGCGCACCCATTATCAACATCACCACTTTGCAAAAATGAGGCTGTAGAGCCACACACAAAAGCTATTCTCGTAAGATTTCTTGGTGGAGTGTTCTATAGACCTATGCAACAAAGTTCCTCTATAACATGTTTCATAAGCGAGTCGGCGGCCACCCAAGCGAGTCGGCCACCCAACACCGGCAACACGCTTTCGCAACGACGTTACGCAACACCACGCTATAGAACTATAGCTTGCAAGCTTTTATAGTGTTACTCAGAGTCTTCGCTATTTTCTGCATTCTCTATTTCTACCTTGCAGGTGCGGGAATTGTGTCCAATTTCACCGCAACGCCCACAGCGTCCTCCTGTGCGCGCCCTCTTTGCAGTTGTCTGTTACGATCAAAGGGCAACCCGCAACAACACTGAACGAACAGGACTATGCAACGATACAAGAGGAGCCGAGGATCTGTAGTATTGATCGACCCGAACAGTTAGGCTGCGTCAGTATCCTTGGTACGAACAGTATACTCAGTACAATCAATATGCTCGGTACGAGCAGTATACTCGAAACGCTGAGTATACTCATACTAACATTGTCACGGTCTAGGATGACTCCTGCCTGGTGTACTTCACCTGCCATGAGGGTGACTGCTTCTTTGCACTAGCGTTGTTTACTGTCGCCCACCTATACATACTGTTTGTAGCTTCATACAATACAACCCCAGTTCAATCCTTCGATTTTCCCTGTCTGCGCACTTTCCACGAACCGCAACAAACATGCATACTACAGCCACTAAGCAGACTCTATGAATCTTCTTGACCTCTCAACAAATGTGTGAACCCGTCAGGTTGCCGTAGGAAGCTGTGACATTTTCGATAGCTGTTGTATTACTATGACGTAGAAGCCAACAGACGTTGCAGGCAAGAATTTGGTATCCGGCAGAAGCTATGTAGTCGTCGAACGCATCCAAATGCCAGGGAAAAGCTGGTCAATCTCTCTCTCGGAACGCCAGGCTCCCTTAAAGGCGTACAGTGAAAGCGAGCGATCTAAGCCGGCTACTGCGAGAAGACCGGCGCCAACGGCTAGAGAGCTCTGCGTCATCATACATTGTGGTGATTGTGGTCTTTGCCTACTGATGAGGTAAATGATGGTGTAACAAATGAGTGTAGCAAGCGCGTCGTAGACGGACCTTGAAAAGCGGCGTTGGCAACGCGCTTAAAACGACATGCGGAAGCCGCGTACGGAGTTCGGAATTCGAACGCCGGCACCTACCTTTGTCATCGACATCGACGCGACCACAATCGATCGATGTCGCCAGCAGATATGCACGCAACAGAGATCATTGCAAAGAGATGATCTGAAAGTCTACGCTTAAGACGAGTCACGTGCGACAGCCACCGCGACCGCTCTACTTCACGACCCTTCTCGGCGCTAGATTCTACAGCCGCAACGAAATCACAATGGTCCGAGTACAGCGTTCTTCCTACCTCTTGAGCCCTGCTAACTAGAAGCAGACTGGCAATCTCTTCCCCGCTCGTCTACGGACGACACATATAGAGAAGCACCAGAACATGACATACCGCCGCAACGGCAAGTTGCAGGCGTGCGAGCCATGCCGAAAGGGAAAGCTTCGGTGTGATCATATGATGCCACACTGCGGGAGATGCTTGAAGAGAGGCAAGACCGACAAGTGTATTTACCACCCTGCGCCTCTGACAAAGTCGGCCACAAAGCGGTCACCACAGTCAGATCAGACTTTGTCAAGTACAGAAGGCAAAAGGACTTCGTACCAGCCTCTATCCGGAACAGGGCGCACATCTGTACCCGCAGCATACCTTGCACATCTCGAACGTACCGATCGCCCGACAACCTTTCTACCTTTCTCCAGCTTAGTACAGTCAGAAGGCAGCCTCACAGCGTCTACAGCAACCTCTGTCATGCAATCGCCAAGCCACCAGTCTGAGAGTAGACTGGCCTATATTGCAGCGCAGCAGGTGATAAAAGAGTCTCGCCAGCCGTCGGTAAATCACCTTGTCCGTACCGACGCACAGGGGTTTGAGAATGGATCCTCCTTCATCAGTCACTCTGCAGTGCTGGCTGAGAACGAACCCAACATTGGCCTTTCACCCCCAGAGTCCACTGGGTTCAGAGTATTACAGGCACATATTGACAGAGGTGTGACAGTGCTTTTGTTATTGAAAGACCTCTCGTCCATACAGAAGTATATTAACAAGTGGTTCTCATTCGCCGGAGGCGTTGTTGTCATTGAGCCTATGGTTAAGATCTACCTGGATGGGATATGGACCACGTGGCACAATGTCCTCGAGTCATCAAAAGCTGCGGATGTTCAGGCAATGTCTGCGCAGATCTGGGAAAACACTTCGAAGCCCTTGTCGCGGTTACTGAAGCGGGAAACAACCGCTCGCGAGTTCTGCGCGAACGTAACTGGCGCCGATCTGAGATGGGAAGTGATCGGTATTCTTGTTTCATTAGTGTCGCTTGTAGCGCAGTCTCTTAAAGGTACATCTTTCGCACTGTACCCTGAACAACCAGGCCGCTAATAGTGTAACGCAGACGGCGATCCTGTATTCTGCTCACACGACTCAGCTCCCGTGGATCGGGCTGCACTGGCTGTAAGCATGCACAACGCTTCCAAAATGTGCGTCGACTTCTGCGATGATCTCGGCGTACTCAACGATCTGTACTTATGGCTCTTGTATGAGAACTCTATCGCATATTGCTCACTACGTTCGCGAGGAGGTGAGTCACCCGAGCAACTTGATGTGGTTGCTGTGTGGGCACGACTGTGGTCGACGTTACTGACCATCTGCAGGTTACGATAACTGGAAGAAGACCTCCGCGTTCGCAGCGGCATTGCAATGTGCAAACCTGCACCAAGAAATCAAAGTTGACGACGACACTCCTTTCTTCATCGCCGAGCTACGCAAGCGACTGTTCATCTGTGCCTACAGCAATGATAAGTCGTCTGCGGTTTTGGCTGGACGACCACCGAAGCTAACTCGGCTTTATTGCCGTCTTCAGATACCACTCGATCTTACAGATGATCAAACAATGTCTGAAGGGCCTGAGTTACAAGCCGCAATCGCAGAACTAGATGAGGAGGGATGGAATCAAGAAGGGGCTGTTCAGCGTAGTACCTTTGCCCGAATCTCAGTGACGAACGCTCTGGCCACGGAGGAAATTCTGGAAATATCCCTAGGCTATCTACCTTACGAAGAGATTGTTCGTCGTGCTGCAGACATCGAAGCCCGGGCACTAAAATCCTGGGATGATCTACCAGAGTTCCTTCGCATCGACATCAGCGATCCTTGGAGCTCTCAACGCTCACCGCTCGAGCTGCTATTTCTCATCTTCATTCGACTTGCGAGTTTGGATCACCATTTCCTCTTACAGCGCACGTTGAGCAAGAAGGTACACTCAGGCTCGACGACCCCGAATGCGAGCCTGCTGTCTGTCTGTAGCGAGATCTTCAGAGTCGTGGTCATGATGGTGGACAACAAGGATTATTTTCGAGACTTCCAGATCGACTTCGTCCAGATCCTGTGCATGCACGGTATCCCTGCTGCAGCAGTTCTTGCAGTCGAGCTGCTCCACCAAGAGCGAAATCCTACGCCTGCTTCAGTGGAGACGTTCCCCTTACATCGATCTGATTCGATACAAAGTCTTTCGGTGTTCGTGTCGTGCCTGGGAACGATCAGACCAGATGCCAATGGATACCAGAGCTGCCATCGCGGGAAGACATTCCTGAAGAAGATACTGGACCTCATTCTGGGGCCAGGTCCGGCTGCACCCAGGAGCGATCAAACCGAGATTGACGGATCAGCCGATCCTACACTCGGCACATCTCTGTTCGAACCTGGGAATGATAGCGACTTCATGCGCTGGCTTGACGACGTACATTGGGAACAAGAGACGTGGATCAACTTTGCCTGAGCCAAAGCATGAACGCCGGCCACAACGAACTTAGACCTGCATCAGCGACAGAGCAAGACAGTACTCCTTCTGAGGCTCATTGGTGGTTCTTTTGGCAATACACAACTGCATCCGGAGACCTTGAACAAGCTGCGCAAAGTCGACAACAGTGTGCTCCTTATAACCCCAGCTATATTGTTCCTTCTCCTTCGTGTTGGCAGGAGAGACCTCATCTGTGTATGCAACCACATACATGTGAGCATCTTCTTTGACTGACAAGTTGTATTAGAGTGAACAAGGAGCAAGGTTTATACCTAGTTGAGCAGCCTGAACAGGCAGAGGAGCTTTGCAATTGTGGTGTTATTTATCATCTATCAGTGCCTGAATCTTGTTCTGAAGGTACTGTAAAAGGCTTCCCAAGTTTGCTCCCTTCTCTTTTGCCTTCTTCTTTCTTACTCATCGAGCACCACCAAAGTGATTCCTCTCATGTCTCTACCTCTCCCCTGTGCGTGCACTAATATCATGTTGAAGTGCCACATCAGCCATAGTCCCCCCTTTTGACAGTGATCTAAATGCCAGGAGTAGTGCGCATGCTCTCCAGTATCTGGATATTTGAGTATATTGTCTTATTCAGGGGTTTGGGGGCTTTCACTTTCATTAACAATCATTGAAAAGGCTTAAAATTTGAGTGAGTTATGGTAGGTATGAAGGTGGATGGGTTGAGGCATGGGATGGTATCCAGTGGGGTAGATTACCTCATCAAATTGATCCGACACGAATTATTGCACACCCTAGTGGCACTTTATGCCCGGTGTCTGCAGCTCATCTGCGGATGGCCCGAAATAGTTCACTGCGCTCCAGTCTTCCTTTGATTGGCTCGGAAGTTGGCTGTCTAACTCAACTAGGACAAGCTGCAAGATCAGCCGTGTCAAGTCGGCCCCAGCCTCGATGACACAGCTCGCAAGTTGATGTTGAATTGGAACAGGATGGGCCGCCTGAATGTTAGGATTACAAGGCGTAACCTTGATTATTGAGCTGTTCGCTCTCTAATCTAGATTACTCTCCTCGATATCTAACATTCCTCTGTCGTCTGGTTCACATTCAGCATCAATATCGCGCTCAAGCATGCGACTGTCAATTGCCGCCTTTCTGGCCTTCTTCTCTGCGTTTAGCTCAGCACTCGAAGTCACACCGGATTCACCATGTGCATCGAAGTGTATTGACAGAAATGACGGAAATCCAAGTTGGAGGAATCAGTCGCTTACGTTCAATGACATGCTCCCTTGCTACAACTGGGAATACTCAGGCAACAACTCAACCGCAGCCGCTCTCAAATTCGCCAGTTGCCAAGAATGCCAGATGAAAAGCGGCTGGCGGCATACATTTGTAGACAATGGTACGGAGTACACTGAGCAGGACACTACATGGTTCCTCTGTAAGTCTTACTGGACTCTCATGTGCTGTCGTCGAAAGCTTCTTGGATAGCATAAAACGACTGCCCACGGTGGAGAGCTATGCAGCCGCTAACGTGTGTCACAGTCAACAACAAAGGCGTAGTAGACTGGTGTCTCTTCGGCCGCTTCGAAAACGAAGAAAACAAGAACATTAGCTCGTCCTCAATTTACCAGCGCTGCAGCGACAGCTGCAGTAAGATTCGCTCGTCTATCGACTACAACATCAAGAAGGACCCAGGAGGCTTCGACTTCTGCGAGCACAATACCAACGCAAACTTCACCTCTGATGCAGAGTCGTGCGCAACGTGCTTGTACGCGAACGAGGACCTGACGATCTTGGGTAACGTCCTCACGACGGTGCAAGACATGTGTGAGAAGAAGCCTGGCAGAAACTACACTGTGCCCGCAAACGTCTCTGTGTATGCTGCAGAGCGGATCCAGCTCTCCGCAACTTCGTCCACGGCCTCGCCGACCTCGTCATCACTACCACCATCAGCCAACAATTCCAGCTCTGGCCTCTCGAAAGGCGTGATCGCCGGCATCGTACTCGGTGCACTAGTAGCCATCATACTAGTCCTCGGTCTCATACTTCTGCTTTTGAAACGGAGGAAGAACAAGGCCAAGGTCGCTGATGTCCCCAAAGGCGAAGGGAAGGCAGCACCGACGACACTACCTCCCGACTATCAATACAATTCGGTGCCAGTGGCCAACAAAGACCGCTACTCGTATGCGGCAGAGGCTCCAACAAATCAAGCACCTATAGAGATCGGTGGTGGCCGGGGACCAAGTGAGCTGCCAGCCGCTTCGACGCCTCCTGCTAGGAGATAGTGAGTGCTTTATCCGGTTGCGACAATACCTAGAAACATCGGTCACGAACGGCTTCCCAAATGATAAGGTCTGAAGATTTTCAAAACGTTCCAGTTGGTAGAATCACTTGTAATCTTCAACCTACATGCAAGGTAGCAATGATCCATCGAAGACAATTTGACTACCTCCGATAGTTCGAACCTTGGGTTTCATGTGGTTCCTCTTGTGTAACGCTCAGAATAGACAGTGTGTATGCAACTCCCTTATGCTCCATTTCTATGTCTCCCTCGCAACCCTCATGACATCCTTCTCTAGATGCAGTGCCCTGAAATCCACAAGTACGTCTGGCAACTCTTCGTGTCCACTCTCCCACTTTCTCCCCTTCGCTGCAACTCCGATCATGAAATTCTCTTCAAAAGCCTGGATCTCCACCCGACACTCCTTCATATGCGCATGCTCAAACCACACTTCGGCATCACTGATCCGCTCCCCCCACACCCCATGCGTACTACACCGCGCCGGCGTACCAGGTCTGGGCGTGCGAACGTGCTTGAACTCCAACTGTGGGATCCACGTAGCCAACAGCGCCTCGCCGTCTAGCTTAATATACGCTTCCTTATAGCACCAAAACGTATAAAACCTCCTCAACTTCGCATCAACCATCAAATCGCTGCTAAACGTCCGCTCCTCACCATCCGCCAACGTAACAGACAACTCCTCACCTCGCGAGCAACACCGATCATGCCGCCCCAACATCTCAGGTGTAACCATCGTGCCATCAAGCAGTGGGAAGGGAGAGACGTTGTACTTTATATCAAACGCCTCCTCGTGGCTGAAGATCTCAGCATACATATCCACCCACGCCTCAAACCCTTCTTCATCAATCATCCTCCCCTCGTTGCGCTCGTTCACACACACGATGTCGACGCCTAGCTCGGCATCCAGCTGTTCGGTCTTGCAGCCTACGAGCGCGACTAGCCCGGCTTGGTGGGATACGTTGAATTCAATGGGAGCCGGGCCGTGGAGGGGGGCGGGGAGGAGCGCACATGGTTTGCCGTGCTTGGGGTTGCGTTTGCGGCCGAATGTGATATCTTTCCATGGTATGCCTAGGGTCTTGTGGACGAATAATCTCTTGAGGAGGGCGGAGGCGAGCGACATCTTTGCGTCGGCGACATGGTATTTTCGGAGGATGAGGTCTCTTTCTTCACGGCTGATCAGGGTGAGAGCTTCTTTAGCCTGGTACGATGGTCAGTCTGATCCATTACCACAGCATCAACCCTTCCAAGCCTATCTCTTTCTTCTGGCAGTATGTAGTACAAAAGAGTGCATGCATACCGACTCCGCGATACGATCCCCTGGCCACAACGTCCGCGTATCCAGCAGCCAGCACGTGAGACCGCGTCTCTTCCCCGCATCTGGTTCTGCATCTGTCATGTCGAGTCGTAGCGCCGGACCATAACCCAAGGTTCTGCGCTCTTTCCCACAAGAAAACGTTGCCGCGGTGCTGTTATAAGGCTATTAACGGCAATGGAGGGGCCGAGTTCTGACACTTGCTGGACCCTTGTCCCCCGGAGAAGCACTCCGATTTGAAGGAAGGCGAGCGGCGGGCCCCAGATTTTTGTTATCGATAGGGAAGTGCTCTCCACACTCTCGCCGCATGCTGTATGACTCGGAAGCCTTTTGATTCTGTTGCTTTATCACGGGTACCGTCGAAAAGCGAATCAAGATGACTGTCACGATTCCTGGTTTTACAGTAGGCGTTCTCGCACTGCAGGGCGCCTTCAGCGAACACGTGCAGCTTTTGCGACAAGCGGCGAAGGAATTGAAGCAGCGGAAATGCGCAGACATCGAGTGGGAGTTCATCGAAGTACGCACACCACAGGAGCTGGCGCGATGTGAAGGCCTGATTATCCCTGGGGGTGAGAGCACGGCTATGAGTCTTGTGGCTGCGAGAAGTGGGATACTGGAGCCGCTGAGGGAGTTTGTGAAGTGAGCTCTCTTATGGAATCACGCTGTGCGTGCAGTACTGACTAGACTAGAGTGCAGAGGAAGCCCACGTGGGGAACATGCGCCGGCCTGATCCTGCTCGCCGAAAGCGCAAACCGAACAAAGAAAGGCGGACAAGAGCTCATCGGAGGCCTCGACGTACGGGTGAACAGAAACCACTTCGGCCGCCAGCAGGAAAGCTTCCAAGCGAGCCTCAACCTCCCATTCTTGGGCGATACCGCTGACAAGGGCGCCGACCAGCCGTACCGGTGCGTGTTCATTCGCGCACCTGTCGTCGAGAAGATACTGCCTCATGCGAATGGTGTGCAGACGGAAGAGGAGGAGCGCGCCGAGACGGTCGTCGCGCCAAGTAAGACGCCGGTCGATGAGCTGGCGAAGCAGCAGTTGAGTAAGGACGTTGAAGTTATGGCGACATTGTCGACAAAGACGGAAGCGTTGCAGGAGAACCAGGAGCATGACCATGCTGGGAAGGAGGATATCATTGCGGTGCGGCAGGGCAATGTGTTCGGCTGTAGTTTCCATCCGGAGTTGACTGAGGACCCGCGGATACACGTGTGGTGGTTGGAGGAGGTTCTGAAGGCGGCCGAGCGGAGACAGACTTTTGAGCTTGCCGACCGTACAAGGTAGGGCGTTGAAAGCATAGCATAGCGCACAGCATGAGCGAAGGCGTTCAGAAGACAGGCAGGCGTTCAGAAGACAGGCACTAGTTTGTTAGATGTAGAGTACCTAGACCGGGCATATCCTGTGCTCTTGCACAAAGCCCTAGAAACCCATGATTGAACGAACGACGCCAGACTCCTTCCATGCAGTGGTATTCCTTTTTGATCTCCATCTCATGCTCTTCTCATCGCTCGTCGTACTCATCCGCATACACCCTGCCGTAACCACCTCGTCCGGGGTCGTATTCGTCGCGGTACTCGTCGCGCACCTGGCCTCCAGACTTTCCTCGCCCGTACTGCCTGCCCTCGGCGAAGCCTTCGTCCAGATCGGTGCGGATGACGCGCTCGTCGAGTTTTGTGCCGCCGATGTACTTCATGCAGTCCAGCGCGTCCTGGTGTGTGTAGTACTCGACGAAGCAGAAGCCGCAGGGTGTCTTCTGGAAGCGATCAAGGCCCATGACGAGGCGCTTGATTTCGCCGCACCTTAGTGACGGTCAGTGTGTGACCTCAAGACGATGTTTGAAGTAGTCGAGTGTGGCAACAAGCTCAGACGTGATTTCGCTTTCACCTCAAGTGCAACATGTGCATCGGAGTGAGCTGGGATTAACGAAGATTGTGTCATCTTTGCAAGGGGGGAGGGGGGGGGGGCGGTGGAGTTCAGGGGAGGAGAAGGGACACGTACTTGGAGAACAGCTCGTGGATCTGCTCTTCTGTTGTGTAGAAGGATAGGTTGCCCACGTAGAGGGTAGTGGCATCCTTCAGCTTATCTTCAGGCTCAGGGCTGGGGCCCCTCTCGTCATCGTCGCGGTTCCTTCTGCGCTTCTATCAAGGACTATCAGCATTCGACTGGACGCCCGTGAATCTGCATCGGCGCACCTTTGCCGTGGCATATGAACTTGGTTTGTCCAGACGGTCGATTGTGCTTCGGAGCGCCGGCATTGTGATCAAAACTGCGCGGGGTATATAGAGAAAGTGTATGCGACTCGACTGGGAGAGTTGTTGAGAAGAGCGCAAGCGATGTTGGTGGAGCGAAAGTGTTGTGGTGGTGGACGTAGAGAGCTTCGAGGTAGCTGCATATGCCAAGCCTGCACGCGTCGAGCTTCTTTCACGGTAGCCCTCACTCTGTTTGCGCGCGCAGCTTCGCTCTCTCACCCACCACACCTACCAATCTTACCGCTGCATCCGAACAGAAGCGGTATTCGAGAGCTGGTCGACATGCCAAGAGTCCTCAGTTACACACCAGAGTGGCTCTCGCGCCCCAGCCCTGGCTACCATCTGTTTGCGCCTAAGCAGAGCAACGGAAATGGTACCGCAGCAAAGAGCAGGGATTTTGGCCCACGGAAGACAATCGCGACAAGGGGTTCTGAGATATTTGTTGCGGTCGGACACGAGATCAGATGGGCGGATCTGGTCAACTTGAAGGAAGGCGTCTCGCCCGCATATCGCTCCCTCAGAGTGTCGATACCGCTCCCCATCACACGACTCACCATCTCTCCCGGCGGTGCCTACCTGGCCGTCTCGACATCGCACACGGTGCACGTCGTGGCCCTCCCCGACTCCTCGCTCCTCGAATCTGGCAACGACGACAGCCCTATCAAACCAAAGACCTTCCAAGTCGGTCCCACTGCACACGTTCTCGAAGAGTCGCCAATCGCGACTACCCTTTGGCATCCCCTTGGCTACCATGGGCGGTGTCTGGTCACTATTACAAAGGCGGGAGTGGTGCGACTATGGGAAGTCAACCGTGCAGATAGGTCAACATTCAGCGAACCTACCCTCTCGATCGACCTCGTCAAGTTGATCAATGCGCAAAAGGACCAGGATGACCTTGGCGCCTCGATATACGGAGCTTCTAAGGGTTTCTCTCCGGATTCAGTGGAGCTGGAGGTTGCGTCTGCTTGCTTTGGAGACTTCCCTGAACAGGAGGGAGTGCACGGATGGGCGCCCATGACGCTCTGGATTGCCACAGTCATTGGAAATGTATATGCGCTGTGTCCTGTGCTCCCTAGCCGGTGGCAGCTCGTCGAGACACCTGGCGCGTTCACCTTTCTCCAGACACTGGCCTCCTCCATCAACATCAACTACACCGAGCTGTCAGAAAATGATGATGCGCCCAAGGACGATGTCAAGACATCGGAGAAGCAGCTGTCTTGGCTTTCTGACATCATATACGAGGAGCCTTTTGTTGAGGCGTTACCCGATGGTGACACGGTCAAGGTCTTCAATCGGCCGTCAAGCACGCCCGCAGTTCCACTTCTGCAGGGCCCGTTCGCAATCGCACCCCAGGTGGAGGATTTTGAACTCAGCGACATGATTGTGTACTCCCTCAAGACCTTCTCGGATGGCTCAGAAGAGGAAGCCGCTGAAGGTCTGCCAGCTGCTGTCGTCTGCCTGCTGACCGATACATGTAAAGTACATGTTTGCATTGACTTGGAGGGAATCGTTGGGCGATGGCTTCCTTCTGCAGAGGTACGTGTTGATATCATAGCTCTGATGAATACTAATCATTTCCAGGACGACTTCGAAGTCACACAAACCGAGCACGACCTCATCATTACAGAGACCATCCAACTGAAGGGCAATGGCGAGTCTACGTTCAATCAGACCATTACACCAGACGTACACACCGACTTCTCCTTCTTTGTCTCAACTGCTAGTGGAGTCACATACATATCCATGGAGCCCTGGATAAGGAAGCTCGAGAATGAGCTCTCCGAGCCACACACAGAAGGAGCTGATTTCCGTCTACAGCGTCTGCTTGGGTCAGCTAGCAGCCAGGTCACGCAGTACCTGGAGCGCCGATCGACAAACACCGCCGAACAAGAAGTCACTTCAGCCGTCATTGTTGATGATGGCAATGTTGGCTACATGCTTCTGACCTCAGTCAACGATGAGCCCCAGGCTGCATTGCTTGACGCCCCCGAGGATGGCGTTCCTTCAGAGGAAGAGCTTGCTGAGTACTTGGAAACAGCTGTGCCTCGAAAGGAGGTGCGAGAAGCGTGGCAGCCGCCTAAAGAACTCTACGAGCGTTTTGACCTACTCGGCTCGGTCAGCATCCCTGCACGACACAAAGCTTCACTCAAGGACGAGGTCAGGCTATCGCCTGCTAATCTTGAGTTGCTGATGGATGTTCACCGAGCTCTGTCTACGCAGACTGAGAAGCTTCAGAAAGCTGTCGCTGATCTATTCAACCGCGCCACACGCCTTCAAGACGAGTTTAGAGACCAAGTCTATAGGACGGCTGAGGTTGTACCGAAGATTGATGCTGTCATTGGCAACGATGAGGAGCCGTCAGACAACGGGTCAGTGTATGGCACCGCCCAGATCGACGACCGCTTGGAGCAGGTCAGAAAGAGGCAGGACGCAATAAACGCGCGCTACGAGAGTCTTCGCCGGAAGATGAACAACATTGGCTCGACAGAGCTTAGCGAGAAGGAGGCCAGCTACGTCGAGGAATTGCAGACGATGGACAGCTCTGTGGATAAGTCGAATAGGACGTTGACCGATGATGTCGATGGGAGCGAAGTCCCAGCGTGGCAGCGCCTGAACAAACTCAAGGAGCTCCACAAGACGCTGGCGGAACAGGTGGAAGATACCCAACAGGAGGCGCAGAAAGAACAAGCGCGTGCGGCTAGTGTGAAAGTACCGTCGTACTCACGCAGGCAGGAGAACGAGTACATTCAAGAGTTGCTTCAGCGCAACACTGCGCTTGTGGATGCGGCAACTACTCGACTGCGGAGTCTTGGCATATCTATACCTGTGGAGGGAGGGAATTGAGGTTAGTATCGGTGGAAAAGTTGGATACTGCATGTCGTCAGCCACACAGCAGCTATTTACAGATGTGCATGCACGAGGTGCGTCGCCAAGCTATCTTGTGATTGGGGTTGATTGGGGGGGGGGCTGGAAATGCGGAGTTCCGTATCACTGTAGGATATAACGCTGACAACCCAATACGATTCACAAGGCTACCGTATCTTCTTAACACATCCTTTTCACGAAATTCACAGTGGGATCATTTGCATACGTCATTTTTGTACGTACAATGTGTCGGCTCTGGGTGCTAATCGCTGTCACGATGGTCGTCGCGTCAGGTGGAGGTGAGACCGTCAAATCACCTCCCGCTCCTTCCATCCTGCATCCGTCTGGGTCATGATATTTTGTAGAATCTAATCTTAGAGCGTAAGTTCTGACTACCTGTCTCTATGGATGCTAATATGGAATCCAATACTTACTCTGCCAGTAACCGAGGCACACCATTGTCTCATCGACTCCACTCTGACAGCGTATATCGATCCTGACATTCCACAGCTTCGGCTTCCCCTATCCGTTTGCAAGGGTATCGAGAGTCTTTCGTCTGGTATGGAACGAAACAGCACAACTGTACCTGATGAATCAGAGCACGCACGACTGGTTCGTTTCAAGGAACACAAGCATATCTTTCCTGCTCTCCGTCCCGAGTCTCCCAGGGATCAATTCACCGGATTCATTGACGTGTTCGGCGTTCGACTTCCGCGCTGCTTGGCCGCTCGTCAAGATCGAGAGCTACTACTTTCCTCTGAGACGTGCAACGGGCATATATGTCCTTGGTCGGGCATTCCTACAGGAGACGCACATAATCGTTGATTATGAACGTGGGAATTCCACACTATCACAGGCTGCCCCTTGGACTGGCCAAGCAGAAGGTATCGTCACCATACTACCCCCCTTCAAAGAATGACACTTCAGGCACAGGCTCCACTAAACCCATTGAATCCAGTAGAGCTTGACTATCTGATGAAGCCTAACGGTGGTATCGGTGTAGCAATCTTCTTAGCGGTAGCCATCGGACTGCTTTACTGTTGGAGGACGAAACGCTGGCCATTTCCTTCGCAGAACGCAGAACAGACATCCGCAGCACGTCAAGAATACGGGAAAGCAGAGTTGCATGGTACAGTAGTACCACGGCACGCGGTAGGAGAAAATATGCCCACCGCCAAAAGTCCTTCACAACAGCACGCTTCGCCTGCAACAGCCCTGCTTGAATTAAAAAAAGTAAATAAGCTAGAACGTAGAGGGTTACACTGGCTTTCCTCCCAAGAGAAAGTAAACCCTGATGTTTTGTTGTTATTAAATTATAGACTTGCAAACAGGAGGCAAGGTGTTGTTGTTCGCAGTTTTGGGTAAGGGGAAGTAGCTGTTCGCGGTGGGCTTATTTTCCCGCACCGCGTGCATGGGTCGAGGCCATGAGGAAGGAGCGAGCAGAACTGGAAACCAAAGAACACAGGCACGAAGTAATTGGCTCAAGCGATGTATAGGGGGAGCTCCCAGGGTCGTACATGGTTCATGAGCTGGATGCAGGTACTTCGATGAGAGGAGCGGACGACCGTGTGGTGGATGACCGACAAGAGTGACGATAAGGCTGAGACAACTTTGATGTATGGGACATCAGCATCGCAAAATTACACATGGACTTTACAGTGCATTCTATGATCTTCATAGCGACAACACACGATTCAGCATTCCAGATCCATGAGATAAACGCTTCCCCTGTCCACGTCTGCCCCTCCTACCAACAACTCTTGACGCCGCAACAATAAAGAAGCATTCCTGCCCCACTCCTTCCTTGTCCGGTGAGTGCTTGAAGCGTGCTTCCCTTGTAGCCAACATGCAAAAGCAACCTTGAAATCGACTACTCTTGCCAAGCGTAGAGTAAGGGCCCGCCGCAACGGGCTCGCTTGCGTTGGCCTCGAGAAGTCTTCCCAATCAGGCACCAACCAACAAACCTTCCCACAACACTGCATTCATCTGGTATATCCTTGCAGTCACAGTCGCTAGTCTACCTGTTATCGAAATCTGTTGACAGTCCCCTAAGATGCCGACTTGTCAGCATGCCGCTTATGCTGACGGAGAATTCGTGCTACCATGAACGCGCAACGTCGATGATCGTCGACGCAAGGGTTGAGCTCCCTCTTTCACAAGAATTTCACAGCATCAAGGCGCGAACACTCAAAGAGTCACGTTTCGATCACACTATCACGTACCGAGTCGCGCGCGATGCAAACCCTCCTCTTTAACTGCACGAGAAGATCCACGTTTTCGACCTGACTTGGAGGTGGAGTCGGGCGCTTCGCACAGACCAGCAAACCGGCTACCGAAAGACCTGCAGAAGCCGCAAGCCCATCACACAAACTCGGCGAATCAGACCGCACACCTCCATCTCTCTTAGGGTACGCTATCTGGCCCGGCCGTCTTGGGGGCGGGAGCGCGAGGTGCATCCCGCAGCTCGTTGGTCGAGTCCCCCTGTCAAGCCAATATGCTACCTTAAAGCCTATTCGCGCAACTCTGCTCACAATGGCCGACACAGCGGATGACATGCAATGCCTGGCCAGCCAGCGAACGCAGAAACTGCGGACCCTTTGCAGAGCTCCGTTCGCTTGAGGCGTTCGCATTCTCGAATCGGGCGTGGGTCGCACGAGGCGTGGCCGTGAGGTCCCATAAGTGCTGATGCCCCCCGCCACCGCACGCTGCTGGCTTGCTTCGTGACTTTCGATATCTGAACCGTGCACCGGATACAAAAGAGAAGGGAACTTGCATTGATCCGATAGTCTTTCTCCTGGAATCGCCAACATGTTCCGTTTCACCGAACTCGTCTACCTCGTTGCCAGCTGGTCGTCCCTTGCTGCTGCGCATACCGTTATCGTGTACCCCCGCTGGAGAGGAAACAACATCCACACAAACGGAACCACGTCGCCAACAGACCCAAGCATCGTTCCCGGCTCGCTGGGAATCAACTACGACAATGGAACTTACGGCTTCCCATATGGAATGCAGTGGATGTACCCATGTAGGTCAATCATCAGAGCACCGTGCATCTGAAATCCCAACTAACATCAACCAGGCGGCGGCATGCCAACATCGCAGAACCGAACGAAATGGCCCCTGGGAGGTGGCGCTGTATCGATCCAACCAGGATGGTTCCCAGGCCACGCAAGCGCACAATTCTACATCAACATGGGCTACGGCAACGAACCGCTCAACTACTCGCATAACATGGTGCCAGTCTTCCAAATCACCGGCCCTTCAAACCAGCAATACGACGGTACTTTCTGCCTTCCGCAGGTTCCGCTGCCAGCAAACTACACACCGAAGGTCGGTGACAATGCGACAATCCAGGTCATTGAGACGGCGCAGCACGGTGCTGCATTGTACAACGTGAGTTCGATGCAGGACTTGAGGAATGAACATCACGACTCACAACGATTTAGTGTGCAGACATCACGTTCGCCGAACCCCAGGACGTCCCTGAAGTCAACTCATCCAACTGCTTCAACAGCACATATCCCGGCCAGGAAATCGGCTTCCAGATCGTATACGCCACAACGAGCTCGCCAGCACCACACACTATGGTCGTAAACGGCTACGCATCGATCGCAGTGCCGCTGATGCTGGCCGCGGCATCATACATTACGTGGACATAAGCACCACTTTTGTTTCGGTTTCACTTTGGCATGGCGTTGGGCGCATTCGATATCCAGTCCTTTCCCGCTTAATCCGAGAGATTTGATGGCGCGGCATTAGTTGTCAATCGTCAGCATGCAGTCAGGCGTGCGGTTGTAAGCGTGTGTAGAGCGCTTACGTGCGTGTATGAGTACTACAAATCAAGTTCATACCACTCAAAACTACGAGAGGGGCTTAGGCAGTCAGTGTGACAGGAGCGGCATACAATGAATCAGCATCAACAAATGCTCAACAAATGCGTCAGTGTCAGCTCCCCAGATAGAAAATCCTCCGCAGGTTCCGGCATCTTACGGCTCCTGCAACACCATCGACACCGACAGTCATCCACTTGGATTTTTTTGATGAGACTCTGCATGATTGAAACAAGTAATTGCCTGTAGCTGTAACGACTAACGACTATGGAGCGGGGTAAGAATGGGATACAAAGGAGTCAAAGGAGTGTCATGCCAAATATCTGGGTATCCTTCCATAACGCCTACCATGCAAAAGATGCAAAAGATGCAAAAGAATCCATGCTCTGTCCTCTATCACTCCATCACCACCTGTGCTGTTTGCGCTCTCGTACTACTTCCAACATTGGTCTGTGTTCCCACGTCTTGCCTCGCCTGAGGCGCCTTCTTCTCCCCAAAGTTGTGCAACCTCTCTCCGATGAGATACACCTCATCTCTGACCACCAACCTCCACCTCGTAACAATCCTTGCCAGCACTCTGCCCGCGAGCATGAGTGCAATGCTAAGCCCAACAGCAGGAAAACTGTATCGCCACACCTGGTTCTTGGTAGCCTCGCTCGCGCCGCGGTAAAGTGTGTGACTCGTGCTCCAGGCCAAGGAAGCAGGGACCGCGACAGCGATAGCGAAAAGCACGAGAGCGGGTAGGATGAAGCAGCGCGTTGCGATCTTGGCGTTGGGATATAGATATCCTCGCTGAACGACCTGAGTAAATGCTTGCGCGGGTCGAGTATTGCGGTTTGCGAAGATGAGACGTGCGGCGAACCGGGAGTACAAGAAGCCCAGCGTCCAGTCCTGGATCAGGTGGACGACGTGCGGTTCGCTGGGTCCCATCCAGGCGTGCAACGGCATCAGGAAGTAGAGTTCGATGAGAACGGCGCAGAGGAGCGGGATGGCGAAGATGAGTGATAACCATACGTAGCTGAAGCGGAAGACTGTCAGACTGACTCGGCTGGCTGTGGCTGCAACGGAGCGTAGTTGTGCCAATGGCGAAACGTTTGGTCGGTTGAGCGAAGCGACAAGCTTGTAGAGTTGGTAGCCGCTGTATGCGGCGCTGCCTAGCGTGTAGACACCGAGCGAGAAAGCGTGGATGTCATTCATCTCGACCGTGGAAGGCAGGAAGAGGGAGAACAGGTAGCGGCCGAACATGAGCGGGATGATAGTAACACTGATCCCGCTCACGCCCATGAAGATCCAGATTGTAACAACGAAGCACGCAATGCGAAGGCGGAACCAAGGCGGGATGTATACCATCTGCACCAAGTCTGAGTTGTGCACACCCGCATCAGTGTTGCCATCCTTGCGCACGTTGTCTTTGTCCACGTCCACGAAGACAGCTTGCCTCTTAGGCACACGGCACTGGTCTGAAGCAGGGGCCCGCACGTATCGACCATCAGGGACGAAGTAGGCATCGACAATACCGTCTCCGTCTGTCTTCCCGTCTTCTTTCCCGTTCTGCGATGTATTGATATCGCCCTTGCGACCAATGAGCCAGCCAAACCAGGTAGAGTTGACGTGGTGGCCTTCCTCTTCTTCGACTCGTTCGTTGAAAAGGAAGTGAGACAACCGAAGAGCACTGGCACACTTCTTGAACCACCATGTGCAGACCGCATGCAAGCCTTCTCCCGGCTTGTACGCCTTGATGATGACTGGTGTAAGGAAGTTGTAGAAAAGCAGGTCGAGCGGGAACTCCAATGATGGCGCCTCCGAAGTCCAGTGGATGGGTAACACTCCATATGTAACGTGGCTCAATGTCCACACGACCCCACCGAGGCAGACGATGACTAGTGCGCCATATACAAGTGCGCTGAACGCAATCTTCCGGAGTTGGGTGGTGACACTGCGCTCGAGAACGTCTCGAACCGGATGGAAAGTGGGGTCATCCGGATCGCGGATGAAGTATAGCACTCCCTTCCTCATGATCTTGCGGCACATGGAGACAAAGAGTGCGAAGTGGAACATGTAGCAGGTGCCAATAAACCAGTGTACGAAGCCAGCTGTCCATGGACTGCCGCAAGCAAATTGCCATCGAGAGTAGAGTGTAGCGTTCTTGAACAAGGGCAGCATGGCGAGGTCGAGCAGCAAGCCGCAGTACAGTGGGAATGCCAACATCTCGATGCTGATAATGAGAATCACCTTCAGCACACCGCCGGCTTGTTGCAGAATATCGGATATGATGCGCTCAATCTTCTGGCCTTGCTGGGATGAGCTGAGTGGAGTTCCACGTCTGAGGTATACGGCTCCAGCCATGGCGAAGAAAGTGTAACCTGCGAGAACAGCAATCAGACGGTCGTTTGCCGTCCAGTGCTCCAACGCAGACGTCGGGTCTTCGGTAGCGCCAAGGTCCATGTCAAGGGTGATCTTGTATGACTTTGATGTCCACAGCCAAGCGAGTAGAGAACTGCCTTTGTGAACGAGATCTCCTACGCCGCTTCCTGCGCGACCAATTGCCTTCCAAAGAAGTCCAAACGCTGATTCAGATTGCGCCTCTTCAAGAACAGAGCCAAAGGCATGGCTTGTCTGGTTCAGTGCGAACGATGTCGAGTTCTGGAGGCTTCGCAGCGCGGCGTGCGAGTTGATAGACAGCTTGAAGTAGCCAGGACTCGATGAAAGTGAGGACGCGTGAATCGCCTTCATGATACGGTCCGCAGCATTCCTTGTGATCGATGCTGCAGGTACAGAGAGGCTGCGAAGTGACTGCCCAAGATAATCAGACCCTTCGCCCTTGGTAGCTAGCTTGATGATCGTCGAGGTGAATCGGCAGACCCAGTACGCGAAACCTGCAGCTACTACGAGCGTGAAGTCTACCAACAGATCTGTCACCGTGGTGATGACCTGTAGAGGCAGCTTGACGAAGAGCGATATGGGGCTCCCCATAAACAAAATAACAACTTTACCCCATAGGTACGGCAGCCAAACAGCACAAGCTAAGGTTGCGGAGATCAGGACTGCACTGAAGAGCGCGTTCTGAAAAAGCCCTACAAGAGGTCCTTGCATGCCGATGAGCTCAAGAATACCCTCCAAGTCTTCTGCGTCCTCGATCGCTTCCTGGTCGTTGACGTCGATCCCGGCCTGGGCAGCAGCGGCAGCGACCTCAGGGTCCTGAATGACTGCATCGGCGGGCTCGAGGGGCTCATTGCCAGCAAAAGGGACGAAAGGTGCTTCTTCGTCAAGGTTGCGCACTACGTGTTCGTCGTTCGCGGCTCCCTCCACAGGCCGTGTGGCAGGGTCCGCAGGACCGTAGATCCAGTCCATGACCCAGTCTGATACGGATACTTCAGGCGCCTCTGCTGCTGCAGGACGCACGCTCGCAGCCACAGGCACCTCGTTCGGTATTGGAGTGTCTTGCTCCTCCGTATCAAGCTGTTCAACAGGAGTTTCGGCTGTGATCTCGACCTCCATCGTGGTCTCCACCCGAATGCCTTCTTCGTTATTTGCCGGATATTCTGCACTCGCTATGTCCATGTTCTCGTCCTCGTCATGACGAGGAAAGTTGTCGTCAGCCCTGCCTTTACCCTTGTCCTGTGCTTCTCGTCCTTCCAGCGCTTGGTCGGAGTCGTCTTCCACATTGACATCGGAGACTTGCTGCCAACTTCCACTGCTCCCTTCGCTGCCAGGCTCATTGTCAGAATGAATTGCTTCGTGTTCCCTGTTTGCTGACCCTTCGGGAGCCTCATCATCCCAGTTGTCGGGAACGGTATCACGGGAGGCGTTCTCCGAGGTTGATGGTACATTGTCGAATGACCAAGAGGTACCTTCCTCTAGACCGCGGCGTATCCCTGTCGCAATGAATGATCGATCCCTTGCAGGCATCTCCGGTCGCTGTGAAGGTCCAGAAGCAGCTGCATTGGTACTTTCGGCCGGCCCTTTCCGTTGCTTGGGTAGCCTGCCAGAGTGCGGTGGAAAGGTAGCGTCAGTAGGACCAAACCGATCCTCTTCTGCAGCCAAGCTTGCGTATGCGTCAATCAACGATTGATCGTAAATCATGCTGATCATGTTGACCTGCTCCTCAGAGAAACCTTCAATGACTGACGTCCTTCCTTCTTCAGTCGTTTCGGATTGCAGAGCATCTCTTAGCCGCTGCGGTAAGTCAGGATTCCCTAGCATCAGCTGGCCAGCCCGCTCTCGTTGCCTACGAAGGAATTCGTTAGGACGACGGGCTCCAAGCTCGATTACCCCTGCGACTGTGTTTGGGTCCGGTCCAGGCAAGGGTCCCACGATGGTTGGCTGGCCAGTTTGAGCGTCTTCGCCACGCTCAGCAACGTCCTCTTCCTGCTGTTCGGGTGCATGTTCGGCTTGCTCTTCCTGCACCTGAGCGGCAGCTCGATCGACGCGCGCAGCACCGTCGCCTCCAAGCGCTACCATATTGATAACCGGCTGCTGCTGAACGACCCATTCTCTGATGAGAAATATCAGGATGAAAGCGACGACGACCAGCATGGTAATGATCTGGCCCTCGAAGATATCGATCAAGAATCGATTCGCTGTCTGCGAGTTGAACCAATGAAACCAAGGAATTTCCGATAGAAGTGAAGGGCTGCGAAAGCCTAGAGGGTCTGTTGTGGAGTTGGATTCGGTACTGTTCGACAACGAGGGTGCAAATGTAGTGACTGGGTGCGGCCAACCGAGGAACAAACGCTTTACGATTGTCCACATGAGGGGTTCGTTCGCGGTGGCATTCTGTTGTTGAGCTGCTGGTGACATGGACATCAGTAGCTTAGACAGAGTCAAGTTTTGTGCGGTACCATCAGCCTTTGCAGCCTCAAGGGAGGAGCGAATCGCTTCCAGATCAGCCGGATTGGACATGATAGGTTTGATACGGTCCGCTGCCTCTGGCAGAGTTGTGTACATGCCGGGTGCCCAACCGCCATCGCCGACCCAGAATAGGCTGCGCCAGACGACTCGCATGCACCAGGGTAGTAGCACCAGCCAAACAGACGCCACCAAGACTCCCCTGCACCAAGTGAGAAACATGTTCACCACATGTAAAGCTGCGCGGCGCAGGAAGACGGTCGTGGGTATACGGTTCGGCATGCCGGGGTGATATAGCTTCGTGAACCGAAAGGACGTCTTGCAAAGTTCGCAGTGCTTCTTTTGAGTATGCGACAGCCACTCCATGAGACATTCTTGGTGGACGTATTTGATGCTGCCACTGCACTTGCAAGGGTAGAACAGCGGCTCATCAGCGGTACCCTCGCCGCGACAAATACGGCATGTGTCTGCTTCATCCTTGTCGGCCATGTTCGAAGTCGTGGAGCGGGTGTCGTGGAAGGCATCGTCATCAGTGCCGTGTGCCTGACCGAGGAGCCCCGCATCGAGGGGCCCAGCGTCGGTGGCCATAGTCTATGGCGGGGGTGGTGGAGGATGACGGTGTACGTTGGAGTGATCCTCTAGCTGCGACGTAAATGTGATCTTGTTCTGGCAGGAAGCCGCAGTGAAGTGGCTCAAGAAATCATTGGAAACGGACGGTAGTCGCGCTGGCAATAGACGATTGTCCTCAATGTATCTGCTGTTGACAACAGCTTGCTTCACTGGCAGACTCTGCGTCTCAGCGGTGGTAAAGCTGAGAGGTTAGGTGCGGTACTGTGGCGCAGGGATGACAAGACTAGGGGCGCTCGCTCTTCGGAACAGACGCGGAAGTCGCGATGTCGCCGCAGTCTTGGCGCCTGCCACTCTGGGCGCGTCGCTGGAAATGTGGGAAGGGAAGTAAGACTCGTGCGGGGTCCACCAAGAGGATATCACGCAATTCTTGGACCTGTCTACCTCGCTGGCTGGCACAGCCGTGGCCGTTCAGATGCAGACAGTGTCGTTCAGATGCAGACAATGCCGTTTAGATGCAGACAACGCCGTTCAGATGCAGACAACGCCGGTCAGATGCAGACAAAGGGCTGATGCGGCCTGCAGCGGAGCTAGGCACGCGATGCTGGGGCTGCAGCCAGTGATGTCGCACCTGGACAAGCATCTTGAAGCACTTCGCGCCTTCCTCCTGGGCACAGCGGAGACACTGCTGAGCTGCTGCAGGCCACACACATGTTGTTCTTGCGTTGTGCTTCTCGTGCTGTGCTTCTCGTGCTGGTCTAGAGCACCCTTCTGCCGTCTCCATTTCTTAATCACTGCGCCTGCCTTGCTGTTCCTGCCTGTTCCCGCGTCCGCACGTGCAATTACATCACTCACTTCCAAGATCGCTTGCACGAGAAAGCTCGGCCCCAGACTAGCACTTGGCAGCCATTACCTCCATCATCAGTCAATCACAAGCCAAGAGCCCTGTGTTTCCAGCAAGCTCTCCGAGGAGCGTGAAATCATTCACCGTGCGTGTCTCTGTCGTTCTTTGACTCTCCCCCAGTTTGTGCTGACAGCCACCATAGGTGCCCATAGTTGCACCGCACCCACATCACCAGCGATAAACGGGCCCACACAACACGCGAGCAGCCGTTGACCGTCTCTCCAGGTCGCAACACCGCGACCATGGCCGCCACACAAAGTAATGGCCGGGCCAAGAAGACGTCGAAGCCCAAAGCCAATGGGTATCTGAACGGCTCGGCGAACGTCGGTTCAACGAACGGCCATCTGAATGGTCACGCAGACAAGTCGCAGTCCTCCAGTGTCGCTGTGCGCCAGAGGAAACAAAGAAGAACGTTCACAGCGGCCGTCACAAGCATCGTGCTGAGGTATGCAGTCTCTTCTGTTCCCCTCGCCATCCCGCAGCAATGCTAACAAGCACAGGCTATCGATATGGTACTTCATCCTTACCGCCGCTTTCAGGTGTCCTTCCTCGTTGACACAACTGAACAACTCTTCTCCTCGTGTCTGCACTCCATACCTGCAAGCTCGTTCATACGCAACACCCTACCTCGACCCTTACTACCAGGCCTACCTTGCTCCCCACGTTGACAAGGTCAAGCCCTACGCCGACCGCTTCGAACGCCAGGTCTACACACCCGCTGCTAGCTTCACCAGGAAGCAGTACGTCACATACGGCGCGCACAGGGTTGAGCAAGCACAGAAGCAAGCTGCAGCCAGCTGGGACAAGACCGTTCGTCCACACCTTCAGACCGCCCAGGACGCGGCCCAGGCACAGTACGATGCTTATCTGGGGCATCACGTCAAGAGGGCCTCTGATGCCGCCAGCCCTTACTACAGTCAGGTCAAGGCCAGCTCGAAAAGCGTCTACCACAAGTCGGTCCTTCCTGCGTACGAGGCTTCCCTGCCGTATTTGCACAATGCTCGTGTGCACGGCCGTCACGTCATTGTCGATGTCGTCTTCCCTCACGTTCGTTCTGCCAAGGACATCACCTGGTCTTTCCTACTCCGCAACGTATGGCCCCAGCTGCGCGTCCTCTACGGCGACAACGTTGAGCCACAGCTGGTCCGTATCTCTGAACGCCTGGGCCGCTACCGTGACCAGCAGAAGGTCGAGTCTGTTGTCGACGCCGTCGAATCTGAAACGTGAGCCTCTGAACCCACTACCCTTGACTCCTTACTGACTGCTACTAGATCTACTACTGCAACCGAATCTGCCAAAATCGTTCCTACCGTCGCTGCATCGAGCTCCCGGTCCATCGCCTCCTTTGCCTCTGCATCCATCAGCTCCGCTACCGAAGCAGCTTCGAGCGTGGTGAATAGCGTTCTGGGTGGTGACTCGTCTAGTGCTACCTCTATCGAGGCTCAGCCTGAGGCATCGATCGACCCCAAGGATGCCGGTCTGTCTTCTGAGGAGCTCAAGGAGAAGCTCAACGAGGATCTCCGAAAGTGGCAGACCAAGTTCGCCGCAGCGGCTGACAAGGGTGCCGAAGACCTCGAGCAACGCGTTACTGAAATCACCAGTCGCCAGGTCGAGAAGGGCGTCAACGGACACGGCAAAGCCTTGATCGTTAAGCTCGAGGAGAGCGCAGACTCCACCATCGCCGGCTTGAAGAGTTTCATCAAGCGTACCGTCCAGTCTCTCCCCGAGGATGCCACCGAGAAGGACCTCGAGGCCGCACATGAGCAGTGCAGCGCTAAGGCCCGCGAGCTCGGACAGACTGTCAAGCAGAAGGCTCAAGATGTCCGCGAGTGGAAGGCTTCCTACGACACGGAGACTGATACCCTCGTACAGGCTGCTGTCAAGAGCACTGTTGAGGTCCTTGAGAAGATCCACGGTCTTGGTCTTCAGGAGGTTGGTATGCGCTGGGCATGGACTGACGGGGTGACCTACAAAGATTGGCAGAACTACCACAAGCTCAAGTCCACCCTTACAGAATGGCAAGCCGAAGTTGAGTCCGTCGGCTCTAGGCATGAGGGTCTCCGCGTTGCTCACGAAGAGGCGAAGCGTCTCGAGGATGAGGCTATGTCCATTGCCTCGAAGAACGTCAACGAGCTCGTCCGCCTCAAGGATGTTGCCAAGTGGAAGCTCTGGGCTGAGGACGCTACCGATGATTTCACAAACAACGCTGTACCTCCCCGCGCACGCAAAGCAGCCCAGCAGGTTCTGGACAATGTTGGAGACGCTTCGTCAAAGGTCTCGGAGGCAATCGTTGGCTCTGAGACTCCAGTCAGCGAAAGCGTTGCTTCTTCGATCAAGAGTGCAGCCTCCGATGCTTCCTCGAAGATGTCAAAGGCTTCTTCTAAGGTCTACGAGTCCGTTGTCGGCTCAGAGACTCCTTCGACACAAAGTGTACTCTCGCAGGCATCATCCAAGGCTTCTGAAGCCGTTATTGGCGGTGCATCAAGCATCAGTAGCGGCGCCAGCGAGGCTGCTAGCAGCGCGTCCAGCGCTGCATCAAGCGTTAGCAGTGGTGCGTCCAGTGCTGCTTCGGAGGCAAAGGATGTCGTTGTCGAGAAGGCCTCCACTGCTACCGAGTCACCCAAGAAGGTCTGGGGCGGTGTAGCTGCTCAAGTCCTTGTTGAGGCCCGCGAGCCTGTCTTTGACGATGTCATCAACGATGATGAGGATGAGACCTACTCTGTCAAGCTCCAGAGCATTGTTGCTGACGCTGGTGACCGTGCGTCAGAGCTGACAAGGGCCGTCAGCGAAGCTCTACTTGGAGCCACCAAGACACAGGGAAGTGTGGAATCTGCCACATCTCTTGCAAGCGAGCAGTACGCCAAAGCTATTGCTGCCGCTTCAAAGGCCTTGTATGGCACACAGCAGCAGCCTCTTGAGAGTGCTACTAGCGTAGCCTCTGTGAAGTTTGCCGATGCAGTCACCGCGTAAGTATTTTTTTCCTGACTTGGGCATGTTTGACGCTTACATCCTGCAGTGCATCTTACGCCATCTATGGTACCCCGACTCCCACTGCGGTTATCAAGACGGTGCAGGTTGAAGTGAGCTCACGCTACAGCAACGCTGTCAGCCTCGCCAGCGAACAACTCGAGAACGCCAAGTCTCAGCTGTCGATTCTCGCGTCTGGAACCAAGCAACCCGCTTACCAGACACTGCTGTCCGGTTTTGAGAAGGCATACTCTGATTCTGTGGCTGCTGCTAGCCAGCAACTGCAGGCTGCTCTCCGGTACACCGAGTCAGCGAAGAGCTACGCCGCAGGCCCGACTCAAGGCTACTTCGAGTCTGTCTCTTCGATTGCCTCTTCAAGGCTGTCCGAAGGTCTCAGCCAAGCTTCTGCTCAGTTCTCCACCCAGCCCACCTCTGGCGTTGACAGTGCTCGTCGCCAGTACTACGAAGCTATTGGACTCGCCCATGGCCGTTACTCTGAGTTCTTGGGTGCTGCCTCCAGCGCTATCCATGGCCCTCAGCAGGGCACTGCAGAGTCTCTAGCTTCAGTTGCCTCTGCGTCGGCAAGTGCCTTTGCTTCAGCCGCCTCGGTCTCTGCAGCCTCTGTCGCCGCTGGCGTTTCTGATACCGTAAACTCTGCTGCCGCAAATGCTCAGTCCGTAGCGTCGAACGCCCAGGCTGCTGCTGAGTCGTTGGCTTCTCAAGTTAGCTCAAGCGTCATTGGCTCCGAGACACCCTGGACTGAATCAGTCGCTTCTCAGGCCAGCGAAAACTGGGAGGCCTTGATCGCTAAAGCCAGCAGTCAAGTCTACGGCCAGCCCACACCTTGGGCTGAGTCCGTCTACTCTCAGGCTGGTGCGTATGGTGCACAAGCTACCGCAAGGGCAGCTGAGCAATACGCTGGCATTCAGGCTCTCATCTCTGAGCTGGTCGTCGGCAAGGAACCTGATTTCACCGAGAGCGTTATGAGCCGCTTCGCATCAGCATACTCAACTGGTCTACCCGCTGTCGTTGCCTCCGCTGAGTCGTACGTCAACGAGCGGTACGGATCTGCCAGCTCTTACGCCGGTGAGAACTTCGAAGCTGCAACCGACTACGCCGCCGATGCCTACGCCTCTGCCTCGTCGGTCGTCAGCTCCATCTTCACCCCACCAGCTGCTGTCGAGACCATTCTCAGCCAGGCCAACGCGCAAATCGACCAGGCTCTTGAGAGCGCCTCCATTGCTGTTTACGGAACTCCCAAGGGTGCGGCTGAGCAGGCAAGTGAGTCTGTTGCCAGTGCGTACGCTTCCATTCAGTCTCAGGTCAGCGAGGCCATCTACGGTACCCAACAGGCCCAGGACAGCTTCACCGCCGCCGCCGTCAGCGCTCAAGCCGCCATCAGCGCAGCGATCTTCGGTACTCCCACAGCTACTGGCTACGCCGCTTCAATCACCAGCGGTGCCTCCGACACCTACGGCTCAGTAGTTAGCGGCGCTGGAGAGGCATACAGCTCTGTTGCCAGTAATGCTGGGGGGGTCTACGACTCTGCTGCAAGCGGTGCGAGCGAGGCTTACACTTCAGTTGCTTCAGTTGCTAGCGAGAACGCCGATTATGCCTACTCCAAGATCAGCTCCGCCGTATACGGCCCCGAGCAGGGTGCTATGGAGAGTGCAAGCAGCAGGATCGCTCTTGCCGTCGAGGCTGCCAACTCGCGTATCAGCGAGATGTACGCCAGCGCATCCAGCAACGTAGGTGAGGCAGCCAGCAGTGTGTCAAGCGTTGCTACAGAGGCCACACAAAGAGTCAAGGACGAGTTGTAAAGAGTTACACAACACGTTCACTACCACAACACGATCAACTGGGTGCACGACCTCATGTCTCCAGGCACCTTACACTATCACCCACCCCTTTACGACCTCAGAATTGCGCTCTCACCCCGTCACGAATCACCAACCACGACGTCACACTCCTTACGCTGTACAAGTGCTTTTCCTCTGGTGTTCACATTGCTCTATTCCCCACCCGTCAGTCCCAGTTGAGCTGGATTTGCATCGGATCGAACGAGACATGGAAGGATGGGATAAGGTAATACCTATGTACGCAGCTACGATATGATTAGTTCTTTTGCTATCTTCTCGCGGTTCTTCTTAGCGCTTCTGGCGATGTAGAAATGAATATACCCTTTCTTCTGCACACGAACCGTCATGCTCCAAAGTGAATCTTCATGTTCACTTTCACCTCGGACTCAAGTTTTGCCACCCGCCCAGTTCGTCTCGAGTGTGAGAGTATGACCTCCGAGCATTACTCATTTCATCGCACCGCGCGGAAAGGCTTGCGGCAGCTATGGCTCTGCAGGAGGACACGCGGCCTTCAGCACCTTAACGAAGCAGTTCCTTCTCACAGCGATCCGATGTCGTCCTTACTCCTGCCTCCACTTCTGTCGCGTCTTCTCCAACCTCTTCGCGCCCTGGAACACCCGCCTCGGAAGTCGATGACAGACACAACTCCCCAATCCCAGACAGTAAATTCGCTTCACACTGGACGTCGCGAACCCACGTGTCAGCTCTACAACAGGAGCTCGAGCACGGCCGCAAGCGCGAAGAAGCCCACAACATCCAGGTCACCAGATACCAACATTGGGACGACTCTCTGCGCCAGTGCAACGAGGAGCTGAAGCGGAAGCTGAAAGAGTGGGGAAGGAAAAAGAAAGGGGGATGTTAGAAAGCTGGTGCGACGTCTCCCGCCAGTATGAAAGGAGTGTGCGAAGCAAGACCATGGGGTGAGACAGCCGTTTAGAGAATGGATGTACTGGGTGTACTGGGTGGCACTTGCTGCTCTCTCGGTATTTGTCGTCTACATGGGCATGTGCATGGTGTTTGTGTCCTACCAGGATCTTCTGGGAGCTCACAGAACGTCACCTATTCACAGCATCGAGGTGGAGGTAATCGCACGCAAGGTTAGCTTGCAGACGGCTGAGGGGGAGTGCACGGGTACTTGGGGTCAGTGAAAGTGGTAGGTCGATGCTCAGCGATTCAGCATCATGCATGGTTCGATGGGTGGTGGATCATTCCAATTCACTCGTCATAATGCAAGCGGGCAATCAATAACTCTCGTGATAGTGTTCATTGAGGTATCTATATACGTCGTCCCTCCATTATCCACCCAGTCCTGGTATCCATCGCTCATCTGTACACTGTACAATCTCATTCAATAGTCGTTCGCTTGCTGTATCCAAAACCCAAAACGCCGGTCATGCAATATCATCTTTGATCCTCCCTGAATCAAACATCTACGAGTCGCTGTCACTCAGAGAGTCACGACGTCCTCGCTCTCCGCCACGCCTGTAGCCGGCCATGACGTCGCGGCTACCACGCTCACGTTCGCGGCGGTGGCTGCTCGGTCCACCGACCTGGCTCACACTCTCGCTTACGCCAACACTGCCTGCCTGGCTGAGGCCGGGAATGTGGCAGGGGTAGGACATGTGGCCCTGGGTCCCGCCGTTAGCAGTTGTGAAGATGTCAGAAGGTGCGTAAGAGTTGGCAGTCCTGGAGCTGCGGTGCTTCTTCTGCGGCGACTGAGAAGTAGGGCGGCTGCGAGATCCTTGCGGGCGAGGACGAGACTGCGAAGTGCGGTCCCGCGACTGCTGGCGTGCCTGCGAGCGCTCGGCCTTGGGGCGGTAGTCAGAGTAGTATGAGGACTCGGCGGCTGTGCGGTCGTCCGTTGCTTCAGTGTAGGCGCCAGTGTAGACGGTGTTTGCGTCGTCGTCACCAGTGGTGAAAGAGTATGCTGCGGAGGGAGGTGCGCGACGAGCGTTCGAAGGAGCTTTGGCTGGCGAGGAGGACTTGACGGGGGACTTGGCGGGGGACTTGACGGGGGACTTGGGCGGCGGAGGAGCGAAGTCGCGGGTCTCGGAGCGGTCGTATTCAGAAGGTGCGGTGTACTCAGTGAAGGTGCGTGTGTATTCGGTGCGGGTTTCGACCATTTCTGGCATCTCGGAACCGACTTCAGAGCCTGCCTTCTTTGCCTTCTTCTGCTCGGCCTTCTCGCGTTTGGCCTCTGCCTTCTCGGCTTCCTTGCGGGCTTTAGCTTGGGCGGCGGCGGTCTTGAGGGCTTCCTTTTCGGCCGCTTTGGCGTTCTTCATGCGTTCGCGGGCACGACGCTCCTTCTCCTTGGCTTCCTTCTTAGGATCCCTCTTGTCTTTCTTCACGAGCGGTTTGCCGGAGACGTTGGAGCCCAGGTCGGAGGGTTCAGTGGGAGAGTAGTCGGTGTACATGCCATCAGCTTGACGGTTGAGGCCTCCAACACGGGCAGCCTTCTCGTGACGGTATCCATCGAGGTCAGGGTCGTTGTAGTCGTTGGTGTGGTCGCGGCGATGCTTCTTGTGACGTCTGCCATCACCACCCCTAAGGCCATGGCGTGATTTGCCCTCTTCAGCGTCGCGGATCTCGCTCATGTCTGCGCTGGTAGCAGTCTCGTCAGTGTAGCCAACGCTGGTGGGGGCGCCATAGCTGCCGCCGTGCACGACACTGCCTCCACCCAGCCTGGTGCTCTTGGTAGCGTTGGAAAGAGTCCTGCCGTCTGGTCCCTTGCGGCGCAGGACAGTCGATTTGTAGTCCTCCCAGTCGTCCTTCTTCCATTTGAACCCCCCGTTCTTGGCCCACATGAAGAACCAGATGGCTGTGAGGGTCATGCCCACGCCGATAAGGGCGAACAGCACTTGGAACCCTGGGCCAGCCAGGTCTTGGGCTGGCCGCGCGCCCGCTGCTGCAAGATTGTTGTATTCATCGCGCTTTGCGAGTGATTGGGCCAGGTGTAGGGCACGGGTGGCCAGAGGCGAGAGCGCCTGTGCTTGGGTGTCGGCCTCGAGTTCGGGGTGAGGCGCCATGACGGGCGGGCTCTATGGAATGTGGGCCCAGCAGACACAGGTGGTGAAATGTGTCAAACAACGAATGCAGCTAGTGAACTTTGCCAGAGCAGTTCGGGATAGAGATGGTGACTTTGGAATGTGTGGGGAAGAGAGAGCGTCGCTCTCGATACTTTGCTGAGATACTGCGTGGCTGGCAGCTGCACAACCTGGAGGTGGTTGGGGAGGCTGGGCTGTTTACTTAGCGCGTATCCACGGGTAACCGCGTTGCGCAACGTCATCTTGGCCCCGGCGTTGCAACGTGGATCAGCCAATCACCCACACCAGGGGAATTTTTCTTGGGGAGGCAATCATGTGACGGTTTATGGAGTAAGGAGGTCATGTGTGCCACGTGTTTTGGTGCAGTGTTCTTGCTCTTTCCAACAAGCACTTTCTACCCCTGGCTGAACAACAGATACGTCATGAAAACAGACCCTGATGACGGCCGGGTGAGAGGCAATCACAGAACAAGAAGAACAATGGAATATACTGATTTTTACTGCTTTGCGCGGTTCCCCCCCCCCGACTTACTGCCCTGCGCGGTTACACCTTCATTTATTGCATCCACTGCTCGTCTTCCATAGTCTTAGACTCAGATAGGACGTTAGACCAATCAATCAATCGCATCCACTGCAACAAATCAGGTCCCACGCGGCCACGCGCGCTAACATCCAAGTCGTCTCCCAGATGATCATCTCGGGGGCCACTGTTGATCTCGGCAGCAACTTCTCGCTCTGACATAGCCATTAAAGGTGCGATAATGCGCGAGAGCGGACCCCTCTCATACCCCAGTAGCCTACACACTGGCTTAATTGGGCAGGACCTCTCAGAGACACTGAGTTGACGTTCATCGGGCGGACGTCCTCTGCTTAGCAATCATAAAGGATGCGTTTAGATCTCGAGTCGAAGTTGACATGCAATGTCCGTGAGAATCCTTTGTCCTGTAATCGGCCAATCATAGCGTACACCCTTTCCCCACACTTGACAAGTGCAGGGCGCGATCCAAATGTAATTTGACAAAGAGAAGCGAATATTGGAGTCTACAGATTTTCAGGTTAACCCCGAACACGGTTCATCGGGACTATATAAGATGAATGCGCTACCTGCTGTCGGTGCACAATCAAACGATTGCGACACCGTCTTCACGATGAGCACGACCATGGCGACTGTGACAGAGGCTGTCGAGCTCCAAACCATCTCCAAGACTAACGTACCAGAGTCCTCAATTCGCAACGCAAGGCCATCTGCGGACTCGGTGCGAACAGTCGGTGGACCTCAGACCGACGGCATCTCCGAGTCGGAATCCTCGGGCCTGTCGGCAAAGAAGACGTCGAACCTGCAAACCTTCCTCGCCATCCTCACACCCTCCTTCGTTGGCTTTATTGCCAGTTTCACCAATGGAGTCATCACAATTGGCCTGCCTGAGATCGCACGCTCTCTGTCACTCGACCGCTCCTTGTACCTTTGGCCGTCTTCTGTCTATGGCCTGACATCTGGAGCATGCCTCTTGATCGCTGGATCCATCGCCGACCTCGTTGGTCCACGACCTGTCGAGCTTCTCGGTATCACGCTCATTGGAGTCTTCACACTGGCTTGTGGGTTTGCAAGCACTGGCAAGCAGCTCGTCGTCTTTCGTGCGCTCCAAGGAGTCGCGCTGGCCATGCACCTTCCAGCATCGGTTGCATTGATCTCCGGAGCTGTACCGTCTGGACGAGCTAGGAACCTCGGGTTCGCGTGCCTGGGCTTCAGTCAACCACTTGGCTTTGCTGTAGGACTGGTCATCAGTGGCATTCTGGTCGAGAAAGCTGGTTGGCGATCTGGATTCTACCTGTCTGGAGGCGCTTTGCTGGTTACGGCTGTCGCAGCTGTCTGGAGCCTGCCAAAGTTGAAGAAAGGTACCCAAGATGGGACTGTTTCACTCGTGAAAAAAATGAGCAAAGAGATCGATTGGGTTGGAGGCATGATCTCGAGTGGTGGCCTCGCCATACTGGCCTACGTCCTCGCGTAAGTATTCTGAGCATTCATACAAGCTCACTTGCTAACAAATGCCAGCATCCTCAGCGCAGACCTCACAACCATCCGCTCAGCAGAAACCGCAACCCTCCTCGCTCTGAGCATCGTCCTCCTCCTCGCCTTCCCAGCTTGGATGCGCTACCGCGAACGCACTAACAAGCCCGCCCTCGTCCCCAACAAGCTCTGGAAAAATATCCCTTTCACATCGACCTGCATCATGGTCGCCCTCTCTTACGGCGTCATGAATAGCATCGAACTCTTTTCGTCCCTCTACTTCCAGGAAATTCAGCAAGCTACCCCGTTGACGACATCCCTCTATCTTCTCCCTAATCTCGCTACTGGTGTGCTCCTGAACATCCTGGTGGGCACTTTTGTCCATAAGATTCCCGCTCTCTACCTGGTTTCTATCAGTGCCATCGTCTGCTCGATGTCCCCGCTGTTCATGGCACTTCTCAATCCGAACTGGAATTACTTCTACCTCGCCTTTTGGGCGCAGATCTTCGCTCCGTTTTCGGCGGATGTGCTGTTCACCGTTGGGTTGATCATCGTTAGTGACAGTTTCCCGGAAAGAGACCAAGCGCTGGCAGGCGCAGTATTCAATACCGTGGCCCAGTTTGGGATGAGCTTGGGAATGGGAACTTGTCAGGTTGTTGCGTTAGGAGTTGTTGGAAGTGACGAGAATGGAAGTGAGGGCGGAAGTGGACATGGTAGTAGTGCCGGCACGGATGCGCCTAGAGAGCTGTTGAAGGGGTACCGCGCGAGCTTTTGGACGATGTTTGGATACATGTTGGTCTGTGTAATTATCGCTGTTGTGGGTTTGAGGAAGGCTGGTAAGGTGGGATTGAAGAAAGACTGAGCAGGAGATGTGGTTCACACATGCTTCACTAGACTATGCAAACATGCCATCGATCACATTGTTTCCAGACTTTACTTCGGGGCTCAAAATATCATTACCCTCTCCCCATATTTGCCGACCGTCTCCTCACGTGCAGGTGGTTTCGCGTTCAGCTTCAGGGGTCCTCGCCGTGATCCCACTTCCCACTATTCAGCTTCAACATAAATAACTGCTCCATCTTGTCTGTCGCCATCTCGACACCAGCCCAGAACTTGTGATCGCCAAAGTAGCGATGGGTACGAGATCCCTCAGCCTCCAGACTCGATCGTCGAGGCGAACGTCGTGCTCAGGCAGATGTAAATCGTTGTATAGAGCGGACCAGGCGAAAAGCAGGCCAGCATTCAGCCCGGGGTTCATCGGGTTACGTGGATGACCGACGTCGTGTAGGTAATCAGTTTTGCTGTGGTTGATAAGTTTGACAAGTCTGTCTTAATGTTCCTGGGTTGCATGGCGATCGCTTCCTGGTCATCGATCGACCGCATGGCATCCATCCAGCCGGCGCAGTAGTCGTGCTTGCGCAGCAACTTCGCGATCTTGTAGAATTGTTCGGGCTCACCCTTCTAGATGTTAAGTGGCTCACCCATGATGAAGTGTCTATCGATCTTGCCGGCACTCCATGGGTTTACTTCGCCCAGCGGCTTCATCTACGCTTTATCGTACTCGTAGTTGATCGAGTGGGCCTCGAAAGTCTCTTCGCTGACGTTTCTTGGGGCAAGCTTGGCTTGAAGCAGCAAGGTCATTCCTCAAGTTTGAGCTGGCCGTCCTCGAGATCTTTCTGCTCGCGTCTCAGCTTTCTGTGTTTCGCCTTCAGCTTGTTTGTTCGACCCTCGAGGCGAGCTTCTTCCTTGCGCAGGTCCATCTTTTCCTTGTACAGCCATATGAAAACATCCCGAAAAGCGGAATCCCGCTTGCGATACTGTGGAATCTCTTGCTTGAGCTCTGTAAACCTAGGACCACATCACATGACTACTCTGCAGGCATGACCAATGCGTCCGATTACTTTAGAGCTCAGATCGCACACTTGTACATACACAGAACAATACACTCATACATGATACCCAATCCTAGTGCCACTCCATGCTTACAAGCTCTTTGCTCTGTTTCTTCTCATCCTTTAGCGCAGCGCGAAGGGCGGTGAACTGCTAAATCAAGGGGCCGGTGTTCGGTTTAGTGTCGTTTGTAATATTAGCAACTTTTATGATTGTGAACTTGAACAAACCTACTTTTCTTGACATCGCTGGTCGCGGAGCGTTCTGACATCGCGACGTTTTCTGAGAGCTCGCCTAGTATGGTGCGCTTGACTCGTTATTTTGATTCATGGGAAGCTGCGAGTTGCTTGACCGGGACGTTGATGTCGGATGCTGTGAATGTTAGCATAGTACCAAACGAAGTGGATAAGACTCACGGTTTGAAGACTTGGAGATACGACATCTGAATCAGCTTCGCTCAGTGTCGAGGGCGAGTCTTTGGCGTGGGCAGCCCATGGCATCGAGGTGTAGTCTTGCACCGACATGCTGAGACGGGGGCAAGTGCGTGCGGTGGTGAGGAGGCGAGGGATTTTGACGATCGGAGGCACAGCCTTCGTAGGCGGACGGCGAGGGTGGCGGCAGCCTGGCTTCGGGCCCTGAGGTGACGGTGAAAGCGAAGAGAAACCGAAATGCAGTTGTCTGGGTTGCGTTTATGCCAGGCCTTGTATTGTATCTGCCCAGTTCTTGCAACTGAATTAGCATAAAGTTCCCTACATGTTCTTGTCAATAACGAGGTTCCTTGTGACCTTGCGTTATAACAGGTGATCAAAAAGGCTGTGTCTAGATGTTCGCGACAAGCCCTCTTCAAAAATTCCACCTGCTTTGGGTCACCTCCTGTCTTTCAGATATCACTCTTGACCTTCAAGTCAAACAGACTATCAGCTGTCTCTTTGCCCCATTTCACCCCTTGCCAGAAATCCTGATCACTGCCCGAAACATGATCTGATCGCGGAGCAAGTTGATGTAGTCCCCACACTCGGTCGTCCAGGCGAGCGTCGTGCTGAGGCATGTTATTGTTGGTGCATATGGTTGACCAGCCAAACAGCATCCTGACGTTCCGACCGGCATTCATGGTGTCGTTGTTGTCAATGACGGTAATGGTGATACGGCGCAGTGAGCCCAAGGTGCTGCACTGTAGGCGTCTACGGCTTCTCTCACACCCTGACCAGTGCTGACTTTGGCCTCGCCGGCTTCCTCTTTGATAACAGACTTTTCCGGTGTCAACAATATCTTGTTGTAGTGTGCGAGTCACGCCGGACAGTGTTGGAGCGAGGTGAGAGAGCCCTACGTCGAAGCAAGTCGAGTGAGACAGCAGGCGGCGCTAAAAGGTGAAGGTGGGGAGGAAGGGAAAGCGCAAAGGCAGGTGACGTACCCCACAAGAACAATAACGCGACATCAAATATCAATGTGAACACGAAAAGCAGCCAGTACAATGAAAGTAGTTTATGGGCGGGATTACCTTACGATTCGATCCCAACCAAAAGCAAAGGCGTTCCGAGTGCTGTATGCCCAGAGCCCGTTGCGTAAGTGCTTCCCATCATGAACTTTGGTAAACGCCAGTACCCATATATATTACACCAACATTGAAGAGCTTGTTGTACATGCATGAATGTCAGTGAGACGGTAGACCTAACTACCAGTTGCCCCATGTCGCAGAGAGAACCGACTGCAATCGTGCAATTTCCCGAATTATGAAAGTCCCTCAAGCAGTCCTGGCCGTCCTTTTGTGAGCCAATCAGTAGTCTGAAGACTACAGACTGCACTGGATGCCTGTCGCTCGCAGATGCTCTACCAGGTGGTCGGCAGCTTGGGGTATTCGTCCTTGCTGATCTTCAAGTCCTCGAAGACCGAATCGTCACCTGCACAACACGTTAGCACGGGGAAGTACGTTGCAGACCTCCAGGCTTACCCTTGAGATGCTGAACTCGAAGCTCGTCTTCGTGCTCAAGCTGCTCGATCTCTTCTTTCGGCGTCTCCTTGTCATGCTTCTCATTCTTCTTTGTAGGCTCGACAGCCTTGTCAGTATTCTCACCAATGAGTAAGATTTGGCAGTACTCATGATCGAGGTATTTGGGTTTGACCTCGGCCCAGGCAAGGCCGCGGAACTCCTCAATAATCTCCTTGGAGAAGTCAGGTTTCTGAGGAAGGGAAGCGCTCGCTGGGCCACTGCGCTCGGGATTCTTTACGCTGATGACGAAGCTACCCTGGTCCTTGATGCCGAGGTCCTCCTGAACTTCGCCGATCTCGGATGGGATAGTGGTCGAATACACAAGATGGGTAGTAGCGTCCTCAGTCCGGGTGATGAGGTATACACCCTCTGCGACGGGGGTGACAGGGTCAGTGTGGCGAGTGCCTTGTGTTTGTGTGTTGTATTCGGCACCCTGGAAGAAGTTGTCCTTCAGGTCTTGGATGCTTGTATTCGCCTTCTCGACGAAAGCCATGAAGCGATCGTTCTGAGACTTGGGGAACACCTTCTTGGGTAAAGCGAACAAACGGTTGTTCTTGAGATCCTGAACAGCGCCATCACCTAGTTTGGCACCTGTGGGCAGAGGTCGGAGAACGAAGAACGTACGCTGGAGGTCGCCAACACTCTCAGCCTCATCGACGCTGACGCGATTGCGTGTGAAGAAGTAAATGACCCCCTTCTCGAGGATATTTGATGGTATCTTCTTCTCGCGCTGTGACGACTCTTTGATAGCGCCGTCAGCATTGACTTCAGGCTTTGTCGCCTCCTCAGTCTCGTTGACCGAAGACGTATCCGTCTTGCCGTCAGCTTCTTGACCGTTTGTGTCCTTTGCTTCCGTGCCTCTGTCGCTCTCGCTCTTCGCTGGCTGCTCGCCCGGTTGTGCTTCAGCTTTCTCGTTCTCGGCATCATTCACCACGTCTTGTGCGGCTTCTTGCATCTCAGTGTCGTCTTCGGCCTTCTTGCCGTCGTCCTTGTTATCTTTGGGCTTATTATCGAGCATGCTGTCGATAGTTGGCTGGTTTCTGGAGGTCTTCCGACCACGTTTGGGAGAGGTCTCAGCATCGGCGTCTGTATCAGGCTTTCGCTTGGTTCCAGCTACTGCAGTATCGTTGTTCTTAGCTGGGCTCGAGTTGTTGCTGCCATTACGTGTCGAAGAGCGTGTGCCTGCCATTGTGAAGTATTGGAATTTGAAAGCGAAAAAAAGAAGGATTTTAAACTGATTGATACCTCCAGCGTATAGGACGTTGAACCAATCAATCAATACCTCCAGCAGGTGTGATGAGGTGTGATGTTTCCTGGGGCGCGACTTGACTTTGAGCTGCTTCTCTAGCGCGTTTTTTCGCGTTCGATGATGATGTCACGAAACATTGTACCACACTAATGACCAGATCCGTGATCAGACACAGGAACACCGGCTGAACGATCGTTGGGGCACGGTCCTTGCCTCTTTAAGCCTGCCTGACGCCTGCACGCTGCCCACCTTTCGGTGTAGCACCACACAGGAAAGATCACTTACTTGCAAATCCATCACACCAGCTTCAAGAGGCACGACGGCTACGAACGGAACGTCTGGACCAGACCAGAAGACACTTGCGTCAAGATATGTGAATTCCTACGACTGTAGTTTCAAGAAAGCTCGTATACCTTCAGCAATGCCTTCAGGACTTGGCTTTTCAGCAACGACGTCAGGCGTAAAACCGAATTCATTGATCAAATAGTCGCGAGTCGTGGGGCCAATCGTTATTATCAGGATGTTTCTTGGGCCATCAATCTTCTTGGCTTTCCCGGTATCGCACTCCAGGAGGCCCAGACTTTCGAGCATGGCCTGGCAGCCTGTTGGTGAAAAGACCACGATCCATTGGTGCTTCAATCCGCTGTCTGCGTTGTTTCGCCATATTGTGGTAAAGTCGGTCTTGAATGAATGCATCTCGCCCGTCTCATATATGACCAGCTCATCCACTCTGGCGCTCCTATCTGAAGGCAGCTGTTCAGACTGCAGAGTCTTTGGAATGATGTCCCTTCTCTTATCGCCGACCATGAACAGGATCGGTGGATTCAAGACGCCAGAGTATAGGGAATTGTAGTGCTCCAGTATGAAGCCTGCAAGAGCTTCTCCATTACCTGTCTCCTCACCAAGAATGGGACAGCGCAGATTCAGCGCCTGCAGTCCACGTGCGGTGGCCGGTCCAACGACGTAGAGAGGCAGAGTCCCAGGTAGTAGTTCATCAACCGCATGGCTGCCTTCTTTTCGAATATCCTCCACTACTTCATTGAACGCTTCCACAGCCCGCTGTGAGGTGAAGATCAGGGCCCCATATGTCGCGAGACCCTTCTGCGATGTCGGCACGAGTCCTCGGTTGATTATGTGCTGGCGCACAGTGTCCAGGGCGTCCCGCTTGAACCTGTGCTCGAGGACAGGCACGAATACTGGTGCATATCGATTATTGTCGCAAGTCGAAAAGAGCTCCTCATATGTATCAGTCGGCGCTGACTTGGTCTTGAGTAGTAAAATTGGAGTCTTCCCTCGAGAGTGCTCCGCCATATTGTGATTGTCGAGTGAAAGAGTACAAGTTCTAAGTCAGGGCCGCTCCTGGTTAGAATTACGCTAACCGCAGTGTCGCCGCGGCTCACCCGTGCACCGCTCGAGGGAGCGACCCGCCCAATTTATCAATTATTTGTCCTCAGGACCTGATAGTCCCCATCTCCCTTGCCCAGTCCTCTCCTCTCCACTTTCGCCCGTCCGTCGCACTCCACCGATTGGATTTTCGACTCCAATTGATCGTCAAAATGGCTGAACTTGCGACTCCCTCTGCCGCCCAGGTGGCTACCGCCGATGCGACTGCTCCTCAAGAGAAGCAGCAGAACGTTCGCCCTGAGAAGCCTGATGAGGACAAGTACAAGGAGGACCTCGCCAAGGTAGAGAAGGAGCACCAGGCTGCGCAGGACAAGCTGGTATGTTTGATATTTTCGACATTTCGCTTAGTCGTTCGCACATGCTTGTCGCAGGTGTGCGCAGTACACCGTCGAGTACCTGCAGCGCCTGCAGACTATGCATCTTGAACAATGATTGCTAACAATATACCAGAATGCTGCTAAAGCCAAGCTCGAGACCGCCCGCCCGAACAACAAGGACTCTCCCAACGCCAAGCGCCAGCAGGAGCTCAAGACCGAGTTGAACGCTATCCGCCAGGCCCAGCAGGGCAACAAGACCGGCCGCAATGCCATCTTCGAGAAGATGAAGAAACTCGACGAGCAGCTCAAGTCCCGCCAAAACGAGCTCAAGAACAATAAGAGCCGTGTCAACTTCAAGTCCGCTGAGGATGTCGACCGGGAGATCGACCGTCTTCAGAAACAGGTTGACTCTGGCATGATGAAGCTGGTCGACGAGAAGAAGGCTCTGGCCGAGATCTCGTCGCTCCACAAGGTGCGCAAGAACTTCTCTGGCTTCGACTCGCAGCAGAAGGGTATCGACGACATCAAGACTCAGATCGCTGAGCAGAAGAAGCTCCTCGACGACCCTGAGCAGAAGGCGCTGAGTGAGAAGTACACCAAGCTTCAGACTGAGCTGGACGGCCTGAAGGCTGAGCAGGACGAGGCTTTCAAGAACCTCAAGGCTCTCCGTGAGCAGACCGACAAGGCTCGTGCTGAGCAGCAGGAGAAGTACCTTGCTAGGAAGGAGCTGAAGGACAAGTACTACCAGCAGAAGCGTGCATACCAGGAGTACGATTTCCAGGCCCGCAAGGCCCGCAACGAGCGCAGGAAGCAGGAGCAGGTTCAGTACTTGGCCGGCAAACGCAAGCAGGCTGCCGAACAGCGTCTCGAGGAGGCCAGCGCACCCGCGTACCAGGACGAGATCTACGCTACCGAGGGTCTCATCCGTCACTTCGACCCATCTGCTCTCCCCGCTAAGGAGACAGCGTCTGCCGGCAAGTTCGCCGCTTCGGCACAGCGTACTGTCGACGACTCTGCCATTAAGGGCACCCGTATCTCGAAGAAGGACACCGAGGAGGAGAACTACTTCATGGGTACCGGCGGAAAGAAGGGCAAGAAGGGCGGCAAGAAGGGAGGCGCTGCCCCGGCCGCTTCTAAGTTTAACCTGAACATTGGCATCATCGAGGAGCTTGCCAAGGTTGGTGTTGACGCACCTTCAAGCCAGGCTGATGTCCCTGCCACTGTTGAGAAGCTTAAGGAGAAGCTCGCACACTGGAAGGAGGACCAGGACCGCAAGACCAAGGAGGTACGTTTGCTGGACAATCTTGCACATAGTAGCATCATCTAACACATTCGCAGAACATTGAGAAGGCCAAGAAGGAGATTGCACGCCTCGAGGCTGAGGAGGACGCCGCCAACGGCACCACAGACGCCGTCCGCAAGCCTGCACAGAAGAACCAGGCCGTCAACGGTTCTGCTTCCCCATCCGCTGAGCTCGCTCAGGAGAACGACGCTGCTGCCGACGTTACCGAGGATCTGAAGAAAGCCTCCATCGAGGACAAGGAGGCTATTGAGGCATAGTGCGCCCGTGTTTCACAACCTGTTCATCTTGTGTGTCACTGAAAAGTCTGGCGATCTGTTCGAGATCTATTATGGCCATTGGTTCGGCATCTTATCCTATTTAGCTTCAATTATTCCCTCCAGCATGATTTATGGGACAACAGCGGCATAGCATGAGGTCTAGGTTCTGCGCAGTGTTCTATACGTTTTTCTGTTCTGCGTAGGAGCACTGGGTATTTAGATCGTAATATATCCCCTTAATGTTCAATCTGTGTGTGCATGTTTAAACGGCTGTATCTCTTAGAAAGGCAGATGAGGAGCGTAGGTAAAGCTTCAACAACCTCCGATTAGGATCAGCGACCACGGCTTGGTTCCGCTCTGTACTTGAGTATTCTAGTACAGTAAAAGGCTTTGTCTTGAGCTGCAAGACATTGAGGAGAATCGTAGTCTGTGTGAGTGTTTAGGAGCGTGTCGTGCGGCACTTCTGAAGGCAAACAATGGAACCTCTATTATCAAGCGGCTTCACAGCAACAAAATCACGCAATTGATTCCGTTAGCTGACAGCTCCGATCACGAAAGAACGGGTCCGTATTGTGGGGGTGTTGTACACTACGTCATCGAAGCGCTTCGAGCACCTCAAAACCAACCCCCTCTTCGTGCACCCATCTCACTACACCACACTCCTCAAAGGTACGACGACGTCAATGTTCCGTTCAATTACTCTCGCAAAACGCGGACTGACAGCTGTTTCACAGTCCCCATTCCAAACTAAATTCACACGAACATCACAAGCTTCCACCATGTCTTCCTTCAGCAACACCGACACCGGCTCCAAGACCGCCGACCCCTACACCGCGAAGAACAAGGATGAGGTCTCCTTAAAGGAGAAGGTCGAGGACCTCTTTACCTTCATCGACAAGACCAAGTTCTGCTTGTTCACTACACACGCCGGTGACAGCGACCTGCTCGCCAGCCGCGCTATGGCTCTCGCCGCCAAGGTACGTCATGAATGAGCTCGTCGTTGGAGCTGCATCTAACACGCTTGTAGGAGGGCAATGGCTTCGACCTCCTCTTCCACACCAACACCGAGTCCGGCAAGACCGATGACCTCAAGGAGGACTCATCAGTCAACATTGGCTTCATCAACCCCTCCGGCGAATGGGCTTCCATCTCTGGCCACGCCTCGATCGAGACCAACCGCGATGTTGTCAAGAAGCACTACTCACCAGCCCTGAAGGCCTGGATTGGTGATCTTGGTGACGGCAAGCACGATGGTGGCCCAGAGGACCCCCGCATTGGTATCATCAGGGTCAAGGCCAAGACTGCACAGTACGCTGTCTCGAGGAGAACCACCGTTGGTGGCTTCGTTGAGCTGGCCAAGGGCATCGCGACCGGCGAGTCTCCCAGCGTTAACAAGCTGAGGCACATTGACGAGTCTGAGGTCGCGCAGTGGAGGTCCCAGTAGATGGCTGTGGCTGGATGCCAGGCCTTACGATTATATGAAACGACCTTCGACGAGCGAGCTGAACCTCCCTTTGCGTACTGTGTGTAAAGGTTGAGGTGTCTCCTCTCCAATATATAATTAACCAAATAATGAACAAAACAATTCAAACAACTCACAGATGACTCTTTTTTATATGTGTAACTTCATGCCTTGTGTTATGATCCTTGTGTTATGATCCGTGGTTACTATACGAGTTGATAGCGGTGGAAAGGATAAGTTCCATGCGGAGGAAGGAGCAATTTCCAATGACGTCAGGCTTCGGCGCGGAAATCGCGACTTGATAACATGTGATTGTGAGGATTGTCAATTGCTGCAGGCACCGTTTCTTCTTCTCATTAACCTACCAACCCTCAGCGAACGATTTGAGCGTTGCCGTCCAATCTGCAAGAAATCCCCGGTGGCAATGGAGAACCCAGTCAAGGAGATAGCGGGTGTGATCCACCTGCTCACACAATCTCCACCTTCTACCCAGCGGCAGACGATTGATACTTACTTCACGCCCAATGCCTCCTTCACGCATCCGTTTTGCCGTACTGGGAAGTGGCCGAACTCAAGATTGTTAGTTGCGATCATCTACCGTTGGTACAAGATCATGAGCCCAAGTATAGACATCACAGTACAAAGTGTCGGTACGTACAACTCCCTACCATTACCTTTTCGACATAAGCTGACGTGCAACAGCGTTTGACAAACCGAACCTCATCCTATACGTGTCCATCTTCCAGATCTTCCGCATCTGGCTGATACCCTTCTACTACGCCCCGGTGTACCTGACCTCAGTCATCAAGCTCGAGTACAATGACAACGACGAGAAGTACTACATCGAATCGCAAGACGATCTCTACGCCATAGACCAGTGGATACGGTTCATCGCACCAGGAGGCTGGATACTGGTATACCTGTGGCAGTTCTGGGCCTCCTTCTTTTGTGTCATTGGCGCCATTGTGCTACACCCCATAACTCTTCTGGAAGAGCGCTCCAGCAAAGGCGATGGAGGAGAGGTCGAATGGCGGAGGAAGAAGGAGCAGGTTGGACGACTAGATGGCATGAGCGCGGAAGAGGTGTTGCAGAGAACGGAGCTGAAGGGCAGGATCATTGGTTGATAAACATAACGTGCTCGCGGTCCACATTCAGGACTGCGCATGTTCCTGAAGTGGCTCCGGTGAAGCTCGGTCAGCGTCTGGAGATACGAGTCTTTGAGGTGGAGACGATACGACGCCAACTGCGAACATTTGATTACAGCAGTACTCTACTATCGAATCTCAGTGAACCTTTCACTGGGCGTTACAGGACTGACAGCAGCGACTATTGCGCTCGAAGCATCTCCTACGAACAAGCGAGCAGATCGCACACGCACTTACACAGCAAAAGCATTACAGGGGTGTTCATGCAAAGCCGTTAATAATGCGTGTGACGACACCCATACGCATGCGCAAATCTATCGAAGGCTTGCAGCCTTGTTCAAGACGTGGCGAACAGCACATTCAACGTTGCACCCGCATGTATGCGCGCTCACGAGATCGCATCCTTCGAGCCTTGGATCTCCAGGCTGCAACCTCTAAAATTAGGACAGCAGACAGCAACTCGCCGACAGAAGCATCTTCCGACAGCACCAAACCACTTCGATATGTCCGAGCCGAGCTAAGATTATTCCCTTTCGCTCAAAGGAGGCATCGCATGAGTAACGTTGGCCGACTAAGATCCTACCGGTGTCCCGTACCATCGAACTCAGTGTTCGCCTCGGAACCGGCACAGGCACACATGCGTGGTATCTGAAAATCAATCTGACGGACAGTGACAGCTGATCTTGAGATGTGGAGGTGGTTCAAAAGCCGTCTCGATGTGTGGAAACGTCGAGACTACAATCCTTGTGTCGAATCCAAGACATAGGTCACGACACCCAAGCCGCGTGCAAGGCTCAAGCTTGCTTCTGATGAATGGGAGCTGAGATAAGGTAAGGCTCGAGCCAATGCCGAGGCGACTGCAGAGTCTTGACTCCTGTCACTGCCCTCAGAACAGCAAAGATCAGCCATCCGTCGCGTGCCGAGGGTACATTAGTGTACGCGAGGTGGCCCTGGCCGTGCAATTTGTGCAGGCAGCCCTGCGAGAAGGGAGGGTGTCGCGGGCGCTGGCTCTTGAACTGGCGTGCTTCTAGCGTAGACGGGGCGGCCGTTATGACGTCGAAACGCATCAAAACGACGGTTGTTGACATTCGCTAGACAGAACTGCCAAACGCGAGCAAGCCGCCGTACGAGAATTCTACCAACCCCGCGTAGGATTTACAAGATTAAGGACTGTGTGTGGCTTGCAGCATAAAATCCCTGCAAGAAATCGCGCTGTGCTTTCGGCCTACCGTATCCGATGATTAACCCTCTGGCGAATCACAATGCTGGCTTCTTAGTGTTCTCGTATTGAGGTCGCATGAGCAAGCAAACTCAACCATCGCGATTCACGACAAGCCGCCAAAACGAATCTCCAAGTCAAAGAACTGCTCTGTTCGGCCAATGATTCTTCAGCAATAATCAAGCACGGCACACTTGCCTTTGTGGAGGAAGCAAGACCTAGAGAAGGGAAGATATTTGCAGGTATGTCCGAACAGCGTCTTGATCGACCCAAGGGTTACCGTTCTGACTCCCGTCATTTGGCCATACGCTGTCTAACATGCGATAGAGCACGCGCGAAGAGGCACAGCTCATCCTAGGTCAATAGTGTACGGGGTCTAAGAGACAAGCTTTGCCTCTTAACAACAGTACGCCGATGTATATTTGGGTGCCTTGAACAAGGCCTGGTAGTATATAGTCTTTCTTTGACCCAGACCCCTTTGCCGTCGTCTCTATGCCGTCTCTCGCTCTTCCGTCTTGCCCTGCATAGCTGGTTGCAACTGCCACTCGTTTCTGGTACCAGTAATTACACCTGTCGATCGTTGGAATATACATCTACCGTAATCACTACACCACCCCTTCGTTGCATCGCAAGAATATCATTAGCCGTGTACACCTACAAACCTACAACATGTCCCTCAAGTACCTCACCCTTGCGCTTGCCGTTATCGCCGCCGCGGCGCCTGGATCTCCCTACCAGGCTCTCGAAGCCCAAGCTTCCAGCGACAACCCATGCGAGCCCTGCCAGCCCTCCGGCGCGACTGGCACCGACCCGCCCGCAGTCGGCTCTGATCTGTCCTCGCTCTATGTTGATGTCCTCAGCTCGGTCCAGGGCATCTCCTTCAACAAGCGCGGTCTGACCCCCCGCGCAGCAACCTCCGGCTTCTGCTGCGTTGCCTCCCTCAACTGCGTCAACGTCCAATCCCTCAACATCCCCATGTGCTACGACAAGTTCACCACAAACTTCAAGTTCCCCGACGGCTCGTATGGATCTCTGACTACCGGAGACTATGTTTCCAACGGCCAGACTATCAATCTCCTCAGTGGCGACTACTCGGGTGGAAACATCTACTCCGCTGCTCCCCAGGACAAGCCTGACACCTCTACTCTCAGCGTTCCCGCGCAGTATACAGGGACTGGTGTTGGCGCTGCGATTCCCGCGTCTGAACTCGGCTCTGTCATCGTCTACACAACAACTATCCCCGGCACAACGTTCACCGCTCCGACAACTGTTCCTGGAACCGTCCGCGCAGCGACTGTGAACGGTCTTGTGGTTAGCACTAGCATTGCGCCCCAGACTATCATCCAGGCTACTACTGTTGCGCCCCAGACCACTGTTGTTACCACACAGGCTCCCGACGCGAGTGCGGCGGCATCGAGCAAGGGTGCGGCGGGTGTAGTTGGTGTTGACTCGTCGAAGTCGTTTGGTGTGTCGGTTTTGGGCGCGCTGATGTATTTTTTGATGTAAGAGGGCAGTTGGCTTGGTTGGTGTTCAGTTCTGGTGTCGGGGTAGTATCTTTTAGAATTGGATTGAATAGATGGAGGGATGATACCCTGGGATGGCTACGTGCATAGAACGCTCATGCGATACGTTTAATGAATAAATTTAGTCCTCATTCGAAGTTGTACTGTGAACGTGAGTGTATCGAAGGGCTCCAGAACGCATTTTACACAAGCAGATCATACCATTTCGTTATTGCGCATTGGCTACGTGCATTCCCCCACGTCTCCTAGAGGTCCTCCGTACAATAAAACCCGTCACCCTGAACGGCAGCCCCCATCACAGTCGAGGACTACCTGTCCTTATTGACCCGTCAAGAAGATACCGCCCGTATGCTGGTAAATCTCCATATCAAGGTCTACTGAGTTCTACTTGCTAGTTCGACGGAGACAGGAACCTTTCGGTTGGCCCCGCCCATCAGTCGCTTCAGATGCGCTTCGTAGTAGTGCTCCATTGGCTTGCTGGGGTCAAGCTGGTGTTCGTCGTGAGCAAGGTTCTCGAGGCACTTCAGAGCCCGCACGAAACGGCCTTCCACCTCCTCCTTCCACGTGCTCATCTCGGTGACTCCAGTCGCAAAGCTCTTCGCACTGTCAGGGTGGTGACTTCCTGAGCCAATGCCTGTTGGGCTAGCGCTCTCAATGATGTCGGTGCTGTTGAAAGGCACAGGAGGTCGGTCTGCAAGATCGTTGGACGTGAAAGAAATGAGCCCCATTGGGTTGATACGAGGCGAGCCTAGGGCAATGGGAACTGAGCTCATGTTTAGGTGGGGAAAACAAGGTACCAAGGAAAAGTAGACTTACTGTCGTGCCTGTCCATTCCACCGTCGCTGCGCAGATCGCTCATGCTGTCGCTCTCGTCGTCCGCTGGGACAGAAGAACGAATGGAGCGGCCACTGTTCGACATTATGTCTGAGTCATGGTGAAAGTTGCGGCCCTCGGCCATGGCCCGGGCGAGTCTATCGCCAATGGTGCTCAATCCGCGGCTACGGGTGTAAGGGTAGCGGTAGACGACAGAAGTTGCTGGTGAAGTGACCGCCGGGGTGTTAATAGGCGGCGTTGGGTACATCGCTTCCTCGGCTGCTTCGTTCAGGCTTTCTGCAATAGGTGCCAGGATCTTGGTCATAGCATGGAAATCGATCTCGGGTGGTGGATCAACAACCTCGCTGTCAAGCGCTTCTGTGAGAGGTGTAGGGTTGGGGACAGTCGCGGCATCCGAGGCAGAGACCGAATACTGGGAGCCCGGAGAAGTGACCTTCGAGGGTGTGGTGAACTGGGACGCCATTGTTGCAGCTGATGGTCAGGTTTGGTGATACGCGTATTAGAAGTAGAAAACGAACGCAGGAGAGGGAGAGGTTCGTTTGGTGGACGACCTGAATACTCACTCTTTGCTTGACAGTGTAGTACGGTGTCGAGGCTGCGCTTGCTGGTGTTGATCTAGGCGAGCAGCTCGCCGGCAATCGAAGTTGGTGTGAATAGAAGAATGGGAGGCGCGGGGTTTTGTTGTTGTTGTTGTGGGGAAGCTCTTGCGGAGTGTGGAGATGAGCGTGAGTTGGGGTCGGTGCGCCTGCCAGGTGACGAAGAGGGTAGCAACGGTGGACCTCGAGAGCAGGTCTGGATCGGCAGCGATTGGTGGTTTGCCAGAACTGGCAGGAAGCAAATGTAACTGCAAGTCAACCCAACGAAGGCGAATGTAACATGACACGTACAATCATCTCCCATTCACCTACGCAACTCTTGATGGTAGATGAGCCACACCGCTTATCCTGGTGCTCACGCTGCGCTGTCGATACACATCGATCTCTGCAGAGGTGGTTCTGAATACTGAAGTGCTGGATGGCAGATCGTGCAGCGCAATGCCTGAGGTGTTTGCCGTCTCGGTAGCCCTTTCACCAGTCTGTGACCCATCGCTTGTCCTTGATACACCGTTCTTGCCATGCTTCTCTTTCAGCCAAGGTATCAGGTTGTAGTATGCGCCGCAAGCAAAGATACCAATCCAAAGCACCAGCTCCGTCGCGTAGATGATCATGCCCAGGATGTCGAGCTTGCTGTGGAAGATGACAGAGAGCAATGAGGTCAGGTCTCCCAGAGCATCGAGTCCTACAAAGATGAAGGAGATGCCTCGCACCGTACGGTGACGGTAGATGTCCAAGTAGTGACTCCCCACACCTGCCGCAAGCAAGGTTGCAGCAAGGACAGCCATCAGAATCAAGGGCCATTCCAGGTCTCTTTCTCTTGCATGGCGCGAAGCAACGATGAGAGCGGCTTGCACGCCACCCATGAGGCAGGCAACGGGAACGACGAGGGTGAGTGAGCGAAAGACAGACCAGTCCTGTAGTAAGATTCAGTTTCCGGTATCCCTCTAAACCCAAACCATGTCCATACCTTTTCATAGTAGTAGCATTGGATCCATGTCACCAAGCTCAACACGGTGAGGATCTGAGGCTGGATGCGCAGAGCAATGTTGAAATCTTCGACGATATTGTAGACACCTAGTGGTACTCCAGCCCAAGCCCAGAGCATCATCATCGTAGGCTGTAACCCAATGGCATTGTGCCGGCGATAGTTGATGATGATTTGGGGCACCAATTGGATGGACCAGCAGACCTGCTCTTGTTAGCCAGACACCTAGTGAGTGAGAGGGTTGGATAGCACATACAGCGCCTAAGGTCCCAAGCACGTTCGCAGCAGCAGGCACATCCATAATTATGTGATGATAGCAGGGTATGAGTAAGAAAGTCGTGATGGAGAGATGGTGCACGAGAGCTGCAGCAGCGTCAAGCTCTACTTTATAGTAACGGCACCAAGAATGATTCGAGAGCGCTCTTCAATCAATTCGAAAGCACCCTTCAGCGGATTCAAAAGCATGGAAATGCATCTCATCGCAGCCAAGCCAAGTTCAAAAGCACTGAAGCCCTCTGAACTCGCTTGTCCGCTGTACGTCGATCAACCAGGCTGACCCCTGCACGCGCCAGCTCCGAAGCAAGGCTGCAGTGCCGATCTTCAATTCAGGTTCGCGATGCTTTGAAATCACCAACACCACAGTCACTACAGTACAGAGCAAGGGCAATGGCATCGATACCGACAGAAACACAAGAGAAGAAAGACACAGAAAAGGTGCTCCCGGGCGGCAAGAAGATAATCAATGGCATCGTTTACGACGCAGATGGCAAGCCGTGAGTACCTTCACTACGCAATGCGCCGGACGAGATGCAGCGCCCGCAGCGCATGCAACAAATGGTCTGAGAAAGCAGAATGCCAACAAATGCTACGTAGATGTCGGACCTGCAACGATATGTCCGCCCTATTCGCGATGGGCAAGAAAACCAAGAAACTCGCCGCACCACCCGCGCTCCCCAAAGACTGCCCTCCCGACGTCGCCCAACTAGGCCGTTCCTCTTGGACCCTCCTACACTCTATAACTGCAACCTATCCCGAGTCGCCCTCACCCTCCCTACAAACCGAAACCTCCGCGTTCCTTCGCACGTTCGGCAAGCTGTACCCGTGCTGGGTGTGCGCGGAGGATTTCCAGGACTGGATGAAGGTTAATACGCCGCGAGTGAGCAGTCGCAGTGAGTTCGGGCAGTGGATGTGCGAGGCGCATAACGCGGTGAATCTGAAGCTGGGGAAGAAGGAGTTTGATTGTAACAAGTGGGAGGAGCGGTGGAGAACGGGGTGGAAGGATGGGAGGTGTGATCCTTGAGCATGAAGATGATGAGTGGTATACAGGAGTAGAGGAAGATATACAATGGTGTACGACTATATGTGTATATGAAGAGGCTTGGGATTGTACGGTATGCGTAGCGGCTGCGCGAACACCACTTCTGTAACAACACAACACGATTCAAGAGCATAGACATTGGCATTGGGCGGCGTTTAGAGAACCATCATCTCAATCTTACCATTCAGCTTGGTATTCCAGCGTGCTCTTCGTCCGGAATCTACATAAACACGCGTTTTGCGTCCTTCCTCCAGCTTCTGGGCCGTGGAACTGCTAGTGAGGACTAGTCACGCCCGACTACCACATCCCACATCTGCAACATGAGATCAAGGTCCCTTTCAAATACTAGGCGGGGGCTGTGCATAATGAGCTCATAGATATCGTCTTGAGGAGCGAATGTTTGCTGCCTCATCCATCTGTTCACGCATACCCACGACAGCCGTCATGTATCTGTACCCCATCGAGAGTCTGCGCCTCAAGTATGGCCATCGTACGACATCTGCTACCAGCGGTCCTACCGATGCACCTTCACCAGACGAGTCTCCCGACTTCTCGCAACCACTCAGTCGCATTGATCGAGGCTCAGCCATCGCCCTAGGCATTCTTCTCATCTTAATCTTTTCTGCGGTTGGCTGGTTCTGCAGTATACAGATCAAGAGAAAGAAGGAGAGGGACGCTGAACAGAGGCTGTCGAGACAAGCGAGTGCTGCTGCCGAGCGCGGCAGAAGTCTTGGTGGAGGAATCCCACGATTCTCAATGGACAAGTTGCTCTTTATAGGAGCATCACCCAGGTCGCGAGCGGATTCTGGAATGAGCACGCTGGTGGGTGGCCGGTCGGCTGGTGGATGTGCTGGAGATAATGGGAACAATGAGAAAGGAGTTTGCTCGTGGCCAGGGTTGAGTCCACGGCCATGTTCTCGAAGCGACACACAGCACCCATACTCTGCAGCAGGTATACCCCAGGCACCTGGAGACCATCAAAGGCCCATGGACCGTGAAAGGTCACTGTCACCTCTCTCCCAGGCTACACCACTGCGAGATCGATCCTTCGATCCTCCAGCACCGCGACGTGCATCATATCATAGACGCCAGAGTAGCATGCGTTCTGTCGACGAGTACATACCAACCCGCCGAGCTTCGTTGTCCCAGAAACAGTACGACAAGCGGTGGTGGAGTGAGGTGGCTTCTCCCAGTGGCTGCACAGCGCGTGCCAATCGACGCCTCTCAACACTTGCGCCCATCCTTGAGCCCGAGGCTGTCCTTCAGGCAGGGTTGTTTGATGATGTCCACGTATGTGAGTGCAGCAGACGAAGTAGTTTACATGCTCTCAGCGGGCGGTCGTCAGTAAATCCAGTCGAACGATGATACCTATTGTGTTAGTATTGTGAGGCATGTAATTGGGGGATGCTTTGGGAGGAGGCATATAATGTAAACAATTCGAACAAAGTTATGCCAAGTTGCATTCGAAAGTCGCTCGTGCTTCGATTGAGTTTGAAATTTCAGCCGTGAAAATATACGGCTCCAAGATCTTATTCGTTCTTACTACCGTCAAACAATCCGTTTCGTCAATGCAATATGTCATCTCTTCACAAAAGGTTTGCTCCAGAATGATGTATCTAAGATGAGCCCAGACCAGCTAGTCGCTCAGTCGATCGTAACGGTACGAGCGGAAATGCTTCCAGATGCCAAGTAGGCTTCGTGACTTGATCTCGTTGTAAATGCCGCACATGTAAATTACTGAGACGAGCTTATCGCATGATCTCCTGGTAGATGAGAACTGTGTGTCGTTAGTAGCGAAATAAAGAGTCGTCATGGACTACGTACGCTTCAATTGCTCCTTGGTCAAGTTGTCCTTGTTCTTGTCAAAGTCGAAGAATTCCTCGGGAATTGGGTCGGCGGTCGGCTCATCATCGGGGTCGTGGTAAGGCTCCAGGTATGGGTGCTTCAGCGCCTCCTCAACTGTGATACGCTTGACCGGGTTGAATGCAAGCAATCGCTCAAGCAGGTCGAGCGCAAGGTCGTTGGTCTTAGGGAACATAGCCTTCCACGGGATCTTCTTCTTGAAGGGGAGCGAGCGAATGTATTCACGAGCGCGACGGGATTTGATGCCGTAATAGTCCTCCATGGTAGGCGTACCAAGGACATCGAGGATCAATGTGAGCTGGTGGTGGTCTGCAACTTGTTAGCCATAATACCAAGACATGGAGCTCCTCAAGACTCACAATCCTTTCCAGGGAACAATGGTTTGCCGCTCAGCATCTCAGCCAAGATACAACCAACACTCCACACATCGATAGCCTTTGTGTACTCCTTGAAGGTAAGCATGATCTCTGGTGCACGGTACCAACGCGTGGCAACATATTCCGTCATGAAACCAGAGTTATCCTCGGTAGAAGCGGCGGATCGCGCAAGACCGAAATCGCAGACTTTGAGATCGCAGTTCGCGTTGAGCAACAGGTTGGAGGGCTTGAGATCGCGGTGGAGGACGTTCGCTGAGTGCATAGCCTTCAGAGCGCGCAGTGTCTGGTAGATGAAGTACTGGCAGTGGTCGTCTGACAGCTCTTGTGTGCGGATAACGCGGTGCATGTCGGTCTCCATGAGTTCCTGCGGCTTGTGTCAGTCTCCTCTCTACTCCAGCTGTATGCAGATGCGCACCTGGATGAGGTAGACCTCAGTGAACGTCTCGTAGTTGCGAGGCTTCTGGATGTCAAGAATCGAGATGATGTTTTCGTGGTTGAAATACCGCAGCAACTTCATCTCTCGCAGTGTTCGCAGACAGAACATGGAGTGGTCGAATGGTGTGATCTTCTTGATAGCCACTTTCTGACCGGAAGGCTTGTGCAGCGCGGAGCTGTCAGAAAGTTAGCAACTGCGCTGCCGCTGTCAATCGCGGTTCCACGTACCAGACAACACCGTATGCGCCCTCTCCTACAACATCCTGGATGTCATACTGCTCGGACACGTTGAAGGAGATCTTCCTAGAGCCTCCGCTCCCTGCTGGAGGCATACTGGCGGCTGTTGTGGGTTGTAGGCTCGGTTACTGGAGGTTCTTGGTCGGTCGAGGGGAGCTGCTACTCAATTCTTGCGTGCAGCGAGTAGGTGAGGTTCGTCAATGGAAGGTGGAAGGTGGAAGGTAGGTATGACAGCAAAGACGTCAAAGCACAATCTGCGACCATTATTTGTCAGTACAAGACCAGGGAAGGTAGAGCTGTGGCCATTGTCTGCAGGACATAAGCTGTGTCTTGGTTCGTATCCACCCGGCCCGGGGCAGTTTATGGTGAAACGGTGCAGTGTCATGACGGTGAGCTCAGCCCCACGTGCTCCTTTGAGACGCGGGACCAAACGAGACTCCCGTGTTGACAATGGAGCATTGCCAGGAACAAAGAGGCTGACTAGTCGCTGCACAGCCACCATGCGAGCTGAGTGAGAGACATCCACATACCTCTAAGTCAAATTTGCTATGTTGCACACAGGAGAAAGCAGAGAAATTGAGCTCGGAGGCGGTGCTCTTCTAGGCGATATCCAACGTGCTGCAGTGTCGTGCGCACTCGTAAAGTGGCGCGTCGACTGACTGAGGGGTGCGCTAATTGATGCCGAACGCTGTAGACGGGTCGTTTAGCCTTTGATCGGCGGCTATTGACCTCGACGGCGTATGATTGTGCGAGAGCAAAGGAGAGTCGAGGTGGTGACAAGAGAGCGCGGGAGCGATATGAGGTGAGAAGGGCGCTCACTGAGGGGCAGGATCTACCAGGGTCTGCGGGTGCTTGATCGCCAGGTCAGCCTCCAAATGTGCTGAGATGCAGTGGAAAAGGGTGAAGACGAACGTGGCAATGCACTGCGATGTACAGAGGCCTGACAGCACACAAAGGCTGTTTGTTCTCCAAGCTTTTCTATCTTGTAATGGAGAGGAAGGTGCGATGGCGGCGTTACTGCTGATGGTATGGTGGGGTATCTGCAGCTCAAGGCGGGCAAGCACACGCAGGAACGGTTCTCACTCGACGAGCACAACACCACAAGCAAGGATGAAAGCGAGATCAGATTGGGAACAACCTGCAGCTGGCAGCACGCAGTTATAGCAACCCGCGAAAGTAACACCTCTGTCTGAAGGCTGCTACCGCCGCGTGAGCTTCCTTCCGCTACTAGTGCTAGCCGCCGCATCAGTAGGACCAGCCAATAGCACGGAGAACAGGGCAGGAAAACCGAGCCTATGTCGCGGACTCCCGCACGATGCACAAGTAGGCCACTCTGTTGGGGCCTGCACGAGAGTCATCACAAACTTTGCGACTGCGTTTTGCATCTGTCTGTGGTAAGAGCGACCTTGTCTTATGTGTCTCGGCTCTGCAGATGCCCCACCACCTCTTCACCCACATCTCGCTTCTGAGAGACTGCACAGCTTCTCGTCACGCAGCGAACGACACCAACTGCCTGGCTCCCCGTGTACTTCTCGTTAACGTCTTGTCCATTCCAGTTCTGGAGGCCAACATCTGAAACCTCCTCGTCTGCAGGGGTCTAGTTCCAAGGGGCAGCCGACATAACGAATGGGGTGAAGGGTGTCACATCTAAACTTAGCAGGGCCGCTATAGCGGCCTTCATTGGCTACATGACCGGCATGTGGTCATTTCGGACGTCTGCCAACTTTCTGTTGTCTGAGATCTTGACAGCGCGACAATCGAATGGTCGAAGGTTTGATTCTTCATAGTGAGCAAGCTAACAGCATGGAAGGACTGCAAGGCTTCTGGAAGTCTGTTTCGGCATGAAGATCCAATGTCCCGGACACGCACACCCACCAATGCACCGAGACATCACTACATTAACATCTGCTGAGGATCGAGCAAAGCACTTTGCGACATTGAAAGAGCATGGAGTGTAGAAGGTACTACCGGTTACGCAGTGGTCCTGGGCGGACATCCTGAATGCAAAATTACCTAGTTTGTACTGCATGAGCGTTCCAGCAATATACGTTGGCAAGATGGGGTGAAAATGTCCGAAGTATGGTTTGACAACTACATCTCAATGCAGCACACTTCGTCATATTCGTCTAGGACTCTGTATACTGTATCTTCACCTGCATATGGATTCTGGGTGTTCCAGACAGCTTGCATAGATTTTGTGGCTCGTGCATCCCTGCTCGTTGCCTCTCCTCACTATCATCAGTCAATCTTCACCTTCATCTCCAATGCCGCTGGGAGGTCCTCAAGATGATGACGGTGAACAGTGAACTAACCTGGTAGCCGGAAAAAACACTCAAGGACAAATCCGACGTTGACCTTTTTACACCGTTGCTCCCCTACTCACTGTCACCTACCTCGAAGCATTCGCTCAGTCAATCTATATCAAGACGAAACGCCTCTGTCGCGACAGTGGCCATCGTGATAGCGAGAGAAGACTACAACCCCGTGTCCTGGTCATTGAAAAAAGTCCTCTGTCGTCAAAAACTTCAAGTAGACAAAACCAAAGGACGGGGACGATCTAACGGGGGTGTTCGTTGATCATGCCACCCACGAATTCGGCATCGTCTATTACGATCCGCAATTGACCGCCGCGGTCGAACAATTCACTGTCACGGAGGAGCCAGTTTACTTCGAAACAAGGACTGCTCGCGCGGCATGCAAGCAAGATAACCAGGGCAAGATTACAGTTCTATTCCAGCATATACAGCTTGACCTCGAGTTCGACTCGTCAGGTACTGATGATCATATCAGTGCCGCAACATCCGCTCATGAGCTCTTCAATGCCCTGGAAGTTCTCGCTGCAGTGGCTCAGCACAAATCGTTCTGTACCCACACCGTCGTCGCGAAGGGCTTCAGGTATCCATATTTCGACATGACTGCCCAAGGGTGAATCGAACGTACTGTAGAGCCCTGGATGACTATAAAGTAAGTAGCACCATCGTTCTTGTTGCGGTATCAGTCGGCCCTTACGAGACCCGATTACCCTTGCTTAGACTGTTCTGTACTAGCACGTTCCAGGGACAGTATATATCGTCACCTCCTAGCTAGATAGCAACTCAGCGTAGTATTCCATCGACCCGATAGTCCTACGTTATCGTTTACCGTAGCTATCAGTATACCACAGCGGCCTACGCCGCCACAGTTCTTTTAGACTAATGGTCTATCAAGTCAGACGTCGAGAATTTTCGAGGCCCCAACCACGTTTTGAAATCGCTGACCGGCCGCTCATCTATTAAGAAGCAAACGGTATCTCCTTTGCTGCTCCGGTCCCGAACCTCAATTAATGTCTCTCAGGTGTTCATCTGTTATAAACAGCCACTCTTGCGGGCCAACTACCTGAGCTAATTCTTGTGTGAGTACTTCCAGTGCGGAGCGAGGGGCGACTCGATTTGGGATATAGGGCAGTCACAATCTCACGAATTGAAAAGCTCATTCCTGCTCTTTCATCCTATGTACGCCAGTGTAGGGTGCCCTCGCTACCAATGTTCACACTGGCATAATCCGTACTCTTATGACCAGGGCAAGTTCATGTAGTATCTGTACGCACAGTCTTCACATGCGCTGAGTTCGAACGCACGGCCTCTTTACGTTCAGCATTTGTACGCACAAATGTTTCCTCAACAGCTCGACCCTTCACCAGCTCCCGAGCCGTCGCAGGCCTCCGAACAGTCTACCACTTCGGAGCCTCATCTTATCGAAGAACGCGTTCCAAAATTTCACAGGAAAGCTTATACGTCAAAGGATACCCGCTATTGTATTTCAGTTGCAAAACGCCCATCAGGTCATCAGAACAGAGGCCTTTACGCTACTCAAGTGTATGAGTCTGATGGATCAGTCCCACCGCGTCGATCGCCTCAGCGCCAAGTCTCTCCCAGCAGTCGTCTCCGTTGGGCTCCGCGAAAGATGGCCCAAATGAAGATGTTCTTGTTTTGACGTCTCCCGAGGTCCTGATCCGGAGGATGTGCATATATCATCGCATGAGCCCAAGGCGCCCAAGGAAGCCAAGACCGACTTGCAGTCATCGTCTTGACGTCTTCTGATCTGGGAGATCTGCAGACATCATCACATGAAAACAAGGCACCGACAAAAGCCGACGAACGACCTGTAGCACCGAAAGCTATCGCCAACAAACGCGGCAAGCGAAGAAGAAACGACACCGATACCTCTGTACGATGATAATACATATCGCCAGTCCGTCGCCGAAGAAGTACACGTCTGGCTCCGCCAAGCGTATCCTAGGCTGCTCTCGTGGTCATGGAAGGCAGGGGTCTTATTCATAGATTCGAAGAATTCCGACGGCACGATCCTTGGCGGGCATCTGCTTGTTTAGACAGATCCAAAGGGTGCCATGAAAAAAAAAGCAAGTCGTATTTAGCCATCGCCTTTAGCTACACTGTCAAATTCTACTGTGCCAAGTGCAGTAAGGCTCATTCGATTGATGTGAAACGCAGCTTCATCACTATGCTGGGCGCGGGTCTCATGTGCCGCGACGATATGCACGCATAGCTCAAGAGTAAGCTCTCATTGTGTTCTTGTTTCCTTTGCTAACAATGTCGTGCTAGATGCGAAATCCGTTACGTCACGCAGTGGCATGAGTGAGTGCGGTAGGCCAGCTTGTTTCGTTGCTGAGACAAAGACCGAATGCGACGCGCTTGAACGTTTTGTTAGCAACCTCCCGAGTTGTTTACAGAAGCTTTGGTTTTGAATATCATGTCTTGGTCTTGGTCGTTCAGCATAGAAGACTTACTGCTTTCTCTGTGAGACTCTAGATGCTTGACACTTGAATTTCGATCACGGAATGCATCTATTGTATCGCAAATACCTCCACAGCCCCATAGAGCTATTTGACCGCCAGTCGCTTTCGGAATCAAAGCTGAAATTTTGTAAACGCGCAAGTTCTCCGTGCAGGCGTGAATAGGACACAGCCGGAGCACCTTGTCAAACCACGCACTTTGAAGTCGTTGCTATCACTATCGACTTCAAGCAGAGTTTCCACTACGACGTCTCCATAGTTGATTTCTCCAACCACGTTGGCTTGGCTATCAAGGCCGACAGGCTGATCGTGCGTGTGCAGGCTAGTCGTGTTCCGGCCTATTGCACCACCAGTCTGCACATGACCACTTCCGTGCATTGCTGAAGACGAAGTTCAAGAAACACAGGCTTAGGTAGGTAAGATACCCTTAAGATGCGCACTGACAAGTGGGCCTTTGGCCTCTTCGAGGCTTGAGTCTATCCAAATGTCGAACGCCATTTTCTCATGAGGCAAAAACTTTGTGGTATTTTATCTACTTATTAGCCTACAAGAGGTCCGAAAATCTACTCTGACTACCTTCCTAAACTAGGAGGGCCACAATTGGTCACACGAAGTCAGAAGCTCGGGGAGTCACTGGCAACCACGATCCACAAAGAAGTGTCGGACACGCCCAATTCAAGCCAATGCTTGCTCGATTAGCTTCCTTTCGTATCACAGGTAACACGAAGCCTGGAGGATTTCAGCAGATTTCAGTTAAATTGCTGATGTTGCCAGAATGCTGTGTAGTCCTTTTGTTACGAAAACTTACGAAACACACGCCGATTTACTTTGACTGCCTCCCGATGTTCAGAGGATCGTACCTGCAGCCAGGGCTATTTGATACGCTCCTTGAACCTATATCGTGGTTACCATGAGAGTCCCAATCTTGGAGTTTCAATGACATCTCCCCAGACTCTTGTTTGTTCCACAGAGTCACTGTGACTGGTCATTCACGCTTTTATATTCCATTTGGATGTTGAATACCTCCACGGTGGAGTTTGCAGCTTTGTTCCATCTCTCTACACTTCTTTCGCGAGGAAGTACAAGAACGAATTAGACAGCAGAAAACACTGATCAAATAAGCTAAGGCTTCTCCGCCTGAGCACGAATATTTCAATATGTTGTAAGAGAACAACTATACAAGCTTGGGGGTGATTTGTCTACTGGGATTATATGAGATTGAAATCAGGGCAAGTGGGTGTTGTGGGGGAGTGCAGTGGCGAGCGGCTGGGTTGAACTTGGTGAGTTGAGCGATCTGAAAACCAGAATCATCTATGTCAGTGGCGTCAAACGATGTCGCAGTCGCTCATCCCGATCGCCATGGTCTCCGAGGTTCGACGGCACGTCAAGCCGACTCGAAGGTGCTGTTGAGTTATTGGTCACGCACGTGACGGTCATCGTAGACCAACCGTTACTGAATGCTGGAGGTAGACAGTGAACAGATGAAAGGACAAAACGCTCCCGAGGTTCACAACAAGGTCTTCACCGCGTCAATTGCTCAGCTGGGGTAGCTGACTGGGGTTCTGGAAGTCTGAGGCTCCAAGCGCCCAGTTCGTGGCTCGTGTTGGTGAAATTAGACATGACGCAGCGGCTAAATCTGGGGCGATGGCGGCCGAGCAAGCGACAAAGAGCAATTGAGCTGGCTGGCCTTACGGGGTTTTCAGGGTCCAGGGCATGCCCCGGAAAGTGTACCTGACACATGTACCTGACCTTGCATTTCATCCTTGGCAACTGGATCGACATTACTTCAACTCTATGTTCAAGATATGGCCGTGTACTGATGCGAAAAAAAGTCTTTGATAGCAATTCTATCCAAATCGCCAGTGGTATCATCCCAACCAGCCTATTAAACTCCAGGTCTTGAAATGGCATCATGCGCCGCCTGTCACAGAAAGCCACAGAGCACACCCAAGATGTAAAGATGGAACCATGTCAATTAGCTTGTCGACTCTCTCCCAGCGGCCAGAAGTCTGAGAACATGAATCCCATCGTCCCACACACTAGATCCTCCATAAAGTAGCCCTTAGACCAAAGCGTATTATAAAGCCAAAGTATACAATCGAAATACTGCTGCGGCGTGTGCGCAAGGAATCGTGGATGACCTCGAACTCCCATCGCAATGCACCAAGCAATGCAGGAGGGTATCATGATGCAGAGTCGAAGTCGTTACCCGTAAGATGGCGTTTCCTTCCCCTTTACCACGAATCTGAGAGACTGGAGAGTGGAGCAAGCTCAACTCAGCAGATCAAACAAGCATCTTGAACTGCTTACAAGAAAGCAGCGAGGGCACCGACAACGGCGAGAAGGCCAACACCAGCCTGGGCAGCAGCGCCAGTGAACTCAGGCTGTGCTTAAGTTAGTTTTGTTGTCTACAATGACTTGATCCAGATTGACTTACGGTAGAGGGCTTGGTGCTGGTAGGGTAGCCAGTGGCAGTTCCCTGAGGAGCAGAGTGGGGAACGGTGGCGTTCTTGCTGGGGTAGGGGGCGTGGGAGGGAGCGACCGGGGGGATGGAGGCACTGTAGACGGGAGTCTGGGGCTTGCTAGAGGGCTTCTCGGCCTCGGGGGTCTTGGTGGTCTTGACAACGGTGGTGGTGTAGGAGGAGACGGTCAGAGTAGTGGCCTTGGTGACCGAGTAGGTCTTCTCCTCGTAGGTAACAACGGTAGGAGTAGCGCAGACGAAGGTAGTCTCCTTAACGACCTTGGTGGAGGTGACCTGAGCAGTCGTTAGCAATGCGTTCGTTGAATCATGAGCATGGCGAACATACGGGGTACTCCTCGTACTTGACGCTGGAAGAGGCGACAGGGTAGCCGGGGGCAGAGGAGACAGGGTAACCAGCGGAGTAGACAGGGGTAGAGGCAGCGTAAGCTGGGCTGGAGCTGGCGGGGTACTCCTCGTACTTAACGCTGCTGGAGGCAACGGGGTAGGCAGGGGTGGAAGCGACGTAGGCGGGAGTGGACGCAGCGTAGGCGGGAGTGGTCTCGTAGGCGGGAGTCGAGGACTCAGCTGCGTAGTACTCAGGAAGGGCCTGGGCACCAATGGCGCTGATGGCGGCAATGACGGCGAAGGAACGCATTCTGATTGTAGGGGTTGGTATTAAGTACGTTGGTATGAAGTACGGGCGTTGGAGGTCGTAGAAACGAGTGAAATCGGATATATCCGGTATATTAGTGTAGTGAGTGTGGGTGAAGAAGAAAAGACATGATCAGGTACTGGGAAAGCTACTTTATAGGAACTCGACAGTATACGAGCTTACCAAGAGAGTCAACATCGTCGGACAGGGGGTTCACATTGATGGTAGCATCTACCAGCGAGCATCTGGAGAAGCTGGTCCGTGGTGGCGTTCTAGTGGATACGGTAAAGGGGGAGCTTCGATAAGGCTGGTCGTCTGAGCGAGTTTGTTAATGGAAGCTGGATTAGCCTATCCGAACACGATGAGGCGCAAACAAACGAGGTGAACGACCAATTTCCCTTGCCAAGGGTCCATGCAGCATCAACAGTTCGCTCACCTGTCTAACCATTTCCGTCTCGAAGTAGGTTAGTGCAGATATTATTCACGACCACAACGTGCACAACAGCCCACTAATTGTGCATGAGCAGGATCTTGTATCCGTGATCAAGAGCCATGCGGAGTAGAAAATGGACGCACGACCATCTGCGGTGGCTGTGAATGCGATCAAGTGCCTGCAGACCTTGACACTTTCGAGAATCTCCAGTTCTCAAAGCCCCTGTATCGACGCATGGGCATCATTCACGAAAGGAACGTGAACGCGCTTCCTAAAGCATGTAGCGAAGCGGAATTCTGTGTAAATCGTTCCTTGTCATCGAACGCGATTGGCAATGTCCTTGCAAGCAAAAATAGCCGGACATCAATAGCGGGTTCGAGAAAGGGCGGTCTCCCGACGCATTGAAGAGGTGTTGGTCAACGCTGAGGTGGATACGTGCGGGTTCCTACATTGTTGCCCAGACTAAGATCTGACGAGGGGCCGAATGCCGAGGAGCGCTGAGGTGTCGAACGGAATTCGATGGGCTTGTGTCTCTTGTGTTTTCCTCACAAGAGCTTGACGATTGGCATTTACGGTACCAAGATGTCGCTAGATGGAATTGAAAGGTAGGCTTCGCTCATTGATTGGCCACAAGGCCTCCGACTCAATTGATGCGTGTTGCCTGCTACCGCTCCATACGACCGTTTCTGGGAAGTTATTCTTCGTGTAATCTCGCTCGAAAATCCTCCACGCGCGTGAGATGATGGATTTCGAACGCCACGTTGTTATCGCGCGCGTTGCATCGAGTTCATTGACGGATGCGAAATGAGTTCTTTCCGATACGAGCGACCCTCGGCCTAACAACTCCCGCAAATGGCAATAACTCCCGTGTCTCCATGCACGCTGTTCGAGGCCTCTGTGATGATATCGTGATGTCGTGAAAGGTATTGGATTTTGTTGCTCGAGCTGTTGTGCGCGGAACACAGCCGAGTGAGAACTGTCGATGCCAAGGCCACGAACTTTTGCAGTTTGTGGCTCTTGCTTCTCTCACCTTCACCACGTCGACGTCCACGCGAATCCCGAATGCATGCGCTGATGACGGATCACATGTATTGATGATTTACACAATACTCCGGTACGAAGATCGATAAATTCTTGATCGCCGACCAACAAGAATCGACCACCGCTTCACGCAGCGTGACACATCTCGAGTCTCATTGCGAGAGCCTGGATCGCGCATTGCAGAAGCGCAAGCGAATACATCAAAATGCAAGCACGAATGCCAAAAGAATGGCCTGAAGGCACTACGTATCTGCGTGCACCATCATACTCAAAGAAGCTCACTAAGGACAAGCTCAATACGCTTCTCCTATCGAAAGCAGTCTTATCGCCGAAGGAGCCAATACTGCAAACGAGAGGTCCCTACGCAAACGTGAAGATTGCGGTGATATCGAATGCTTCACATCCAGCACACGGTCAACATGGGCTCTACGCTACACAGCATCTACCACCGGACTCTTTCATCCTACCTTACTTGGGGTTTGTACACGATCAGACTGAACTAGATGAGACGTCTGACTATGACCTTTCGCTGGATCGCGAACTAGGTATTGGAGTCGATGCTTCAAAGATGGGCAACGAGGCAAGGTTCATGAACGATTATCGAGGCATCTCCACAGGACCGAATGCCGAGTTCCGCGACGTTTTGGTGGATGTTGGATTCGGCATTGTGGAGAAACGGATGGGCGTCTTTGTACTCAGTACAGGCAAGAGTGGGAAAAGAGCAAAGGGCATTGGACGTGGCGAAGAGATTCTCATAAATTACGGGAAAGGTTTCTGGGCCGAACGCAAATCGGTAACAGAATGATCAAAATACGGCCAAGTCGATCATCGCCGCTCTGTATGCGCACAGCACCACTTGCTGCCCGTCCGCCCACCTATCGCATCACCATATGCTCCAGTTCAACGCAACCTTGCTACATATCGCCCCGGCCTCCCACTCGATCGTACACCATGCATTTTGATATCTTCGAAATGACGGCTCGGTCGGAAGGCATTTAGCTATGGCAGAACATCTCTCATAGTACTCTGGCTCTGGGAGTCAGGCTGGAGATGCCTTTCATAAGCTGATGTGAGTCCTTGGGCAGGGCTCTATACATCACCAAAGCCAGAAGTATGTCTCGCTTGTACGGCATCCCCAGCTTTGCGCCCGGACTCTAGCGTGTTCTTGCGGACACGATCTTCACACATGGCGCCCCACAACCAACTGGTTGTTTTGTTCTAGAACATCGTACAGCATGCCGCGCATAATGATCGTGAGTTGGCACCAAAGATTACTGCGACTGACACAGGACGTCACAGAGCGACATTTCGACTGCACGTGGAACTTAAACACGTCAGGGGGGTCAGAAACAAGCTGGGGCGCTTCAGCTGTGGCGTCAGGAGCGACGATCTGTCAACTCCATCAATCAAATGCCAACGATCTCGTGGCGTTCCAGTCCTAAATTCTTGATCAAAGCCACGGCCTTTACCCAATCGAGTCATCTGTGAGGCGTCCCACGAGCTGTCACACAGGAAGTCCCAAGGCTGAGGGGAGCTGGCCCTGAGCCAAGTGTGACGTCGGAGGATCAGAATCTCCGCTCAGCGGCGCGCAGAATTCGTTCCTTTATGAAGAAGCAAAAACATCTCAGAGCAACGTCATCCCTGGGGTGCAGATGGGATTGTTGCCCGAGGACGGCATTGCTGGCCCTTCTTGATGGCAAAGTGAAAAATCGCATGCGAGAATGAATCGCCTCAGTGCAGCAAAGGGCACGGGTGAGTCGCACGCCTGCAGGTACGTGGCCTCAGTCACACCAACAAATGATTTCAGGGGCATACTTTTTGACAAAAGCTGTCGATCGCGAGTTTGTCCCGTGATGCTCTGCGTTTTCCCAGTGACGTTGTGCGGGTTTTGTGAGCATGGCCCACATCGATCGACAAGGGAGCTTCCATCCCCCAATCAGCGCTTCAGATGCATTTCATCCAAATTCCTAGCCAAGCTCAACGTTCAAAAAGGTGTCCATGCGCAAGGGCGGGTACGCGGCCGGTTTCGACTTGGGCCTCTCATAACGATTCCACGTCATGGCATTTGCGGTCTGGAAGAATGCGCTTTCTCATAGCATTCAAAAGAGTCTCAGATCCCTCCAGGAACATCAGCAACTATAACCGTTACCTACCGCAAACCTTTGACTCTTGCGCGTTCTTGCAGCAATACCTGGCATTTTGCCTACCCTGTCACAATCACACCACCAATCAACCAACCAGCAAACTCGCTCAGCTGTTTCCGCAAGCGTTGCGTTACGCTTCTCGAACTGTACCAAGCTACTTACAAAGCTAACGCTTTTGGGCCGACTCCAAGTCAAACTTATAACCATCCCCGCTCCAGCTGGGCTACTCCATTCAGTTGTTCAAATCGACCTGCGAAAATCAGAAGCAACATAATCTCACCTCTCACAATGACACCCTCTACCAGACCCACACTGAGCAGAGTAAGTCTCTTCACCACAATGATATGAACACCGCTAACATGGCTTTAGAACGAATCCATGCAGAAGTATATATTACTCGCAGCTCAGAAAGAAGCACTTCAACGCCGGATGTCGATGTCCATCCCTTTCGGTCTACCTATGTCGACCTCTTCGCCTGAATTTCAGTCCCTGTCATCGTCATTCACCGACTACACTTCGACATATCCTACAGCTACTGAGCCTGTTCCTACAAGACCAGGCACGGTGACCCAAAGCAGTGTCCATGATATGCATAACGACGAATCGCACAAACTCTACGAGATCAACCAGCAGATCGTAGCAACACTCATGGAGCTCCTGAACACCGAAGCCGTCAAGACGGATCCAAAGTATCGTGCATTCATACAAGAAAAGCTCATGGAATCCGAACATCAGATCCGCCGACAGAGGCGTCGACACTCCTCAAATGCCGAGCGAGACTATGCGTCCTCTATCGCACATCATCTAGAGCTTGGTCTCAACACATCGAAGACTTGGGCGTGACCTCGTTTCTTCCTATATGGACTTGTAAAGATGTCCATGCAATCTTGTGCTTTTCTGCGGCGCTGTCTGTGGCGCAACGGTTTTTCTGAGATGAAGTGCTCAGATCAGAGACAATCGAAGATGAAAATAATACCCAATGTATACGCATGCATCATCTAGAGCACGGCGTTTGCAATAAGGCAACTAATGGCCTCTCAACGTACTGTTTACCTATGAACGATCTAATGAACCAGTCTTGAAATTAACACAATGCCCGCCTGGCTGTGATTACACACTCCTTCATAAAGTTGCTATTTCGTAGTTTGTCTTCTCGCATGACGACCTTCCCCTTTCGTGACCACAATCCCTGATCTTGGGACAAAGCATGCTCCACAGGAATGTTCCAGGCACGTCTGTCCATTCGGCGAGTTCCGACTTATCCGACCCCTTGCAATCTGCACTCCCATGTCGCATTCGCACGCAACTTTAGTTAACGGACCCAAAATGGAAAATTTTATACCGCTCTGAGATCACGATGAAATCAGGTTATGCCCTCTGCTCATTTCGTGTAAAATCCCTGTGCGCACTTGCCACAACACCGCCTGCAATCCTCTAGGCGCTTCTGGGCGACATGCATCGTCGATGCCGCCCCCAGGTTTTCGCTTGCTTATCGGCGTGACATCATACACGCGCTTCTATCAGCAACCACATCGACGAATCCAAGAATATATTCCGGGACAGCACGCTCATCCTACCCAAGCTTACACCCCCTGGCTCCCAACGCAACGTTGAACATCGAACACGAAGGTCTCGATCGATATCGAATGATGTTGTTATTGCCAATCGGCATGCTAAATGCGGGGATCGACGCAACCCCTCACTCAACATTGCACCTCCAAGAAGGTTGAGTGAGCCTTGCATCCCCACAGCTGGAAAAGCTCCCCCACCTCTGTATGGCGAGCAGCTGCAGGGTCCCTCTCGTGGGCTCTGACTGGCTTCATGCACGCCGGTGAAGCTCACTGCGTGACCATGTGGCAGACGAGACAATGCATGCACACCGGGAGGATGTGTATCAAAGACATCCCGTCTGCATGAGGACCTCTGTTGCAGTTGAGTGTGAGCGGCTGGTATGAACGACGATCGAGGCCGAAGGACCGTTGAAGCTCTCGGAGCGTTGTTGGTTTTGGCTCACAGCTAACGGGTCATCCCAGATACGGCCGCCAACGTCCTCTTCGCCCGGTTCTACGCACCGATCCCATCTCGCTTCACTTTCAAATGGAAAAATGTGGAGTGCGTCTGTCCTCTGGAAAGCGTATGCAGCCCGCAAAAGCGTTTCGAGAAGCGATAGACTGCAAGTCGGTCGTTGAACAAGTCGGGCTGGTCATTACATGCTGTAGGCCATCGTGAGGCCTAGAGACGACACCATTTGTCACCTGACCTCATGATATCGCCAGATATCACTCCATCAAATGACGATGATTCAGAGAGGATGCCGACACATCGTTCTCATGACTTGAATATTGCAATCCAGCCTGCTAGAAGGAAGGACCAGAAGCACGAGGCCGTTGGTCTTACCTGTAAGCCAAATACACATCGAACCGCAAACGGCCCGCAAAGCGCAGGCAGGCAGTCGAGACGTGGGTATCAAAGCCGGCTAATATAACGGCAAGGCTCAAGGCTTCTCCCGCACCACCATCACAGGCTGGCACGGGATGCCGAATATTACAGTGAACCTTTGTACGGGCTGACTACTTCTTCATGTCCTCCACAGAAGAGGCTTTCGGGCCGGGGACGGTCATTCAAATCCTTGGGCTGACTGCAGTGAGTTATCTTGGCATTGTCTTTCTTATGGCACAGTACCTTCGAGAAGACCAGGTGCTCTTCAATGCATGATGTTCATGGGCTTCGGTAAGAATGAAACCAATATTTCCATTCTCTCGAGTCTCGATCGGACCCCAGTGACTTAAAGTCCACATGTCGCTATGTCATCGGTGCGACCAGTCTAAATTAATGATTGAGCCATGTCACAGTTAGTATGGCGTTGTAGTGATCTTGCCTCAGCACACTTCTATGAGTGCAAGCCTGATTGTCGTTGCCCGTGCAGAGTAGCTGAAGCGCCTCACGGCTTGTCACAATGCGTCATTTCTTGTCGAGGACTTTTTCCAGAGTTCTGTGCACCCTTACAACGAAGACTAAGAGAGCTCAAGGACGTTCAGAAACCTAACGAAAGGTTCGCAACACTGTTGCATTTTTGTTGAGAAAGTAAAGAATCATGCAACAGCAAGTATGGAAAGAGGAAAGTTCCTGATTGTCTGCTTCCACCTTTCCACCTCTCCAGGTCTGACACAAAAACCCACCGTTCCTAAACAGGCAAAGTGAATCTTACATTGGAAGCTTGCAATTAACTGGCCCCAGCACCACTTCTGCATCTCACTCATCTCTGACAGCGGACGATACCACGAGCCACGAATCATCCTGCCATTCATTCTACTCCGCAATGAATCCGCCGGCCTCCGAAATCTTGAGCTTTCTCGGCTGGACTGGGCAACGGAACGTTTCCGCATGCTCGATTGGCCCCCACCTACGACCTTATCGATTCGGTACATTGACCGCGGCAAGCATGGCTGGTCTTTCCAGCATGTCTCTTCAGGCTCTTTTTCTTTTTCACGAGGACAGTATCAAGTCATACTTACAATTGCCAGAGGCCGCCGACAGTCGAAACAATGCCAGACAACACGGAGACCGCTGGCGAGAGCGTCGCCTACATCAATGCATTGGTGTATACTGTAGATACCTCAAAACCGTGGGTATCTGCTTTCATTGTATCACACGATGGCTTCTTTACACACGTTGGGTCTACGGAGGCTGTCCTATCTGAAGCGAAACAATTTCACATGGTCGTTGTTGATCTGAAAGGTCATTTTACGATGCCGGGCATCCATGATGCGCACATGCACCTCTTGTATTCTGGACTGGCCCTTACATCAAACGCGGCCATCGATATGGACGCTACCCACCTGGATATCGCCGAAAAAGTCAAACATGGGAGTTGCACTTGCGAGTATATGAATGCATACCAAGACTGGGTCCTAGCCAGTGCTTACAACAATCAAGGTTTCCCTGACGGCGTTGCAGACCGCAAATATCTCGATAAGCTCTTTCCGGATCAACCTGTTGTGGTGTCGGGAGGTGCAGCACACGCGATGCTGTTGAACACAGCTGCCTTGATTCAAGCAGGTTACGATATCGAGAATGAGCCAGATACACACGGAGGCAAGTTCTTTCGCAGACCTGATGGCAGTCTCACTGGCGAGCTCGCAGAAAGCGCAATGGCGAAAGCTGCACTCTCCATTCCAGCGCCTAACCGCGCGCATGTCAAGCGTGCACTAAAGCATGCCATTCGACTTGCGCACAAGGCAGGTGTGACAAGCACACAAGAAGCAAGCTCCAATACGATCATGTTGCAAGTTCTGAACGAGATGGAAAGAGAGGGTTCATTACAGTTGGACATATCTACCCACATTGTGCACGAGAACGAATGGCTTGCCTCTGAGAGCAAAGAGAGTCTACAAAAACTACTAGAAGTCGCCGATCAGCATGCAAGCAAACACATCGATACGCGCTTCGTCAAGATCATGATGGACGGTGTGCCTCTTCCACCACTGTTCACACACGCATCATTGAACGACCAAGAAGAAATCGATCATAGCATGATTGTACCAGAGAACGTTGCTGACGCCGTGCTCAAGTACGACAAGAAAGGGTTGACAGTTAAGATCCATTGCACTGGGACCGGGGCAACAAGACACGCACTTAACGCAATCGAAGCAGCGAGAAAGAGTAACCCTGGCGGCCCAAGGCATGAAATTGCACACAATTCTGGCGTTCACGATGGTAAGAGATCTGCGCATTTGCGAACAATCGAATGGAAGCAGTACCCTAACGCTGGGCACAGATGACTTCAAGCGCTACGCTCCTCTTAATGTTACTGCAGAGATGTCACCTGCCGAGCTCTTTTTGCATCCTGTTACAGCTGCTAGTGAGGGTCTGATGAATTGGAACTTCGCTAAGATGATTGATGCTGGTGCCCATATTACCATCGGCTCGGATTGGGGTGCTGTGCCTGACCCTTCGCTTTTCCAACACATGGCAAACATCGTCGAGATAGTAAGGAAAGGTGATAAGGCGGCAGGTGGACAAGTATTATGCCGGATGATGACGCTAAATGGGGCCATAGCCGTAAACAGAGAGAAAGAGTTGGGCAGCATAGAAGTTGGGAAGAAGGCAAACTTCATCGTCATGAGTAAAGATCTCAGCAAGGGCGAATTTGACGGCGCGAAGGTATTGCGGACGTACTTCGAAGGAGAGAAGGTTTGGGACGCCAATGAGTGAGGACATCCTTATCGTACCTATGTTCGCATATTATAGTGGGGGAATATACAATCACTATCTAGCTCCTTGGCCAAAACATTTGCACCCTCATACCGAGAGTCCTGAAAATGTCACAAGCTTGCCACCCTAAGCTCGACATTTGTCAGCTCGCTGATACTCTACCCCAATTTCGGAATGATGGAACCCGAGCCCTCCGAAGCCAGACTATTCCTCCGCCGAACAATGGCATTTTGGACGTGCCATCCACGCTTACGAAGCAGAAGTGACTCTTGCATGCTTTGCGACACTTTGTATGTCTACGGTGATTTCCTGATGTACGTTTGAATATTCTATGCAGTTCTATCTCAATAGCTGCGTGGCAGCTCCAAAACCTTCTCGCTGACATAGTTCAGGATCATCTCTCGGCTGACAGGAGCAATGCGTGGCACCATGCATTCCCTGAACCAGCGCTCGACATCATACTCAGCTGCATATCCCATCCCACCGTGAGACAACATCGCTCTTTCGCAAGCTTTGAAAGCCGCTTCTGCTGCCAGATATTTCGCACTGTTTGCTGCAATGCCTACAACATCTTGTCGAATGGACGAGTCTGTTGTACTCGCATCGTACAGACGAGCAGCGTGATATGTCGCCAACTTGGCTGCCTCTAGGTTCATGTATGCATCAGCCAGCGGGTGAGCGATACCCTGGTTCATACCAATGGGCCTATTGAAGACCTTGCGCTCACGAGCATAGCCCGCAGCCTTTGCCAACGCTGCATACCCTAACCCTAATGCCTCGCCAGCAAGCAAGCACCTTTCAGCGTTCATGCCATCCAAGATGATCTTGAATCCTTGCCCTTCCTTGCCAATCAGGGTACTGGCAGGTATGCGGTAGTTGTCGAAGAACACCTCATTCGCGTCAACCGCATGACCTCCCATCTTCTTGATTCTCTTGATTTCAAGTCCAGGGTTGCTCTTGTCCACGTCGATGCAAAACAAGGAAAGCGCCTGGCTGGGCTTGGGTGCCTCGTCGGCGGCCTTTGTGCGCGCGAGAAGGATCATTTTCGATGCGACTTGAGCACAGGTAATCCAAATCTTCTGGCCGGTGATCGAGTATGTGTCATCACCTTGCTTCTTCGCTGCAGTCGCAAGGGCGAGGGTGTTGAGACCGGCGTTAGGTTCTGTAACGCCAAAACATGTTCGCCATTCTCCAGAGATGATCTTTGGTATTGTCTCTTCAAGCTGCTCCTTCGTTCCAAATTTAGCCAATGGCTGCGTTGCGTATACATTCGCATGTATCGCCTGAGCCCCAGCCATACCTGCTCCAGATTCGGCTATTGTCTGCATCATGATGGTCGCTTCTGAGATTCCCAGACCAGCACCTCCATAAGCCTCTGGTAGCGCGACTCCAAGCCAGCCATCAGCTGCAAGAGCCGCATGAAAGTCTTTGGGATCGGTTCCATCTTGATCATGTTCTTGCCAATATGTGTTTGGAAACTTTGCGCAGACCTGGCTGATGGCTTCTCGAACCATGAGTTGGTTCTCTGTGAATCCTGTGGTTTCCATTACTCGCCGTGGGGTAGTGGTCGAGAACGCCCGTTTCCGCGCAGACAGCCATGGCCGGCTGCAAGTTCGTAAAGTCGCTCTGCACAGTTGGGACATCGCTGGAAGACAGAATTAGTTGTTTGAGCAGTCAAACGACGCTCAGCGAATGCGATTATCTTCGAACACGATGGCAAAAGTATATAGCCGACCTCCGAAGTTCTAGTGGGTCGTCGTCCGCCTCGGAAGAGCGAATCCGAACCCTAGATCGACAGTGTCTGATCGCGGGCTGCATTCTAGCGCCGAACGGGAGCTGTGCTTGTGCCCTCGACACTTCGCTGCCATCCTCACCGACTTCGACAGGCTCTTGACCATGAGTCGGTCTTGCCCTGCACAAGCTGGTTATATCGGGTCGTTCATCTGCGGTTACACAATTGCTCACAGGTCATCGAGCTCCCCAAACAACTGAGGTCCTTGATGACATCGTCCGTCATAACTGTGCTTCGCGTCTGCGGCCTCGGATCCGTTCTTGTGCAACTTGTGAGAAACGAGGTTGATTCGAAGAATCCAACAGATCAAGGCGACATGGCGTGAGAGCCTCCCTCGACTTGTATGTGGCTGGGTGAGTATTTCATCCGGTTACGAGCGTCGCGTGGTGTACGCATGCTAAGAAAACTTTTTGTGCTATGACCGCGGCAACTCAACCTCAGCGAAGACGGGATAATAGATGCTGAATCCTTGCGACCCCGCGGGGAACAACACGCGGGGAGACAGATATGATCCAGCACACGGACTACAATCCGGGGTCGATTCGTGGAGCAATGTTGGTCAGGCGTTGTCGCCCAGGAATGGCCAAGTCGCTTGCAAACACCAAGACAACAGCAGCTGGTGCAATAGGCGGAAATCACCAGGACATCAATTTTTCCGGTTCCTTGTGGCTTAGAACTTCATAGGAACCTGACAACCGCAGTCAACAACATCTTGGATACAGTAGAGTTGGGTCTTCACCGTCATGAGGGTTTATCACACTGATCCAATTAGGCGAGCAGCGGTCATGGACGAGTATATAAAGGTCTGGGAAAGCTGCAGAAATGGCATCATTACCAGCTGCAGATCTTCAGTCGATTTGAAAGACATTCACTGCTCAGCATCCACGTGATTTAAGTTCAACAGTCACAATGAAGCTCACTTCTGCTCTCGTTGTTCCTCTTATTCCCGCACTGTCTTCGGCAGCTGCACTCGGTCGCCGCCAGAACCAGCAGGGAGATGGTCCTCAAGGTGGTGCGGATGCCACACAGGGCGACCTTAGTGGACGCCCAGCACCACGCTTCCCCTTCCCTCGTGTAGAGTTCCCGGTCCCCAAGGAGACTGTCGTGCTTAACGAGACCATGTACATCTACCCTGGTCAGACCTTCGACGGACAGATGAAGCGCTATGAGCGTGTGGAAGGCAGCTGCAACGATCAGGCTGAAGGAACTGATGCCGATGCTGTCTTCAACCTTATGCCTGGAGCTACCATCAGGAATGTCGTTATCGGCAAGCACCAGTCTGAGGGCATTCACGCACTGGGTGATGCCTGGGTTGAGAATGGTATGTCGAATCTTCGTTCAATAGCTCTTTCACAAGGCTGACATACGTTGCAGTCTGGTGGGAAGACGTCTGCGAAGACGCCCTGACCTCCAAGGGTCTCAACACACAACTCCGAGTCATCGGTGGCGGAGCCCGCAACGCCCAGGACAAAATCTTCCAAGACAACTCCTTGGGAGGCAAGTTCAACATCACCGGTTTCTACGCTGAAACCTTCGGCACGTTCTACCAATCTTGCGGCAACTGCCTGAATCAAGCCAAGCGCAACGTGACGATCCAGAATGTCATTGCTACCAACGGCACCCGCATGGGCATAATCAACCCCAACTTTGGCGACGAGTACCGCATCAAGAACTCACAGGTCCAGGATGTCAAGTTTATGGTCGACAAGGAGATTGGCAACAATGTGCAAACCGTTCCATATACTATTGGAACTGGGCCGGACGAGAAGTACGCGCTGTACAACATCACCCGTGATCAAATTACTGGCTTTAACGGAACTGCGACTAATGTCTACACGCCTGAGGAGCCGTATGAGTGGTTGTCTGAGTTCTGGCCCGAGAACTAGAGGATGATTGATGAGCGATGTGCGACGACTTGTATATAGACTAATCACTAATGTGCCAACAAAACATTGTGTTTTCTGAACTTATCTCGACACTAGAGTCAAATTGCCTGACCTGCCATCGCAGTTGCTTCACATAGGTTCTCTTTCAAAGAAGTTCATCGGAGCCAACCGACTCTTTCTTGCAGGGACAAGACGCCAATCCATGCCAACGAAAACTTTCTCAAGGTTGACCTCTTTCAGATACTCTCAAATGCGTTTTTTTTTTGCAGCTCGCTTTGTTCAAGGTTTCAAACAACACTCTGCTGCGAGATCTTCTTACTCGCCCTCCACTTCGGCCAGTTGATGCCAACAGCAGTAACGAAGTACGTAAAGCTGTGTCTTATTAGCCTCTCATTCTTCAACAGCAATTCACTCTCGAACCTACCAAAGCAGCAACGCAACCGTCGCCGCAACCCCCATCAACGCACAACTGCTCCCCACACACCGTCCGCCCCCCATACACATAATAATAAACGCCGTAAACCACAGTAAGCAATCAAACGTATCCAGGATAAAGTTCGCCTTCAAGCTCGCCCACCTCATGAACCTCTGTTTATGGGTTGTCAGGTATTGGTAGAGCAGGAAAAATACGGATTTGATCGAGTAGACGAGGATAAGTGTTGTGGAGCGCGAGCGTGGCATTGATGTGTTGGCGAGCAGCGCGCAGCCGATGATGAAGGCGCCGAGAACGAGGAGGGCTTGGGTGATGTGGATGAGTCGGTTGAAGCGGTCTGCAAAGGCGTGAAAGTTGTCGAAGACCTTCATGGTGGAGGATGGGACAGGGTTGCAGGCCTGGTGGATTTTGGGTTCTGAGGTTGACTTTGGATAAACGTGAAAGGTGCGTAAGTGTAGTCTTTGGTCTGTCGAGATACTGGGGTACGGTTCGTGTGAGAATGAAACAGAGGCACAGTGTGACTGGGACTTGTTCATATATACAATACTCGTCCTCCTGCCAAGCAGCATCTCTTACACAACCCTGAACGCGCAAACCTACATCTTCACAGACTAACATTGTATGAAGAGAACCGTGCATACGTGAACGAATCAACGTAGTCGCCGGTAGTTCAGACCCACGTAGGGCTGAAATTCCATGGTCTTATTGCTTCAACGATGGTAAGCTTTACCAAGTTAGGCTTAGCTCTTCACTCTCCGTACTCGCTTATCTACGTGTACGGAGTTACGAAGATGTAGCCAAGACTTTCCGCAAGCTCAACCACTATAGGTATGTAGCATGCCGACATTGACTGGCAATCTCCTGCATAATATTCCGAACATTGTCGTTACGTGTACTTTAGTCGTGGCGATTAGTGGCTGACGAAATGACGACGACGTGGTAGCTATTGGAAGTCCTCCGAACAAACAGCGAGATAAGTAAGGTTTCGAGGTATCGAGTTTCAAGGCATCGAGTCTCAAGGCGGAGGGTAGAAACGAACCGGAACACCGATCGGAAATTGGTTCTGATTCCGGAGACGCGTTGATCGACGTCTAGGAGAAGACGAAGAGTCGCAAAAACGCGCCACGGAACAGTCCCGCGCTTTCCGATGGCGGAACGCTACCCCGCGCCATCCAGGTACCGATGTGGAGTGAAGTAGAGCTCACGTCTCGATAACAAACAGAGCTTCCCAGTTTTTCGACTTCCTGAACAACCTCCAATTGACAACTTGTATACCTGAAGACACTTGTGACATACACAATGGCCGCCACAAAAGTAGCTCTCATCACCGCCAGCTCAGCAGGTCTGGGTGCGCAGATCGCACGCGTCTTCGCGCCAGACTTCCGAGTCGTACGTTGCAATTGTCGAAGCCGAAGTGCTTTGTTGGCTGACGCTGCCAGGTGATCAACTACTCTTCCAACTCAGAACGCGCCCAAACCCTCATCAAAGAGCTCAATGCCATCCCCAGCACAACCTCCTCGAGTGAACCACGCTTCCACCTCGTTCAAGCCGACATGTCCTCAAAACCGTCGGTAGAAAACCTTGTCAGGGAGACACTGGACAAATTTGGGCGTCTGGATGTCGTTGTTTCAAACGCTGGCTGGACGCGCATGACCACCTTCACAGACATCGAGCAGCAAGTCAACGAAGAAGACTGGGACAAGTGCTTCGTCATGAACGTGAAGACACACTTGTGGCTGGCCTACGCTGCCAAGAACGCTCTGGCTGAGACAGAGGGCACATTCATCTCCACCGCTTCTGTCGCAGGAGTCAAGCCGAGTGGGTCGAGCGTGCCGTACGCGGTGACCAAGGCGGCACAGATCCATTTAATGAAAAGCTTGGCTGTAATTCTGGCGCCGAAGATCAGGTGCAACTCGATATCGCCTGGTATGCTGCTTACGGAGTGGGGGCTGAAGTTCCCGGAGGCGAAGAGGAATGCGGCGATCAACAATACGAAGTTGAAGAGGCTAGCGACGGTTGAGGATTGCGCAGATCAGGTGAGGGTGTTGGCGCTGAGCAGGAGTATTACTGGGCAGAACATCAGTATCGATGGTGGGTCGTCGGTGTGAAGATTTGGATGTAGAGACTAGAATGGGGCCTTTCTTTTGCAGCAAACTTGAAAGCAATAGGTATCCTGCTGTAACGTGACGTATCCTGGATGCTCGAGAGTACCGTTCACCGCAGACCTGAAATGTCCCTGCCCATAGAGTGTACTCGGTCTTCAAGGCCTCTCTTCTTCGACTCCAGCTGTCGTACTTCCTCCTCTTCTCGGCGCAGGTCCTCGGCTGTCAGAACAAGCTCCTCTTGCGGCTCGTCTTCAACCTCGTCGTCTTCGTCAACGTATTCGCCTCGCGATCGATTCAGTCGGCCTAGTTGAGCAGTCTGTTCGGCGAGCCGGTTCTCGTAGTATTCCAGCGAAGCCTCTAGCCTAGCGTGTCGCTGGCGCATAGCAGCGATCTTCTCGTGCGCACCTGGCACTTGGTACACGCCAAGTAGCTTCTCAGCCCCTTCGAGTAGCGACTCCACGTCTACCTCGTTCTTGTTGCTTGCATCGTACTTGCGGTAGCCCAGACCTGAACCTGCGCCGCCACCTCCGCCTCTTCTGATCCTCTCTACGAGCTCGTTACCAAGGACTGCGGCCACAGCAGTGTTACGTCTGGGTGCGCGAACTGCATTGGCTCCTCCGCCTGACGTGGTTGCGCCAGGACCGCCGTTGGGGTTGAAGATGGTGTTGCGCCTGTTGGCCGATGTGGGTGGCTCAGCATGCCTGGGCGCTGCTGGCGGCGGAGGGACAGAAAACAGAGCGCGCTCGTGTGCTTCGGTGTCGCGAATCAAGCTAGTGATATCGTGGTTCTGCAGCAGTGCATTGGTGAATATCTTGGGCGGGGCAAAGCTAGATGCAGTTCAGAGGGGTGCATGGTGAAGACAGATGGGATGTGCATACTGCAACTCGGCGATTGACGCGGAACATAGCGAGATCTGCTCGAGGTGGTTATCTAAGAGCGCCATGACGGACATGTGGATGGTGAAGGCCGAAGTAAAGGCGGGGCGTCGCGGTGTTTGGGGCGCATCAACAGCATGCATCGGTGAACTTAGTCATCCAGTCGCCGACTACTGCGTCAAGCAGTTGCAGCTCCATAGAGCTTGCCTCCAAGACCACATCCACCATCGCCTCATCGCCCGCCCGCGCCCGCCCGCGCCCGCCGCCCTCACATTCCCTCCACCCGCACCTCCCTCTCCTCACTGCATAGCACAAACAACAACAACAACAACAAGAACAACAACGGCAGCCATGGCGGACAGCATGGAAGGCGTCGTCACAGAGGCGGAGAAGCCAACCGCAGAGCAGACAGAGCAGCAGACCATCGCCGGTAAGCATATCTAGCATGGCAGCACACAGCATGACGACCTTTACCTCGCGGTGCACCTGCACCTACTGCACCACGTCATGGCCTGTTCGCAAGATGTGTCCAAACCACCTCAACGCTATCAACTTCGCCTCCTGCAAGTACCTGTTCCAGCGCGCTGACCCCACGACCATAGACATCAGGAGCAACTTCGCCCTGCTCGAGCGTGCCGTCACCCAGTTCGACTCCCGCTTCGCCCTGCGAGCCCTGCGCTCAATATCGTCGCTGCGGAAGCGCCTCACCGACCGCGTGCTCTGCTCGGTCATCATCCTGACATACTCGCCCAACAATGCCACCGCCCGCACATTCATCGAGTACATTGGTATGGACGGCGCGGCGATACAGAGCGTCGTTGCTCAGTACAAGGAGGAGGTGCAGGCGAACAAGACCAACGCCAAGGAGCCCATACCTGAGATCGACGTCTACATAGCCATTCTGATCCAGGTGTGTTTGGCCGTAATGCCCGAAGCTGTAGCAACACTGACGAGCACAGGTGTACCTGTACGATCAGAAGGACCACGAGGAGGGTGCCGAGTTCTCGGAGAAGCTGGTGGACAAGATCCGGGATATGAACAGACGGACACTCGACTCGCTGGGTGCAAAGGCCTACTTTTACTTCTCGCTCTTCCACGAGGAGCTGGACCCTAAGCCCCCCTCCAAGCAGTCGCCTGTCATCGACATTCGTGGCAAGCTGCTGGCGGCGATGCGCAGTGCAGTCCTCCGTAAGGACCCTGACACACAAGCATCAGTCACCACTCTTCTCCTCCGCAACTACATCTCGACCGCCGATATCACACAAGCCGACCTCCTCGTCGCACAGACACAGTTCCCGCCCAATGCCCCCAACAACCAGGTCGCCAGGTACCTGTACTACCTCGGGCGTATACGCGCTATCCAGCTGTCCTACACCGAGGCACACGAGCACCTTACCAGCGCCACTCGCAAGTCGCCTTCTGGCAATGTTGCAACTGGCTTCTACCAGGCGGCCATGAAGTTGTTGATTGTTGTGGAGCTGCTCATGGGTGATATTCCTGACCGTGACGTCTTCAGCCAGGCCCGCTTGGAGCGTGCTCTGGAGCCTTACTTCCGTCTGGTCCAGGCTGTCCGTGTCGGTGATCTGCAGGGCTTCTTGAAGGTCGTTCAGACACACTCTAAGGTCTTCCACAAGGACCAGACCTACACATTGATCCTGCGTCTGCGGCAGAACGTCATCAAGACCGGTATCCGCATGCTGTCGCTGTCATACTCGCGCATCTCGCTCCGCGACATCTGCATTCGCCTTGGTCTGGAGAGCGAGGAGTCGGCTGAGTACATTGTTGCAAAGGCTATCCGCGATGGAGTCATCGAGGCCTCGATCGATCACGAGAAGGGTTTCATGCAGACGAAGCAGGCTGGAGACATCTACGCAACCCGTGAGCCTGGCGAGGCGTTCCACGACCGTATCCGGGCTTGCTTGACCCTGCACGACGAGTGTGTCAAGGCCATGCGCTACCCAATGAACCAGCACAGGCTGGAGCTGAAGAACGCCCAGGAGGCTCGGGAGCGCGAGCGCGAGTTGGCCAAGGAGATCCAGGAGGGAGACATCGACGATGACGATGCGGCAGGAGACTTTGATGGTTTGTAGATGCTGCATAGACTACATCAAAGGACGTGTAGTTCAGCACGCAAAGATTGGTGCTGTCTGGCAAGCATTTATAGATGTGCCACACAGTGATTTGAAAAGGATCACCCTAATGATGCACGAATAGAAGCGCATTGATACGACACATACAACACCTGAAAATGTCCACGTGAAAAGCGATATGCATGCGGCTGTCTTGACTCTTATGAACCCATGCGAACATCCCCCACTACCTGCAGTACTAACTTGTTCGAGTGAAAAGGCGTCCTCGGAGGTCCGCAGCTCCCCCATCAGCTCGCGTCTCCTCCCCGCGTTCAACACCAGCACCCACTTGGTAACGGCTCACGCGTCACCTTCGGGTGTTCAACCATGACCCGCTGTCATCGATATGTAAGTTTGGCTCTTTGAAAATCCATATATCTCAATTTCGCCGTCTCAATGCCTGACAATATCTAGGATTGATGTACCGCGGCGCCTGCGTCGCGCCATCCTGCTCAACGACTTACCTCTCGTGCAGCGCATTATCCACAACAACCCTGGTTACCTGCGCAATCCAGACTACGAGGAAAAGAGCAACACGAACTTGCATCTAGCTGCAAAACATGGTTTCACACAGATTGCTGTACGTTCCCAAAAGCCCTGCGCCTACGTCATCTCGAGTCTGTCGCCGCTGCCAATATAGTCACCAAGTATAAGCGTGTCAACAAATGCTGACCGTCTGTCATCAGGAGTTCCTTGTCGATGCTGGTCACGAAGAAGATTCCATAAGCCGCAACAATGACTTCGAAACGCCCTTGATGTTCGCTGCCATGGCTGGCAAAGAGGAAACCGGCGTCTACCTCGCAAAGCGCTTCCCAGAGTGCATACCGTGGGAGAACAAAGCTGGTCTGGACGCTGTAGGTCACTCATATCAAGCTCATTAGATTACATACTAACATCCACCTAGCTCATGCTCTCCAGTAAATCCGGCAGCGGCACCCTCCATCTCATTCCAACCCTCATCGTCCAAGACCCAACCATCCTTACCGCGCACGATAAATCTGGCAACACGGCACTCCATCATGCTTCTGCGGCTGGCGAGCTGAAGGCTCTACGTCTACTCCTTCAATCCGGCGCAAATCCCCTCGTCTCAAACGCATACAGCTGGACACCAGTTCATTACTCCGCTACACCCGCCGCGGAAGCATACTTCAAGACGCTCATCATTGAGTTCGAGAAGAAGAAGGCCGAGGGCAAGCGCGAGTTGCAAGAGCGACAGCGGCAGAGAAACGCCGGGGTGCGCTTAGTGACGGATGGAGATGGGTTGGTAGGCAGGGGCAGTAGTGAAAGTGAGCGGATAAGAACGAGAGCGAGAGATGATGCAGGGTTGCAAGGGTTGCCCGCGCCGGGTATGGACTGGAGTCCGGTGGAGAAGAGGAGGGCAATGACGCCGACGGAGGGGAGGGGGTGGACGTTTACGCCTGATGGGATGAGGCCGAGGGCTGAGACGGCGGAGAGTAGTGGGACGGTGTAAGACTAACGCAGAATTCGGGCGCTTCGGTGACGTTTGGCATGGCATGAGCTTTTGGTGTTTGGTGTTTGGACGTAGTGGTATGACCTCGAGCCTTTTGGGCACCTTCCTCGGTACAATGTTCTTCAGTTATATTGCAGCAATATCAACATCCTCCTGACCTCTTCCTCATCTACCTCTTCACCGTCCCCCGTGAGAGCAGCAGAGTGCAACCACTTCACCCCAGTCTCCCCTTTCAACTTCAGCACATTCGTACTTCTGATTCCACCACCTATGATCACATCGAGCTTGCCATGATACTTTTCCTGTAAATATCTAACTACGTGCATGCCTTCACTCGCAGTATTCGCGCCTCCACTCGTCAAGATGCTCTTGAACCCACAATCGATGATCGTCTCGACTGCGACGTCTAGATCCTCCACTTCATCGATAGCGCGGTGGAATGTACACGGCAGTGGCTTCGCCGCCTCAACTAGCTCTCTATTCCTCTTCTCATCCAGCATCTTGTTCTCACAGAGGATTCCAAAGACAAACCCATCCACACGCTTACTCTCCTTGAACATCTCGATATCCTTCTTCATCTGGTCGAACTCTGCAGGAGTGTAGCTGAATTCTCCGCCGCGAGGGCGGATCATGACATTGATCGTTATCCCGAACCCGTCTCGGGGTGTTGGCTGTTGCAGATCTGGCACGGCAGCGCAGATAGCTTGTAACGTGGAGAGGGAAGGTGTGACGCCGCCTGCTGCATAGTCGGCGCATAGTTCGATCCGGTTTGCTCCGGCTTTTACTGCTGCGATGGCGGAGGAGGCGTTGAAACATGCTATTTCTAACGCCATTGTCGTTGCTTGTCGTGAGTGATGAGTGGTAAGGAGGCGCTGTTCACGCGTGTGATTGGATGGTATTGGTCCTGATGGGGGAGAGGCTAGGGTATGCTGTTGGAAAGAATATCGTTTTGATTGGCACGCGAGTTATAACAAAAGAAATGTCTGATTGGGTGCTTTGAACACTATCTGTCGAGCTGAAAGCGGCGGAGTTGATAGAATGAGCGCCCTGCACCTGCGTGCATGCTAACGTCGAGTCTAGATCAGAATGAGTAAGGCTGGCTTAGATCGCTCAGCAGGTCCACGGGTCTCAGCCTGATCATCAACTCCTCTCTACCGCTTGTAGCCTTGTAGACTCCTTCTTCGCGACTTCAGACACGAATGCTGCGATATATTAGCCATCATGGAGGTCTTGGCCGACCTTCACTATCGCTGTTGCCACTCTTTCGAAAAGCTATTGAAAGCTGTCGCATCGCCAGTGGATGAGACCAGAGGTTTTCAGGTATCGCATGAGATCCTTGAGTCGGAGTTTGACAAGTACAAACTCTGGGCTGCCAATGTTGGAGCTATGCATCACGGCGATCGCTACAAATTGTCACTCGATCATCGGTTGAGAGAGTCACCTTTTTATCAGGATAGGGTCCGTTAACCCTACCTCGAGAGGTCGCAGACTGCTCACACCATTTTAGGTAACCAGCTTCCTCACTACGTTGGAACAGAAGGTATGGATTAGTTTCGATATTAAGCCATCATCTGCCTGGTTCTAAGGCAGTTCAATGCTAGCAAAAACTCCCTAGAAGTCATTTCATTTGAATCTAGTCTGCGCGAACAGTGCTAGCACAGTTGAAGGCTTTGCAAGGTACGTAGCTGCAAAGTGGCACGTCCTAGCCACACAATCTCACGTAGCTCGCAGCAACATAACTATTGTTGGATGACAGCATCCCTGAAGAAGGGACTACTTTAGACCTGCTTGTCGACGAAGACGAGTGTAACGATGACAACGACGAGGAAGTTATGTCAAACGCATCTTCGTGGGGTATGCACGAGGATCAAGGCGAGCCTGCGGAAAGCCGGCAAGTGACGTTCGAAGACGATCGGTCAATTCGCTCATCTCTCGAGATGAATACCACTGAGCTGCCGCAGATACAAAGCATGATCCAGTTTCTGGTCATTACCTTGTACAAACTGCCAATCCATCGGCCGGCAGCCCTAGAAAGATCAAAAAGCAAGCTTTCTTGTTACTGCATGAGCAGTGTCGATTGGAGGCAGTGATCAACAATTATATTGCTATCTGTGTTGTTGTTCGGTGATGTTCTTGTACAGGAGCTCTCAGCTCAGAGGTAAGTGCACTTACCCTTGGATAGTGCCTTCTACAATAGGACATCATGTGGCTTAAGCCACATAGTTACACTACTCGACTGCTTCAGGACATACGAGGCCATGAACTTGATAGCTACGCTTTGGCGACCAAAAGCTGCATCGAATGCGATATGGGTTACGACTTAGACTACAGCTTGGATGACGAGGGGTTTAGATCGAGCTTCATTGATCCCGTGGTGTTGCCGTTGAAAGCGAACTACGATGAAATCTTCTCGAAGTAGATGCGAATGGTCTGGACCTGGCTGATTGGTCATGCGGCATGTGCGACCCAGTCAAGGGGGAGATATCAACACGGCCTGCCCGCATATCTATCCGATATCTTCCTTGCAGTCCTGTGAATGCGCTGATGATGTCGACAAGCCCTGCTGCGGACGCAGCTGCCGTTCCCACTCTCCAAGCTCACCTCCGCATCGCGCGCCCCACTCGCTCCATCTCAGCCCTGCTCCCCTTCTACACTACCGGGCTTGGCTTCCAAACCATTGGCTCCTTCAGACAGCATGCTGGTTTCAACGGTGTGATGCTCGGCCACCCATCTCTGCCATATCACCTCGAATTCACCGAGCAGGAAGGCCATGATCCTGGTCAAGCGCCTACACAAGAGAACCTGCTCGTGTTCTACTTGCCGAAGAAAGAAGAGTGGGATGCAGCGGTTCGGAGGATGAAGAGTACTGGTGTTGAGCCGGTTAAGAGCTACAATCCTTACTGGGATGTTGATGGCAAGGGAAAGACACATGAGGATGCTGATGGGTATCGAGTTGTTCTTTGGAATGGAGGATGGAGTCCCTCTTAGATACGGAGAGGCTAGTAAAGCCTATACACAGCCCTTCTCTCATGCTCATAGCGTGTAGATGAACTCAGGGTTCTCCTTATCCGTCAAATCCAGCCACTCCTGGTTCTCCAACCGCACATAGCCCGGCGCCGAGCGGATCTGGGCCTTTTTCTTGTTTTGGTGGACGCAGTAGAAGTGGATGAATGCGAGGATGCCCAGACAAACACCCCAGCAGACGATGATGGTTACTTCGGCGGGAACGTAGCGTGGTGCGTCGCTAGGGCGGAAAGTCTGTGGGCCTGTAGCATGTCAGTCACAATGGACGGCTAGAGATAGCAAAGTGAATAGAACCCACCGATGATGTTACCGACACAATACCCAATCAGATACATAGCAGCAACAGTCGTCTTCTTCGTGTATCCGGCCACATTACTCGCTAGCAGACTCAGCAGCGCAACGAATGGTGTGGGACTGGCCTGTGTCAGGTAGTAGCCGGCGAGACGACCAGAGTTGTTGCTGAGGGGCAGTGCAACGATCAAGATCATGCCGATCATTGCGGTGCAGAGACCGATCATCGAGATGAGGACGCGATAGCCGTAGCGATCCCCAGCCCAACCGCAGGCGATCAGGAAGACGACTTCGACTGCGCCGCCGGGTGTGCCGTAGAGGAGGGATTGTTCGGGTGTGTAGCCGAAGCCGACGATGAGCTGGGAGAAGAAGTTTGAGATGCCACCTAGAGGCTGTGTCAGATACTAGAGAACAGCCCTATAATGCTGAGAACTTACCATTCGGTATGTCGGCAATGAGCGCATAGAAGAAGAACGCCCAGCTCAAGGGGTCTGTCAACGCTTCCTTAATCTGGTAGAACTTGTAATGCTTGTTTCCAATTCCCTGCTGATTCATCCTCACACGTTCGATAGCTAAGATCTGATCCTCCTTACTCAGCCATCGGCAGTTGAGTTGGTTATCAGGCATGATCCATAGGAACAGGAAGCCAACGCAAGTAGTCAGGAGTCCAGTAACAAGGAAGACAATCTTCCACGGTTCGATAATAGTGCCAGTCTCGCGGCAGCCGACAGCAATACCGTACGCGACACAGCCACCGAAGATCTGCGCCCAGCCGTTGAAGCTGAACCAGATTGCGGTGCGTGAACCTTGCTCTTTCTTTGTGTACCATTGTGATGTGAAGAGAGCGAAACCTGGCGTTACGGCGGACTCGAAGACACCGAGGAAGAAGCGGATGGCGATTGCACCGGCGTAGTTCTCCACAGCTGCGAAACAGGATAGTACAAGGCCCTGGAGTATGTCAGTCCTCTGCTGTTACGCTGAGGATTGGAAGGCAATGCACTCACCCACATTATGATGTTGAAAGCGGAGTATTTTCCGAGCGGCAGGAGCTGCAGCAGACGAGTGGTGGGATACTCCCACGCGATATAACCAAAATAGAACAGCGAGCCCAGCCATTGATAATGGTCACTCGTTAGGTTGATTCCAGAAGCGAGCTTGTTACTTGATGACGGTAGTCGCAAACCCATAACACTCGCGTAACTCAGCGTCGTCTTGTCCAGGTAGTTCAAGCCGTAGACCAAGCACATGATCTACACTCGTTAGCGTCGACGTCAAGTCGTATCGTGCAGGCATACTGACAGGCATCAAATGCCAATCGATCTTTCGTAGCAAGGCTTTGTTCTTCTCTGGTGTCAACTCAATGACCTGTCCATCCATGCCCTCAAACGCCTTCATTGCAGCGTCCGCATCGTGAGAATGTTTCAAGATCTTCTCATCGAGCTTCCTCACCATGTCCGGCGAAATGGAGGCATTGTCGGTAGTTGAAACCAACTTCTCCATGTCCCTCTGTTGGCGAGTTGCCTCTGTTGCAGTCGCCATCGTGTCGAGGCGTGGCTTTCTCCCAAATTCGTTACGACCAGAAGTGGGGTGAGGCTTGAAGCTGGCGTAGTACAAGCAACGTCAGGAGCGGCGCCAACATTCCAAGCTTTATATAGCGGTTGACAAGAGGACGAGGCGTTCACTTCGGATACGATTGCCCGAAGATAACGCCCTTACATGCCGAATACGCTGCCACTTAGGTGCCGTCGACGTTCGATGATAAGATATCCCAGTAGGTTTGACGTTATCTGTAGTTGCCGTTGCCATAATGCGGGGTGTTTCGAGTTTGGGTGACATAGTGAACGATCCGCGGTACGTTGGCGATAGGTCAGATGTGCATTGATATGCAGGCGGATTGCCAGTTCAGGAAGCTGCGATGGAAGGTGGTGTTGCCTTCCGAAATTCGGCCTGCCTTGTGAACTGTGGAGTCTCATTGTGCTCAAGAGAAATAAGTTGTGGACAACGAGATCACTTGGCGCATCTATGAGATATATGATTGTACTCAAGCCTTATCTCTTCGAGTACTGTTCATGTTGCCGAGAGACAGGAGTGTGTTGACTGGGGTGATGTCAGCGGCAGAAGTCGGCGGCTAACCTTCACAAGCACGGCCTAGCGCACGCATCACAATTAAGCATACAAACAACTCTAAATTTGCGACCAGATGCACGGTGTGAAGATGAAAAGATGAATTGCAATAATGATCTCTTCTTGCAACTACAGAAGTAATACATACTCGCATCTATGTGATGCCCCCACAAACGATAGGCTGTAAATCAGTGTGTACTCAGAACTCCAGGCCTTCATGGCTCTTGTAGTGACCGTCTCCCATGGTCAAAATCCTCGAACGCCGCCCATATGCAGTTCGTAAATGCTAACATATCCGCCGAGTACACTGAGAGTACAGTCGACACGCAAAGAAACGAGAGTTCAAAAACAAAGTCCTAAGACCTGACGAAGACACTGTTGAGCTTGTTAAGCGCGCTGCTATCCGCAGCGGTGCTGTTCTTAGCCAGACGCTCTGGAGCAAGATCGCGAGGGAACCTTGATGCAGTGTTTGGGCTGCGGCTGCCTGATCGAGACGAGCTCTGGTTGTCCTTGTCGGTGCCGTTGGTGTTGAGAAGTGAAGTGAGCGTTGGAAGGGGACGAGATGCTGCTGTGCTGGTAGACTCCGCGCCATTCTGAGCAGGTGACTTCTCCCCATCAGGTGTTGGTGGCTTGGTGGCGCCTACAGATGCAGCTGCACCGTTGATGGCAGGCAGTTGAGGTCCTTGCTCGGGAATTGACGAAGCAGAAGCGGGAGGGGGTGGAGGCTGATGTTGCGCCAGCTCGGCAGAAGATGGTGCACGTGCTGGAGGAGGACTGACCATGTACTGGCCTGCTTGGGCCGCGTGCGCGGCGTATATGGGGTGGTGAGCGTACATTGGGTGGCCTGGCGGTGCGTGAGGGTGGCCGACAGCCTGTGGAGGGCGGTCCAGAACGTGACTTTGTGGGTGAGGCGGGATGTAATATCCAGGCGGTGCGTAGAGGGGTTGGTAGAAGAAGCTCGGAGGTCCCGCGCGGTACGGGTGAACAGGGGGGGTGCCGGTTGGTGGTGTGGGAGGGTACATTGGGATTGCATACATGGGAGCCACGGGCCCAGCATGCGCGTACGGTGAGGCTGGTCCCATGCTGTAGGCAGCGGCAGCGTGAGGAGAGCTAGGCATGGGCCCACGGGTAACGGCGGGCGCAGCCTGGGTTTCTGCGACGGTCGACTCGGGGTACATGTTCTTGGGAGGTCTAATGTGTCGTAGTTGCGCATCGTTGGTCGGTTGTGGGAGGTTATTCGAGTTCGAACGCGAGTAGTAGCTGATGAGGTGGAGGTGCTGACCGCTGGAGGTCGTGATACTGAATGACTGTTTCATGAGACCGTCTGGCTTGTAGCGGTAACCATCTGGGCCCTCGCCGTCCGAGTCGCCAGTTGCAGAGCCGTCAGGAGACTTTCCACTCGTCCTCTTGACGAGTGGTGGTGTGGGTGCTGCGCCTCCTCGCTTGCCCTCCATTTCCCGGTATGTCAAGAAGCTGCCAGACACTCGGCTCGCGCTCCATGATTTGCCATCTGTCCACCTCCTCATGCCTGCCTCGCGCTCATCCCATACGAATACTGAGCCTGACTTGATCTGCTGGCGCTCTTTCTCTGACAGGCGGCGCTGTACGCGTGGTAATATGCCAATGCGGCAGGCCTCGAACAATATTATTGCATCGTTCGGTGTGCGAACGTGGCCGTGATATGTCTCCATGGCGGATGTGATGTGGAGTGGTGGTGTTGAATGCTAGGTGCAGTGGAGAAGAGCTTTTGAAGATTGAGCAAGAACTAAGCTTGCATTGGGCGTCTGAGAGGCTTGGGTTAGCTTAAGGTTGGTGTGAGATGGTTGATCGTGCAGCCAATAATTCGTTAAAGACTGTGGGTTTTAAAGAGAGAAATAAAGTTGGTTGTCAAATCATGGGAGACAGGTTCCTCTCTACACCAGCAGATACCGAGCAGGCACTTGACGTGCGAATGAGGCTCTTACAGCGCAACCGAATTTGTACTTGCATGCAAGGCGATACAGCTGCAACATCGCACGAATGTGACTGGAAGGACGTGAAGATATAATAAAGACACTTACTGTGACACTTGTAACGTTGGCAGGCTGGGCAATGAGAAGCTCTTTGCTTTCTATAAGCGGCTGCGCGGCGACAGCAAGGCTAGTCGGCGTTGCGTGGAGCTCCAGTGACGTGAAACGGAGCCGTCGATGAAACAATTTATCGACGTGACAGATGTGCGCGGCAGTGGACGCTTGGTGAGTGCAGGGGATGTGGTATGTCTGGGGCGGGCGAGGATAGGGAGCGAAAAAGTCAGAAAGGCATCAGCAAGCGCGGCATGCAGTCTTCATGTACGTATTGGGGCTCGCAGCGCAGAGCGGAATCTGGTCCACCTGGAATGCCCTCAGGCCTTTTTCGGCGCTGGGGTCTTGTTTTTGATCGACACCTAGGCTTGTAGTGGCGTTAGAAAGCGAAATAAGGCCCCTCAAGCTGCCGGGACAAGCTTTATCTGGACGCCGTTGGCTGCTGACTTGGGGCCGCTCATCCCAGCGGTGCGACCCATGAGCGCGTACGTACGCCGCAACGTCGCCTTGTGCACTGCCATCGCAGTCATATCATCACAAAAGAGCACTTTTCCTCTTCCTTTACTCACAGAGAAAGTAGCAAACAGGCAGCAGCGATCTTTTTACATGCACCCTCAAGGCTTGGATCGCTGGCGCCCAGTCCGCTAAGTTTTGGCCTCGACTTGTGCCAAGCTTTGTGTAGCCGGATAACTTTAAATGGCGCTACTTAACCTAAACCCAATCTCTAGTCTTTAACATCGACAAGCCTTTTGTGGCTTGGGTGGCCCACTGTGACCCCAGTTCTGACACCTTCCAAGCCTTTGCGCGAGTCCGTCACTCCGTCTTGTGATCCTTGGCTGCCGCTCGCGTGTGGACCAGCGCCGTTGGCTGCTTGAGACAATTTGCCCAGCACTTGGCCCAGGACGCCTCAGAGCACCAACGCGGCGCTCTCCCCACTCCCTGCTGTGCCTTTCGGCGCCTTAGGAGGACAAAGCCATCTGGGCAGCCGTCTCCGCTGAGCTGACTGCTGCGTCCGCAGGGGGCAGTCCGCAGCAGCGCAGACGGCGATCACATACTGCTCAGGAAGCTGATGAATGTCTGCTACGTCGTCTGCCCCTCCATTTCCCTGAAGTTCTCCGCACAGGTGGATCACAAACCCTGAAATTGTTGTCTACGTGGAAGATACCGTGCCTATCTGTCCCACCAACCAAGCACACCGCGCCTCCACTGCTTGGACAATCCGCTCAGCTCCACTGTAACATAATGGACCACCTGCTGTTCTTTAGCAGTTCGCTTAGGGGCTTGGCCATAAGCATAGATCAAGCTTGGTGCCTGTGGGTTAAGCTTACTGTGTGCCACGAGGTTCCGATTTAACCACGCTGACGGTGTGACAGACTACAGGTCCGATGGTATTCCCGCATTTGGACAAGACTTCTATTTTCTTGTCCATCATAATTTCTCTCCCTATTCATATCTAGCGATTCCTTGACCGGCGGTGATTACATTGGGATCCTCAGCATGAGAGATCAATATCGCCTGACGTTCAAGCATCTTCGCCTAAACTGGGCAGCAGCAGACCATTGTACGAGATACCACAAGAGCGTACTCGCCAGTCATTCTCCTAGACTCGTTACATCCTGCCAAAGGCAGTATGGCTGCTCAAAACCACTATCAAAGTCGCTCTGCAAGGCGTGCTTTTCAGCTTGCCGGAGCGAGACAAAGGCCCGAGTTCCGCTTCATTGGCGCAGGTCACACTCAAGCCTGCCAAGCCGCAGACCACTTTTTCGTTTCTATGAGTGGCCAAGCTTCGCGTTCGCACGTTTAACAACGGGCCCATCTTGTCATGAGGCCGCGTCAGCGCGATTGGGATTGCTTAGCATTCTGAATCGTAACTAGATACTGCATACTGGCACTTTGCAAACAATGATGGCATCATCCGGATCACAGGTGCCTCGGTGTTCTTATGCTGTGTGTGCCGTCAGCCAGCTGCACACTTCGGAATGCAACACCGTGGGCTTGGATATTCTCCAGCAATACGAACAATACGAACAAAGACGCAGGACGGATGGTAGTGTTCAGCCGATGTCGCTTCCGCTTGCAAGGGCAGATAAGGTTGGAGCAGGTTATGAGTTTAAGCTTAACTTCTCAACCCCGGATTGGCCGGCAGCAAGCCACTTCGATCGATACCTTAAAGCGAGCGCGCAAGACCGCCACAAGATTGTCTGATCAGCCCACAACAATGCGCTATCGTCGTCGCTCACCTCAAATTACCAATGTAGCCGGACTGTGGAGAAGTAACTGCCGTGTTATCGCTGTCGTGCTTCGTGCTGCTTCGCACTTGTTGCCCTGCCCGTCTTTGCAAGCTCTCAGGTCGAACGAATGAGGCAGGTTGGAGGCGCAGTGCACGAGGCCAATAAAACAATTGTCGAGGCAAGTCTAGAGCTGCGCCAGCAGAACATCGTACCGCGGTTCAGCTGCTTTAATGGCTTTCAACCCATGGTCGGTGAGTGGACGGAGTTCAGGGAGATATTAAGGTAGGCCAAGCAACCGTGCTTGCTCCATAGCGCCCGAACTTTTCCCCAACCTTCCAACAACGACCTGCACGCAGCACCCTTCGCGGGACAGAGACGGGAAGCACTTCGAATGCATTCACGGTGTCTCTGCGAGCAATAGACCTCGCCACGGCTTGTGGTGCGTGTCTCCGATGCTATGAAGCAAATCAAGGCAACTAGAACGGCTTGCAACTCTTGCTACCGTGTCCTCCGCGCCACCTACGCCAGTTCGCTCGCATCAAGGTCCCTAGGCTGAAGACCGGCAGTGTCGACGTTCGGAACGAGCGACCATGTCAGGCAATTCTGCAGTTGTTATTGCATCCTACTCTCAAGACGGTTTATTGTTCTGCTCGCCTCGCTTGTCACGCCCATAATAGATGCACGGCCGCCACAGTTGAATCAGCTCCTCAGTTGCGACATCACGGCAGGCTCACCCAAGCGGCGCGTCTTTTTGAACACCGTGGACACCGAAGATGCAAATGTGGACCGAGGCGGGTTGCAAGATCATCCTTCAGTCTAGCTTCTTTGGCTTTTCAAGTCTGGCTACTGGCATTAGGACCACTCAGTCACTGAAAGACCTACAAGCAATGGACGACGCGATGCAGATACATCTCATTAACCTTTGCAGGGCAAGGATTGTCTCTCTCGTCCCCGGTCAGTCCTTAAATAGCAACATGATCAAAATACTCATGTTCTTCGGCTTGCCGACCAAGCCCTGCGCACCGCACCCAAGAATCTCGTTCTGGTTCTCTCCTGCATCTGTTTTCCGCTCATACAATTGTCCACGAACCACAACTCTTACGACGCAACCCGACGATCCTTGAAGGATTGGTGGCTGAATCCTCATTCTTGGCTCGGCCCACGTGCGTCAGGTACACGTTCGAAGAACAAGCACACATTCCTATTTGACGCAGCAAACATCGAAATTTTGCCTTTACCAAGACCTTGTTCGGAGATCACGGTATGCTAGTGACGTTATAGCGGCAGTCGTACTGGCCAGGTGCCTAACTTGGCAGGTGATACCAACCAGAGAGTTTTTACATGTGCGGTTACACACGTATATTGTTACTCAGACGAAACACTACGTTGGAGACTAGAGAAGAGAGGACGGTAAGGCTGTGATGTGGGTCTCAGCTACATACCACCTTCCCGCAAGGTAAGTCTCATGCGATGTGTCTTTCGCCAAGGAAGACCAGAGCTTGGAAAGCGTTGTTGTGAAATATTGTTATTCTTTCGAGCTTTGGGGCGCGTAGAACTTCTTTGCAATCCCTTTGAAATCCTTGAATGGAGATGATTTGCAACTTATAGTGACATACTGTCAATACGCGTACTACAGTTCACAGCAATCGATCGAGACTCTCATACAGCGGCAATTGGAACCCATCATCGTTCTGCTCAGCAGTTTTGTCTCCCCCAACCAACCTGATAAACCACGGCAAAGACGCCAGTCTTGACATCGTCGATATCCCCGTCTGAAGCAGCCATCTCTTCCACGCCGTATCCGGATGAGCCACACCCGGCACAATACTAGGAATTTGTTGCGTCTGCTCGACAAAAGGACGGAACGCTTTCTCATAAGCCTCCAACGCCGTCCTCGGATGCTCACCAGCCTGCAACCTCGCCAGCTCACCCGAAAGCATGTAGCCTCCCAACAGCGCCAGACTCGTTCCCATACCTGTCAGCGGTGTGGGCGCAAACGCAGTGTCTCCAAGACAGACGACACGGTTATCACTCCACTTTTCCATGTTGATTTGCTGAATGGTTTGGAAATAGAAATCCGGCGCCTCGCTCATCGCGTCTAGAAGTCTCTTTGCTTGCCATCCTGCATCCGCAAACTCCTGCCTCACTAGGCCTTCCTGCTTCTGCCGTCCTGCGCGCGATGCGTTCTGCCACGCCGCCTTCTGGGCTTCGTTACGTGGCATGATGGTGAACATCGCTCTGATCGTGCCATGTGGATCGGGCCGGAGCGTAATGATGCGTGACTGTAGCCCGAAGTACACGTTCCACCAGTCGTTGTCTTCTTTGAGCCGCGGGATGGTGAAGTACACTACATACATGCCTTTGTCTACCACCGTCACAGACTCGGATGGGAAGCACTGCTTGCGGACTTTCGACCACTGGCCGTCTGCTGCGACTAGCAGATCGTACTCTTGCACTGAGCCGTTGCTCAGCTCGACTTGCACACTTGTGTCGTTGGCGAGGACTTTCTGAATTGTGATGCCGAAGATGTACTCTACACCTTGAAGAGGTTTCGAGGCTTCGTATAATACTTTCGCCATGTCTCCTCGCAGGATCTCGAACTCGGATGTGAAGCTTGCAATTGAGCCTTCTTTCACTGGGAAGGGCGCGAATGGTCGACCATTTGGATCGATGAGTTGGGTACCCATCTCTTTCGTGTGGTAGCGTTTGACATCGTCGAAGAGCCCCATCTTCTTGATGACTGTCACGGCGCTGCCGGTGATGTCGACATTCTGGCCATGGGGCAGTAAGGCTGGTGCTTTCTCGACTACCGTGATGCGTGCTCCAATTTTGGCGAGGAAATATGCCAGCGTTGGCCCTGCAACGCCTGCTCCAGAGATGAGGACGCGCATTGCGGTTGTGGGTGTGATAGTGAGAGTTGTGTCTAAGGGCTGATATGCCTATAGTTGTTGATGTGTGGGTATGAATACCGAGAACGGTGGCATGGACGTAGACCTTCTATCACGGCAAGTGTTCGTTGATTATCACTTCTGAATCCCCAGATATATACTGTTGCTGTTCGGGGTCTGTCAGTTGCTGGGGTCCGTCGAGTCCTCAGACCCCGAAAGTGTTTGCGAGATGCAATCTTACACGGTTCTACACGAAAGGGAGGCCTTATAATTCCAGGCAGCCACTGAACGATTGGTGCCAGTTCACGATCTCGAGCCTAAATGGACGCTGCTTGCGGTTAAGCTCATCAAGCTTCACGCGACGATGAGCTTGACTTGAAGGTAGCCATTGAAATTTGACTACAGACGGAGCGTACGGTCCACCGACCGGCTTGCCCAGCGCCCATCGTGAATTGAAGGTGGATTTTCGACATTTCGTGCTGCATCTACTCTTGAACTCAAAGACTCTTAGCGTGATCCTCAATGCCAGCCTGTCTTTTCACACAAACGCTCGAGCTCCTTGTTAATGTGATGAGCGAGGAAGGATTGAGCCTTGTCTTTGAGTTGTAACAATTGCTCTGGTACAACAACCATCACTGTACCTCAAGTTCATACACAACAAGTAGAAGAACTTCCGTTTTGATATTATCATATTCTCTAGGTGCAATGAGTGTTTTGAGTGTTGGACACTGTAATGCGTGGAGCCATGGGAGCGCGGAGTTCTTCATGGGTGTGTGCCCCGCATGTAGGGCTGTTGACCCTTTGAAACCAGCGGTGACGAAGATGCCCCACATCCAAGCAGTAGCCCAGGCAACTCCTAAACACCGTCCAACTCCAATTCCTCTTTCGTATTGCTGTGAGCGTTCACTTTTTTCTTGAAAAATGTCTCTCGTATCAGGTAGGAGCTCTGTGCCTCCAAGGTGAGAATCCTAGCTGACAGAGACAGACGCCATCTGGGCTGCTTCGCCCACAACCACCCGTGGCCAGCCAACACCTCTTTCATCTGACCCCAAGGGAGAGCGGATAGCCTACGCCGTAAGCAGCCAATAGTACCGAGTCGAGTTTAGACGAGCTGAACAAAGTGCAACAGTCAGGCAAATCCATCTTCCTCCGCTCCATCGACAACCCCTCTGTCAGTAAACAATACACGCAACACACAGCCCAGACCACAGTTGCCCGTTTCTCGCCCTCCGGCTTCTATGTGGCAAGTGGAGATGTGTCCGGAGCTGTAAAGATCTGGGACTGCGCGGGCGAGGGCGCTACAAAAGGTGCGTTGGTGAAGCTGTCGAGGCATGAAAGGGCCATCGCAGACCGCCGGCAAGAAAAGTGAAGCTGATGATGCACAGGCGACTACCACATCATCGCCGGACGAATCAACGATATTGCATGGGATGGAGACTCGCAGCGAATCATCGCGGTCGGTGACGGCAAAGAGCGATTCGGACACTGCATCACAGCAGACAGCGGCAACAGCGTGGGAGAGATCTCAGGACACTCGCAGCAGATCAACAGCGTTTCTATTCGTCAGCAACGACCGTTACGAGCTGTGACCGGTTCAGATGATAGCAGCCTTGTCTTCTACCACGGTGCACCCTTCAAGTTCAATACGAGTCTGAGAGAGCAACACAATCGCTTCGTATTCGGCACCGCATTCTCCCCAGACGGCTTACTCTTCGCTAGCGTGGGTGCTGACAAACGCATCTGGCTATACGATGGCAAGACCGGTGAGGCGAAGGGCCAGATTGGGGAGGGTGTGCACACCGGTAGCATTTTTGGCATTTCCTGGGCAAAGGACTCGAAGAAGTTCGTTACAGCTAGCGCAGATCAAACTGTCCGAATTTGGGATCCCGAGGCAGGCAAGGCTATCCAGACTTGGAGGATGGGTGAGGAAGGTGTTGTCAGCATTCCTGACCAGCAAGTCGGTGTAGTCTGGCCCACCGGCCGCAGCGATGGTTTGATCGTCAGTGTGGATCTGGAAGGAAACCTCAACTACCTGGTTGATGGAAACCCAAAGCCGACCAAGGTCGTGCGCGGACACCAGAAGAACATCACATCTGCCGGAATCTCGGGTTCGACGTTCGCTACTGGTAGCTACGACGGCCGCGTCCTTGCTTGGGACGTCTCTACAGGGCTTGCCGACAAGGTTGAGGGAGCCTCACATTCCAACTATGTTGCAGGCATCACCGCTGCCGACTCCAAGAGCCAGGCTGAACTTTACACTGTAGGATGGGATGACACTCTGAGATCGATCTCCGTTCCGAACAAGATCTTCACCGGTGAAGCAAGCGAGCTTGGGTTCCAGCCTAAGGGTATCGCTTCCACAGGAGACGTTACACTGGTAGCTTCCGCTGACTCGATAGCCGTATACTCCAAGGGTTCCAAGGCTAGCTTATTGTCAGTCAAGTACGCTGCTACATCAATCGCCGCACACGGGTCAACTGTTGCAGTTGGTGGAGACGACAAGCTCGTCCACATCTACACTCTGTCTGGCACCGAACTCAAGGAAACCGGCACAGAGCTCCGCCGCGCTACGGCAGCGATCTCAGCGGTTGCCTTCTCTGCATCTGGTTCAAAGCTTGCTTTCGGTGCCAGCAACGGTAAGATCTACGCATATGAGGCTGGTGGGGACTGGAAGATTATTACGGACCGATGGAGTGCACACACTGCACGTATCACATGCCTAGCCTGGGATGAGAGCGAAAAGTACGCCGCAAGTGGAAGTTTGGACACAAATGTCATGGTCTGGAGTGTCGAGGACCCAGGAAAGCGAATCAAAGCGCTGAACGCTCACAAGGACGGTGTCACCGGCGTGGCTTGGGAGAAGGCAACAAAGGTCCTGAGTGCCGGTGGTGACGCTAGTATCAAGGTATGGACCGTAAAGGCTTGAGCACTGTGAGGGATTGGGTGTTCTCGCGATAGCATACCTAACATCGTTCACTGTGCGTCTGAACTGGTCACGGAGCCCGCCGACGGAATTGAAAAAGAGTGCAGCGGCACGTCAGTCATGTGTCAGGCCGGTGGCTCTTAAAGAAACTCAGATATGAGGCGAAAGTTGATAGGATGTGAGTTGTTGCTGCTCCTCGTGTGCACTTGCCGTCGTTCCTTAGTTTCCCGTAGTGGCCCAGTTGCGGGACCTGCCTGGCTTCTCACGTTTGTTCACCATCCACCAACCCAGTTCTTTGACACCACCACAACCTTCTATCTATCATCAGTGCCATGTTTAACTGGCTAACTTGTGTAAGTTTTACAGACCCGAAACTGCTTCTGGACATATGTTGCGGAATGCAGGCTTCCAGCGCTCTGTTCGGCGTTTCGTGGCTTGCGTCAGTCTGTTGCCTTCTTTGCCTTCCTGCACGTAGTCCGCCTACTGCGCAAAACAACGCATCTAGGCTGAACCTGCCGCCAAGAGAGGTCCTCCTTCCACTAGGGCGATTTGCCTTGTTTGAGCCTCGAAGGTATATGGCTGCCTCGTCTCACCATAATCGCGTGGTCTCTGGCTTTCGACCTCTTGTTTCCTCGCAAACCAGTAACATTTTGCACTATCCCAGACCATTCGATCTTTGTTCTAGCCTCGCATTTCTCTCGCATCATCTGTCTCGTCTCCTTTGCATTCAATCAACTGATGGACGATCTATCGTACACCACCGGCCAGCTCAACGGTTATGGCTTTCCAACCGGTGATGGGGGCCTCAGGAACGACATGGCACATCCCTATCACAACAATACCTATACGCAACAAAGCCCTACAAGCCAAGCCGTCTTCTCGCCAATAGACGATTCACGTCATGATTCTGTATACTCGTTGTCGCCGTCGCAGTCGTGGCGACTCTCAATTGTGCAGCAGCACAAGGCTGCGTTCCAGCCTGATGCAGCACGACTGACCCCGCACGTCAACACCGCCCAACACCAGTCGGAAGACATGTCTCGCGAGGCCTCGCGTGCATCCTACCAGTCTTCGATGTCTTCCGGTCAGCAGTTCCAAGGAAGTCAGCAACTTCTCCCATCGTACCACAACGACTTCACGTCAAGCAGTAATGACATGCGACGCACAGTGTCAATACACCCTGACACGTCAGCTCTGCAGAATCAGCATTTCAGAGCTTATCCTGTCCAACACCAGATGTACACCAACCACTTCAGTTCGGATTCGAACAATGTGTACCCGTCAGCCTTCTCGACTTTGCTTCCGCATAACCCCCTCAGCCCACAACTGGACGATTCGGTCATCGACTCGCACTTGAACGACGCAGTCGATCTTAACTTACCGAATATTGGTGCCCATGTCTTTGGTCCTGGGTAAGTTCACTCCTGATCACCCAAACAACGTTACGTCACTTGAGTAGAGCCGCTGGCCACAGCTCACTGAGAAGCACCTGAATCAGGCCGTTAGATATAGTCCTGCTCGTCCGAGCATTCGAGTGGGCTTTATATCATTCCGGTCAGATTCAAGGAGTCGCGCATCATGCCGGTTCAGGATCTTATTTCTGGTCCATCTCCTGCCGTTGGAATGTACGAAACTTCCTGGTGACCTTCTTAGTCGATCGAATACCTCCTTACTCTAGCATATGTACTGCCAGATCAGATCCACGGCCTACACCAGGACGCCCACGGTACATTTCGTCTCATGACCAGTCTGCCAATTGATTCTATTACATCACAAGGTACTCGACCAGGGATGCACTTTCTTGGAAACTCCAATTGCAGCCATCATTCCGTATCGGATATTGAATGCCGAGGATGGGAACACGACGATTTCCAGGACCATCACGATATATGCCACCCTCAAAGCCCACACAATATCACGACGCATCACGCTTCTGCATTCCCCGGTCATTGTGCTTGCCATTACTCTGAACATTGTCATGGTCATAAATTAGCCAGTTTGTCGACACTAGGAGCTAGATAAATAGGTGGGTTATTCCTTAAGAGTCTCTTTGTCTGCTTCTGAGGGATCATTCTGTACGACGACCCAATCAACATCGCTACCTTTACTCGCAAAATATCGAATAAATACCCTGCCCATGGGTCTCAAACCACATGGACACCTTCAACTTTGGTCACCGCCTTGCCGTAACAATCTGCTTCTGTGCACTGCATCGCTTCTCATCAAACCATACCCATTGGTAGCAGCCACCTTGCTCGTCATTTCTACATGAAGTCCCAGCAGCATTCTCATGAACAGCATCTACGCCAGAATGGATCAATCTTGTTCATCCCCATATGAGCAGCGCCAGATCTCGAAAGGACATGAGAGGACCTTGGAGAAGTCACATCGACTTGCTCGGCGGACCCTTTGAGCACAATCACCGCGGCCACTCCATGGTCTACGGTGGTCCGCACACGATTTCTCACAATCAACGTTCACGCAACACATTGGCCTGCGATCCCCAATCTAACGATAAACCACACAGACAACTAGACCACCTGACAACTTCCACGCTACAAGTTCGCCCGCGCGCTAAGTCGGATGCTTATCCTGGCCATCGCCATCGTCCATAGTAAGTTGAGACGGCCAATGACCCTTTCGGATTCGTGACTTACAATTGTCACAGTACCTTTCTCTCCGATCCGCAGATCAAGACAACGGTTCGTCCTGTTCTGTCTTCTCATTCGCCGACATCACAATCGCCTCCAGCTGTTGAGCATTCAAAGAAGCGTCATCGCAAGCGAACTCCACCATCTGACTCGGAGTCAGAAAGGATTACTGGACATGTCCTGGCTTCTGGCAAGTTCCAGTGCTCCGACCCTGGCTGTGAGGATCTGCGCTTTGGCAGGCAGGCAGACTTCAGACGTCATTACACCAACGTACATGCGGATAAGATCATCGAGTACTTCTGTCCGGTATCAGGCTGTGAACGCTCCAGGAAGCCTTCGAAGAAGAGCAAAGGCCGCAGCTTCAATGGCAGGAAAGACAAGATGGAAGAACACCTCCAGACAGTACACCACAAATTGAACAAGAAGAGAAGAAGGTCACCCGAGACCGAGATCGAAGAAGAAGAGGAGGAGGAGGAAGACGCTGAGGAGGCAGAGCAACCGCAAGCCAAGACGCAGCGACACTTCTGACTGTAGAGGCACCTCAACCCATACGGCCAGGCCTCTGGCTCATACAGTGCCTTGTATAGAGCTATACGTTAGCGTTACAGCATCTACGTCGTTCCTCGGTGTACTGGTGATCTTCTTTGGTGCGTGACCCTCTCAGGACATGGTCGTTGGCGCATTTGGTAGTGATTTGGTTGTGCTTAGGATCGCCCTTTCGACTTGCTTCATGTACGTAGTATCAGAGTGGGAACAGAGATGGGGACCTAGAATGCGACAAGACGCTTTACCTTCGCTGTAACTATACATACCAAAATAGTATATAGCAATTACATGTTTCTGCACGTATACCGTCCCATGGATCTTGTATTCATTTTCATGGTCGCACCCAAGTCGCACCTCACAGCCTTCTTAACGATCGTTGTGACGCATCCAATCCTCTCTCATCTCGAAACCATTCTCAGCAAACCCTGGCGCCATCGTCGTGCCAACCAGCGTCCACTCTCCCAAACTCCTCACTCTCTGCCATCGATGCGCTGGGACAATGCCTTGCGGTTCTTGGCCACCGAAAATATCGTCACCAAGCAGCACTCGCTCGGTCGCAGTGCCGTTACCCCAGGACATTTCCAGCGTGAGAACAGCCCCAGCGTAGTGGTGCCTAGCAGCATTAGCACCCGTATCGTGACTGAACGCTTCAAGCACAACCACTGACTCGAAGCGTCGGAAAAGGAGAGAAGGACATCTGGTAGGAAACGGAATGTGACATACCACACTTCCACAGCATCTACCCTGTGCCAGTACGAGAAGCCGGCTTTGCCTTCAAGGAGGTAATAGATCGCGGTAGAGACGGAGCGGTTGCCATCCGTTGTGCGCGCGTCGACAAATGTTTGGCGGTAATAGCCTTTTTCGACGTTGGGCTGGAGGTTGAGAAGGCTGATGACTTCTTGTGCGGTATGACTGCTGTACAGCGAGGCGAGGGCAAGATGCGGAAGGAGGGTGATGAACAGCCGCATCGTTGAACTGAGGCAAGTATATTGCGACAGAGAGGGCAGATGTGCTGTCTCGCAGAAGTAAGTAGAAGGGTAAAGAGCTCCTAGAGCAATGGAGAAGGGGCGTTGTAAATGGGTTACAAAACCTCGGGTGGTCCCTGCAGCTTATGTGCATGAGCGGGTCGTTTGTTGACAGATCCTCGTCTTGGTGTCAAATGAAGAAGCTGCGGTTCAATTAAATTCCAGCGCCCACGAGAATACTATTCCGTTTGAATGCTGTACATCGAGGACCACTGAAGTACTTTAGTGGAGCTTCGTATCAGAAAGCAGGGTCGAAAGTGATCACTGATCTATTGCATAACCACTGTCATGGTATCATTTCAATCCGCAATGGCTCAATAACACATTACGACCGCCCAATATCAATCCTTTTCGCTCCAAGACGTACCGCACCGATGATAGACACCACCATGCAGGCTTCAACCGCCAGCAACGACGGCCAAGCCCTCGTAGATTTTCCTTTTGACCTTGAAGAACGTAGCTGCATCGCTACTCCTAGGATCAGCAAAGCTGTATGCTCCGCCATCAACCTCGATGGTTCCTGCTGCTGTTTTCCTTACTGCAACCGTGCCATTGATGACTAGCACGCCTTCGCCCCTGAACTCGGCCTCCATGCCAGAAGCTTTCATGAGCTTTCTAAGATCAGCGAGCCTCAAGTCACCCACATGGAACGGCTGAGCAACAGAGCGCACAGCAGTCGCCATATTTGTCGGTATTACGTCCAAGACTGGTGTGTCATCGCTTGCTTCCTGGCTTACAGGCACAGCAGGCGTAGCTTCAAGTCTCGCTCTCTTCTTCGCTGGAGCTTCGTCCTCCTCCTCTTTCGGGGGTGGCTCGAGACTCGCGGCCTGCAAGCGTCCAGTAATAGCAACAACACCCAGACCATGGACTTTCTGCCATCGCAGATTTTGGATCATGCTGCGCGATAGCTTGACGGACCAAGCGTTTGTGTCGACACTAGCATCGACCATTGTGCCGACTGCGGGGGTGAAAACGTCGATGTTGCTGCCCGCTTCAATGGAGGCTAGTGTCTTCCGGAGCTCTTCTGCGAGGTCTTTGGTTTCTGTCTCTTCGCCAGCGACGAAGATGAGATTGCGAGGCCTGATCAAGGGGATGAGGGTTTGAATGGTGCGGCGGTCGTGCAGGCCGGAGAAGTCGATGTAGGTGATGCGACACCTAATATCGAGCGTTTCTGACTCGATAACGACCTTTGCGGGCCCATCGACCTTGTCTGGATCATCTTCTGGTTCGCTGTCTGGCTCGGCGGGTGCGTCTGCTACACCATCCCACTTCCTCTTTTGACCAACTGCATTCTCCTTCTTTGCTGCATCACCACGTGAAGGCTCGCCGGGGACGTTATCTTCCTCTTCTGCGCGGGCGAACTCTTCGGGTCGAATGAGGTCTCCGAAGTCGTCTGCACGTCTTCGCTTGGTAATGATGGGGAACATCTTGTCAGCGCCCTTCTTGCCCTGAACTTCAAAGTCGTGTACATTCTTACGCCGGGTGAGGATGTTAACACCCATCTCGGCGTCAGTCTGGTCGACTTTGTTGCGAGCATGGCGAAGGGTAGCCGTTGTGTTGAGGGCTTTTCCTTGATGTGGATGTACCATATCTTCTGAGTCTTCTGAGCTCTCTGATGTTGTTGATGATCGGTCATCTACAACATCAGTGGTCTCCATGTTGGTAGTAGCATCTCCGCCCATGGTATGGTGCAGTTGCCGCTGTCTTGCCAGATGTTGCTGGTAGAGAGGCACTTCGTCGCCTACAAGTGCTACGGTTCGAGCAGCCCGTACAGAAGTCTGACCTAGAGAATTGACGACTGTTGTCGATGAGCCTTGCTCAGTGTATGCGTTCTGTTCGGTCCAGATTTCCCATAGATATCTTCCCAGGCCTTTCTCTTGCCCACTGAGTTCACCAACACGTTCTGTCAAAATGATCAAGTTCTTCTCATCCGATGCCAGGCTCTTGATGGCATCTTTCGAAAAGCCCCATTCCAGAGATGTGTCGCTCGCCAGTATGACACGCGGTTCCGCTTCGCCAAGCATGCGTGTTACACGTGTTTTGCGCTCCAGTAATATGATATGCCTGAAGTCGAATGGCGGCCTTGCGCCTCTGTCGTCTTTTCCACCTGTCCGGCTCTTGCCCTGTTCCTGACCGTCTGCTGCACCACCGGCTCCAAACTCCTTTACGATGCCTTCGTCCATCCATTCAACCATGCTTCGTACGTATCGCATTGTCGCACCACCTGTTCTGCTTGCCAGATACAGTTTGGCGTTCTTTAGCGGGCTATTACTGTCTGCTCTGCTAGCTTCGTTCTGCCATGTCTCTTCGAGGAGGTACGACAGCTCAAGAATGCGAGCACTAGAATCAGAGGGGATCAAAACAGACCCTCCTCTGGCGACGGTATCCCGAATCATAGACAAGAGAGCCTCGTCTCGTTGGTTGCCCTTTATGTTCGTGTGCTTGCCTGATCCCTTGCTACTGCAGATTAAAGCAGTAGGACGGCGCAGCTGCTCTAACACTTCGGATCCACCAGTTCCAGGTCCGCCTAACCAAGCAGCTCCAGATAGCACGTGTTCTCTTGCCTGGTTCCAGTCCACCGCATAGACAACTGATTCCATGCCATGCTGTATATGCCATATTGTGCCTCCCAGTGTGTGTCCTGCACTGTATGCGGTAATCGTGAGACCGTTAAGAGGTGGTGAGCTCGGCGATGCCAGCGGCTGGCGTGGCTGCGAGTACTTGAGGGGGTTTACGAGGCCGAAGTAGTTTGCAATCTCGTCGTGTGTCGGTGCCTGAAGCAGTATGTTTGGGTTGTCTCCACCTGGGAGTGCAGATGGATACGCGTATGCCGACTCGCTAAGGGCATCGGTCGAAATTATGGAGGCTGCGAGCGGCGTGGAAGCGTAGAGGTCTTGAAGAAGTGTTCGTCCTAGTGATATGACGGGTATTGTTGCGTAAACGGGTATGCGTGTGAAGGTTGGGATATTCTTGCAGCAATGCACATATGCGCCGAGATGTGCAGTAGTCGCATGAGTGAGCAGAATGAAGGAGAGCGTAGGGACATGTCTGGAGTCAACACAATCAGCTTTGTTCTTGTGTATTCATTCGTCTATATACAGCTGTACATGAGAGCCTGCACACTGAGCAGCACCTACCTTTCGATCTCTTTGAGCTTTTCAACATCGAAGCTCTCATCCCAGCCTATGTCGATAAGCACCTTCACGCCCCCATCGAACTCGAGCAGTGACTGAGATGCTGGCGACGCAGATTGCGCACCGAGCAAAGGTGTGAAATTGAACATAGTGATGGCAGTCAGCTAAACAGATGCATGCGACTGGGCTTTACGCAAACATAGCGACCTGCCGCAAGGTCGAGGTTGATACGGCGCGTTAATGGTTGCTCTGATGCATGAATGAATGGAGACGCGCCGCGGGCCATTCATTGTTCCGTTAGCGTATGCCAAGACGCCAGAGCCTCATGCAAACATTGCAACCCGAGCAAACACTTTGCGAAGGTACCTGTGAGGGAACAATATCATGACGGGCAGTCCGTTGCACCAAATCGAATCTCGATTTCGGCTCCTGTGAACGATGATACGGCCCGTAGCTACTTGAAATATGCCGTATGTCGACTGGTGGATCTTGTACAACGAGAACCACGTGATGGGATCGCTACCATTCTTCGAAAGCGGGACGACGGTACGACTTGCACATCAGTCTCTCCACCATCCTGCAGATAAACATCCTTTGTACAACGTAATCAGACCCATTACCCCTGCCTCCTGCAGTGTTCGATGTTGCCTTAGACATCAGCTAGCCAACTCTCTGCCTGAGGATATCAATCATGTCTAAGTCAACGCGCCGAAGGTTCAGAAGATCTGGAAGTTCCATACGCAAGCTGTTGTAAGGCGGCAACCTGAATTGGCCTAACATTGGCTGTTCATGTAGCTGTAGTCCTGTCGAATGGGGTTGACGAATGGGACGGCACAGATGCTCCAAGCAAACCCCGCGTCAGTGCATGCCGCTAACATATGCAAGTCACACCCGCTTCGTCTCTTTACTCCACCTTCGGCCCTCTCTCGGATGCCTGATCCCGCTCTGTATTGTACCAAAAGATCCATAAGCTGGCTAATGTAAGTCATCCTTCTTTGGTCTCCGCTGTCACTGCGCTGCAGGGTCGGATATTTCGAGAGGCTCATACATCTTAAACTTCGTCGTACACCCTCAAAAGAGATAGGAATGTTGTGCACAAATCCCTCATTCACTCATGCGTCATGACAGTCGTCAGCTGGCAGGTTACCATCCTGGGAATTATCGCGTTTCGCTGAAAACGGCATGATGGCGATAGCGCAGGGTGTCCAGCTCCACATCGTGATGAGACAATCACCCTTGGACGAGACTACCTCCGATTCATGCTAGCACGCTGATATCTTTGGGCTGATTCACCCTCGTCTGTGGTGAGATGCTTGTCAATTCTTGCGCAAGGAGCTAGCAGTGTCACACAGACAGATCTCGGCAAAGCCATATCCGATGTCATCTTGCAACTGCGATTCAAGTTGGTAGACTTTGGTGTCGAAAGTTGATCACACAACTTCAGCCGGAAGCTGTCATCGTCGGAGCTCCTCGGTACCAGCCGAGATCAGTGCGGGAACCCTCTGGGAGCCAACTTCGGGGTCGTGCTCTTTTGAGTTTGTCAGTCCGTCCGCGTTTCCACTCCGCGCACTACCAGTCTTGAAAACCCGGATCCGATGCAGCATCAAACATGTTACTTTAGAGACTTTGATCGACGGGAGATGAGGTTTGTACGCAGATGCAAGAATTTTTGCATTGCAGAGGTGCTGTTCGGTCAATTTCGCCTGGGCCAGTAAAAGATCACTGCGAATAACATTTGATGCTTTTGCTGACGGGCGCAAGCGAGCACCTCCACCATGCGGGGAGATGACCTTTCCAAGAGACTTTGGGCTGGCCGTTGCCTCGCTGAACCTACCGGGGCCAGTTCCAACTGTGAAGAGATCTGCGTGCCCTTGCCATCCTTGTAACGTGGCTGAAAGCTCGAAACGTTCAACACCGCCGACTAACCGGTCTTTGCATCTCTGTTCACATCCCATCCTTCCAGCTGCCGTGCTTGCTACCTCCTGTCAGGAGCGAGGGACGTCTGGACCTGCCATCATTTGACCGGATATTGACCGCGAGAATGATGTCGTCAGGTCACACATTATAGTGACAGGAGGAGTAACAACACTATGAGCGTCTCTCGTTGTGGGGCTGATTATCAGCTAGAAACGCCTCAAAGTCGACAGGAAGATCGTGTCCCACTAACCCTCTGCATGCGCGGCCGTAGAATATATGGCGTTAGGCTGTCGTCTTTAATTGTCACTTTCAGGGATTCCATCAAGATGAATAAACCTTGGCTGTCATTCGCGGGCTAATCAGATAATTCGATGGGCCAGCAGAGAGTTTTTCGGCGTTTCCTCTGCACTCTCCGCCGCCGTTCATCTTGGATCATCAGTTTTCCGCCCAGGGTGTGTCTGACCAACCGCATGTCGAAGCTGGCGTGGGAGGACCAGTGTGCGGCCGGTGAAAAGCGATTCATGTCTGTCAGTAAGGCCCGCGCGGCTTTACCAGCACGTTACATTTCCACGAGGGTTGACACTTCTGTATCACTCAGCTAGCGCTCACAACAGTCACTCTTTTCGAAGCCACATGCAGCTCCTGATCTCTCTGAGCAAACGTCAACACAGTTCCTTACGTGCACAGTGCGTTTGCTCCTCTGCAAGCTTCGGTCTGCTCCCTGCTTTAAGTAGACGGCGGCCCGGTGCGCTGGTTAGAGTGGAACCACTACTTCCAGGGTCATCCTCCATCGTGTGTTAGAGGCGAATTCGTCGTCGTTGCAGCGACGCTACTTTGACTCGACTACTATAACCTGTCGTCTCTTCCCGTGTCGTGCAACCTGGCCTTCAACTACGCCGGCTTACCTTTCTCGCCCATTCTGCGCCCAGCACTCTATTACCTGGATCCCAGTCGATAAAGTCGTATTACCTCCCTACTCAAGCGATTATAGCTCCCTACGATTGCGCAGCTCACTTCCTCCTTGCGTCTGCCACCATCACGAGCATTGGAGAATTGCCACATAACTAGTCCTTCAATTCGCCAACCATTGCCTACTTCAAGGTTACCATCGGATTCAATCGTCTTCCGAGAAACGCAGTTTCGCAGTTCGTTGCACCACGTCTCATTGGTTGTTGGTCCGCGCCCGCGACTCGCTAGACGCAGTCCCCGCTCTCACGCAACAAACCGCCCAATTACTCGAGGCTCCAAAACTGAACCGCGTGAGCTATCTTGCAACAATACCATTGTATCCTCGGAAAGATATTGGCCGTCCTGTTTCACTACTGGCTCAGAAGCAAGCAACATTTAGCGGTAGTAGTGCAAAGCTCCTAGGCGTTGCAAAGTCGTATACTCTGCTACACTGGATTCAGCCTTGGTGCAGTTGGTTTTGCTCTAAGCTACGAGCATACACGACGCATACAAACGACTTGTGCGTCCAATGTCGCTTAATCGCCGGCAATAGCACTCGAAGTTGCTTCTATCAGACCGAATGATCTCGACTATCTCCTTCGGCCCTTCGCCGTCAGGCGCTCACTCTCGTTTGAGCACCAGCTCGTCTCCACAGCCCTCCATGTCCTCCGCCAGCGACTCTCCCCTTACGACACCCAACTTCGATCCGAACATCTTCTCGACTTCCGATTCCCAATCAGACGGCCGACGGGATTCACGCACAAGTCCTGATGATATTATACCGAAGGTAGAGGAGGCAGAGCTCGAACTAGCAGATGTTAAAGAAGAGGCGGATGAAACTCCTATCTCCCCAACAGAGCCCGTACGAATACGACGAGCTCGTGGCCGACCCCGGATTCACCCGCCCCGCTCGCCCACAACTCTTTCGAAACAGGCCAAAGCACGGTCGAAAACAGGTTGCACAACATGTCGAAAACGAAAGAAGAAGTGTGACGAAACTAAACCTTTCTGTAAGTGTCGCCACTCAAGCAAGCAATCACCGATCTAACCAGACAAAGGCCTATCATGCCAGAAAAACAATATTCACTGCGAAGGCTACAAGCCCCTGGAGATTTGGAGAAGTGGCAAAGAAAGGGCAGCGGAAGGTTTGTCATGATTGATCCTATCGATGACAAAAGCTGACTGTAGCGCAGCACGGAAACGAAGTGAAGACATCAAGTTCGATCTTCCACCTCTGATGGAAGGTGTTGAGAGCGACCTCGACCGCTCGCTCCTGCAACACTTCGCCAACAGAGCCAGCGCCGTCCTTACCCTGCATGGTGACAAAGCAACGAATCCCTTCACCAAGATCTTGTTGCCAATGGCACTGCAGCACGAAGGCCTGATGCACTCAGTGTTGTGCCTGTCCGCTTCGCACATGTATTCGATCAACCCGTCCCAGGAATATGAGGACCGACAGGCATTCCATCGTGGCAAGGCCCTGCAGCTATTAAAACATGATCTTGAGCGCCAGAACGCCGGAGAAGGTGGAGTGATGGTCTACGAGGACTCTAATGTTGCTCAGATACTGCTTCACCTCCTGCACTCCATCTGCGATGGAAACACATCTGGCGAGTACAGGATGCATATGGTCGCCGCGAAACAAATTGCGATGAGCCAAAAGTCTGCCAACCCAGAGTTCCAGTCGCTCTTTGATGAGTTCTTCTATTACCACTGGATTGCAAGTCAGATCACCTCCATGGACGGTACTGATGTGCCAATGATGGATGACTTCAGCTTGCCTTTCAAGATCAACCCCGAGACCGCCGGCCTCATCGGTGTGTCTGATGGTCTTTTCGGCTTCATTTCCAAGATCGGCAACCTAAGGCGGCGCTTACGGTCACGCATCGACAGCAAACTTGAGCCAACCATGGATTACGAAGCGTTACTCTCTGCACATGCCATCGACTCAGGCTTGCGTGGTTGGGTCTGTCCACAAACACCTGGCACACCTCGTTACACCATCTCCATGCTCTATCGTCAGGCAACATGGGTCTATCTCTACCGTACAACGAAGAGCTCTCATCCACATCCATACATTAAGAGCGCTGTAGATGACGGCATACGATACATCAACGAGTTGCCTGCAGAAGGTTGGATCCAGAGCAACGTTCTTCTGCCACTGTTCCTCATTGGCTGCGCGGCGTTTGAGGAAGAGCAGCGCGTCGAGATCAACCGAGCGTTCTCAGGCCTGATTGCCTGCACCGGACTCGGAAACATCGGCTTCGCCAAAGAAGTCGTCGATGACATCTGGAAGCTCATGGACGCTGGAGATCAAGAGTCATGGGACTGGGAGAAGATCATCAATCAAAAAGGATGGGATTTCCTTGCTACATGAGACGGACTTACACACCATTTCGGTCTTCTTACTTCGCTTCTTCATTGTTGCATTATCACGGTTACTTCCACGGAGCAAAAAAGGAGTATCGAACACGAAGGATGTTCTTGTTTCCGGCATGCTTTTCTGGACGATGGCTGGTATCCTTCGAGGCATGATTGCGGCGCAATTTGCATTGGGCTGGCACAACGGTTCTCACCACACGGGCGGTGCACTGTGTAGGATTCTGGACGGACGAATGGGTTTTTCGTTTCTTTACCGCATTTACTTCGGTATGGTTCTGCGGCGGTTTCTTTCGCACACATAGCATTTCGATGTTTAGCGGGTCGGTTTGCATCTTCGATCTGCACAAACACATTGCATTTAGCCAGGCATATTCACACACATGGCATGGCGGTTCCCGTTGCAAGCATTATCTGTAGCTAGAGATAGCAAGCATGTTGGTTGGTACAGTCGGGTTTCACGACATGTAGCTGCGCAGATTGAAATGCAGCTAGAGTACACATCCCAACATTGAATCCCAGCGTTCTTCTTCCGCGTTCTGTTTGTGGATCGATGACGATCGACCGAGGTGTCAGGGTGAGGAGTTGGCATGCTGCACGGCGTTGTGTCTAGAGCCTCGTGTCGACATTTCGTTCTGCCACGCGGCACGGTTTCTCCTCCAATCCTGAGCTTCGACAGCCGCGAGACGTTTTGCTAAGGACCAGACTTGTCAACAATCAAATCAAATCAAATCTGGATCAAAGCCTTACCGATAGGTGATTAGATCTCCTCCCTGCTATATGTGCCCTCGTTCACAGACCACAGTATGGTCTGTTTGCCACCAAGTTATCAGATCAAATATGCTTGACAAGTCTGCTAAAGGACGTTGTGCGATCTTTGAGGGGTTGAGGATGCCATTGTGAACACTCAGAAGCGCAATGGTTGCACGATCCTGCATTTAGCCGATGGGCGAGCACTTGCAGCCTGTGAACGAGATGAAGGGTCATCCAATTCAGCGCTGTTCGTCAGGAGCCTCCGAACGCGATGCGGCCGTTGGAAGATCGCTGCTGGGTTCAGCTTCGCGGTCCGGCTTGCGTGCTCTGCGTGGGGGTAGCGTCTCCAGCTTGCACAAACTGGAGGGGCTTGCTGCTAACGTACAGGGCATGCTCCTTGGTCCTTCGTTTGCGGGCATACGCCTCGGGACACCTTCCAGAGAAACCGACATCTACACGATAAGTTCGGCGCTGCGTCAAATGCATCCTGGAAAGTAGCGTATTCGCTGTCGGGCCTTCTTTTGTCCCTATCAGTATCAGTGTCATACCCCCACGCAGCTCGGGAGCTTGGGCGATGGGTTCTAATGTTGAACAATTGTTCTCAGGGCTAAAAGTACAAGGTACATCGGTATTGCGCGGTACCTAAGGAAGACATCTTACACTTTCCCGACATGACCCGGGTGTAACTATTCTCATCTGATGCCCATCTGAATCTTCAAACAATATGAGCGCATCAACTGCCGTTGATGTGGCCTCCGGATGCTCTCAGACCACCGTCTCCACATTTCCAACCAAAAACATATCACCGGGATGTTGCCATCCTGAATCCTTCCTACCAATAACTTGATCCTATATCCGATGTCCTGACCCTTAACTCTAGATCGCACATCCTCCCCTATAATCGTCATAGTTCCGGATGACTCCGATAAGCAATGTTCCAAGACAGCAGCAGTCAGCCCCGAATACGCACACCGTTTGTGGAGGTGGCCTCGATCATGTCCGCCCTACAGCCATGAATGCCTCGTGATATACCATCGATTACGCTTTCAGCATTCCACCACTGCCCAAAAGGGCACCCTGCATGTAAGGTGAGCCCTTAAACGGAACTTAGCCCGCCAATAAGTTTACTACGCTACTGAGGCTTATGGTAACTCCAATTCGATGGTGCCTGCATAGACTCGCAATCGAAGTCGATAATGCAGGTCATAATGCGAGATCAGAGAAGAGTGATACTGTGGATTCACCGCTTGCTCTGCACTCACCGATGTCAGCAAAGCTAATGCACTGCCCACGAGGACACCTTGGTGTCGTAATTGCTTGTTAATCCGAACGGTTTTCTGATCGCCATGAGAAAGTGTAGGGTTGCTGGTTGGGCGAACTAAACACCTTGCGGACCTGCAGCTGACAGCTGCGTAAGCGATCATGGCTTGAGAGGTCATCGGTTGTGGACTGCGAGATATAGGTGTGGTGGGAAGCTTTGGGTCGAGGCCGTCTCTTCCGGATGTGTCGGTGTAGAGAATGATTTCAGATTTGATTTCAAAAGCCAGATCTAAAGCCGTGTAACCTCGAATAGGGGCTGGCTCGTGGCTTGAACGGTGTTGCGGTGAGCCGCAGGTGCCACCTTCGCCCGGAGAGGTAGTACAAGTTGATCTTGTCCTGGAGGGCGTTGCATGGCACTGAGAGGCTGGTCATGAGAGCCGAAAGTCACATGCCGAGGCATCTTTCAAAGTCTCATCCTCAAACTCTGTGCAATTCCAGTTTATGCAAATGCATGATTTCGAAATGTCAATATACGGACCAGTAGGATTGAGTATTCAGGGTCTGCGGCGATGTTCAAGATTTATACGTCCGGCATCAAGAGCCGTGGCTGGACGATCGATTAAAGATGAATGCACGGATTCCCGTCTCCATAATTGCAGAAAAGGGTTCGAAAAGGGGTGTATATTTCCGGCCTCCGTATCGTGTGATGAGCTGGAACTCTGAGCCGGCGCTGATTCGTGTCGTCACGATCAATTCTTTTAAGTAATTGGGCCGGTAGTTGAAAAGGGCAGTAGAAGATGGTTCCTCGCCTGTGAGATTGAAGAGCTAGAAGAACGTTTGACAGATGCAGGAATATGAAAAATGGAGTAAACGGGCCGCAAAAAATACGGGCGGAGGAATTGCTGCACACATGCCAAGAACCAGGCTAGGGTCTGGCTAGCCGGCGTCCCGGCGTCGCTGCAGTGGCTGCATCGCAACGACCTCTGCACAGCGAAAGCACCAACAAGTCAAGATCAAACCAGGAAACGGAAGGAGCTAAAGCCGAAGAAAGGAGATGTCATCACCTATTCCGAGGTCGCACAGCTTCACGGATCTGTGCTTCACGTTTCGCAGATTGAAGGTGCCTGAGTTGTCGTGCAACCGCCCCCAGATTCTCCAGTGCGGAGTGGAGTTGTCAGCAACCCCACAGATCTTGCGGCCAGAAGCAATTTCACGTTGCACAGGCGACATGGTCCTTTGTTTCATAGGCGGGCCGTTACAAGTGCAACGGCGGCCCGGAGTTGGGGCTTGAACACAATGGCTGGTCGCTCCCGCTCACGCAGCTCAAGATCAGTAAGTGCTGATTTCGTAGCCCAAGTGGCTGATTGATGTGTTCCTTCAGTATCATATTGAAGAGACAGTGTGAGTTGAGTGATGTTCTGGCTCTTGTGCCTCCTCGTAAAGAAGATGGTTTACTGGCTAGATACGGTGTAGCGTAGCAGGGGTGATCAACTTCGGTTGGCAAGCGATGTCCAAGACATTGTCACCGCGCATTCGAGTGAGATGACAGGCGGTGGACGTGTGGACTGCAGTTGCTCTTTTTTTTGTTTTCGCACACTCGTTATGAACACGCCACCCTGATCCCGAGCGGCATGGAGTCAACAGAAAAGAGCAGGGCAAACGTCGAGTACAGGAGCCACAAGCGAGACGCTGAGGCTGGAGTCCCTGCGAAAGAACTGGAGATCGGCGAACACGAGCAGCCGCCTCCCGAGTCGATTCACCCAATTCGGTCTCACACATCTCACGCCGACAATGCTATCTCCTTGCGCGAAGTCGAACCCGTTTCGGTGCGACTCGAGCATCTCTCTGTGTCTGTTGACGAGTCACCCAATGCGTTTGCCAAACTCTTCTCAAAGAAGAAGGCGGCAACGGACCAAAGTCACGTAAAGAACATCCTCGACGATGTCTCAGCCAACCTTCCAAGCGGAACGCTCACTGCCATTCTCGGCGGCAGTGGCAGTGGCAAGACATCCTTACTCAACCAGATGAGCGGGCGCATGAGGGGAAACCGAATCTCAACATTTGGTCGGACCTTGTTCAACGGCAGCGAAGATATCTCGAGTATCAAGAGTGCCTATGTGATACAACAAGACATCCTACTCCCGACGTTGACCGTTCAAGAGACCCTGACATACGCTGCGCAACTCCGGCTCCCGCCCTCGGTTACTCAAGCTGAAAGGAAGCAACTAGTCGAAGAAGTCATTGCAGAGTTGAGCTTGAAGGAGGCGGCAGAAACCCGGATAGGGAACCATGCGCACAAAGGCTGTAGTGGTGGTGAGAAGAGACGGACGAGCCTGGGTGTGCAGCTTTTGTCAAATCCAAGCTTGCTATGGCTGGACGAGCCTACCACTGGTCTTGATTCCGCAAGCGCCTATCAAGTTGTCAAGACGCTGCAAGATCTCGCTCGAAAGGGCAGGACAATCATCGTGACAATCCATCAGCCACGGTCTGAGATATGGAGTCTGTTCGATAATGTGATCCTACTCACAAGAGGCAGTCCAGCGTATGCAGGCAGCGCAAAGGGCTGTCTCGAATACTTCGCAAAGCTTGGCCATGAGATGCCACCTTTCACAAATCCCGCGGAACATCTCATCGATGTGGTCAGTGTCGATAACAGGAGCGGAGAAGCCGAGACTGTTACTGAAGGAAGAGTCCGAGATATCAAAGCAGCTTGGAGACAACATTGCGATAAGACGCTTAGCGAGAAGAGTGATCAAAATTATGTTGCTGCTCCTGTCGACCCCAAGTCGAAGTCATTGACACCACGACATTCCGACATGCTTCCACAGATCCGAGTGCTCACTGCGCGAACTTGGGTCGTAACGATACGAGATCCGATGGGCATGTTCGGCAGTCTTCTGGAGGCCATCAGCATGGCGATCATCACAGGTTGGATCTTTCTGCATGTCGATGGATCGCTGTCTGGTATTCGTTCTCGACAGGGTGCATTATACAATGCAGCCGCGCTCCAAGGCTATCTTATCCTACTCTTCGAGACGTACCGACTTACGGACGACATACAGCTTTTCGACGAAGAAGCGCGGCAGGGTGTGGTCAGCATCCCTGCCTTTCTCGTCTCAAGACGACTTGCTCGCTTCTTTATAGAAGATCTTCCTGTACCGCTGATCTTCTCAGTGATTTATTACTTCATGGTCGGCTTTCGTTCTGACGGCGGTGAGTTCCTTACGTTCTTCAGCGTCATTCTCCTGGAACACTACATCGCTGTGTGCTTCGCAATGGTCTGTGTAGCCGTCTCGAGGAACTTTGCAGGGGCCAGTCTTGTGGCCAATCTTGCATATACCTTGCAATCCATGGCATGCGGGTACTTTATCCAGTCAAACACCATTCCCATCTACGTACGATGGACCAAGTGGACGGCCTACGTGGTGAGTAGAGAATTTGAAGGCTTTTTCAGCGTTTCTTCAAAGCTAATCTCCATATAGTTCTACGCTTTTGGAGCTCTATGCGCCAACGAGTTCACAGGCAGTTTCTACGACTGTCCTGTTGGTGGACGTACGGACGAAGTGTGCAAAGAGTACACCGGCGAGTTCATCATGGATTCACTTGGCTTTCCGGACGACTGGGTATGGCGACCGATCCTTGCTCTGACTGGATATGTATTCGCCTTTTACGCTGGAGCAGCCGTGCTTCTGAAGTACTGGAACGCAGAGATCACCATGGCTCGCGCTCGGCCATCCAACATGGACGCATCTGCAGGCAAAGAAAAGATGAGCGAGCAGCCACCTGATGAAGTGAGAACGATCAATATCCGCCTCAAAGGCTTTGGTTTGGACATCGAGAAACGAACCTTGCGAACCCAGACTACCAAATCCATCCTCAAACCGCTCACTGCAGAGTTCCAACCAGGTTCGTTGAACGTCATAATGGGCCCATCTGGCTCAGGAAAGACGTCGTTACTCAACAGCATGGCTGACAGGCTAAAAGACGACTTCTTGACACGATACAAGACGTTCGGTACCATGACCTTCAACGGCCTTGCGCCATCCAAAGACGTTGTGCACTCAATTTGCTCGTTCGTCACTCAAGATGATGATGCTCTGCTAGCTTCCCTTACTGTCCGTGAGACACTTCGCTACGCCGCAGGCCTTCGCCTTCCAAAGTGGATGTCCAAGCAGCAGAAAGTCCAAAAGGCTGAAGAGATACTCCTCAAGATGGGTCTCAAAGATTGCGCAGATAACTTGATCGGCAACGATCTCATCAAAGGAATTAGTGGCGGTGAGAAGCGCAGAGTGACCATCGCTGTACAGATCCTCACGGAACCACGTGTCCTGCTCCTCGACGAGCCACTCTCGGGTCTCGATGCATTTACCGCACTTTCAATCATGGACGTCCTCCTTGGTCTTGCGCACGAAGGCCGCACACTCATCGTCACCATCCACCAACCCCGCTCAGACATTTTCGCCCACTTTGGCAATATCATGCTCCTCACTCGGGGAGGCCACCCCGTATTCGCAGGACCTGCGACCCAGATGCTCTCACACTTTGCCGCTCAAGGCTACGACTGCCCTCGACATGTAAATCCCGCAGACTTTGCACTGGATCTCATTACTGTAGACCTGCAACACCAAGCGCGAGAAGAAGCCAGCAGAGAGAAGGTCCGCAAGCTCATTGAAGCCTGGCATCCTGACCTCTTTCCAGCTACAAGGACGGGCTCAATTGCTACGCCTGCCGAATTGGGTAGCCTAGCGCGCGAACCTGCAAGCTTCGCAGCAGCCTACTCGATACTCATTCGTCGTGCGACAAAGAACTTCTTCCGCATGCCCGATCTGATCGTTGCCCGTATAATGCAGGTTGTCGGTCTAGGTATAGTTCTAGCACTCTTCTTCGCGCCTTTGAAGAACGACTACTTCTCTATCCAGAACCGCGTGGGTTTCCTAGTAGAAATCGCACCGCTGTACTTCGTGGGAATGCTGAACAACATCGCCACCTACCCAGTAGAGCGCGATGTGTTCTACCGAGACTACGATGATCGCATTTATGGTGTAGAGGCCTTCTTCCTGACCTACATCTCCATCACCACGCCCTTCGAGCTCATCTCCTGCTTTGTGTTCGCAGTCCTCGCCGTTCTAGCGGTCGGCTTGGAACGCAACGCCAGCACGTACTTCATCATAACGTACAACGCGTTCTGCATCACGAGCTGTGGCGAGAGTCTCGGAATTGCGTTCAATACATTGTTCTCGCATACTGGGTTCAGTGTCAACATCATGAGTGTGTTCCTGAGTGTTGCGCAGGTCATGGGTAAGCAAACCCCCCTCTTTTTCTCGGGACTCAAAGCAGTCTACTAACACCAACGCTAGGTGGCGTCCTCTCCCTCTCCATTCCCTCGTTCCTGCAAGCCTTCAACCACCTCTCTCCCGTGAAGTGGGCAATTGGCAACATGGCACCCTACACCCTCCGCAACGAGAAGTTCACGTGCGAGGGCTGGCAGAAGATCAGTGGGCAGTGTCCCATTACCACGGGTCAGCAAGTACTGGAGCTGTATAAGCTGGATAAGGACCCAGAGATGTATATCATGGCACTGGGAATTTGCGCAATCGTGTACCGGTTTCTAGCATATGTGGTGCTGAAGTGTGTCAAGGAGAGGTGGGTTGGGAGGCTGTGGAGGAAGGCGAGAGGTGGTAAGAAGAGCACACCCGCCGCTTAGTCAGTGCAAGCACGAGATGCACCTGCCCCATTGTGAAGTTCTGGGGGAAACCCCCCAAATGAACAGGATCTGTCATCAACCCTTTCGATCTCCGCATGCATTCAACAGTGGGGACTATACAAGAACCGTTCATTTCCCCCTTCTCTAGGCACTCGCAATGTCATCGTGACCTTTTTCACCAGAAGCCAAAAGTAAAAAGCATGGTCATGCCAGCGAAACGCAACGAAAAGTACCGACTAAGCGCATACATGTTGCTCTGGGCCTCGTGGGGGCGGTGCAAGGCAAACAACGAGGGAACTGGACGCGCAAGACAGCAGTACGTGTGAGCGCAAACGATGTAGCGGTGTGCACCGACATGGATACAACAGTAGAGTCTATATAGATGCCAGGAAGAGATAAGACTGCGTTCAGGACACCCAGACTGGTTCCTGGAAGGGAGGCTCTGCGTTGGTGATGGGAATGCAGGGGCCAGAAAGTGAAACGGGGGGGGAGGGGGGGCGTTCACGGGAAGATCACAGCTAGCTCCACCAAGGATACGGGGAGAAGCTTACGTCGACAATTGTTCCCTCTCCCAGACATGACCGCGCTGTCCCCCCTTTCCCGCGTATCAACTTTGGCGCCGTGAGCAATTGCACTCGGCAAACACGGTCCGCTCTATCTGCCAGTATGCTCAGCGGACCACCTCGGCTGGTCCCCTTCCTCTTCTTGGCGTTTGTGCTTGCGCTGGTCGTGTGGTACTACCATGGCGTGTCGGGCACAGGCACGTCGCTGTCGGCATGGAAGCCCGGCTCCTCGTTCTCGACAGAAAGGCCGTCGTCGCTACGCGCGGGTGTAGATCCCCTCGACTTCAGCATACCGCTGCGCTTCTCGGACGGGCAGCCTAAGCCCGCAGGCAGCAACTACACGTTCAAGATTGTGGTGCCCAAGACGACCAAGGAGGACCTGGAATGGATGCAGCAGGAGATTCCCCATGCGCCGCTGGTCATCTACGAGGTGGACAATGAGAAGGCGGAGAACAAGATCCCCAAAAACAAGGGCCGCGAGGCCATGGTACGCGGTGAAGCCGGCCCAACAACAAACAGAGGATGCTAACAAGAGCGCCAGGTGTACCTCAGCTACATCATAGACCACTATGACGACCTTCCCGACACGTCCCTCTTCATGCACGCCCACCGCCACGCCTGGCACAACAACCAGCTGATGGGCCTCGACGCTGCCCAGATAGTAAACCGGCTGAACCACGACCGCGTCGCGCGCCTCGGGTACATGAACGTACGATGCCACCACGACCCTGGCTGCCCTGACTGGATCCACATGGACCGTCCCGGCGGCGACTTCGACTTCTTCCACAAGCCGGAGGAGATCTACTGGCGCAAGAGCATCTGGGAGGAGATCCACCCCGGCGCGCCCATCCCGCCCTCCATCTCCGGTATCTGCTGCGCGCAATTCGCCGTCTCACGCGACAGGATCAGGCAGGTGCCCCTCGAGCGCTTCATCCACTACCGCAAGTGGCTGCTCACAACCGGCATGGACGACCAGTTCTCTGGCCGCATCTTCGAGTACATCTGGCACTACATCTTCACCGGCCACGAGGTCTACTGCCCCGCAATGAATACCTGCTACTGCGACGGCTACGGTATCTGCTTCGGCGGGCGCCAGAAGTTCGACGACTACGTCAAGAAGCAGGACGACCGCAACGCGAAATGGACACAACTCGAAGAGTTCAACAAGCGCGCGGACAAGGCGAAGGAGGAGGGCAAGGAACCTGATTTCACGGATGCTGAAAAGCTCACAATGGACACGCTGAGGAACACAATTGGCGATATGGACGTTGAGCTTGATAAGCTGAGGGAAGACGCGAGGAAGAGGGGTGACGATCCCAAATTAAGGGCAGAGGAGATGGAGACGTATGATTCTTCGCACATCTGGGATTATGCGCCGCATGGCGATAAGATTTGAGGATAATGTATATGACAGCTTCTATGGCAGGCATTGCGGCGGTGTGGGCGTTTAGGCGGCAGGCATGTTAGATATGTAGATCTGATGATGGCGGTTGTATATAGACTGGGGTCGCTGTCATGCAGCCTGTGTCGAACCATCAAATCCATGAAACTTGGACTCAACATCTCAATTGGCTACGGCTGAGGAAATCTGCGGCTAGTTACGAGCGCTTCCACGACCCTATTGCGTGGATCACGATGTTCGAAACGTTTGTAGTCGATTACTTGGATGATCAGCCGAGAGCCTCAGTAACGTTGGAGAGCTTCTGAGTCGATTTTCACGCCTGGATGGTACGCCGATTCGGACATGACGGAAAGGTTCAAGACGTGGTTTGCTGCGTTCCCAAATGTGAACGACTTCCGTGGCGCCCTCCACACCTACGTCGATTGTATATACAACCAGGCCGTGAACTTGTCTGCTTCGAACCTGTGGTCATTCACGAGATCAAGTACGCTTTGTACCGTGCGATGATGTAACCAGCCATCGTGTACCTTGACCGTAAGATAAAGGAGGTGCTGGCGACTATTGGTTCGTTACTATGGGCCTCGTTTCGATGGACGATGACCGGCGATTGGTCTTCTTGGACAGACTACCCAGGGGGTTCCATGAAGCGCAAGAGACGCCACTGTACGGCATTCTCGAAAACGTCGTGAATATGGCACCAACACAAACAGGCTTCGAAGAGCAAATGTACTATCGCAGCTGGGAGCCTGCCTGGCGTCGATGGGTTATCAAGTGAGTCAGTACATCATGGACAGCTGGACTTGTGGCAGCTGTCAGCGACGTTTACGAATCATCCTGACAGTAGCGGCGCCAGGACTTGAACCAATCTTGCAACGTCCGCACACACACACACACACACACACACACACAGCCGATCATACGAGAAAACCGCTGCCAGGAGCCTTGGGGACTTCCCAATGGTGAGCGTTTCGGCGATCGTGAACATTATGCCACTTCATTCCCGGTTGTTTCCGCCAAAGGAGCTACATCTGATTACCTACCATACATTGGCAATGGTAATGTCCAGGCGTGTGTCCGGTTTCCAGATCACCGACTGTCATGGCCAACGAATAGCAAAGGCCGAGCATTGTTGGAACACCGGGCTACGGCTACGCAGAAGCTCTCCAACTTGAACTCGTGTCACCACTTCTTCAACCGAAGAAAAAGGAAACCGGCAGAGCATATTGATGCACAAAAGTAGGCGGCCTAATATCAACTACTACCACAGATGACAACATGCGAGATGCCCGAAATGGCGCCTCGGTGCACTGGTCACAGCACCGACCATTAAGCATCCAGGAGGTTCAGCACACACAGGGCTACCCCGATCATGAATCGATTATAGGATCACTAAGTGAGCAGCGGAAGATCATTGGCAACGGTGTCGACCGCAAGGCGTCGTTACTGTGTGTTGCTCTACGCAATGCATTAACCCTCTCAAGGCGTATGCCAGACCCAAGCGAAGTCTTGGAGAACGAGGTCGAGCTCGTTATCGATATCGAAGAAGAGTCGAAAGAACATTTGTTGGAAGCGAGTGAACACTCAATCGTTGATGTGCCGTGAGAAGTCAATCCATCCTCATCGATGTCGTCGTCGGCTGATTCGTTCTCATCAACACGCGAAACTAGAAAGAGGTTCGATCTAGTAATATTTCTCGATGGAGCGTACGATGTTAAGATACCACCGATCGCATCACCGAAAGGACCAGCGCCCACAGAAGGCTTCTTCCCTCTCTCTGCCGGCTTTCGCCACGTTCCTGCCCTCCGCGCAGCCATTGCCTCCGATCAAGCGCCAACGAGAAGACGACGAAGACGAACAACAAGGCGTTTTGAAAGCAGGGAAGACTTGTGCTGCCCCTCTCAAACGGGCAAAGTTTGAAGAGGTCCGAAGAACAACATCGCTAGCAAGAACAATACCAAAGAGCGAGACCAAGTTCGAAGCTAGGCGAGTCTCAATGCCGCCTCTTACATGAACAATTCATACTCGGATACCGGGACCGGCGGAGTTTGCGCCAAAAGCATGGCATAAGAAGATCGGGACATCCGACAATGTGGTGGAGCTATCGTAGATACCCCAGGCAACTGCAATAAATACATCCCTTGTCAAAGCTCTATATCTCTACAAGGTATTCAAACAAAGGAACAAGTACTCGCAGCAGCATGCACATGATTTTCCAAGCGAATCTCGGCTAAATGCGATGAGAACATATAAAGCGAGCGAGGCCGCTTGTTGCATTCAGACAACACTTCCTCAACTGTTGTTTCAGATGTTACGTCAACCATTTTTTTGTTGGTCTTAGCTAATAGTGCCAAAGTTGTACTTGGATTGCTACATCCAGTTCATCCGCGTTCTAATATACGACAGAAAGGAGTCATGAAACCACTACCGCTGCTTGTATTGGAACCAGTGTGTGAGTACCTAGCGTACGCTGAGCCGAGGAGGGCCAGATTATTGGCCTTCGTACTTACGAGCAAGACTTGCAGCGCTGCGGCACAGCGAGGATGATTCTCCCGGATATCGCTCAACGCAGACAATGCGCAGCCGCTTCATCGGAGCCTGGTGCGGCTGGAAGCGCCTGCTCGACAATTCAGGGAGTCGTCGATACGTCAGGGTGTTGAGAGTTGGTGAACACCGCCGATCAGAACGAACAACGAAGACGATGAGGCTGAAGATCCGCTACGCTAGGCCTCCAGTGCACATCCTATCGTCACCTTGACGGATCAGACGATCCAGTCCTTCTCCTTGGGCCTCCTGATGACGAAGACGATCAGAAATCAATGACCGTTGCCATCTGTGAGGTTTTCGTCAACGCTGCTGTGGACGAGCGCCTCGCGCATTTGATTTTCCACGAGATGCTGGCAGCGCATGCGCCGGCGAAGGCCGGTTTGGCGCCGAAGTTGAGGAGTGTGAGACTGTAGGTGGTTGGTGCATCGGCGCTTAATGGGCAGCTCATGAGTCCGGATTTCCAGGGTGTACTCTTGGGAGGAGGTGAGTTTGTAGGTGTGATCCGAGAGAGACACATCAAAAGCGAATTTGGTATTGATGAAGTGAAGAGGAGAAGAGTGAACAATGGGGAAAGGTTGGAATGTAAGATGGATGGATTGTCTGGTAACGAGCAGTTTAGAGAGATCTGGAAGGCTCTCTGGCCGGAGACTGGGAAGGGGTGGAAGCAGGGGTGAAGGAGCTTCCCACTTGCCGGCGATGGTACCTGTGTGCAGTGAAATCTACGGTTTGGAACGCTCTCTGGGAGATGGACGATTGCTCGAGAAGAAATAGGCTCTTACATCTCTTGCTCATTATTCTCTTATACTTTTACTTCCACTCAGAGCTCCATGTCTGCTCACCCTTTCGGAAGGGTACAACCTCAACACTGACACCGTCCTTCTTCAGCACATCGACAATCTTTTCTCCACCCTTCTTCAGGACAATCCTCTCATTCTTCTCATCCTTGACCTGGTAGAACTTGCGCCCATACGCACTAAAGAACCCCTCCAAAACCTCTTGAGTAATGTCTTCTTCCTTTACCACACCCCTCTTCACCCCGTTCTCAAGAGCATCGAGAACATACCCAAGCGCATACGGCTGCGTAAACACCCCCGCAGCAACCTTATCCTCGCCCCTTTTCTTAGTGCTCGGATGAGGCGCTGAATCCGTCCCGAGGAAGAATCGGCCTTTGCTGCTCACCACTGCCTTGAGTAAAGCATCGCGATCCTCGGGAGTCTTGGCAACGGGCTTGCAGAAGCAGAATGGGTCCCCGGCCCAGTCGTCGATTATCAGGGATAAGTGGTGCGCGGTGATGGTTCCGCTAACGGACGGACCGCAGGAGTGCACCGCGTCGAGGGCGGCGGCGGTGCTGCAGTGCTCGAGAATGATGCGCAGGTTGGGGAATTTGGCGTGTAGGGATTTGAAGGTGGGCAGGAATGCGGACTCGGCGTTGAGGATGGTGATTGCCGCGTCTTTGGTAGAGGATATATGCTTGTTGGCCGGGGTGGAGGGGACTTCACCGTGGAGGTTGAGGATCATGTTTTGCTTTTCCATTTCCGCGAAGACGGGGTAGAAGGGCTCGTAGGAGAGGACGCCAGAGGAGGAGTTTGTGGTGACGCCGGCTGGGTACGATTTCACGCCAGTGATGCCTACTTTCTTTGCTTCGCGGATCACCTCGGGCGTGATGTCCTCGTGCAGGTAGAGAGACATGAGGTAGTCGACATTTGGCTCGATGGCTCGCAGGCGGTTACGGTACTCGAGGGCTGCTTTGACCGATGTGACGGGTGGGACAAGGTTGGGCTGAGATATGAGTCAATCATTGTGCGTGTGAAGTGAAAACATGAATGACTGAAACCCCGCAAGAGATTTAAGAGAACATGTGCAATGATTTGGAAGATTACGATATGTGGGTTTGGCTTACCATGACATACACTTGATTCACACCACCCTGGCGGATGGTGGGGGTGACAAGGTGCGACATCTCACCATCACGCAAGTGCACATGGGCGTCGAACGCCGCTGGCAGGTCAATCTCAGTCAAGTCTGTGAATCCCATGTTTTGCTGTTCGGGAAATGCGCAAATGAATGTGTGAGAGTTGTTGTTTGAATTTTGAGGTCGCTGCATGCGAGCGAAACCGGGAAGCAGCTAATGGTGGGGCTAACCAAGGTAGGTAATCCTGACCTTGAAGCAGAGTCTCGTAACATGGAGCAGTATAATCATGCATGTCGAGTGAGACACGAATCTTATGCATCGCAGCTGAAGTGCGTGTATGAATATTCCTGATTTGGAAATATGGTATCTACACAGAGGCACGTGCCCAGGCCTCACCGCACCAGATGGCCATCCGCCCGTCGAGCGACACACAAAACCCTACGCGCTTTTCTCCCGTTATCAGCTGCTCCTACTCAGCCTTGCTAGCCGCAAGCTTCAGCACCTCCTCAACCCCCAGCCGTGCGTTCTTTGGATCCTTGTTAATACTCTGCCAGATCTCGCCATGCTTCGGTTCCGCCATAGCCGCCTTACTCAACACCTCCTGCTTCTTCTCCTCCGTCCCGTGCTGCTCAAGGAACTTGTAGTACCAGACCCATCCGTCGCCGTAATCTGGGTCCAACACCACGGCCTTGGTGAACCATGTCGCCGCTTTGTCGAGTCTCCGTTCGGACCAGAATATGCGGGCAACGACGACGAAGAGCTGTGGGTCCTTCTCGACTTTCTTGATGGCTTCGAGGGCGCGCGGTTTCCGTTGCGTTCGCGACTCGAGGTGCATGATCTTCTCAGCCCAAAGAAAGCCGGAGGTAGGGCATTCTTGGAGTGCGGTGGCCATGACTTTCTGAGCGGCGGGGATGTCGCCTCGGCGGCGCTCGAGGCGGACGGCTTCGCAGAGTATCTCGGCATTTTTGGGGTTCTGTTGACGACCGCGGTCGAGTGTTGAGCGGGCTTTGACAACGGCGCCGGTCTTTTCTTGTATTCTTGAGAGCAGAATGTAAAGCATGGGTGCTTTTGGTGCGGCCCGTGTGCCGATAGTGAGGGCTTCTTGTGCTTCCTTGAGCTTCGATAGCTGCTCATAGATTTGCCCCTTGATGGCGTGCAACTTCCAGCTGCCAGGCCAACTCTGCAGACCCTGGTTGCAGATGTCGATTGCAGTCTCGTAGTCACCAAGCTGGCGCTCGAGAACCGCAGATTTCATAAATATGCGGTCGGTGGCGGCCGAGTCTCGGGCGACCTTCAAGAAACTGCGCGCCTGCTCGTAGTTGCCAGCGTCCGCTTCAAAGTCGACAGCTCGTGTGTAGAGGTTTTCGTTACCAGGCAGCTGCTCGAAGGATCGGCCCAAGACTTGACGAGCACCCTCGATGTCTCCAGCCTGCCATCTTTCTCGAGCATATAGTAGCCACAGCGATTCTGAGTTTGGACAAGCGTTGACAGCACGCTCGAGAACGCTGAGAAGAGATTCAGTAGTTCCATGATGCTTTTCGAGATCGGCAGACGCATGCCAGACGGTTGTTGAGTATGGAAAGATCGACACACAATGCCCAAGGATCGCTCTTGCCGTTTCGTAGTGGCCTCGGTTGGAGATGTTCTTCGCATCTTCGAGCCAGATGTCGCGTCGTTCGTCGTCTTCATCTAGACTCCAGCCAATAGTTGCTTTTACGATGGAGGCTGCTGTGACCTTGTCACCCTCTTCTTCACAAATCTCGGCCTGTGCCAGCCACTCCTCGCGCTTGATCATGGCATTCTCCTTGATCAAAGCCTTGACTGCACGTTCCATGATCCTGTCGCAGATGTCGACCTTTCCGAGCTCTTCTTGCAACCTACAGGCATGTACCCAAATCGCCCAGCTGGTGGGAATAGCTTTGCGAGCTTTGTTCAGGACCTGCTGAGCTGCCTCTGCATCGCTGACGCGTGCGTAGGAAATCCACAGTTCTTCTGAGAGTGGCACTGTTTCTGTAGCCTTTGCAAACAACAGCTTGACGTTCTCGATGTCCTCGGTATCGTTGATCAAGGTCTTCCAGAGCTCGACAGACTGAGGGTTGTGATCCAGCGCTTGTCGAGTCACCTTCTTTCTAGCTGCTGGTGTCTGCTCTAGATCTATAGCTGCCTTCCACAATACGATAGCCTTGGGGTTGAGCTTGATACCGTTCGCCGCAATAATCTTCGCATTGTGGAGACTCTCGCGGTTCAGTCTGATGGCCTCCTCCCATACGACTATCGACTTCGGACACATCTCGCAGCCTTTCTGGATAACCTTCTTCGCGGTGTGGATCTTCCCTGCAACTTCTTCAAGACGTGCCAGCGCAACATATCCAGGACCGTTGTTGACATTGGTCTTGACTGCAGATTCCAACAACACTCGCGCACGGTTGATGTCTTCCACGGGTACTTCGCCGCCCTGCATCTCCTTCTTGTCCAACGCAGTAAGATATCCCTTTGGGTCGACTGCAGTTGCAGTTCCGGACGTAGTCGTTGTCTGTGTTCCCGTGTTGCTCGATGCCGCCGAATCCAGTCGGACTTGTAAGGCTGATTGTTGCGCAGCACCAATAGAGGCGAAGTTGGTCATTGTACCCGAATCGGCGTCTCCCGTGGAAATAGATGTCTCAAGCTCTCCGGACTTGGATGCCGCGGACAGAACGCTGTCAGGTACCGCATACGACCGTGCGTTTGCCATACGGGCTTCTCTTGCGCGCTTCGCCTTGCCCGTCATGTCTCCCACCTCAGGCAGCGCTGCCCACTCGTCTTCGGTCACAGAGCCCAGCGCACGCTTCAGATCGGCGAACTGTAGTTGGATCTTTGGATTGTTCTTTTCGTATTCGTCTCGTTCTTGCTGCTCGCGAGCTTCCCTAGGTCGGACATCGGTATCTGTTCGTGGCAAAAAACACGATGAATACTTCGAAACAAAAGAATGTAGGGAAAGGGGAAAAGAAATTAAGGGTACTAACCTTCTAGCTCGCCGCCGCTTGTCCATCTTCTCATCAACTTCCTGGTATATTCTGTCTGCTTCGTCGTCGTCCTTGTCGTAGTTCATACCGCTCGAGAACAGGCCAACCTCATTGTCAGGGTCCTGGAAACGATCTGCCTCGTCATCTTCCTCCTCTTTCTTCTCTGTAACACCATATGCGGATGGAGCAGCTTGACCGAGAGAAGCGGCACGTTTCGCCAACATCTCCTTCATCTGTTCCTCAGAAGGACCCTCTCGCGCCGGACCCAGATCACTTCTGGTTGTGAATCCGGTAGCACCGCGCCCGAGACCAGCCACATAGTTCTCGGGTGCGGGCATAGACAGAAAGTCTCGTCGACTCATTTTGGCGGTGTTTTGCGTGCTTCGAGCGCGTTGTCGTTCTTAGTCGCGCGGGCGCTGCGACGCTCAGCAATTGTTGTTCGGCGTTGAGGCTTTAAATTGCTGGAAGTAACAATACGGGTCAACTGTTTCGCGATTTCGTATTCCCAAGCTTGGGTAAGCTCCGCGGTGGGTAGGAGAGGTAGCAATTCGTCGGTGCGATGTAAAGATTAAGTTGCTGCACAGGGAAGTCGCGATCAGAAAGTTAGGCTATCATGATCACGTGCAAAAGCTTCAATGGCCGCTAACCATAAAGGTAACTTTGCGACAGGATTATCATAAGTACTGGCATTCAGTGCTGTTTGAGCCTATATTGCATTGTCGCATGCGAGGAAGTTCATTTTGACGTGTATTGGCTAATCTGGTGGTGAACTGTCACTATAGGATGCTTGCAGACGTAGTCATGTATCTCATTGCATTCTTGGAGTGGTCATTCTATGCCATGCTGTGTATGCTTCGATAAGTCATCTACAAGGTCCTGTATATGCTGTCGTGTAGTCGTGTATTCGTCATCTTTCCCGTCTGAAGTTCCGCATCTTTTCATTTCGCTGGGCGAAGTGGCATTGGTGCTTTCCCGTTTGCCGTTCTGGGCGGAGACTGAAGTGCTGCCTTCGGCAACATGGGTGGTAACGGTGGTACAGGTGGTGGAGTCTTCGTGCGTGTTGCTTCGCCTCTGAGACTCTTGGAGCTGGAGGGATCAGTACATGCTAGCCTTAAGAGTGCAATCAGCTTACCTTCGCGTTTTCCGGAGTATTCCACCAATCCAGTTCTTCATGCTTCTGCTTGTTGAAGGCCGCGCTGGTTCTTGTCCATTCGTTGCATCGCTGCCACTGCCTTTCCATACGCTACTTCTCGGACTTCTTGCCGGCGGGCTAAGGGTCTTCGTTTCAGCCTCTTCCTCGTCCTCTTCGTCTTCCAGCTCATCCTCATCCTCGAGTGGCGGCGCCCAACGCTCTACGTCGCCATTGACAACCACAAACCAACCCAGCTTTGCTTCTGGTGTGACCTTATCTCTTAGTTCCGCTATCGCTGTCCACTGCTCGTCTGAAACACCGCCGCCTCGTACCTCATCTATGTCTATTCCTAGCTTGATGTCGTGGACCTGATCGCACACGTACGCGTAGGGCTGGTCCTTTACTGTGAGGTCGTCTGGATCGTACTGTTCGATGAACCGCAGGCCGGGTAGTCGTGCTATGATATCAGGCCATTGTTCTTTGAAGTTCTTGTGCAGGCAGGCCTGGGTCGCGGGCGCCATGACCCACTCTGGAGCTACATCGTCGAGGTTTTGTAGGATGGTGTGGATGCGTACTTGAGCGCGCGGCCAGCGAAAGCCATGCACCAGCCAGGTGGGCATCGTAGAGCTCGTATGTGGATTGACTGCGTGTTGCACTCCACGAAGTGACGGGGCTCGATTCACCAGGAAGTCGTAAGCGGAGCCGGAGGGGGATCTGCGATCGCAACCGGACAGTGTCATCTATCGAAACAAATTGCTTTTTTGCCAACCCTCAGCTTCCAAGTCGCACATGATCAAAAGGGGTTCAGGATCTAAGCGCACAGCGGCACGGTGGAGGACGTTCCCGCGATGAGGTGGTTGGGAAAATGGGAACCGTCCCTTCTAGACGGACGGATGCCCAGGCTGACTCGTATACAAGGGCGACCAGGGACAGACAACTGATCGACATTCAATAATCACAACTCAGTGGGCACATGTCCGAGACAAGTTCGAAGAACGTGCAGGGCGAGTGAGCGCTGACTGCACAACGAGTCGGGGTTGAGAGGTGTGACGCTGGGAGCTATGGCGATCCGTTCATTTTGTGGATCAGCGAACTCCCGTTCTCCCGTGCATTTGTGCCCCACCAAAACCATGCAGCGATCACTTGAAGCGTGATGCTCCTGCACCATGATCACGTAACCATCCACCGAACATCTCCAGGGCTGCCGCTGCTGGCAGGCAACAATCATGCCACTGTACGTCTATTTTATAAATTTTATACTTCAATGGACTGACACACTCCAGCCATCTCCTAGGCAAGAAGGTAGCTCTTCAACGGTGCATTTTCTCAGAATGCCCGTACTAACCTCCCACAGTCATGGAATGTCTACAACCCCGCCAACATCGCCCGCGTCAAGGCGGACGAAGAGGCCGCTGCCGCCCGTGAAGCTGCTGCCGACCAGCGCATGCAAGAGCTCGATGCCGAACGACGCGCTGCCATACTACGAGGCCGTACACCGCCCCCGCTGCCTGAAGAGGAAGTCGAAGATGGCAGACAGAAGAAGGACAGCGACGGCGGCCATAATAAAAAGAGAAGGAAGTTGAGGGGCGAAGATGATACCGATATGGACATACGGTTGGCTGCGTCCATGACAAAGCCAAAAGACGGCGACGAAGAGGATGCAAAGGTCCTGAAGCTGCGCAAACCCGCAAGTGATGCACCCTTGACTGACCACGCCGGCAACATTGACCTCTTCCCTGTGGACATCAAAGAGGCTACCAGGCGCGAGAAGAACGCAGAGGTCGAGAAGGAGAAGCGCAAGAAGGAGCAAGCCTTTGAGGACCAGTACACCATGCGCTTCTCGAACGCGGCAGGCAAGAACGGTCTGGATCAGCCTTGGTACGCAGTTCAGCAGAAGTTGAGCCAAGCAACTGAGGAGAGCAGTGCGGCGCTCGAGTATCCAGGCTTCGAGAGTAAGAACGCGTGGGGAAACGAAGATCCACTGCGCAAAGAGAGGGAGCAAGCCCGGATAACCTCCAACGACCCGTTTGCGTTCATGCAGAAAGCCCAAACCCAGTTGAAGAAGTCCAAAGAGGACAAGAAGAAGTGGGTAGACGAGCGCAAGCGCGAGCTCAAGGAGTTGCGAGATGCACAAGAAAAGGAAGAGAGGAGTAAGCATCACAAGAGGGACAGTCATCGCCGCAGTCGAAGTCGAAGCCGAAGCCCCAATCGAGAGCGCAGACATAGACACTCGCACCGTAGAGCCAGATCACGCAGTCGGAGTCGAGAGCGAGAACGAGATCACAAGGACCGTCACAGTCGGCACTCTTCATCACGACATCACAGAAGCCGGAGCACCAACGGTCGGAGACGACGAGATGAGGAGGAGCCTGTTGCAAGATGAGCAGTAGCAATCTGTAAGCCTGTTCCATCCGTTCGTGCAGGTAGGAGCAGGTTCAGTGATCATGATACCCAATTCAGCATTCTCTCGTCCTCGTCATGGTTTCGCTCTCGTGTAGCAGGAAAAGCCGGACACAAGCGCGCGTCTTTCCAAAATATTGGAGGTCTTCAGAGCATATTCAGAAGCCACTTGCACTTTCATAAAGTGTTACAGGACTACAGTAGTTTCTAAGAACCCTGTAGAGCGGTCCTAATTGTGCTGAAAGCCTCCAGGAGTGTGTTGTCTTGGTAAGTAATAGCATGTTGTAACCGGTTTCTTTTGCTGCTGTGTTGATGGTTGGAGCGGGGTTGCTGACAAATTGGCAAATCCTAACATTTGTTCTTAGTCATCAGAGTTGTCAACAATCAAGTGATTGCCCAACTAAGCGTCAATAGACCATAGAGAGGCCCGTGTCAGGCCTGATCCAATAATCAATCTGCCTATCGCTTGATTGTTGCCAACTCTGGTGGTCATAGCCGTGCTGTAGACATGCATGCCCCGCCGTGGGGCAGTACGCAAGCTTCAAAGCTCCGTGGTGGATGTTGATGGTCTGGAAAAGTATCTAGTTGGTACTCACGTCCTCTATTGAGCCGTCCTCTATTGAGCTGCACACTCCAAATTCTGCTATCACTCCCAACATGGCTTCTCATCCATTGCAACGATGCTGCGCGATCGGCGTCAAGCACAAAGGCACGCCTAAGGGAGGAATCAAGAATATCGGCGACAGTGAATAGGGCTCCAAAACCTTTGATATGCAACGAATGCTGATCCACCCAGTCCGCGCATACACCATCTACCCCGAGAACGGCAGCACCCAGAACGCCGTCTTAATCATGACCGACGCCCTCGGCTTCGAGTTCCCCAACGTCCAACTGTCCGTGCAACCCTCTTCCTCAATCAACTCCTCCTCGTGTTAACAGATGATAGTATTGCCGACCAATTCGCAGCAAACGGCTACTACACCATCATTCCCGATGTCCTCAACGACAACATCATCCCGTTCAACCCGGGTCCAGAATTCGACTTCGCTTCCTGGAAAGCGAACAAAATGCCCCGCGAAGGCACTGTCGATCCCATCTACGCTACCATCATCAAGTACCTGCGCGGCGAACTTGGTGTGAAGAGACTGGGGGGCGTGGGCTACTGTTTTGGAGGGAAATATGTGTGCAGGTGGCTGAAGCCTGGGGGTCTGGACGCGGGGTTCACGGCGCATCCGAGTTTTGTGGAGGTCGAGGAGTTGAAGGGGGTACAAGGGCCATTGAGTATTGTTGCTGCTGGTGAGTCTGCCCCGTTCAGACATTCTGCTGAAGCAAAAATTGGGCAAGAGTGTGCTAACAAGGTGCAGAAACGGACACGATTTTCCCCGCCGAGAAGAGGAGGGAGACAGAGGACATTCTCAAAGAGATGAGTGTACCGTATCAAATGACACTGTATTCGGACGTCGAGCACGGTTTCGGTGTCAAGGGCGACTTGTCACATCAGAGGGCGAGATTCGCGAAGGAACAGGCGTTCATGCAAGCTGTGTTCTGGTTCGATGAGTATGTCAAGAAGGAGAACCACGATACTCCGATACCGAAGCCTGGACTTTAGATGTATGTAGAAGGTATCCACTCATCACATGATGATCTCTCTAGCCAAACTCCTCCTCGGTCCTTCAGCTTCAGTACTTCGGCTTAAATGGCAACGTCTGCATCTGCTGTACCACATCCGCCTCGATCCCAAACAGCTTATACAACCACTTAATAATCACAAAGAAACTCATCGGCTCCCCCATATGCTTAACTCCCTTAACAAACCGCGCCTCCTTGGGCGCCCCATGCTGCAGCGCCACATAATAATCATCAATCGGGAAAATCTCATCCTCGGTGCCATTCACCAACAACAGCCTTGCGCACTCAGGCATATCCAACGTCCCGTCCTCCAGCAGCGAGAACTTGGCCTTGGCTTCGCGTTTGAACGCCTCGACATCATCGCCATACCCCCATTTATACGCCAGTGTATTGGCGAGGTCGAATGGGTATTCGAGGTGGTTCACGTTATCCAGCCACTCTTTATCGAACATATGGTGGCACCCGCCGCCCAGCGCGACGACGCCGGCAAGTCGGGAGGCGTGCGTGTGCGCGACGCGGATAGCGTAGAAGCCGCCTGTGCTGAACGCCCAGATAGCAGTCTTCTTGTTGTCGAGGAGGGGCTGTGTATCGATCCAGTCGAACATGCTGCTGTATAGTCTGTCAGGGCTCTTGGGATCGGAGGCGTTTGCGGGACAGTCGCCTGTCCCAGGGATTTCCAGCACGATGGTGGCGACGCCCACGCGGCGCCAGCCTTCCATCCAAACGGCGAGTTCGGTGCGGTACCCATCGAGCCCAGTGAAGATAATTACCGTTGGGACGGGCTTATCTTCCATTGCTGTGTCTGGGACGAGATGGTAGACGGGTATGGTTTCGCCTTCGCTGGAGTTGCGGTGCTTGTGCGGGATCTCCACCTCCTTCACAGGATGCTCCCGCATACCTAAACCCTTGATGCAGCATTCTTTCCCCAGTTTCCAGGCTTCTCGTTGCACATCACTGCGGGGCGCCGGAAACCTACTAATCCTATACACCGCGCTCGCTCTCAGATAATACTCAGACGCCTTCTCTTTTTCGCCCTTCTCTTCCGCCTCCTGCGCGATACCTTTCAATTGCTCGGCCTGCGGAAAATAAACTTTTGCGTATTCATCCCACTCGTAAGGCTCCTTGAAGTCGCGTCTAGTGAGTTCAGATACGACAGGCTCGAAGTCCTTGGCTGTGCCGAACATGAAGGGGTACACGCCCATTTCGGCGGGCTTCTTCCATTTTGTTTCCCATAGCTGGGCGTAGGATTTGTGGTGCGCCGCGGGTTTGGAAAGGTTGTCTTGGATGAAGAATTTGCCGCCTGGTGCTGCCATGTTGTGCTATCTCTTGATCTGGTGGTTCCTGTCCTTTTGTTGTAGTTGGTGGTGTTTGTCAAGTGCCGCAACGTGAGCTGTGGGGAGTGTAGCACAGGACGAGGAATTTGCTAGAATCGAAACGTCCATATCTTCGTCGCCGGACCTTTCTATATACAGTTTCGCTCTAAGTTGTGGATATGCAGGTATCCGGCCAATGTACGAAGTACCGGTGCGGTAAATCGCAGGCGGGCCGCTCGGAATGAGGTCCGGCGGCGTGGGGAGCCGAACGTCACGACTGTACGACATGACTGCCAAGTACGCGTTTCAGGACTATTTTCAGAGGATCTATCGAGTGAATATTGTTTCGAATGTGAAGCTCAGGAATAGTAACAAAGAGGTTGCAAACAGGAAGACAGATGGAAGTGGGGAGTTCATGTATTGTACAATAGAGCGGTGGATGAGTTGATCAACTCGTGGCAGACACCTCGTTGAAGATAATCCAGCGCATCATCCTACTCAGACGTATGTTTCGCTGTCGTGAAAAGCACTTTTGAGGCCTCGCCGACCTAGAAAGAAATTATCGCTGCTCCTTGCATCCCTGGGTATTTGCCATAACGCCGTGGAAGATTTCTTGAATCACCCAATGTAAAGTCGCCTTCCCTCTCCATGCTCCAAGACAGCGGCCTCCTAATCGTCGACCGTATCAATGTCATCCGCTTTGCCAAAGACAGGCTCAGCATCCAACGAACCAAAGTCCTCCGCGCCGTCTGCGTACACCATATCAGAACCGACCATGGTAAGCGGTGTTGAGATGACACTAAAGGAGTGAGGAGAGCTGCTTTGTCGTTGACGGCTGTGGTAGTCGTGATGGTAGTCGAACATGAGTTTGGGTGGAACATCAAATTGGACGTCCACGAACCTCTGGAGGGTTGTGTTGTTGGCAAGAGCACGATTCAGAGAGTAGAAAGTGTCTCGCGTAAGGTTCGTTGGTTCCTTGACCGGGTGCTCGAAAGTGAGAGTGCGAAGATTAGGGAAGCACTCCAAGATCTTCTCCCAGTCACTTCCGGGTTCGGCATTGCCGGTCTCACGGTCAAACACATTGCTAAACTCGATGGTGTGGAATGGCGCGACGATGACCAGGTGCTCGCAGTACACCCCAATGTTCTCGAGGGCGGCCACGAAAAGACCCGCACGCACCTTGTTAGTCTCGCTGTTGATCAGCAGCCTCTTGAATCGGCAGGTGTGGGCCAGCGGCTTTGACCCGTTGAGGTACTGAGTAAGGCGATGCACGGTGTTGGTATCGAGTGGGAGAAACTCTCCATCCTTGTACTGGATCATGACAGCTTTGAGCAGGGTGTCCAGTTCTGGCTTGTCCGCGAGTGTGGAACGCCTGGACATGCGGAGACGCGGAGGTGTCCGACCATCAGGACCAAGGAAAGACCGCTTGGGCGGCTGACCTCTGCAGAAGTCATTGAAAAGACTGGTTTTGGTTGGACTAGCTGTAGGGCTGTTGGAGACTTCAGTGCCGTTGACGTCGATTGCTAGGGTCTTCTCAGCTGTGCCTGGAGTAAGTCAGTCATCTGAAGGGTCGTAGAACTTTTGTTCGAATTCTTACTATCATCTCCAAGATCCGGCTGCGCAAACATGCGCGCTTCGGACATCGACCGGTCATGGCCACCTCGTGGTGGTAGACGCTTCTCTTCTCCAGCTTCGACGGTGTTGCTGGCCTCAGTATTGTCGCCATGCTGTTGTAGTGCCATACCGATACCCGAAGGCAGAGTCGACCGGCGCTCCATGCTGGCGGTTTGGGAGATACTGACGGTGCAAAAGAGGCAATGTCAAGGTCGTTGTGAATGTTAGCGAATGTGTGATGTTGTGCTTGGCGTTAGGCAATAACAAACGCAGTGAAGACGACTCCACACCGTACATCGTGAACTCTTGGCAGATGTCGTGACCACATGGTGTAGTGATTGGTCAGCGCAACGTTTGCTCTCATTTTTCCCGCCAGCAGGGTGCCCAGGAGCCAGCGCTGCGTTGCGAAGCTGTACCGGTTCAGAGCTCTTTACGTGGTCCTTATTGCTGCTGGACGTCCGTCCAGTCTGCAAGACCCACGGGCGGCAAACCAAATTCGATCATCAGTGTCGTACGAGCTACAGAAGTGCTTGAGCGCGTAGGACTACAAGTCTGGCAGCTGTACACAACGCGTCCGGCGGCTCAGACTCCTGTGGTCAGAGCAGTGGTGTAAGTCTGTGAAGCATCTTTTAACACTCCAGAGACGATGGATAACATCTCAGAGCGCGAACCAATTGGCATATCCGGTATTAATGTGTGTTGGTCAAATCGTAGTGTGAGTAGAAGTGAAGTCAACAAACATGGACGCGTTGAAGGAGCGATGATCGGCAGAAGCAAGTCTAGCCGAAAGCAGCTGCACGTTGTCGGCCAATGACGTTGTGCGGGGCTCTAGTTTTGCGCCTCAGCTTCGACGGACCAGCATCCTTCATTGGAGTGATAGCATTATTAGATAGCATCTGTAAGCGCCCCTTCTCGTCCCAAAAGCAACACCAAGCTTCCACAGTGGTGGGGTCTGAAGCTACTGTGGCAGGGGCCACTCCTACGCATGACCTTCACAGCTTTCCTGCCCCAATCTACATAACTTTCTTCGCTTGTCATACCTCATAAATCAGTACTGACCGCCCATTTCGGATTGTAGGATTATACCCTATCTGTGCCGCAAGCCTCCAGATAACGTGCTTTTCGGCCTCCCGCAACAGCTTCGAGCGTCCTCGGAACCACCTCTACACTACGTACAGCAACCGTCACAATGGTTACAGGTGCAAGGAAGCCTCCTTCCCGAAAGGGTACGATCATACCTCCTCCCCCTCCCAAGTTTTGCGCCCAACAGCGAGCCAGGTGGGATACATGATGCGCAGGGTTAACAGTAGACAAGGGTCCATGGCGGACATGCCCCGGGATCTCAAGGAGCAGATCGAGAAGCTCGAGGAGATCTTCGTTGTTCCTACTAAGAAGCTGAAGGAGATCACGGATCACTTCGTTAAGGAGCTTAAGAAGGGCCTGTCAGAAGAAGGAGGGACCATTGTGAGTAGCCCACAGAAGGGAACGTTTGATGCTGGACTGACTATTACAGCCCATGAACCCAACATGGTGTATGGCTTTCCCTGATGGTGAGGAGACCGGCCGATACCTGGCTCTCGACATGGGGGGAACCAACCTGCGAGTTTGCGAGGTGACCCTGACCGAGGAGAAGGGCGAGTTCGAGATTATCCAGTCCAAGTACCGCATGCCCGAGGAGCTGAAGACCGGTACTGCGGACGAGCTCTGGGGCTACGTTGCCGACTGTCTCCAGCAATTCGTCGAATACCACCACGAGGACGAGGAGCTTGAGGACTTGCCTCTTGGTTTCACCTTCTCCTACCCCGCGACGCAAGAGTACATCGATCACGGTGTTCTCCAGAGGTGGACAAAGGGCTTCGATATTGACGGTGTTGAAGGTAAAGATGTTGTCCCACCCTTCAACAAGGCTCTGGCCGAGCGTGGAGTCCCCATCAAGCTGGCAGCTTTGGTTAACGATACAACTGGTACCATGATCGCCTCCGCATACACCGATACCGAGATCAAGATTGGGTGCATCTTCGGAACGGGCTGCAACGCTGCGTACATGGAGGAGTGTGGTGCCATCCCCAAGATTGCGCACCTCAACCTCGATCCTAAGCTGCCCATGGCTATCAACTGCGAATGGGGTGCATTCGACAACGAGCACCAGGTACTCCCCCGCACACAATACGATGTTATCATCGACAAGGATTCACCTCGTCCTGGTCAGCAGACATTCGAGAAGATGGTTGCTGGCTTGTACTTGGGCGAGATCTTCCGCCTGGTCCTTCTGGACCTGCACAAGGGCCACGAGTGCACCATCTTCGAAGGTCAGGATGTCAGCAAGCTGGAGAAGCCATACTCTCTGGACGCAGGATTCCTTTCCGCCATCGAGGAGGATCCCTTCGAGAACTTGCTCGAGACTGGCGACCTCTTCCAGAACAAGCTCAGCATCACATGCACAAAGCCTGAACTCGAGCTCATCCGCCGTCTCGCTGAGCTCATTGGCACCCGTGCTGCTCGTTTGACCGCCTGCGGTGTTGCAGCCATCTGCAAGCACAAGAATTGGGACCAGACCCACGTCAGTGCTGACGGATCCGTCTTCACCAAGTACCCCCACTTCAAGATCCGCAACGCACAAGCACTCAAGGAGATCATGGACTGGCCAGCTAAGTACGGCAAGGGGAAGAACGACCCTATCGAGATCCTCCCTGCCGAAGACGGTTCTGGTGTTGGTGCTGCCTTGATCGCTGCGCTCACCATTAAACGTGTGAAGGAAGGCCAGCTTGCGGGTATCCAGGACTGCGAGGCTATGTTGAAGATGGCCGGAAAGAAGCCACGAGGCGCATAAACCACACAGCATCTGAGTTGTCCCATATCGAGAATTTAGAAGCGAATCTAAGAACTTTGACGAACAACTTGCGATGCGGTGAGGAGAAGAGGAGACTGACAACGCTAAGCTAACGAAGCTTAGATCGCAAATGGACCAATCCAGGGTCTCGAACAACTCCATCCCCAAGGGCAATCGATACAACTATAGATAATCTGTCGATTCTTGCCACCGCGGCGTTCAAGCAGGTGCAACGGTGTCGTTTCGCCAAAACAGCATATGCGAGCTGTAACATTGACCGCCTTATTCAGCCACGAATAGCCGTTGCACATCACCTAGGCCATTCAGCGATAGAGCTTTGACAGCGTAGAGAAGCAGAGTATTCATCCTCTCAGCAACCGGTACAAGTCGGGTCTATAGTTCGGTTGCCAACCACTTTACACGTCTACGCGTGTTGTTCGCGTCTGTGAAGTACGTTTCAGTACGCGAAATAACCACGAAATGCGCGCGCAGATATTTTGAGCACCTGTCACAGGAGTGTCAATGCTGTCATCCCCGCTTAGAACATGTATACCTCGACCTGGGTACCGTGAGTAGAACTCACTTAGATCGACGATCAAGTACAACACATCACTATGGGGGAGTCAGGATGCACATGCTAGATGGCTGTAAGGCAATGTGCTAATTCCGGTCAACATGGTCGTCTTCAAGTGTTACGTGGACTCGTGGGTCGTTATCTCCGTGATTACATCAATGCGAGAGCAGCAAATCAAAGGATCTGAGAAGTCCTTGGAGGTGTAGGAACATGCTTGTCGACTATATATGTACCGTCACGGCTTCAGGGTCTACCACACTGATTTTCCTGCTTCGATGACGACCCAACCGTCATCCTCTGCACATCCCAATCTTCGCAGCTTCAAGGTCATCCGAGGAACGAGTGAAGGGTTATGCACTTCTCGACCGGCCAGGTGGTCGACTACACATGTATGGTGGATCTTCTGTAATGCGACAGGGTGCCTTGTCCTGACTCGGCTCCACCGAACCTTCACACTAGGATACCGCTCTTTGAGGAGATCATACACCGCCACCTACAGCTCTTGTTGTCTGGGGAACTTATAGGCCGCGTGCTGAGCTTGCATGTTCTTTCCTTCTGATGCCGGATTTTGCAGGATTTTGGAAATGTTGACTTGACCGACTTCTAGGTGAGCGAGAACGGTGCCGGTGGCCGAGCAGAACCGCAAGTGCTGGCACGCTGCGACTATGCATGCAGCATGGCGCCGATCTCAGTTCGTGCCTGACCCAAGCGCAATATTCTGAGCTAACACATTGAAAGTGGCAGCTGTCAATCGTACTGAATTTTGCTTCTCCCTATCGAAATGTGCTGCATGACGATCTTACCCAAAGCAGCACACAGCGGCTAAGGCTGAGTTTGCGAGCTGCATGACATCTGTCCGCTCGGACTCCGAAACGAACTGAACGTCAAGTCCGACTCGGGTCAGGCTGAACCTCGTGTTACAGAATGCAAAATTTAGGTTGCGGGCTCGGGCACACGCAGCGGCTGCGATTTGTGGTGTTCGAAGGTTGCAGCATATTGCGGTGATGTCAGCTTGCGCCTTTGTTGATGTTGACAAACAACGCGTCACATAACAACGATTCGAGTTTGTCGACGGCTGTGGCAGCGTAGCTCGAAACTGGAGGTTTGATGCTCTGAAGCTGAGGGTAGCGTTCAAGCGACGTCATCACGGGAAGATAGTTGTTATCCAACAGTAAGCGCGATCGATGTGGTGAGGGTCATCAAGAATTGTATGTTGATGACGAGCGCAAACATAGAGTCCAGAGCAGCACACAAGCAGCCTCTGACGGTGGCACTCAGCACTGTTTCGATATCGATGACGGTGTATTTCGGTGATGGAATGCTCGGCCCAGGTACCGTGAACTGTAGGACACAGATTGCTTCATCTTGTTCGAAACGAAGGAATGAAGCATTGCTTGCCCTGGATGAGTAGCCGCTCAGCACGAAAAGCATTGTAAGACGGCGAGTCGCCCTGATAGAGACGCTGAACACGACATGAGTGAACACAACATATGCTATTTTGTATTCATGACGGCGGCTGTGGAGGCTTCAGGTCACACGAAGTCATTATCCGTCCCTCCCGGTCTGTGATGATGAACATGGCTCTCGAAGCCACGGCACCCAAAACAAACGATTGACAGGCAAAGTCGCCTGTAGCTTCGCCGCAAACCCACAGAATCGATAGGAGAGGCCACCGAAAGGTCCGACAGGCGCTGCATCGACAATCATAGTGTGGAGAACTAAGGCTGTCGTCGTCCTGTCGGTCCCTCTGCCTGTTCGTTATCCTCGGCGGGCCGCTGCCGCATCGCCCCTTTTTGCATGAATGAGCACGAAATTGCTTCATTTGGACCTCGCGTGGGCTGCAAATGGGGCCTGCGATGGTAAAGGGGGCATCCCGGCGATGCTACTGCCTAGCGATGCGTGGTGCGTGGTGCGAGCGTCATCCCATCCATGTTGTGATGGGATCGCAGATCAAAACACGGTAAGAGGTGTGGCGAGTGGAGTAGACCGTTTTGGTCTGTTTACCAACAACACGCGCACCTGCACTAAAGTGGCGAGTACCCCAGTGTGCCCAGCGAACACCCAGCGAACGTAAAAGTCTGCATCTGCACACAGAACGCAGTTCATGCATTTTTCGCACAATTGAATCGATTGTCTCTCCGCTATTCTGGCGCGCTGCTTCATCTTGTGCCTGGAAGAGTGGGCTCGATTGGTTCGCAAGGTTCAAAAACAAGCGCGACTCGCAACGGCGGGCTGCACCTGCAGGGTGGCCTCGCAAAAGACAGCAGGCGCTCGGACCTGCCAGCCACCGCCATCTGCTGTTTCGCACCTACCTCCTACGCGTGCGCGCCTTTTCCCATATACCATCCCCGTCCGTCGATTCCGATTGCAAGAGCGCAGTAAGGGTCTCTCCATCGCCATCGTTCACGCTCCGACTCAATTGTTGCGATTCCGTCATCGACTCTCAGTCGCGCCTGCCTCCACATCGGTCGCGCCTGCAGCCTGTCGCAACATCAAAACAACAGCGCATTCCGGCTCCGCGTCACCGCATCGAATCGCTCCGCGACACGTCCACCTACTTTCACCTTTGCTAGTATCGCGCGGCTCTTCTCGCCCTCTGAGTAGCATCGACAGGCCTTGCATGGAGTTCGAGCATCTGCAGTCGGTCGTTGTTCGCTGAGGGGGAACTCCTGGTTGCGACGTGTAGATTGAACGACAAGTGCGCTGCTGTCGCGCGCATTCCTCGCACTGCATTCTTCCTCTCCCAACGGCACTCCAACCCACACCAATTCCCAAACACTGTGTGCTATCGTTATCGATTGAGCACTGGCCTCACCCGTCCTGCCACGCTGCACGCTGTCTTCAGCGCGTCCGTCAACACCACGCGAGGACCAGCCACCCCGCTCGCCCACCACGACGTCTCCACCCACAACACCGCCAGCCACTCCTTCACCCTTACCTCTCACCCCCAGGACTCCGCCACCGGTTACGACGCCTGATTCTGCCATGGCCTTCGCCTCCTACTCGCCGCACCGCGAGGGCGGCACTATGCACCTGGACTTGCCTTCACCTACCTACCGCCTGGACGGCACCCACTTCGCCCACCTGCAACAGCTGCGCCGTTCTCTCTCGCGCTCACCTTCGAAACCCTCGCGCTTCCAGCTGCACAAATCGGACTCGCCACGCTCACCCATCTCACCACTAGCACTCGCGCGCGCCTTCAGCCCCAAAGCGCACAAGCCAACAAGTCCCATCAAGACATTCCCTGAGTCACCTCTGGGTCAGGCCATGCCAGCCAAGAAGAAGTTCACCCTGCGACGATCAACAGCAAATTTCAAGGCCTCGCCACGCATACGACAGAACTCAAAAAGCCCGCGTCGCAACGTCCTGGGCGACTCACCCACCGGAGGGAACTCGACAACGCCCTTTTACACGCGCTCCACTTTGGGTCAGGAAAACGACACACCCGCGCGCCCTTCAAGCTCGGAATCTCTGGAGAGCATGGACACTGACTGCAGGAAGTTCGGCTTGAACGACCAGCCGATCAAGTTTGAGTTTGCGCAGCGACGCCCAGATCTTTCACCTGGCGCGCCCGTTAAGTCAAGTCCTCTCAAGCGTAACGATGGTGTTATGAACCTAAGCGGGACACCGACTGGCTTCAGCCCAGTCGCCAAGAGGAGAAGTCTGCACAGCGTCTCTAATCTTGGTAACGACTTCGAGAGTATATTCGGCGAGCCACCATCGCGCAACAGTATACACGCAGTACAGTCACCTATGGAGAACGAGGAGACCAGAAACGGATTTGACTTTTCCACACCTTCGCAATCGCCTATGCGCAGGGCGACATCACTAAGAAAATCTACAGTGATGCAACGAAACGCGAACTCACCACGACCAAAGCCAGCTTTCGACGGTGAGTTTGTGATGCCTGGCCTTGCAGCCTCCAAGTCGAGGAACCGAATGTCACTCGACGGCGCTATCGGCCAAAGTACAACCCCTACACAGACCCCTTTCCGCAAATCGACGTTCGATGCTGGGCGCATGGGGTTGCCTACACCTTTTGTTCGCAACACTGCCGGCGCATCGCAACCTCACCCACTATCGCATGCACACACTCCATCTTCAACTACGTCAAGCGTCGGTGGATTCACTCCTATGGCACCGCCGCGAGCACCCCACTTCGCAGCTCCACCCAGTCGGCCAAACCAGAGTCACCAATTTTCACGATCTCTGCCAATCGGCGTACCGCGCCCACACGCACCAGAAGGAGAGCATGACTCGTTTGACACACCCTTCAAGTCTGTGCAGCAAGCCCCGGTTGCATTCTCCACTGGCCTTATGTCGAAGAAGAACCGAAATGCAGACGAGCCTGCCAATGTCTATGTTATGCCTGACACACCGTCGAAGAGACAGTCGTACCCTCCTGCGCAGGCAGACAGGACCGACGTTATCGACACTCCCCTCGTCAAGCGAGGTGGGAGTCTGTTCGGTGATTGGAACAGGCCACAACCTCAGTTCGGCACCACAAGCACACCATTTAGTGCACATGTGTCCAAGTTCTCTACCGAGTCCTTTGGCAAGGGCACGAGCGTCTTTGGCAACATGGGCGGATCGCTTCAGCGTCGAGGAAGCATCGTTAGCGTAGATGGTGATGACGACCTCCCTGACAGCCAGTCGCCGACTGCCAACCGCACTATGGTTGACACCATGGCTGACACGGATGCGAGCGTTGACGATATGCCACCAACCCCTACTAAGGGCCATGGTGCATCGAGTCGCCGTTCCAAGGAGAGCAGCCTCAGGCGCAAGACCTTCCGCTCGCGACCAACTATTGGCAACGATACATTCGCTGCACCAGAGATTGTCAACGATTTCAACTGTAAGTCTAGTTCAAACACAATCACCGCAGCTTCGCACGACGAAAGCACTTCACCACCTCGTGAGCATCTCGACTCGGCGGACTGCAACTCCTCTTCTGTACAAGCTTCTCTTGCTCGAACTCGGTTCTTGCGGCGCACCAAAACATTGGCTCGTCCATCCCCGCTTTCGCAACAGATACTTCGTACATCTCTTCTTCTTCCCACTTACAAGATCAATGTTAACCAGCCTTTAGCATCAATCATCTCGTTCGGTTCTTCGTCGCCGGGGTCTCCAGGTCTGGACTCATCCTTCCAGCCAGCTGAGCAGAACCGACTGTCGATCGTGGGTAACAGGCGTGGTTCGATGAACTTCAACAGCAGCATTAGCACCTTCCCTCCAGCCACACCAACCACACCACGTGACCACTCTGTCTTCTTCGCTGAGAACAGGGGTGCCATTCCCATCGGTCTTACTAAGAACGACGTCGATGAGGCAATTAGCTCGCGCTTCCATGAAGTTAAGGAGCTTGACGGTGGCGAGGGTGAGTTCTCTAAGGTCTACCGTGTCAGCCAGCCTGTGCAGGGTTCAACACCAAATTCTCCAGCTGGTAGCCAGGTATGGGTCGTCAAGAAGTCGAAGAAGCCGTACACCGGTAAGGGAGACCGCGAACGCAAGATGCGTGAGGTTGAGATCCTGTATGCCCTTCGTGGCAACGACCACGTCTTGAACGTCGACGACCACTGGGAGGCCAACGCCCACCTATACATCCAGACTGAGTACTGCGAGGGTGGCAACTTGCGCCGCTTCCTTGACACAGTTGGATATAGCAGCCGTCTCGATGATTTCCGCATTTGGAAGATACTGCTGGAACTGTCACAGGTAAGCTGCCCATGAATGTACATCAGACTTGTACTAACGACGTGACAGGGACTTACCTTCATCCACAACTCGGGGTACATCCACCTCGATCTGAAGCCGGCGAACATTCTCATCGACTTTGGAGGTTTGCTGAAGATCGCTGACTTCGGCCTGGCTAGCTCTTGGCCTGCACCCAAAGGCATCGACGGCGAAGGCGATCGCCACTACCTTGCACCAGAGGCCCTTTGCGGCCGCTTCGACAAGCCTGCCGATGTATTCGCCCTCGGCATGATGCTGACTGAGATCGCCGGCAACTGTGTCATCCCTGAGAATGGTACATACTGGACGAAGCTCAGGTCAGGCGAGTTCGACCACGTACTGCCAAGCTTGACCTGGAGTGCCGACAGCAGCACCTTGAGCCGCGATGGCAATGGCGACCCTATTCCGGACTCTCTTGACACCTTCCTCATGTCAGATGAGCCTCAGCCAACGGTCCAGGTACGGACAGCCTCGAGCCCAGAGGAGGAACTTGCCCGCGCCCCGAAGTTCATGATCGACTACACCGACCCCAACACTATGGATCAGGTCGTCAAGGCGATGTTGCACCCCGACCCTGACCAGCGACCAACAGCTGAGCAGGTCCTGCAGTGCTTTGGTTGTCAGTGGGTCGACCACAGGAGGCGAGCGGGAGCCACCATATACGAGGGCAACTTTGGACCCGGCGAGGATGTGCTGGCCACATACGCGCTCGACAACGCTGACGCCGACATGATGGACATGAGCTGAGCTGCTTCACCTGTCTTCTGTCCATAGCCATTGCTCGCCTCCTTCCGATCTCTTGTGCTTTACCTCATTTAGCACTCTTTCTTGGTTATGCTGATCTGCAACAACCTGCCGAAATCTTGCCGTATAGTACAATTCGACCAGTACTATGCCGCCAGCATTTCATTTGTATTTTTTTGTTAACCGGCGTTCAGGCCCAAGGGGCAAAAGCATCATCATCTTGTTGCTTCGACGACTCTACCTTTCGAGTTGTCTCTGTTTACGAGTTCACGGCCAGACTTCTTTGGAACTGGGATGTCTTTCTTGATCTGGGTTTCAGGAGTTTCGCGTTGCATAAAGCATCCCCCAAGGATACCTTCGCAGCTGGAAATGCGCGAACTGGGGACTGGCGTTATACCTTTGCTTTCTCTGAATCGTTGCGACGATTATGGCAACGACTTTTCTTCTTTCAGTACTGGTGGGTCGGTGGCTGCGGTCCGCCTCGCGCTGTGTATACGGTTGCTGTTGCGGTATAGGGGAATGGTGGCATGGTGGATCTCGAGGGTAATGTTGGAGAAACAATATCACGATATCATGACCATATGAACAAATTTTGCACGATTGTCAGGTGTGATGTGTGTGATGTACGACTTACGACATTGCGGTCGCTTACGGTAGGTGCAGGTCATGTGAGAGGGGATTAACCGGGGGAAGTGGGTGCCGGGAAACCTTCAAGAAGAACAAACGCACCCTCCCCCTGACCGTCTCGCTAACATGTAATCGGATGCAAATGCATAAGTCCGTCTCTTACTCATGTTTCGACTTTGAACCCGCATCTTCCTCTTGCTCGTCTTCCAAAATATGAGTCAACGCAACGATGTGGTGCCTGCCAGAAACAGGAAAAGGACCGGCACATGGCTCGGTGTGCTCTTCCTTTACCATCAACCCATAGCCTTTATCCGAACCTATGGTTTCTAAAAGACCGATGAACAGGTCCATGGACTCTGTCTCTGCTTCGAAAAGATAAACAAGGAACACCAATGAGAGGACTCTCTGTGCCAAAATGCTGTCTCCAAAGCCGCCATGGTCTCAAGCAGATCTGAGCGTGGCATATAAGTATTCTTTTTCCGAATCCCCAAGGCTCTCTGATTATGGTCTCTGTGGTTTTGCCTGAATCGAAAAGATCGTGCACTTCGACTATGTGTTTCATCCAAAACAGATCTCAAGAAGGCTAATGTTCTGGTCGCTTCCGGCTCTTCTGTTATTTCCAAGGCTCTTGACCGAAAGTGCAGCTACTGGTTTCATGTCTCAACCACCCAAAAAAAAACTCAACGCGGACGACCGATGGCTTGTTGTCCGCGGTTGACTCCTTATGACACCCATCGAAAAGAAGACTACAGTTACGTCATGATCGTCTTGTGGCTGTGGAAAGCTGAAGTTCCTAGAAATCCAAATGGATCTTGGATATATGAGAAGGGAGACTGCGCAGAAACGAGACAGGCAAACCTCGATGTCTGTGGGAAGTTCTTTGCTGGCATAAAAGTACCACCCGCTTAGCTCTGTTTCTTCTAGTTCATCACTCTGACTCCAATCAGGGTCAAAAACTACCACGAATGCAGGCATGTGAGCGTGCGGAGAAGAGCTTCTTCTTACCTACAAAAGCCAACACGCAGGTTGCGTGTGTGTTTCCCTTCAAAGAAACACCAAGCCTTCCTATGTTTTGACTTGTGTCTGGACTTCTGGAATGAACTGTGGTCTACAAAACCCACTGTGTCCAGTACCTATTCGTTTCTGGTACATCTGAGGTCGCTGAGCCGTGACCTCCATATCCATAATCACATGCCTGCAACCCTGAGACTGTACCACGGGAGACATCATGTTCGCATAAGTTACAATTGGGATGGATGTGCCGCGGCAAAATAGAAATTCGCTGAGTTGATGGGTTCTCATTCTAAGGACCGCAAAGTAATGGCAATATCGCTGGCATCCATCCTCTCAAACTTTATGAGGGCATCTAATCTGCAGTGAGGGATGGAAACACTTAGTCCCAAAGTCTCTATAGATCATGCCGATTTCTACTACTATCGTCTCTTCGACAAACACTTAATGGGTGTGTACTAAAAGACATTCGATTCTCGGCTCATGTCCGTGAGGAGCGTTCTTTCCTGTTTCAAAAAAAAAAGTCGAGCTACGGAACATGATTCTGCACTAAGAATATCAATACGAAGCTCCATGCTCTTGTCTTCCTGTTCGCCAAATGTATGAGAACTCACTCTCTATCCTGTGACTAAAATCTCAGTCAAGACTCTTTCGTGGCCATCAATGTCGCCACAAAGACTCTCATGACCGCTGCTCCCTTCTATTTTTGCTTCCAACATTTTTCCACTTCGAACATCTAAGCTTTTAAAAACGAATCTGCAAACTTCATGCCCATTCCGTACACTTAAGATGTGGGATAGTGGCGTCGTATGCTTCGAAAAGCGCCACTGCGAAAGCATCATGAGATTTTTGTGGAGGAAGGCTGTAATAGCTGCTTTTCACTGCTCGGATCCTTTCCCATCATCGACCTTGATCCACTATTTTCCAGAAATAAGACAATCTTCATGACATGGTTCTCTGCTCCTAAAAGGAACGGACTGTCCACTGCATGTTCAGTGGCCTCTGGCTTTCAAAAGCAGCAACATTCTTTCGCTATGTTCTCGTGTGGATCAAAACAGCGCATCTTATTCAAGCCCGAGCCTGAGAAGGCCTGGAACCTCGAGCCCCTGAACATTTGAGCTTTGCTGGGCAACAAGTACTTTGCATGAGACTCGCTCGGTTTTTGTGACCTGCTGAAGGGTTGGAAATACACACTATTCTCCCTTCTCCCCTTTATAATTCCAGTCGAGTTTCTTAACTTCCAGAACACAGATACTTGATCTGTATGTCTGTTCCTTTTTCTCTGCCTCCCAAACCCAGGTTATCCTTGCCCATGGGCGTCGCTGCATCCTTCTTTCTCATCGTACTCCATTACGCCTCCAGAACCAGCCAACATGGTACCAAATGTGCGTGTCGAGAAAGTCTCTACTATCCAGGATCTGACCATGATGTATTGAGACTTGTTCAGCCAGTCTTACTGACTGGGAGCGAAATCGTCTGGCTTTCGCAGGTCTGGCCCCACTCACGTTATCAACGAACTGGAAGAGCGCACGTGTAGGTTCTAGCTCCCAAGCTTCGTCGTAGCGATAAAGATCAACGGCAGCCAGATTCTCTTCAGAAGTCAGAGAAGACCCGGATTGACGATCAACTTACGTACCTTGTTGCGTATTGAGCGGAATGAGCTGTCGCCGAGCTTGTCGAAGTACTCATCCACATATTGGTATGGCAAGTCGCAACAGATGAAGGCGCAACTGCGACCTCTGACTGCGACATGACTTTTGAAGTGACTCTACATACCTGGCATGACCTTGACGCTGTTTGAAGGATGCATGGACGTCATTTTAGCGTGTATTCTGCAGTGTTGACCATGTTCATCAACGGCTGGAACTTCCTGGTCCAGGTTTATTACATCCCGTTGTTCTATCAGCTCGTGTATGGGTACTCTGCTGTTGAGTCCGGAGCTTTATTTCTGCCCATAAATCTCACGCAAAGTAAGTGTAGCCTAGCAGCCTTTTTTTCAGACACTAACTGTTTGGCAGCTTTCTTCAGCACATTATCCGGTCTCGTTGCGCACAAGACCGGACGCTACAAAGAGTGCCTCCTTGTGGGCTGGGCCGTACGGGCAGTCGGACTGGGTCTCATCTCAACGCTAGACAGTCCGTCGCTGGGGAAGCAGGTTGAGTACGGTCTGCTTGCAGGCCTCGGGCTCGGCAACACGTTGCAGCCGTCGCTCATCGCCGTGCAAGCTGGTGTCGAACGCAAGCACATGGCGGTCGTTACCTCTTTCCGGAACTTCATACGCAACCTTGGAGGCACCCTTGGACTGGCAATATCAGAGACGATCATCAACAATGCGATTCGCGCCACCCTTACACCATACGGACTGTTGAGACCAGAGATCCAACTACTCCTGGATTCGCCAGCAAGGTATCAAGAATCCACTGATGATCAGCGTATCAAGATGCTCCGACTGGCACTTTCATCGACCTATCAGAAGGGGTTCAGGATCGTCTTCATCGTGGGAGCGGTACTAGATGCGCTTGCATTTGTTGCTGCTTGGTTCCTGATGCCACAAGCTGAGCTGGCAAGACCTGTTGATGAGAAGTTGAAGGAAGAAGGGAAGTGATAGGATGCAGAGAAGAGCAAAAACAAGGAACAGGCCTGATGAGTAGTACCAACGTGTCCATCGCACAGAGTGAAGATAGCTCCCACAAGAGAACTATACTGTCACATAGTAGACATTCTCAGGTGTCCTCAGCATTAGCGTACGCCATGTTGGAGGATTGTGACGGATCTACATCGATCAGTTACAGCGTTCCTGTCGGCCGGGACTTGCCGAATGCATCCAATTGCGCGCTCTGTGATGCTCGCAAAACTTTCTCTTGACCACGAGCCTGAGTGAAAGTACCTAGGTACGTGCGAAGGCCAAGCAATTGACTAGGGATGTCCCTTTCTGACCTTGCCTGCCACTGCCGTCCAATCCGTCCGGTCCTCTCGAGCTAACGCCTCTCGCCTGACGCGCACTCTATGCGGTAGAACTGCGGTAGAACAACTCGCGAGCGCGAGCATCTATCATGTCGCAGAGCTCGTACCCAGCACCGCCTGATCAGGACGCGCCGCATCCTTACACGCCGCTCTACCCGCAGCACCCCAATGCGCAGCTGCTCGACGGCCAGCTGCAGCGGGGAGTGCCCTATCCTCCACCACCACCACCACCAGAGCCGGGCTACCACAAGCTCGAGAACATCAACGAGGTGCTGCAGGCGCAGGCCCTCCACGCGAACCATGCCCTGACCGACCAGCGCCCGGCACCGCCGCCGCCGCCGCCCAGGCAGGTGCAGATACCCTCAGTGCAGCAGCAACAGCAGCAGCATAACAACAAGCCCAACCGCCTGCGCAAGGCCTGCGACTCGTGCAGCATCCGCAAGGTCAAATGCGACGAATCTGGGCCGCCGTGTCGGGCCTGCTCGGCGCTGGAGATTCCATGCACCTTCGACCGTCCGAGCAGGAGACGAGGACCTCCTAACCGCCATGCTGAAGCCATCAAGAAGCGTCGCTTGGACGAGACAGACCCTGCTTCAGGGCATGCGTCGCCGCAGTCACCCACGAACGCCGCCCACGCGCTGGCCCAGCTGCAGTCGTCGAATCCTACACAGCTCTCCGCCGAGACCATATGCCCCCCCAACACCATGAATGCCTTGATCGACGACTTCTTCACATACGTCCATCCGCTGTGTCCCTTCCCACACGAACCATCGTTCCGAGAAGCGTGGGCTCGCCGTGAAGACTACTCGAATCCGTCCTTCCTCGCTCTGCTGGCGTCCATGATCGCCTGTCTTGTGTCTTCGTTCCCACGCAAGCCACGCCTGCATCTGAAGATACAGACTCGACATGAGTACCCTTCTCATCTGTCCCTGGTGGACAAGTGTCGTGAGGTATGCGCCCAGGCGCGAGGGCCTGGCTACCTCGATCGACCCTCCTTGAATGTATACGATGCGTGTACGAGTTACTTCCTGGGGTTGACGGGCGCGTATGTTTTCCAATGGCGCCAATTGCGACTATACTTCGCCGAATGCCTGACTATCATCCGTTCGCTAGGCCTACACAAGGCACATGAACAGGGCTACACACATCTTGGAGCTGTACCGAGCGCGTGGGGCTCAAATGGGCCAAACTTCGATGGCGCACGCGACTTCAAGCTGGACCATATCACTGAGCAGATTGGACGAAGGGTGTTCTGGACCGTCTTCGTTGGCGTACGGTAGGTTTTGGGCGCTCAAGGGAGTATGTGCATATGCTAATCATCGAGCAGGACGATACAGCAACTCGGTGCTTCGTTTGGAGAGCTAACAATTGCACCTGCGACACCCACTGAGCCCCTGCCGCCACTACCTGTCGAAGTGGACGATGTTCATATCTTTCCAGACGAGATACACGCTCAGCAACATGGTGTCGTTTCCCTCATCACAGGGTTCAACGTAAACGTCCGTATCTTCTTGTCGTACTCTTCACTCTCCACCGCCGAGATGGCGTTTGGCATGGACGAGGTCTTCGACTGGGATCGACAGCAGCGCATATTCGAGCAGAGCTTGCATCGCTGTAGGCAAATTCTCGAGAGTATACCAGATGTCCTCAAGGTACAGTCTAAAGCGGCACGTGACAACCTCGCGCAGCCGAAGCAGCCGTACTTTCCACCCTTGCCAGACTTCGACGGCATGCGTGATCCTGCATTGAACAGTTTTGCTTCTGCCGGAGCCCTGGATCTGCGTCGTTACGAGATCCAGAAGGCCAACGTGTATGCTAGTCACCTAGCCACGCGCTCCTACCTCGTGGAGAAGTACTTCATGCTTCAGGAGAAGGCCAACTCCAAAGCTCAGGGCAACATTCAGAGCTCCCCAAGCGTTCTGGCGACCGGATTGGACAGATTTGTATCAAGCTCCGCCGCAGACGCTGAAGCTCTGGAGAAGACGATGTCCGAGGAGCGAGAGCTTGTCGTCAAGGACCTACTGGTTGTGCTCGGCAGCATCGACATGGTCAATATGGAACCAAACGGCGATTCATTCGTAAGTATACTGCTTCACTTGCGAGATTCTGATTTCCTCTATCAAGCCGATGACCTCAACCTGTCTTGTCCGACTCACTTCATCTTGCGCGCACAAAGCTTCAGCCCGATCGCCAGCTTACGATTTGTTCCCACACAGACCCAAAAGATTCGCTCGATCGCCCGTACACTACTCGATGTACCGAAGGAGAGGAAAGGTAGTGTTGCTTTGCAGCATCAGGACTATCTGTACAAGTTCCTCGATATCTTAAGCAAGTTGGAACGGGTCAGTCCTGAAGCAAGCGACCCGTCAGCCAATGTGGACGAAGAGACGGAGCTAAGGCTATGGGCTGATCTGCGAGACCATCAGTTGAAGTTCCAAGAGCAAGGTGGAGTTTACGGGTTCGTCTGAAGTAAATGCAGAACTACCGTTGTTATTATACTGCCGCGAGGCCAATCGACGGCTCCTCAACGAGAGAACTGACTTTTATGCTAAGAATCAACATAATATCCTTAGACGTGCTCTCCAGCCTACTGTGTTTTCATGTTGACTGATCCATGACTGCCACCTTACCGGAAACACGCATGAATCGTTCCATTTCAGATGCTATGATTTGCTTCAATCATAGATACACACATCTCGTACAAAACCTCATAGACAGCAGGCCGCTCCTGCACTTCCAGTAATGTGCGGGCTCCGCACGGAAGTCCTGCTTCATGCAACGAGAAATCTCTTTACGCCAGGTCACATCCTTGATCGTACAAATCCACAGACAATCCCCTTCTACATCTATGGCACAACGACGACGCCCAGACTCCCTGCTTGCCCAACAACACTTCTTGCAATTCCCTCCAGGCTCAATCCCGAAAGTCTTGTCTCGCTGTGCTTAATCTTCGCAATCTCATAAACGTGCTTCAAGCTAACCGTCCCCACCGTCCCCTTCACCGCATTGCCAACCGTTGGGCTGCTAGTACTTGTCTTTCCCTTCTGCCCCTCATGGTTATTCATCGGCCCTGGTACATTTCCCGCGCCACGAATCTTACTCCTGGTCGGCGCAACGCCGGCAGCAGAAAGGAGGAGCGTTGCTGTGGGAGGCGTGCGTAGAGAGAAGTGGAAGGAGCGGTCGGGTCGGACGGTGATGCGTGCGGGTATCGGTGTGCCGGGGTTGTAGTGTGCTGTGCGCGCATTGAATTCCTGTGTATGTGTGTAAGTGGAGGTGTAGATATGGAGTTGGGGGGGGGGATTGGGTACTTTGCAGAAATCCATGCTCTTCACTCCCTTACTACCCAGCGCGGGACCGACGGGTGGCGAAGGTGATGCCTGGCCCGCGCCGACTATCAGTTTGACGATCTGGTCTTTTTGTATCGCTTTCTTCGCCATTGTGTATTGTTTATGATGGATGTCTAACTGCGTCTATGGAGAGCTTCGGAGGTCCGCAACGAAGAGGGGAGAAAAGTTTTTCCGACTTGATGTCAAAGTCGAGATGGAACGCTTGATTGTCCTTCAATACACTTCAGAGCTCGTCAATGGCTTTCATATATACTTCCGTACTCAACATGGCCCGGAAAGGTCGACTTAGGAAGATGGAGGTTTGTATAACAACCACGTGATAACGCGATTGCCAAGAAATGCACGACGCGACTGCCGCCTTCCGCCACCCGGTCGCGCCCGTCAACATTCTTACACCACGCTTGCTTCCCTTTGTCGTTGCACCTCGACCACACAATGTATGTTCCAACGTCTAGCAATACGCAATTGAATACTAACAGCGAATAGGCATCGTCCTAAGGCCCTCACAATGGGCGAGTGCACCCCCGCGAAGCCTGTTGTGCGTCTGTACGGCGGTACACCACAATCGACAGAACGCCTGCACAAGCCCTTCAAGTGCCCCGGGTCTGCAGTATCGACACGAGTATCAGAGAAGCCTGCCAGAAAGAGGCGGAAGGTCGATTACGCAGGAGCTGATGGCGAGAATGGTGACGATAAGCCCTACTCCAACGACGACCGATTAGCGCTCGCCACGCGCGACATCAATCGATTTCCAGTGTTCAAACCGAAGGATAAAGACACAGCGTTCAGAGCGAGGTTTACCATTCCTCTGCTGAACAAGGATACTACGTCATACAATGCCAATCGACCAGCGCCACTCCTGGGTATGCGGCAAGGCGCTGTATTCGTTGCGCGACCACTACACGATCCGAGTGGAGAATTTGCCATTGTTCTGTACGATCCCACAGTCGATGACAAACCTGCACCAAAGGAAGAGATAGTACCCAAGATGAGCCAGGAAGAGAAGAAAGAAATGGATACTCCAGTAGTGCACAAGAGTCTTGCGGAAATCCTTGGATTGAAGAAGAAGGTGGACGAGCAACGGCCACGAGTACCAGTTGTAATCGACCCAAGATTGGCCAAAGTCTTACGTCCGCATCAAGTTGAAGGTGTACGGTTTTTGTATCGAGCTACGACTGGCTTGATCGACTCGAAAGCAAACGGATGCATCATGGCAGATGAGATGGGTCTCGGCAAGACGTTGCAATGCATTGCTCTCATGTGGACACTGATCAAGCAGTCTCCTGATGCCGGCAAGTCGACGATCCAGAAGTGTGTAATCGCTTGCCCTTCCAGTCTCGTGAGGAATTGGGCAAATGAGCTGGTCAAGTGGTTAGGACCAGATGCTATTCACCCTTTCGCCATCGACGGCAAAGCCACAAAGGAGGAGCTTATTTCACAGATACGGCAGTGGTCTATCGCGTCCGGACGTGCCGTTGTTCGACCTGTCCTTATTGTCTCTTACGAAACGCTCCGCCTTTACGTTGACGAGTTTGGTCAGACCCCCATCGGCTTGTTACTCTGCGACGAGGGCCATCGACTGAAGAACGGAGAGAGTCAGACTTTTACAGCGCTGAATGGGCTCAACGTACAACGCCGCGTTATTCTTTCAGGTACCCCCATCCAGAACGACTTGTCCGAATACTTCGCTTTGCTGAACTTCGCGAACCCCAATTACCTTGGCACACGGGCGGACTTCCGCAAGCAGTTTGAGATTCCCATTCTGAGAGGTCGTGATGCCGATGGCACAGAGGAAGACCGGAACAAGGGTGACGAGCGTCTCAAAGAGCTTCTGACGCTAGTCAACAAGTTCATCATTCGACGTACCAACGACATTCTCTCGAAGTACCTGCCCGTTAAGTATGAACACGTGGTATTCTGCAACCTCGCACCATTTCAGAAGGATCTTTACAATCACTTCCTCCGGTCGCCGGATATCAAGATGTTGCTCAAGGGGACGGGTTCACAGCCTCTCAAGGCTATTGGTATGCTGAAGAAGCTCTGCAACCATCCTGACCTACTCGACCTTCCCCAAGATCTACCGGGCTGCGAGGACAAGCTTCCGGAAGACTTCGTACCTAAGGATGCTCGAGGGAGAGATCGCGATGTCAAGGTCTGGTACTCCGGCAAGATGCTAGTGCTCGATCGCATGCTTGCGCGCATCCGCGCCGAGACAAACGACAAAATCGTCCTCATCTCCAACTACACACAGACCCTCGACATCTTCGGCGCACTTTGTCGATCCCGAGGATATGGATGTCTGCGTCTCGATGGCACGATGAACGTCAGCAAGCGCCAGAAACTAGTCGACAAGTTCAACGACCCCGAGGGCCCCGAATTCGTCTTCCTCCTATCCTCCAAGGCCGGAGGATGCGGTCTCAACCTCATCGGCGCAAATCGCCTCGTGCTCTTCGATCCTGATTGGAATCCTGCTGCTGACCAGCAAGCACTTGCGCGAGTGTGGCGTGACGGGCAGAAGAAGGATTGTTTCGTCTACCGCTTCATGACCACCGGTACCATCGAGGAGAAGATCTTCCAGCGCCAGTCGCACAAGCAATCCCTCTCATCGTGCGTCGTCGACTCGGCGGAAGATGTCGAGCGCCATTTTAGTCTCGATTCGCTGCGCGAACTGTTCATGTACAGAGACAACACGACCAGCGATACGCACGATACGTTTAAGTGCAAGCGCTGTCGCAAGGAGGACGGGCGCCAGGTCATCAAGGCGCCGGCTATGTTGTATGGTGATACAAGTACGTGGAATCACTTTGTTAATGATGGGGAGTCCGGGCCGCTGGGGCAGATTCAGGATCTTTTGCTTAGACAGGAGACGGCGGAGGGGTGTAACGAGGTTAGCGCTGTGTTCCAGTATATCAGTCATTAGTTGGTAGATTTGAATAGCGGAGGTGTTTTGGGCGTTGGGTTGGCTTTGGTGACTTATGAGGGGTGGCATTGCACGGAAATATTTTGGATAAGGCGTTGTGTTATAGCGGTCTTTTGTATCACATTCAATACAGTGTTTGTGGGTTACTGTCAACCGCAGGGCCTACATGTTTGTATCTTCACTACTGCCTTCTCCAGGCGTCTCATCGGATAGTCGTGACGAGCGCTTAGTAGTGAGCAAGACGTGTCTCCATCCTTCTGCCCTTCGCAAGTACACAAATGGTGGTGGTGGTGGTCAATTAGGTTCGAATTGCGAAACGACGGGTATCTAGCTCAACAACACATTACTTTTCGCAATGCCAGCACACCGGGGAATAGTCTCTACGACGGCTATACCGCACTCTCATACATAGCTCTGAGCGATAACGCCATTGCCGCCGTTGACTGACGCCCTCTTCTCTCCAAAGCCGCGGTCCGCACCTCCCCTCACCGCACCCTCAGGAACCGGGTCATCATGCAGATCAAACAGCTGCGGGAACGGCTCGACATCCCCTCTCAACACGTTCTTCTTGAGGTACCACGGCAGTTTCTTGCTGTAGTATCCCGCAAATTCCCGATTACCGACATCGAACACGGTGTCGAGTTCCTCCAGGGTGAGGTTCTTGGTCTCAGGCAGCAGGAAGTAGCAGTATATCCAGCCAAAGAAGTTCCAGGCTGCGTACCATCCGAATGCTCCTTGCGGGGTGAAGGCGTCGACGAGCGCGGGCCAGGTCAAAGAGAGGATGAAATTGAAACCCCAGCATGTTGCGGTCGCGAAGGACATGCCGATGTCGCGAAGGTGCAGGGGGAACGCCTCCGCTGAGTAAGTAAACGGCACAGGCCCCTCACCGGGGGAGTACACAGCCATGAATGTGTATATGGCTGCGGCGATGGAGCCGAGGCGCTGCTGGGTGGGGCGCGGTGGCTCGCCGTCGACGGAGGGTAGCATGGGGAGATAGAAGGACATGCCACACCACAGCAGGCATATGCCCATGAGCGGGAAGGTGGTGAGGAGCAGGTTGCGCCGACCAAAGGTGTCGATTGTGTAGATTGCGGGGATGGCGAAGAGGAAGTTGGTTATTCCTGTGCCCATGCTGGTGAGCAGGGCTTCGGAGCGCGAGAAGCCGGCTTCTTGGAAGATGGAGGAGGAGTAGTATGCGATGACCTGTTGACGGTTGTGAGATGGGTTGGCTGAATTAAATAGGCTTTGGCGACTTACGCTAACACCGCAAAATTGCTGCATGAACATGACGAAGAAAGACGACTGTGCTGCACGGCGGTTGCGGCGCACAAAGAAGAACTCCTTCCAGAGCGACTTGCCGGCGCGCTCAGCTTGTTCGACTTCGAGGAGTTTATAGGCATAGTACATGTCGCGTGTAGCTTGGATCTCGTGGTTGCGGAGACGGCACAGCGCCTTGAACGCTTTGTCGAAATTCCCCTTCTCCATATACCATCTTGGACTCTACCATGGCAGATTAGCTATGGTGCCAACGTCATGCGTGTGAGTGACAACGTACCTCAGGACAGAAGTACACTTGAAGGCAGACAATCAGAGGAGGAATCGAAGTACTGGCCAGCATCCACCTCCATTGTGATCCCTCCCCGAGAATGGTTGTGTTTTGGAACGCCACAGAGACCACAAAACCCAACATGATGCCGAATGCGGTCCACATTTGCCACATCATCGTGAGGGCGCCACGAATAGTCTTAGGGGCGGACTCGGCGGCGTAAACAGGTGTTGTGGATGACTTTGCGCCAACTGCGAAGCCCAGCGCGAACCGAGAGAGCAGAAGGTTGACCCAGCTGGAGGATGTCAGTGACTGATTCGCCTTTCAAAGTTTGGGTGGACTTACCTATTGGCGGCGGCCATCCAGATACCGGTGATGAACGAAATGACACAGGAGATGAAGATGGTTCCACGGCGGCCAAAGTAATGGTTCAGAGGTGCGTTACTCCAGCAGCCGATGAGTGCTGAACAGAGGTATGGCGCACCATTCAACAGTCCTTGCAGCCAAACATCTTCAATGCCGAACTCGTCGAAGTAGAAAAGCTGGGCGCCGTTCACTGCAGTTTGATCCATGCCCTGGACAATGGCAGATCCAGCACAGAGCACGACAAGGAAGTACAGCATGAAGGGCTGCGACCATCGGTGTGCCTGCTCGTTTCTGAAGATGTTCTTCTCTTCCTCGGTCAATTGGCTGACATATTCGTATCCGTCGTCCCGTTGGCCCATTCGCGCAATGAGCGCACCTTTGCGGAAGGCATCTTGATGTTCGACCAGTCCTTTCTCAACACACCAAGCATCCACATCGGCGATGACTTGCTGTTCGCTCAGTCCAGCCAATGGATTGCGTAGCTTTGCAGCAACAGACGCTTGACGACCGCCTTGTTCCTGGTGGCCCGAGTTGGTAGCATTTTCTGTATGGTAGGCGGAGTTGAGGTCCGACTTGCTGCTATTGCCGGAAAGCGACATGTCCGTCTCGGTGGCCTCGATATCGGGGTTTCGTTTCGACATGTTGGGGCTGAGTGGTGCGCGTCTAAAACAGGATGCACACGATCTCCTGGTTTGCAGATCCTGAAGATGAACAGTGGTCTAGAAAGTAATCAACGACCGGCCATGGCACAACAACTGCCTATATATACGTGGGTCATGCGCCCCCCCCCCCCCCTTGCCCGCGCATTCAACCAAACTATGGGCCATCATCTCCGTGGGGTCTAGTGACTCCAGGCTCGCGTTCTCCACACCATTTCTTGGGTTGGCAGATGTAACCATGTGTGAGATCAGGCATCGGAGTGCCCATGCCAAGTAGTGAATTCGAAAATTGGCCTGTGAAAACACTCTCAGTCGATGTCATAGTGGATCCTCGTAGACTGTTGGCTTTGCTGGGCGGAGGATAGCATACACTTGGCGGCGGAATGCGAGGGCGGACATTAGCGTGCGATTTGGAGCCAAGAGCGTTCGTGAATGGAGGGTCTGAAGGTTCGGCTGCAAGTGGACCATTTATATAAGTTCAGAGCAGAGAATTGGCGCTTACAAGGACTGTTGAAGGAACGGTCGATGACGGTGGTGGTGTTCTCTTGGCTTTGCGGCTCTTGGACGGCCACTGGTGCGGGCTTGTCCGCTGGGCGAATGAAGATCGATGCTCCAAAAGGCAATCCGAGATCACGTGTCGGTACCAGCATCCGACCGCCAAGTATAACAGCACGCGACGTTGCCATGGCTGGATCATTGTGTGGAGAGTTCTGCGTCGCCACAGGTTGTGCGGCATCCGTGGGGGAGATCTGAACGGTCGACGGCTCGCCCGTTGCGGCGGTACAACACCACGCGACACAGCGCGCGAAGTGTTCAACTCCAGTAAGAAGCCCTGGAGATATGTAGGAACGGAGAGTGCAGCAGCCTCTCGAGGCATGTACAGCATAAGCGGTCCTCGACCCAGTCTAGGAAGCCTCCCACCTGAAACGCAGATGATTGATACCCAGCGCGCTTAGGCCCTGGGAGACCAAGCGCAGGATCAAAAATGTCTCTCGATATCCATGAGTGAGTGGAATCTTAATGTGTCGCTCCCTGTCCCCTAGGCGGTGGTGTTAAGTCACGGCCAACGGGTTTTGCCGTAGATGTGGTGCGGCCATGGCTGGTCTTTCAAGTTACAGAAGAAGCCGGCTGTAACACACAGAAATCATAAGAGACTTCATCAAATTGCAGATGGTCTGCAGATTGGCACTGAGTACCTGTCATTATTTGAGGACTACGAGCTGGTCTCCGGCTTTTTTCCGCTACTCGAGAGCTGATTTCAACGCGTATAGTCCAGCTGCAAACATGTGCGGCTGGTGAACGCTTGTGCAGATCATGCGTAGTGTGACATCCAGCCACATGGGAGATGGTCCAATAGTCTGTGTAAGCTTGCAAAGCTTGACTAGAGCTTCCTGCGCGGTTTAAATGAAATAGTTCGTGTTGGCAGGATACCATTTTGCAGAACGACGAGCGAAGGATGCTGCGATGACTTTCGTTCGTGTGTGGTGTACGATTGACGAAGACTGACCAGCCAGTGTTTCCTCAGTGTAGGAGGTCGCACAGTCGGTAGAAACCGTGACCAAGGGTGTCGTCGATTGAAATTTTCGGCCAAGTCTGCAGCATCCTGCTTCGAACGATTTAGCAGACTCAACTGAGAGGATCCTTTCTGTTGGCATTGACATGGCGTTCCAGCCGAACAAATTCGAATCGCCTGAAACCGTTGCTCAGACCAACGCGGACGTCTCGTAGCAAGCGTCATCGCTTTGCATTGATGTGCAGAGCTCTCGGTGTTGTCGTGCGGTTGTCGGGCCTCACCGGATTTCTCGGAAGACGATCCCTAGAAGCGCAAGTCAGCTGACGATCCTTCATGGAACTACCCTGCCTGGTTCACCACCGCCATGTGTTGTAATGCGGAGTGTACAACACATCAACTTCGCCGTAATGTCGAAAGAGGACTTGATGATATTCGAGAATCGAATGCTTGACGCCTGTTGTCGGCTATCTGATATATGTGGATGCAGCCCTTGAATAGGCGCAGACTGAAATCCATGAAAAAGCCATCCCAGCTGTTAAAGACGCGAATCCCTAAGTTCGGCAATGCATGTGTCGTTCGTAAACGTGTCATGACCTCCTAAACGCCAACCCTTATAACCGACTTCCAGAGTCCCTTGATGGAGAGCTTGACGCTGTACCAGTCGCGATCGCGGCAGGCCGGCGTCGAGATGTCCTTCGAGGGGGTCTTGGAGCGCTCCGAACTTGTCGAACTCGTCGTGGAGGACCGTGGGTCGCCGCCGCGGTCCGATGAATGCTTCGAGTGTACGCTATCAGTCTTGAGGCCCGCAGGATTCTTATTACTAATTCGCTCGCGCGAGTTCACCGTTTCCTGGGGCCTCTCCTCATGCTAATCGATACCGTGCTGCTGCTTGAGCTTTTCTAAGTTCTCCTGGCGCTCGGCGAGATCATTTGCGGCCTTGATCATCTTGTCTGGCTGGTGATATAATACTGCACTCGTCAGCTCCTGGAGGGATGGAGGAGTTGGCACTGGTAGACGTACCGACGAGATAACGGTTTTGGAAGTTGAAGCCGTTCAGCTTGTCGCAAGCTGACTTTGCGTCTATTACGTCCTCATAGACAACGAATGCGGTGCCCTTGGTGTTGTTGGCGATACCCTGGCGGATTTGGCTGGCGATACATCAGCATGGTGCGCCTGGGGGAGAGGCCTGACAGGCGAGAAAGAGACCTACCGCACCGGGCCGAACTTGCCAAAGAGGTCAAAAAGCTCCTCTGGAGTGACGTTGAAGCTGCCATAGATTAGTGGAAAATTCCAGGAATACACCAAGACGACTCACCTCAGGTTCTTTACGAAGAGAGCTCTGTACAGCAAGGCTAGGTTAGCGGAGGTCGTGTGAACAGGTCGTCACATGCATGCGACAGCGAGAGACTCGCCGAGCAGGCAGGGCGGGAGAGGCGGACTCACCGATTGACTTCGGGGGCAAGCTTTCCACCGCGACTCATACTTTGGCTACTGTGGTGGACTGTTCAGAGAGGACGTGTGGGTGCACGGTCAGAAGAACGGCGTGGGGTGGGACGAAGTAGTGAGAACACGCGGGTAGCAGATGAGGCGCTTAAGCCAAGACTGCGGGCCGTGCACGTGACCGGCGACTTGGGGATGGCGCGCGAGAGGGCGTTGGAGGGAGACAAACAAGCAGGGAGGAGGCCAAGTTGGATGAGAGGCTATTGTTGAGTTGAGAAGCTACAGTAGAGCTGGGAAGCCATGGGAAGGCTCCCGTGCAGCCCAAGAAGCATATCGCGGTGCAGACAACTGTTCGAAGCTGGGCTGCCGGTGCGCCCCCATGGCAGAGAGGTGCACCGCTGCACCAGTCGGAGACGTCTGCGGCAGCGAATGAGGGCCTGACTCCCGGGAGTGCTCCAACGTCGTCCAGCGCAGCCACAACACACGGGTACCATCGCCGACGTGCACACGCTTCCTGCCTCTGTCCGCGCAAGTCGTTCATTGCGACCTGCGTTTGCTCTCCTGCGCAGCATCTCCGCTGCGTCGGTTCGGTGCATTGCTGTGCCCGGCGGCCGTTGCATGGTTGGAGCCATTGCAGTATCCCCACATCTCAAAACCTCCGCCATCATTTCTACCTCCCCCAGCACCACCCACCCGCCGCACCGCGCCCACGCTCATTCAGCGCTTGCTCTGCGCCCGCCTTGCTTCGCCAAAGGACATGCTTGCGCCCGCCAGCCCCGCCCTCCCGCACCGCGCAGCAGCTCCATAGCTTCGACGACCCGAGACGCTACTAGTAGTGGACCGAGGACGCACCTCCGAAACGCCTCCCACCGCCCCCCCCCTTCGCGCAACCACCGACCATGCGCAGGATAACCTCGTTCAAGCCGCAGTGCAGGCAGGCGGCGACGCGCTCAGCGACGCCTCCGCCGCCGTCCTACGAGCCTCTGTCGCCCGCGCTGCAGCCGACGGCGTCCGTCGCAGCAAACCCCGCGGACGGCTACCGCGACGACGCCGCACCGCACCACAGACACCCCAATGGCGCTCAGAAGCACTCCTATGCTGCCCCAGGGAGCAGCCGCACGCTGGGCCAGCACGGTGTGCCGCCAGCGCCGAGGGAACACCGGCCGCAGCGCGCCGCGGCTCTCCCTCCTCCGCAACCACTCCCGCACTACGCCTGGACGCCGGGCTCGCCCATCGAGGCCCTCGCAGACGCTGCCGCTACCTCACAGCGCACCAGCCCCGCCTACGTCGAGCACGCGCGCCGCGCCTCATACGCCGCCACCTCGCCCACCACCCTCCCCCATCTGGTTGGCGAACGCGCCCCGAAGCACGCCTATCCCAGAGACCCAGCACACACATACGACGAGCGGCCGGCCAAGAGGGCATGCTCGGAGTTCTACAGTGCCCCCTCTCCCACGTACGCGCAGCAGCACTCTCGGCCGGCCACGAGTCACAACCCGGGCTGGTCCTACAACGTCGAGCACATGGTAGACACGGGTATGCGCATGCATCGGGACAGTAGAGCAGGCGCGCCAAAGCAGGAGCACAACCCAGACAAGCGGCTCTCGGACGCGCAATTGCTGCTCGACTTCTTCCAGGTGTCCGCCCATACCGCACAGACGCCGCCCTCGACAGCAAAGCGGCTGAGCATATCACAGGTCGCGCCCGCCTATCCCGCACAGTACCCTCCGCAACCCTCTCCGCAACGCTCTCCCCATCACGCACAGCATCCACCTGTGCCAGCAAGTCCGCGTGCTGCCCCCTCGCAGCAGCCTGTTCACCATGCTCAGCACCCACGTCCCTCCTCGGACGTCGCGCACGTTCCAGAACCGCCCTCGCTTCCCGCTGACGTTACGTTGCCTGCGCCGGCCGTCCAGGCACGCACGCTCCCGGAAGACGGCCCCGCCGCGCAGCCTCCACCTCCAACATCCAGCACCGCCAGCGCCGAAGACGCGAAACCCAAAAAGCACCAGGGCTGGCCCAAGGGCAAGCCGCGGGGGCCGCGCAATACCCCGTCCAGCAGCAAGCGGAAAAAGGCAACGCCAAAGCCTACAGTTGCCTCTTCGACAAGCACTAAAAGCGCTGCCGATCAGGTCCAATCGCCGCTGGGCAATGGCAGGGCTGCAACCGCAAATGCGTCTACTTCGTCGTCCTCCCATGTCACGCCACCGTCGGATCAGCCGTTGGGAGCCCGCCGTCATTCTTTCTCGGATTCTTTTTTAGTGCTGCCGACCACTGATTTGCCTTCTGAAGCCGTGCGCGCCCAGTCTGTCCCACTCCAGACCTTTCTTAGCACAGCACCACCGACCGCTGGACGCAGCCAGCGTACCAAAGCTCAGCAGGTTGCGGAGCCAGATCTCATTTGCGCCTCGTGCCAGTCTTCTGACTCGGAGGTTAAGTTTGGTGATGGCGAGCAGTGGATCGGTTGCGATGGCTGTAAAGAGTGGTACCACTATGCATGCGCTGGGTTCAACAGCGAGCGCGAGGTGCGGGATGTTAACAAGTTCTACTGCGAACCGTGTAGACCCAAGTTTGGTCAAACAACGAGTAGGTCTACCGACGCATATTGGAGTACTAAGTCTGACCTGGCCCAGAGGTTCGCAAATCTGTCAGAGCCCACGCTACCGTTGATTACGCCGGCTTGAACCAGGGCGTCCTGAGGACATCTGACGACAACCCCGAGCATCACTACATCGCCGCGTTCAAAAGTGGAGACATTGAGTTCACGCCAGAAACGTTTGCGCGCATGCCGCCTGAGCTGGTCTCGGCCGACTTTCTGGAGAAGAGCAATGGCTTCCGAGAGCCAATCCTCATTCCCGGGGCCCTCAACCCTCGACCTTGGTCGTCATCCAACGCGACTTCTAGGCCCGCCACGTCCATGGAACAGCCTCGGCAAACGCACGATGAGCCAGACTCTCATTTCGAATACGAAACGACCGCCGACGACGGACAAGACAAGCTGGACATGGTCATACCGCAAGGCTTGACGGTTCGTCGCGTCGCCGAACTCTATGGACCGAATGAGACCGTACCTGTCATCGATGTCAAGGCGCAAGAAGGCGAGGCCAAGAAGTGGACCATGTCCAAGTGGGCAGACTACTACGAACAACAAGGCGAGAAGCCCGTACGAAACGTCATCAGTCTGGAAGTGTCGCGGAGCCGGCTTGGAAAGTTGATCCGGCGGCCAAAGGTTGTGCGAGACATGGACTTGCAAGACTCCATCTGGCCAGAGGACGACAAATTTGCGCCCCCAGCTGTGCAGTTCTATTGTCTCATGTCTGTCGCGGACTGCTTTACAGACTTCCACATCGACTTTGGCGGTTCGTCTGTCTACTATCACATCGTGAAGGGAAGGAAGGTTTTCTTCTTCATACCGCCAACGAAGCAGAACATGAAGAAGTATGAAGACTGGTGCCTTTCACCTAACCAGGGGCACGACTGGCTTGGCAAGCAGGTCAAAGATTGTTACCGAGTGGACCTGTACCCAGGAGACACGATGCTGATCCCCTCTGGCTGGATTCACGCCGTCTGGACGCCCGAGGACAGTCTGGTCATCGGCGGCAACTTTCTGACTCGCATACACTATGGCATGCAGCTCCAGGTTCTGGAAGTTGAGAAAAACACCAAGGTGGCCCAGATGTTCCGTTACCCATTCTTTCAGAAGATTATGTGGTTGACGGTCATCAAGTACCTCGAGGAGGATCCAGTGCCCAAGCCAGTGCAAGAGCTCTTGCAGAAGGGCGAACAGTTCAGACGTGACACCCCTATCTGGTGCGAGCCCGACAAGTTTGGCCACAACTCGCATCTGGGCTCAGCAAATTACAACAGGCGGTACTACCCTAAGCATGAGCTCGAGGGTCTCGTGGATGTTCTGAGCTACATCCACAGAACTGTCATGATATCGTTGGAAAAGATCGAGGTACCACAAAAGACACGCAATGCGGTCACCAGATCGATACCAAAGGGCCACGGTGATCCGGTTGCCCTAGAGCGCCACTTCGCGATGTGGATCGCCTGGAAACGTGGGAACGAGATCATTCCAGCTTGGGCTGTCTCCGATGTTGCACCGCTACCCGGGACAGTAGAAGTCACTGAAAAGAAACCGAGCGTTCCTCCGGTCAAGAAGGTCGAACGAGACCCGCGACCGGAACTCCCGAAAGCGCCGGCGGAGAGACTGCCAGACCCAATCAGAACATACGACGTATCGCCGCCAAACGTTGTCGATGCCAGTTCTATGGTCGAGCCTGTCACACCCTCCTCCGCTGCACCTATGACCGGCTTTCTTCGTCCAAGCGCGAACAATCCGCATATAACTACCCCAAAAACATCTCAGCTCGGACCAAAGAGGGTCGCGTGCGATGCTTGCCGAAAGAGAAGGATCAGGTGCAAACACAAGGACGAGCTTGTAGACTCGTCAAAGCCTGGCATGCATACGATCGACCTCTCTGGGTCTTACGGCATCTCCGTCAAGCGTCGCCTCAGCGACCACTCCATCGTCGAAGGTCATGCCGCAACTGTGGCTGGTCCCGTCAACGGAGGTCCCATCATGGCCGATGTGAATGGCGACCCTTACGCGCTGAAGTCTGGTCGTGTGAAGGCGTGTGCCGACTGTCGCAAGAGCAAGGTATGTTTTCTTAACACGATCAGCAGCACCAAAGCTAACATCTCCAGCGCCGTTGCATACACGACGAATACGGCAACGTTGATCCTATCAAGGCAAACGAGGTTCCTGTTCCCAGGGGATCTGCAGCAAAGCGACGACGTGTCAGCGAAGAGGATTCAGCTGCCATGTCCAAGAGGATGAAGCAGGAGTCGTCCATGGACGATGGAGGTTTCGGCAATGGGGATATGCATCACCCGCGTCACTCTCTACCGCACCAGTTCAACGTTGGCGGTTCGCTGCTCCAGGACATTGCGTATTCTGCTCAGCAGGCTCTGAACCAGCGACCAGAAGAGGAGCTCATGCCCATCGATCCAGCACTCCAGGGATACGCTAACGATGATTACTCTTCTGCCAGTATGGCGCCCTCCTATCCACCAATGGGCGACATGATCATGTCTTCGATCGAGCAGCAGCATGGCAATCATGAGCTAATGGATGGTGTTCAGTACCCAGACACGAATGGTCAACAGCAAGGGCCCAGCATTGAGCCACTCACGCCCGGACCACCAGCCTATCACGAACATGCGCACCACGAGAATGGGCATCACCAAATGAACGGTTACGTGCCCTACCCCCCGGCTCAGCATGATGCAGTCCCTCCGCTTTCCTCTCCCGTCTCGCCAAGACATGCGCGGGCTATGTCACCAACCTCACCCACCACTCACAACCACAACATGTTCACCACTGGATCCGACTTCATTCCTCCAGTCACGCCCACCGCTCCCCACCGCGCTGCACCCTCTTCGAGCCACAAGTCTGGCCAGCGCCATAGCCGCACGCCAAAGTCAACTCCGGGCGGCGGCCGCCGCCGCGACAGCAAAGACAGCATCAAGCTCGAGCAGGGCCTGACCATGGCAATGACGCTCGGCATGGGCATCAACCTGGACTTCATCGACCCCAACCTCGACCAAGCCAGTCGTGACCTCATCAAGCAGCTGCAAGCCGAGGAACATGGCCTGCGGCGGCGCAGTCGAGGGGAGACGTCGGCAGCTTCACCATCGCATCCGCCCGCGCAAGTCACGCCGACACGGGCGCAGGCTGGCGTCTGAGCATTCGCTTCCCATCTGTTTTTTTTTGTTTTTTTTTTCCTTCATGCATCTCATCATTTACCTTGGCGTTTTGGGAGAGGACAGCATCAGGCGCACCACGGAAGTACTTGTCAGGTTGCTTATACCCATGCACTGGGATAGTGTATATTGCACCGATGTCTTACTTTCCTTTCCACATGGTCTATCTTGGGCTCCGGCGGCGTTATCTTATCACATCTGTCTATCTTGATTTTGCCTAGGTTCCTGTTTGGGAGGCCTTTTCCAGTGCCGGCTTAGAGCTGTGCTAATCGTTTGTCATTGCAAGGGGGAATGTAGGGAGTACTACTAGTCGCACACCATATGCTATCGAATCGAGAGATATTACCATTACCCTCTCCGCCCTCTCCACTGAGTGTCTACCATGTGTCACTCTCCATGCCTGCATGTAGTCACGTCGTCACAGCCAGCGCTCCATTCCCCCAAAAGGCGGATACTTCAAACCCCCTCCCCCTCCCTTCTTCCTCTTCGCCTTCTTCCCACCCCGACGCCCGACAACACTACTTCCCACCCCGCTACTCACACACTCCCAATCCCACGGCACACTCCTCCCCGCCACCTCATAATCCCCCACTTTCCTCACTTTCCCCCTGACCCTAACATCTCGTAGCGCACTCCGCGTCATCGCGCGCACGGCCGCCGGCTCCACGATTTGTGTGCGGTAGATCGGCTCTCTTGTCTTGCAGGGTGCTGATGGCGGGGGAGGAGGTGGGCGCGAGGAATGCCGACTCGGCGGCGGAGGACACGGTGTCTCTATCTTGATCTTTCTGCCTGGACCGTGCAACGGTGTGAGGGGGTGCAGGTGCAGTGGGTGGAAAGGATGGAGTTGGGCATGTCTGTGGTGGTGCTGTAGGAGACCGTGGGGTAAAGGGGCGTGCGGTCGTAAGTGCTCGGGGAGATGCGGGTGCAGGTGGAGAGTGTCGTGGTGGAGGTGGTGGAGGTGGTGGTGGTGGTAGTCTGGCGCAGAGGCTACGCTGCTGGGGAGCGAGACGCTGAGGTCGCTGAAGCGCGGTTGAGGGCTATGGCGGACGCGGACGATTTCCGCAGAGGAGCAGTCTGAGGAAGGGCGTTTGGGTTTGTTTTTGGTGGGGGTTAGGCTTATCCAGCACATGTTGTCGTCCGGTAGAGGGCGTGTAGGATGTTGTTGGTATGCTGGCGATGGTGCTGTCGAGCCGCGAGGGAAGCGGTCTGAGCCTCGCTGGTGGCGCTGCGCGATGGTAGCTTGAGAGCGAGAAGGCTGGGCTGTACGAGTAGGACGGTGGATGTACCCAGTACGAATGCGCAGAGTGATTGCTTTGGCGAGACATTTGAAAGCGTGCAAACATGAGGGGTGCTGGATACTTAACGACAACAAGAGTCAGAAGACAAGTCTTTCAAATCCTGCTCTTGACTGCAGCCATGATGGCGTTCGAAGTGATCGTATATACATCCTCGTCCTGCATCATTCGCCGGCGTCATACGTAGAAAGTGCGAGGCACACGCACATGCATAGCGCTCCCGCAGTCAAGCTATATGAGACAGGGTGGCAGTGATTTGTGCCTGCATGATGGTGCTGGTGCCTGCAGCTCGGAAAGACGAACGTGTGTTCGAGGATTTGGGCGGGTGACGGAGGCTGGTGAGGGTGGAGGGCTGGCGCGTGGGTTGCGGTAAGGTCTTGGATGACCAGCGGTCTCATTGGCCATGTGACGATGTCTGTCATCAAGTACAGTTACTTTTGCTCAACGCACCCCAGTCCGGATCGTTTGAGAAACCTCGAACAGAGTAGAATCGAGTAAAGAGAGGCATTGATTCGCTTGCGGTGAAATGTGTGCACGGGCTACTATGAGACTATGAGAGCTTGATGAAGGTCGCTACGCATGAACAACCAAGCAGCATACAGGACCTCGTTGAAAGCGCGGGATCCTTTTTGAGAGAAAGAACAGAGTGCTGTTACTGTATGGCTAGACATGCGGAGGTGAAAAGGTCTTGATCGCTGCTAGAGAAGTTCTGCTTCGGCGTGAGGTCAGCATCTGGAGCGCAGGTGCAATTTCGAGGTAGCAGACGACGGCGCAGGATGTTTTGCAGTCACTATGAGCAGCACAGACACATGGCTGCATTTTAAAGGTGGCCTGGATGTCCAGTCCGCGTGGTGTTGGTATGGACCGTTTGGTGTTGCGGGGCGAAAGGTGAGGGAAGGCAACTGCAGCGACGCGGCGCTCGTTGGCTTGGCAGTTGCATCAACGAGAGCTCGCCGGAGCTCCACCACCGCGACATCAACCTCACGCCCACTCCCTCCGCCACGATCGACCATACCTACCACCATTCACCGCCGTAACCTTTCTCCGATCTCCAGAACACCAGTGCCGCAACCATGGACTCGTTAGTGGCGCAGTACAGCCGACCCATCGATGCGGAGGAGGGCCAGACAGAGGAGCAGCAGCTTGAGCTGTACAGCAGCGCGCCAGAGCTGTCTCTCAAGTTTGCCCTGCCACCAGTCGCTCAGGTACGGCATCACCTGTCTTCTGTATACATACAACCATACTGATATGCAGTCTCAGGCACAATCATGGCTCCGCGCAATGACAGACGACTACTCCAACCCCAACTGCCCCATCAAGATTGCCCACGGTACCACAACCCTCGCCTTCCGGTTCAAGGGCGGCATCATCGTAGCAACCGACTCGCGAGCAACGGCCGGCAACTGGATAGCAAGTCAGACAGTGAAGAAGGTCATCGAGATCAACAGCTGTTTACTGGGGACCATGGCCGGTGGCGCTGCTGTAAGCAAACATGTGATCTGAAGACCAGAAAGGGCAATGTTGACACGGGACAGGACTGCCAATACTGGCTGGCGTACTTGGGCATGCAATGCCGCCTCCACGAGCTCCGACACAAGCGCCGCATCTCCGTCGCGGCAGCGTCCAAGATTCTCGCGAACTTGGTCTACTCGTACAAGGGCATGGGCCTGAGCATGGTATGCATATCCCAACCACACTCGGTTGATCTCACTTCTGACATGTTGTTTCAGGGTACCATGTGCGCCGGTGTCACCCCGCAAGAAGGACCCGCTCTCTACTACATCGACAGCGACGGCACCCGTCTCGCCGGTAACCTCTTCTGTGTCGGTTCCGGTCAGACCTTCGCCTACGGTGTGCTCGACGCACAATACAAGTACGATCTCGAGGACGACGAGGCGCTGGAGCTCGGAAGGAGGAGTATCTTGGCCGCCACCCACCGTGATGCCTACTCCGGTGGTTTCATCAACCTGTACCACGTCAAGGAGGACGGATGGGTCAAGCACGGCTTCAACGACACCAACCCGATCTTCTGGGAGACGAAGCTGAACAAGGGCGAGTTCTCGAACGTCACTAGCGAACTGGTATAGACGAGGCTGGAAGTGAGCAGGAGGAGATGGAGACTTGCAGAAGCTACATGGTGCCGCAGCAAACGTGGAAAGAGCCATGTACAACGCGCGTTAAACGACATGAATGAATGAAAGCATGCACAACATGGACGTCAACCTCGGCGCCAGTTCAACTAAACCTTCGCGTGAGGGGTCAGTAACTATGCATAGTCGTGGCTTGAAGTTAGTACCATACAATGCGACTGCATCACACCCTGACGATCGATCACGAACACGGGATCTACGACTTTGGTCCGTCATCAACACATTCGATTTTCCGTCGTCATTCTACTCAGCGAAACGAGAGGTCGCTCTACTCTAATGCAGCTCAGATGCCACAGACTACTCATGGGGATATATGCGTAATACAAATACAGATGCAACATAACGCACTCAAATGCGACAGAGCACTAGGAAATACGTAAAGGAAATGCTTCGATTACCGCAACGATGGGACCAACGGAACGCTTCCTGCCATCGTTCACACTGCGGGTGGCACGTCAAGTGCCTTTTCTTTCCTTGCCCTGTCTCCTTGGATTCATACTCATCTCAACTGAGAGTGATGTTTGTGTGTCACCTCCTCACACTCGCCCCATTCAACGCCCCAGACGGCGACCCATCCCTCCCAAACCAGTTCCCAACACTACTCGTCCTTCGACTCCGAGTCGTCGTCTGCCGCGCAATACTATCCCGCATCTGATTCATGATGCCCTTGAAACTCAACACTTCAGGCCTGTCGAGGTCGAAGGGGTCGGATTGCCGGTCCATGCGACTCGTGCTGGTGGGTAGCCCGCTGGTGGGGAATCCGGGTGTGATTGCTGCAGTGCTGAATAGGTTTGTGCCGGGACGACTGGCGCTAGGGTTGCTCGGCAGGCTGGGAGTGAACATGTTCGTGCCTGGCCGGCTGGGGCCAGGCTCGCCGAAGAATGTGTAGTTTGAGTCGCGGGTGGCGGAGAAGGCGGAATAAGTGTTGAGAGGGGGTTGGGGTTGTTGTGCGGTGGTAGATTGAGTGGGTATCGGTGGGATGGGTGAAGAGTCCGCGAAGGGGTCCCTGCTGTATACGGATGAAGGAGGGTGTGACTGTAGTGCTGACGCTGTGCTTTGCGTGCGTCGGTGATTCGAGATCGAGCTGGCTGTCATGTTGGAATCTCGCAACCAGTCAGGCGCACCGTCGATCTCATTAATGAGGGACGCGAAAGGCCCTCGAGCTACACGAGGCGTTGCTGCAGGCTGTGGTGGACTAGGTCCACGAGGTTGTTGTTCGGTTGTATCAGGGTTCGAGATGCGCAGGTTCCTCGACATATCTGGAGCCGGATCTGCGAAGAGGTCCCTTCCGACGTTGTTGCTGGACACTGACGCTTCCGGGGTTCTCATAAATGGAGACTGCGAGGAGACACTGCTTGTCTTCTTGCGCAACACATTCCGCTCACTCTTCCTACTCGACATGCGACGAACAAAGCCACCACCAACAGCAGATTGCCCTTGCGGCTCACTGATAGATCGTCCTCGCCCACTAGACGTCGTCGAGTATACTGAACCAACGCTGGAGCGTGGTTGATGTCGTTGATAAGGGTTGTCCAGAGGTCCGGCCTTTTCGTTTCTGAGTCTTGCGAAGAACACACCAAAGCCTGCCGGTACAGCCCTCACTTTCGACATAAAGCCAGATGACTCCTCGCTCTTCTCATTCCAGCCGCCTTCTCTTGATTTGCGCCTCCTCAAACAGAAGAAGAGCAGGGCGCTTAGCAGAGCGAGCCCAACGAACCCACCAACAACGCCACCCACGACACCACCGATGTTAGTATCACTGCCACTATGGGATGAATACCCCTCGCCATTATGTCCATCTCCGCCACTATGTGAGCCTTGCTCTGGTGCAATGATGCCCACTGGTCCACGAGTAGGATTGCCTAGCGTAGCGGAGCTAGTCTGCGAGAGAAGCTCTGCAATTGACGTGGTTGGCGATGGCGCTTGCGAAGACGAGACGGTCTCTAAGATATCGGGGACTGCCGCGACAGATGTTGGATTCGCGACTCCAGCCGACTCCGTCACAGCCGGTTGCGCAATGGGAGGCGTAGTAGATGACAGCGATGACGATGATGGTGACCCAATTACAGCTGTTTCGATAGTGTCAGAGCTTTTTGGTGCTATCCTTGCAGGAGGAGCTGCAGCGGCTTGCGAAGAGACTAAAACTGGTTCGCTAGATTGTAAAGAAGTGTTTGGGGTCGAAGCTTCTGGCGCTAGTACTGAGGACCCAAGAACTGCAGGTAGAGGAGTTGTCGCAAGTGATATGAGAACTGCGTTACCCGTACCTGCTGCCGAAGATACTGCTGCTTGTGAAGTGGGCAGAGGCACAACGGCTGATTGTTCCACTGGAGAAGACGATACCGGCGGCGGTAATGGTTGAGATGCTGGGGGACTCGCAGCGGTTTGTTGTGTCTGTGGTGGTTGCTCTGCGATTGTCGAGGTGGTCGGTTCAGTGGGAGCAACCACTGTTGGCGCTGCTGCTGGAGTCGAGGCTGAGGTCGATGTAGCCGCTGTACGGGCCCGGGAGCGAGTACATCGTCTCCCGTTCACAGTCGTGATCGACTCTTGCGGAGAGGCCATGCAGGCGGCACAGTCATGAAAGAAACGCCTGCAAGGGCTCAGAGAAACAGACGGAGATGAGAAAATGCAAGCGCCGCAGACGCTTTGAGCATGTTAACAAGGAAAACGAGACTTTGCCGCTGGCAATATTGGAGATTTGGAGTCACAGTGAAGCTGTCAGTAAATGTTCGAACACACATTGGAGCGCTGTCGCCCGTTGGCACAAGGTGGTGCGCTTGGGTGCTTCTGAAACGCGGGCAGCTTCAGGTGCCGCTCAAGAACAAACCTGAAGCGCGATAGGCCTCGCCGTCGTCAATATCGGCGCCATGGTCGTCTCAGCCAGGTAACCAGGTATTGAATGTGCTGCACGGATGATCTTGTGGAAAGACATTGCGCCCTGAATATTGTTGTCCAGAAGATAGTGATGGTGTTGAAAGGAAGAGGGGCAACCTTGCAGCTGAACAGTGAACCGCACACGTGATCCAAGTGCTTCTGCTGAGCTGCTCCGCCGAAGTCGCTGAGGCTGATGGGCGTTTCAGTCCTTCGTATGCTTCGACTCGTGTCGCTCCAAGATCACCGGGGAATGCGTCGGGCCAACCTTCTCAGTATCGAAGCCGTTGCACCAAAGGCTATTGGTAGTCTCGGCGGCCAAGACGAACGCATGCCATCCATAGCGTGACATCTGTCAATGGCGTTCAGGACCAATCTTCTGAACCTACTGTGGTTTGAATGCTGATCAGCCTCGATTGCGCGAGCCCCCAACGGTTGTTGTGGAGACAATCGCTGCATGCGCGCAGAAATGGCAACCGAACGCACCTGCCTTCCAGGGTTGACAAGCACCGAGAAGACACGTTCAACCGTTGCGACAGCCTCACACCAACAGCCTCATCCCCATCTCGCCAACATTTTGAAGCTCACGGCACTCTTCTGCGGCCATGTTCAATTTTAGTGGTACGTACCGATAGCAACTTCTTTGGCGCGTACCTCACCATACGTCATATCTCCACGAGCTTCGTTGGCTCCATCTGTACACCAGAAGCATATCAGGTTCACCACATTATCCTTCGAACCTTCCATGGATGGGTCTCATGATTCTCTTCTTCATACTTCTTCACCCGGCGGCTGCGGTCCGCGCGTTGTGATCATGTTTCGTTTCTTCCCCTCAACGCCACACGTGTTTCGTTTGAGAGACAACTGCACAGGTAACAATGTCGCTGATATAAGGCTATGCAGGCCACCTTTTAGCGGGGCAGCATGACACGCAGAAAGATCGGCCTCCTCCTGCGAAACCAATACCTGCGACCTTCCCGGTGCTCGATCCACCCAAGCCGTCGATAGGACGCCCGCCAGCATCCTGGAGCAGGGCGAATGTAACAGGGATTACCAACCATTTTTTGAACCTGAAGAAACCATCCGACATCACGAGGGAAACTCTGGCGCAACTCAATGTCACGTTCCAGTCCGACTGTGACTTCGAAACGATACTATCGTCGCTGTCAAACGATGCGCTATCACACATGCCGCCCACTTCATGGCTAGAGGCACCGGATCAGCAAGAACCATCAACTCCGGAACCGGCTGTTACTCTCCTCAGTAACGGCAAAAGAGTTCCGGATCGCAAAGAGTTCTATATCCGTGCGCGAGAGCTGCTCTTCAAAAACGAAGATGCATTCTCGACACTTACACGGAAAAGCACTGGAGGTCAAGCACCGCTGCGACTTGCACATTTTCGCAAGTTCTGGGAAGGGCTTGATAACATGGCATACTATTGGGACAATTCGCTAGATGACTATCACCCTCCAAACCCTGAGGCTAAAGATACAACTGCCGAGACCGACACTCTTTCCAATCAAGATGCAGGGGGTGATGGTCAAGAAACACGTGCTGAAACGAAGACAGACTGGATCGCAAAGATGGGGAGTGGGTTTGGGCCCCCCAATGACGGCGAACCTCGAAAGAAAGCAAAGACAGAAGCGGTGAACGACCAAACAATGGTTCAGTCCGTCCACGCAAACGGGTTTGGAGGATCAATAGCTGCTCAAACAGCGTCGATCATCCCAAGCAGGGTACTGCCCGCCAGAATTGCACCGTCCAGGTTTCCAAACGCAATAAATACGGAACCTCAAGAGAAGCCGGCTGATATGTCTAATGGCTCCTACCGAGGCTACCGTATCGGTAATGGCTCAGAGATGCCTGATCAGTATCGCATTGACTGTGTTCGAGCCTTTGTTGAGCCCATTGCGTGGGCGTTTGGTGTCACACTTTCACAACACCGACGGCCCCCTGTTCTGTTATTGGAGCACGTGCGCTTCCCTGTACGTATGAGCTCTGTAGCATGGCGTGGGCCCCAGGATCGGATGAAAGCACGGCAGGGCTGGATGGAAGGGCCTGTGTTAGGGATACAGTGTAGACCAGACGTCAACTTTGGAGCTTCTGGAAGTCTAGACGCAGAATCTAACCTAGATGCCGTCCGTGAGCTTGGTGGACTGCTGCTTCTAGCTCAAGAGCGCGCGAGAGACGGCAAAGTCGAGCAGCTCGCGGGTGAAGGGAAATGGTGGACTACGAAAGAACGCTGGGGAGGCGGGCCTGGAGGCGAAGTTGGGGACATTACAATACCCAGCGAGACATCTGGCACTGAAGCTACACCTAATCCCCAGGAAAGGTCTGCTCAAAGGAACGTGGACGGCTCAAGAGTACGGCGACGACCGACACCTGCGCAGATCTGGAAGGTTGTCAAACCCGGAAATCCTCTTTGGGACCCCAAGGTTGTCTATGAAGCGATTGGCAAAGACAGAACTGCAGAGTGGGACGATGTAGGCCACTTGCCCGTGTCATATTATAATCTATAAGGTTTGCTAACATGTGCACAGGTCTTCATGGTTTCGTCATTGAACCACCATATTAGCTTGTTGAAGCTGCACGTGCATCCAGCGTATCTGGAATACATCACATATGGAAAACTTCCCGAGAGTCAGCCCTCAGATCCTGATTGGTGCTCGCCTAGACTTCAAAGGACACGGTGGTTCGATTTGTTCAGTGTCGAAGACCGTACTGAAGCCATGAGGGGCTTTTGGGGCATTATGTCTTATTTGCTGCGAGCCAAAGATGTGGGCCAAGAAGACGTTGTCATGGGCAATTCATGATGACCCGCGACACTGCTTACGTCTCCATTCTGGTTACTAAAAACATTCCAGTAAGCACGACCACGCAGTCAGATCCCTATTTCTGGACTCTGGACTGCTTCGAAGCAATTAGTTCGCCTCTTGCTTCTACGGAGATCCTCGGATGTATTGTGATGGGGACAAGATTGATGTTGGTAACAGCTGCGAATGTTACGATTTACGGAGCTATCGTCATAGTGCACCTTACACCAACATCGAATTTCTCATTGTTCGAATCTATTTGAATCGAAGGCTGACCCGTGTTTGTACAGAAATGCTGTGCGGCAACCCCGGGGTCGTGAGCACAACCACACGTTTCTTTCTGATGCTTTCGCATAAGGTGACTCTCAAGCTTCTAGACGAGGTAGGACAGGTGCACAAGATTTTGTCAGACAGTCCCATCACGGTCAATCATCGTAAAGAGATGTACTAGTGGTTTAAGACGAATCATTTCCAATATAGTGACGCACGAGGCTGTCGGGCAGAGACGGTCGATGCAACGACGCCACAACGCGATTGGCAACCGCCTTACCTGCCCGCCGTGTCACCTATAGCTGTGTTCCCTTTGGTCGACGTTCCACTTCCAACGTCCTCACGTGCAAAGGTATTCATTGGTCAAGCCGTAATGACGCTCGTGACAGCACCTGTGCATTCACGAAAAACGTCTTTTGGTGTCACGCGTTGTGACGGATCGAGACCACGTACAAAGAGGTGCGCATCGACATACTCCAAGGCACTTACGGCAGGGATCCAACCCTCAAAGTTGGAGAATACGACTTCAGCATTACGGCTGAGCACAAGGCCTCCAAGTTTCAGTCGCTTTCTCACCCTGAGATGTCCCTTAATGGGCGCCACTGCTGACTCCTAGCCTTTAGCAGTCTCCCGGCTCTTCCATGTACTACACCACCTCAGCATGCTAGTCAACAGAATGCTCGAGGGGGCGGGATTCGTAATGGTTCAATCCTGATCACGCACTTGTAACCAAAGCTAGGGACAGGCGGACTCGTACAAGCCTTATGCTTCGAGTCTTGCCTCGGATGAACACCTCAGACAATCAATCAGCATGGTTTCCAGACACATCTGGGAAGCTTGATGGACCCGAATCTCTTGATGCGCACGGGCAGTGCTGCAACTACCCCTCTGGAAGAGACCCGCTGACCGGGTTCAGAGAAATGTAAGACGGTTCGAGGTACCTAGGTACCTGGCAAGCATCGACATTGGGTCCGACCATAGTATTACTGCTGACCTCCCTTGGAAATTCAATGCTATGATTGCACGTTTATACTGACATCTAGCCGTTGAAAGTTCGAAGAAGCGGGGGGGGGGGGGTAGTCAGGTCTCTGCAGCATGCATAAAGAACGCCTTAACTAATCAAAGGCGCGCAATGAGTGGCCGCTGTCCAGGGACGCCTCTCCATGGCAGAGTAACAGTGGCTGAACAGACTACGACGAACTGAATGAGGCGGTCAGCAGCCATCTTGATGCTTTACGTAGAGCATGCTGCCAGCCTTGCCCTTGACAGCGGATATATAAGCCGCTGTTCTCACGACGGATACACAACACAATTCATCGTCATATCGTCTACCGTACTGAACCCATCTCGGATTCCTCCCTGAAATATTCACCTTAACCTTCAGGATCGTACTTCGCCACACACTACGCGCTCTCCTGTAACACAAGGACACCCAGTCCTACTAGAACATCACAAGGTCCACCATCCACACTTCGAAGTTTAACCTTGACCTGCTCTTTACTCCAACCTCCTCCTCTAAGTCGCAACACGATGTACACTCCAATCGCCCTCCTCACTTCCCTCCTCGCCCTCATCCCCTCCATAAGTGCCGCTAAAGCGCTCAACCCGAATCTCAACGCCATGCTCAAGATGGCAGCAACAAACTACGACCGGCATGCGCTTCTCGCCAAAGACAGCGACTGGTACTACGACTTCTTCAACCATCATGACTACCATGATAAGATCGGCTCCGTCATCACCGCCGACGCCGCCACATTCCCAGCACTCACAGGCCTCGGCATCAGCTACGCATTACTGAAACTCGGACCGTGCAGTATGCTGCCGCCACACTTCCACCAGCGCGCGCACAACGCCGTGATTGGGATCACAGGAAACACGACAAGCTGGATGATCAACGAGAACGGAGTGCGCACTGTCAAGGTAGATATCATACCTTTCCGGATGACGATTTTTCCGCAAGGGAGCTTGCATGTTATGCAGAACAATGGTGGGTTCTCCAATGCTGGTATGGGGTATGTGCTAACGCAGAGTAGATTGCGAACCGGCTCTTCTCCTCAGCGCATTGAATAGCGACGATAGCGGTACACTCAACGCCCTCAACGGATTATGGACCATCCCAGATGACATGAAGCGGGCTGCATTCGGCAATGAGAACCTCGATACCGCACAACTTGGCAAACGTATTCCAGATGTCGGGACTGGTGCAGTCAGGGGCAGCCCGGAGTGTCTGAAGAGATGTGGGATTGAGCATGGGAAGAAGTAGGCTTCGTGTAGAGACGGATGGGTAGGCTTTCAGTCTTGTTCCAGCGACTCTTGCATTGGTGGTTTTGAGCTATGCTAAACATGCTGTTACGAATTGATGATGTATGAGTAGAGGGATAAACAATAGTATGAACATCAAGTCGTTACAGTCTATAACGGGATATCTTGCATGAAGTAATCTTCTGTCGGCGGCTGCCAGACGGTGGTATATGCACAAGTGAAGTCTCTTGTGATAGACATCAAAAGGACGTTCTCATCGTAGGCCGCACTCCACGATGTCGAAGAAATGGTAATGTCCCACGGCCTCTTTAGCGTACTGGGTGCTGCGTGTTCATCTGCCTGTTTCTCATCCGCATCCAACTAAGAAAATCGTCAACACCCAACCAGGGTCTAAAGTGTCGTGAGCGTGGCTACCGCGCTTCTTTCGTAGCACTCACATTCGAGAAGATTGTGTCCTGGCTGTCGCCAGTGAGCCTCCCGCTCATCATTCTGACCACATCATCTGTCCATCGAAAGGCCGCAGCGTCCACGTGTTGGTAGTCCAGCAGTGCGTTTATGCCCCTGATGATCCATTCCTGGATATCCGGGGCAACATACTCATAAGCCATAACGAAACTGAACGATGTATGTAGTGCACCGATCGGCTTCGTTGACCACGCTTCTTCCCACGTCTTGCAGATTTCAAGCGCTAGGGACCGATTCTCTGACTCTAGTATGCTGATGATGGGATCGGATTGTGGAAGAAGCTTTATCAGGTACTCATTCACCATGATGCAAAGAGCCCAGAAGCTGTTGTATCCCACGTTGTCGCGCCAGCTGCTGAAGTGATAAGCAGTTGCGATAGGGCTGCCCTCTTCCATGCTGGGTAGCTCAACCACTGTTGTGCCGTTGTTGAACTTGGCGTTCATGTTGACGCCCAGTGCGCAGAATGAGTCTCTGAGTTTCTGAACCTTGCAAAGTACATCCTCACGGGCGGATATGTAAGCAAAGGGCATTCCACCATCGGGCATTCCCTCGTTGCGTAGCTCCGAAGAAAAGTCGGCGTTGTCGAAACTATCGACCGAGTAGTCAAGTGAAGGACAGGTGCCAGGTGGGCTGTGACTGAAATCGATATTGAGATCGAGGTCGAGATTGGGATCTATACAGGAGTCGTTGCGCCTATTACTGCCTGTGTCTGCGAACGGTGCCCGATATGTGTTTAGATCCTTCAGGTCTTTCAGTATATCCGGCAGTTGCGCAAAGGCTCGAAGGAGGTCGGTGTGCAGTCGCTCGTCGAAGCTGAGTCCACTACTATCGAAGGCGATATCTCGCCATGCCGGTGCGGCAAGAAAGCACGGCTCCCGCTCGTAACAAGCAGCTACAATCTACAAACTGTTAGCTACAGGTCGGCGTCTTCTCTTAATCCATTGTAGTTGTGCCTTTGCCAGGCGCCGCGCCGAAGGGTGGTTACTTACGATCCCACCTCTATTAAACCGTAGTATGTCTTTCGCGAAAGGATCATGAAAATGCCCAGGCCCTTGTAGCTCCATCAGTCGCCCAGCTCCGCCAACGTGAGCTAAGTAACGATTGCCCTTTCGCGGACCTGCCAATGCCTAGCAACCGAATCAGCTTCGGAAAGGTCAACAACGATATGTGCAACCTACTTCTACAAGTCCGAGGAGTACTGAAGCGCAAAGCGTGTTCGTGGACATACCCTCCTGAGCGTCTTCCAGACAACTTTGCAGCATCTTGATCGCTCGTAGATACAGATTGATGCTGACGATGTCGTTCAACGTTTTCTTGTACATGAGAGACGTGTGAGCGTTGATGAGCACGGCCACTGCTGCGTCAAGAGCTGGGTTGTGACCTATCCTAGCAGGCACCTCTTGGATGAATGGCCCGAACACAGACATCTGAAGGCCTACGCTGCCCGCACTAATCGTGGCGACCAAGGCACGAGACAGCTCGTGGTGTTGCGACGGAGATGGCTGTCGAAGGAAAGGCGGATGAGGTGGACTCAAGCTTGCTGTGCTTGTCGAAGCTGATCGAATTATAGGCTTTCTCTGGTGAGAAGTGTCCCTACCTGATATCCTGAACTTGTGCACAACGCTCCCACCAAAATTCACCTTCTTATGTACCTGAGTAAGATATCTCAGGTTTGAGTCTGTCCAATTGTCAGCATCCAGGTGTCGATATGTCGTTGCTGGAATACCGGACATACCTGGTACGACCAACTGGCTTTTGGTGGTCGGCAGAGTGTTTGCACCTGTGATAAGACTAGGCCCAAGGTCCTTGAAGGTATGTCGTGCAGGAGGGCCTGGACAGCATTTGCTGTTCTTCTGACAGTTGAGGCATGTCGGCCATGTTTCGTCTTGTGAGATATCAGAAACCCGTAATACTCATAGCAATATTTGGTGTAGCACGAGACATACCGCACTTGATCTTCCTTCGTCTACATATAACACATCCCGTAGACTACTCGCCAGGTTAGCATCGACATGATTTGGTGTTTCTTCCAGCGTACCTTGGGCACTCCCACCATATTGCCGCCCAAAGACACAACGAGAACAGAGACTTGGCTAAAAAGTGAAAACTAAGAACAAAAAGACACGCTGGTGGTATTAATGAGCTTGCGATATGTGGACTTGATGCACTGAGACGCTCCAGGCTTGTGGATCCAGGCACGATTGCCAATCCCGTCGTGGCTTACGGACAGGACCCTGGCAGCGGCAGACACAGCTTAGCTCGAGAGTCAAAGCGTACAAGGCTGGTCACCTGGAAACTGATGCTGGAGTTCGGAATGCACAATTCCCAGAGATATTCTGAGATCACATGCTCGCAGGATGAGTCTTAAACGGGATAGCGTCAATTTACTCAGATGAGAATCAACCCTGGAGTGTCCACCACAGGCAGAGGCGAAAGAATAGCGAAGTCTTAAGCAGTTCTCGAGGTAATTGGTGCGTGCTGATGAGAAGCGTCGTCGCAAGGTGATCAGGGAGAGAATTGCAGACGCGTAGACCAACACGTGATCGCTTGCACCTGCCCCATTCCGTCACTAGCTCGTGCTAATATCCAACCGCCCCATGAGCATCCTCACCTTTCGAGATACCGTCAATGTTCTCGACCTGTGCCCTGCCCCTGTTGCAGTGATGCGTCGGCACCGTCCCGCGGCAGCTTGCTATATCGGGTTTCGTTGGTCCACTCTTTGACCTCATTCGCCCATAAATCACAATCGCCGTCTTACCGTCCTTGCATCTTATTGGCTGGTTCGTTCCTCGAAACATCGCCGCAACCGAGCGCCTTCGGGACCTCAGGTTCAGAAGCCGGACATACATAACGGCTGTCGCGGCTCGTCATATTTCGGAGCACCTCTCAAATCGATGTGCCCCTGCATGGCTACGACTTCCGCGATTGCCATCTACTCGAGGCCGGCTTGCTTACCAGACACTCGGTATGCCAGCAGATACATTCTCATGTCTTTCCGTTTTCTGCGGTGACGTATATCACCCGCGATAGCTACTACAATAATGCACAGACGATACATCGACTTACTCCAGGGCTGGACTTGTCGAGGGTATCGATCGCGGCTAAAATAAACCTGCGTACACGACAATCTCAAGATGGTGTATCCGAAGTCAGCTTGCGAGGAGATCTCGGACCCGCTCAGGAGATGGCGATCCAGACTATACTGTTGGTGAGGCCGTCTTGGAGGCCCAAATGTTGGTTCACGGCGGCAAGCGCGCGAACTGTTGATAGCATGACCGTCCGGTGCCCGTCGAGGTTACTGTGCCATCATATTGATTCTGGAGCTGGACCTTTGTCGGAGACACCCAGTCGTTGACTATCTAGGAGACGATTGACCATTCCGCGTAGTTGCACTTTCCGGTCAAGAGTAATGTCAGAACTTGGCCTCATCTCCCGTAGAGATAGGCAGGAGCTCCAAAGAGCGATCGGCAGCAGCTTTTCTTGCGGCTTCCTAGACAGGACACACACACATTAGTTCTGTTTAGCAGAACCTTTTCATTGTTTGAGTCTTTACTTTTACCATCAGGCTCTGCGTGTGTACGACAGCCTACTGATATGCTCTCTACATGGTCCCCAAGCTCTATAGGACCACCGACCTGGTCCTCTAGTCTAAGTATAGGCACGGGAGTCTGTGCGATACTTAAACACGGTATGAAGACAGGGGTATAGATATGGATAGGCGAAGAGCTAAACCCGAGCAGACTTGACGTCCCGAGGACGTGGTCGTTCACTACTTCGCCAACCGTACGAGCCCTGCGCCACACAATCTGTCAGGTCAAAGTCGAAGTCACCACGTGCACTTCGCAAATACCTCCAACTTATCATTATGCCGTGAAGAGTATGCCACAGAGTACTTTACCTCAGCATTACTTCAGTAGTATTGAAGGTTTAAACTTTCCCGGTGCGCCTCAATGCCGCTTCAGAAATTCAACGTCGATAAGAGTATAAAGCATACCTATTAGAATGACTCACTCGTGCTGTACCGACAAGGCTTCTTTTCGCAATTTGTGTCCTCAATATTGCGTTGCAAGAGTCGAGCTGAAGCCGCAGCCTGGAGGTAGTCAGACTACTGGCCCCACGGAGATATGCCTGTAGTACATCAAGGCCTACTACCCCGACTCTGTTACAAATTGGCCGTCTCAGGCTTCTCTTCCGCCTGTAGTTTCCCGACTTTCCCGAATACAAGGTCATAAAGCAGATACTCAGGGGGCCGGACGTGCACGATCCCTGCAGAAGCTTGACAGTTCAAGCTTCTTGTCCCAGCCACTACATGCGCTACGAGCTGCTTACCGTTTTCAGTCCTTCGAACACTCCGCAGCGCTCTGCATCCCCGCCATTCGCTAAGCCAGTAAGGTTACATAGTGTGCATCGAAGTTCATGCAAGCCACCCGCCCTGTCGCTGCGTGGTGATCTCCGCGCTCTTTCACCGGAACCCACCCTGGACCGCGCTTCGTCTTGATTCGTTCAAAATGCAGAACTCCCATACACAAGACATCGGCATTAACATGCAGTATGCATGCTTGCCAAGTGTCGGGTTCGAAATGCATATCAGGCTTCCACCATTGACTCGCTTTGGAGAATACGGCAAGGCGCCTAAGTCCTAGCAATGCACAGGTATGGACCTTGGTCAACGACTTGTCAAGTCAAACTCTACTTTACCGCCGCACGTGCACACCAGGGCATAGTGACCCACCCGTACGGCCGCATGGTTCATGCACTTGCTGGCTCATAATGGCCTGATCTTCAACTAACGTCTCTATCATGATACTCTTTTTAGGTCTTCAGGCATATCGGGCCTTTATATCCACTTCTCCTGGACTTTCGGACTCGCCGACCCGCTCAAACTGTACTCGTTACCATGTTTGCTCTGCAGCATCTGGGCATCGTCATGCCTTGCACTGCAACACATCATGAATGCGTCGCACGGGTGATGTGCCTTACAGCTTGACCCACATGCATAGAGTACCTCCAGGGTGACCTTTGGCACTGTCTCCTTGTGTAAGGGCGACGGTGACCATCACACATTCATCCGCTACACGCGCAGACTCCATGAGCTCCGCCGCAATAGTCATCTCCCCATATCACAACAGAGACTGAAACCGGACCAGTGAAGATCAAGGCAGAAGTGATCTTCAACAGCACGATCCGCGACCGGTTCTGCCACAACCAACTTGCTGTGTTTTAAACCACCAACTCATTGTCAGCAGAGACAACCGAACACCTCTCAAGATCCAAAAAGTCAGTGGGTCTTGACATAGGCATTGCGAGTAACGCGAGACGCTACGGCACCACACATCACCTCCCATCTTAGACACACTCAGACGGTGGAGCATTGTGGTTTCCGTCTTCTCTGCAAGGTTCAGCATCACGATGTATGCACCAAGCCAAGGAAAACAGCATGCTGAAGTCCAATCCTAGATTCCTGCAGGGACAAATAGCAAGGCAAAGAAGTGCTCTTGTACCCTGCTTTTCGACCCACTGACAACTTCGACCCACTGACAACACTGTAGCAAGCTACGAATCCATTCTGCATACCCAATCCAATGAAGCAGACGGTTGCCGACCAGGCTTACAAGAAGTGCAAAGGATACCAAGGATCACGTAGAAGAGAAAAGGGGTTGTGAGACTGGTTGAGGGAAGCTTTTGGGCGGGGACTCTCTTGATTGTGTAGATCAAAGCAAAGGGGTTATTCATGGGGTATAGCAAGGGATCTACATCCTCCAGCGTGGGCGTCATGTTGATCCATACAAGTGCAGCATACAATCATCAGACCACCCCTCAGACCGGAGGCATTCGACTCCTTGAAACAGTTACCTCACTCTTCATCGTCGTCGTCGTCGTCGTCGTCGTCGTCCTCCTCCTCGCTCTCCACCTTCTTAGCAACAGCCTTCCTCTTTGGCGCAGCCTTCCTCGGCTTCGCATCCTTCTCCCCATCAACATCCTCATCATCTTTACCCTTCTTCTTCCTCACCGCCTTCGGCTTCGCATCCTTGACCTTCTTCCTCTCAACCTGCCCGCCAATCCTCTCCCTCTCACCTTCTCCCTGCTCATACAACGTCCTCTCCAACTCTTTGAACGCCTCGCTCTCAACGTCCATACCCACAAGCCGCTCCAGCATCTTGATCTCGCGCGCCCAAATGCTCTTGTCCTCGAATTTCTTGCCGCTGGCGTTGATGCTATCGATGGGAGTCTCGAGCACCATGGGTAAGCCGTGGAGGCGTTCGTCGTTGACGAGGTTGTGGAACGCGCGGAGACCCAAGTAGCCGGTGCCGATGCGCGCGTGCAGGTCGCGGTAGCTGGCCAGTGGGGCTTTGGAGTCGTTCACGTGGAGAGCCATGAGATATTTCAGTCCAATGACCTTGTCGAACTCTTCCATCACTTCGGCGTAGGTCTCTGGCGTGCGCAGGTCGTAGCCGGCGGCGAAGACGTGGCATGTATCCAGGCAGACACCTACGCGGTCTTTCTTCTCAACGTGCGAGATGATGGCTGCGATGTCTTCGAAGGTGCCGCCGATGGTGTTACCGAGCGAGGCCATAGTTTCGAGGACGGTGATGACAGACCCTGTTTCGGGATCTGCATGCGCGCGGTTCAAGTTCTCTGCAATCAACGTAATGCCTTCCTCCCGCGTTGTAGCATTGGCGTTGCCGGGGTGGAAGTTGTAGAGTCTGATGCCGAGTTTGTTGCAGCGCACGAGGTCGTTTTGGAAGCAGTCGTAGGCTTGCTTCTTGCGCTCAGCATCGGGATGGGCGAGATTGACGAGATAGGACCCATGAGGAAGGCAGCAGTCTCCCACTTCAATCTTGTGGTCTTTGCAGCCGTTGATGAAGAGGGTTGCGTGTTCCGGGTCCATGTCAGGGTTATCCCACTTGCGTTGGTTCTTCATGAACATGGCGAATGCGTTGGCACTGTTGGTGTTAGCCCAGCGCTTGAGGCAGCCCAGGGGGTAGTCGGTGGTACATACCCAATGTGCAAGAGGTTGGGGATGGCATTATGCACACCTAATTTACGATCGGCCGGGCCGCGTTAGTCTGTGTTCTTCATCTTCTAGTACTTTGGGAGTGGGGAGTGGGTGTAACTAACCTCCAGCGACACTGACGTGAGCGCCGATGCGTAGCTTAGTGTCGGCAGTGCGCTCTTCGAGTGCCGGCACTGGCTCTTTGCTCTTCTTTGCGCGGGTGACTTTCTTCTTGACTGTCTTCTCGACGATAGTTGCTGTCTGGCCGTTTGCGCCTCCGTCTTTGTCGTCTTCATCTTCTTCGTGCTTCACCTTCTCGGCAGTCGCACGTTTCTTGCGAGGTGTCTCGGCAGCCTCTATGGCCTCTTCCTCCCCTTGGGCCTCGTCTGCTGAAGCTTGCTTGGTGCGCTTTGTGGTCTTGACCGTGGTCTTGACCGTGGTCTTGACGGTAGTCTCGGCTTTCCGCTTCTTGCCGTTCGTCGTGGCCGTGGCAGTCACTCCAGTCTCCACTGGAGCCAGGAGGTCCTCAGGTGCTGGAGACAGCGAAGAGCCGGAATCTTCGGCGATTCTCTTTGCCATTGTGCTTGTGCGTGGTTGGTATGCTTGTGTAGTCGTCGGCGGCGGCGCAGAGGTGTGTAAGAAAGCTGTTGCAATGAGGTTCGGGGATCGAAGGTAGTAAGGGGCAGCTGGTGGGCGAATTAGATGGGCACGTGGCTCCTGAAGGCCTCCCGAGGCCACGATTCGGTGAAGGTGAGAGCGGCGCGAGGTGACGGACAAAGTGGGTATCAACGAAGCTTGCAATCGATGCAAACCGGGCGTCAATGAAGTCGCCAAAGGTCCAGATTTTTGTTCTCGCAATTGGAGGGCTCCAGTCGGTATGGTACGAGAGCCGTGGTAGTCGCGACAGTTAAATGAATGGAGCTCGGCGCGTACTCGAAATGAGGAAGACGATCCAGGAGCGGGAAGGTGCGCAGAAGGAAGTAAAGAGCGATACGCCGAAGAAAACTTCAACAGTGCATGATTCCGCGACTGGAAAGGCTTCATACGATGAAAAATCTCTACTTCTCCCTTTGAATTTGATGTAGAATCGGTTCGCGACTCAGCCAAAAACATCACGCGTGGAGCATCGCGAAAGCACGTGCGGTCTCCCCGCGACCGAACCCTTGAATGGGTTCTTATCGATAGCGAAAACACCAAAAATCATCCCCATCCCCACCAACACCACGCCCGACGCCGACGCCCCAATCGCCTGCCGACTCACACGACCGCGGATACCTCCACGATGCCGAAAGACAAGCGAAAGCGCGCCTCAGGCGCCGGCGATAGCACGCCCTACTCTAAGCCTTCTGCCAAACAAGCCGCCGCACATTCGATCTTCAAGATGGACAAGGACCTCGGCCAACATTTACTGAAGAACCCCGGTGTCGCAGCCGCAATCGTACAAAAAGCGCATTTGAAACAATCAGACCACGTTCTCGAAGTCGGTCCCGGAACAGGAAACTTGACAGTCCTGATCCTCAAGGCCGCGAAGGCCGTGACAGCCGTAGAAATGGATCCTCGAATGGCCGCCGAATTGACAAAACGTGTACAAGGCACACCAGAGGGGAAACGACTGAAAGTCATGCTCGGCGATGTGATCAAGACCGAACTTCCTCGCTTCGACGTCTGCATATCCAACACACCCTACCAAATTTCTTCGCCCCTCGTCTTCAAGCTCCTCAGCTTGCCCAACCCACCGCGGAGCTGCATACTCATGTTCCAGCGCGAATTCGCCATGCGTCTGTTTGCCAAGCCGGGCGAGAAACTGTACTCCCGGCTGTCGGTGAATGTGCAGATGTGGTCCAAAGTCTCGCACATCATGAAAGTCGGGCGCAACAACTTCAACCCCCCGCCGCTCGTCGAGTCCAACGTCGTGCGCATCGAGCCGAAGAACCCGCGCCCCCAGATTGCGTACGAGGAGTGGGACGGTCTGCTCCGCATCGCATTCGTGCGCAAGAACCGCACACTACGCGCTGCATTCCTGGGCACGTCCGCCGTCCTGGAGCTGCTCACGCAGAACTACCGTCTCTTCTGCGCGCAGAACGACATTGAGATGGACGATACGCCGCTCGATGCCGACGAGATGGCTGCCGAGCCAGAGACCATGGATGTCGACGACGACGAATTCAAGGGGTTCTCTGACCCCGACGATCCGGATGACGAGCTGCCCGACTTCTTCAAGCAGCTGCAAGCCGAGTCGCGGAAGAAGCACGAGAGGGGTGTGCACCGCAAGAAGAAGGGGCGAGTCAGCGAGCTGGTGCGTGAGAAGGTGCGCAAGGTTCTTGAGGATGAGACGCAGCTTGCGGACAAGCGACCAAGGCTGTGTGAGGAGGGAGATTTCTTGAAGCTGCTGTACGCTTTCAATCAGGAGGGTATCCACTTCAGCTAGACGGAGCCGAGCGAAGAGGGGAAGAGCATTTGCAAGGCGTTCTTTATGATGAGCATGCATGGGCATTCTGGCGTTGGGGTATACCGAAAAGCATGGCGTTGTACGAGGTGGATGTATACGGCCTGTCTAAATCCATGTCTTCAAAAACACTCCTCTATACGTCTGCCTCAAATGGTCGCACGACCTGGCCCTTCTCTTGCAGGTGGTCCTTCACATCCTTGACAGTGTACTCGCCGCGGTGAAACTGCGTTTGTTAGCGTTGTTTCTTGCTCGCAAGCAGCGGGGGTTTCCAGCTTACCATCCCAGCGCCCAGCGCAGCGTCAGTCCTCGTCTTCGCAAACACCTCATCAAAGTGTCCCGGATTTCCGGCACCACTACTCGCAATAACCGGAATGGTAACCGCATCCTTCACGTCGTTGATAAGCTCGAGGTCGAAACCGCTGTTGCTTCCGTCTTTGTCGATGCAGTTCAGCAGAATCTCTCCTGCGCCCATGGCTTCCACCGCCTGCACAAGTTGCCGGACGTCGAAGTCGCGGCCCTCGCGTCCGCCCTTGATGGTGCACTGGTACCAGCAGTACTGCTCGCCGCTGGGGCCCGGTGTGGCCGTCTTGATGGAGTGGTGCTGTGTCGCATCGGGCGAGGAGACGTATACACGCTTGGGATCGACGCTGATGACGACGGCCTGGTTTCCGTACGCGGAGGAGATGGTCTCGATGGCTGTGTTGCCTGCGAGCTTCTTGCCGCGGGCGTAGTACTCCTCTGCGGCTGTGACGGCGTCGGAGCCGATGCTGACTTTGTCCGCGCCGGACTTGAAGTACATGGTTGCGATGTCGAGGGCGGAGATTCTGGTTCCGTCAGTGTCGACGGTGTCGCGGATGCCGCCGCCTATTGTCAGCGGGACAAAGACAGTCTCGCTGGCTCGGCGCAGGATCTCGAGCATGGGCGTGTCGGCGACGGGGCAGTTGCGGAAGGAGGTGATGTTGAGGAAGGTAACCTCGTCGGCGCCCTGCTCGTAGTACTTCTTCGCCATGTCGACTGGCTTGCCCAGGTTGCGCACTCCAGCAGTGCCGTCCTTTTCCCGGACGTCGTACTGATCGCCCTTTGTGACTACCAGATCACCCTGGTCGTTTGTCCGCACGTCGAGACATGCGATGACCCGCCGTGTGAGGCCCTCCTTGCACTCAGCTGCGGACGGCTGCTCACCCAGCTTCTGTGACCTTTTCCCCTCCAAGAACGCCTTGATGACGCGCAGACCAGCAGCACCGCTCTTCTCGGGGTGGAACTGCGTCGCCATGATGTTGTCCTTGGCCACTGCGCCGATGAACTCCTCATTGCCGTAGCGCGCCGTCGCGACCTGCCAGCCATCCTTCTCGAGCCTGCCCTCCTCGTACGGCGCGGCGTATGAGTGGACGTAGTAGTACTTGGACGTCGGCCGCAGTCCGAAGAGCGATTCGTCATTCGCTCCGGCGGTCCGCGACGTGTTCGCGCTGTTCCAGCCAATGTGCGGCACGCTCTTGTCTGCGTCGTTGAACTTGCGCAGTCTGGCTGGAATGATGCCGAGGCCCTTGACTTCCGCGTCCTCTTCCGAGCCCTCGAACAGCGCCTGCAGGCCGACACATATCCCCATGAACGGCTTGCCGGCCTTGATGTGTGCACGGATCGGCTCGACGTACCCGGCTTTCTCGAGTTGGCTGAGGCAGTGGCCGAAGTGGCCGACACCGGGAATGATGAGTTTCTAGGGCGCCATGTGCATCAGCGCGTGTCAATCGGCCTGGTGCGCGGCTACAAGCGGTGTCGTACCTCTGCGGCGGGCACGTCGGCGGGCGACCTCACCCACTCGACGGTGTAGCCAACCTTCTCAATGGCATTGACGAGCGAGCGGACATTGCCGGCGACGTAGTCGAGGAGGTGGACGGTCGGCATGGCGTGCAGTGTACAGTGCGAATGGCAAGAGAGTGGAAGGGCCAGTCGGGCAGGACATCGATCACAGCCTTGACTCAAAGCTTTCCGCCTTGACTCTAAAACTTTCGCGCCGCAGACCCCGCGGCGGTCGCGGAGGGGCAACGACGGCTGCGCTAGCACTAGCGCGCGCATCGCAGCTTCAACTTTTTGATCCTCCACGTCCGCGGTGCTCGCAACCCTCCAGCTCCCAAATCACCCCCCCCCCCCCCCCCCCCCCCCCCCCCCCCCCCCCCCAACCACCCACAACCCCGCCAGGATGACGCGCAAACTCAAGCACCACGAGCAGAAGCTCCTGCGCAAGGTCGACTTCAACACCTACAAGTCCGACAACGACCACCGCGAGACCCTCGTAATGCGCCGCTACGCCATCCAAGGCCGCGACGACTACCGGAAGTACAACCAGCTCTGCGGCTCCCTGCGCCAGCTCGCACACCGCATCGCGAATCTCGACCCTGCCGATCCTTTCCGCCGGAAACAGGAAGACTTGCTGCTCGAGAAGCTGTTCGACATGGGCGTTTTGGGCACGGGAGGAGGCGGGCGCGGCAAGCTGAGCGACGTCGAGCACAAGGTTACGGTCAGCGCGTTTGCGAGGAGGAGGCTGCCGGTGGTCATGACGAGGTTGAGGATGAGCGAGCATCTGACGAGTGCGATCAAGATGATTGAGCAGGGGCACGTCCGGGTTGGGACTACCGTCATCACGGATCCGGCGTACTTGGTGACAAGGTGAGTGTTTCTCCCGTGGCGAGGGGTGGGTGTACAGTGGCTGATCATTCGCAGGAACATGGAGGACTTTGTCACTTGGGTCGACTCGTCCAAGATCAAGCGCAACATCATGAAGTACCGCGACAAGCTGGACGACTTCGAGCTCGAGGCTTTGTAAAGCATGGAGCTGATACGCGCACATTGCATCACACGGCGTTCACGGGCTCCACAGCATCAAGAGGCGTTTGGTCAAAAGTTTCAAGATATCCAATCCAACATCTCTCCACCTCATCGCCCTCTCTTCCACAACCCTCCTCATGTATTTTTATTCCCGCCACAGCCTCACCCCCTCTCTCGGGAGCTTCGGGCAGTGCGCCGTCCGGAGTAGCCTCGACGAGAGTGACTCTTGTTATCCCGTCCCGGATGTTGGCTGGTGCGGCATCGAGGAATATCATGCAGGTCTGCAGCGCCGTGTGAGGACACGCCTGTGGACCGAGTTGGATCGTGTTGCATCGATAGTCCAGCCGGGTGTCTCAGAGTGCATGTGTCGCCAGGCGAATGCTGGTTGGTTGGCGCGCACGCTCCTCTTGTCTGGTGGGCCTAGGTTGCACTCGTAGTGGTAGGGTTTGAACTTCGATCCTTCGGCGTGTATCAGAAGGGGTTCGTCGTACGTGAGTATGCAGGCGCAGATTGAGTAGCGTGTTGCTCGCATTGAGCGCGGCGTTCGCTTCTGAGCGAGGGATGCGTAGTGGTACGGTGCGCACAACAAGTGTGGTGGCCATGTCAGGTAAGTTTGCTGTTGTGTCAATGTGGATGGTCATTTCGTGACGTGGTCGAGTCAAGAACGCAAACACGTGGTAAGCCTTCACCTTTCGAGATTCGAAGTTTGGAACCGTGGATTTGTGCATCGTCGCTACCATTCAAAACACCGTCGCTTCCGAGTCGACCTTGGTAGCAGAGTACCTTGGATACCTCCAGGCTACCATATCTCTCCGCACCGCTTACGCAGCAGCAACCTCAAACCCCTGCCACCTACCGAGTCTCTCACGACACTCCTTCTCATACATGTGAATGCCTAGAATGTACGACTGGTTCTCTGCTTTCTTGCCCGGGATATTGGAGGTGTTCCACCAGCTGTTCGTGTACGGGAAAAGTGTATGTTCGACCATCGTGTTCATGTTCTTCTTCCACTCATCTTCGGCCTCTTTAGTTGCTTCGATGCTCGCCTTGCCTTCTCTTCGCAACGAGGCGATGGTCTCGACGATGAGGTCGGATTGGCATTCTACCTCACATTAGCGACTACCTGCGGGCCACACTACCGCCGTAGCAACGGAGGAAGGACTCACCGATGATTGTCGGCCCATTGGAAAACGCAGTAGGCGCCTGCGGAGAGTACACCATAAAAGCATTCGGGAACCCATTCATCACGATACCCATATACGTCCTCACCCCTTCCTTCCACACATCTCTGATGTCCACACCGTCTTTGTTCGTCAGCCCCATGTTACACAGACTCCCTGTGAATGAATCGAATCCAGTCGCACACACAACCGCATCGAACTCCCTCTCGCCTTCCTCGCCTTCAAGGCGCAGACCCCGTTCCGTGAAGGCGGCAATGGGATGCGTGTTCAGATCGACGACTTCGACGTTCGACTGATTGAGCACGTCATAGTAATCGTGTTCGAGTGGTGTGCGTTTCGTGCCGAAGAAGTAGGGTGGCTCTTCGGGACACATGAGCGCCTGCTTCTTCGGATCCGTCAAGCGTTCTCTGACCTTTTTCTTCCAGAACTCGTATACGATTCTGTTAGCTCCCTTGTCAAACGCCACGTTGCTGTAGTTCAGCATCGTGAAGTGGAAGGCTCCACTCGCCCAGATCGTTTCGTAGTGTTTCTCGCGCTCGTCGGGGCTGACGTCTTGCACTCTCGTCTTCCCGTAGGGGCGCTCGATTGGAAAGCCTGCGAAACTCTCTCGTCCGGTCTTGAAGAGCGAGGGGTAGAAGGCTTTCCAGGCACGTTGTTCTTCTTCGGTCCAGGTACGCTGGCCCATAGGGAGGCAGTACGAGGGGCGACGGACGAAGTTAACGAGCTGAGAAGCCTGTTTACCGAGCTCTTGGACGATTTGGACGGCAGTTGCTCCAGCGCCGATCACCGCTACTTTCTTTCCCGTGAGATTCGAGTTCCTGGGCCAGTCGCAAGAGTGGTAGATGGGGCCTTTAAATGTCTGCTGAGCCTCCCAGGATGGCAAGTGCGGTTTGTGGAGGAGACCGGTTGCCATGATCAGGAACTGCGCTTTGGCTTTCGCTCCGTTCTCGGTTGTGACGGTCCACTGTGAGGCCTCTTTGTCCCAGGTACAGTTGTTCACTTTCGAATTGAATGATACATCTTTCCGCAGGTTGAGCGTTCGGTCGATATGTGTAAAGTAGTCGCGCAGCTCTATATGATCGGGAAAACGTCGCGAGAAGCTCCAGGTCTTGTATACTTCCGGGATGTTGAGCTGGTAGAAGGGCGTCTCCGAGTCAACGCGTGCGCCTGGATACCTTCGAAGTTGTTAGCACTTTACCGTAAACCAGCATTCTATATTCACCTACCTGTTCCAGTGCCACACACCACCAAAGCCAGAAGCTACTCTGGTGAGTAAGGAAGTTCATGGGTAGGAGGGGTCAACAAACCAGACTCAAAGATATGGGCTTTCAGTCCCTCCTTCCTCAAGCGATGCAACGTGCTGATCCCAGAGAATCCTGCTCCTACAACTATAACATCGTACTGTTGGAGCTCATCATTTTTTGACGTTCCGTTCGTTTGGTTGGATGCGGGCATGTTGTCAGTGGGTATAGGTGTATTATACTGGTTTCAGCCTCACAGTCAGATCGATGTGTAGAGCTGGGTCAGAGAAACACTTATGTACCTCTGGCGCAAATGCACCCACGAGTAGCTCCAGGCGATTCATGAGTAGTATGGAGTGGCGCTCGACTCTCACAGTGCCGAGCACAGCTAGGCGTGGTAGTCGGGAAGGTGATCATAAGTGGTCCTCTGTTTCTCTACAGCCTTGAAGTATATCGTGTGACATTGGCCTTGATGTCCCGAGAGGGTGATATCCGGCTGCTCCCTAACAAAGCGAGTGGTTGAACGTCGTAGCTGGACTTCCGCTAGAAGCTTGAGGAGCAATCGGACATCGTTCCGCCATCTTGAAGATGACCTCATTCATCGGTCGAGGAAGAGCTGATCGCCACAAGCGTGCATCCTTTTACTTGGTTCATCGTTGTTTCAAAACTTGGGAGGCCCAGATCCTTCGTCGGTTGTGGTGAGGGGGAAGTATGCGGGGTCTTGTGTGTAGTGGCTTGACATTGCATACGGCCAATACGGAAGGTAGATATGCACATCGTTGGCAGCTGGCAGCCCAGTCAACAGGTCGTCGGTACGAGACAGTACTTAGTAAATATGAAGGCTCAGGAGCTACGAGGTAAGTTTGCGATGAGATGCTCAGGCCCAGTCAAATAACCTTAGCAACCGAACATCACAGTCTTGGGTGTCTCCACGACCAGTTGCTTGAGCACAGCAAGCATTGGATGGTATCTGTTTCGATTCCCTGTCATATCCTGGAAAATGCCTATTCGCTAATGTTGACGCCAGTTACAACGCCTGGCAGTGCCACTATGCCTTCCTGTACTCCCAACCAAAAATATGCAATGTATATGTTCTGGGACCTGACACGCCATGGAAGATCGTGGAGGCCCTCAGGGTACTGACGGAGCGCAGACACGCCCAGGATTGGTATCGACTCGGCACGCGGCTGTTACGTCTTGGACGAGGGACAGCATCCACCTATGTGAAAGTACTGGGTGGAAAGCTCAAGTGAGAGATACAATAAATTCCCAGTTGCCTGTTGAAAGTTAGTACAGTGTTCTGGAGGCCTTCAAAACATCGACAGTAACTCCAGAACAGCTCATACAGCTGCTTGGAGGTAATCACGTTGCTGTATTGCAGCGTTTCACGTACCTTGCTTGAGGTTGTCGGCTGTATCATTCAGTAGGATGATCCGCCTCTTCGTGCAATAGCTGGTCTTGTCCATCATTTCAACCTTCAAACCCTGGAGCTGGTCGATGGGCTTTTCAAACATCTCACTGAGGTTTTCAACGGCCATCTCAAGATCCTTCTGGTTGTCTTCAAAGATCTCTGTCAAGTTGTTTCGCGCCAGGTAATAAGCGAACGCGTACGTCCACTTAAGAACCTGTCGACACTGCTGCAGCGCCTGTGACGCTTGATCGAGAAACTGAACCTCAATCCACGACATGCCCGTCGAGTTCTGGAGTTGCTGCATCTTCTTCTCCGTCTTCAAGTAGATGTCCTTGTCGAGCTTCGCAGACTGTTCGTGGTTTGCGTATCGGTTGTAGTAGTGCAGGTATCGCTCGAGCGACTGCCTACTCTTAGCTTGAGCGTCCCTAGCATCCGAGCCGCTCTTCTCCTCGAAGCGGTTGCAGTTGTACCAGCTGGTTCCGTGTTCCGACCACACACCCATACACATCCAGCAGAACTCGTGTCGGCACTTCCGGCATGTCATGTGGTTACAGCCTCCGTTCTTTTCTATAGTCGAGACGCATTTTGGGCATTCCTTCGTGTTCGCTGATATCCAATTCGCGGTCTCGCTGTCGTCCTCGCACTTCTTTAGCCACTTCTTGACTAATGAGCATGGCGCTGGCTGGTGATCGGCAAGAGTGCACCCGAAGCAGAACAGGTGTCCGCAGTCGCAGTGAACGGTCGGCACAATCTTATTGAGGTCCTTGCTCTTGACACCACACTGCACAGCATATTTGCAGTCGGGCGCGGGACACCACTTGAGATTCTCTTTGTCGTCGACGTACGTTCGTGTGAGAAGCGTGTGGTATCTGTGAACATTAGTGTGTGACTTGGACCCAGTCAATCCTGTATGACGTACCTGTCATGGAGGTCTTCTGTGACCAAGAGGTCTAGTGATTTCGAGTCGACAATGCGGGTACAGCCTTCGCCTGGGCATCTTATCCTGGCAGCCTCCCCCTCGTCCTGGATCTTGGTTGCAAGGTACTGCCTGTAGCAGTCCACGCAGAACCGGTGCCCGCACTTCATCGCAAACGTGTCCATGTCTGGGCTGTCGTCGCAGCAGATATCACAGCAGAAGCCCTTGATCTTCTGCAGCTTCGGCGGGTTGGTCTGAGCATCTTGTCCAAGTCCTGCGCTCTCCAATACCTCCTGTTCCTTATCCATGTACTGCTCGATCAGGCGTTCCTTGTTCCAGCGCATGTATCGAAGGAGTATAGCGGAGGCCTCCGGTGGTTGGTTCAGTATACTCGAGAGCTCGTCGATTTTCTCCTGCTGCTGTGCTTGGATCTGTGCGGGGTCAAAGACCTTGAAGTCGACCTCATGAGCCTGTTTCGTAGGCTTGATGTCCTTGTCCTGCGTCTCGAATCCCACGTCGTCCTGGTCCATATCGAAGTCGGAGTCTACAGCCGTTTGTTAGCACAGAACCCCGCCTTGAGTTGAGCAAGCACATACCGTCTTCGATGCCCATGTCGCTATCCTGATCTTCAAAGTCCTCTCCGCTCATGGAGCTGTTGAAATCGTCATCGGAGTCCATATTTCCGGAGGCCTCTGTGACAGGCGTAGCTGGGAGGTTGTCGATGGTGGGTAATTCTGGGGACTTTTGCGTCTTTTTGCGAGGCTCGTCGGAAGGGCTGAGAGTGATCTCTGCCTCAGAAGCCTTCCGCTTGTGGACGGTGGGCGGCGTCGTGGTGTAGTTTGAGCCTGTTCCGCCTGATGACGGAACCAGGCTACCGGACTATGAGTGGTGGGCGACGATAAGCGCTCGTAGGTGTGCACGAAGTGGCGTTATGGAGGTAGTCAGGGTACTTAAAAGGGATCACAATCTCCAAATATTGGTCAGCGGTTTGCACAGTCACAAGATTCAGTGGATGGTTCGAGAGTTGCGCAGTTGGGTGGGTAGATGCGGGCACCCTGACGCGGTCGGGCACAGACACCGAATTCGGAAGCGGCGAGGGCGGCGGTGAATTAGTTCGCTGCAGTTGCCTTGCAAAGCATCAAAGTCACTGTGGCGGCCTGCAGGCTTCACTTCACAGCGCAACTATTTAAGTGCACGCCGTTGCTGCCTTTTAAGTGCAATCGACAAGATTTCCTGGTGCCTGCATGGTGTCTTGAATGCCTCCAGGGCGCCCCTGGTGCAACAGGTGTCGCATGCTCAACTTCACATGCACGTACCCGTTTGAGCTAAACTTTGACAAAACCACATCTCTTGTTGCTGGCAAAGAAACAAAAACAATATTAGAGCAGTGAAATGCTCCTGAGTATGTTGAAGATGTTAAATGTTAAATGTTGTATTTGAATGCAAGACAACCTCTACTCGGAATCCTCGTCCTCTTCACTGTCCTCCTCACTCTCACTCTCACTCTCCTGCTGCAGGAAGTCGATCAAAGACTTTGTCTTCTCCCTGACCCTCTTCATGTCATCGTTTTCGCTGCTCTTGTTATCCTCCCACCATTGAATTATACCTTCCTCCTCAATAGAGTCCAGCTCGACCAACTTCGTCGCTGCGCTAAGAAGAATAGCATCGCCGCTCTCCTTATGGCTCAAATCGGCCTGCAGTAATAGCATAAAGTCAACCTGATCAGCCTTGTCTGACTGGCTCTTGTCAAATATAGCACGATCGATGAGCTCCTGGTACTGCCCGAAGATCTGGGCGACAGCACCCTTAATGGCCTCGCCGGAGTTGATGAGCTGGTGGATGCGCTTGACGAATGCGGACACAACGGCGCGTCGAACCTGATGATCTGAGGCGTTCGTACTCATGCGGAGAGCTGTGAGCTCGAGCTGAATGTTGGCAGATTCGTGACCCTCGACGAGTGATTCGTGTATGCTGTGTGATGCATCATGATCAAAGTTTGCGGCATGCTGGCTGTCTTGAGAGCCAACGGAAAGGAAACTGCCTGATGTTGATCGATCGTGCCGTATCTCGTAGTCATCTGCTTCTGAGTCTGAGTTGAGTGTCGATATCGATTCCTGGGAGAAGTTCGCAAGGTTATACACTGTGTCTGTTAGCCGCTGAGACGTGGGTCTGCTGCAACGAGACGTACTTGGACCTGAGGAGATGAGGCTGTCGACGATCTCGTCCTCATCTTCCTCATCCGAATCGTGAAACTCAAAGCCGTCTCCTCCCTTGCCGACCACCTCGAGGTCCGGGTCACCCCTAACAAGCTCCTCGTTGCTTTCCCTTCTCCGCTTGGCACGTGTGATCCTGTGCTCTCCGCGAATTGTCTTGCCTTCACCGATAGCCACCCCATATGAAATGAGTGCCCCTTCCTCGATCGTGCATTTCCGCCCAATAGAAGCCTCATTCGCAATGACTGACTTTTTGATGACACTTCCATCGCCAACACTCGCGTAGTCCCACAGATATGCGCCATCGATCTTCACATTTCGGCCAATCTGGCAATGCCGTCCTATTATGCTATTGGTGATGACACTGCCGTCTCCAATGCTAGTACCCCGCCCGATAACTGTTTTCGAGTTGATTACGCAGTCGCGTGCCAGAATTACACCCTCCTCTTTGTAGATGTTGCCTTTCCCGAGCCTGTACGACTGTCCTTGTACAAGGTTGCTGTCAGGGCACAGTGGGTAAGCCCAGCGGGACACGATGTCTTTGCTGACGGAATCGTATGCGTGCAGATTTCGAACTCGGGCCGCGTAGTGATCAGAGATGATGTGCGTGTGGAAAGTCTTGCCGTTCAATTCGTAGTCCTTGAGTACGCCGTATAGGAAGCCTTTCCTTGGTGCTTGATAATCAAAGTTGTCGCTCCAAAGTGCAAGCACATCAGGTGTGCAGATATCAATGCCACAGTCAATAAGGTCTTGTCGAATTTCAATTTCTTGGTGGTCAGACAACAGTTCAGGGTCGATAGACAAGAAGTGCGTCTGGTCGCGATTTGGCATCTGCTCGAAGTGTAGGCACCTGTCCTTTGCTGGATCGATGACGAAGACCGGGCTTGTCCCTCGAGCCTTCGTCCTGTGTGTTGTCCCTGCCTCACGTAGAACCATAGTCATGATGGCATTCTTGTCCTTCACCCTCCTCGCCCTATGCGCAGCGAGGGCACCTTCCAGGGGCAAATTACTGACAACGTCTCCGTAGACCAGGAGGAAGTCGCCAACCAGTATGCTTCGGCTGTCCAGGTCACGCATCGCGTCACCTATTGAGTGTGACGTTGACTGGATGAGTTCCAGCTTCGAGAACGGGGAGGATTGCGCGGACCATTTCGAGCGGTTGATATAGTCCTCAACTTGCTGCCTGTGAGCACCGCAGTAAACGAAAATCTCCTCGACACCGGCATTGGCGAGGAATTCGAAGGTGTATTCGATGAGCGGGGTGTTTGCGAGGGGTAGTAGACACTGCCTGTTTGTCAGTACGACTTATGCTAGGTACAGTAAGCGAACTGACCCTGGGGCGTTCGAGTGTGAAGGGGCTGAAGCGTGTCTCGAAGGGATCTGCGAGAATCTATGCTTGTTAGCATTGTCGATGTGCGTACGCGTCGTGGCACATACCACGGCCTGGAGAGGTTCCTCGCGCTCCTCTTCGCCCGCCTTGCCCTTATCTTGGCCTTTCTTTCCTTTCGGCGGCATTTTCGATTATGTGGGTTATCTTGTGAAAACCGTGAAGGAATGCGTCGTTGTAGCGTGGGCAAAAAGTTGGCGGAGTCACGCCCCGCGGTGTCACTCTCTTATCGATAGCCAAAAAGCTTCACGTCCTGCTCGAATTCAAACCACCAAGCCCGCGGACCTGACGCTGACTCATATCGCACAAGGCTCGCATAAAACGCCAGGAACAAGACCTTGACCGATGTGTTTAGCGCTTTGTGGGGTTCATGTTGCGCTGCGCCTTCCCGCAGTTCGAGGCGCGTCTGTGCCCATGTTTCCACGAGGGCGGGCGTGAAAGATCTAGAACGCTGCCTTCCGATGCTTATTGCAACGACAATTCTCGACTGCGCGTCGTGATCCCTGTCAACCTCAAATCTGTTGTGAACATGCTGTACAATGTCGGGAAACGTAGATCTTGACAAAGGGTCACCCATGATTAATCGCTTGCTCTATAGGTCACAGACAACGGCCTGACTGACTTGAATCTTGAAAATGAACATACGGCAATTGAAGATTGGTATGGACGCAACACGGTACAACATTTGTAGGCGTGCTGTACCTGGCATGAATTGGGTTCTTGTGATTGAATGGCGTCCATGTTCTAGTGAAGAACTTGAGACTATCCCTAAGAAACCACATCTTGTCCTGAAGCCCATGCTTCCTAATGAACCCCCTATAATTACACCTGGGCTGCGAATCGGACGTTGCCCAGTCCCTTAACTCCCGTCGAACCAAAAAGCAAAAGTGTCCCTCAGTTCGCGAAGACCCTTCCAAACGTCTGAGCGGTTGAAATACATTTCAACTCATAGAGCGTTCGGGAGCGGATGTCTTTCTTTGCCATCCTTTCGTATTACACTTTGAATGACTACCCGCCCGCCAGGGAGCGCTTCGCACGCGGGGCGGTGAGACATTGTAAAGAACGGAGATACCAGCTACGAGTGCTATACATATTTGCTCATCCGTTAGACTCATCGCGGCCTCGACTGCATAGGGTTAATCTGGCCTGGCATCTGTGGTGGAAACATTTGCTGTCGCTTTGCTGGATTGTTCATATCATCTCCTCCGGAGATGTCGGATATTTGTCTTCGATGGCCAGCTGGAGGAAGCTGTTGCTGTTGTTGTCTCGCCTGCATTGGCACCTGAGGTGAGGTAGTGAAGCCCATGCCTGGTTGCATAGGGTTGACGCCATAAGCACCTGGGTGATGTGGTTGTTGAACCTGCAAGCCTTGGGCATACTCGTCGGTCATATTACTTCCAACTGGGGAAACGCCGGGCAGCTGGCTCGGCGAGTTCCAGTTGCTGACAGTCGCAGGCGACTTGGCCGGCGAGTCCTCTTCCTTCAAGATAAGCTGTCTAGCCACCTGAACCGGTTGAGGAGCTGGCATCGTATCGCCGTGCGGCGACGGCTTCTTCAGGTGAACCAGATGTTTCTCAAGCATGTGAAGCAAGCCCTCTTTCGTGAACGGCTTGGGCAAAACATCGTTCATGCCGTGCTGGAAGTACATGGAGATATCGTCACTTCTTATGTTCGATGTCATGGCAATGATCGGCGTGGTATCGAACTGTCGGATCAAATGGCAAGCCGAGACACCATCGAGGTTGGGCATGATGATATCCATGAGCACCAGGTCGTATTTGGATCCAGCGTTCATCTTGTTGACGGCTTCCAGTCCATCAAGCTACACAAGGTTAGCCACATGATCAGATTGTCTGTTGAAACCAGACTTACAGCGCTGTCGATGGCGCAATGGAAAGCATACAGGAACTTGCTTCCAATGCGACGGCACGTGGGGTCATCTTCAACCAGCAGAATCTGTGGTGGGCGGATCCATCCAGGGTCCGCGAACAGGCCCTTCTTTCTGACTTCTACGGGCTTGGCCTCGCCTGCGTCTGGCGCCTTAGGCGGCATTGCGTACGGGATGTTGTTAATGTGCTCGCTGTACATTGGATCGATTCCGTTGTTCTGACCAACGGGATAGACCAGGTTGTCGAGGTTTTCGAGACGCATGGAGCCCGTCGACGTGGCCGAGGGTGGACCACGACTAGTGGGTCTAGTACCGCCACGTAGCACGTCCGGAGGTGGTGTTGTCAACGTGCCGTTCATCCTCATGGTAATCTCATTCATGTGCTCCAGGTTCCTTGGGTTCAACATAACATCGGCGTTCGTCTCGCTCAGAAGCTTGGAGGCGTGCTGTAATGGTGAGGCTGGGTGATCGTCTTCATTAGCTTGTGCTGGAGGCTCAGCGTTGCCATTTTGTCTGGATGCACCATTGAACAGCAGCTTGCTGTTTCTGCGCTGCTGAGAATCCACACCATGCAAGAACGTCATCACGTTCTGCATGACGTGCTCATGGTTGACAACAGTCTTTTGAAGGCCGATGACTTCCTGCAACAGCATCGAGTGATGGATACTGAGCTCGTTGTAACGTTGCTCCAGGGTGTGCAATTGTGCCTGTGTTGCCATCAATTGTCCGCTGACCATGTCCATCTGCTGCGACGGCATGCCGAGGTCATCAACGTTCGCCTGGTTGGGCTTGCGCGGCGCGGGGGCTTTTCTTCGGATGTTGTCGAGCGCGTCTTTGTTGTTCATCTTGAAGTCAGGGTGCTTGAACTCCCATGCCTGCATATCGTTAGCTTAGGGAACTGTCAAAACCTATCCAGGGTACACTAACGCCAGGGCCATACTGCGATTGGCCGTTCTCCTCGTTGTTGTGTCGCACTTTGTGAAAGTCGTATTTGTTCAGCTGACGGACGAAACTGGCGAAGTTGCTGTGCTTGAAATGCTTGGGAAGAATGTGTTTCGTAAACTTCTCATTCTGCGCGACTGTTAGCAATTTTTCTCGAGTCCGTCGAGTCGAAAGGACATACTTCAAGCACAACGAAACTATCGCCGTCATTTCCCCATCTAACAACACTCTCATCGCTGGGATTCTCCAGCATCCTTGCGCGTGTGTTAGTTTCCATCGGTCGCGCTCATCTGTGTCAACGTACTTGTACAGCTTACGAACCTGCAATATCAATTAGCATATGGCACAATGAACCTTTGCGATCGCAAACGTACGAAGTCGCTGGAGTTGCTCGAGCCGGAGCCTCCGGCAGAATTGGAATCCATGATGGGTGACAATGCGCGCAAAGCGTTCCTCTCTAGAAATATATATTGCTGGTAGGGAGGTCAATTCTCGAAGACTTTTTCCTCCTCTTGAAAAGCGCAAGTACACTTGCGCGTCGAGGCTTGGGGCGATCAACTCCCCAATGCCTCGTATCAACAGTCGGTAGAGAGACTCGAGGCGACCGCGATGATGTGGGCGGCGCGAGGCTCACGTTGGGTATAGGAATATCTCGAAAGCCGGGGGGTGTGAGACGGGCGTTCTGATGTCGTAATGCCGCAGCATGGGCGAGCCTGCAGTTAGGCGATGGGGAACAGAAGGTCGATGGGGGATCTGGGCCTTTGAGTGTAAAAGACTTGACAGGCAGGGCTCGTGGCATCTCAGAGCGGGCTCTTTGACACTAGGAAAAGCCCTAAAGCAGGTTAACCGTGCCAAACAGGAATGCGCGCCCCAGTGCCGCTAAGTGCGCCGAGAGCAGTATTGACCAGGATGCTTTCGTGGGATCTGAAGGCTTTGGGGATGGAACACCAACATTGGAGACTGACCAGCAAGGAAGATGAAAGGAACAGACAATCACGACATATAGATCTCTTATATGCCTCACTGCACAATCATGCTGGTAGACTCTATCGATGTACCATTCTTACTGTCTGGATATCTGTGATGGCGACCCGAGGTTTGCGAAGCACTGTACCATGGATGCGCGAAGCCGCGCTTGGCTTGGGCTATGACGATTCAGCGAACGCCGCTGCGCGACGATCTGCATCAAAAAGCAATGCTTGGATTCTGCCGCTAGAAGGCAGCCTGCGTCGAGCTGTACACAGAGAAGGCCTGCAACATACTCTTGTAAGGCTCGCTTGATCCGCGGCGTCGTCGCAATCTAGTCGCACGCCTCTAAACTGCTGTGCAGTTGGGAGAGGCAGGAGCAGCCTGCGTTGGGAGCCCTTGCCTATGGAGAGCTTGGGCTAATTGGGACCCAGCACTAAAAAGATGTGGCTGGCTCAGCTCCGAGGGTTTTCGGCCAATCCCACCTTGGACAGGCTGCGACCTGCCACCAACGACATCGACACTTTGTACTGGTACCAACCCTCAGTAACCAAGCTGCTCATCTGAGACATCATGTTCGCCGCTCGTCAACTATCCCTAGCGCGCCCTGTTGCAGGCTGCCGCCTTTTCCATGCATCTGCTCCTACCCTCGTTAAAGTAGGAGACAAGCTTCCCAATGTCGAGCTTATGGAAAACTCGCCTGGCAACAAGGTCAACATCGCCGAAGAGCTGAAGAGTGGTAAAGGTCTCATCATTGGTACGCCACTCAGATCGTTCCCAGGGTTATAGCATCATCAATATCTTGGACTAATCGAATATTGTCTACAGGAGTTCCAGCGGCTTACTCACCGGCTTGCTCTGAGAACCATATCCCTGGATACATCAACTCTGCCAAACTCAAAGATGCTGGAAAGGTCTTCGTTGTTTCTGTCAACGACAGCTTTGTGTAAGTGTGCTCGAGCAACTGCTTGGTTCGTGCAATCGGACTCACTACTCCCTCAACTGTTGAGACTGTCTCAGGTGGAAGTGCCGCCCGTTGTCCGCAGTTTGATGCAAACGTGATCTGCACATGCAGCATGAGACCTCACCGTGGCTCCTGTTGCGTAACTATACTATCACATGTCTCATCAGCCGTGTTACCGTCGCCTCACACGCTAGACAATGAGATTTTCTTACTGACTTCACATAGCATGAAAGCATGGGGCAAGACGTTGGACCCAACAGGCTCAAGCGGTGTAAGTTACCTTGACATTTTTTCAGCTTCCTACCACAGTGGACTTACATCTGCAGATTCGCTTCCTCGCCGACCCCAGCTTAGCCTTCACTAAAGGCCTTGATCTTTCCTTCGACGGTGCCTCCGTCTTTGGCGGCGATCGCTCCAAGCGTTACGCTCTTGTCATCGAGGATGGCGCTGTGAAGGAGGCGCATGTCGAGTCAGACAACACTGGGTTGAATGGTATGTCTGACCCTCCCTTCCCAGAGTCTCCACTGACCAGAGATCAGTCTCTGCCGCAGACAAGGTCTTGTGATCATTCCCTGACCCCGCCTGGTTATCATCTCGCTTTCTCTCAATGAGCTTCGGATGCGTCGGCGCAGGTACCAGTAATTTCAAGATATAACACAACCGCGACTAGCCGAGGTACGATAAAACATTCGTCGAAGATAAATCTTATCGAACAACATGGAACTGAGAGGCTTACAATACTGCTCGAACGGCTGCGCTTAGTTGCTCTCTGCCAAAAATGACACTGTTTTGCTCTTAGCAACAGCCTCCATGGTGACTTCGAAGCACATTCAACCCTCAAGTTATCGAAATTTTCCTACTCAGGTTGGTCAATACTGTTATCTGTGTGAAATATGCAGCTGCAGGGTCAGCGTGATCCGAAAAGTCGTAACCAAACTGACGTCCGCACATCAGTCCCTTTATACCACGGAAACCCTTTCAGTGGAAGGTTTCATGTTTCCTGATTGCATATTACACTGGCACAACCCACAAAATACGTGACATGAGTCAAAGGACTGGGGGTCTCTTTATGAACATGGAAAATTTTTCAGCTACGATTGTGCGACACATTCTCACATTTGGTTTGACTGAAGGTGTCGCAAAGGCTCAGGATATGTCGCAGTATCGCCGATCATACTCAGCCCGAAAGCACTACGTGAACAGCATATTACAACTACGAGGGAATCCGTTCGAGACCCCGTAAGTTCACCAGATCTTTTCAAAGTACATCTAACTCTACCATCAAGCATTGTGCCCTGCAATATGGATTTGTTTCAAGTGTCACCAAGGGGGACGCAGTGACTGATACGCAAGCAGCGTAGTGAGGCTTTTTCTCAAGTAAGGTGCGTGTTCAATGTAAGAACATGAAATTCGATTGACTAACAGTGAACACAACAGCTCCCTCTTTATTTGCTCACAAACGCACAACTTCCCAGGTCCCTCTTCTCAGCAGGGAGGTGCGGCGAAATGTCGAAGTCAAAGATATCCATCGGCAGACCCATAGTCGTACACGAGTTCGGAATATCCACGATGCCCGCAACATGACCCTGGACCGGAGCGCAAGACAGCAGGAGGTAGATCTGGTAGTCGTTGTAACCTGCGACCAACGTTAGCCTCCAAGACAGCACCAGCATAAAAGCACAGGGAAGGAGCGAAGGGATCAAACTCACCATACCGCCTCAGATATTCAATCACCCTCAGACTCGTCTGCCGATACGCCACCGTCGTATCGAGGTAATGCTGCTTGCCATGCTCGTCAACCGAGAATCCTTCGAAGTAGATGTACCTCCCCGGTCCGAACTGCGGCTCCACAGGTCCAGGGATGTAGATGGGGCTCTTCATATCCAACTGCTTGACGCCGCCCTTCAAGACGGAGAATTTGATCGTGATAACACCCGCCATCTCGATCGCGCCACAGAAACTGATTTCTCCATCACCCTGTGAGAAGTGAAGGTCTCCAACACTGAACTTCGCGCCCTTAACATGCACCGGCAAAAACACCTTGCTCCCCCTCGATAAATTCTTAATATCGCAATTCCCCCCATGTTCCGGCCGCCCAGGAATTGTCCTTGCACCTTCCCTCCCCACCTTCTCCTTTAGATCTTTACCAGCGGATCCCGCATGCACATTCTTAGGCTGCGGGGGCTCAGCGACCACGCGGGAGTGCGTGTGCGCACAGGCTTTGATCAGCTCGCCTTCGCGCTTGTTCCAGAGTGCGAGGATGTCGGCGGAGGGCGCGCAGCCAAGGATGCCGGGGTGGATGAGTCCGGCGAACCGGACGCCGGGAATATGCCGTGAGGAGCAGAATATGCCTTCAAAGTCCCAGATGGCTTTTGCGCTGGGGTGGGGTTAGTAAGGTGTGTCGTAGGTGGGACGAAGCCGCAGAAGAAGCTCGACTAGCGACACAAGATGGAGACACTGGGCATCCTGTCTTGATACCCAGCCGGTTGTGGAGCAGAAGGGACGGGACAAGATGACTTACGGTTCAGGATAAATCTCGTCCAAAAACCCTCCTCCATTATCCTTTGAGAACACTCCTGTAAAGCCCCACGGCTGCTCATCCAAGGGCTGAACATCCTGGATCTCCAACACCAGAACATCGCCCGGCTCCGCTGTCTCAATATCGAAAGGTCCGGTCAGGTAGTGGATCTTGGTGAGGTCGACATCGCGCATGTCATCTGCGCTGTCGTTGTTGCCAATCTGCCCGCCTGTCCAGTCTACGCATTCGATCTTGACGACTTCGTTGTTTTTGATGGTACCGACGGAGGGAACTGGACTGTGTAAGTAAGAGGATTGCAATGGTGAAGGGATTTTTACTGTCAGGGTGCCAGCGGTTCTAGGAAGTTGTCAGTATGTTGAAAAGACGAGACGCGAGATGGTGTTTTGAGACAGCTCAACTTAGAGTGTTGGAACCTTGAACGCTAGAATACCACATACATGGAGGACATCCTGTTCGGCTGCCGATCTGTTCAAATCGACCTTCGCGGCGTACCTGAGGCCTTCTTTACCCATCTTGAGTTTTCGAGAAGCTTGGCAGGCAAATTCTGGATTTGAGAGAGACCAATTGCTATAGTAAGAGGATAAGTTTAAAAACACGATCAGATGAAGCAGAGGGGTAATCACGGTTATAACAGCAACGGACGCAGGGTACATTGACTCCAAGCGATCAATTGCTGATTGCTATCTCATCCAGGTCCACCCCAGCTTTCTTCCGAGGAGACAAGCAGCCAGACCTGCGCCCAGCTCCTACAAGTACAAGGAGTTTGATAAGCTTGGTGATAGCCGATAGGGGGTGTTTACCGTTTTGGGAGAAGAGCTTGCCCCATAGTGGAGCCGGCGGGGTCAAGCCACGCCTTTCCAATTCCCATGCCACCATCATGCAGCTTCATGATTGGGCAGAGGATGCTGGCTCGTTTAGCGCGCTCTTTGTGTCCGGCAGCTTCCTCTTTGGTGAAGGACGACATGTTTAGCTGAACGTCTTTCGTGGTGTTTGGCGAACGTCCGACTTGGAACCGGGCTTGTGCATGCTAATGTTATAAGTGTCCATGTGCTGCCATGGCAATTCCAGGAACTCGTGCTTGTTCTTCCAGCGAAGCGAATCTTCCTTGAACTTCTCGGCCTCGTTCGGTGGTAGAGGTGGCTCAGTGATCTTGGTGATCAAGTATGCCGTCGATGCTTCGGCCAAGCCATAGATGAGGACACCAACAAGAGGGATCTTGACGAAGATGTAGAAGCCGAGTCCGAAGCCGAAAAGAACACCAGCGCGATCCTTGAACCATAGCTTCTTCTGCTCTTTGTTGTAGCGAACGCGCGCAAAGTACGGCTCGAGCTAGGAAGACAGATTAGTGCTGCTGATGAGTACGGAGAGGATATGACATACTAGTTCACGCATAAGCGTGCGGGAAGAGAAGTAGGCCTGTAAGAAGGACACCAGATACCTCCGCGGCAACAGGAGAGAGCCTGCGAAGATGGCAACTGCAGGCTGGGGTCCTACAGCCTTGTTGAAGGTATAGAAACTGGCAGCAGGCAGGACGAACTTTCCCACGTAAGGTACATATGATAACGCCAACACAGCGAGCGAGATGCCAGCCTTTCGGCCTTGTTTGACCGCCATCAAGACTACCGTGTCCTTTATAGATTTCTTCTTCTCGTTCTGGTCTCTCGGCGCGTGGGTTGGGTATTGGTCGAGGTTCTGGGCATACATGGCGCGAAGGTTTTGCGGATCTTCGGATTTGTGCTTCTGCACATAGGTGTGATCAACCCACTGAAGGGAGTCCATGAACCTGGTCCAGTCGTCAGTCTCATAAGACGTAACGCATTTCGAGCATTACTTACATTCGGTCTAAGGTAGGTGTGATGTAGCGCATCATGGTCATAAGAAAAAAGGGCACTTGGAGAACGGTGTGCTCAAGGAAGTGCAATCCGTCCACCACGCTCTCGTCCCAGGTGACATTGTTCATGTCCACGAACAGTGAGATGATCCATAGTAGCACCCGTACACCAACGATCTAGTGTAGCTTTGTCAGTAACATATCTGGTGAGCAGACCAAGCAAAAGTGATGAGAGCATATGTAGTCAAGGTCCTTCTTGACTTGGCGGAAGTAATGACCTCGAGTTTGTCTAGCCTTTCGATGGGCGAACTCTTAGCCATATGTGCGTCCATCTGGGTTCTCAAAACGCAGGGATACCGAGAAGGGGTAGACGTACAGGTATGGACACGAGAATTCGAATGGCGACTCCAGCAGCTACAGCAAGTGCTGCTTGACGGTAGTGGTCTGACGTGAATAGACCTGGGTTTTGAAGGGCACGGTTTACTGTGAGCACATGTCAATATTGCTAGCAAAACAACTGACTGTGAGCTTGTCGTACCTCCAACTAGTGTCAGTTGAGCGCCACGCAGGATGGCATTGGGGTCGAAGTTTGACATCTTTGCTAATGGGAGGCCTCAGTGAGTTGATGTTGCTGGTGATGACAGCAAACTCGTTCTGAAGGCACACAGCATGCGAACCGGTGGAGCAACGACCCAATGACGTACCCGCGCCTTCCATTCAGCCACGGTCCGCGCGCATACTAGACCTATAGGTCTGCATTTTGACTGTTGACATAGAAACGTCCAGCGCGTTGTTTGTAACCGTCTACATCTGCAAGGAGCTAACTCAACGGTGATCGCCTGTGTGGACCCCGTAATTTCTGTGATTGACATCTGAAGCGCTGTGGATCCCGTGAAACTTGTACCTCGCGCCAAGTGTTCGAAGAGCAAGGCACGCCAGATCTCAGCCTCCACCTAACGACTCAACAGCCAACACACGATAACACGACAGGACGACACGTACGACGACCGCAACGCCTTTTGTGCTCCGCAAACGGCACGTAGCACGATACGCCAGACTTCGAAATGCATGCATGAGCAACTACCATGTCCTCCCCACTAGCTCCCTCGAGAACTCCAGAACACGCGCCGCCCCCACTGAACAATGGACGCCGCTCCTTCACAGTGCCTGCTCGACTGAGGAGTAGTCCGGCATCGGCTTCAGCTTCAACAAACAGTGCAGATGGCATAGAAACGCTGGTCGTCTGCCCGCACTCAAAGATCGTTTCCTTTACAGCTACAGGCGCCTCAGCTGCCGGTGGTGAAGCCCACATTGCTTGGAGAACGCCCACTGAGCGCACCCTTGCCGTTGGTATGTCTTGTATGTCATGTCGAGCGTCAGGTTGTTTAACACGAGCACACAGGGGTCCTGCGCATATACCGCGTGACAGCATCCAATGTGTCTTTCCTTAACTCCGGCAACCTCCTGCACACCATCTTTCCTCGATCACAATGCTGGTGTGTAGACGGACAGTCAGTTTTCGTACTCAGGATAAGGCAAGACTCGTACTATCGCATGGAACTGCCGTTCGAGACGAATGAAGACAAGGCCAAGATCGAACAGTTCAAGTCAGTGCTAGGCCAGGTCCTGCAGTACGAAAAGACGCAATGTCCATTCACGCGAAGCTTCGAAGTTGAGCTACCTGAACGCCCGAAAACGCCACCGCGTAAACGTCCTACAAGGAGATCAACACAGAAAGCAAAGAAGTGGACCTTTGACAAGACATGGATGCCAGAGGACGGGCTGCGACCTTCTACACCTGTGCTAGAAGGCTCTGATTCGGCTAATACATCTTCGTACGAAGAGGACGACCGGTCCAGCATTCACACTGACACCAGCGACGTACCAGTTCCTGAAACACCAGGGACCGTCTTCGACAATACACCGCCCCCTAAAGTAGTACGAAGGCTGTCAGTAGCAGAACGTGCGCAACTTTTCCAAAGCCCACGATCAATCACAGCGCCGATAAGTACAGCAAGACACAGATCGGTGTCGTCAGCATCGTCAATGGGCTGCATCCCTGAGATGTCGAAAGAAGAAGAGAAGGAGAAGGAGAGGGATGTTAAGCCAGCAATTTTGGAACGTAAAACGTCCACGGACGTTGCTAGCCTCTTGTCGAGCGCAGACTCCTTCTACTCACTGAACACGGCTCGCCGCAGCCCCTCCCCACCTTTCCTGGATGCTGAAGCCGAGATTCTCAATCCATGGGCGGACACTCCACCAAGGCAAGACGCTACAAGGGGACGGACGAGACATCGTCGTGACATGTCAGAACTCACAGTGCGAGCTACATCCGCAGATCATGTTGATAAGTCTGCTGCTGTGACACCCGTTTTACCCCTCCTTCCGATTACAACACCATCGATCGACGTACGCCCCTCATCTGCACCTCACACCCCTCCACTTGTGAGCGATTCCGACGAAGATAGTCTTGGGCTCCCCTCACTGGATGTACCCACACCGCCGGACATGATTCGTATGAGGAAGCTCACAGGCGCCTCGCCGCGACGAGCATTTTCTCCAATGCCACAGCCGCAGAACTTGTGCTTCCCCACCAGGCACAAGCCTGCTCAAAAATTTACGACCGCTCTAGTCCGCAAGACTTGCGAGATTGTTCTTGGGCCACCACAACATCTTGTATCGCTCATGTTGCGCATAGCAGCAAGCATATCTAATGGCTTCGGCTTTTCTACTTACCGTGTTCGACGTACTGAGAACATACCTGGCTCGTGGGAGTCCAGTGGCGAGGAGGACGAATGGGAGGAAGACGATTTTGGCATTCCTCTCAGCAACTTGGGGGAGCCGGCGACACGCAGGACAGGGTACCCTGGTGAGCTGGACTGATCTTTACGCATGACTACTTGCATACTCTACGGACGATACCAGGCGTTTTGCATCTTTTCTATCAGCATTTACATGGTTCGGCGATATGACCCAGTTATGGTTCGACTGCATATGTATGATTTGGACGGTTACGGAAAGCTACATGATTGTAATATCACGATATACGTGAAAGATAGTTGGATTTCTGGCTTAGTATGAAGTAAGACTGATTGCGACCAGCTGGATGCTTTAGAGAATCGTGTGAAGATCATGTAAACGCAAACCTCACTTGTGACGATCTCTAAGGCCAGAACATAGTCGATCTCAGAGATGGAACTAACACCCAGCGTTTCGATCGCACGCCGTTCACACGTACATGCTCCTCCACCGCGGGCGCTTGAGCACGAGTCAACAGCGATGACGAACCATAACTCTAAAGCAAAGCTACAGCGAATATGACGAACATCGTCAAGCGAACCCTTGCCGTTTACCGCGTTCTCACGATGTTCGTTGGGTATTTCTCTGCAGATGCCGGACGTGCGTATAGTTTCGGGAACGAACCGTCGGCTCCAACCCGGTGGGCGGTCTGCAGCTGGCTTTCTGTACACCACCACGAACGCTCACTCATCTTCAGCCATAAGCCCCTCAACACCAGATGATGATCATGCGTCGCCGAAACCCGCCAGTTCGTTCATGTGAACGAATCTCGTTGATGTTATTCTCCATCTTGACCCAGACCCTGATGAGTGGCGCATGACGCAGGGCAGCGCATCCTAGCATGATGCCAGCCACCGCCAGACTTACCACACTTTTCGTCCCAGCCAGCTTTTTTACTGACAACCAACTTGATCATGGCGCCCAATGAGACCCGCATCTCCACTTGAGACTTCCAGCAGCTGCACGGTGAGCAAACAGGTCCACTGACCTGTTTGCATGTTGGAAGTTGCAGTTGTGGGTGGCAGGCGATGGCCCGCCTTTGTTTAATAGCCCACGATGCGCCCACGCGCGGAGGTTTGTCTGAGCTTTCTTTGACATTGTTTTACACGCTACACAATCAACACGAGTATATGATCGCCTGCTAGTGCTACATTCCGGATTCCAAAAAGAGCATAGGAATTGGGGGCACTATAGATATGAGCATGGGTATCAGAACTGTGTGTCGGGCACCGACAAATTACTACTACGACAAACCACTCCCAGCGTTGCCATATGGTGATGCCTTCGACATCGATACAGAGCTTGTACCTAAGCCGCTCTTCAGCAGACCGACAATACTGCCTCCAATACGCGCAGCTTACGCAGTCGTGGAACCACAATCGCCGATCTACATACCCTCCATCTCCTCAGCAAGCATACCGCAGGCGCCCTCTCTTCGGTCATCACGACGCAGCATTCCCTCGTCGATCTCGTCAATGTCGACACCCTTGAGCTCGGCGCCAACGTCACCGTACTCCCAAAGGCGCTCGCTCGAGCTAACGTGCACCTCCCCTTCGACTGTATGGTACACTCCCGTTTCTACGCCAGAGCCTCAACCACGACGACCATTGAGGAGGAAAGTGAGCCCTACTCATGAGACGCTGCGAAGCTTGAGAGCGAAAGAGTCAGATGCGTGTTTACAAAGGGTGTACGATGAGCAAGTGTCTGCTTATATAAGCGGAGCGCTGTTTCCTAGAGAGAGGATGAAACCCGGGCTCGAGGTTTTAAGAGAAGACTAATGTTGAAGTCGTCTGACCAATACGTACGTGACAACATAGTGCTTCACAAAAGCGACTCTGCTAATGCCGTACAGTTCTTATGACTTATGACCGAAGACTTTCCTTTGACTGAGCCTAGGAGGCAAATGCACATGTACGACGGCGTTAATACTCATCTTTCGACACGATACCATATACTTAGGGTAGAGTTCTAGTCCCATTGGACCGGGGGATATTTCTTCTTCTGTCAAACCCCCTTTCCTATCATCGCTGTACCGTTAGATTAATATATCACTGTACCTGTCTTTTCATCAGGCTACATGTTCGAAAGGCTTTCGGATGCAAGTTTCTCGAAAGGAGGCCTTTCAATCTATCAATTATTCATACCGTATTGCTCCGCTATCTCACACATCGACATGGTATTGAACGCGGTTACCCTTCCAGTATGTAGTACTTATGCCCCGCTAATCCATCACTCGTGACCATGCTGGAACATAATCACCAAGCGTAAAGAATGTAGATTCGTTGCATTTCGAGACAGCTGTCGCGTCTTCCTGTTTCTCTCCTGACACATTGCCGCGTATGCATCTTTTACAGTCTGTTGGCCGGTCAACGATTAGACTAGCACGACCCGCTCTGTACCGATCTCCGACCACTGGTATGAATTGCAGAAGGTGCAGGAAAGCTTGCTCTTTTTCTTCAAGGTCATGTGATAGGAGGACCTAGCGCGAGATAGATCACACAAGAATCTTCACGCCTGTTCAGCAGAATGATGTACAATTCAAATACCACAGTCAGCTATCGACACGAAAGCGGGCGCCAGCCACTTTTAGACTGTGAACGCTGGGGCCAAGTCAAGCTAAGCTGTGGCTTTGAAGCAGAGACGTCGAGAAAGAATGTATGGGAAAAGTCTAGCCTCGAGCTGGAGCTGTTTCAATGTCCGTGTTGCTCTTATCGCGAACGGCAGGATGCCCAATGTCTATCCTTCTCAACAACTCTTTTCACACTCTGGGAAGGTTTGCTTGATGAAATCTCGAGGTGAAGCAGCAAGGACCGCCTTGACCGCCAGTATCGTGTCACAGCGTAGCTTGGTGCAATTCGATTCCGGCATTAGGGTCAGTTTAAATTGAATTTGCAACCACACCCTCAGCCTGGCGCGGATCTTACGCCGTCCTCTAGGAAGGGAAGTCTTCCAGGTTGATGTCCCAGGTTCCTGCAGCCACATCCGCTAGTAACCACGAGTCTTGGCTGGGCCCTTTTGCATCAATGCCCGTAGCACCCGCGTGATGAGCTGGAGCTCGCTTATATGCTTGGAAGGAATGCCAGTGAGGCAGTCACACGGCTGTGAAGACGTCACGCTCGTCTGAGGATTCTTCAACATCTGTGGGGGCACTCAGGGAAGCAATCTGGTGAACAGACGGCAACCCTTGATACAGCTGGCCGTCAACTGTCTCATAAGGCACAAGCTAGCGGCTGGTAGCAACAGTAGGCGGCGGACCGTAGGATCGGATCTGGAAGCATGTCAAAGGTGGATCCTTTGAATCCGGGTCCAGACAGGGATTGTTGGAGGTGGTCATAGCTGATGTGCGTGGAAACGACCGTGACAGACATGTTTGCCGGGTGTCTCCGCGGTTGATATGCCGGTGATGCTACTCTCTTCGCCCTTGTTGCAGTCTCCATGATGTTGGACGCTGAACTGTGAGAGTTGACCGTGATGTTGCCATTCAAGATGCTGAGCTGCGGTCTGCACACAGCCGAGGCGCCAGGGGATGGCGCTGCGCGCAAAGCCTGCGCAGCGCCGGACATCCCTCTCACCGCACGTTATCTCTTCCACCACAAATCCAATCTAAACGCAGCTGTGCGACCCAATGATTTGCAGTGTGTCCGATGGATTTCCAATCTAGCCAATATCCTTCCTCCTTTGCTGGGTTCTCCACCTCTGCCGCCCACCTTGGCCAAACTACGACACATTCCCCGCAGAATCAGTTCTTCAACTTGGATCCACAAGCTCGGTTCGCGCAATCAAACAACGCGTTTTCCTATGGCGGACTCCCCAATGGCGGCCAAGGCGCCTCGTTCCCTAACAGCATGCAGAGTGGCGCCATGATGCAGCCTGGAGCTGCCATGTCCCAGAGCCAGCTTCACCAAGCACGAGGTATGTCAGCACGCAATACGCAATGACGTCCTGTCACCGCGACGGGCGGTACGCGCCTGCCTTTTGTGACCCTGTGTCGCGGTCGCGCCTTCCCTGACATGCCCTGGCCTGACCTGAGTCGATCTGCTTATCAGCATGCTGACCCTCGTGGAGCAGCGCAACTGCAGCAGCAGCAGCAGCAGCAGCAGCAGCAGCAGCACAACCCGTATTCGAGCGCGCCCTACTCACAGACGCTGCCGTCACCCGCCCACCAGCAGTTCGCCCAGAACCGCCAGACCGCCTCGCCGGCCCTGAGTAACCAAGGCCAGCCGTATGCCACGCCTCAGCCCCAGCAGTCGCCCACCACTTTGCCGTCATCCAACGGCCAGCAGCAGCCCATGAACCTCAACCTCCCCTCGCAAGTCAAGAGCGAGCCTGCGCAGGCGCAGACACCGGTCAAGGCTGTGCCGCTGTCGCCTGTGTCGCCCGTCACGCCAGCGAAAGCCCACGAGCGCGTTTCGGTGCTTCTTGAGATCAACAGCATACTCATCAATGAGGCCACCACGCTCCAGACCCAAGGCAAGGGAGGCCAGATAGGCGCGCCCGAGGAGGGCAAACAACAGCCATCCAAAGAGTACATCGAGTGAGTTCTACACATGTCACATTCCATGCGCCTATGCTGACTCACCAGCTACGTTCGTCGCCTGCAAGCCAACCTCTCTTATCTCGCTCAAAATGCCGAGAAGGTACCCAAGCCAGGGCAACCCATCCAGCCCGGACCTGCGATCATGTCTGCACCGGCGATTCACGAAGAGCTAGGCAAGCTTTACATCAAGCTTCAAGGACTATTTCCAGGGTGGAAGGGCGGCCAACCTCCAGCAAGGCAATCTCCTGGCGGACCACAACGCATGAACTCGAACACATCACAACCGCCCAACAGCGCCGGCCTACAGCAGAATTGGGGCCAGAACCCCATGCAGATGCAACAGCAGCAGCAGCAGCAGCCAAAGATGGAACCTCTGCAGTGAACACGCTTCCCAGGCACACGAAAGCGTCAATGTATTACTACACTTCTTGTCGCGGCACACTTGCCATTTCATTCTCAAAGGCGGCGCATTGAAAACTACATTACAAAAAGAGGGTGGACGGGAGTTCATCAGTTGGCCATATCAACTTGACTTGTCAGGAGTACGGTGTTTAGCATACAAGGCAGTTCCAGGCTGCTTTCCGGTATTCATAGCAGCAGAGCATAGCGCGCTCGATATCTCTGTAAATTCAATCGAAATGTATGAATGTACTGTCAAATCAAACCCATTCCATCATGCCCATTATGCACGTCGTAACTCATGCAAACAGCCCGGGCTTCTTACTCAGTACCGCGTCCGACTAACCTCCCTCCGAACCTCCCTCTCATCCACATACCCCGTACTCCTCCTCGGCTCGCGAAACTCCAAATCGCTCCTCCTCACATCGCTCCTTCTGAAATCGCTCACCCTCCTCGTCCTACTAACACTCCGCCTGCTTGCTCGCGGCTCCTCATAATATTCAATCACCCTTGGTTGAGATCTTCTAGACAAATGTCAACATCAATATCCACATTCGGGATTGGGGGTTATTAGAGCAGGGGTTACGAACCGGTGGCTGTGATGCTCCACGTACCGTCCCTCATCGCTGTATGATGCTGAGCGCCGCCAGTCGCGCGGGAGACGCACTACGCCTGCTGGTGGGTGGGATGTGTAGTTTCCCCGGCGGGGAGGGGGATCCATGACGCCTGGGCCGCGTGTTTCGTAGGTTTTCATGATACACATTCTGATTGTTATTTTTCAATCGAAAGGTTGATATGGTTGGGTTGAAGCTCAAGGCTAGGGAGACGACGTTTATTGGATCGAGGGTATGGACTCGAGAAATGTCAAGATTAAGTTGATTGGATCCGTACTCTATTGAAGAGGTTTGAAGAGTACTGTGGAGGTAGTCAAGACGATCGGCGGAGGTACAATGCTTTTGTGCATGGTGTTGATGTGCAATACCCAAGGCTGGGGATTGGTAAGTTGGCGGGATGACGTATGCCCAGTATTATTGGTCAAGTTCAAGTTCAACTGGGGGGATCATGTCTGAGGAACTCGTGGAAATATTAACAAATTTCTGTTAGAGCTTTGAAGCTTGGATGTTCGTACTGGAACAGCCATCCGTGAACGTGGTTGTAGCCAAGAAAACGCGAGAGTAGATCTTTCGCTTGTTCAACGCTCCTTGCCTAAGGAGACATGCCAAACGCTCTACATATAATACAAAGCATCTTACGATGCTGGTGTTTTGGGGCCTTCAAAAACTGCCTTCCCACTCCTGATCGTTGCATACTTCACGGCGCCTACTGAACTGTCCTGGACCCCAGGTGCGGTTGTACCTGCGCCAATCTGCTTGATCTCCTCCTGGATCTTGCGGCCGACGGCATCTTGCACGGCGCCGGGCTGGCTCTCGGCGATCTCGTTGATATCCCTGAGTGTTAGAACATCACTGACACGCGAGCCTCGAGACTGGAGGAGCATTGTTGTTGGGCCCTCGAAGCGGAGGAATAACTGTGCACAGTTAGCAATATGCCTCTGTGATCGAGTGCAGACAACATACCCTGTCGCCCCAAATGGATCGCCGCATCCATGTCTTGAGGGTGTACCATGTTGTTGAGACTGCGCGCCATGTCGTTGTCTGGCTCATGATCCTGAAGAACTTGGCGTTCTGTACGAAAGACCCGAAACCAAGATCAGGGACCTGGAAGCGGAAGTTGGACGACTTGAAGCGGAAGGGCATCGGCGGTGTTGCGGATGTTGTGTACGCTACAACGTTGCTGCATCATGTGAGCTTCCAGACGACCAAATCATGGAGGCAAGACGGGACTTACGCTGGGTGCGCAACATAGCTCTCGCCAGCCTTCAGCTGCACCTGGTAGATCTGACCACTCCCTGCGAGCGCGAGCAGTCCACGTCCTGTGATGTACGTGTTCCCCCAATGCGCCAGACCTAGCTTCACGTTGTACTGCGGCTTCAGGCTCAGGGTGTGACCTGTCCATGCCAGCAGCGCCTGTCTCTGGCTGATGACCCAGTCTTGCCTGCCGTCGAGGTTGACTGTGACAATGCTAGATATGGGCGACTTGGTAGAGACCAGGGCCGTGACTGGTGTGGTGGAGGAAATCTTCTGGTAGAGGAAGGGAATGCCGACGGGCGCGCGCCTGAACGGCTCGAGGAAAGAAAGGGTCGATAATGTGTTCTCTGACTTGCCGTTCAGACCGATCAAGGTACCGCGGCGGGTGAAGAGGGTTTGCGAAGCGGAGAGGGAGACGGAGAGGAGGGAGAAGGGTGTGCCAATGACCTCGAAGTGAGCATCTAGTAGGGGTCAGTAATTGTATGGGCGAGATGGCATGTTCGACATGTACCAGGCGAGACTACTGGTGTTGCCGCAGCATCCATGTTCACCTGCTGGTCGAGGGCAGGCTCGGTAGACGAGTTCGTCGCGGAGATGTTGATGCATCTTCTTCGCGCGGTCGCAGCACCAGCGCGGTGCGCGACACTTCTCCAGGGCGAGGCAGCCGGGCGGAGCATGGCTGTGCCTGTCAATTGGCGTGCGTGCAGTCGTGCTGGACGTGTAGACCACCGGCTCGGAGCTTGGTTGCGGCCTGTGGCGCATAGGGCTGAAGACGAGGCTGCATCATCGAATCAAACATGGCAAACATGCGGGCTAGCGAGACTATCCGGTACTCAAGCACGCAAGCACGCCGAGGTATCCCACCATCAGTGAGCTCCCCCTGCAGGCCATTGGGGCTTCCTGCGGCTTTCATACTCATATCTGAAGCTCTGCGGCCCGAACATGTGAAGCTCGCCATGCTCATACCACCGCTTGCCCGCGCCGCCAGTCGGCCGTGTCTTCAACCTTCGAGCTTGGGCTTGCTCTTGCGCCCGCATCCACTATACCACTCCACCCGTGTCTTCACCTCCTCGCCTCTGCACAGAAAAGATGTTCACGGCCAGCGGCCTGCGCCAGGCTCGCAACAAGCCCTGCAAGACACCAAAGCCGCCAAACCTGCAACTGATCCCGCGAAAGCGAAAGCGAAGGTAGAGAAGTCGATGGATCCACTGCTTGGTGAAAGAAACTTGAGCAACAAGGAACAACGCAAGGCGGACTGGACCATCATAAAAGAGATGACCAAGTACCTTTGGCCCAAGGACAACTATGGGACAAGGTTCAGGGTTGGACTCAGTGTAGCATTGCTCTTGAGCGCAAAGCTGCTGAATGTGCAAGTGCCTTTCTACTTCAAGAGCATTGTGGATTCGATGAACATAGACTTTGCTGCTGTCGGAGGCACTGCGACTACCGTGGCAGGCTCCATGATTATGGCCTGTAAGCTACACCGAATAATACCACTTTCGTCCCACCGTAACCGAGACTAAAGCGAGTAGATGGTTTGACTAGAATTGGCGCGACCGTCTCCCAAGAACTTCGCAATGCTGTGTTCGCAAGTGTGGCACAGAAAGCTATCCGCAAGGTCGCATGCAGCGTGTACGAGCACCTGCTGAAGCTTGATCTGAACTTCCACTTAACCAGACAAACTGGAGGGTTGACAAGAGCCATTGACCGCGGTACAAAGGGTATCAGCTTCCTGCTGTCATCCATGGTCTTTCACATATTCCCTACAGCATTGGAGATATCGTTAGTGTGCGGCATCTTGGTGAGCAGTGGATCGTGTTGAACGTCGAGCATGCACTGACTGTGTCAAGACCTACCAATACGGCTGGCAATTTGCCCTTATTACAAGCACCACAATGGCGGCATACGCGGCATTCACCATTCTGACTACATCGTGGCGCACAAAATTCAGGAAGCAAGCGAATGCTGCGGACAACAAGGCGGCCACTGTCGCCGTCGACTCTTTGATCAACTACGAAGCCGTCAAGTACTTCAACAACGAGAAGTATGAAGTTGGCCGCTATAACGCCGCTCTCACAGCGTACGAGAAAGCCTCGATCAAAGTCGCCACCTCTCTTGCCTTCCTTAACTCCGGGCAGAACATCATCTTCTCGTCAGCCCTAACTGCTATGATGTACCTTGCCTGCAACGGCGTCGCAAAAGGAACCATGACCGTCGGCGACCTCGTCATGGTAAATCAACTCGTCTTCCAGCTCTCCGTCCCCCTAAACTTCCTCGGCTCCATGTACCGCGAGCTGCGCCAGTCACTCTTGGACATGGACACGCTCTTCAGCCTGCAAAAAACCAACGTCGCCGTAGTCGACAAGCCCGACGCCAAACCACTGCTTCTCACCAAGGGCGAAATCAGATTCGAAAACGTCTCCTTTGGGTACCGCGCCGACCGGCCTATACTCAAGAACCTGAACCTCACTATTCCCGCCGGGAAAAAGATTGCTGTCGTCGGTCCCTCCGGCTGCGGAAAGTCCACGATCTTGCGCTTGCTCTTCCGCTATTACGATGCGCAGGAGGGACGCATTCTAATCGACGGCCAGGACATCCGCGACGTGTCGCTCGAGAGCTTGCGCAAGGCGATTGGCGTTGTGCCGCAGGATACGCCGCTGTTCAACAACACTATTGGCCACAATATTAAATATGGCAACATGGAAGCAAACGAGGAGCAGATCATCCAAGCGGCAAAACGGGCGCATGTGCATGATACTATTAGTTCGTTTCCCGATGGATATGACACCATGGTCGGCGAACGCGGGATGATGATAAGCGGTGGTGAGAAACAGCGTCTCGCTGTATCTCGCCTCATATTGAAAGACCCCCCATTACTCTTCTTTGACGAAGCCGTACGTTCTTCCGTCCTTCCTCCCCACCAAAGGGCCTCCAATCCTCCCCTCTCAATCACTCCTGCTAATTGACGCTCGCCAGACATCCGCACTCGACACGCACACGGAGCAAGCGCTGCTCACGCACATCAATTCGCTGGTGCGCGAGAAGAAACGCACATCCGTCTTCATCGCGCACCGGCTGCGCACCATCTACGATTCCGACACCATCATTGTGCTCAAGGCCGGCGGGGTGGCGGAGCAGGGCACGCACCAGGAGCTTATTGATAGGGATGGGCTGTATAGTGAGTTGTGGAGTGCGCAGGAGACTATGTTTATGGAGAAGGAGGAGGATGGTGAGAAGAAAGAGGAGGGAACGAACCAGAAGTAGAGGGGTGCGGATAAATGGTAGATGAGTAAAGTAAATATGATATTTATCGTTGTCGTGCCTCGCACAATGCACTCGAGTGAAGAAGATCATTCGGTGACAGTTCACATGCAATGTTATCTATCAATCGTTGGGTGTAGCAAGTATTGTTGTTATTACTCTTCGCAGGTCGACTATCTATCGCACACGCCTCTAGCTAAGCAAAACATGGGGTATCTGGTGAAGAGATGGACCGGGTATATATAACAAACCAAATGGTTCAGAAAACAAAGAAGATCGCTACGCTGTATAGGGCGCGAAAGCAACGATGATGGTTGGGAGCAAGGAGACGATAGAGGTACAGGTCTCTTGTACAGTAGTAGTGACGGTGAGCTGGTGGTAGTGATGAAGTTGGTGGCGAGCGTTGTCGACAGAGGACGTGTTCGCTGACTTGGCATGGAGATTGATGTGTTTCAGGATGTGTGGAGGTGGAGGTCGTGGAGACTGTTGATGTGGAGAAGCCGTACGTCGGCTGGCCCACAGAAATTTGCGCGTCGCGGACGCGTATGTCCAGAATCACAAAATCAATCCCTCTTGCAAGATTCGACTGGCAAAATGCGTGACAATTCATCGCACTCGCGCCTGCCATCGCAAAAGCCAACATCCTCTACCACGGCATCCACTTCCCCTTCCTTGGCAGCATCTCCTTCCTTGGAATAAACCTCATCCAGCCCTCTCTCTTGACTTCTTTGTTCGCTGGCACCTCGCCCATGTAGATCGCGTGGCTCCTTCTGGCGTTCTCCATCGCGCGCTCATAATGCTCTGGCGTGTCGTAGTCGATGTCGTGATCAGGATTGTTCTCGGGTGTGTGGTCGCCGTGATACCGTGCTGATGTGATTTGGTATCCGAAGTCGCGAACGAGATAGTCGTTGGAGAGAGGTGTCGGCGGCATGGAGAAGTTGGAGACGCTGCTGGATTCGGAGTCGGACATTTTTGAACTTCGCAAGGTATTGATATGAAGGTGTGTAAACGTGGTGGGATCGACGACGCGTAAAGGAGCGAAAAAGTGGTTGGTGTTGAGTGCAGTCGCGAAGGGTGATCTGAGGTTTGGTGTGGAATGCAGACTGCCAGGTTGGGATGAGTTTTATGTTTCGAGCCGCACGATGACGCCCTGCTGCAGATTTGGCTGGACAATTGGCTAGAATGTGGCGGACGCGCTTTGGCGACAACGAATGGCCAGTTAGCTCGAGGGGGCCGCCCTGCCAAAATTGCCAAACACAAATCGTGGCACCCCCGCAGTTTGCCGCTTGCAATTAGGTGATCGTCATTTGAGCCTTAAAATGGCTTTGTCTGGATCTTTTGATGTGGCACGTTTCGTGATGCGCATTCGAGCCTCCACGTCAGGTCAATTTACCTCCAACATTTCATTATGACGACGGCTCACGATGATTCTACCGTCTGTGGTGCGTTGCCAACGTTCTGTTTAAGTTGAAGGCTGCTGAGATCAAGGCCAGGTGGCTGAAAGCCTGCGGAGTATTGCCAAGTTGTTCGCCAGAACGCGCAATTTCTTCTGAGAAGATGTGCAGATGATTGCCAAAGCTCAGCATGTTTTCAAAGATGTTAACACCCCTTTCTTATGTCAATTCTGGGCCGGTTAAAGAGCAGGTAAAACTTACTGTCTTAGATATTTGTCGTCGTAGGCGCCCGCCTGCTTTGTGTCAGTAACAGCATGTCAAAGAGTCTGATGGAACTTGCCCGAGTAAGAGCTTCAACAAGCCAGAATGTGCACATGGAGAAAGCACCCTCTCGACCACCAACACCATCGTCGCTCTTCGCGGCGTTGTACCGATATACGAGGCCTGTGCTTGTGAGGCCACCCTTCTCTGGAGCCTTCAAGATACGGTCCAATGTCTTCAGGAACCGAGGATCGGTCGGTGCGATAAAGAACACAAGCGGCGCTATGAGCACAGCCGAATCCAATATTTCGGTGGCTTCGTAGCTTTGAATGAAGCAGTCGAGCTCTTTGTTATAGCCCTTGTCCATTACCTCTTCGCAGATCTCGTCGCGTACTTTGTACCACTCTTGTCGATGAGGACAGGGTAAGCTTCGTTTGTCTGCGAGTCGCAGCCCTCTGTCGATGGCAACCCACATCATGATCTTGCTGTACACGAAGTTCTGCTTCTGCCCACGAACCTCCCAGATCGACATATCCGATTCCTTCCAGATGCCGCAGACGTAATCAACAATTTCTCGCACGCGGAGCCATTGATCGTAGGTAACTGGCCTGCCGAATCGGTTGAGAAGGTAAATACCATCCATGAGCTCTCCGTAGATATCAAGCTGTGTATGGAACGCAGCTCCATTACCAATTCGAACTGGTCTGCTACCTCGATAGCCTTCCAGATGATCGAGTTCGATCTCCGGAATATCTGTCTCTCCTTTGATCGTGAACATGATAGGCAAAGCGCCCACTTTCCGTTCCTTGGCCTCATCGATACGTTGGAACATATAGCTGGAGTAAGCTTCCGCCTCGTAGCTGAAACCCATACGAAGGAAGATGTAGATGGTAAATGAGGAGTCTCTGACCCAGGAGTAACGGTAGTCCCAGTTGCGTGAGCCTACAGATCTTGTCAGTCGGTACTCTTTGCAGCCCCTTCGAGGCATACGTACCTCCAAAATCCTCTGGCAAAGAGAAAGTTGGTGCAGCAACAATGGCACCAGTGGGTTCGAAGATGAGCATCTTGAGTATGAACAGACTTCTGGTCACGACCTCATCCCAGCGGCCATTGTACTTGCTTCCACCGATCCATCGATTCCAGTACTTGACGGTGTCCATCTGCAGCTTGTCCACTAGGTTCGTGTCGATGTGATCCGGGGTATGATCATTGGCATCCCTCAGGATGAATGAGACAGCCTGGCCTTCGAACAAGCGAAAGCTAGTGGTGACTGCATTTCCGAGCTTGGTTCCCGGTGTTTTCATGAAGGCAAGGCTAGGGCAAGCTATGTCGTCTTCGCCGCAGTCAATGGTCGTATTGAGCTGCAATGACAAATTCTTAGACTTGAAGACGACTCGTTGATCATGCTCCCCTTGCTCGCCATAGTTGAGGATTTCGGTCGTGTGTTTGTCTTGTGCGTAGTCTGCGGAACAATGAACGCGGATTAGGAAAGGCGGTCTCTAACGAACTTACTGAATGCTGGACAAACTTCTACGTTCACGTCGACTTCACCGCGCATGCACTCGACTCTTCGGATCAGCCATCTCTTCAGGTCGGACCGCTCAGGTACGTCTCCAGTGTGTTTGCTGGCAATGACTTGGGCGTGATACTCGGCATCCATACCCTTGTTGTTCGGCCGGGGCAGGAAATCGACTACATTCATCACACCCTCTTCCTTGAGGTAGCGGGTCTGGAGAACGTTACTTGCAGGAAGATAGTGTTGCTTTGTTGTGCAGAGGTCGTCATGCTTCGGGTTGATGGTGAAGTGCCCACCCTTGTCCTTGTCCAAAATACGGCAAAACACTGAAGGTGAATCGAAGTTGGGCCAGCACATGTAGTCAAGCCCGCCATCCGATGCGACCATGGCACATGTTCTCAGATTCCCAATGAGCCCATAGTCTTCGATTGGCATGTATCCTGTCGCTGTTCGTCTGTCTGTTGGCCCCTGTCCGCCTCCGGAGGCCAATCGCTTTTTCTTTGGGTTTATCATGTCTTCGTCGCTTTTCTCTTTCTTATCGTCTCTTTCACTATGTTCTCTGTGAAGTTCTGAGCCGTTGTCTGGATCCTGGCGAGGACGGGAGGGGAATGAGTTGGTGACATCTCGGAGGAGTCGCTCGCCGGGGCTGGTATTGTTATCGTGTGACACAGACATCTCTGCTTGAGGGTGGTTGAGTATATTAGCTCGCGGCTGGAGTGTTTGAAAGTGTGTCACATCTCTGGATACGATACGCAACGATTCGGCGGATCTTGCGGAGAGCGCGGAAGAAGTTCGAGCTGACATCATGCGCCTGACGTCATGTATCGTGGCTGCCCAGGTACTCCATCTCTCTTGATAGATCGGCAGGTACACGCGACTAAATCAAAAGCCGGTTGCGGTAGCCGGACGAATCTCATCTTATCAGTGATACAATGCTGCATTGCGCTTAGAAGCATTCGCTTAGAGACATCAACCACCCCACTCGTCTCCATCATCCGTGCTTGACCTGAATGTCATAGAAAACCACCTCGCTCGGCTCGCTGCCCTGATTGTAGTTGCCAACTTTGAAGTAACTCTTGGGACTGTTCAGCTTTCCAGTGCTCATGATCTTCTTCTCTCCACCATCAATCTGTACGCTAAATTTCCCCCCTTCATACTTCAACTCGTATTCGAACGTCTCGCCCACCTCAATATGTCCAACCTCGGTCATCTTCAAACTACTTACATCTGGAATCTGAGAGACACCGATTGTCAGCATGCCTGCCCGATTGTAAAACAGCTCCGCCACGGGCTTCTTCGATACGTCGTCATCGACTTTCACTTGCCCAATCACGGTTCCGTACTTCGAGTCATCCGGCTTAGGTACTGACAATTTTGCTTTCAAGGAGTTTATTCTCTTCTTTGGATCCCAAGAAGTTGGTAAGGACTCGCGCAACTCCGTACGGCAGTGCTTGCTGTTCAGTGTGGTCACGCAAACAGAGCGCGACGGCACTTTCATGACGAGTGCGCCAGATGAGGAAGTATAAAAGTATTTGGGCGAGGACCAGCCGTCGCATCCAGAGAGCTTGGAAGAGGAGATTTGATCGACTTGGCCGGAGCTGCCAGTGGGCAATTGCAGGTTGAATGATCCAAGGTCGAAGTTCCCACCAGGCGCACATGAGGTATTATCGCGGGCATGGACAGCGGGACTGGGTGGCAAGGGTGCTGCAAGGGCGTTTGTGGTCAGGAACAAGACAATCGCGGTGATTGACATCATGATGGGTTGCCGCTCCATTTGGATGTTGTCAAGGATCAGAGGTAAGTGACGATGTGCACCTGCTGCTACACACGAGCAGCCATGGTCTTTTATCGTGTCGCCAACATGAAATGCAAGCGGAGTTATGGATTACTCATGTTCCGCCGAATCTAAGTCGAAGTGGTGCATCTGAAGGATACTGGTCAGCGGATCGGACTTCGTACAGCCACTGACCTTGACAAGCCTAGTCATCTTGCATTGCGGATTTGAGTCAGCACATGAGTAAGTCCGGATGCCTTTAGAGTCGCTACAAAGCAAGTTTATGGTTTGTACAATCACTGAGTTGCCTGCATCGGTGCATAGATTTTGTTGATAACTTGTGGTATACCGTTGTGTGAGTCTAGAGCTCAAACAGCGCCCCATCGCTCTGCATAGCGGTCGTTCGCCGGATCAGTGTTCCTTTCATACTCACTGTGATCAGCCACATACTGCGCAGTCTCTTCTCCAAACACCTCGCTCATCCAAGCGAAAGTCAGATCGATACCTGCAGAGATACCAGAGCTTGTCCAAAACTCTCCATCTACCACCCATCTGGCCTTAGTCACCCAGTTGACTCCGGGGTGTTTCTCTTTGACCTTCGCCTCCATGTCAGTATTTCCTTGAACGATCGCGAACGTACTACTGAGGTGTATACCTGGTTGAATGCCCTCTTGTTGGTCGTTGCCCTCTTTCCATCCAGCGCCCCGGTCCTGGCCAGGATCTCACTCCCAGTGCAGACTGTCAGGATCCACTTGATTTCGCCCCTCAAATGTTTCTGCGTTAAATCACCCAGTCCTAGCGATGTTAGGTAGTCGACCACTGGCTTCACGTTCTCATCACTTCTGTTGCCCAGGCCGCCGGGGATGATCAAGACCTCCAGGTCCCTAGGTGCATTATCGAATGTATGCGTTGGAACAATAGACTGATTGAACTTCGAACCTTTCTGGTCCTGTGCGAAATGTTGCGTCCCCACGGGATCTGGAGTCGCGGCTATGATGGAGAGATTGAGTGTATGCGATTTCGAGAGTACATTGAGGGCATCCAGAGGGCCACAGACATCGAGGAGCTGGAAGCCTGGGAAGAGGATGACACCGAATTTCTCGGGCAGTTTGTCGGTAGACATGACAAGCGATGGTCTGGTGACGGTGAAGATGGATCTCTTGTGCTTTCTCCAGATTCCGATGGTGATGACTGTCAGAGACTGTGGAGGTTGTCAGTGCAAAACTTGAAGTTGTCGCTGATACGAGATATATGACTGGTACCTGTGTACATTGGCATGGCCCGCCGGACCTAGTATGAATAGAAATAGAGCACGATATTAGTCAGCTTTGGCGGGGTGGTCAATTGGGCGCACTTGGCACGGCGCCGCAGACGCCGCATGACGCAAAAAGGAATGAGTTGAGTCACTCCAGGTTCGGGGGTAAGAACAGAAGTATTATATTAGAAAGAGCTGCAGCTAAAATGCTGTACGACGTCTTGCAAGACGAATTGTTCTGTGCATTATGTGATGGAAGAAATCCGTCGCATGCAGATCTTTAAACCACGCCCCTCATGTGAACGCCTTGCTCGTCTTGTTGTTGCACAGTAAGGAAAGCCCTAGCCCTCTCAATCCTCTCCTTTGTCAAGAGATAGCTGCTGGGGATGTCGCCGCTCTGCACCATCTGTGCTTGAAGGGTACCCAAATCCTGGCCAGCCTCCTCTCCAAGCAGCATGTCTACAACTGCTTTGCCGCAAAGTGTAGTGTTTGGCATACCGTGTCCAGTATATCCACCAGACAACCACAAGCCCTCCCGGTCTGGTACTTTGCCGACCCAAGGGTGGTCATCACGAGAATAGCCCATGATACCTGTCCATTGTCCAACAGCTTCAAGCTCCTTCAGACCTTCGGTCTCTCCGTCAAGTTCAAGGACCTTCAGAAGCGCGCCGCGGAGATATGCTGCTGAATCTTCGTCGATGATACTGTCGTCCGAGACACCAATAGCTGGAAGGTGACCCGCTCCGCGGCCGCCACCGAACATCAGATGTCCGCGAGGGTTTGGTACGCCTTCAAACGGGCGTTGGACAAGATAGTCATCGTTGTTGGCCGGTTGACCTAAGGCTCCTACCATTCCATGCGAATCTGAGAGGATCGTGCTTCCTTTCGGTGGTAGAAGCGCTGACATCTCGCCGCGTACGGGAACGATTAGATCGGCGAAATGAGGAAGGAGGGCTGACACGTAGCCATTGGTAGCTAGAATGACCTTTTTTGCGTTGATCGCGCCGCGGTCGGTATGCAGCGTGTGCTTGCCGTCCGTGGATGTGATCTCGTTGACAGGAGTATTGGTCTGCAAGTTGAGCTGTCCAGCTTTGATGAGTTGCTCCAGAGTAAATGTGACCAGCTTGTAAGGCCACAAACTTGCCGCACCTTGGCTGAGCGTCACCCCTACTGCTTCAGGAGATACCCGGTGCTTCTTCAGCTCCTCCTTGTCGCGGATGATCGTTACTAGGCTTCTCAGCGCTGGAGCTACCTTTTCGAGATGCGCGATCTCCTTCTCAGCCTCGCTCATCACCTCTTCTGTCCAGAATGAGCGACATCCGGATACATCTCGCCATTCACAGGGGACGTTGTTCTTCTTGATGTACGATCGGACTGCGTGGACATTCTTCATTTCGAATGCAGCCACCTCGGCGCTACGGTCGAAGAGCAGTGGTTGACAATGTCCGCCATTCTAATCAGAAGTGATCAGCACTTCATCTCTTGGATAGCATCTGAGGGTCATAACCGCCGCAATAGCGACTTCAGAATTGCGCCTCGGCCTTCTGGCAGCAGTTGGTGAGATATCTTAACTCACCCTACCTGTAGCTCCCCAACATGCTTCCCTAGCTTCGAGAAGCACAATGCTCTTACCCTCGGCTCTCTCATCTTCAGCCAGGAACCGAGCAGCAGATGTACCAGTTATACCACTTCCTACTATGACAATGTCGGCCTCGGCGGGAAGCTGTTCGGTGGTACGGTGTCTAATCAAGAATTCATTAGGCTCGCTGTGCCAGAATGAGTTGCTTGAAGTAGGCGTTGGGAGCGTCGCGCGTTCGTGCTTCATGTTGCGATTGCTGGCGACAGCTAGGAGGCGGGTGAATGTGGGGTGGAGGGGAAGGCTGCAGGACAGCCTATGCTGGGTCAATGGCGACTTATGTATTCCTCGCCTTATCTAAGTGGCAGCTGTAGTGCAACTGTAGGATCAATGACTCGGAGTGCGTCCTTCTACTTGTGGGCTCTACTACTTTGCGGCATTGGCAGAATTACAATCATCAAGCTTTCGGAGTAAGCTGTCGAGGCCGCGTAACAAACTTCAGGCTCGCTATGCCGAGCCGCACCTCGTCGGTTTCGAATGCCTATCCACAATGCCGCAATACCGAAGGCTTACTTCGTAAAGTAGGAACCCGCGGGAGTGTTGCAGGAGCACAGAGCACAGGAGGCCATGCAGGTACTCTGCGAGCGGTGAGGGTTGGTACCTGGCGGAAGCTGCGACTTCGGGCACCCAAGCTCCATGCGGCTGATTATGTAAAGAGGGCAGTGCAAATGGAAGCCCACATGGCGCCGCCTTCCTCAAGCACGACATCTCATACACTCTCCGATGATAACCTGCTCTGTCCTGAAGTGAGACGAATTTGCAACGTCACGCCGGGTGCATGTTTGCCTACAACTCACGTCAAGATAAATGAATAGGAACACAACACAGCAACACCAAGAGCTTTGATTCCATTAACAAACTAGTTTACAGACGCGCAATGTCCGATTCATCACACTTCTAAATTCCGGTCATTATCATCATTCTTGACAGTCATGGATAGCACACCTTCCAGCAGTGCATACGTCCAGCGGAGCCACCCGACATCGAGTGAGTACCAGACTCCTCGCCTTAATCCTCGATTACGACTTGCGGCGCTCGAGAACTCCCTTCGCGGTCTCCCTGACGGAGAAACCGCCAAAAAGCCATTCGTTCGAATGCCGTCCGCGCCATGGATCACTTCCACTGGTAGACGTTCTGCCGTTCTCTTGGAGACTTGGTCGTGGTACCTTCGCGGAAGCTTGTGTCGTTGTAGGTTGCGAGACGTGATGAGGTTGCTGTGGTCGTGCAGAAGGGAGTTGTTCGGGTGGCAGAACCATTGGTGACTTGGCTCGTTTCCGGGATGCGTCTGCGCGGGATCGACTGCGTGAACGCTCGAGGCGCTCAGTGATGGCACCAAAGAACACACGTGAAGTTGGCGAAATTGGGGCAGATTTGGGAGACATTTGACCAGATGAGTCTGTTGACTTCTGGGAATCGACTGTCGATGTGCGAATGGGTGGTGTTGGTTGAAAGTTCGTTGGGTCGTGTGATGCCATGCTTGCTGGCTGGTTGCTGTACCACGATGCGTTGCGTGTATAATACGAAAGATAGGTGTAGTTCGGATGTGTTCAGGATGGCAGTGTACCGCTATAAGAGTACGAGTTGAGAGAATTGGTCAGGAGGACAGATATGCGGCTCAAAGGAATATGCTGCAAGCATAATATATACAGCACGCACACCCTACGAGTCTTCTGCTCGTGTCCTGCAAATTCGCGAGTTGCATCGCTAGCGTGCATCGTCGCTCAAATGAGGGTGTCGGTGACCAACTCCCCTCATCTGTGTTCACCGACCAATCACATCCTGCAAAGCACCGACAGAACGCTTGATTTGGTGGCCGTCCTGTCGTTCGTTCCAAAATCTCACCGACTCTGACATGCAGGCCGACGTTCTGGAGTGGGGCCATGAACTGCAATCGAGCGACAACGCATAGAGCCGAGAGTTCATTCCTGAACGGGTCTCGATTGCGATGTAGGGCAAGCCAATGAGCATGCAGCCGGTGAGCAGCTGCCTTGAAACCAAGGCTTTTGTATCACCGCTGCGGCTTGAGCAGTCGGACGCTCCCGCTGGGCTTGAGACATAGGGCAAGAACAATGGTCGTACCGCCGCAGGTATACTCGAAATAATACAACTTGTTTACATTTCCCGCTATGACGAGTCATAGTTGCCGATCATATTCCTTAGGGACTTGGAATGCAGCTTGTCCCGCTGCACAGTCCTTGGAAATCGCGGAGTGTCCGTCGTGTTCAACGTGGGAACGCAGATCATGGGCACCACTTGCCAAGTTAGTGTCCCTGATGGCTAGAACGCTGAGGACAGCGCCATTCATGTTGACTTGCAGGCAGACCAATCTCCCGTCCAATGCTGGAGATCGTTGCGCGAGCAAAAAAGTGTGTTCTCAACAATATGGATACTGATGCTCACAAAGGCAAAAAGAAACTATTCCAATGCAATTATAAGAAGGATCTTATGCATCCTCCGGGAGTCGAACCCGGGCCAATTGCTTGGAAGGCAATTATCCTACCGTTGGACCAAGAATGCAACTTTTGATAAAAGCGTGCACAGTTTAATCGTTTATATCCTTATTGATATAGTCTTATAAGTAAGTTTCTCAAATGCCGACAGTCACCTTCGACTACAAGTTTTCAGCTAAACTGTTTCATGTCCTAGATTATCTAGCTGCAGAGCAATACGGACGAGGACCCACTTTCGGCGCACTGAGGCCGCGTTAGGCTCAACCTACCACCTCTTAAAGCTTATCGACATCATTGCCCCATTCTAACCCTGTGGCACACAGCTTCAGGTGTGAACAAAAATGCTTGCTGCATGTTTTTTGAGGCTAGGTTCGACATCTTATATGGTTTTGATGGGTATCTTGCGAGGTAGTGGTTGTGGGGGGTTTTCTTGATGTTCTATTGCTGTTGTAAATTGTGCAAACAGAGCCTGTCCATCGACACCACGCGACATTCGTACTGTCCTCTTAGAATGTATCATAAAACCCCCAGCGTCCACAGGAGATCAAGGATATCGATCGCTCCGTCATAGACATGCGTATGGTGTGTTGTATGCAAATCGTAGGTGTCTTCATTTTTCTGTTTTTGGTTCTGGTTCTGCGTTCTTTCCTGCTGCTTCTTCACTTTGCCCTTCTGCTCCTGTCATCCGCCCTCTGTCATTTGCCTGCCCTATAGTGGATCCATCAAGTTTCTCTTTGCTGCTCGCCTCGAGTCCATTATCACCACCATTTTCGTCCTCGACCCAATACACGACCATCCCATTCAACGCATGCGGATGCATCTCAAACTCCCCCAGCCTCACCACATCCCTCTTCTCCAGCCACTCCCGCCCCAACTCATTACACTCCCCCAGCCTCTCCCTCTTCTCCTCACTCTGCGCGAATGCTTCATAGTCGTCCAAGATCTCATTACCCACATACAGTACTGGATCCTTGCCTTTTAGGAAAATCGGCAGGAGTATGTACCAATCGACAAACGGACTGAAAACAAAAGACCGAGGCGTAATGTATGTCGCGATGTCTTCGGCGCAGACGTGGATAGACAGGAGGGAGAGGAACTTGTGATCGAGGTCGGCGAAGGCTGGTTCTTGGGCGTAGAGTTTTACCTCTGGACCGGACTCTCGCACTGCACTTGGTCAGTACTCCTGCTTTAAATGACCAAGTCGAGAAAAGAAAACCCACAGTAAGAAACGACAGACATGAAGAGAACGAGCTGCCACATAGCCCTATGTCTATGCTCCCAATCGCGACTAAAGCTGCCAATACCAATACAAACAGCTTCATTCACATCCCATTCTCTCCTCACCAACACACTCTTCAAATGTTGCGCGCACGCCGTAGTTTTCCATTTCTCAGTGCGGTTGTGGAAATCCTGGAGCATCTTTTCGGCTGTCAAGCCGTCTACAATGGCCGTTGGCATTGAGTTTGTTTGGGCAGCATTGTGTCTTTGACTACTCCCTTTGCCCTTCTTTGCACCGACTGAGAGCTTCGATAGCCCGTGGGTAATGACTGTCCAGCCATCGTCGGTGTTGACTTGTTGGCGCTTTATGCGTCCGCGGCCGCCCATGATCGAGATGTTAAAGCTCGGCGTTCTGGAGTGGCGATCATCGTCGACGAGTCATGTTCGCTCATGACATGATTATATTCGTGATTTTTCAATTGCGCTGTTTATGTCGGCGACGAGAGACGCGTACCGTAGCTCTCGCGCGCAAGAAATTTGGCGGGGCGATGGCAGATGTGGGGCAGATCTCGGAACTTCACTGTGGGGGCTTCGAAACTCGAGATCTGTATCGACTTTCACATCCTTGCACATGAACCCCATGTCGAGTGCCCGCTTTCTCTCCGCGGGCTTGAGCATGAAATAGTTCTGCGGGACGAACCTTTCCTGTTCCTACCTGTTCCGGCAGTTGCGGTGGTTTAACGGGGCAACTGTTGTAGCCTCGCCGTCTGGTCGTCTTTGCAATGCTGCTAACGGCCAGTACGAACCGGTGGCGCCTGTGATTGTTATTTACGCGCGATTCAATCATGGTAACAGTGTAGAAGATGAGTTTCAGGGGAAAGACATTTTTCATTATTATGATTGTGGGTATCATGGTCGTGCTGAGCTACTGCTCAAAGCATACTATATCGAAGGAAAGGTTATTGCAAATGCGTGATGCAAGTGCATTTAGAACATCTGCCTGTTCCTCATCTCAACGGGCAAGAACACCATCATCAAAGCCGAGAGCCAGATACCACCAGCACCGAGCCAGAGAATACCGGAACTGGCGTCGGCGAGCAACTGCGCTCCGGCGTAAGGGGCGACAATACCTGCCAGACGACCCAGGCAAGATAGCATACCGCTGACACTGCCGCGGTATTCAGTGTCGAAGAGCTCGGGCGCAGAGGCGTAAAGGACAGCATTGAAATACTGGTTTGAAATGTGAGTGAACGCTATATGAAAATATTGTGAGAGCACTTACGGTTTGCATGATGTACTCGAGCGCGTTGAGACCAACGTAGCCAGCGGTGTTCTGGACCTGCGTGTACATGGCCATGGAAAGACCCTGGCAGATAGCGGAGAATACTAGTGACCATTTCCTGCCGAGCAGAGGCATCTGTACGGAAAACAGGGCGAGCGCAGCACCGATGATACCAGGCGAGTAAATAATCAGGTACTGCTGATATGTGTCTATGACACTACCACGGCCGTTGTCGACATTGTTCCGCAGCAGAATGATGGGCAAGAAGGAACCTGCCAAGTTGAAGGACCAGTAGTCGCCCATATACGCAATACCGAGAAGAACGAAGATGAAACAGGAGAGTTTGTTGGTGAAGATGCCCTTCAGACGACGGAGCTCTTTTCCAAAGCCCTTGAGAACCCGCTTGTTCTTCTCTGCTCGTGTCAGGTTAGTAGGCTTTTCTTCGGGCACAACACCATCCATGGCATCGATTGCGGCAAAGTGCTCAAGAGTCAGAGTGGGTGCTGGAGCCTTGTTGAATTTGGCGATCTTGTGCAGGACCTCGATAGCTTCAGCCTCTCTGCCTCTACTGAGCAGGAACTTGGGCGACTCATGGAAATGGAAAACGAAGAATCGAAGGAAGAAAACGACAAGAGTCACAACACCAAGGATGATAATGTTGTAGCGCCATCCCATGTTGCTGTCAACTGAACAGCATGCTTCTCCAGCCGCAATAGCTTTGCAGGAGTCTAGACTGGGGTCGCAACGCCATTTAGCAGCAGTGCCGAGAGCAACGGCAGACGCGAAAACGACACCAATTGGCTGCCACATCGAGAGGAGAGCGACAAAGTAGCGGCGCTTCTGGGGTAGGAATTCTAGAGCAATGGTGGCATCGATAGGGATGTTGCCTCCAAGACCGAGGGATGCAAGGAAGTAGATTCCGCAAATGGCGCCGTAATTGTATTTGGGAGCAGCCTAAGCTCTTGTTAGAAAACGCTTCTTCCCAGGTTGTCTTGTATTTAGTGCTTACCAGAAGAAGCCCAAAGATTGAAGTGATCAAGCATGTCAGGTTGAAAGCCCACTTTCTGCCAATAATATCGACTGCGAGTCCGAAACCTAGCGCTCCCAAAGCAAGGCCGGCGTTGGCGCAAGCAAAGATGGTTCCCGTGTCAGCATCAGCGACATCCATCTCCTGGTAGATAGCTGTCGAGACAAGACCAACACCCTGCGACCAGGCCAGATCCAAGAAGTAACCGAAACCGCAGAGGAACCAGATGCAGATCTGATATCTGCCGAGACCGAACTTGTCGAGTTCAACGTTGATAAGAGCGGCCTTCTTTTCAAAGGTGTTCATAGGCTTTGCTGCCGTGCCGCGAAGGATGGCGCCTATCGACAGGTCCTCAGAGGACGCTGTCTCCAGGTCATTGTAGATAGGAACCTGGACACCGCCATCAGGGTGTGACAGTGAGTCTTTCTTCTCATCCGCGCGGACAAATTCGCCAGATGTTTGAAAAGCCATTGTGAGTGAGCCTTGACGCAAGGAGGGGGTCACAACAATGGGGTGAGGTGAGTCGCGTGTATTCGGTTGTACAGGACTGCACGGCTGAGTATTATACTCGTGCCTACTATGAGCAGGGCAACGGTTTGCTAGCTCTGCCAGTCAGCCGCGGAACTCATGCGTTCGGATCTACGCGACAGTAGCTGCGATCTCTTGGTGGATGGTGGTTAGGCTGTCAGTACTAAATCCTGTAGCTCAGGTCCAAGACGGCAGGTGCGGTTTTGATTGGTCGGCATCACAATCGTGACGACAGAGAACAACCCATGTCACGCAGAATCACCTGGCTTTGTCTGTTCGAAAGCAGTCGGCTTGACCGTGCCGTGGCGTAAAAAGAATTTGCACGACTAAAGAGCGATTACGGCACTAGTCAGATTGAAATCAACGTTCGCCTTGGGACATGAGGCGAAGTACACAACGAATGCAATAGTAGTGACGCGAACGGCTACGCCGCGGCAGACGCGACTATTGCTGCATGACTTTCAGCTTTGCCATCCTTCGTCTGTGGACTAGCCAGCAAGTACTAATATGTCACATGTTGTCCACTTTTCAGCTGAGGTTGGTCTAGGTTAAGAAATCGAAATCAACTCTGTGGCGATTACATCCCGGTACATGGTTATACGGCAGTGTAACTCCAGACGTTCTATCCAAGTGCTCTGACAATGCGTGATGATGTCTATTTCCCCAAAGTCGGCAGCAATCACACCGCCTTACGCGTTCGAAATTGTGGGAACCCTTGTCACCGCGTGGAATGATCCTCCCGTTACATATACACGACGCGCCACATCGTCAGAACCGGATAATCTTCGTTGCGAAGGGTTCAGACAACGGCTGGCTGACATTCACGCAGCCTGCAGTGATTCTGCTTCTAGAGCTCCAGAATATGCTGCACTTCTGAGACAGATGTGCATCGCAATGCACGATGATCACTTCTTCCGTGCACCTCTTGCTGTCTTTGACGATGCTATCCTTGCCTGAGATACTGCAGTTGGCGCATCAAATGTCCTTGTGGCTCGTTTCTTTGTATGTTTTGTAGACGCCTCGTTCTCGGCATCATCACCTGCCTTCCGTTTAAGAGAGGTTTTGGCTTGTGGGCGACTCTTTGTCTCCGTCTGACTGGCCTTGACGGTTCTGCTTGATGCACATGTACCGGCTTTCTCTTTTGGTGGAGTTAGGGGTCGTTTGGTGTCGTTGGCGGTGGTTGTCGAATTAGGTGCACTTGCGGGAGGCTCGGTACCGTTGCGCTGCTGCGCTACCCAAGAGAGTAGGTTTGCTTCGGCCTCAGGATTTTCCTCGTCGCCTTCCTCGCCTTGATCGAACATAGCTTCTGCCATCTCACCTGCTATATCATCTCCAGCATCTTTGCCTGTAGCCATTCTCATGGCGAAGTCTAGCAATTGTTTTGGGTCCATGCCGTTCAACGGCCCACCGGCTTCAGCGAGTCGACTCTGTAGTGCAGCCATCAATGCCCCTGGATCGATGTCCATCTCGTCTTCATGTGCACCTTCGTCTTCTGCGTCCAGCTCAGAGGGAGGGGAAACGGGCTCTGCGCTACCAGCAACTTCTGCTACGTGTTTCTGTTCTCTTGCAGCCTGCACATTCGGTGATTGAGATGGTGGACCCCGGGCCCACTGTGGTGTGTCCTTGAGTGTCTTCCTCCAATCTTGAAGCACTGTGTATGTCTGCGCATTTTCATCGAGCAGCTTGGATTGTAGACCTCGATTGGCCTGCGAGCGCCAGACGATAGGTGACATGCCCAGCGCTGCTGCCTCTGTGTCCCCTAGTACTCGCTGCCTCTTCTTGCTATGGCTAGGCTTTATATGCCGCTTTCTCTTCTCTCCCGTCTTCGCGCCTTTGGCATCGTGCACCTGAAAGATGGCGTCATCGTATCCGTCTGACGCATACTCGAGGTCATTGAAATAGTCGAACCTATCCCAGTCTTCGGCAGCATCTTCATCCGCATATGTGGTAGGCGGTGGTGAAGCTACAGCGTGCTCTGCCAAATCGTCGGCCGCCATAAACTCCTCCTCAACGTAGAACCATTCCTCCCCATAGTCGGAATAGTCGTCGCCGTATTCGCTCATAGTGGGCTTCGTGCAGCGGACTGCATGCGCAGTTGTTTGTGTCGCACAAGAAGGCGAGGCGCGTATGCAAACGGTCGGCGGTCGGTAGTCCGGGAGGTGTTGATATATACGGTATCAAGGTTGTTTGAGACAGTGGGTCTCGACTGTATTGGAGTCGAGGATGTTGTTGTTGTAGGGGTGAGTAAGAAAGCGTGACCGCGTGTTGAAAACACCGTCACAACAGGGTCCAGTCGCAGCTCACCATCACCTCGCACCTCCGTCATGCGCCCAGTTAGCTCGCGCAAGCACCTGCAGCGTCCAGCAAGCACACATGAACGACCGCTTTCATCTATACTTTCGCCTTCTCTGTTTTCCTGCCTAATTGGGCAGTTACTTCACTTTGGGTGCGCGTCGTGACTTCGAACATCACGCTAAACTGTCTCGGTTCACGGCAATGTGCGGGTTAAGCAAGCAGCCGCGGCTTACCCCAGCTTTCTACTCCAAGAACGCGGCCTTGTCCCGCACATGCACAACAATGTTCTTTTGTAGCTTCTAATCCGAACCAATTTGCTCCTCACAGCTCCTCACAATTCACATCGTGACTATGCGTGCTCTTCGAAAGTCTACTCACCTCTCACGCCAGCTCGTAGCTGCCAATGGTGCGCGCTTCAACTCTACAACCGCACCGGCTGCCAAAGCGCTGACTTCCGTACTAATCGCCAATCGTGGAGAAATTGCACTGTACGAGTACCAAGAGCCTCCAGTATACCTCGCTGACATATCTTAGCCGTGTTGGCCGCACAGCTTCAGAGTACGGCGTACGAACAACAACTCTCTACACCGACCCAGATGCTCGTTCACAGCATGCACTTAGCTCACCTTTCGCCGTCAACCTCGGCGATCCTTCCGCATATCTTGATGGAGACAGGATAATACAGATCGCGAAAGAGCAAGGCTGTCAGGGTATACATCCAGGTTATGGATTTGTACGGTCAACAAGAGATCAAGTATTGTGGCATTGGCACTGACGAGGCACAGTTGAGCGAGAATCCACAATTCGCAAAGAAATGCACGGAGGCTGGCATAACCTTTATTGGACCACCATCTCAGGCAATTGAAGCCATGGGTAGCAAGAGGTGTGCATTCCACGCGTAGCAACAATCAAGCCCAGCTGACAAGCCCCCAGTGAATCCAAGAATATCATGACCAAAGCTGGCGTGCCCTGCGTACCAGGCTACCACGGTTCCAACCAAGATCCCGACCACCTAAAGAACGAGGCAGCAAAGATTGGCTACCCTGTTCTGCTCAAGGCTGTCAAAGGTGGTGGCGGCAAGGGAATGCGAATTGTCAACACAGAGCAGGAGTTCTTCGACCAGCTCTCGTCAGCTAAGGGCGAAGCCCGTAACTCGTTCGGCGACGAAGTCATGCTTGTCGAGAAGTACATCACAACGCCGCGACATATTGAGGTTCAGGTCTTTGCCGACAGTCATGGAAACTGTGTCGCGCTGGGCGAGCGTGACTGTAGTATCCAACGGCGACACCAGAAGATCTTGGAAGAATCACCGGCGCCACATTTGCACGAGGATATCCGTCAAGATCTCTGGGAGAAGGCAAGACAAGCTGCTCTTGCAGTTGGTTACGAAGGTGCTGGTACAGTCGAGTTCATCTTCGACAACGACACTGGCGAGTTCTTCTTTATGGAGATGAACACTCGTCTACAAGTCGAACACCCTGTCACTGAGATGGTTACCGGCACCGATCTGGTTCATTGGCAACTCATCGTTGCGGAAGGTGATCGTCTGCCTCTCACACAACAAGAAATCGAAGAGAGGATAAAGGAGCGTGGTCATGCCATCGAGGCACGAATCTACGCCGAGAACCCTGACATGAACTTCATCCCCGACTCTGGCCTCCTCCTTCACTTGCGGACACCAACTCCAACACCGACGGTGCGCATAGACTCTGGTTTCGTCGCCGGAGATGAAGTCTCCTCACACTACGACCCTATGATCTCAAAACTCATTGTCCAAGGCCCTACCAGAGAAGCTGCAATTCAGAAGCTAAGGACAGCTCTCGAGCAGTATGAAGTCGCCGGCCCTGTCACCAACATCGAATTCATCAAGAAGATGTGCGTCAGTCCTGACTTCGTCGCTGGCGCAGTCGAAACTGGCTACATCCAGAAGCACCACGCCGAGCTCTTCACACCCCTTCCTCCCGCATCAGAGGTCTTCGCCCAAGCTGCCATTGGCCTCGTCCTCCAAGAAGTCTCTTCGATTAGATCAGATCCCTTTTCCGGCCCACCTATTTTGGCCGCTGGCTTCGGTCTTGGCTTCCAGCAGCGCAAGTTTGAGCTGGTAGAAACACCTGCTGACGGCAAGGGCGACTTGACAAGTACACCCGTCACCATTTGTCAGAGCGCCCCATCCAAGTTCGACATCACGGTCGGTTCAGAAACGTACGTCAACGTAACAAGCACGTTCAGTCCCTCGAGCAACACGCTCACAACCTACTACCCGCACACACGCCTCTCTACAACATTCATACGTGATGAAGACCGCCTGACCTTGTTCCAGCAAGGCAAGCAGTACCGTCTGCAACTTGCGATGCCCAAATGGGCAGAGAAGGCACTTGGCATCAAGGACGTGACGAACAGTGTGCTAGCGCCCATGCCATGCAAGGTGCTTAGGGTAGAGGTTGAAGAGGGACAGGAGGTAAAGAAGGACCAGCCGCTTGTGGTCATCGAGAGTATGAAGATGGAGACTGTTATCAGAAGTCCAACGGATGGTGTCGTCAAGAAGATCGTGCATGGCAAAGGGGTAAGTTTTTCTGACTATTTAGTCGTAATCAGAGGAACGGGAGCTAATTTGTGTTGCAGGATCTGTGCAAGGCTGGTACAGCACTTGTCGAGTTTGAGGAAGTTGAAGGGACTTCGTAGTGGAATAGCTACAGCTAGGAAAAGAATACGGATACCACGTACGGAACAACCAAAAGACCAAAGCTCCTCCTTTCCCACTCATTTCTTCACCTTGTAACAGCCGCTTATGTGTCCACGCACTGTCTACAGCACCAGAGATATGTCTGAGATATCAGACTCGTCATCGTCCTTTGTCTTGTACATGTAGCGCACCACGAGATACAAAGCCAGCAAGTGCACCACACACCATCGTCATACCAGTCAAAGAACGTTAGCATGGCTTACCCACCGATCCCAGACATACTCACTGGAGTGATCATCAAGCACCCAAATAGCATCTCATCTGACGACGAGAATTTGTCCTGGGCCAAATACGTCACCGCATCACCCGCAACGTAGACAGTGATCGCTACAAGCCCTCCCCATGTGATCAGAACAGCAGTGCCGAGCAGAAGAAACGCTGCACTACGGCACATTGAGGCAGTCGAGGTGATGGGCTGGGTGGTCGTACTGGGAGTGTCTGCTAGGGTGGCCTCCGTGTCGATTGAGTCTTTGAACGGCTTCATGTTTCGTAGTGTCGGCCATGTTTAAGTGTGATTCAGATAACTTTGCGAGAAGGTATGGGAATGTCGATATGGTGAGTATGTTGTGAGCTGGGTATGTTGTGATGATGAGGAGAAGTGAGCATGTTGTTTCGAAAGCAAACAGGTCCATTGTCATCATTTCCGTCAGTGCCTCAGTCGGCTACTGCTCCCTCGGCCTCAGGCTCTTGTTTCTCTCACCTTGTGCTCTTACTTCTTCTGTGACGTTGCGCCTTCGACGCTCTTGCTTATCGATCAGCCTCACCTTTGCCCAACTTCCTTTTCGCAACCAGCAGATGCAGTGTTTGCAGTGTCAGAGAGATTGGACACATTACTGAGGTGCTTAAAGACTACAGACCATGTAAGTATCGTGGAAAGAGCTAAATCGTTGACATTTGATCAAGGTGCACTCGGGTATGTGTAAGTTGCCATCGATCTGGTTGACAGCTCCCGTCAGTTCGATCGCGGCCATGCATTGTCAGTCAGACCAATCTGGTGAAGTACACTGCACCAGTATCGATAAATCTATCCCTAGTCAGATACTTAGGGATTCATATGGAGCTCAACCGAGATAAGTTGCTCTGCGGTGTCAATAAATGATACCTTGACGTCCTCAGACTGTGTCGAGCCATTCGTACCCAGCAGTAGCCTCCTCCAGAGAAACCACCACGCTTTTCCACTACGACGTGCAGCTGCCTAATGTTAATCCAGATATTGAGCCAGATCATCTGTATCTTGCAGCACCACAATTGCCGGTAGTTCGAAACTCTCACCCACGGATCAGATGACGCGTCATCGAACCACAACAACTCCATCATCATCGGCGACTTGATCGATATTTACGTCTCTTCTAAGAACATCCAACATCCAACTTTCATATTTCATCTCGCAAGGTCACCGCAGCTTCCTCTTTCTCACCAGACACCACATTCCGGTACTTATCCTCTCCCGTCGTACCACATTCTAGACCACCTTCACACCGTAGATCCCGGAACCCTGGAGTCATAAACTCGATACGTTTCAAGACTTCTCCTCTCTTCCCAGATCCAGCCTCGTATTTCCGCAGCCCCACCCAGAACTACGCGAAGGATGAACTGTCCGGGAGATCTGGCAAGCCACACCTTGCTTGTGCTTTTCCCGCCAGGCCTGGTCAACGGATGAACAAGCCTGACGGCTTAGGACGACGGCACGCTGCTCGCTGTGCTCTGAGCCAGGTTCAAGTGCAGTGCACGAGGCGTGACAGGGTGGGAGCTGGGCATGGGATGAGGCCAGGAACGCGTAGGCTTGCAGCCTTGTTTTCTGATCGGTAGACCAGATGCACACTTCAGGAGGGCGAATTGTCCGTTCGTCGCCGGTACGCACTGGTGCGAATATTGGTGAGTGTCGGCAGTCGCAGCCAACCACGCATCGTCATGATTTATTAGCACATCTCGATGAGAGACGTCCAACCGCGGAACTGCGCGAATCTGCAATCAGCAGTGCAGCGACCGAGTCAACGCAGACGCAGTGACGACACACACGTTGTTGACAGGCCGAGCTCGGCAACGTCCGCTAAAAATCCCTACTGGCCACACCCAAAACCCGAACAGTTCCAACGTCAAGCTTGCTTTTTAGAGTTTACGAGACGCATGGTGGCACTGTTACGTTGGTGCGGGGCAAACACTTGTTGTGACCGTTGAACGGCTGTTGAACGGCTGCCTTGGTGTGCGTTTATTGACGGAGAGGCGAACGCTTGTGATTGGCAGATGCACAACCACTAAGGTTGAGGACGTGACTACGTACACTTGTTCTGGTGTGTGCAGGCAACGAAGAGCGAATGCGAATACAGAGTCATGTGTGCAGATCAGATGGAAGTTGGCACAGTGGTTCCTTCTCAGTTCGAAGAGCTAGGAAGGAGAAAAGGCAAGTTCCGCCATCTGCTTCTACAACGAGTTAGGGATGCTCTTCGATGGGTCAGGGTTGTATCCAGCAGTACGATTGATGACTTCTGGTTTCGGAAGTAAGTATCCTTGCAGCACGTTTTGTCTCTCAGATGCCTATCTCGGACACGCATCTGAGTTCCCGTCGCACGTGTGAAGTTGTTCGATTTGTGCAACCATCGTGTGTCAAAATACCCACCACCGATCAGCTCGTGCAACTCTTGTGCAAAGCGCGTGCAACGCACACAACGTGTCCACCAGACTCCCACGCTCCCACGCTTACAGCAGGCGGGTGCGACCCTCCTTCACTGTCTTTGTTCCTGGATCCCAAGACCAGCATCTCCCAGCTTGTCACTTGTCAAGCCTGTCAGCCCCCGGGCCAAATCCCGGGATCCCATCTCCACACGTTCGCGCGCCGGGGAGAAAGTTCGGCGACGGTGTGTTTCTGTCTGTGAAAGAGTGGTCGTGAGTTGAGAGAAAGTGTTGGTCAGAGGATCCCCAATGTGTCGCGCCGTGCCGCTTCGTTACCAGTCATTGGCTGCACGGAGGGCCGAAGGATTTTGCAGTGAAGGAGAGCCAAGTCTAGATTTTGAGACTTGAGAGATTGCGTGATGTGAGGTAGCTCGATTTGGGTACTTGCTCCGGGATCTGATACACTTGTTTTGTGAAGTGTGTGATAGATACAATCAGGTCATATTTGCAACAATGGACGGACATGAATGTCGCAGGTATTACTGTTTGGAGATTGCGCAAAAATAATGCTTGAGTGAACAAATTATGTTGTCTAGTTGCATGTATGTATTTTGGGCTGATCAAAGAAGGTCAACCTACCAGATGATAACAAACACGGGATCATGATATCCGAAGACACAATCGTGGAAAACACAGACGCCTCGAATGACTCGCTCTGAATGCACAATCAGCCGCCTGTATGAATATTACAATGCCGGTCATTGAGCCTCGTGAGGGTGCCGATATCGCACAGTGGGCCATAAACACAGTCCAACGCCGCTTGTGGAACAGAAAAGACACATCTTATAGGGTTTGCAAGAGATCGTTACTTGCGGATAGGGTATCTTATGCCAATGAGCTGGGTACGTGGATGTAACCGAGAACTCGAGAGTCGAGAAGGAAAAGCAAGATAGCTTGAAATGTCAGGCACTATCCTGAAACACTGTGTGGACATCCATCAGGAACAAGGACTTATCGTAAAAGGATTGTGCCGTGTGTCGAAAGCGGCAGCCTCCCCCGGTCGTTCGTGTAGGGGGTCCCTGTAAAGTGCCGGAAAAGCGGGGACCGCAACGGTCGTCCTCGACCAGGGCTTGGATCCTGGCCGTTGGACTGGAAAGCTCTTAAGGAGAGCCATTGCGCCTCGATTTCTTGTTTCGCTCGATTCTGTCGTTCCACCTGCGCTTTCCCACCCGGGTCTCGAAGTGTGGCGCTACTTGGGTCACGTCTTGACCTTGGCCCATCATGCTGCTTCGCATCTTATTGCGGTAGGCATCGACTGTTAATAGTGTTAGTCTCCACAGCGTTCAATATTTCCGATAAGTACTCACGAGACTTCTGCAGAAACAATGTCCTGCCAGCGAAGACACGGCTCTGGCTCCAGCTCATGCGGTAGCCAAGATCGTTCAGCGTAATCTCTTTCGAGCGCTTCGTCCTTGTAAGACGCGGCTTCGGTACACGAGTCTCGCCGTCGAGAGTTGGAACGAGGACCGTTGTAGAACCAGATAATGGGAAGCTGGGGTCGCTCTCAACATCAGGCTCGTCTGCGAAGACCTTGCTGCCACGCGGGCTGGCCGGTGGCGAGGTCATCTGCATGGCGAAGTAGCTGCGGGGAAATACGGAGTTTGACTTGCGGTACGAGTCTGGCATCTCTTCCATCTTAACGGTGTCGAGAGTGACTCGCACGCGGACTCTGGTACCTCGTTGCGCATCGTCAACCAAGATGAACTTGCGGCGCTTCGACTCAGGTAGGTCGCCAAATATAGCTAGCTTTCTTTCCTCTTCATCCTGCTCCTGCTGCTTCGATACTGATACACCAGCTGCGTGCGGCGGTGGAGGCGGTGGGTACTTCATGTCTTCGTGAGTAGGCGGTAAGCCGCTGGAGCCTGCGACTGATTCGCCCGAAGGGAATGTAGGGTAAAAGTTCTGTGTCTGTCGTACGTCGCTCGGAGACTGCGTCCCGTTCGGGGCCTGATGGTGATGAGTGTGTGCCTCTGAGTAATCATTGCCTGTGAACAAAGAGAAATTAGCTTGCACGTTCAATGAGCCACAATTGTCCCCGTCCTCTGCGCTAAACCAAACATGTGTGCATCGGTGTGATGCGGGGGTGTATACAAGCATTGCGTACAGGCATAGGGCAGCTACTCCGAAGGGGTATTACATCAAGAAGTGTGTAATATACATGCAGTGCAGAAAGGACAGAGGTATCATTTAACATCCAACAATTGCGCTTAACACATCAACTCATCTGGTGAAACATACCGCTAACATCGTCCGATCCTCCTTGTGGTCCTCCTGGGTGATCGTGGTGGTGGTGCATCTGTGGACCACCCATGCCCATGTTGGACTGGCGAGGTGGTGCTGCTAAAGTTGCTGAGTTGGGAACACCAGGTGCTCCTGGGCCACCTGGACCAGCCATGTGGGCACCGTGTGTGTTGGCCTGAGCCTTTCGTGTCGTCATCTTCGCCATACGCCTGACGCGACGACTCCTCAGTCGGGGGTCCTGGTTGCTGTTTCGCCAGCTGTCGACTGCGCGTTGGATGAGACCGCGCTTGCCCCTCAAACAAGGGTTTAATTGTGCCAATGCCCAACCGACAGTGTTGCACTCAGTCTCATAGTGCAGACGGTTGCCCTTGTAAGAGTCCTTTGCGCAGCATGCGCGGGGGTAGACACAGTTCTCGGTCTTGAAATCCGGGGGAAGCTCGTCGACGTTAATCGACTCTACATCGCATCGAATGGTGTACTCCATCTTAACACGGTCGCGCGAATACTCAAAGGCGATCCACTGAACACCGTTCTGGTCCTGTCGTACAACAAGTGGGGTTGTTGCAGGAATGGGTCCAGGCGCAGCATTAGGGTTGACACCAGGACCGCCAGGAGGACCTTGGTGCATGTTCGGTGTGCCGACTGGAGGAGCCTGAGGCTGCTGCTGTGGCGGGCCAAGGCCTGATGGTGGGCGCTGGAGAGGTGTCTGTGACATCTGCGACTTCGGACTTCCAGTCATGCCTGGAGTGCGAGGGTGAGGCTGGTGAGTGTGTTGCATGTGTTGGCCTTGCTGATGTGACATCAAGAGAGGGTTTGATGCCATGGGCTGTTGTGGAGTAGAAGATGGGTGTTGGTTGTAAGGCGATTGCTGAGGCACCGGCGCAGAAGCATACGGTGTGTAGTACATTGACTGAGGCATCTGGCTGGGTGGCTGACCGTAAATTGGCCTTCCATGCTGGTCGTGCTGTGGTGATTGAACAGATGCAGGAGAGTTAGACTGAGGGGTGTGGTATGAGATCGGAGGGAAGCCCGTCCGGTTCATGGTTGCGGCTGCCATGAGCTCAGGTGTTTCTGTATGATGTCAGAAGGGCTTACTTTGTTTACTGGATTACGCTGGTGTTCTAACGATGCGTTTGCGCGCCTTGTTGGACGCGTCTTGTTGGACGCGTCTTGAACATGTTTGGAAGTCATAACACATACCTGATGATGAATAGTTGCTCGGCGCGCTGTTGGTGCTATAAGGACTAGGATGCGCCTGGTAGTAAGGAACCTCTTGCTGCTGCTGCGGCGGTGGAGGTCCTTGGATCTGCTGCACGTACGGCGATTGGTGAGGTGGTGGTCCTTGGGATTGGGAGGGGTGAGGTGAGGGGTAGTGTCCTTGAGCTGGGCTCTGGTTTGGCGGCGGCTGGTGAGGAGAGCTGGGGTGCGGCTGGTGGTGATGTTGCTGCACTTGGCCAGGCCTGGGGTGCTGTGGATGGTGAGGATGGTGAGGATGGTGGTTTGGCGGCGGCAGGCCCTGGGTCGAGTGGGGGTGATGCTGTTAGGCGAATGCGGTCAGCAACGGTGCTTGCGCAAACAATTGTAGAAAGTAGACTCGGCAGGCTGCGGTGCAGGAACAAACAAACAAGCGGTGCAAGGTACAAGAACAACGAAGCTCAAGCTCAAGAGGCCGGGATGCGGGGCAGGGCAGACAGTGATGTGCGCCGATGTGCAAGGCGGCGATGTTCTCTAGGCGAGGAGCAGGGTCTGGAAAGAGACAGGACGGTAGGGTTTAGTTATAGGACAGGCAGGGCAGACTAGCAGGCACCGCCGCGACGTTGACAACACAGAGGGCGGACGAGCGGTGGGAGCGGAGGTCAAGTTGCTCGCAGGGATTCCGCTGCGTCGCTCTGAGTGACAAGACGCGGCGGAGAGAAAGCAGCGCGACCAGGCGTCCAGCAGAGGTGCGACAGGGCCGGACAGGGGGTGGTGGTCTGGGAACTTGGGTCGCAGCCCTGCTACCATCTGTACCAGGGCCGCTTGGTGGGGGGAGGGCATACCATGTTAGGCTGTTGCGCCCAAGCTGGGTTTGGCTGGGAACTTGGCTGGGGGGAGTGCAAGCGTGTGGATGCGGCGTGCAGAGGCAGCTGCAGGCTGCAAAAGGAACGAGGAAGCCAACAGGAGCGGTGACAGCGACGGATCACGGCTGTGGGCGTGCGCGAAAGCTCAAACTCCAACGGTTGAGGGTGCCAGTGCAGAAGGGCCGATCGTAGGGGTGCGGCGAAGCGAGTGTATGCGAGAAGGAGAGGGCAGGGAAGCAGAGTCAACTCACCATCTTCTGCGACGCTACAGGCGCCGGCTCTTCCTTATACTTCCGGGCCCTATCTGGGGCATGCGACAGCGACATGTTGATTCTGAGAGCGCGCTGGAGGTCGAAGGATGCCGGGAAGGCTGGTCAGAGCGCCGGCCGATGAGGGTTAGGAGTGAAGTGCAGTAGCGCTGGCCTGCAATTTCACGCGCAGCAGCAGCGGCCAGGACAGTTAGCTTAGCAATGCCAGTGCGCCGAGGTGGCCGTGAAATAAACGTCCTCAAACCGCTAATGCACGCCCGGCCGTGGTGCTGTTTTGAGCGCGCTAGCCCGCGGGCGTGTGAGCCGGGATCAGGGATCGCCGGTGAATACACGACGACGTTGTGCAGCGCTGCGTGAACTTGACGACCTGTCGTCTGTGCAGCGCTGCGGCTGAAGCAGCCGAGTGCGGTGAGGATTCAACTGACGAGAGTGGTCTCTGGTGGAGTAAGCGACGACGACAGCAGTGGGGCCCTGGAACCACGGTTCGATGAGTATCTAGACAAATGATACAAAGGCAGGCGGCAGTTGCAGCCAGCGCAGGAAGGAGCAACTGGGCAGGCGCGGTACAGACTGACAGACTCGCTAGTGGCTTGCAGTCTGGTACTGCCATCAGCAGGCTCTTTCCTTCGCTACTTGATAGCACCTGCCGCTGTCGCGCTAGGGTAATCAGGTAAACAAGCAATCAGTCCTTCTCCGATCCAAGGTTCGCTGCGGGCCCTCGCCTTGACCACCGCGACCCTATACCAGCGCTGCTATAGATACAACGCGACGTTTTCACCTCCTGCTTATGCGTCTTCAATTTCGCCCCTGCAGCATGTTACTATCTTTTGCACACACACGCCCCAGTCTGCGCACCGCGCGCCGCTGATTCGACGCGTCACTCTACATGTGGCGGTTCTGCCAGAGTTCTGCCGTGTGCGCAATATCTGCTCGAGTCTCTAGTGCACCGTTTGGCAGTTGCACCACCAAGCCAGCGGCCCACCGTTTGGCGTCTCATTGGCCGGCTGCGCCGGTGAGTAGGCGCCCAAAACGGCTCACTAGCAGCTCGTCTTTCAACGTTGCCCAACATGACTCTATTGGCCGAGGCACGTCCGCTTGTTTCTTCATGCAGCCTTAGAGTCGGATCGCCCACGCAATGCAGTGGTTGCGGAAATGGCTCTCGGGAGACGGGATGAGGCCAGGCTGCCCAGCAAGCTCCCACACTCCTCGACAATCACCATCTGATCGGCCCTGGCTCTCGCAAGATCGCGGGGCCATATCGCCGAAACATCCCAGAACGTCACCACTATTCCTCCAGGGGCTCCATCACGGGCCTTAATCAATGCGATGGGGCTGCTCGCACCAAGACTTGCTGTAGTGGGCCAATGTGTGTCGCTGCTTGGGACGTTAAATTCGATTAAGATTGCCAGTTCATGCTGGAACACGACTTCGACAAACAGCACAGGAACGCCAGGCGAATGACCGCCTGGGCAGTCGTGATGGTAATTCAACGCTGCAGCAGCGCCGGAGGTCGATTGAAAGAATCGTTTCGGTGCGATGGCCTCACCTGCTTCGGCTTCGATTTAAATTGCAATGCCGCCTCGCCTCGAGGACGTCTCAAACCTGATTCTGATTGCATTCTGATGGAACATGGTCCGCAAACTCTGACACACGTCACGCGGCCCATCCATGGACAGAACTCTTCAGAACTGTGGTTGACGGGCTTCGAGAAGGATATGCGACGGGAACATCAAGCGGTACCATGGTTGTGAGCACAACACTCCCTGTCTGCGATCGTGACATGGGACCTTGACCTGTCCAAACTGTAATCTTCCGAGCGAGTCGTTCGCAGCGGGGTGCGGAGAAACCCTGAGGGCAGCGCTGGCCTGGCTGGTCGACCAGGAAGACAGAACCCTATTTCAACGCCGGCTATTCTCACAAACTCAGTCGCAAACACCGCACTTGCCTTCAACAATGCACACTTGCAGTGAAGCAAACCTCCATTACTACAGATCGCCAGTGAACGCGCAAACCGCAGCAATCAACCTACACACCATCCCAATCGTTGCATCATGCTCCATGACTCTTCAGCCTTAAAGCCCCCGCACGTATTAGCATCGTCAGCCACGCTCTTGATTCAGGTCGCACGGCTATGGCAAGTTGCATGTCGATCTGCTGCTGCTCTGCATGGAGCTGCTGTTCATAGCACACTCACGACCAATTCTCCCCGCCGTGCAGGCAGAGGGCTGCTCAGATACAGGTTGACGGCGACGTGCATAACGACTTTGGTCAGCTGTGATGCCTCATTGAGTTGTCTCTGCCGCGGAGCATCTGGCGATGAATATTATCATCCGTGTAAGGTCATATGGCCATCAGCAACGACCTTCCTATTGCCAACAACGGCCCGTTACTTCTCATGCAATCCAGGCTCAATGCTACCGGTCTTCGACAGTTACATCTGCACACATTCTGTTGACCCAAGTACCGAGTGAAAGAACAAAGTTATCGCATTGCCAACTTTGACATCTTGTTCAGACCGTTTTCCTCTAGCAGGAGACAGGGATAGAGCTTTTGCAACAACGGTGGACGATCGTAGACAGGGCAAGGGTGCGACGCTATCATCCATGCATCCCGAGTCGTCCCGCAGCCATGCCTGCAAAGATTACACCGCGAATACGAGTTTTCACCGCATGTCCCGATTCGACTCAAGTTGCAGTCGTTCAAGATGGTTGAAATCTACGCCGCTGGCTCTTTCCGAATAAGACGCAACAAAATGGGTCTTTGGTTGAAAAGGAAAATTTATCACGCGTCGAACTGACTGATTGGCTGCATCACCGGGGCAGCTTCGTTCTCATGAGTCGCGCATGAAAGACCGGAGATCAATCGGCAACAGCCGTTGTGATCAGCCAGCCTTTGGCAGAAGAGCAAAGATTTCGTCCTCCACTACTTCGACAAGGCTGTGCTAGACATAACTACTAAGTCTTACACCGCACAGATTTCTTTGTCCACGCGTTTACGGCAAGTTCACTTGTAATTCTTCAAGTGCTGGGAGGTGGACCAGGTGTAGTTCCTGACGGGGCTGATAATCCGAACACGAGCCCAAGGATATGCACCTCGATCGCACTTATGAACTGTCACAGCGCCACCTGTCTCACGATCCGAACTCGAACTCTAGAGACAGTGCTCCTCACTTGCTTTGAAATCGTACACTGCGCAACCGAGCCTTTTTTCAACGTTATTGCATAAGCGTCAATCCTGACAGGCGACACATCTCCCTTGATTGGCTCGACATCAGACCTGCTCTTTGCCGGCTTCTATCTTGATACAAGGGTCGTGCCACCCCAGACAGCAGCGGCCGGTGCGACAAGGATAAGCCAGCCTCCGGAGGGGTTCCCAACAACAAGACTTTATTCGTCGAATCTGATTTGAGCGGACATTTGGGGAACATGGGCTGATTCTTGCAGCTCATCTCTGATGGCTTAACCCTCCATGATGTCAGCACCGATCTTCTGCAACCTGGGGACGAAGTTGCCGGGTCGTCCTCTCCAATCTTGAGGTTCCAGACCCTGTTTCAACTCTCCTCGAACATGACTTCACCCTTACGCGGATCTTCGAACAGGCTGTTGCTCTGTTCAGATCAGCGTTCTCCAGTGTTGATCACTGCTGTCCTGCCCCTCCTTGGCGCGCGACACTCGTCATTCTTGTGACTGGACATGTCCCACCAAAAAAAAGCAAACACTCGACGTAACCGGCTAACTACACGGAGCCAATGAGCCTTTGAAGGTCATATTCGGCAGTATCCCGTCGACCTGCTCGACGACCAATGATCGACTTTGCATTGTACTTGTATGATCCAGTACTTGTAACAGTCAGCTCACGGGCGTATCGGTTCAGTTCTCACAAACGAAAAACCACCAGATATTACAAGTTGTCTGGATCTGGGTCTCCATGGATTCACGACTAGAGGAACCCGTACGGTCATGGAACAAAGCATGTTTGATTGCCTGCTGCAGGCAAGACGCAATACTCGGTTCTATGTCGAGAACTGATACGAAGCGACGTCGGTACAAGCCCCCAAGGCGGCCTTTACAACAACTTGAACTATGGAAACACGTCACTTCAGTGATTTTCATCGGCATCCAACCGTCATACAAAGAAAATTCCGGCTGGTTGTCCGGTCTATCAACATTTCTACAAGAATGTGCCGTAAATGATGGGTTACGTTGCGGTCCTCTTGAGTCCACTTCATTTCATCATCAGTATATTCGCTCTGAGCGAATTCCTCAGCACAAAACGCAAGTTCAATTGCATTGTCGTGCACACTCCTTGAAGCACGCGTCCATTGTCTGCTCGTATTCACTTGCTCTTCCATTACCGCAGCACGATGCAAACGCGAAATACCACCTCGAGGCCGGGGAAACCGAACTTGTCGAAGCTACACCTCTAATGATTAGCCTGAATGTGCTGAGTAGGTCGGTGAGAAGTGCATGAAGCAAATCACACTACAACGCGATACTAACACCACTTCGGCGACTGCATTTAACGCATACACGCCAGTTTACTATGGCTTGCCTTCGTCACCTGAAGACAAAACATCATCAACCTGAGCTTGTGATCTATGACCGCACTGGCGTCTGTACACGTTTCGCCAGCTTAGCGGCCTTCTAGCGGCCTTCGAGAACAACAGCCCTGCAAGTGCTCGCCCATGCCTTCATTTCGCTACATGCGGGATGAAAACACGACTCGAATTTCGAGAAACACGATTCATAATTCCACGATAGGGCAGACGCTATGTCACTTTTGTTCTACGCTCGAGTCTCGTGCGCAAGCACAGAGCTTCGTGGCATCATCCATCCAGCCGGCATATTCACGTTGCGCGCACGAACTTCCACATCGGCGAAGATGCGCAAAATGCCGTTGTGACGATCCAAAAAAGTACGCTCAAGGCGTCCAGTACCCACACGAACAGAGCACAGTTCACAAACGCTTACGACTGCATATTTGTTGCGGCTGTCTTCTTGCGAAACACACCCTTTCACGGTATGTTCCACGCCCAGAGCAGTGGACTCAATAACCAACGAAACCTGGACCCTCTCCCCACGCGCCTTGTGTCCAGTTGTGTCACCGCTATAATAGCTCGGAATGTTTCTCAGAATATCGTCAGCCTGGTAACGGGTCCTCAGTGAGGGTACGAGTGCGTGTAGACGAGACTAGTCTTCCGGTCACAGGCTGCACGATACTTAAAGTTCGAACACACCGCTCACGGCTTTGCGACTGGACAAAAGGCGGTGTTGCGATACACCGCGACACGCGCGCAGAAAGCCGATACCGGTAGAATCGGTTGCCGAGCGTTCCTTGAAACGCTGACAGGTGTTCGAGAAGTGCATGCCAAACGTCGAACGTAAGCTCAGACAAGCATCCGCCTCATCTTCGTCTACAAGATCAGGCTTCCTAGAACCGCTGTAAAGGTCGACTCGTGCGACAGACGAGGTTTGATTCAGGTGCAGCCCATCTGCTGGATGCGTCTGGTCAATCAAATGTGTAGTTTCGATTTCTACACAAGGTAGTTCCTGGTAAAGTGAAAGCGCAGAACAAGCTTCCAAAGACCCACAGGATAAGTTGGTTTCGGTGCGATTGCGAGAGGAGAGCATGATCAGAGTTTGGAACGCATGGTTACCGGCAAAGTTTCGAAATGCAACTGCCCACATGCAGCGTCGCTTGCATTTTCTCCATCTCTTCAAGTCTTGGACTCTTATCAGAAGGGTCGATCCTGATGCCCGAATTGACTCTCGTCATCATCCTGCCGCAGAAGACAACACGAGCATGATGATATGCTGGCGTTGAGGCCGCAATGGATGCCCGATACCATGTAGAGACTATCAGAACGTTCTGATCACTGTTTTACATCAAGGCAGAGCGGCAGTTACTCTTTCCAAGCTCGCTTACAAGACTTACCTTTCTACCAGCATGATCCATGCGTTCGAATCCTCCAGTCTTCATGGGCAATGGCATTCACTCTCGCCAACACTGCTTCGTTCGTTGACGCACAAAAGGACGATATCAAGAACAGGAAGGTCACCAAGCAGATCTTACGTTCTGTCAAGCAAATCCATCCGCTTACTCACCCCTGCACACTTTGAGACAGCCGGGACATCCTGCCCAGCACCGCGGCCAACTCACCTCATCTACAAACCCCGCACGCTTCCGCCGGCCACGCCTCACTTCCCTTCCGCGTCCCTCTGAAGATTATTCTGACCCGGTTTCTCACCCTGTTTTCGTTCTGTGCTCTGGCCAGACGGGATCCTTCTAGACGTTGATCTGATCCGAGGACGGCCAATTGGTGGATAAGCAACACGTTCAGGGTGAGTTGACGCGTCGATTTGTGGGCACAAAGCTCATCAATCTGGGACTGGCGCGTGTTGCCTACGCAGGTCTGCAACCACTCGCGGGCGCTCGAGCTGTGGAACAAGTTTCTGTGCGTGCTCAAGGGACGGGTGTGAACTGCCGCAGAGTTCTAGACAGCTGCGGTCGGACCATTCTTGCGTTGAGTGGTGGGTAGAGTGTTGGCGTTTCAGTCAAAGATCATAGTGGGTGGGTTTACGATGGCTATTCGTTGGTGGAGATGCAGCTGCGTTTGTTTGTTGATGACTGACCCACCAAACGGACTATTCGTGGAATTCGATTGTCTCCTTGGTCTTGTGAGCAGGACAGTCAGGCGTTGCCAGAATCAGCGTCCGTCTTGCTGTCCTGCATGCATGTGGATGTCGTCTCCCACGTTCACGAGCCAAACAAAACTCAACGACGAAAAGCGACAAATTAATAGTCCGGCTTTTAGGATGACTAGCTTCTCAAGTTCGAGGTACACCCACTCAGCACTGTGCATGTGGCACTCAGTTCCACCAAAATCACGTTGGCTCTCGCGGAGCTTTGAATACCTGCGAAAGATCGACTATCATAGGCGTCTCGAAAAGAGCATGACGAACCTACATCACCTCCTGCTCTCTGCTTTCAAAAGCACGCCCGTTGGAGCATCGTTGACTCCAGACTCGATCAAACATCAGACTTCATCGAAGTCCATGAGCTATCCTCGTTCACTGAGAGCATGCCGACCTTCTCTCATGTCCAACGTGATCTCCGTACCTGATTTGCTCGCCATCAAAGGATTGCTCATGTGGGAATAATGAGAAGGCACGACTACGTCTTTGGGTCCTTCTTCGACGCTTGCAACATTCATGTCGCACGCTTGAGGCGCCCGAGAACACTGAAACGTAAACATCGTCGAGTGGCTTCTTTAGAAGCTTCCGCAACTCTCACAACCTAAAGGCTGACACACCATCCGGACTCAGATCGAAACACATCTTTCTTGCGCCCGAAGTGAAGGACGCAACCGTCGTCATAAGAGTCTATGGATAGCGCGCACACAAAACTGGTGTTTCCTTCTGAATGCTCAAGGCTGCCGAGGCAATATGTTCATTCATTACATTGTAGCGACACCCCGGAAGCGTAATTGGGATTTGTGATGGGGCCTGTTGCGAGTTAGGATACAAGGGAAGTATGAGCGTCGGTCTTTCTGTTCTGTCCAGGTTCATGTGAAATGGGATTGGAATACACAGTGGTACGTGTCTAGCGCTCCGCAGTTAGCAGATGCAACGCCTCGCTATCGACTCTATGGCAATCATTAGCTTGTCAAGTGGAATGTGAAGAAGGTGTGTATCAGTGCGTGCCAATCGCTTATCACACGACCAAGTATGAAGCCGTCAGTATGATGATCGCATTGGGCTAAAACAGGACATGCTTTTCTTTCCGTTCCGAAAAGGAACCATTGAGCTACGCATCAAAATCCATGAAATATATACAGTACAGTACAGTACCATCATCTTGAATTGGCGACACCTTTCATATCCTCCTTACAGCTTTCAGCTTGCAAAAGCACCAACAGCAGCCTCATCCGTCTCCTTATCCCCCGGAACAAGCTTCACACCCTCCTCCTGCACATCCCCACTCCTGTTCTCCCTCTCATCCTTTCCCCCTCCCTCCCCCTTGATAGTATCCCGTACCAACTTAAGGGCCTCAAACGCAAACATCACCATATTCCCCTCTCTCTCCTTACTCCCAGTCTCCACCTCCCTCGTCACCGTCCCGCCCTCCTTAGACACAGCAAGCGCCACATACCCCGGCGTCCTATTCCTGTTATTCCCCCCCGTCGGCCCCGCGGTCCCGCTCTCACTCACTGCATACGTGCTCTCGAGCGTCTTCCTCGTGTTATCAGCGAGTTTCGTAACAATATCCGGCGTAGGACCCTTGTAGTTCTGCGTATCCGCGTCGGTCCAGCCGACGAATGCTTTGCGGCTCTCGAGCGTGTAGAGGGTCAGGCCGCCGCGGTAGAAGGACGAGGCGCCGGGGTAGGAGAGGAGGGATGAGGAGATTAGGCCGCCTGCTGCCTGGGTTCTCGTTAGCGGGTGAGCGAGGGTGGATGAAGGGAGGGAGAGAGTACGGTTTCTGCGACGGAGATTGTTTCTTTGCGGTCTTTGAGGAGCGTTGCGACCTCCTTCACGATCTCGCGGAGCTCCTGTGGTGGGAAGGAGGATGTCGACATAATGGTCTTGGTTGGTTGCTGGAATTGATATAGAGATTGCAGCGATCGAATTGGTCAGGAGTGCTAGACGGCGATGTGCTGAGGCTCTGTGGAGATTGGTAAAGGATTGCATGAATGTGGAAAGTGCAGCTGTCGATTGGTAATGTTTTGTGGGGTAGCTTGGTGACGTCGGTGACAGCATGTGGGGTAGCTTCTTGCAGCTAAAACTTTCTGCTAGCCATTGTAAATGCAAGAGCACCAATGATGATATACGGACTAAGGGAAGGAACACTTGATTGAAGAATAATATGTGTTCGCTAGATACCAAACCTCTCAACAGTGTGTATCACAAGCCTTGAGACCTCGAGACTTAACAAAGCACGAATGTAAAACTGCAGCGGCCGTGAGGGAACCGTGAAAGACAATGCCTCCGTTCGAAATGTAGCCTAAGGATAACTGATAGCCTCCAATATGCGCAGAAGAACCAAGTCCCCGCTGACCCAAAAGAGCAAGCTGCAAACGCCAGAAGAACCCAAGTATGCTATTCAATTGCCCCCAGAATGCGAATCGTGAGCCTGATGGTGATGCCACTAGGGCAGTATAAAGTAGCGTAATGATGTGATGGTACAGAGCTCGAGCTGGTCCGCTTCGGCGAGCATGAACGTGTCAATTAGGAAAGGTAGTCGGTAAGTGTGTTGGTGTACGTGTCGTGGTCATCATGCGTCAGCTCAGTTGTTGACGTAGTATTGTGTATGGATGAGAATAATGGTGTAGATGCGCTCATGAGGGTGCCATGTCTGCCATCGCCTCTTGCTCGAATTGCTCGAGGCGTTTCAACTTCGCTTCAAGTTCAGAGAAGATGTCGCCCATATGGCAAGCCTGTTGTAGCAGTGGCGCAGAGCCGAAGGGCCGCATCATGTGTCGCAGGGCAAGCGTAGTAGCACACGACTGTCTTCTGGTTAGCTCCTTTATTAGTATTCGAGGCGAGTAAGTACGTACCTCGATTCTCGAGATCTGATGTTCGACGAAGTTTATCAGGAATCGATCTGTGATCTCCCCACCCCTGTTCTTCATGCGCTCGAGCAATGCTGTCTCAGGCGCCTTGAGCTCCGAACTCCCCGGGTTCTCAAGAGTACTGCACAACATCTCCAGACGCAAACTGATATTCCATAGATCCCATACGTCCTCTGTATCAATCGTGAGCTGGCTGCCTGGCATTTTCTGACCGATCGATGACTCCTGAGCGGGTGGCGCTGCTTGTTGCTCAAGTTGGCGCTGCACGACGAGACGGCTGGCGAGAGAATGTGGGTACATCAGGTAGATGTACTCCGGGTTTTCGAGACCCTTGAGGCGGCGTTCACCGAGGTCTTTGACTTCGAAACCCTGGCTGCTAAGAGATCGCAGTTCCTGCCTAATAAGCTGGCTGTGGATATCGTCGCCGTACGCTTCTTCTGAGCCGGTGGAGTTGCTACGGTCACCTTCGATGTGCGTTTCAAGAAGGCGTTGAATTTCAGCGATGAAGTCGGAGGAAACCGTTATTTGCCCTCCGTCGGCCACGGATGAGATACGTGAAGCCCGATTGACCATAGGTCCGAAGTAATCCATACGTTTGGTGACTGGGTCAACTTCGCACACAGGCCGGCCCCAGTGGATACCCATGCGGACAGAGAGACCACGGAATATGACATTGCCATCGGCGTCGACCACTTCTTGCCCGTTCACGCTGTTGAGAATCTCTTGCGGCCACTGCACTTCCAAGAGTTGACTCTGGATTGTGAAGCACCACAGCAAGGCCGATGTTACGGTCCGGAAGGCAACCATGAACGCATCACCTTCAGTCTTGACCTCGTAACCACCAATGATGCGTAGCTGTCGACGCATGAGCTCATTGTGCATTTTGATTGCAGATCTCATAGCAATGGGATATGTCTCCCAGAGCAAAGTCGAACTCTTGATATCAGTGAACACCAAGCTGACTTCGCCCGTTGGTGCATCCACTTCTTGGTCGAGTCGAGCAAGCTTTGAATCACCAACCATGTTCCTGGCCCTCTTTCCTGGCCTACGGTTGATAGCGAAGTCGTCTGGCGAGCCAGTAGGTCCCATAGACATACTGTGCGTGCGGAATCGGGCCCGCTGTTTGCTCTTCAGGTCGCTGACCCCAAGCAGCATGACGTGAATCTTGTTGGTAGCACCAAATGCAATCGCAAGATCTCGAAGCTTTTGAGCAGCTCGCATAAGATCATTGCGCTCAGATCGTGCCACATCAACAGCAAAGTCCGGTGTGAGGTATTCCCACAGTTCTCGAGAAGCTACTAGGATCATCTCATCCGTGTCGCCCAATGTCAGGTTGATGATGTGTGGCGACGCAATGACAGACGGAGACATCTGCACGTAGCCAAAGGCTCGCGATACTTCGAGGACATCGTTCAGCTTGCCTTGGCGTGAGACGAAACCACCGGCTTCTCTGATTCTTGCCCGCTCGCTGGGCTCAGCAGGATCATGCTTTCGTGTGAGAATCTTGTGCCCGCCCTCTGACCGAATCAGCAACGCTTGTGCATCGCCAACGTTAGACATGTAGAGCTCCATCCCCTTCAGGTACATGACCGTGGCCACGCAGCCGGAGGTCAGATCATCGTCTCCAAGCTCAGGCACGGCGCCTCTGGGCTGTGTTGGCGGCGTGTAGGCGTTCTTGTCCAGCGACTGAGAGGCAGCTGTAGCCAACTCTTTGTTGAGACCTAGATAGGTACGTCGCAACGCATCGACTGGGTTCTCGTTCGGTCGCAAACGGTCCAGCTCATCGGCGAACCGATTCTTGAAGTGGTCGTACAAGAACTTGGCGATCTTAGATCCCCCCCCAGCGAGTGGCTGGGCATCGAACAAGCCCAGCACTTGCTCGTCATCGTGGCTGCGGAAGCGAGGTACGACCATATCCATGGTAGAAATGTGCTCTGTTCTGCCCAAGCTGTCCGCCATGCCGTAAGCCATGGTACCAACAGCAGACCCTGCTGTTCGCACTCTCCTGTCTTCCGTCTGCTCAGGTACAGACGGGATCATCATGGTAACGTCCATCAGTCCGAGAACCTGCAGGCTGACGAGTGCAGTGAAGTCTGTTAAATCGCGGCCCTCCCGCATGGCAACTCCGCTCCCGCTGTATGAACCGCTAGGTTTGATTTCAAGTCGCTTGTTGCCTGACAGGTTGAGGTATCTGAGTTTGTGGTTCCAATTCCAGTTCCAATCGTATGGCCAGTTGGAGACGTTGTACTTCAATGAATTGCTGGCAACATCCAGGACAGCGAGCTGCGCAACCTTACCAAGTTCGGCGGGAAGCACTTGGAACTTGTTGTTGTTGATGTGGAGTACCTTGAGCGAGCCCACCTCTTCCAGGTCCTCTGACGGCAAGGACGTCAGATCGTTACCTGAGAGATAGAGCTCAGCAAGATGCTGCCACCTCCTGATCGTGCGTGGAGGAATATCGTATATCAGGTTGTAAGCCAGGTTGACTATCCTCAGCTCGGGCAGCAAGCAGAGCTCGTCGAACACATTGTCCTCGAGTCTATTGTCGGCTAGGAATAGATGTCGCAAAGAGCCAGCAAATGTCGTGACCAGTCTACTAGATAGGCTAGAGTCTTTGCGAGACATTGGTGCGAGTGTGCCTTCAGTAGGCGCCCGGGACGCCGCTGATGGCTTGCGTGCTGTGCTGGCGGTGTTGAAAAAGGCCATTGATCCCTTTCGATTCGAAGATGCCGGCGAAGTGCCTGAACTGAGATAACCACCTGATGCCTGACTAGGGCGACGGTTTTGGAAATCTTCCAGCTTGCCGAGCTCTTCGTAGCTGGGGCTTGATCCCAGACTTGGTGTTGATATCGAGTGGGATCCGTCCAACTGTATGCCGCTGTTGGCCTCTACTGGTGGCGCTGCACTTGGCTTCGGGAAGGCGTCCAGCACGTTTGAGGATACATTGAGCGTCTCCAAACGTCGTGCGTACCAAATCTCAGGTGGGAGTCGCCCGAGATTGTTCTCTCGCACGTCCAGATAACGCAGCTCCACAAGACGTCCAATCTCGGCCGGCAGCTCATCCAAAGAATTTCGCGCAACACTCAGATGCTCCAGCCTGTACAGCCTGCCGATGTTGTTCGAAAGCGATGTAAAGTGATTCTTGTCCAAGATAAGCTTCGTGAGTCCCGTGAGCTTCTGGAACAGATCCTCTGGCAACTGAGCTAGCTTGGCAGATGCAAGGTTCAGTACAGTCAAGGACGGTACGGGTCCGCTCAAACCGAAACGTGTAACAGGGTTGTGGTTCATGTGTAGAACGCGGATCTTGGGGAAGTACCCTTCGAAAGCAGATATTGAGTTGTGTCCAATCATAAGGAATTCAAGGCGTGGCAGTTGTGACATGACGTCCATGCTGTCAACAGCATTGAAACGCACATCCACTTCTCGTAGATTGATCAGGTTGCTCAGTGTGGGAGGGAAGCTACCAGACAGCTTGTTGTTGGTTGCCCATAACCTTTCTAAACACGTCAATTGTCCAATCTTTGGAAGACTGCCTATCGAGTTGAAGCTGATGTCGAGGTCAACGAGCGTGCGCACTTCGCACAAGAAATCGGGGAACTCCGTCAGAGAGTTGGAACTGAGGTTCAAGCTGCGAAGAGCACGATACTGCCCAAAATAAGATGGTAGAGACGTAAGTCCGTTGTTCGATAGTCGAAGGCCTTGCAAACTCTGTAGCTTCTGTAGTTCTGCCCTGTCAAGTGTCTGGAGGCAGTTGTTGGATATGTCGAGCATGGTGAGTCGACTTGCCATACTCAGACTGGGAGGTAGTCTTCTGGCATCATTGCTGGTGTATTTAATCTCCCTGAGATTCGTACAAGCCTGGATGAAATCCTTCGGAACGTCGAGGGAAAGGTTTCGTGACAGATTCAGGGAAATGATCTCGGTGGCCTTCTGGTACAGAGTGATAGGGATAGTGATCAGGTTCTTGCCCTGGAGGTCGATATGGCTGAATTTTTGCATTTGCTTGAAGCCCGGATCCTTCTCAAGGCTTGAGAAGCCGCTCATCTTGGCTGGCAAGAATGTAAACCTGCAAAGGTAGCTGTTGTCTTCTCGCCCAACGTCTTCCAGACGATCCGCCTCCGAGTATCCAGCTTGCTCCAGGAGGCGTTTCTGTATGAGCAACGGTCGCTCGTTCGATTCCAGCTGCCGCGAGGTGTCATGTTTCCGCATCACGATGTGGTAATTGTCCAGCTCATCCTGGAGTACAGTTTTCTTGCCAAGTATCTGGATGATTTCTGCAACGGTTGTATTGAGTGTAGCAGACAAGGTCGCAAACGTGGAGTCAGCCCTGAATATGCGCAAACAGTAGGTTCTCGTGTCGTTCTGTTCCCTCGCCGCTTCTTCAGGTTCGTCGATTGATTGTTCCCGCAATTCATCGAGCCTCTTCACAGCCCATGAATCAGGTGCGTCCCATGTGTCGTCCTTTGGCCCGGGCTCATCATCTCCAGCCAGCGCTGTATGCTGTACGTCGCCGGTTGGGGGCGTCATTGGAGGTTGTTGCGGGTTCACGATGCCGCTCATGTCGTCCAGCTTCGTGTCCAGGAACCACATGGCTTCATTACCCGTGGCATCCGCTTTGGCTTCGTTTGGGTCTTTCCCTCTGGGTTCCGCGTGTGACATTTGGCGCCTGTCTGAAGACTTGAATGGCAACCGCCTGTGCTCTTTCTTACTATCCTTTGCAACATTACTGGGACCCTTCAATTGTTCGAACGTAGACTTCTTCTTCGATGTGAAAGAGGGCTGGTTAGGATCTGCACGTGCTGATGGTGGACCATTTATGGAGGAAGGCAGAGATATCTGTGACGATCCAGCTAGCATGTTCTTGAGATTGTCCACTGCCGGGTGATGCTCTGTCTTGTCCTTTCCGCGTAAGCGCGCAAAGAATCGGCCAGGACCTTTGGTCGTGCTAGGTGATTGTGACTGTTGAGCTACAGAATGTTGTGTCATCTCCGAGTAAGTGCTTGGTGTTGGACTCGATGGGCGCGGTACGAGACTCGTCTTCGAAGCGAATGCAGAATTGAAAGTTGATGGTTGCGGTTGGTTTCGACGCGCACTATATGAGTCCTCGCGGCTGGTGGCAGGTCGCAAAGGGTACGGGACGCTGATGTCGCCTCGACTGTCGGGTGCTGTCTTATTTTCTTCTTTGCTACGATGGTGTCGGTGTCCAGGCAGTCGTGAGGTTATCTTGTGCGCGCGATGACCTGATTTGGTGGATGCTTGCTCAGAAGATCTTCTGCGCCCATTCTCTGTCGAGGAGGGAGCATCCTAGGATTGTCAGTGACACGACTATGAGAAGGGTGCAGTGACGCCGCGTGCAACGTGGGTATCGAGGGCAGACGCTGGGCATGGATGTGCCTCCTTGAAGCAAGAGCTTACCTGAGGTGCCTGAAACTCCCAGGGCGTAACTTCCGAAGAAGGCTGTGGTGTCCGTGGCCGCGAGCTGGTGGGGGAAGTAGGTCTCGAGTTGTAGCCGCCATTGCCAAAAGTGTTGTTCAGCGAGTTGCCACGATTTCGAGGTGCATGCAGGGACTGTGTCTCTGTGATTTGCGACCTCCCATTCAAGCTTGAGTCTGAGTTTTGACGACCATCACCAGGAAAGTCTTCGCCAAACACGTTTTGCAACTTCTTGTGAAATCCTCTGCTAAAGCTCGACTTTGATCCACTACTGCTGACCGTCAAGGCGCTTGCGACAGAAGGTCTGCGATTGTCCCCTGGGAAAGCAACAGCGTCTTCTCTAGAGTTGCCGCCGGTTGGAGCGAAGGCAGGTGACAACTGGGCCACATCTTCGTTGTCTGAATCGTTGAGGAAGCTGCTCCAGACACTGTTCGCCATGTTCGTACCACCATTGGGGCCGGACGATGCCCACGGTGGGTTGGAGTTCGCGCTCGAAGCAGTCGGTGGGATGCGCGATATGGAGGGTACCCTTCCTCCCGAGGTCTGCAACACGGCAAGGTCCTTTCGATAGTCGCGGAAGTCGTTCGAGACGGCGCCGTCCCAGGTGGGAGGCTTGCGAGGCTGGTGCTGCGGGTCTTTTGGGGGAGGAGCTGGGGGGACGGTGGTGGGAGAGATCTCTGGCTCCTTTTCGATGCTGCATCAAAGCGTCAGCAGAGGTTCGTCGAGTAGTCGATGTGCGTCTGGCAGTGAGACAGCAGGATAGACGCCGGGACACGACTCGCGAACGATTGCCCATCGTGGTGTTCTCTGCTACGCGAACACCAGCAAGAAACACAGCCAACCACGTCCCCGCTATCGCAGCACGCGCGGCGCAGATCTCGAGGCACAGATCGCGCAGGTCGCGCAGCTCTGCCAGCACAGGCCCGGCGCCTGCAGCTTGCGGCGACAGCAGCGTGCCATGCAGGCGCAGCAGGAGTATACGTACGGTGCGTTTGGGCCCTTGGATGTCTTCACCGTGACAGGCGTGCCGCGCAGAGAGCCATGGCGACCATATGACCGAACAGTGTCGCCGGTGCGCGAGCTCCACGAGCTGTCAGTGCTGCCCTGACGATTGGTATTCGTCTCGTTCCTCGTCATTCTCGCGGCAGGGTCGGCGGCGCAGCCAGACGCGACGCGCCTGCGAGTGGTGGGCGTGGGTGCGGCGGTGGATGCGGCCGATAGCTGCTGGGGTCGGTCGTTGTCGAGGGCTGCTTGCGCAGGTGGGCCTAGGACGGCTGCTTCATCGACGCGGGACGCCGCGACAAGGTGCACATAGGGCGGAGCGGGACGTGAGCGAGACTAGCGGGAGCGGACGGGCGGGGTGCAGCGGCGGAGAGAGCGCGCCTGGCAGTGCAGGCAGGGCGTGGCGGCAACAGCAGTCACAAACAGTTGCAATGTGGTGTTCGAAGATGGGGAGTTGCACATTCGGCGAACGGGCTCCACTCCAGACGGACTGCGGATGCTCACCTTGTCTCGAGCCTAAATGCGCCACCTGCACCCGGGGGTCCATCATCCACCGACCAGCATCCTCGTTCGGCTCCTTCCTGCCTGGAACAGCGACAAAATGAGCCCCTCCGCAGTGTCTTGTGCACCGTTGTATCCTCACACAGGCGCGTCATTGTGCCCGTTCAGGCTCACCGGAAGCAGCCGAGCGTTGACGGTCAGGCGTCCATTTCTCTATCTGCAACACCCACCAACACCGGGCAGCGCATGTTTGGAGCTGCGACATGCACTCCCCCGCTATGTGCACCGCCATTGTGGCGTCCCCCGCTGTGGCCTGCGCGTCTGGACAGAGATGACGCCAACAATTAATTCTCCCCATGTCTCGCAGATTTTGGATGGGAAGAGAGACATCAGGTGAGATGGTTACTTACTACAGAACTCTCGCTTTCCTATTGCATATGTCATGGAGCTGTTTCATTGTCACACTGTACTTGTGACTAAGCAATCATGGAAGCATGCATCCATGCGTTCACTGCACGACAAACGGCGGCTCATAGTTTATAAGTGCTGCGCGAACGTGACGAAGAAGGCGCTGCTGTCCTGCGCTTGCATATTCGAATCGAAATCCCATGTCAGCACCGACCATCGTATTCTCTCTATCGTATGGTAGTCTTTGCTGGAAGCTACACATACCATGCCATCGACGAATTCCTGGTCTAGCTGCACATAGTTTCGAACGTAATCCTTTCCCGAGCACATATCCAGCATAATCTTACATCCACATCTTTCCAACGACTGAGGTCAATCATACTGGTGGCCAATCTACTAAGCTTGGCCGCCGCCGCCAGCTCCGAGTGCTCGAAGGATATCTTGCAGAGACTGAGCTCCAGCTTGAGCGTTGCCCTGCTGTGCATTCGTGTTCGGTGCCGGTGCAGCGTTCTGCGGATACTGCCACTGTTGTGGGTATCCGTACTGAGCCTGAGCTTGAGGCTGTGGTGGTGGTGGTGGTGGTGCCTGCGCCTGCGGTTGCACATACTGCTGCGGCTGGGGCTGCTGCTGCGCTTGTGCTCCTTGCTGGCTCATGGCGCCAACGACTTGGAACCACTGTGCCCATGCAGCCCAGTTTGCTTGCTGGTTTGGCTGAGCCTGCGTGGCAGGCTGCTGAGCATACTGTGCAGGGTTTGCATAGGATGCCGCAGCTGCAGGTGCTGGAGCCGGAGGGTATGTAGCTGCCGGCGCTGCTGGCTGTGGATACTGAGTCGGCCAACCTGTACTGCTGTTGGTCGCATATGAGTTAGCATTTGATGGGCCGGAAGGTGCAGGTGAGGCGTGCTGCTGCTGCTGCTGCTGTTTCTGCGGCTGCTGCTGTTGTTTCTGCAGCTGCTGCTGTTGTTTCTGCGGCTGCTGCTGTGACTGCTGCTGCGACTGCTGCTGCTGATTTTGTTGCTTCTCTTGTGCCTCGCGCTCGCGCTTCTCCCGCTGTCGCTGCTTCCGGTTCTTGTTCTTGCTCTTCGCCGGTGGAGAGTGTTGTGGCTGAGAGGACTGCTGGCGCTCTTGCTGTCGAGCTGGTGAAGCTGACGTGGCAGATCTGTTGTCGGGGCGTGGCACACTCATCTGACGGCTGTCCTGTTGCTGATTCTGAGGTCGCCCTCTGTCAGCCTGTTTGTTGCCACGTCCACCACGATCACCACCACCTCTGTCACCCCTTCCACCTCGTGCATCTCCTCTACCTCCTCGACCACCACTGAAGTCACCTCTTCCACCGCCAAAGTCGCCGCGACCACCAAAGTTGCCTCGACCACGGAAGCCTCGACCGCGGTCGCCCCATCCGCCTCGACCTCGCATCATACCTCTGCGAACGTGACTGCGATCTTCGAGTGGTGCACCTTGTCCGACGATTTCCTCGAAATGACTTGGCCGTGCCAGCGGCTTGTACATACCCAGATCTTCGTCTTCGTCGTCGCTGTACTTGAGTCCACCGCCTTGGTATTCATTGGCTGGTGAGAAGTAAGACACAGGCTTGTCGACGTGCCCTCTTGGTCCGGTCGGTATTGGCTTCTGCTCTGGCTCTGGCTCGTTCTTTGCTTCTTGCCTGGCCTTCTTGGCCTGCTTCTGCTGTCGCTTGAACTCAGCCTCTGCCTCGTCGTCGGAGAATTCTACCTCGTTCGTTTCTTCGTCGTGGAGGTTTGATGCGTCGGTGTGCCTCTGGTTGCGCAGGGGCTCCGTGAAGACAAATGTTGAGTGTGCGTCGACGTAGTAGATGGTTGTGTCTTTAGTGATGCCTATAGTTGCAATCTCAGCAGGGTCGTTGAAGCCAACAGAATATCTGGGCTCTTCGACGCGACCGATCTGCTCAGAGATCTTTCCAATGATAGTGAAGTCTCGAAGGCAGAGTGCAGATCCAGACTCGAGCACCTGGTAGTCGCCAGAGGTGTTGGCCTTCACCAGGACAAGGTTATCGACAACTGCCTCGACCTTGCCCAGTTCTGTGATTTGTGTTTCGTTTTCAACCTTGATGTCTGGCTTCTCGTACTGTTCGTCAAGCTCGTTCAAAGTCTTCACCTTGGCTTTGCCGGTAGCGCCAGCGTCGTCAGCAGACTCTGCCATCAACAGGCGGACCATCTCCTCTGGATCCATAAGCTCTCCGTCCTCTGCCTCATCGTCTGAGCTGTCGTCTGAACTCGACGAGTCTGAGGAAGAATCTGAGGCATCTGAGTCGAGCTGCCACTCGGCATCCTTGTTATCTTTGTTCGCTTCACCAACGCGAAGGAACTCGGCTTTGCTCTCATCTGCTGTGGGCTCTTGAGCTTCTTCAGCAGGTGCAGCAGCAGTTTCGGACTCCTGCTTGATTTGTGCATCGACGGCTGGCGCGGGATCTGTCACGGTTTCTGCGACATCGAAGACGGGCGATGTAGTGGTAAGAGTTGCAGAAGCATCTTGCGCGGGTGTCAGGGACGCAGCATGCAGCTCAGGACGCGACGGCTTACCGTGCTGTGGAGCCTCGTTCAGGGCCTGCAGCTGATTGGCCAGAGGCGGCTCGACTGCGCTCGCATCATGGTTGAAGGCCTCCTCATCTTTGAGCTCGCCTTCGTCATGCACCGCGGTGTTCATAACAGTGTCTGCGTCGATCTGAGCTGTTGGCTGTGTGACGGTGGTGTCGCCCAGGGAGCCGAGTCCTGGCATAGAGAAGCTCGATGGAGCAGGTGCAGTCGCGGTGAGCGACGCTGATGGTCCATCATGTGGTGCAGAAAGCGCGGCAGGTTTGACAGGCGTAGTGTCGTAGAAATCGTAGTCCATATCATCGACGGGCGAGCCTGGCGCATCGAAGGAGGATACTCCAGTGAAAGGAGCGTCCGCCTCCAGCCGCGCCCTCTTAGCCGGCGGTTCCTGAGAATCAGACATCGCTGTGTTCTCTACAGTCTTTGAAAGCACGCGTTGTTCGCTGCTGTGGCAGTAACTGCGGTTTGCACCCGTCTGCTTAATGCGTGCGGTGATATGTTTTGGTGAGCGTAGAAACGTTGCCATTTTTGACCTGATGCGGATCCACAGCTAGCGCCTTGGCAGGAAAGAGCAAGGGGGTGCTCTTGCCTCGCGTTGGCACAGCCCTACGGAAGTTAGGAGATCGCGTTCGGTTCAGTGACGGCATCTGCGGCCAGCTAGTTGAGGGCAGCTCTTCCAATGTTCTCATAGAGCTATTGACATCTGTTGCGCATGTTCGGAGCCTTTCCAGTCACTTAGGTACTTGCTCCCTTTCAATGCGCATCAGATGATAGCATTGAAGCCGTCATTTCTGCTTTCGTAGAGCATGTAACTGACCATTTGTCTCTTCAGACTCGACACAATGCCTTCTCCACCCCCGAAACAGGGCGTGCCTACTGCACCCAGACCACCCGTGAAAGCTCAGAAGCCGCCGCATGAGCTCGAACCTATCATTGCTTTCTACATCTTCGCTGCCGCCAACATAATCGCTGCTATCTTTGCACCAATTCAAGACTGCGACGAGGTCTTCAATTACTGGGAGCCTACACACTATCTGAACCATGGCTATGGACTGCAGACATGGGAGTACTCTCCTGAGTATGCCATTCGCAGCTGGACATACACTGGCATACACTCGCTCGTCATCAAGCTGGGAATGATGCCACTTCGATTCTTTGGGTTTGCCAGATCGAAGACCGCAGAATTCTACTTCCTGCGTACCTTCCTGGCGATTGTTTGTGCCTCGTGTCAGAGTCGCCTGTACTCAGTGGTCGCAAGAACATTCAATCCTCGTGTGGCACTTTTCTTCATCTTTGTGATGGTGTTCAGCCCAGGCATGTACCATGCTGCACCGGCCTACCTGCCATCCAGCTTCGCCATGTATACAGCAATGCTGGGATTTTCTGCGTTCATGGATTGGAGTGGTGGCATCAGGACTGCCCAGGGATTGATGTGGTTTGGCATTGGAACACTACTCGGTTGGCCATTCGCAGGTGCCCTCGTGCTTCCCTTCGTTGCAGAGGAGTTATTTTTGGTGTCCCTTACGGGCCAAGGCATCGAGTGCGTTACAAGGCTTGCTGATGGGTTTGTTCGATCACTCGTCGTTCTGGTAAGATCCTTGCCAACATTCCAGACATTGCTCACATTTTGCAGGTTCTACAGATGGCTCTCGAGACATTTTTCTACAAAACGATCACTTGTGTGCCATGGAACATCGTCATGTACAACGTGTTCAGTGGTGGAAGCAGAGGACCTGATATCTATGGTGTTGAGCCATGGCACTTCTACGTCCGCAATCTTGCCCTGAACTTCAACATCTGGTTCTTCTTGGCATTAGGAGCGCTACCATTGATCCTTATCCAGCATCTGCTGCTACAAAAGTCGGTCTCCAAGCAAACGCTACTACGAAGCGTTGTCTTCGTAAGCCCGTTCTATCTGTGGCTTGGAATCTTCACGCTCCAGCCTCATAAAGAAGAGAGATTCATGTACCCAGTGTACCCTGCGCTGGCACTGAATGCCGCCATCGCGCTACACATCCTGCTTGCGAACCTAGGATCGACCGATCCGAGCCGTCTGGTGAGCAAGATCCCACCGCAGGTGAAGCTTGCCATCGTCAGTGTGCCACTGTTGCTGGCCTTCGACGTGGGCGTGCTGCGAACTATCGGTACCCTCACGGCGTACTCGGCACCCCTGAAGGTGTACACGCCTCTACACCAGGCAGGAGTTAGCAAGCCGGGTGATAATGTGTGTCTTGGCAAAGAGTGGTACCGATTTCCCTCATCGTATCTTCTACCAGATCGTGTTCGGCCTAAGTTCATCAAGAGCGAATTCTCTGGACTATTACCTGGCGAGTTTAACGAGGCCAACGCTGGCGGATTCGGCTTATTCCCTGGCACATGGCTCATTCCTTCTGGCATGAATGACGAGAACATCGAAGATCCGGGCAAATACGTAAGTTCTCATGGTATCGTGCTGATCCTGTACTGACACAATGTAGACAAGTATCGAGCATTGCGAATTTCTCGTTGACTCTAGCCTCCCGGGAGTGGCGCCAACAGCCCTCGAGCCAGACTATATCGCAGACACAGAGCACTGGGAGCCGTTGAAGTGCGAGCCGTTCCTCGACGTTTCACGCACGCACCTCTTGAGCCGTCTGCTGTGGGTACCAGACCTTCCATTTGTGCCGGAGCGATTCCGCCGTAAGTGGGGGCAGTACTGTCTGTTGCAACGAAAGGTCTCCGACAAGAGCACCCTAGATGTATGAACTGAGGTTCAGGTACTGAACTGGGGAACGGATCGCCAACATCTGATCTCATAGGACAAATCGAAAGCATGGCAAGCACTATGACGGATGCGCCTAGAGCCAGTTCATGGTAACCCGTGATCCCCTAGTTTTCCGACGAGGAAGGAAAGCTACATGAGCTGCATAAATAGGTTTCTGAGCCTATCGCAGCGACGTTAGCTCTCTGATATGGACCCACATCGCACCCACACCAACCGGGTGGGGTAGTGCGGTCCCCTCCCCGTCAAGATAAACAGGCATTGACGACAGGGTGAACCCCACATTCTATGGAGTCAATCAACAATGTTATCGCAATGCACGTACGTACGAAACAACGCAAGACAATGGAAACATGTCTATCACATTGGCATATAACATGCCCTGTTCTCTGGTCTGATCGCAGATACTCACCACCCTCGTTTGTATCAACATACGCTTCGTGGGATTCTTTACATAAACGCCTCAAGTTGGTCACCAGATCTGCCAGGTTCGAGTATTCAACGATGTCTGCCTTGTCAGCTCGAACTCGAGAGCATGCTGAACAGCTGGTCAATGTCGTCCAACATAAGTGCCATACAGCACATACAGCATGGCAAGATGGAAATATACGGCCAAAGTTGATATTCTATGCTGGACTTGCCCTTGTGACAAGCGTATGGCTAGCAATCACGCTTCTGCTCCGACTTCGTACCCGAAAGCGCCAACTTACCACGTCCCCAAGCACCCCAAAATTCGAGAAAGGCTCACCATTCAAGATAGCGGATCGACAGCTTGGAGGTATCACACCACATCTCAACCACTCTCACGCGGCATATTCAATTCGTCTTCTTGATTGCTTACTAACTCCTTCCCAGTATGGACACCCTCCCCCTTCCGTCGCCCAACGGCCACCCCCTACCCGTCCTGGTCTCTAAACTCCAACAAACCGCTCCCCTACCGCCCCTTCCGCTACGGTCCCAAATACAATATCACCATGGGTCTGCGCACCATGCACTGGAACGACTGGATCGAGCTCGACAACGAGTACCTGAAGTACCACTCATTGAAAGCCTCTCGTATTGCTAAGCGCGGAGAGAAGTGCTGCAGAACTGCACCTGAGGCATGGGACGCGGCAGTTGAGCTGCTGGAAGAGTTTTGTGCGTATTTGCCAGAGAGGTATCCGACTTTGTTTCGGCGTTTGGAGGGTGAGAGGGAGGGTGTGAGGAACTTGGCTACTGGCGAATTGTTCGATATTGAGGAGAGACTTACAATCGAGAAAGAGGATCCGATGCAAATCTGCGCACGTTTGGTACAGGATGATTTGGCGATTATGATCGAAGTATGTTCTTCCAGTCGTAGTTCGCATGCAGAACCTCAGATCCCGCGAGATGAGGGCGTTAGAATTCTGATATTGACCCGATTCCAGCGACCAGACGGCCAATACTACCTCCTCGCCGGCGCCATCCTCCTCGCTGGCTTCTGGCGCGTAGAAGACAAATTCGGCATGTCCTTGTCCGATATCCACACCAGTGGCGACGTTCCACAGTACAAAGAGAAGCTTGAAAAGGGCATGTTGAATATGTTCAAGAGATTGCAGCCTGAGAAGCCGGTGCTGAGGAATAATTACTTCATTCAAGTTGATGATAATTTGGCATGGAGTGAGAGTCTGGGGAGTGAAGATTACGAAGGCATAACTTGGGCAAGCGCGGGAAGAGTTGAGGGGGTGGGGAGGGTGTGGTTCAGGAGTGAACGGCAGAGCTTGAGGAGGTATGTAGAGGTCGATTGCACGGTTGTGAGCTTTGTTGACAGCGGCAGGCTTCCGAAATCGGGTGGCATCGTGTTCACCATCCGGACGTACTTTCATCCCATTACGGAGATCTGCAAGGAGCCGTATGTTCCGGGTAGACTTGCAAGCGCGATACGTAGTTGGGGTCCTGATGTGAGTCATTACAAAGGAAAGACGCAGTATGCGGATGTGATATTGAAGTATCTCGACGAGATGCATGAAAAGCAAGTGGAGGCCGGTTTGGATCTGGAGAAAGAAGATGAGGTCAGAGCGTACCCTTACTGAAGCCTCCAATCTATCGGTCGTTGCTTCAGAACCGGCGCTGTTTATCTTAGGGTTTGCACTATCTAGAGGAGCATATTGCTCATCCAGCGGTAACGGAGCAGAACAAGCCAGGTACGTGCCTGAACTGCGGAAGGTACTCAATGCCAAACTGCAGTCTATCTGAAGCCCGATAAAATCTCGCAGGACTACAACACACTGACGGGTGCGTCTATTGATATTTCTGACCTACAATGGGAGGATCCGCTCGTAGGGATGTAAAAGCGCAATGCCTTATGGCATCACTTTTCTCGTTCTCTTTGATATCCCCACTTACGTCTCCCCATTGCACCTTCTGCAGCCACGGCTCGGCCTCGTGTCGTTCAACATGACAAGCTGCACTGATGACCACGCTCATTGCAATCTCACCCAGCCCTGTACGCTGCCGCTGAAACCCAGCTATACAGACTGTAGCAACCATCATACCGAAGTTCACTGCAATCAGCGCTGCCATGCCAGTAACGTTGTAAGCCAACCTGACAATCTGATCGTTAGGATCGACCTTGCCGTATGCATCGATCCCATCAAATCGCGCCATGAACAGACTCCGCGAGCATAACCAATGTAATGCTGCACTGCAAGCCATAAGTGGAAAGGCATACCTGGTTGGCAGGGTGAAGAAATGGCTTGTTCTCTGATGACCTCGGGGACGCTCACTGACTCTCAAACCCTTCTTGGAGGTCGTCAGTCGGTCGAACTCATGCGCGATCAAGAGTTTACTCCAGATGTTCGTGTAGAACACATAGAGGAGTGAGAAGCCCAGTTGTGGGATGTTGGCTGTGAGGAGCGTAGGAACAATACCTGAAGATCCTACGTCGTCAGGTTTTAGTTTGGCGAGTGATTGTATGTTAGGTCGGCCAAAGTCGCTGTCGAATGCGTTACCATTCGTCTCAGAGGTAGCCCACCCGAGCGTAACGGTAAGGATGATGACATAGGCTGCTGAGATGCCAACCGTAGAGAAGAATTCTGTGGTGTTGGCTCCAGTCCACCGTCGAGGACGAGCGTTGGTGAAGGTTTGCGGAGCGTAGGGTAGTGTGACTTCCTGCTTGGTGGCGCGTGACCACCATCGACGCCGAGTGTTGGTGGAAGTCTGTGGCAAGGCAGAGGTTTTAAAGCCGTGTCTTCGGATTTGGGCCGAGGAGACGAGACACATGTCCTTGGTTGTTGAGTCCTGCCGTTCAAGAAAGGACGCAATTGCGTCGCCTATCGTGCGCAAAAACTTCTCTTTTGGATGAGTGAAGACCAAGAATGCAATCGCCGACACTTTAAAGACACTGAACACAATGACTGCGCCCATGATCCACACATTGTACTGCAAGTAGCAAAGTTCTGGTGCTTTGCGAGCGATGCAGTAATCCACAGAGTGTCCATAGACTGTCCAGTTGTTGGGATTAATAGCCTTGAGGGCTTTTTCCTTGTAGCAAATGCCGCTCTCGTTATCACTCTTGAGCGTGTCTTGACATATCCAGTGGAACGGGTCGTTGTTTGTATCTCTCTTGTCCATAGTCAAGACTCGTTGTGGGTAGCGAGTCCACAAGATTGGGCTTTCCGTCTGCGTTGTATTGGAAACCACAACCACATCGCTAAACTTCTGCATGAATCCCTCGGTGTAGCTTTCCATGCATTCCAAGGGATCCAATCGCTTATATGCTTGAGCCTGGCTAGGGTCCCGCGCACCATCGAGGAGTTGAAGGACCATGGTATCGTTCTTGATGTCCCATATGCAACTGTCCTGACCCTCGCCGTCACATTTACCCGACCATTCGAACTGTTTGAATTGAGGTAGCGCAGGTGAAGAGTTCTCGGATGTGGCCTGGAACACCGTGTTGTTTAGGAACCCTCGATCCACCACCGCTACTGCATATTGATACGTTTCAGTAGTAGTGAAGAAGACAGCGTTGAACCTTTGTCCCCGTCAGTACGTATCAAAATATCGTAATGGAGGAACCTACACAAGATGCAGAGGTAGACTGGTGAGAGCCAAGACACTCCAGATGGTTGCATGCTTCTTGCTTACATAACCGAGATTTCTCCAGCTTTGCGTTCCTATTTCAAGCCACTTGCCTTTTGCGTGAGCGTTGTCCACCTCTTCTCTTGTCGGCGCTGTTGTTCCCTGCATTGCGTAGGTTGAAGCGCCCAAGATCAACGTTGAGAGGACGTTCAGGCCGACCTTTATTCCTGTTTCCATGTTGCCAACCTCGTTACACTTTCCTGTATGTATCAAACCTGTGCCACTCTCGAGATTGAATCGAGAAGAAAGCCAGGCAAAGATAGAGATATTGACGATGAGAGCGAGCACGCTGACAGTGAATGCACGAAGTAGTCCAGCTCGCCATCCGGATATAAGGTTTTCGTAGAAGAAGGAAAGAATATGTGTTCCAAAGTGTCGATGCTCATATTCTTCCAAGCGTTCTACCCAGGTCTTGCGATGAGTAATGGTGTACTCCTCGGTCATGTAGGCTCCAGCTGTGTACTCTGTATCTGTTCGTATGGGTTCGAATCTGTCGCTTTGGTACGTCTTCATATCACTCTTGATGTCCAGTTTGGTTTGCGAAGGGTAGGCTGGTAATACGATGTCTTGATCCTCTCCTGGCTCTTGATGCGGCACGCGCTCAAAGCGTTGTGGTAGCCGCATGATATGGCAGATGGATGATCGTCAGCCTCGCTCAGCTGTGCTTTGCCCCGCGGAGCAAAGGCAAGGCCGCTATAACCAGGCAACTGATGGGATTATAGGCAACCCCTCAAGCTTGTCAAGGGAGTCGGACCAGATGAGTTCTGTTGAAGGGAAGAAGAAGTCTGCTACGAGATTGGAAGTTAGAAAGTTGCGGCGTACAAGCGACTGCGCTTAAGGCGCCCAGTTTTGGCCCCAATCGATACACCAATCAAAAAGGATTTACGCCACTCCAATCCCGGTGGACACAGTCAGCAAGAGCAAGCATGCCCTCAGAGATCGACTCGTAATGACATCTTGGCCACATCTGTGGCCATATTTGTGGCATACAGGCCTGATTGACAGAGGAAGAGCCAGTTGCATCTTGGACACGGAACATTTTTCGTCCGCAGAGCATCCTCATGTGTCCTGATCTAAGTCACAGCGGTCGAAACCGTGCGGTCTATCATCAGCGTGGTCCAGAAGTAGACAGCATACCAGCAACGGCAGCTCTAGGCGGGAGTACAGATCATGAAGTCGAGCCTAAGTGGGGTACCCAGAACAGGAGTGCGAATGCCAAATCTCACCCATCCATCGCATTTGGTTATCGGATTATGAGTTTCACGGCAACACGCCTGATGTGGTTGATTCTCGAGGACAAGTGGAGTTGAGGTTCTAGTGCCATTCAGCTAAGGTCAAGGTGGGCTAGCGCTAGCCTTGAAGCCGCCTCTCCAGCATGGACGGCATCTTCCCTCCATCTTCATCATCGACTTCGAAACCGATCTGGCCTTCATTCATCTATGTCATACCAATACAGGAACTTGAGATGAAAAGATTCGGGTGTTGAGATCTATGCTATTGCGCACGCTGCCCTGGAGGTTGAGCTTAGAAACCAAGCTACTATCAGAGGCGCGATGGGTGCATGTTCGAGGACAGAATGTTGCGCTAAGGAGGTCAGTATCTGTGGGAGCATGACTCACTGAGCGATCAATACCTCTGGTAAAACGATTCGGTGGTCTTATGATGTTTCTGCCTTTTCAAGGTAGTCACGCATAGAGGTCTCCACAGCTATAAAAATTCCAGTCGATGTGGAGCATGTTACTCCTGTGCAGACTGTCTCTACAGTATATTAGACATGGAAGATGCATGGTACACAATGACTAGGCTATGAGGCGTAATCAGCCTTGCACAGTGGTGAGGAAAGAGACGGAGACAAAGAACAACAGACCTAGTGATGCAAGACCGAGTACTGTAAAAACTTTGGATTGCTTTGCACTGTCTGTTTGATTTCGAGTGATGCATTGCGTGTACTTTCCGTGACTGCTTGTCTTGCCATTTCGGTCAGCCACGATGTAAACATTGGAAGTTCTCACCTTCACGATCCGCTCGCTCACTTCAACCATCAACATCCACGCGAACGACACTCAAGCCACTGCACTTACAATTGTTTTACGCTTCCCATGGCCACCAACATGGCCGCTCCTGTCCCGTTGAAGGCATTGGCCAGCAAGTTGGGCGTTGCTTCACCTGACAAGTCACCGGTCAAGATTGAGAATTCCTCTTCACCTCCGCCCCTAGTTGAAGATACGTCTAGCATACTCGAAGATGGCGAGATTGACGAGCATCAGGATGCTGCCGACTCACTGCGCAGTAAGCTTTGCTTGTTTGTACGCGTCACTTCTTTGCTAACACGGTTGCAGATGAGCTGCAGCTGTCCACCTTCGAGTACTCCGCCCTCGAAGATCGTTTCAAACGGCTCGAGCGTCAGCATAGCGAGCTCAAAGACTTAGCCTCCGCGTACAGTGAGGTGATTCGAGGCTTCTCTCCCGTCGATGGTCAGACGGTGTCTATCGATCAGCTGCAAGCGGAGGCTGGTCGTGACGGCCTGAGAGCGAAAGCCCTCGAGGCAGACGTGCTCAGGCCGCTCATAAGAGAAGCTGGCGGATTGCAAGCTCTGATCTCGCAAACGCACACAATGAGAACACTCATCGACAAGGCAGGTGGACTTCGAGAGCTCGAGCAGTTTGTCTCGGATCTTCGCACGATTCGGGGCACACTGAACGAGCTCAGAGGTTCTCAAGGACTCATCGGCTTGGCTTCAGAAGTCCGAGATCTTCTTACGAGCAAGCAGACTTATACCGATCTTCAGTCTGAGCTGCATGGTCCAAATGGCCTGAGAACGAAGGCTGCTAGGTACGAGAAGCTCATGCAGGCTTTTGTTGATGTACAGACCGTCACCTCGTTCCAGCAACGCAACGCTACTGCCTTGACAGCAAGTCGAGCGACGGGCAACGTCCGCGATCTTTCACCAAACAGCCACAGTCAACCAGCTAGAGGCCAGCAGCCCCTGGCTGGCTCTGCGATGATGAATCCAGCCCGAGCTCGTTTGATATCTGCTACGCCTCTCGAATCTGATCCAGACCGCGATCTGTACGAGGCGCCACTACCTATAGCAAAGCCGAACAACAAGACGGGATCAAACAGCACACCCTTGGGTACTCCTCAGGTGCAACCTGCCGCACAGCTTGCCAACCAGGCTGAACGGTCTTCGAACCCAAAGCGCAAGGGACCTGACAATGCCGTGCCCAGTGTGCCAGCAAAGCGCCCGCGAGTCGATCTTGGTCGCGCCTCAGCCCTGGTGCAGGCTTCCTTACCTGTTGCCAACAACAGTTCAACAGCGCGAGCCCCCGGTCCGTCGAAATTTTCTTTCATACAGACTGGGGCTGCAGCCTTCAAAACTCGAGCTCAATCCAATCGAAGCGAGAGTGCAGGTACTGTGACTGAAGATGCTGGTTCTCGACCTCAGGTGCATACAGCACTGGCTCCGCCAAAGATGCCTGACTGGATGCGCGGAGATGTACGCTTTGGAGATGTAGGATTTGCTTCCACACCAGGAGCACAGACGCCTACATACTCCTCCACGCCATTAAGGCAGGATGCGGATCCTCACACGGACACGAGATCAGGTCCTGTGCGCTTCTCTACAAGCAGTTCAACTCAGCACCTGCCTTTCTCGACGAGAGATCAGGGAGATGGAAGCGGAGCGCAGACAGCTTTGCAGGCGGCAGCAGCAGTTCCACTCGATCCACGCTACAACCAGCTAAGTATCTGGAAAGATTACCTCAAACACCCAGTTGCATTCTGGACAGGCGCATCTGATGCTACCGCACCCTGGGATGCTTTCCAACTGTACGATCTAAAGAGGAACTTCCAGATTCCCGGTGATCTGCTCGCATCATTTACTGGAGGACTCTCTAAGCATATGCCGATTGCGAAATACAGCGCATACGAGATGATGGCTCCAAATCACAATACATGTATCCTCAGGTGAGCAACGCAAACTCAGCGTAACGGCGTCCACTGATGGTCTCAAGGTACCTGATCGATGGTCACCGTCCTTCGGGTCTGGCACAAGAGCGGACCGCTTGCATGCTGTGCACCCACCACCGCAGGCCCTGCGCCCTTTTGCAGGATGTTGGTGGTGTGCGAACTATCATCTTCATCCCGCTTCGCCCTGATCTTCGACCCGGCGTGAGGTGGTCTGACAAGGCATACTGGATTAAAGAATAAGCAGCAGAAGGAATGAGCGCGTTGAATGCACCGCGCAGGACAAGGGAGGCAGTGTGGCAGCCGACATATATATTCAGGTCGATTTACAGCCGGCGCAGATTGCCAGCAATGCTCCCATGGGCCGACCTGTGGCACAAGCCAGGTTCATGCAGCACATTTAAACGATGTATAACTCAAGTAGGCGTAACACATGAAAACGACTTCATCGTGTCGTGTCCTTATTCACGGTCCTCGTTAAATGGATTAACTTTCAAGCAGGACGTGCTACTGGCCGCCCCATAAATGCATGTCGACCATGTCCGTCTTCAAACTCACGAAATCATACCGGCTTCGTCCATCCTCTGCATATCCGGCATGTCCATTCCCATATCATGCGCATGTCCGCCCTCCGGTCTCTTCAGCGCCGTCCCCTCTTTCAGATACAGTATGAGCCTATACGCCGCATTGCCATTTAAATAATACCGATGTAGCTTCTTTGATCTCAAGAACCCCAGTCGCTCATACAGCTTCAAGCTCGCAGTGTTCGTGATCTCTGTCTCCAGGACTATCTCGTCTGCGTCTCGGGCGGCCATGGCATCGATGGCCATGCTGACTAGTTTCGAGGCGATGCCCTTCCCACGGTGGGACTCTTGGACGGCGAGCATAGCTATGTAGCCGCGGTACGTGCCAGAGCGGTGGGGCTCGAGTTTGGATATTATGACGCCGATCAGGTTGGAGTCGTTGTCAAGTGCCTGTGGAAGCAATCAGCTCGGCCTTCAAATTTTCCAGCAGGCGAAGATCCGCAAGAGGCGGTTCGTGGACGTAAAGATCTGGATTTACCATGAAGCACAGATCACCCCATTGGTACAAAAAGTACCGGTACACATAGATGCTGTAGGGCTCGGAAAGGTCCTTGGAGATCAGCTGGCGGATTGAGGGGAGATACTGCTCCTCTTTTGCGCCCTCGTACTGGACATACTGCAGCCCAGCAGCAGCCAGGTCGGCGGCTGGCTTTGTGCCTTCACCGCTCTCTGCCATGAGCACGCGAGTGAGAAGGACGTCAGAGTGGTTCCGAGTCGGAATGGCAGAGAGCTGCGGAGGATCTCCGGGGCGGGCGGTAGCGGGGCGGGCTTCGTGAGACGCCATTGGCTGGAGGGGGATGAGATTGGGTTAGATTGGGTTAGATTGGGTTGGGCCGATCAGATATTGCATCACATGTGTGCCGGCGCGCTCGGAAGTTTTTGGGCTGCATGTGCTAGAGCTCTCATTTCTGCACGACACAGTCAGCAACATTCTCGAGGGTTGCTGTGTCCGCTTGCTCGCTTGCTCGTTTGCTCGCTTGCTTGCCTGCTGCCATGTCCTTCCTCAGACGCCGCTTTGGCGGTGGTGATACGTCATCAGGGCCCTCGCGCGACCGGCCTCCGAACCCTGCGTCCTCCGAGCGACCGTCGAACCTGCGCGTTCTCACCGCCGAGCAGCTGCATACGCTGAAGCAGACGGGCAAGAGCAAGAATGGCAAGAGGAAGAACTTCTGGGTGTTTGGCCTGGGCGGCATATTCGGGCTGCTCGTTGCCGCCTTCTTTGCGGGCAGCAACGATCTTATCGATCTGAAGAGCATCGAGGGCATGAACCTGGAGAGCTTGATGGAGGCACTGCCCGCCAACTTCGTGAGGAGCGCACAGCAGCTGCAGGTACGGAGGCTGTGTGCGAGTACCGGACGAGCGCTGATTGACCAAGGTGTAGAAACACGAACGCGATGCCGTCAACTACGATTCCTTCGCGATTGGCATGCACGCACGCAAGCAGGGCATTCGCGCCGCCCACCCGGTCATAATGATCCCCGGCGTCATCTCCACAGGCCTCGAGTCGTGGAGCACGGAGGAGGGCGCGCGGCAGTACTTCCGCAAGAGACTGTGGGGTTCGTGGACCATGATGCGCGCTCTGGTGCTCGACAAGGCCGGGTGGAAGAAGCACATCATGCTCGACAAGGACACCGGCCTCGACCCGCCCGGCGTCAAGCTGCGAGCAGCCCAGGGCTTCGATGCCGCCGACTTCTTCATCACGGGCTACTGGATCTGGAACAAGATCCTCGAGAACCTCGCGACCATTGGCTACGATCCCAGCAACGCCTTCACCGCCGCCTTTGACTGGCGCATGACATATATGAACTACGAGATCCGGGACCAGTACTTCACCCGTCTCAAGTCGCACATCGAAGTCGCAAACCACGTCTCCAACAAAAAAGCCGTCCTGCTCTCGCATAGTATGGGCTCGCAGGTCCTGTACTATTTCTTCCATTGGGTCGAGGCTGAGGGATACGGCAACGGCGGGCGCGACTGGGTCGAGAAGCACATCGACAGCTGGATCAACATTTCGGGTTGTATGCTGGGCGCCCTCAAGGACATGCCCGCCGTCCTCAGCGGCGAAATGAAAGACACAGCCCAGCTCAACGCCTTCGCCGTCTACGGCCTTGAGCGCTTCCTCTCCCGCTACGAGCGCGCAGAAATCTTCCGCGCCATGCCTGGTCTCTCCTCCATGTTGCCCCTCGGCGGCAATGCCGTCTGGGGCGACCACACCGGCGCCCCCGACGACGCCCCCAGCCAAAACGTCTCCTACGGCAACTTCATCCGCTTCCGCGACACAAACAGCACCAACATCCTGACCTCCCAAAACCTGACCGTCGAAGACTCGCTCCCCTTCCTCTTCAAAAACAGCGAGCCCTGGTTCAAAGCCATGATCCAACGTTCTTACTCGCACGGCGTCGCGCACACCGCCAAAGTCGTCGAAGACAACCAGCTCATCCCCGCAAAGTGGATCAATCCCCTCGAAACACGCTTGCCGCTCGCGCCAAACCTGAAGATTTACTGCTTCTACGGCATCGGCAAGGAGACGGAACGCGCGTACTACTACCGCGCGGACGACGATCCGCTGTCCGGGCTCAACGTCACGCTGGATACGGCGTACACTGCGGCTTCGAACAGTGAGCCGACGGGTGGGGGTGGCAATGGGGGCGTGGATCATGGTGTTGTGATGGGAGAGGGTGATGGCACGGTGAATCTGTTGAGTAGTGGGTATATGTGCGCCAAGGGGTGGAAGATGAAGAGGTATAATCCTGCCGGGGTGCAGATTAAGACATACGAAATGAAGCACGAGCCTGATAGGTTCAGTCCAAGGGGTGGGCCGAATACTGGTAAGTCGATCTTTTTCGTTCGAGATGGAGAGGGTGAAGAAACTGACCACGCAATAGCTGACCATGTTGACATCCTCGGACGGTCGTCACTGAATGATCTCATTCTGCAAGTCGCAGGCGGAAGAGGAGAGTTGATCAACGAGACGATACACTCGAACATTCTGGAGTACGCTGAGAAAGTAAAAATTTACGAAGAGGAAGAGGATGGGTGGTTTGGGCAATAGTCACGCTTCTGAGTCAAGAGCTTTCGCGGCGTTGAGGCAGGATGGTGGGCTGGAGGTAGACTCCCGATTTTCAAGATATCCCAATGCACGTCTCCCATATGCTACTTCGACTCAGTCTTCACATGTGCAAAACACAGCGACATGGGATGCCTCTCGGGTTCTTTTTAGGTTGGAGAGAGAAGCAGAGATGGCGATGGGGAAAAGAGCTGCGTCAAGCAGACGTGTGATCTGATATATCTTCAGGGCGAACGACGTGCATCACGCAGGGGACGCAGATAACGTCGAGCAAGCCACGTCATTCCAGAAACAAGTAAAGACCGCAGAAAGCCTGGTTAGGCTGTCAGGATATCTTGATTGACATGCACGGGCGCGTAGAGATGGCTGACGACCACTCTTCTCACCATGGCCTGTGGAGTTTTTGCCCAACATGGAAATTTTGACTTCAGGTTTTGAGCTGAAAGCAAACACAACATGGAACAGTTGGTAGGTGCGTTTGAGGCGAGAGACGCGGATAGACTGCATCGGTCCATTGGGTAATATTTCTTGATGGATCGACGTTTTGCAGACGGAGGTCAAGGAAAAAACAGGTGAAGAGTCAGATGGCGAATATATTGGCACGAACAGTTTGACTGCTGCGTTTTTGACGAAAGACAGCTGAAACAGACATGGACATGGACCAAACTGCTTTTGAATGGTGGGTCAGGAAGGAAACCAGAACATGCGACTTCCAAAAGGGTTATTTGAACTTGAGAAGAGTGCATAAACATACAAGAAGACCGGACAAGCATTTTGGATAATATATGAAACATGTAGTTTGACGACGGAAGAAAGAGCTGCGTGAAGCAAAAGCATGGTCTTATTTATCCAACAATATGCACCACGTGCAATGTGTTTCAGTGTCTGTCTGACGATGCCAAGTTGTCAATCCTATGGATAGGTGGCCTCCCTGCAGATCGTTCCATTGCCTCCACGAGCGCATTGAAGCTTCGCTTCTTTCAGCCAACAAACTTTCCTCCGCAGTAGATGCACACATCGCAAGCCTGAAATAGCACCCGCGAAAGCGTCACTGGCGGTTCCGCTTCGTCTTGAGTTGCTTCCTGCGCCCGCACAAACTCCTCACTCAGAAACGGCGTGCTGCAGATACCGCAATACTTCGTAACACCTGGAGCTTGGATCGCCAGTAAGCTGACACCGCAGCGCGGAAAGGCATGGCCATTCGTGCAGGTGGCGGTTGTTAAGTCCGTAAAGGGGATAGGCGCTGAGCAGAAGTCACACTGATCTGTTGCAGCGACCGCAGTATCGGGGCCCGACCTATTCGTGGATAGTTCTTGGCCAGTCGAGCTCGAGGTGTTGTTCTCTGGAGCAGAATTGGTGTCCATGGCGTCATGATCTGTTCTGGGGGCTGACTGCTCTGCCAATCTCTTTGTCCCAGCCCCTTTTGTAGTCTCAGTTTCCGCGTCGTCAGGGAGAAAGAGACCATCAATCAAAGCAACCAACTGTCTGTGATGTAGTAATATCTCCGCGCTGAACGGCGTTTTAGATAACGTTGAAGACAGCTTCTGTAGTACTGTAGCGAGTCGATAGGAGATGAGTGTCCTTGCAAGCTCGTTCGAGGATGCGTCGTTGCAAGCATGTGACACCAGGATGCTAAAGCGATCCCTCAATGTGTTCCCGTTTAACATTGCGGCAATTTTGAGACTCTTGACGAGCTCTTTAAGATCGGTCATCCCAATTGTAAGAACGTCACTTTCAGAGGCAGCGATAGGCCCATAGGCCTGCAACAGCTTGCCGACAGCTTCTTCCGCGAATGCCGGCATCTGATCGGCATCCTCGACAGTATTCTCTACTAGCTTCTTCAACGTGAAAAACACACCTTCTGCGGTTGTGTTCCGGGATGGAAAGCTTTCGCGAATCTTGCTGTACTGTCGCAAGGTGCTAAGTGCGACAGTTCCCCGCCGATCTGCAGGTGGACCGTACTCGATCGAGTCAGAGGGATGCAGACTGTTGCATGCAGCGATGAAGTCCCCCAGAGGAGAGGGTGTGAGACCCCATACTTTCGTCTTGCTGTGTCCCTTCAGATCGTTCTTGACACTGAAAAGAACCATGCTGTTCTCGATCTTTTCCTTCCAGTTGGGAGCTTTGGCGCTCTTCAAAGCACCAGACGATGTCTCCAACACAGCAGTCGGAGATTGTACGGTCGATAGTAACGAGCTGAAGTGCAAGCGGGGTGAAGGATGTTTCTCGTAGTCCCAGACTGCACCCGACACCTGATCCCAACGACCGTCCAGATCGTGCGAGGTCTTGTCTAAGATTGATGCATCTTCACCCGAGATAGTCAAGTAGACTAGCCCTGACATCGTGAACAAAGCCAATTTGAGCTTGTGGTCATCACCGATCTTTGGACACCAGGATACAGGACCACTATGACGTAAACTTATCCCCGGATAGAAGACTTCGGCACCCAGCGTAATGTGATCGTTATTATAGGTGACCAGCCGTCCTCTCACCTCTTCGTTGGTCGCATAGACAATAACAGATTGGTAGTAATCTCCTCGCATAGTCCAGGGACTCCAGGCGACATGCGAGATGAACCTCTGCTGCTTCATCAAATCATCAAAGAACAGAGGATCTGTGAATGTGCTTGTCTCTTCCGGCTCAAGGGACATATGAGTCAGCACATCTGCTTTCCAGCTCCGCAATGAACCGAGAGCAGATGTCGGCGATTCCACTGTCAAGAACACAAGCTGGTTGTCGTCGTTTGCTACGGCGAGGTACTGCGGGCCGTACGATGTCTGTGTTCCCATGGTATCGGTCGTGCTAGGCAAAGCCGGTGCCCATGTAGAGGCTCGAATGCGAGTCCTCAGTCGTATTTGTTCCTCAGCACTGGAGACAACATAGCTGGACTGTGCAGTCGCCCTATTGGAGAAGTAGTCGGTGAGTGCATTGTTGACCAGAAGCCTCCGGTTCCAGCTCGACTCTTCTTGGAGCTTGCCTTCAGCTGACCAGATTGAGAGCACCAGGTTCGAGGTGAGCACTGCGAGAGCACATCGCCGATACTTAGCAAGACCGGGCGGTGACCAGGCTATCGCAATTGGCACACTCGGCGATATCTCCTCGCCGATCGAGAAGTTTGACAACGGTGCAGGATCCTTGACTGGCAGCTCGTCGTTGGAGAACCAGGGCACCTGAAGCGGGACATGCTGCCACTGTGGAACGTCGTTGTCTCGCTCGTAAGACACAGTATTTGGAAACTGGTCTATTGTTAGCAAGTGTCAATCATGATGTTGCATCATGAACTTGCCAGAAGCTCGATGCGCTCGTCAGAAGCTAATGCGATGATGTTGTCTTGCGACCAGTCAAGTGCGTCAACGCAAGACGGCCAGCATCTCAGCTCTGTCACGTCCGCCATAGTCGCTGGTAGTGTTTTGTCGTCAAAGCCGTTATGCTGGACTCGATCATGGCGTCGAGTGAAGCTAGTGAAAAGAGCTTGTACGTGATCTCAGAGTCGACGCAGGGCTTCGACCGCATGTCACCGAGTCATGTTCGATTCGAGACCAGAAGCAACTTGAGGTTCGAGGTCAGATGCTCTCACCAAGATCAGAGCGACAAACCAGAAGAATGCAGCTTGAAATTCAGGGTCCAATGGGAAGCTTTACTGCATTGGATCTAGCCTACAGGCTTATCGATAGGTCGGCATGGAAAAAGTGAATTTTCGCTCATCGCTCCCAGCCACTGTACCATATTCGCAGCATATTCAAGATGGGGAAACGATCAATTGCCGAGGTCGGCGACGCCGAGTTGTCCAGGAAAAAGAGCAAGAAGGACAAGTCTGAGAAGTCCAAGAAGAGTGCGCCCATCGACGCAGTCGAGGCGAATGGCGACAGTGTAGAGCTCTCTGAGGCCGAGCGCAAGGCCGCGAAGAAGGCAAAGAAGGAAGCAAAGGAAGCCAAGAAGGCGAAGAAGGCCGAGGATACTCCTGCTTCAGAAGATGAAGATGCAGCAAAGGCAGCCAGGAAAGCTGCGCGCAAAGCAGAGAAGAAGGCGGCAAAGGAAGCAGCAAGTGCAGCCACAACGGCGCCTACCTCGGTCACAACGTCAGCAGTTGCCTCTCGAGTCGAGTCGTCGGCCACGAGCCCCGAGCCTATCGTAGACGGCGAATACCAGGAAGATAAGGAGCTGTCGCAGCTTCCTCAATCCGAAATCGACGCCTTCCTTACTAAGCACACCGTAACGATCGACGACCCGAGGCCTGGCAACAAGTTGCGCCCAATCATAAATTTCAAGTACTTGCCTATCAAGAACGAGGCTTTCGCCAAATTTACGACACCTACTCCCATCCAGGCAGCGGTATGGCCCTCGCTGCTTTCTGGACGAGACGCAATTGGTGTGGCAGAGACAGGATCTGGAAAGACGCTGGCTTTTGGTGTACCCTGTGTGCGCTATATTCAGTCTCTACCCAAAAACAAGCGCAAGGGTGCGAAGGCCGTCATTGTCTCGCCTACCCGCGAGTTGGCTGTTCAGATCCACGACCAATTGGTCACTCTGGCTGGTCCTGCAGGACTCGGAGTTGTCTGCGTATACGGAGGTGTGCCCAAGCCTCCCCAGATCGCGGCTCTTCGCACAGCTTCTATTATTGTGGCCACACCTGGTCGCCTGAACGATCTCGTTGGAGAGGGCTCTTGCGACCTCAGCAACGCCGACTATGTCGTGCTTGACGAGGCTGACCGCATGCTCGATAAGGGCTTTGAGGAGCCCATCCGCCAGATCATCACACAGTGCCCCAAGAAGCGTCAGACACTCATGTTTACGGCGACTTGGCCTCCGTCAGTCCGTGAGCTAGCATCCACCTTCATGGTCTCACCTGTCAAGATCACGATCGGCGACAATGTTTCCGGTGAACTTCGTGCCAACATCCGCATCAAGCAAGTTGTTGAGGTTGTAGATCCTCGTGCTAAGGAACAGCGTTTGCTTCAGCTCCTTAGGCAATACCAGTCCGGAAAGAACAAAGATGACCGTATTCTGGTCTTCTGTCTGTATAAGAAGGAGGCTATGCGTATCGAGCAGTTTATCCAGAGATCGGGCTTCAGGGTCGGCGGCATTCACGGCGACCTGAGCCAAGACAAGCGTACAGCTTCATTGGCGGCTTTCAAGGAAGGCAAGGTTCCGTTGCTCGTAGCTACAGACGTGGCTGCCCGTGGCCTGGATATCCCAGCTGTGAAGGTCGTCATCAATGTCACTTTCCCCTTGACGGCTGAGGATTACGTTCACCGAATTGGCCGGACGGGTCGTGCCGGACAAGACGGTCTTGCGATTACGCTGTTCACCGAGCACGACAAGGCCCTATCTGGATCGTAAGTTTCATCTTAATGCATATCTACGAACATACACTAACAACACGTAGTCTCATCAATGTACTCAAGGCAGCCAATCAACCCGTACCGGAAGAGCTGATGAAGTTCGGCACCACGGTCAAGAAGAAGGGTCATGAGGCCTATGGAGCGTTCTACAAGGACACTGGTGACATGAAGGCAGCGACAAAGATTACATTCGATTAGATGTCTGAGGTCACCTCGCAGCTCACCGCATACACGCTGTCTTTACAGTCGGCGATGCAAGTGTTTAGCTGCATTGCCCTGCAGCTCAAGCGGGGATCATTTTAGCATTTCCTAGCGGAGGCGTTTCGGCACACCTCAAAAGTACCGAGTTTAGACCGCTCCTGTTTGATTAGAAGGGGTTTGTTGCAGGTATACTAGCATAAGACTTCTACTACTTGTGTCATGATCATACGACTCTACTATCGCGAGGCCTGTGCGAATTCAGACAATCGCCGTTTACACGCTTTGCAGGGATGTAGACGACATGTGCATCATGAACGCCTGAACGCCGGCTGTTCAGCCTCCGAGGCTCTGGCCATTCCAAATCCACGTGCTTAGCGTTCCCACACCTCTGGTTGCAGGAACGCACCAAAAATGCACCAAGCCCCCTCCACCCATCCTGCACCCTCTAACAGTTCACTACTGCTTCCATCAAATACCCTTACCGCCTTTTACCTCGCTTTAGACGCGCCTTGATCGCAGCCCATCGTCACTAAATCGCACTAACAGGATGTCGGTGACAGACTTGTTAGCAATCAAAACAAATTCGGATCAAATCCTTATCGATAGGTGATCAGTCCTCTCTGCTGTATGTGCTCTCGTTCACGGTCCACAGTGTGGTCGTTTGCCACCAAATTATCAGATTAAATATGCTTGATTTGATTGTTGACAACTCTGGTCGGTGATAGCCTGACCACGCCATTCCCGCAGCTAAGCCGTCTCCACGCGGTTTTCTCGTGCATTCACACGCTCTGGCTGGGTTAGGCGTCGCATCTTACGCCTCCGCTAAGGGGGACCTCGGGGAAGCGTGTGGGTTCGTAGTGTGCGGCAGGGTTCCCAGCGGGTCTCTGATTGGTGTTGAAATACTTCCGGATGTGGTCGCCGACTACCACATCGCCGACTGCTGACTGTATGGGCCTGCGAACACGAAACTGCCAATCCTTCGTTCTACGTTCGGGACGGCGAGGATGCGGATGGGTTTAATATATATGATGATAGTACGCTACGGCATGAGATAGTAATTCTTTGAGCTCTGTTTTAGGGAATCCTTTTCTACCAAACTTTGATCTACCAGTCTTTGGTGTTTAGACTCGCGATCTTGAAATAGACCATCTTCCCGCGCAAAACACAGGACAGCAACCGAGTGGCTTGACTTGGCCCACGACTATACGTTCTCTGCCTCAGGCCTTCCATTCGGCCCTGCACAAGAATCTTGCGTCATCCGCTGTTATATCCAATCCTCCCAAAAATTCTAAAAAGTCCGTCAACATGTGCAAGAAGGCAGCATGCGACACATGCAGTACGTCTCTTAACTCCGCTATCTCCTAGCAATCAATCACCACTCCAACGATTCATATACTAACAACCTTCTCACAGGCAAGACCACTTGGTGGGGCTGCGGCAAGCACGTCTCAGGCGTTATGAACCATATTCCCGCAAACGAATGGTGCACATGTACGCCGCGCGTGCAAATAGACGACAAGCCATATCCACCCATGGGCACGCTCGCGGCTGCGTGACTAGACGGGGAATGTGGTTCCCTTGGAACATCCAGGGAGAAATATCTCTTTGGCATGATCCAGGGTCTGAACGGTGGGCCACATCCAAATCACCCGAGACCAAAGCCGGCAGGAAAGACATGACATCAGGGGAACTTGGAGGTGGTGGGAGACGGAGCGTGTCGGGAGTATAGCGGGGCAGGGAGAAGAAGAGCAAGGATGAGATGCAGGCATACCAGTAGACAGGTATTGAGAAGGGGGCTTGGAGACGATCTTATGAGCACATCATGGCATTTTTGCAATATTTGGGTAACGCATAGCGGCGGACCTCGGTGGTTTGGGATTTCCTTGCATACGAAGCTTTTAGGCTTCTCGAGATATCGGTCACAGATCGTGGATGGTCTGAACAGCGAAGGCATCGCTGCAGCATCAACATTTCAATACGACATTATGTCTATCCAATCTTGCCTTTCTGATCAAGCCCCCCCCCCCCATAGTGAACGCCGTACCAACCCTGACCCAGCCCGAGGTATCATATCGCGTAATTCATGACAAGCAACGATGAAAGAAAGAAAAGCATAGGACTCTAAGCTAACGCCTGAACCACCTTGAAGCCTTCAGACAGCATCTTTTGGATCTCCTCGTCCTTGTGCTGGAGGAAGCCCAATGTGTACTCAACATCTCGCCATTGTCTCTCGTTTTCGGCTCGCGGCAATCGAGCGGCGAGTTTAGCAGAGAGTTGTTTGGCTTGTTTCTCCTGCTTGTAGTCAGTGATTTGTCTGCACTGGCGCCGAAAGCTGCAGGGTGATTTACCTTCTCGATGTACCCAGCAAGGTACTTGATGATGCGCTTGAATGCATCTTCACTGAGCGCAGTATCAGCACTGAGGGTACTGAACATATCGACAAACTGGTTGTAGATGGCATTGTCCTTTGTAGCTAATTCGCTGAAGAACTGGCGTGCCATCTCTGTTATCTTCTTGTCGCTGTCCTCGATGCATTTGGCCATCTCGGCAAGCTGACCTTTGACCTTGACCTGACCAGCCAAAATCAGGAAGGTCAAGGTCTGGAGACACGTCCGCTTGACGCTTTGATCACTGTCATTGAGACGGCGATACAGGAACTCAGTGTCCTGCTCGACTAAGTGGTTGAAGCATACAGCCATGTCACCAAGAGCAATAACAAGGTTGCTACGGACGATGGCATCTTGACTGCGCTCAAGGATGATGAGCAAAAGGTTGAGATTGCTCTCGCAGTACTCCTGACTAACGCACATAAGCTTGCCCAAGCAGAGTGCAGCTTGAGCCTGCAATGTTGGGTGGTTGTACGAGGTGTTGTTGGCGCAAATATCCGACACTAAGGGGCCGAAGTTGGCGAGAAGGGACTGTGGACCGAACAACAGTTCGCGCTCACGAACGTGAGCAATAGCGTCTGTGAAGTCATCCTCGTTGGTACCCGCCATAAGATCAAGATCATCTGCGTCAGCCTCAGGTGCAGGAGTTGGGTCCTTAACCATGCCTCTCTTGCGTCCCTTCTTCATGGGTGTTGGCTCAGGGGCTAACGACTTTCGAGGCACCGCCTTTTTGTCCTTCTCCTTCTCAGCCTTTCGACGCTTGAACTCCAATTCGCAGAGCTCGAGGTGAACAATCTGTTTGATGGCAACATGCCCGACAATGAAGAGGAGCTGCGACAGTGCTAGAGCCGAGTTCTGTTTCTTCGGTTGTGGAGCGTCAACGGTGGGGGCGTCCGGCATCTCCTCATCCTCATCCACATCCATAGGATCCGGGCCTTCGTCTTTCGGGCCTGAGCTCGATGTTGGGCGAGAAGGTGCCTTCGGGGCGAATACACGTTTAGCCACCTGTCTGATAACCTCCGAACAGAGCACATCTGGGTGTTTCGAAAGTACATAGATCGCACTGATCGCTTGATCTGCGACTCCGAACCAATCCTTGCTGTCAGACTCCAGCTCGCACATCGCAGCCAACCTCACCAAAACAGCATGATCGTTTGGTAGTTTGACGGATGGAGCGGGAGCCTCACCAGCCTGCTGTTTCCCGGAGGCTGCGCTGATTCGGCGCAGAGCGACGCAGGTGTAACGAGCGAGCCCAAAATCGCGACGACCGAGTTTGCCCAAGCCAATTTTCAGACATGTCTCCATCTCTTGCACGATAATATCGGGCGAAGAAAGCGCCAGCATACCCAGAACGATGATGGCGCCTCGGCGCTGTCTCATGGAGATGTCCTTCTTTTGATACCCGTATATACCCCAGAGCTTCTCAACGACTAGGCCATTAACCAAGCCTTGCTTCATCATAGTACTGAGGAGTTGTTCGAGAGAAATGAGATCGGCTGGCGTTGTGTCGAAGGTCAGACTGATCATGCCACGAGTGATGTAGTTGGCAGCCTGGTTCGCATCGCAGCCCGGGGGTGCATTGAAGAACAGGCCCTTGTAGCAATCGATGAGATGCGCCTGAACGCCCTTGCCTTCGTCGCTGTTGCCCTTGGTCCAGATGAGCCGAAGCATCCTCTTGATGCCGAGCCTAGCATTCGCGATCTTGTACGCGTCGATAGTGGTGAAGAAATCCATCGCCTCGATGACCTCACTCTTGTTCTTCGAAGAGAGCAGCTGCATCACCTGCTCTGCCGCATCGTTGATGACTTCGATGAACCTCAGAGCTTGCCGGACGAATGAGCGTACCTTGTTGAACTTTTCAAGGTCCTGGACAGTTTCGGCGTCTTTTTGCACCTTTGCAACTATTGCAGCCTTCTCCTCCTCGCTCATCTCGGCCGGATTTTTCGCTGCACCAGCGTCTGCCTGTGTTGCATCAAGTAGTATGGACTCGTCAACTTCGCCCGGTGCACGCTCCTGGAGCTCTTCCGCCGGAGGCTTCAACGCTGCGATATTCGCATCGATACTCTCAAGTCCTTGCTCCCAGCTCTCCGTCGACAACAGACCGTTGTACATCGCCGAGAATGGATGTGTCTCGACAAGTTTCGATAGCAGCTTGATGGCGTTTCGTCGTACGTTACTGCTCTTATCCTTCAGACTCTGTTCAGCATAGTCTGCAGCTGTCTGTCGGCGCTTGCGCCCTTGTTTCGAGCTCATGTGCGGAAGGTCACAAAGCTTGACATAGACCTGCATGACTCGGCAACGACAGTATGGATTGATGTCGAGGAATCGCTGTTCAAGTACATCGAAGAAGATATCGATGTTCCTCTTATGGGCGTCGCTGCGGTCATCCTGGCTCAACTTGCTAAGCATGTTGATCAGGTTGCCGCACACTTCGATCATGGCGCATCGCAAAGTGTATGCCTCGCTGTCGAGTAGGTTGTTGAGCAGTGCTCCTTGCTTGATAATGAGGTTCGGTAACAGCTCAGATATCTTGATCAGGAACGTCGAGACGGATTTGGGACCTTTCAAATCTGTAGCGCTGTATTCCTTGGTGCTGATGTCTTTGAGTACATCCTCGGCGAGTTGCGAGTAATCGTATGCGTCGGCGAGGGTGTGGAGGAACTCGGCCATGGGCTCAGAGAGATGTTCGAAGTACGTGAGGCACTGGTTGATGGATGTTTGTGCGGTGTACGCATGGCCGTGATGCTTGACAGAAATGCAGAGCACTCTGAAGCAGTGGTTTCGGATGGCGTTGTTCTTGACTCTGGCTTCGTTTTCCAGGATGTGGTAGACAGGCTTGGTGAAAAGGCCGATGAAAGTGTCTCGTTCCGATGTGGTGACGAATATGCGACTCAGCTTGAGCTTCAGGACTTTGCTGACCCTATCGAGCGCCGTCTCGAGCTGTGCTGCCGCGTCCCATGTTCCGTCCTTGCTCGTTCCTGATTTCGACTTCCCAGTCTTGCCCCTCCCTCTTGCTGCTGGCGCTGACGCTGACTTCTCTAGCGCTCTTGTTTCGACTGCGGATATGGTCCATCGTAACAGGAAGGCGTACATCTCTAGGAGGTTCTTGTGATGTGGGATTGCACCTTGTTCTTCGGCTTCGAGATCGGCATGTGCGATGTCGGCTTGTGTGGAAAGCGCGGACACTATCAGGTCGAGGATCTTGCCGAGTGCAGTTGGTGGTATTTGCGATGAGTTCCTAGATGGCGCGGTCAGGTTAGATATACGCCCTGACGTGTTGTTGTACGAGTAACGGGGTGGACTGGAACACACTTGAGAAGGAACTGGAGTGTGTCAAAAACAGAACTGCGCATGATCGCGTCTGGGCTTTCCGCTACAGCATCAACCACAGGGTTCAGTTCACTGTTGATCAACGCCAGCGAGGACAGTGCTTCTGGGTCATCTTCACACTCTTGCAGTGCTTGAGGGGCTTCAGGCGTTGGAATCGTCGAGGGATCGCTGTCGAACAGCTTAATCGCCTCATTGATATCAAAATCAACGCGCGCCTCCATGATGCGCAGAGTCGCGTGAAGAGAAAAGAAGGAAAGGTAAAAACAAGAAACGGCGGCGACACGGCGTCGTTGCGGGCGTGTTGTTGCGATCACAAACAGCAAACACACGATGCGGGCAGCCGCTGCACGGAATACGGAAGGCGCGGTTTGTTTGGGATTTGCCGCATTCGGTTTAGTGCCTGGCTTCCGTCGCGTCTTTCAACGGACGCCCGCAGCACTAATGCCCACACACGCAAACAACAACACAACACCCGTCGCACTCCACTATGGCAAAGGCTCGTGTGTCGCTGCAGCGCCAGGCAGAGCAGATTGACGTGTATGAGGACGACCAGAAAGAGGAGGAAGTCAACTCAGAATTAGGGGAAAGCATGGATCCTCTCGATGAAAGTGAGCACACAGTCGACAGCAGTGACGAAGAAGTCGAAGATGCTGTCGCCGAAGACATGTCACGCTTCGAAGAGACGTTTGTCGGCATCAACAAGCGGTTTCGATTGATTAACCGCATCGGTGAAGGTAAGTCTTCAAGCCATTAGCTTGCTATACTCAGGGTCACATGGTGGGGCTCACAATGCTGGCAGGGACGTTCTCAACTGTCTACAAGGCTGAAGATCTAGAGTACAACAAATACGACAACAACTGGGACATCGAGGAGCGCGAGAACAAGAAGTGGTCCTCGCCTGGACACCGTAAACAATCAAAACGACCCCACTATGTTGCCATCAAGAAGATCTATGTCACAAGCAGTCCTATCCGTATCTTCAACGAGCTCGAGTTACTTTATGATCTAAGAGACTCAGACTCGGTGTGCCCACTCATCACTGCCTTCCGCCATCTGGATCAGGTAGTTGCCGTTTTACCCTACTTTCAGCACCGCGACTTCCGAGACTACTACCGGGACATGAAGATCTCTGAGATGCGTCTGTATTTCCGGAGTATGTTCACAGCACTTCGAGCGGTGCACCGGAAGAAGATCATACACCGCGATGTCAAGCCAACCAACTTCCTGTACAACCCTGCGTTGCAGCGTGGAGTTCTAGTCGATTTTGGTCTGGCAGAGCGCGAGGGTACAGAATGTCACCCATGCGCATGCCATCTATCGGACGAGGAACGCCGTCACAGAGTGACCCACAGCGTGTATGCGCAGACACAGTCGTCAGGCCACAACACGTCCAGCTACCCCAAGAACGATACACGAAACAGCCGTCGAGCCAATCGAGCAGGTACTCGTGGCTTCCGTGCTCCTGAAGTGCTCCTCAAATGTACACAACAGACCTGCTCTATCGATATGTGGAGTGTGGGTGTCATCTTGTTAACGATGCTTTCTCGCCGCTTCCCATTCTTCCACAGCGCAGACGACATCGATGCTCTACTCGAGATCACTACCATCTTCGGTCGCAAGAAGATGAGAGAAACCTCCCTGCTACACGGACAGGTCTTCGAGACCAATATCCCAAGCTACAGCGAGAGCGGCCACAGCTTGGAGAAGATTATCCTTTGGTGCACTGGAAGGACTGGCGACAAGACAGCGCCGAAGAAGGAGCTGGAAGAGGACGAGAAGGAGGCCGTACAGTTCCTCCACCGCTTGCTTGAGTGCAATCCAGCCAAACGCATCACTGCTGATGAGGCTCTTCGACACCCCTTCATTGCAAAAGCTCACGAGGATAGTGAGGTGGACGATGACATGGTCGACCTCGTCGAAGCGTAAAATGACCGACGACGATGATGCACTTACGATATGATTGAAGCATGGGAGGCGTTTAGGCACAGCATGGTTCGCTTGAAGCATAGTACTTGGAGTTTTTGGCCATTTAGGGACGGCAACCTGATGAGATATCGCGATACCCTTGAACCTTGTATACTATGGCTGCTCAATGCATTGCTCAAGACGATAATACAAATACAAGGAATTTGTCAACCAACCCCCGCAAATGCTGGCCTATGGTACAACAGCGGCCGTCTGATCTGCTGCAAAAAAAACACATGATATCCTACACCATCACTCTACACTCTTCTAGGCTCATATGATCTGCTTCTTCGCAGCCTCAGCCCTTTCTGCAGCATGCCTCTCTGCCCTACTCTTAATCTTCTCAGCCTTCCTTCTCTCGCGCTTCGTCTCTCTCTGACCTCCCTGTCCTGGATGCGCCTCCTTGCTCTTACTCGCCGCCCTCATCTTCTCAATCTCCTGATGCACACGCAACTTCTCCATGGCCTCCTCCAGCGTCGGAATCCTCACACCCTGCTTCTTCGCTTGCGCCAGCCTCTGCGCACTTGCTTCTCTCCCCCTCTCCGCTGCCCTAACATCCTTCAACAACCGCTCCTGCGTCCTCAGCTTGTCCAGTTCCTCTGCGTTCAGCACCCGAGGCCTGTTCTCCACGGGCTCGCCGAACGGCGCCACGATTGCAGTCACTACATGGCGGATTGTGGAACTTGTGCGGTGGCCGGACGTGATGCGGACCACGTCGCCTTCGACGAGAGAGTTGTTGGGGTCCGAGACGGTGTAGTGCTTGTGTGAGGGGAAGTGCTTGCGGAAGGTCTTGTTCCATTCTTGGCCGGCAATGCGGACTTTTACTGCGCGGGACATTTTTCCTGCGGAGACGACGACGCCGACTTTTTGCGAGGTAATATATTGTTGCACCAGGGGTGCGGCGGTGGTGGCTTTTGCTGCCATGGTGGATGGTATGGGGTTCGAGAGCGTACGGTGTGGTATTCGATGCGCTGGGCGTTGTGGAGATGGCGATATGGAGCGTTAGATTGGGCGGACAGCAAATCAGTGCGTCTCTGCTCTTATAGTAGAATTGCTGGAATCGCTGACGCGGTGATGTACCACAATCGATGCACGGAGATGCTGGACCTCTCCGCAAAAAGTTGACGCGAAGTCGAGCGCGCCAAGCTCTGCTCCGATTGGTCGAGATGTTGATATCGTGTCCCAAAGCTCCAGCGATTACAGCTTCAAGTTTCACTTCGCTGCAGTCTTTCGCTCGATCTTTTGCTCGCACAGTGCTTGCTTTAGCAGTCCTTTTCTGCGTTTCATGTAACTCCTTCTGTGTTCAAATTTCCTCCAGTCATTTTCCACAGCCCACCTTTCCCCAACTCAACACCATTCTTGGTGTCCCACATAGAGCAAGATGTTCATAAGGATAGCGCAATTAGCGCTCCTGTTGTGCTTTGCGCTGCTGGTACTCGGCGCAGAAGACTATTACAAGGTATGTCGAATCCTCAATAGTTGCTTGCATTCGGCAACCCCTTGTGTATTTCAAGTCTTACTCAGTCACTGACATTGCATGTTCTAGCTGCTAGGGCTGAAGAACGATGCCTCGGAGCGCGAGATCAAGAAAGCTTACCGGACTCTGAGCAAGAAGTTCCATCCAGACAAGAACCCGTATGTCAAAAGCTCCCGCCTTCCCTTCCCACCTTCTGCCAGGAGCTTTACTAACACAAGTCAGTGGAGATGAAACCGCAAACGAAAAGTTCGTCGCAGTCGCCGAGGCCTACGATATTCTTAGTGTCGAGGAGACACGCAAGATATACGACCAATACGGCCACGACGGCATCGAGCAACACAAGAAGGGCAATGGTCCAGGTCAGCGTCACGACCCCTTTGACCTGTTCTCGCGCTTTTTCGGTGGCTCAGGACACTTTGGTCACCAGGGCGGAGAGCGACGAGGTCCGAACATGGAAGTCCGCGTCGCCGTTCCCCTCCGCGACTTCTACAACGGACGCAAGACCGAGTTCACGATTGAAAAGCAGGCTATCTGTTCTGCCTGCGAAGGCTCTGGCTCAGCAGACGGACACGTCGAGACATGTGGTACCTGTGGTGGACGCGGTGCAGTGATCAGGAGACAGCAACTCGTGCCAGGGCTTTTCCAGCAGGTACAGATGCAGTGCGATGCCTGTAATGGCAAAGGAAAGATCATCAAACGCCCCTGTTCCGTTTGCCACGGCAGCAGAGTTGTCCGTGAGTCCGAGACCCACGAACTCGACATTGAAAAGGGCATGCCCAAGGGCGTGCGCATCACCTACGAGAACGAAGCAGATGAGAGCCCAGATTACGTTGCTGGAGATCTGCATGTGCACCTCGTCGAAGCGGACGCAGCACTCGGCGTACAAGATCACGAACGCACAGACGGTACCTTCTTCCGCCGCCGAGGCCCAGATCTGTTCTGGCGCGAAGTGCTCTCGTTGAGGGAAGCATGGATGGGCGACTGGACGCGCAATGTCACACATCTAGACGGGCACATTGTCAAGTTATCTCGCAAGCGCGGCGAAGTTGTTCAGCCCAATACAGTGGAGATCTTGAAAGAGGAGGGTATGCCCATTTGGCACCAACAGCTCGAGAACAACGATGGGCTACAGTTTGGAAACCTGCATGTTGAGTACGTGGTTGTACTGCCGGATCAGATGGAGAAGGGTATGGAGAAGGACTTCTGGGCTGTGTGGGATAAGTATAGGAAGAAGAGCGGTGTGGTCCTAGACAAGGCGCTGAACAGACCGGAAGGTGAGATCAGGATGCCGGGTGCGGATGGTCACGATGAATTATAGAGCATGATGGACGAATTTTTGCATGATATGGATACCCGTGGGTGAGGAGGAATTGTGAAGTTGGCCACTATACTGCCAACACGAGTATAGAACATCCTTGAAATGTATCGAGCAGGGAAGTTCAAGCAAGGTCTTACAAATCTGGTCCCCTCGACACCTGCCATCCGGTCAGGCAATACACCTCTGACCGATGTGTTGCCTATCAGCCTCGATGATGGTGGTCAGCACACTTTATACGTCTCATGCTTCGAAAGTTGAGTGTCTCGACAGCCTAAGCATTCATCATCATGGAGTCGAGTCCTGGGGGTCTTCAGCCAGAGGAACAGAAACTCCTCAATGTAATTATATAAGAAACAGTTCTAGTGGCGAAAATACCTATGGTATTTAAGGATTCTTTAATTCAGAGATTAGGAGCTCACCAATGAGACTCAAGTGCAGCCTTTCGGAACATGCGGCACGATGCTTGTCCTCTATGTTCTCAGCTGACTCCACATCCTCACCTGCACTCGTCGACATGACCTTCGCCCCCACGATGCGCCATCACGAAGCTGCAAGGTCTCCACCGATAATTAATATGGCGTTCGCGTCCAGCCTTGCGCAATCAATATACATAGCGACCAACATCAGGCAGCATCAATACATACACTCGCTTTCCCAATCGTTGTTTGCTATTTCCCGTATTGCAGTTGCACCTCCTATTGTTTGCGATACCTGTGCGACTACCTCTAGAGTTCCCAGCGATCGATAGATGGAAGACAACGACAAGCTTCACTAACTTTCTAGCGCTGTCATGAGCAGTCTCAAGCGTTCGAGGTCTGATCCTCCGCCGCCTATCACCATCGAAGATACGGCAACTGGGGAGCCTCCGCAGCCGTCACCGTCGCCTACTTCACGTATGTGTACACCTTTAGGACCTGGCCTGGTACAGCAAGAGAAAGACAATAGCAATCAAGAGGGTCGTACGATTTAGCATGGTTACCAGCCAGCTAGCGATTAAATGAGTCATTACGATCAACTACTGACTACCTTCAGAGCGAGCTAGGACCTTCGATGTACGCCCGACGTACCAGGAATCACGGCCAGACGTCCGCCAGCGCCGAAACACCACGTTCGGACACAGGCGCAAGCACAGCCCCAACCTACAGTGGCACGAAGAATGGACAGATGAAAGCTGGAGACATGGCCGCGTTTTGCTGATCGACTACGTGGGAAAGGATCACACACCAGAAGGCAGGAGGAAGGTTGTCAGTCAAGAGTTCTGCGATGTGGACAGTCTACGGAGGTTCTATAGGAAGAAGGACCTCTCACAACAGGCCGCACTTCGGGTCATTCATGTACAGAATGCACCTTGGGCGACGCGCTTCTTGCTGGGCAAGTTCAACATCGACGGAAGCCATGACCTCGTAGGCACCACCTTTGGCAGATGGGCTCAGTATGAACGGCCTTTGGTACGAAACAACAAGCCGGTCCCTAATGGAAGGACGTTCCGAGCTCAGCGAGATCCTTGGAGAGGCATCAGTCGCGCCTCATTCAGTTGCGATTACCTGAAGCACTTTCCACGAGGAAAGGTACGGAAGATCAAAAGAGGCACCAAGATGATGGAGCTTAATGGCTACGATGCGGACGAAATGCCTTGTTATACCTACGATGCACTTGTACAGCGTCTTTCAGTTTACGTACAGCTGAGTAACGGCACACCAGGATCAGCAACCGACCCTGATATACCCAATCCATACAACGAAGAAGAGTTCGAGGACTATCAGCGGCTGAAGAAGTCATATGGCGACGTCAACGCAAATGAACATAGGGAAAAGTACATACCCAAGCTCAACACCCTCGACAATGGCAGCACCATCATCGTCTTTGAGAACTCCCAGAGCAGCGATGTTAAGGACACGCTAATCGGAGCGCGACAAGAGATAGAGTCTCGCTGGCGGCGCCTCACATTCTACCTTTCACGTGAAGAAGCCTCCTCGGACGAGACCCTTACCATCGAATGCATGGACTACATCTTGAAGGACATATTCAAGGCCCTCGCCTACAACTGGGACCGTTTCGTTGCCACCTGCGAAACCCACGTGGGCATCCTCGAAGACAAAATCTACGACAACCCTGCCGACGAATCGCGAGATCAGGAACTCTGGAGCAACAGCGCCCTATGGCTCAAAGTCGAGCGTCTCATATGGAAACATCTGGATATGGTAAACGACATGCGCGCGTACATGCACGAACTCGCTGGCGCTGATCCGAAGGAGGATGAGGAGTGGCTAGGCAACACCCCAACCGAGCTCGAACGCCTCACAAAGCAGTGGGAGCGCGACATTATTGGACCTACCAAAGAGCTTGCGGACCTGATGTACAAGAGCGTGGGTATCCGCGACGCTCGCCACTCCCTCCAACTCGGCCTATCCATGTGGCGCCTTAGCTGGATCACGTTCATCTTCTTGCCGCTGACCTTTATATGTGGCTTCTTCGGTATGAACGTCGACACCTTCGAGGGTAACCCGAGTATCAAATGGTTCTTCATCACTGCCATCCCCGTTTTACTCACTGTGCTTATACTGTGGTATGGTGTCAAGCATTCGCTTTCTACACAACGCCAGAACCCGCTCAGAAGGGGCGTGTACGAAGCGCTGTATCACAATCTGGCGACCGAATATCCGCACTTGTGGACAAGACGTGGGCCCAAAGCCGGTCTCACTTTTGTCGGGACATTCGGCCTGATCAAGTGGCGTCTTGTCACTCGATGGTTTGGCAGTGAGAAACTGCAAAAGAGAGGCGACTACAATCCCGCAGTTGATGAGTTCGGCACCTGGTCGCGCATCAAACAGTATCTTGTGAGAAGGTGGCTACCTGAGCTTCGCATCGTCGTCACAGACACACTGCCCCAGAGCCAACGACCTGACAACGAGCGACTAGAGAGCGTGGCAAGTATCGGAAAGGATCTAGGTGCTATTGGCGAGCTCATGAGTATTGCGACGCCTGTTGCGCTGGCTGAGATTGAACCAACTGCCGCCAGCAGACTGCAGCGTCGCATACCAGCCGAACGATTGAAGAGCTTGAGCCCGACGAGGAGTAATAAGAGTGGGAGTGGAAGGCCGAGTAGTGACGGAGCCGCGAGTGGAGTTATGGTTGATGAGAGGGGTGTCAGTGAGGATGAGCGAAGCGGTGATGAAGAGAGGGAATGGGAGACGAAGAGAGCGCGGCAGGAGAGGCAGCAATTAGATGTCCCGTACCAAAGCGGACGGTTGACCTAGATACTCTTATGTATCTGGATGCTATCCCTACTTGAGGTCGCAGAAGATACAAGGATGAGTAGGGCTGAAGGAGCAACCGAGGGAGGGGATGCTGAGTATTCGCCATGTCAAACAATACTATCGACAGTATCAATTTCAAAAGGCTGAGTAGATTTGGAGACCCAAGACACGGAAGAGATCCGAAACGCGACGTCAGACTAGAGATCTGCGTGACAAAGCAGTCGGTCTGGAAAGGCAGCCAAGGCTTACTAACGGCCCGCCTTGTGAGATGATGATAGGCCATGATTATCAAAGTTGAGTGGGACAAGTCAATTCGTGTAGACCGAGAGACCGAAGTAGTTCAAGCTCGCAGCTACAATCACAGCGAGAGCGAAGCAATGATAGTGAAGCTTGTTGACATATAAAGTGCAGGAGGCACTCGCATTCAAACTCCACCAGACCGCAAACACCGGAAGACCAAAGAACACCAATGTCCACTCAAATCACCAAGAAGCTCAAACTCCTCATCACAGGCTTGAATGTCCACGCCGACATTCCAACCTCCTTCCGCGAGCTCTTCGGCACACCCGACGAGATACAAGCCGCAATCACGGCCGACGAGAACCGTATCCGCGACGTAGGCTTTGATGTCACATCCTACCAGATCGACGATACGAAAGCCGAGGCTGGGCTTAAATGGGTCGAGAGCAAGCTTTGCTCGGAGCATTTCGATGGCGTTATGATTGGCTCGGGACTGCGCCTCATTCCAACTCAGACAGTGTTATTTGAAAGTGTTGTGGATGTGTGTAGGAGGATCAAACCGGATGCGGTTTTTATGTTCAATGGCGGGCCAGGGACGAATTGGGAGACGTTGCAGAGAAATTTGAGGAGATTGCAATGAGTGGTGGCCTGTTACAATCAGCAAGAATGCGTCTGGAGTACAAGTCAGCTTCAGAGATCTGGACGCGCGGTATCAATAGGATCACTTGCCTCTGTGCTTCACCTGTTGCACGCCTTCGAGACCAGTCTTTCTTCACTGTTCGAGATCTACAAGCACCTGCCGCTAAGTCTTGTTGTGCGGTCTCTCCGCGAAAACCTCGTGCGCCTTTCATGTGTCTTCTCGTGCATCTCTGCTTTTGCCGGTTCATTTGAGCCTTCCTGTGGCATCTGCCTTCTCTTACGAAGAACCGCTTTCTGTCTCAAAAACAGTTTCGATGCAATCCATGCTCTGTTCGTCCTTCCTTACGGGAACAGGATAGGCAGATAGGTGGGATTGATGGATTTTGACCGAACGGACATTGCTGGTAGGCTTTGTAAACCCATCCTGGACTTAATGCAAAAGTTGGACCTGACAGTGTCTGATTTGTGTGTGAGGCCCTTACATCGTTTTCCATTCTCAACTGCGCCACCTACACCCGTGTCCAGAAACTCAAATCATGGAAGGATCAATTTCCTGGATCTTAAACACATGGAATGATGAGCAGATGCTCTCATGTATCTAAGAAATCATTTGGCATTTTGTTCGACATTTGCCTTACACCGTACTTGTATGATCTGTACCGTCGCAAGGAAGCTACGCTTCTAAAGATCAATAGCATTTGGAAGAGTGAGGCCTTGGGACACGAACGCGCAGCAAGAAGCATATGTGTACTTGATATGTGTCCTAGGTTGCGCGCCCATGAAACGTTGAAGAAGGATAAGACCCTGTGTTGACAAAGTTGGTGATGTTCGACACATCCGTGGATGCGAAGTAGAGAGGGTCACGTGCACGGCGCGTTAGCGAAAGCGGTAAGAGCTGCCAAGCCATCCGCTAACAGCGCCGGGCGCCCACACTCTCGAAATTCGCACGCTTCGAAGTTCCATCGTCGCTACTAACCCACAGCTTCCCGACAACACCACGAGCAAAATCAGTCAAGATGGGAATTGATCTCGACCGCCACCATGTTCGAGACGGGCACCGCAGTATGTGAACCCCCGTCGAGTCGGCGCAGCAATGCGCTGGCGAAGCTGTCCTCTGGACGCAAACATGAAATTTCGCGAGAGCGAAGGTTGACGAGTAAACAGAGGTCCCTAAGTCGACCAACCCCTACGTTAAGCTGTTGGTTCGTCTGTACAAGTTCCTTGCCCGTAAGTCACACCCTCACAGAGCGCGCACGCAAGTTGGAATTGGCGGGCTAACAGCGACGCAGGTCGTACCGATGCGCCCTTCAACAAGGTTGTCCTCCGCCGTCTCATGATGTCCAAGATCAACCGCCCTCCCGTCTCTCTCTCCAAGATCATCGCTACCTCCGCCAACAAGGTCAACGCGAAGACCAACGAGGGAAAGACCGTCGTCATTGTCGGCACCGTCACCGACGACAACCGCCTCCTCGAGCTCCCCAAGCTCTCCGTCGCTGCCCTGCGCTTCACCGCCTCGGCCCGTGCCCGCATTGAGAAGGCTGGTGGTGAGGTCCTCACCATCGACGAGGTTGCCACCCGTTTCCCCACTGGTGCCAACACTCTGCTCCTCCGTGGACCCAAGAACTCCCGTGAGGCCGTCAAGCACTTCGGCTTCGGTCCCCACTCCAACAAGAAGCCCTACATCGAGTCCAAGGGCCGCAAGTTCGAGCGCGCTCGTGGTCGCAGAAGGTCCAGGGGTTTCAAGGTCTAAGCGATTGCTTGAGCTTGAGGTGGAACGATTTCTCTGGGTTGCTGGCGTGGTCACGGTCATGGGAACTGATTTACGAAGCGTGCATCACGGCTGGCATGAGCCCTTGGCTGGTTCACAAAAAGATACTCAATGTCCGTATATGCAATGGACGCACACCAATGAGCACTCGAGGCTCATGGTATTTTCTCATGAATGTACGTTTTCACAGTGACTTGCGTGATGTATAATTTGTGTTGTAGTCAGCGGCATTCAAGAAAAGCGTGCACAGTGAATGGTAGCACCAATGATCGCCACCAGGCACCCTGAAGGCATTCAGCCAGAAATGACGAGGCGTTTTTGGCAACGAAAACACTGCTTAGTCTCCAACCAATTGCAATCTCTCGTCTTCGTTGAAGGGCCGCAAACTAAATTTTCTCGAAGACCCCACATTGAACCAGCCCTGCGCTCCGACCCTGCCCCAATTTCTATACTTACCTAAAGCAGTCATATCAACTTGACTACCTCCACGACTCGTCACAACAACCCAGTATCGCGATTTACCATGGCTGACAACCGCAAGGTCGGCGTGCTCGGAGGTGGCCAGCTCGGCCGCATGCTCATCGAGGCTGCCAACAGACTCAACATTCAAGTGAATGTCCTGGACGCCGCCAACTCCCCGGCAAAGCAGATATCGGCACATGACGGCCACATCGAGGGATCCTTCAAGGATGCAGCCAAGGTCAAGGAGCTCGCTCAAAAATGTGATGTGGTTACCGTTGAAATCGAGCATGTCGACACGCAAATGCTCGAGGAAGTAGCGGGGCAAGTCGTCGTCGAGCCAAGCTGGAAGACATTGCGCGTCATCAAAGACAAGTACGCACAGAAGCAGCACCTTAAAGAGCACGGTGTCGATGTTGCAGAGAGTATTGATTTGGAGGGGAAAGGAGCCGATGGTTTGAAAGAGGTTGGAGTTAAATATGGGTATCCGTACATGCTCAAGAGCAAGACAGAGGCGTACGATGGCAAGGGCAACTTTGTGGTCAAGAGCGAGGGAGATATCGATGCAGCTATCAAAGCACTAGGCGGCCGTCCCTTGTACGCTGAGAAGTGGGCTGACTTCAGTATGGAGTTGGCTGTCATGGTCGTCAAGACTAAGGATGGTGTCCTGTCCTTCCCTACTGTCGAGACAGTCCACGAGGACAGCATCTGCAAGCTCACCTACACTCCTCCCCGCAACGTCTCTTCGAGTATCTCCCAGCGTGCGCAAGACCTCGCCAAGAAAGCTATCGCTGCTTTCGAAGGCAAGGGCGTCTTTGGCGTAGAGATGTTCCTACTCAAGGACGACTCTCTCCTGATCAACGAGATCGCACCCCGCCCACACAACTCAGGTCACTATACTATCGAAGCCTGCCCTATCTCTCAATACGATGCTCACCTACGCGCCATCCTGGACATTCCCATCCAGCCCTACATGCTCCGCCTCAAGGAACCAGCCATTATGCTTAACATCCTGGGCGCAGCAACCCCGGACTCCGACAAGAAGGTTGCTCAGTACGCTATTGAGAACTCTGACGCTTCGGTCCACATGTACGGCAAGGGCGACTCCCGACCCGGACGCAAGATGGGCCACCTCACCATCACACGACCCACACTGCGCGAAGCCGAGCAAGCCATCCAACCTCTCGTTGACTTCGTCGACGAGCAAAAAGGCAACGCCCTCGGGCCCCGTTCTGACGACCCCGAGCCCGAGCCCTTAGTCGCCGTCATCATGGGCTCGGACTCAGACCTGCCCGTGCTAAAAGCCGGACTCCAAATCCTCGAAAAACTTGACATCCCATTCACGACACGCATCACCTCCGCACATCGCACACCGGACTGGCTCCGTACCTTCTCCAAGACCGCGTCCAGCACCTCCCTCCGCGTCATCATCGGCGCAGCAGGCGGTGCCGCCCATCTGCCAGGTATGTGCGCGTCCTGGACCACGCTCCCCGTCATTGGATTGCCTGTGAAAGCGACGCACATGGACGGCTGGGACAGCCTGGTGAGCATGACGCAGATGCCGCGGGGCGAGCCGGTGGCGACGGTGGGGATTAACAATAGCACGAATGCGGCGTTGTTGGCGGTAAGGATTCTAGGGGCAAGTGACAAAGGGGTCAGGGAGAGGCTGAGGGTGTGGATGGAGGGAAATGAGAAGGAGGTTTTGAGAAAGGATGGCGAGTTGTTGGAGAAGGGGTGGAAGCAGTATCTTGTGAGTATGGGTAAATAGATGGGTGAGCTGGAGGCAGGAAAAGGGCTGGGAAGGCTACTAGAGAGAGCGTGAAAGGCGTTGAAGCTAGTCGTCCTTTTCATAGATAGTCGAATTTTCGCCTGATTTGGAGTAAAGTTTGTGAGCTGTATAGTGTCCACAGAATCGATAGGCCTTGGCGTGAGTGCGCTATGATACTTCAATAGATAGATTTTGAGTAGAAAAGCAATGTTAAGTTTCAGGTAGAGCCAGCCCATGTCAACACATGCACAAACACGACATACAGATGTCGTAAGCGCGATCTTCACAGTCCATTACCATTAATTAGCTGAAGAGTATATACCTGATCCAACCCCTTCACAGGCACGGTACTGCGAAGTCTATGTATATACGGCATATAATTCTCTCGATTCACCATCATTGCTCCCTGACATGCGTTTGAACTTGGAGATTGAAATCAGAGAAAACGAAAGAACAGTCCAAAATCGCTGCCTCGTACGCGGAGCCTACAAGAGCCCGCTTGTCTATGCTATCAAACACCAAAACCCAGGCCATCCCAAAGCCACTTCGGCTATAGGATAGAAAAACATGGAAGAAGTAGAACCAAATGTGCTGCTTATATCCCTTAACATCTGCTTTTGGTATGCGACGCTTATGCGCCCTTCTCGCCGAGAACGTGGCCAATGCCGCTCTGAACACCGTTGTAAAGCTTGCCAGTCTGGTCAGGGGCGTAGCGAGGACCAAGGCTGCCGAGAATAAAGAACATGGAGACGACGACACCACCGAAGACAATCAGCTTGCGGAGGGCTGGGCGAGTCTGGCCAAACTCTGCCCACTTCATGCTGCCTGCGCTGAGAGCTTCCTTCATCTTCTCTCCGCCGAGCTTGTAGTAGATAAGGCCACCGAGAGCAATGCTGTAACCGAAAGCCTGGAGGAGGGTGACGGGGTCGCGGAAGAGGAACATGGATGCGAGAACGAGGAGGATGTCCTTCAGTACACCAGAGAGTGTGAGGACGAGAGACGAGGTCTTGCCGATCTGCACTTCTGTTAGCTTGCAAGGTTTGAAGAGATCAGTGAAAAACATACCAAGAAGACAACGGAGACGTTGAGGAGGAAGGCGACACCGGCGTTCGCAACCAGGGTAAGGCCACCAACGCGGTTGATGTCGTTCATTGTTAGGGTGGGCAGCTCAGTGAAGAGCAGAACCATGGAGTTCATGACGGCGCAGGCAGGGGCGTAGTAGTAGAGCGAGACGAGAGGGTCCATCTTGAACTCCTTCGAGCTCAGGATGCGCTCGACCATGACCAGGCGGACGGCTTCAAAGACGATACCAGCGACCTGGAAAAGGAAGCCAACCATGACGAACTGGAGCTCGCCGAACGACGCAATGATAACACCGAGGACGATGAAGGAGACGTTGCCGAGGACCTTGAGGTTCACGGGCGCAATCCCCATGCTCCAGGTTGCGAGCAAGACAGCCACAGGAGTGGTAGCCTGTCCAAATTAGCTTGTGACCACGTTACGTCAATCGTCGCCTGGACGCACCTTGAGCATCTGGATGAAAGCAACACTGAGGTACAGGTATGCCTGGTTACCGCAGATCAAACTCAGACTGAAGAAGAGACCAATTGGCACGATCGCCCGCAGGTACACCTTGCCCGTCATGGGCACCTTCTTTCTTGAGTCGAGGATAGTTGTGAAGCGCGCGAGGATCTGGGTCATGATGGTTGCGAAGACCAAATGCCACGTTGTGAGGAAGATGGGGAACTCTGCGAAAGTTATTAACTTGTCGTCGAGACGGTGCGGGCAGCTGTGACGACGTACGGAACTTTGCAGTGTCCAGAATGTACTTGTTGAAAACGATTGTGCTCGAACTGAGGGTGATCCATGTCCTGCGCGGCGTCAGTAAGTGCTCTCAGTGCTGCAAAAATGCTCCCACATACGCAACGTAGACGGCAGGATGAAAGGAGGCCGGCGCGTTTGGCTTGGGCGTCGGTGCATCTGGGTTCACCGTCGGCAGAACTGGCAGGGCGGTGTCGCGGGCTGCGTCGACCGAGGAGCGGACCTTCTCGTCTTGAGACATATTGGATGTGTATTGGGGGTTGAGTGAGTGAATGGCTGAGGAGAGGTGTCGTCGAGCGCAGTCGTAAATTGAGGTCAAAAGAAGGTGGTCACTGCGCTGGGAACGTCAACACCGGTAAGCAATCGGTGCGATCTGCTGGTGGGAGCGTGGAAGGGGTCTCGTCGCAAAGGGGAGGGACGATGCACAAGGCGTCACACAGGCTGCACTGAAGAGTTGTGTTTTCTTGTGTACTCGCTCGCCGCGCACGGGAGGGAGGCTGGATATAAAAGACGCAGCGCACTAGACACTAAGCAGCACCATGCAGCAGAGGCACCCCAGGACTGTTGGGATTGGGACGAGTAACAGTGACGGGCCAGGCGCGCTAGGGGAGGGAGCGGAGCGGAAATCAGCACGCCTCTCGGTATGGGCGTCACACAGGGGAGGAGCGTAGAGCAAGGGTGGACTCAGTTAGAGTAGGGATGCGCCGTTGCCCAGTAAAGTCTTCGAGAAGCCTTGGTGCAGCCAGGGCAGCTACCGCGAGCCAGATGAGGATTGACGGGAACAGCACGGCTGCGTGCGCGCCAGAGGCGACGTGAAACAGATCTGCCGTGGACCGCTCGTCGTGTACGCGCAAGCAGTTCCCGTAAGTGGACAGCTAATCTGTGCTGAGTTTTACACATTCTCTCAAATCATGGATGGCTCGCGTATTGCTCTGTGCCCAGCAACGCACCCAGCAACACCACCTGTCAACGAGTACGCGTCGAGGGCGGGTCTGCAGTCTGCAGCGCATCATCATGCGGCGAAATAGCCCGACCCCCGAAATAGCATCCGTAAACCTGCAGTCTAGAGGAGGTTAAGTTTTGCAGTGCTGCAACATGTGCTCCCTCGCATAGATTCGGGCAGACAGCTCCCTGGCAAACGCGCTGATTGCAGGGGGGACACTTCGTGATGCTGGATGCTGGATGCTGGCTCTAGATGCTGGCTGGATGGCGCCAGAGTTTTGCAACAGATACCGCAGAGCCTCCCGAGGCCGGCAATAAGGGTCATGCATGTCGTCGTCTCGAGAAAGGTGTGCACAATACACAGTAGAGACTGCAGGGTTGCACTGCTAGCTGCGACCGGCACACGAACATGATGCGTCGTCTATCTGCTGCTGCATGTTCCCACCGTGATTGAGACTCGAAGCTTCACTGCTGCTTCATTCGGCCATGTCTGAGGCCCGTGCCCAAGGGAACCTGCACCATGTGCGGCGACACAGAGGCCACAATGCTCACAACACCTGGACAGCGCTCGAGACACTCGAGACAGCTCCCATTATGTCCCAGCACGATGACCCAGCAGCCAATCAGTGCGCCCACGCTGACATGTCCCGGGAGCAGAGGATTGATGTGCAATGCCCCTTTTCTGGCGGATGCAGCTGCTTGCCTCCCCAGGCGGGCCCGAGTGTTGGAGCACCCTGGACCCGCCCTAAACTTCCCATCGACATCCTTGGCGCGCTTGTTTTATCAGAGAGCTATATTTCACACTACGCCCCGGGCGCCTTTAGCCACTGCTCCACCTGCCCACTGTTCAATTGCCATAACACCTGCTCGATCGCCGAGTAAGAGTACATGCTCAACTACGCCCGCCAAACATTGAAGAGAGTCCCCAGTTTCCAAGAGCTTCTACAAGGCAAGATGGGATCCAACAAGGAGGAAATGTACGTTCACCGCCTCCCCACATGTCATCCCACCAGACTCGAACTGACAACAGCACAGCAACGTCGACGTGCTCGTCATCGGCGCCGGACCTACCGGTCTGGGAGCAGCAAAGCGCCTTCACCAGATTGTACGTTCGAGGAGACGGACTTGGTAGTGGGGCAACTGCTAACAAGCATCAGGATGGCCCCTCATGGCTGATCGTCGACTCGAACGAGACTCCCGGAGGTCTTGCCTCTACTGATACCACACCTGAGGGCTTCGTGAGTATACATATGGTCAATTGAATCATTGCCGTATTAGTTCTAACATTGCGGCAGCTCTACGATGTTGGTGGCCATGTCATCTTCTCCCACTACAAGTACTTCGACGACGTTATCGACGAGGCGCTCCCCAAGGAGGACGACTGGTTCACACACCAGCGTATCTCCTACGTCCGCTGCAAGCAGCAATGGGTCCCCTACCCCTTCCAGAACAACTTGTCCATGTTGAACAAGGAGGACCAGGCGAAGTGTGTTGACGGTCTGATCGACGCTGCCCTCGAGGCCCGCGTGGCCAACACAAAGCCTAAGGACTTCGACGAGTGGATTATGCGACAGATGGGTGTTGGTATCGCCGACCTCTTCATGAGGCCTTACAACTACAAGGTCTGGGCTGTGCCCACCACCAAGATGCAGTGCGCATGGCTCGGTGAGCGTGTCGCTGCACCCAACGTCAAGGGTGTTATCAACAACATCATTCACAACAAGACCGCAGGAAACTGGGGTCCCAACGCTACCTTCAAGTTCCCCGCCAGAGATGGAACTGGTGGTATCTGGATTGCCGTCGCAAACACACTCCCCAAGGAGAAGACCAGCTATGGCGAGAACAGCACAGTCACAAAGGTTGAGGCGGACGCCAAGCGCGTCACATTGAAGGATGGCCGGGTTGTCAAGTACAACAAGCTCATCAACACCATGGCTGTCGATGCCCTTGTTGACGCGATGGGTGACAAGGAGCTCCAGACTCTCAGCAAGGACCTGTTCTACTCCAGCACCCACGTCATTGGTGTCGGTCTCCGTGGCGAGCGACCGGAGCGCATCGGTGACAAGTGCTGGCTGTACTTCCCCGAGGACGACTGCCCATTCTACCGTGCTACCATCTTCTCTAACTACTCGCCCTACAACCAGCCCCAGAAAGACGTCAAGCTGGCTACACAGCAACTCGCCAACGGCTCCAAGCCCAAGTCCACCGAGCCCCAGGAGGGACCTTACTGGTCGATCATGTTGGAGGTTTCCGAGTCTAGCATGAAGCCTGTTGACCAGGAGAACATGCTCAAGGACTGCATCCAGGGTCTCATCAACACTGAGATGATCAAGCCTGAGGACGAGATCGTATCCACCTACCACCGCCGCTTCGATCACGGTTACCCCACTCCCTCGCTCGAGCGTGAGGGTGTCCTCACAAAGCTTCTCCCCGCTCTCCAGGACAAGGGCATCTACTCGCGTGGTCGCTTCGGTTCATGGCGTTACGAGGTCGGTAACCAGGACCACTCGTTTATGTTGGGTGTAGAGGCCGTTGACCACATCGTCAACGGCGCTGTCGAACTTACTCTCAACTACCCTGACTTCGTCAATGGCCGCAAGAACGAGGAGCGCCGCCTTCAGGATGGTGCTCAGATCTTCAAGAAGGTCGGCCAGAACTACCTGAACAAGCAAGAGTAAACTGTTTGCAGGGTTAGACTTTGATGAGCGAACATGACTTTGGGACATTACGGGATACCACATATCAGCATCTGGGGTTTGGGAACAGGCAGGAGTTCGCATTGTATGCTAAGACTTTTTGGTAGATAGCAAGCATGCGCTGCATTGAGTTCATGCTACGTTTCAAGCTAAAGCAGCCGCGTTTACAAAAGCATCGCAATAGACGTTGTGTCTTCTCGACTCTAATACCTTTTGCGTCACTATCTTGTTTATTCTCATATCTGCACAATTGCTAATCAGAAGCCTGCTGTTCTTCATGCTTGCTCACCACAAGCCCCACCCAAATACGAAGTTCCACAATTCTGCACCGTAGTAATTTCAAGCTTTCACGACGTCACCACCTCCTGCGGTATCCCTTGTCGATCTCGGCTCATAAGCTGGCCTTGTCGCACCAACCGATCAACCCTTGACTGCAGACCCTGATTCAAGCAGCCTTGTTTCCACGCCGTGAAACACAGGCAAGATCGCTCAACGGGCCGACCGACACACGGCAGACGCGTGTTACTGCGGGTACCACCGAGATGTAAGGGCTGCCAAACGGTCGCTGATCATGTGTTCCAAGGTTGACACCAAGGAAGACCGAGACTTTGGGGGGACGGTTTGAAGAGGACAGATTACCGATACGTATGGGTGTAGATAGGGATTGTTGGGTTTGTGGAGATTTGCCGGTGCTGGACGGCCGCGATCAAGGTGGTGACTGACGCGCAAATGGGGATGCTGAGAGAAAGAAATGTGATGAGGTGCGAGTCAGAACACTGTGATCACTGATCGCACGTGCCTCCGGTATTGGTGAGGTTGACATGCAAGATCGAGACACGCGTCGAGGATACAGTCTTGCACGATACGAAAGGAATCGTACTGCGTGTCATTTGTCTTGCATCTCGACTTCTTGTAGAAGGACAGATGTAGTCACGAACTTCCTCATCAGCTCTACTCTCGCACACCTGCGTCAATGTTTGACGAATCTACCGCTGTGCGTCTTGACTTATTCTTTACTGCCCTTTGCTCGCACGGAACTTCCTCAACACCTCCCTCTCCTCCTCATTCTGAGCCACACTCTCCTCGTCACCAACAGCGAGCTTCTGATGCTTCCACTGCTTTCCACTCGCGCCATAATCAGCACTGACCTGCGCATCACCCACAATCACCCACTTGTAGATACACAATCCCTCCAATCCAACAGGTCCACGCGAGTGAATCTTGTTCGTAGAAATACCAACCTCGGTACCAAAGCCGTAGCGCTGGCCATCGGCCATGCGGGTCGAGGTGTTCCAATACACAGATGACGAGTCAACAGCAGCGAGGAACGAGCGCGCAGTGAATTCGTCGTTGGTGAGGATGGCGTCGGTGTGGTGGGAGCCGTGGGCGTTGATATGTGAGATTGCTTCGGCGACGGAAGGCACGGTTTTGATGGCGATGATGTAGTCGAGGAATTCGGTGTCGAAGTCTTCGGGGCCAGCGGTCTGGAGCAGAGTTGATGAGTGCGAGTCAAGCTTGCTCTGGAGGGTGGTGAGAGAGGTTGAGTCGCATCGCAGAGATACACCTTTCTTGAGGAGGGCATCGGCAACGACGGGCAGCGTTGTGCTGAGCGCAGATTCTTCGACAATGAGTTGCTCGGTCGCGTTGCAGCCAGCTGGGTATGAGCACTTTGCGTCGATGATGATCTTGACTGCCTTCTCGGCAGGGTAGTCGTTCGTCAGGTATATCGAGCAGATGCCGTCTGCGTGGCCCAAAACAGGGATGGCTGTAGAGTCCTTAACGTAGCGGACAAGCTTGTTGCCGCCTCGAGGAATGCACAAGTCGATGTAAGTGTCTAACTTGAGGAGGTCGGCAATGACATCGTGAGTCTGGACGAGCTGCAGACAACTGGAAGGGACTGCTGTGGACGATAGAGCCTTGGAGATGATGGATGCAATGGCTGCAAAGCTGTTGCTGGATTCTCGTCCACCCTTCAGAATAGCTGCGTTTCCGGACTTGATGGCTAATGCGGAGATGTTGGCGATGACTTCAGGGCGAGCTTCGAAGATGATCAAAAGTACGCCAATGGGACATGTGATCCGTGAGAGAGTGAGGTTGTCATCGAGCAATGTCTTTGCGGTTGTCTTGTTGACTGCGTAATGTTAGTGTTTGCTGGAGGCTGTAATCTCAATTGATTCAATTTGAGATGAACGTATTTGCAAGATTGCGTGAAGTTTCGGTGAACTCGGATGCGAACATACTTGGGTCTTCCAATGCCACCACATCGAGAATGCCTTGAAGCATGTCCTCATACTTGCCCGGCTTCCCCAGGTCTAACCTCTTCACCAGACTTGCGCTAAGTGTTCCACCAGCTGCAGCCTTATTTGCGGCCTCGAGATCCTTAGCATTGGCTGCTAGCACCTCCTCTTTGCCATCTGCTAGCGCCTCGTGGATTGCAATCAATGCGGCATTGCGCTCCTTGGTCTTCAGAACAGCAAGTGTTCTTGAGCCTTCCCTAGCCGACTGAGCAATATCTAGTGGTGTTGCGTTCGTGAGAGACATGGCCGCGTGATGTTACTTCAGATGTTCCTGGCTCGTAACTTGACGATAGTTCGTAGTGCCCGCGTGACTCAGAATTGCTGAATAAGGGAGATATAATCCTTCAACTTCAACGTATGCAGGGTCTCCTCGGCTCAGGGCGCTATCGACGATCTAGGGGTAAATCGTATGCGGATGCAGCGGTGTCCAAATTTAGACACGTAAAGATCTGTATGGATTTGATGGAGGTGAGGGGTCCAGATGTAGCGCTTGTGGCAAAAATGGCCCGTGTCCGTCCCATCACCACACGCGCAACATCAATATCCTACACTATCGAATGAATTGAAAGGATGAAAGCCATACTCCTCAAATCGCAATGACATCATACTTTGTTCCTACCATTGTTCGTATTTGCTGGCCAGCTGCTACTAGGCCCCGGCAAGCGCGACAGAGGAGGTTGGTCCCAGCCTTCTTTTTGTTGTCGACTAGGTTACGACCTTCCAGCCTCGTCATTGTTGGCCATTACCCATGCACCGAACAGCGTGCCGCGCTCTTGGGGCCTTGATTATCGACTAACACGTAGGTTGCAGGATGTAGGATGGCTGGCGGTAATCTTGTCAGCATATATCTGCAGGCTTACATGGCCTGTCACAAACATTACACCATTGACTCTCCACCTCTCAATCGCTGAACAGCATTAACGTTACTACATTATACCTTCACTTACACATTTAGCAGCACACACTCGCTATCTCGACATCACTACGTTGGTTGCTCGATACAACTGTGCTACAACTTCCACGCGGCGGCCTTTGTTGGCATCGATCGTTAACATACTACTCCACACAATCAACATGCGCTCCACGATAAGAGCTTTCGCGGCCCTCGCCTCGGCAGCATGCCTCATTTCTCCCTCGACCGCCCAAACATACACCAACTGCAACCCTACAGTACGAACCGACTGCCCAGCCGACTCAGCGCTCGCTCGCACTGTTAACATCGACCTGAGCTCTGCGTCTGACAGCTTCACACCCCAATCGAACCCCACATACAGCAAAGATGGTGTCTCATTCACCATCTCCAACTCTGGCGATGCACCTCAACTCACATCGAAGTGGTACATCATGTTCGGCAAGGTCGACGTCGTCCTGAAGGCGGCACCCGGAGCAGGCATAGTCAGCAGCTTCGTCATGCAGTCTGACACACTCGACGAGATCGACTGGGAGTGGCTCGGTTCAGATCCAGACGAGGTTCAGACCAACTACTTCGGCAAGGGTCAAACCACCTCCTACAACCGTGGTGCGTTCCATGCAGATGTTGGCAGCCAGGATAGTTTCAAGACATATACCATCGAATGGACTCCCGAGCAGATTGTCTGGCAGATCGATGGAAAGACTGTTCGAAGTCTTGAGCCTGCCAACGCCGAGAACCAGTACCCTCAGACACCCATGCAGATTAAGTTTGGTGCTTGGGCTGGTGGTGACCCAAGCAACGCCGCTGGTACTATCGAGTGGGCTAGAGGTCCCACAGACTACACCAAGGGTCCCTTCACCATGACAGTCAAGTCCCTCAAGGTCCAGGACTATTCTACTGGAAGCACATACACCTACGGCGACACCAGCGGAACCTGGCAGACCATCAAGTCCAATGGTGGTGTGATCTACTCAGGTGGTGACAAGCCTATCAACAGCGACTCACCTCAGATCACTGCGACTGCAACTGGCGCTCCTCTTCCATTCATTCCTTCAAGGACTTCGTCGGACTACGAGCGACCGAGCGTGTACCCCTGGATTCCTGGTACATCCTCGGCCACTCCTGAGCCTACCTTTGGCAACTACCCCGGGCTTCCGAGCGGGTGGACTGTCTCTGATAGCGGCAAAGTCATTCCACCCAGCTCAGCTCCTGTCAGTAAGCCTAGTGTGCACTCTCCAATACTCATAAATTGTATGCTAACAGTGAATCACAGCCATCCCCTCTCGCTTCCTCTACGGCATCGCCTGCAGCTTCGCAGCCGGCCTATTCTGGCGATTCTAAGCCTCTGATCTGGACTGGCTACGATGACCGCGGTTTCACTACCATCTACACCTCCTACTCCGGCACTACTCAAGCTCAGCTTCCTGCAACTGTAGCTGCTGCGCAGCCTATCTCTATTACCAAGATCAACGCTGATCTAGCATTGGAGAGCAACGCTGCTGAGACCGCTCCTCCTGTTCCAAAAGCCAATACTGGCGCAACACTTATAGCCGTCTGTGGTGCTAGCATCCGTGGCGCTGGTCTTGCCAGTCTCCCGTTCTTCTCTATGGCATTGATGGGACACAGATGGTAAAACTGTTCCCGCTTTTGGCGACCACTTCTGGTATTTGCGCAATTTTTTTTTGTTCACGGTTGTATTAGCGTGGGAGTTTGCATGGATCAAGATCAAGGTTTGTGTTGCATTTACAGCGTGCCCAGCGTTAAGACTGGGAGCATCGTGGAAGCTCTAGATAGAGACGGATCCCTCGATGGATTAATAGTTGATGATCACGATGATCGATGTATAGATACGAGAAACGAGCTATGGCTTAGTAGATAATGCAAGCAAACGATGTACATGACTTCAATTTTTCTTACGTCCAGAGTATGTTCTCTTCGAAACTCTATCTCTTCTCTGCCAAAAGCATTCAGCACTCCGCCATCTCACCAACCTTACTAAAGTCCTTAGGGATAACCCCCACTTCCACAGCCTCCTTATAACTCCACCGCCAATCCCCACCAAGCTCAGTCTTCCAACTCCAAAACACCCACCCCTTCTGCTTCTCATATGCCCTTACCTGCGCCGCCCACCACCTTCTATACCACCCATGATTCTCCTTTCTGGTCGGTGAAAACTCATCACTCCATTCCTTCTCCTGCTTGACAGCCAGACTCCACTCCCCAATAATCAGTGGCTTATTGTTTTCCTCTGACGGAAACGTGTCGCCGCATGAAGCATTCAGGTAGTCGGCTTTTGTGGGAGGGATGGAGGAGTAGGTTAGGTAGCGGTGGGTGTCGAGTGCGAGGTTGAAGGTTGAATTGGGGAGGGAGTGAAGAGGGTTTCCCGCGCCCCAGGCTGAGGACATCATCTGGATTGTTAGGGCGTGGGATTCGGGGATGCTGAGGGAGGATTCGGTGGAGCGGATTGTGGTGTACGCTTTAGGGTAGCAGGAGGATATTAGGGAGGCGTGGTTGGGCTCGGGTTCATTGAGAACTTCCAATATGAAGGTGGTTTTGTACTGGTCGTGCGTGTGGATGCGCTCGGTCATGTTGCGGAGGAAAGTGCATGCGCGGTTGTAGTTGTCTGGGGAGTAGAATCCTGTGTTCTCGGTTGTCTGGACGTTTCAGTGGCTGAATAAGTCGTTAGAGCGAGAGAAGGGCTTACATGGCCAGTGAACGCGTTGTTGGGAGCCTGCACACCCGGTGCACCGTGTAGGTCCAAGATCACGCTGATGTTGTGTGAACCTGCCAGTCCGACGACTTTGTCGAGATACTTCATGCCGCCTCGAGGCCAGTTCTCGCCTGGAGCGATAGTCTCTTCTACGAACCAGTGCCCAACGGGGATCCTCACAGTGTTCAGCCCATACTCCTTCATCTTGTCGAAGTCCTCGGCGGTGATGAAAGTGTCCCAGTGCTTTTGAAAGGCGGTGTCTGCTCTCTCTTGACCAAGGGATGCAACGCAGTCCCATTCTGATTTTGCGTTGCCGCAGCCCATAGACTTCCATGTTTGGCTGGACATCCATGGCTCGACGATGAAGAAGGAACCAAGATTTACACCGCGAATCTTGTGGTTCGGTAGAGCGGCGAGGGTCTTGGAGATCACGGCAAATAACGTAGTGAGTAAGGTGAGTTTGGCCATGGTGATCAAGAGGGAAAGCAGTGAAAGATCTCAGCCTGAAAGCTAGTCGACAGCCGCCAAGCAGGCGTTTAAGTAGTCGAACAGTTATTGGAGGTGGTGAGCGGAGTCGGAGGAGGTGGAGATTGGAAGTGTGAAAGAGCGTTGGTGGTGAACGGCCTACAATGTGAGGAATTGAAGTCCAGATCAGGCCTTTTACTTTCATCGACGCCCCAGGCGGCGCGCCACACCTTCACTTCTGTGGTTTGCGATTGGTATTAGAGCGGTAAGGCGTACGTGCGTTTGCTCGTGGCTTTTGTGCGGGTGAATATGCATGGTGTCTTGATACAGGATGCAGCTGACCACGAGGATGTGGTGAACCTAGGATCCTGACTTGAGCGAGCAGAAGCATTGGAACGGAAGGTAAGGCTGCCTTGTCAGTGTTTGATCTAGGTAGAATTGTACAAAGCCACAGAAGTGCATTTGCGTTGCTCTCGTGTAGTGCTGCGAAGTTCTTGTTTGCGACTTCCATCGAGGTGCGAGAGGCAGTCAAGGGGGTAACAAATGGCTGACCGATCACGCACGGCCTGATGGTGAGTTTCGTGGAGGTATTCGCATTGTAATTACCAGTATCCTACAAGAAGAACGCACGATCGCTCATTCGTTGAGCCATCACGAAGTATGATTATGGCAGTTAGATGAACCTTTTTGGTGAACCCGGCAGGCGCCACTGAAACCAACGCCGTGAAAAGTGGTGATAAAGACAAGCCGCAGAAGTATATGAGCCGATGTCGAACAAACAGGTTCACGAGCTCGAAAGTAAAATATCAAGACCGCAAGGAGCTCAGAAGTCCATGTCTCTTGCTGGAGGATGCCGGTATCGCCGCACGTACCGAAGACGTTCCCAAGCCCACCCGTGTCGAAGCTGAGAAATATGCCGAAGGCGTTCCTGATCAAGGTACCCATGACGTTCCTGTAGCTCAAGTACCCAGGACAATTCTCGTATTCGTAAAAGAATATCTGTGCTTGATCCTCCTCGAAGCCTGACTTGCGGGTTCTATCCGCGACCGCCGCCGTAGGGCTGGTGTCGGAAGTTGTTGGTTCTACCACCACCTCGGTAGTTGGCACCCGGCTTGCCTGCATTCTTTGGGCCCGTGGGCGCGTTGATAGGTGCGGCGCTGGGTCCGGTAGGGGGCTGTGAGGAGCCTTGACGCTGGCGGTTGTTATTCTGGTGCTTAAAGCCACCGCGGCCGCCACCAGGGCCAGATGGGATGGAGGGCTGAGGGGCATCGTCGTACATGCCTTCCCAACTCGTAGGTCCACCCTGACCTCCATAACCACCTGACTGCTGTTGGCGCCGGGCTTGCTGTTGCTCGTATTTTTGTTGTTCGAAGGCTAGTTGTTCTTGAGCTGTGTACGCTGGACGAGGACCTCCGCCCATCATACCTTGTTCGTTGCCGCCGTTGAAGCCGCCGCCGCCTTGTTGCATCATCTGCTGCTGCTGCATCTGTTGCATCTGTTGCATTTGCTGCATCTGCATTGGGTTCATGCCACCACCCATGTTCTGTGGGTTCGGGCTGCCGTTGCCGCGGTTCATGCCTCCTCCCATCATCTGCTGCATGTTCTGCATCTGCTGCATCTGCATCGGGTTCATTCCCCCCATGCCGCCCATAGCACCTGGCATGCCGCCACCGCCAGCAGCAAGCTGTTGTTGCATCTGCTGGAAGTACTGCTGCATTCGCTGCCAGTATTGTGCCATCATGGCGGGGGTCATGCCGGCGTTGCCGCCTTGCTGTTGCTGGTTGTTCTGGTTATCGTAGCTTCCATTACCATTACCTCCATCACGGTTACCGAACTTATTGTTGCGGCCGAACTTCTTGTCATCTTCGCCATCTCGCATGTTGCCTCGAGGCTGGGCGCGCTTGACTTCGATCGGCTTGCCGAGGATCTGGAGGGGTTGCTTCAGTGTTGCGTCTACTGCTGCATCACCGTCAAACGTAACGAAACCGAAACCGCGTGGCCTGCCTGTCTCTTTGTCCATCATGAGTGTGGCATCGACAACGCGGCCGAACTGCTTGAAGAAGTTTGTGAAGTCCTCCTCGGTTGCCTCCTGGCTAACACCGCCAACGAAGATCTTGCTGGTTCGCTCCTGCTCTTCCCTAGGAATAGCTCTCTTGGGGTCGATCTGTCACATTGTCAGTTGGTCGCTTCTGCTGGTGAGCAGCAACATACAATCTTGCCATCGAGATAGTGCTCCTTGACCATGACAGTGTTGACGCATTTGGGGTCTCTGAAGGTAAGGAAACCAAAGCCTCGCGAGCGGCCAGTTGCGGAGTCGCGCATGACGGTACATTCGCTGACCTCACCAAACTGCGTGAAGTAGCCTTTGAGAGAGTCTATTTGGCTGTCAGTACAGTGTTTCAAGTAAGATATTGAGCAGAAGAGCGTAAGGCGCTGCAAAAGCGTGCTGGTTGTAGGCGTACCTTCTGTTGTCTCCCAGTTTAGGCCACCGATGAACATCTTACTATCACGTTGTCAGTATATCGTTTCAGGAACCATCTCAAACAGTAAGCAGTTGGTTTGCAATAGGACAGGCGCATCATGAGTAGTAGGACTTCTTGCATAGGCTGTTCGACCAGTGACATAGTCGTTGCAGGTTGTTGCCGGACTTAAAGAGCTCCATGGTTGCTGCCATTGCTGTTTGTTTTCGATTTGCATTCGGTTCGCAGCGACGTCAAGCACGCCTCGAGGTCGAGAGTGAACGTGAGCTTGAATAATGCGAGTGACGGATGGCTTTGGACAATTCGTGCGACAAGTATGTCGGTATCCAACGACTAGGTCGTTCCCTGGTGGGATTGATCCGGTTGGATGACTGAGCATGCATGTGTCGAGGGCCGGCAGCTGAACCGTTTGCCGCTAGTGTTCCAAATGAACAGCGTTGATTGTAATCGTCATGACGTTGGGTACCGGTCCTGCGAGCCTTTGGTGCCGTAATATTTGGTCCTTCTCGCTCACAACATTTGTAGTACATCTTTGTCGAAGGCCAATCGCGTGATGCCGCAATTGCGAGGGTCGTTAAGCGAGGGTGGTGTCTGCGCCGCACCTTGTCCAGCATGTCGAACTCGTGGCGTATGCCCAATCAGACCAGGGCGGAGTGCATTCCAAATACTGAGTATCCACCACGCGTGCAGCAAGTAGAGGCAGTCTGTCCTGTAATAGGCACAGTGTGTTCGGATGAAGCGTCTGTGTTCTGCTACGGAGTCGAGCGCTGACGTCTGAAACAGAACATCGCGCAGCTCGACGGACTATCCTCAGCTTGCGTTGTTGGTACGCGCTATCAAGTACCTAGGTATTTATCGACAAGAGGCGCTGCCAAATTTTTCCGGCAAGCTGCGATAGTCCTCGCGTAAGGCGTACTGATGGGCGGTCTGAGTATAGCATAGCCGTCGACTATCCGCATTCCAGCTCATTCCTTCAACTTATGATCGCGATGTTGCTGCCAGCCTCCTCGAGGGCGCTCGAACCGCGAGCTTCTGGCATGCAAAGCCCACATCCTCTTTCACTTCGATGCCAAACTTCAAGCAATCTTGGTGTGGATGCAACACGTGCCCAGTGAATCCTCGACACGGCTTGCGCGACCCTTGCGATTCCCATGTTGGGTTCTACCGAGCCTCTTACAGTCCGGGACCATTGGTAACAATACATGCCCTTTAGCTTGCTGGACTTGAGGAGATGACTGGAATGTGATACTCATAGGCTTTCCAGGAAGCCCTTTTTTTTTTACCTTGTGATGCGCCTGATTATGAACATGAAACTTCAAATGAGAGACTTACCCGTCCTCCTTCACGTTGATGGGACCGTAGTTATCATCGTCGTTCTGACCGTTATCGTACGACTGGTGACCTCCATTGTTGTACGCAGACCCGTCCATGTTCGTGTCATCACCACCGGCGGCAGGCTCTTGCCATGATGGCGCAGCATCTTGTGGTGTTTCTTGCGGTGGGGCGCTCTGTGGCTCTGCTTTTCCCTCTGGTTCGGCCTTGGGCGGTGCGGCTGCTGCCGGTGTCGACTTCGATGCAGGCTCATCATCGTAGCTGAGTCGGTGTTAGCAAAGACTCGGACCAGCTGCCAGCAACGTGGCGCTTCGTGCAGAACGTGACATACAGATCGTCGAAGAGGTCCTCCTCCTGGTAGTCGGCCATAGTGATGGTGCGGTGAAGGTTGGTGTAATGGAAAGAATGGAAAGAAGTCGCGTGGTAGTCGACCTTCACTCGGACCGGTCGGCACTAGAGTGGGGGGGAAGTGAATAGAAGAAATGGGTGGTGAGCAAGCGATGGCCGCAAAGCAATTGCTCGGGGTTTGGGCAGGTCGAGTGTTCAGGTCGCAAAGCTTGGAGTGCGCAGAGCTTGACGACAGGGTGTGGTGATGAGGCAGGCGCGCTATTTTAGCGCAAGAGAGCCGCAGCCGGGGACGTGCCTTCTAGCTCGGTGTTCCAAACGGGCAGACAAGTGTCAAGCGGGGTGAGCGTGATGCCCCATATTCGACATATGCGCACACTGCAGCCAGGATGAAGAAGCAACAGCAGGTATGGTTCAGTTACTTCCATTCCTTGGTCACGTGCTAATTTGTTGTCTCTCCAGGAAATGGTCCAGGTCGGTTCGTGCACTTCCACTTGGCCGCAGGCGTCATAGCATCGAGGGTAGCTAACATGTCGTTTTGCTGCCAATAGACCGCTCTGCGTGAGTTTGCCAGGCCTTCAGCGCATACTGTATGTAATCGCTGACATAATGTGCGCAGTTCCAATTCTCCCTTCTGGCGAACTACCTCCAACACCTCGAACACATCGACACAAAGCAAGAAGATCATCGGCGCGTCATATTCGCACGCTGACATACTCAACTTCAATTCTTTGTGAGCCGTTCATGCGCAGTGTACATCAGATCAGCTGACTTAAGTAGGAACATATCTGGCTCCAATTCGCGCCCTCGAACGCCGCCATCAGCTGGTCATAGCTGCGAGTCCAGCACCGCGCCGCACCGAACAAGCAGTAACATATCACCACGACCTACCCGGGAAACCTACAGTAGTTTTCTGCGCCAGTCTAACAATGACTGGGGTGCCGACGACGAGGACGATGGTGACATCATGTTCGAGGACGATGAGGATGAGTTTGGTCTTCCCAGCATAGCAAATGCTCGAAGAAAGGGACGACGGAAAGAACCATCAAAGGGGAAAGATCTGGGAGGGACCTACGCACATACCAGGAATGGGTTGGGCTCTGCGGGTTCGACAGCATGGCGAAGCATAGACAGCGGTGACATTGCTGAAGAGCGAGGCATCCCTAGCTACCCCACGGCGAAGAAGATCGAAGGAAAGATACTCCGACCGCAATATCAGGAAATCTTGCGCGACCCAGCGAACTCAATGCATCTTATCGAGCATCCCTCCGTACCACCCAACGCCACCGCAAAGCAAGTCGAAGAGCATTCTGCCCGGACAACTCGTATAAACAAGTTCAAGAGGATATTACAGGCAAGCACAATATCTCTGTCAGATTTGCGCGATTCAGCGTGGTCAGGAGTGCCATCTGAGGTGCGTGCAATGACATGGCAGGTTCTGTTGGGTTACCTGCCCACCAGCAGCGAACGAAGAGTAGCAACACTGGAGCGCAAAAGGAAAGAGTACTTGGAAGGCGTTCGCCAAGCTTTCGAGAAAGGTACTTCAGGCAGCACTGGCGCTGTTGCGGCTGGTATAGCGGGTACCTCATCGTTTCCATCGACCATTCGTGGGCGAGGACGAGGTCTAGACGAAGCTATCTGGCATCAAATCAGCATCGATGTACCGCGGACAAACCCTCATCTTGAGCTATACAGCTACGAAGCAACACAAAGATCACTAGAGAGGATACTGTACGTCTGGGCTATACGGCACCCCGCTTCCGGCTATGTACAGGGCATCAACGATCTCGTCACGCCGTTCTGGCAGGTCTTCCTTGGTGCCTACATCTCGGATCCTGACATTGAATTCGGGATGGACCCTGGACAGCTGCCCAAACAAGTTCTAGATGCAGTCGAAGCCGACTCGTTCTGGTGTTTAACAAAGCTTCTTGACGGGATACAAGACAATTACATCGCACATCAGCCAGGAATCCAGCGACAAGTGGCGAGCCTGCGAGATCTTACTACACGCATCGATGATGGCTTGGCGAAACATCTGCAGAACGAAGGTGTCGAGTTCATACAGTTCAGCTTCCGGTGGATGAACTGTCTGCTGATGCGCGAGATATCCGTCAAGAATACAATCCGGATGTGGGACACGTATCTGGTGAGTATAATCGTGTCCTTTTCTCGTAGTGCCCTACTAACACGTGACAGGCTGAAGAAGACGGTTTCTCATCCTTCCATCTTTACGTATGCGCAGCTTTCCTCGTCAAATGGTCTGACCAGCTGCGGAAGATGGACTTCCAGGAGGTGATGATGTTCCTGCAATCGCTGCCAACAAAGCAATGGACTGAAAAGGACATCGAACTGCTTCTGAGCGAAGCGTTCATTTGGCAGAGTCTGTTCAAGGGAAGTGGTGCGCACTTGAAGAACACAAGCTCAAGAGGAATTGGCATGGGTCCTGACTTCTAGGAAACGTTGGTGATGTTGCAAACGCCGAGATGACCTACTTGTACATAATCCGCTAATGTACTACATAATGATCACAACGATAACATCGATATGTCAATCACAGTTGACTCGGCATATCACCGACCGATGATATAGCTCCTGCCGGATAATGCATGTTGTATCCGGATAACATCTTCGAAGAGCGGAGGAACCCCGCCGCTACCCCACTAACCTCATGGACGTCAGTGGCTAGCTTCACGATCTGCAACTCCATACGTATACATAAGCACGTCTTGTGATACACCAACCTCACTCTTTCCTCTCGGATGCAATAGCAAGGAAGCCTCACTGCTCAACAAAGAACCCACATCAACACATCTACAAGTTCATACTTACAACCAGCACAATGGAACAGCCCACTAGACCTCCATTCGAGGACCTCCCACTCGACAAGGAAGGACCTCCAGGCAACGCATGGGGCCTCTACGGCTTCGACGACGAGCTCGGCGCCCTAAACATGATAACCCCCGCCACCGTGAAAGCCGCCGCGCAAGAGATCCAAACCGGCGAGCGCGTATCACTAGACTGGTATCTTAACCTGCCCTCTTACCCATCTTTCGGCCGGCCCTCATTTGGCTGGCGCATGGAGAACAGAACCCACCCAGATGGAACCAAGCGCACCGTCAACGACGACCACCTAGACATCAACACCCAAAGCTCCAGCCAATGGGACGGCTTCAGACACTACGGTTACCAACAAGCCGCCTGCTACTACGGCGGCCGCACGCAATCCGACCTCGAAAACACAGACATCATCGGCATCGACAAGATCGCGCACTCGGGCGGCATCACCGCCCGCGCTGTTATCCTGGACTATCCGCGGTATCTCCAGAAATCCGGTAAAGATGCCATTAATGCGCTTTCGAGCCACGCTATTAGCGCGAGGGAGCTGAAGGATATGCTTAAGGGGACGGGCGTCGAGGCCAGGAATGGCGATTTGTTGCTCGTGAGGACCGGATTTACGGAGCAGTATGGCAAATTGGGGGAACAGGAGAGGAAGGGGTTGGCGGGGAAGCCGCCACGGTTTGCAGGCGTGGAGAGTAGTAAGGAGACGTTGAGGTGGATTTGGGAGAGCGGGTTTGTGGCGGTTGCCGGGTATGTTTCCCTTCTCTTCTTTTGATCACAGAGACTTTCTTGAGGTGTCGGTGGTAGATGATAAGGCTAATGATGATAGCGATGCGCCCTCCTTCGAGATGGCACCTTTGGTAGGCGACCACAACAAGCCTGGTGGCATCTGGAAAGGTGAAGAGTGGGAAAGTGACATGCAGGGTGGCGGTCTTCTGCATCAGTGGCTACTGGGCGGCTGGGGAGTCATGATCGGTGAGATGTGGGATTTGGAGAGGCTGTGTAAGAAGGCAGAAGAGTTGGGGAGGTGGACGTGTTTTGTTAGTAGTGTGCCGTTGAAGGTAAGTGTTGAGCTGGTGAAGAGTGGGAATTGAGTGTGGAAAGCTGACTTGTGTACAGGTTCCTGGTGGTGTTGCAAGTCCGCCGAACGCTGTTGCTATATTCTAGGTTCTTCTGTACATAGATGAAGCCGCCAATGAACATCTTGGAGCTCTTCTCGTCGGCTACACAGTGTCTCGAGGAAATGAGAAGCTGCAATTGATGTCCGAATCGGTTGCCTTGTCTGAGACTTGTTGGCGAGGTACGAGAGGGTATGAGAGGGCGTTTCGAGAATGACACCTTGTCGCGGTAAATTGTGAGTGATCAGTACGCGTGTGCGGAAGTATTGAAGGATTGAACTGAGGGTGTATTGAACTAAGCTGTGTGTTTAAATAGTGTGAGGACAGGGAGGTTTGACCATGAGACTGTTGTGTTACTATAATTGTTTGACGGAGTATCATATCGGTCCGTTTATACTCAACCTTACTGTACTGATCTAACTTTACTGCGATAGTTATTCTTATGGCAGGTGAGGTACGACAGGCAGTAGCACCCTAAACCGTGACATACATACATACAGACAATAATGGCGTTGTTCTTGCACACATGGCATTAAGAGGTACGCTACATTGTCCGAACGTATTTATCTTGTGGCCCCTCTGCTGTTGATTCTCCATTTCGCTACCTTCCACTGTCTTGCTGATTTTAGTGAAGCCTTTGGAAGTACTCTTCCTTTCGTGTTCTTCCATCGTCTCCTTGAGTCAGAGGTTGCACAGCTACCACCATATGCTTGAAAGATCTTTGGTGGTGACTGCTCGTTATCTCTAGCTCTTCCATTTTCTCCTGATGTTTTCGATCAAACATGGCGGCTGGCTCAAAGTCCTGTCTTATACCACTTCTCGATCTGCGCGCGTCCTGCTGCAGCAGCCATCGGAGAAAGTGAAGGAGAGGGATTTTCTAAACCAACGAGGTTTGAAGAGCGCTTGAAACTGTTATCAGCATCACTGGAAAGAAGCAGAAAAGTTTCGCTGAGAGAGATGTGATGTGGGTCGAGTGGATGCATCGCCATTCCCTGACCATCTTGATCACAGAAGGTTCGTCTTCGGTGCCGTCTCCGTTCAGCCATGGGGCCACTCCAGATCCGGAACTCGAGGGGAACAATGTGTTCTTTTCGTTTTCCCTCAGGACGAAGGAGTACAGTACTCCCAGACCGATGCACCGTTCAAAGCTACTTGCTTTAGGATCCATCAACCAAATTGGTGGCTCGTATATCACGAGTAAGTTTGCATACTGAGTGCAGAATTCATCGAGGCGTGATAAGGTTTTTTTCCAGTGTCGCGAAGGAATGCCGGACGCGAACCTTTGGGAGTCGATTCTTGGATTTTGATTGTAGACAGCCAAGCACGTTTTGCTGGTGACATCAACCTCAGGAACCTGACCATTTGAGCTCCGCAAGGACGTCTAGGTGAAGATATACAGTTGAAAATGAGGACTGGAATGTACTTGAGCTCCATACCAGCTGCCTCGAGTAGAGCTGGTGGTTCACGTACTTCAGCCGATCGAACTCATCCTTTAATGTGGCGTTGTAGTACGTGCCCCCGCAACCGGTATCGTAGAAGAAGGATTTCTTTCCAGAGGATGCTCGGTTGTGAACGTGTCCGAGTCCGTCCGCTGGGGTGAAAGCGAACTCGTAGATGCGGTTGCGAATCTCCGGCGGCAGAGACAGAAAAGACGGTGTGATTGCCATGGTGGAATCGCCAAGGAACTGGGTTAATGTGGTGAGAAAAGGCGTGGAGGTAGGAGGTAGGAGGGCTGTTTCAGTGTAGGGAAGGAGCGACTCGTATAGTAGCAACACTATCGAAAGAAGTGAAAGTGAAGGCGCGTTGGCTTCGACAAGCAACTTCCGATTCCCTTCCGCGGAACATGCCTTTCACTCACAGCTTAGCTTGTCTCACTAGCGTACCTGTCAACCACCTAGTTTAGCATTGTTGAACAGATCGGTTGTTTACGGCTCTGCGTACATCTTTCTGACTGCAGAGTAAGCGCACATCCAGGGTCATTTTTCAGATTCAGATGACCTCTCAGTCTGCAATACGTCCCTTTCACTTCCAACTTAGCGTATCTCCCTAGCATATATGGTGATCATTCCTTCCTCAATTCACCAGGGCTCTATCTACTTAACTTCACACAGCCACTCCTCATCGTTCACATTGACAGCTTAAACTCCGTCTACATCTCTGTAGTCACAATGTCGCAAACACACAGTTTTTTCGCCCTTCCGGGTACGATTCATAACCGGATATACTATTACGCCTTGACTTGTTCGGCTAAGCTTCAATACCTCGATAACTCAGCAACTTCATGGCTGAAGCATGTATTCTACGATGCCCATCACTCTTAAGCGCAACTTATTATCAATAATGTGACCAAATCTGACAGGAAAAGATCTAAGCGTAAAAGAGAATGATTTCTCGAGAATTTGCTCGAGCCAGACGACCTAGCAGCTACACGGAACAGGTTTCGAACGTACTTGAAGGGGCATGGCATCGTACTTGATAGCGAGGAGTGACTGCGTGCAAGAAAATCTGTGGTTCGCAGATAGACCAATACTGCGAACACATGTGATGTTGGTAGCCTTCTAGTATTGCACTGACAAATATTGGATGAATTTGAAAGATGGACGCATATCACATCGACCTTGCTCCTCATCATTCGGGGCACACAAATGAGAAGGAAATATGCAATTCTTTCAATAGATTTCGAAACAGAACACAACAAGCCTTGGTGTTTTCGACCGGCTCTTGTACTTTCAAAATTGTTTGTTGAAGTGAAGTCCAGACACGGGCCAGATATCGCGAGCACTAGTTTGGAAGCAGACAATCGAGTCGCCATATACATTTTCCCGGAGGTTCTTTGTAGTGCTCGACATCGCTGAATGTGACTACTGTTTTCAAAGATGCGACTGAAGTGCATCGCATGACGAAACTCGCCGTTCTGGTGTTCGATTGGACTTTAGAGCGAGCCAGACACGTAAAAAAACCCTTGTCAATATTCATGCGCGAGCGAGAGGCAAAAGATATCCGAGAATTCTCGCACTGTTTTTTAGGGTTTGGATATGGTCGTGGTATGAAGGGAAAAACCCAGTTAAACGTCAAGGTTTTATGAATAGGTCTTTGTAGTCGCACAGCTGCACATACGATGATGCTACGGCCTTTTCTCAAACATGAGTAGTCATGTTGAGGGTTTTTGGTACACCCTGGAGTGAACCAAGATACTCTCACGCGAAACAGAAGAAATACAAGCACATCAGCATTACCCCAGTACTTTCGACGGCAGAGACGGCGAGACATTGTCCTTTTTCGGACAGATTTTGAGAGCGTTAGTCACGGTCCTGGATTTGGACGATTCGAACATATGGCGTCGGTGCGCGAGACTTTCGAGGCGACGTGTCCTCCAGAAAGAAAAGAAGTCATGAGAGCTCGGCGCTCTAATTTTGGACCACGTTTCTCCATGAAGAGGGTTTGAAGAAGCAGGTGGTAGAAGCGGCGCACATGTGCAAGAAATCCTTCTCACAACAAGTTTGGAGCAAAGCTTGCGCAAAAGGGCGTTTATATGGTAGTGACTTCCAGTCGCCGTTTGCGACCCACGTGAGCAGCCAAACAGTGCCTCGCTCTTACCGTTCCACCTCACTTAATGTCTGAACAGCCGCGCCTTCAACTTGTCCATTCTGCCCCTGCCTCGAATTTCTCCTTGGATTCTCTCGCCTCGGCGTTGTTGACCCTTTCCTCTCCAGCATTGGCTGCTACTTCCCAACCTGCCTCTTCCGCTTTCGTCCCTACTCCACATCAGCCACAACTGTTACCGCCTCTCAACCATGACAAGCGACTTACTCTGTTCCTTCTACCATTCCTTTACGACGTTTTTCTTCATCTTGGCCCAACGGCTGGACTTTTCAAGGCCTGCGACGTCCATTCGCAAAGTGCGATGATCAATTTGTGACAATAAAGTATTTGCGAGATCGGTACATTGAAAAGCCTAAAGAGCCGTGTTACTTGCGACGATGGAGTCACGAAGATAAAAGGGTTTGCAAAGTCGACAGCATGGTGAGCATGAAGAGTTGAATCGTGTATGCGCAGACCAATGCTGACATGTAAGCAGTCTCCCACAAACGGCGATACGATTGGTAGCCTTGACATAACAAAGTGATGTGCACATCTTCCATGATTATTTCGACTATCGCCCCTATACAACAGGCGTGGTCAAGCGTATGTGAGTGATAGTGACGCTGACAGTGGCAGCTCGAGTCCTGAGTCGTCAAAATAGTGATCAAAGATAGACTTTCGGAGAGACCTTGAACAGTCTTAGCCGGCTTGGTACCACTTAGCGCTGGTGTAATCGCCCAGACCTTCTCGTATGGGACGTTTGATGAAGAGTCCTAGCCAAGTCGCTACTGTAATGAATGCGAGCTTTGACGCTGTTCATCAGCCTCGCCTCATCTCGGCCGTCACGCGACACAGTATTGCATGTATGAAGAAGGCAGTAAGACGGTGTAGTAGTTGTGATGCATTGCATTCAGTCCTCTTATCCAAAATTCGTTACACCAAGCCCCCCTTAAATACAGTTAGACAAAAGAAATTAAGAATAAACACAACCCAATAATGCGTGGGTATATCATCCATGTACAAGAAAATCATGAAACGCCCTTCATCTCTACACTAAGACTCCCTTACGAGGAGCCAGCGTAGACCTGACCAACAGCCGAAAGGCCGGAAGCAGTGTTGAGCTGGTTCTCGCCAGTGCCAACCATGAACCACGAGTAACCCTGGACCTTGTCGGACGAGTCGCAGTAAGCCATAGCCTCCTTGAGGAAGGAAGCAGCCTGCTCCTCGGAAGCAGAGCCGGTGTTGAGGCCGAACTCGGTGATCCAGACGGGCATGCCGTAGTTGGCGGCGGCCTTCTCGACCTGGGCCTTAAAACGGTCGATGGTGGCCTCCTCGTAGATGTCGTAGAAGTGGATGTTGGTCGCGTGCACGATGGCGTCGGGGCAGCCGTCGTGGAAGCGGGACAGCCAGTCGAGACCCATGGGGGCGGCGCCGTTGGTGACGGAGGGACCGAGGATGGTGACGTCGGGATGCGATGAGGCGATGGGGTTCATGTACTCCTTCCATGCGGTGCAGGCGGCCTCAGGGGTAAGGTTGGCCTGCTCAGCGTGGTCGGGCTCGTTGAAGCCCATGACAGCCTTGGAGCCGGCCTTGACGGCCTTGTCGACGTTGGCCAACCAAGCCTCGGCGGTGGAGTCCGAGACCTTGTGCATCATGGGAATGAAGGGAGCGCCGACATCCTTGCTCTCGGTCTGGGCCCAGTTGTAGGCGAAGCCGAAGTTGGAGCCGAAGGAAGCGCAGAGCTCACCGTCGTTGTAGGCAAGACCACGCTTGGTTCCGCTGTAGGTGGGGGTGCTGGAGGACGTAGGGGCAGCGGAGGAAGAAGCAGCAGTGGAAGAGGGAACTGCGGCGCTGTACTCCTTCTGGGCAACCGAGGTGATAGCAGGGAGGGAGGTAGACGAGGTGTAGGCCTCGTACTCCTCAGCCTTGGAGCTTGAAGCTACGACAGCCTTGGAGCTGTACGCAGTCTCGACGGCAGGCTTGGAGGAAGTGGGCTTCTCAGCAGCGGGAGTCGAGGAGACGACAATATAGCTGGAAGCATCGTACTCGCCGGCCTTGGAGGAAGGAAGAGCGACGTAGGAGGAAACAACGCCAGCAGAGTAGGCGGAGGAAGCACCAGGGGTAACAGTGACGGTGGCCTTCTCAGTAGCAGTGACGGTGACGGTAGCAGGACCGCACTGGTTGCCAGCAGGCTTGGAAGAGACGTTCTCAACAACGGCGGACTGGGACGCAGGAGTTCCGTAGATGGTGGAGTAGATGGTCTTGGTGGAGGTGGTGGTCGTGTCGATGGTGGAAGTCCTGCCCTGCTCGTATGAAGCAGTGCCGGCAGGGACCTGGGTGCTGTTGTAGTTGCCAGACCAGCCGCCAGTGGGGTAGGGCTTTCCAGTGCCAGCGGCAGGCTTGGAGTGGAACTTGGAGTGACCACCGTAGGAGGGGTGAGCGGCGGCGGCGGCGACGAGGGCCAAAAGACTGATCTTGGTCATGGAGGACATGTTGATGTGGATATACAGGGTATCTCGTGCGTTGCTAGTTGGACAGGACAGGCGACTTCTTGAAGAGCGCAGGGAACGAGCCGACCAGGGCTGAGGCGGATTCGCAAAAGTGAATGTGGTGTTCGAAAGAACGTGGGGAGCGTACGCTCGTAGGGAAAGACTGCGACAGCTCTGGTGGGAGTTTGGGACGTTGCGGGCGAGATGGGGGTACGGGGTGGCCTCAGTTCATATACGAGAACGGGGAGAGCGGATCCCCCCATGGCTAGGGCAAGGCCTGGAAGGCCTCACGCAACGGTAGTGAGCGCTTTTGCAAACAAACTTTTCCAGTCCTGGTCGCACCAAGGATGGCCTGCAGCGAGCTGGCGGCTGCCGGCCAGGGGCAAGCGTCAAGGAGGCTATGTCGTGGAAATGAGCCATGCAGCCACTCACAGCCGGCGCTGCACCCAAGACATCGGCCACCCACCTCCAAAAGGACGATTGATGCTAGTCGCTGATCGGCGTAACAAAAGCTTGACTTATTCAGCTGGTCCCGCGGTGGCGCTGCCTTATTCGACGCCGTCGAGCGCCATCGTTTCAACCATCCAGGAACCCGCACACCCGTCAGTAACAGCCGCCAGATGAGGCCAAAAGCAACGAGCGGCATGCGTTTGCACATCCTCCAGGTTAATGTGTTGACCTTAAAGGTGGATGTCATCTTGATGATGATCAAAACTCTGGACGTGACATGCACACAATCTCACCCGGCCAGCGTGAGCCGTCCCATGCTGCGCTATCGATCCACTGTGTCGTCCCACAGCAGCGACAGGCATGTTATCCATCTCACGCTGCTTCCGGAGCTCCATCTACACTCGCTCGACCGGGATATTGATGCTGGCAACAGACGCTTAGCGATCCCAGCGGCGTCTTCATTTCCTTTGCGTGTGATCGACTCGGTGATTTATTGCCTGCAGAAATAAGGGATAACGTTTGCACACCTCGTTGCGTGGCCAGCAGTTTCATTGCAAACTTTTTGTTTTGTTGATGAAGCGTCGCGCTGAGGTTGAAAGAAGCTGAAAGCGAGGTTGCGCAACGTGGTCGTGGCTGCTTTGTTGCTGCCCTTGCAGCGTTACGCGCTGAATAGGAAGTCGCACCGGCGTCAAGGGGCGTGGCATGGCGACCCTGAGCTTATGACACGCTACGGGACGTGAGAATACTGCGCACAGCTGGGGGCTGCCACACGCAATTGAGCATTGTCGTTGCTCAGCTTGTGTTGCAAAAACCCAATCGTTTTCTTCGTTTCTTTGTGTGATGACAAAGAGCGCTGCGACGATGACCTGCAAGTAACAGAACACAACATGTTTAAGGGTGACACTTCAATTCCAGCACTGCGGTCGCACGGTTCCACGTTGAGCAGGCAAGTTGCTGCTCGAGCTGCTCTCTCCTGCATTCTTCGCTGCAGGGGCACTCTATTCTCGACGTTCTTTGCATTCTCGTTGTCTTCAACATCGTGTGTGTTTTCGTGAGCTGAGCATCCAACAGCCCTCATCAGCTTAACGAGAGCAGGGCCAGCTCTCGGTCCGGCTCCTCCAGCGTCCGTAGACCTCCCCGGCTACAAACTGCAACGTTCCAACGTCATCGCGATCCACTGACGAGCAGCCCAAGATGCGCCGTTGCGATCTTGAGGCCTGCAGAATGCTTCTCTACACACACCTCAGATTTGCGCTCGAGAACTGTCTCCCCACAACTCCATCACTCTCGTCGCGTGGGATTTCCACAGTTCTTACCACAATTTTCGTCGTCACTTTGTTTGATTGGATGACTGCCATGCATGTTTGCAAGGATGGACGAATGGGGACGAGAAGACGGAAGAGAACGCAGCTATCGATAAGTGGTTTTCGGCCCTGCATTGGTGTTATGCAGAGCTTGCGCAAGTTGTGCGCCGCCGCAGCGTTGAACCAGTTTTCATTTCTCAACACCGAGCGAGTGAGCGAGCAGACCGATCGCTTGACTCAATGTTGGAGGCGTCGTTGGGCTTATGTTTTCGGATTTCTTGACGTGAGGCAGTTGTAAGAGTCGTGTTGCCGATCAGATGAATTCTGAGGAGATCACAATATCGTAGCAAACATGTGAATCGCGATCACCAGTTCTAGAAGTGAGTTTCCGTGGGACGCCAGATTCGGATCGTTGGTGTACCAGAGCACTTTCCTGACGGCTGCAAGCTGCCGAGCCGTAGCGTCCGTTTGGCTTCACGTGCGATGTTGACTTCAGTGGTGGTTCGAATGTCACGACGCTTCTCATGTCTGCTTGAAAGCCCTAGGTGATGGTCGTGGTGAATATAGTGTTCGCCCCCGTAAATACCATCTCCGTGTGGTTCGTTCCAGTCCAAACATAGTGTCAGTGTTCGTTTCGAAACACCCGCCGGCAACATGCGACATCCGCCATGAGTCTGGCAGATCTGGTTCATGAACCCTGCACGAACTCAAAACAATGGCGGGGAGCAGCGAGAAACTGGGGTGAACATTGCTAACGTGTTTTCGATTCGATGATCTCAGGATTTGAGATATGATGCTATGCCTTCAGATAATCCTTTGACGCCTGTACATTTCCCAGGTCATAGATATCTTCCTTACGCCATGCTACGCAGACCACCAGGGGAATCGGCCCAAATGCAATGCTCGCCAAACGCCTATTGTACAATGCGGACCGCCGAACCTCCACTGTCTATGCAAGGTATCGATATGAGTCCACCTTCGCCCCGTCGATGCGCTCAAGATACTCGCGCTCGATGAGCGATTCTATGCGCTTCTTGACCATGTTGACCTCGGGCTTGAACTGACCGGCCAGTTGGCTAAGGGTCTCGAGAATGAGTTGCTGATGCGAGAGTTCCTTGCGTTGTCTGTGGTTTGTTAGCACGGGTCAGATAATGTGAAACGCGATGTACGTACTTCATGATTCGAACAACAGCAGCCTCGATACAGAACTGTCGTGAATCATCGTTCTTCTTCTCGGTCTCTCGTCGCTCTCGGTCACTCTCAACCTTGTTGCCGCTGCTGATTACACCGACCTTAATCTTGACGAACTTGCCGTTGAAGCCCTCATTGAAGAAGAACTTGTCAGTCGGCTTCACGTCCTTTGACATGGGCTCCTTGATCAATATGCGCGTTTTCGGTGCAACAGCCAGGGACTGCAGGTTCCTGATCAAGTCAGGGGCTGGGATGTTCGTTTGCGCTTGGATCTCTTCGAAGGTCAAGTGCTGATCCGCAGGCAGGTCGTTGAACAGCAGCAGAATGACCATGCCGTATGTTGGTACGTTGAGCTCGTGACGGCGCTCCTTGAATGATCCATCCTTCTGCTGCACTTTCTTAAAGGTAGCTCGGATATCCGCTGATCCCATGTTGGCAAGCCAAGTGAGCTGTCGCCCAGAGTGCTTCTCGTTGTAGTACTTCTCGAAGCCGCGCTTGACCTTCTCTACGGCAGTTGGAAAGTTGCATCGCGGTCGACCTTCTCCATCTTCGACTGTACCACCAATAGTCTCGAGTGACCATGTCATGCTGGTGAGAACGTTGATGTTCAGATCGATGCGCTTCGGGTCCTTCTCGCCAAGTCCTTCGACGTGTCTCTTGAAGCCTGCAGTAAGTTCCTCGGAAATAGTCATGTCCTTGAACATGGCTTCCAACTTCAACGTGAAGTTGTTTCCAAGCTCGATCTTCATCTTCGAGATCATCTGCTTCTCGACTTCGTTGCTGATCGACTTGTTCATCAAGAGTCGCCTGCACAAATGCTTCTTGTAGTAGCGCTCGAACAGATCCTTGTCCTGGACATATCGCAGCAAGATGATGGCCTTCTCCAGAACAGCATCAATTTCCATTTCCGTCTTGCCCTTGATGCCCTTCTTCATGTTCTCATCGATGAAGAGCGAGATGTATTCGGAAGATCTTGGGAAAGTAGGCGAGTTGATGAAGTCGGCAAAGCTCCTGGTCACTGCTTGCTGCAGCAGACCGTCCGCTTCGAATGAATCCCGCCAGATACGGTCGAACTTGTCCTTTAGTGTGAGAACATCGTCGACCCATTTGATAGCTGCGACCGTCTGCTGGTTGATGCTCTTCTCCTGTGCGACCTTTTTGTTCTTGTCCGCAGGATCGGCTGCCGGTGCAGGTACAGGCGCAGGAGCAGGAGCAGGAGCTTGAGATGCAGCAATGGCATCGTTGTTGACATCTGTGCCCATATCGACGATTCGCTTCTGGATTGCTCGTGTGAGCTCCGACTTCTTCTCGTCCACACGCCGGTTCAGATCGTACACGAGGTTCAGCTCTTCCAGCCTATCGTTGTCGATCATGTACCGCACTCCGCTCTCCATTTCTACCAGCTCGTGTATCCGGTTCTTGATCAGCTCATCCTCGACGACCTTCTGAATCTTCGGCCCGGTGCTCTCTAGTAGCGTCTGCTTGCACCGCTCATCCTCCTCGTAAATTCTCCTTTGGGCGTGCCTGCAGTATGCGCCGGCATTAGAGTCACGCAGCAGAAGCTCTGACTCGCTCTTGTAGAACTCCCTGCTAGTATCCAGGTACTCTCGCTCGAAGGAGACGTTGTACAGACGCTGCTCTTCTGACTCCGTCTCGTCTTCGTGCAGCCCCTCGAGCATCCACACACATGACTTGATCAGGTGCTTGTCGATGACATCGCCGTCGCGTTCCATCTGGATCTGGTCAAGGATAACGTGGTTCAAAAGGCCGAGGAGTAGGCGCGCATCGTGATCGGAGACAGGTGAGCGTAGGATCTCGTCGCGGAAGAGGACCATGGCAGCGTTGAAGATCGACGGCCGGCGGTGGTCTGCGCAGTAGACACGGTCCTGGAACAGTCGCTGTTAACCTCCGTGCACTTCTGACGGTACGCAGAGGCCAACTTACCATGTACATGAGCACATCTGCCAACATGCTCATGCAGACCTGGTGGTCGCCCCATGCCTGCTTCAAGCCCTTGAGGAACTTCTCGCCCGCAACTCGTCGCTCGTTCGCGGTTGTGCCACCCAGACTCTGCACGTCCACAAGAAGGTTTGGCGAAAGCAACTGCTGAATGGCGGCGCGAACTTCGCTACTCAGCCACTTGCGCTCAAACTCGTGGACGTTGTGGTACAAGTCTTCGCCCTTCTTCTTCAGGACAATGCGGTAGGCGTGGCGATACAGCTCTTCGTACGATAGCTTCGACGCATTTTTGGTATGGATTTCGCGAAAAGCAGCCTCGATAGTGGCCCACGTATTCTCAAAATCGACCTCGTCTCCGTGCAGACCCTGAGTTTGCCGCATTGTTAGTGGTGCTCAATGAGGGCAGGCGCGGCTGAAAGCGTAGTGTATACAACTGTGGTGGAGGGCGAAGTGAAGGTGACATACCCTGCGCGGTGGCCGAATTCGCTGCCTGCCACGTCCAGCGATCATGTTGCCTTTGTGTGAGAGCTACGCGAAGTGTCCAACAGCTATATATGCCCTTCTAGTGCGGAGGCGGCTGAAGGAGAGGGCTCGGTGGGGCGGGTCGATGTGCGCGCTGTTGGTCAAGGAAGGAGCGACGGAGCAGAACCAATCAGTGGCGGCGACAGCAGTGAAGGACGACGACAAACAGCCGGTACAAGAGCGTGGTGTTGGTGTTCTCACGCCTCACGGCTCCGGCGGGGATGCTCGCAGTGCCCGCCCGCATGCAGATGACGTTTCTTGGCGCTACCACCTCGGTGGAGACAACTTTGTCCGCAGCTTCAAGCCAAGCTTCATTCACGACCCGCTTCCTGTTTGATCGCTCCTTCCAAGACTATTCAGCATCCTCTCTTTCACCATGCGCTCTTCCATGTCTTTGTTGCGCGCGTGCGCCCGCACAACTGCGCCTCGAGCAGCATGGGCTCCCCCTGCTGAACACATTCCAGCGGCCTCAAAGCGTCTCATTCACACGCCGCGAACGTCAGCCCCCATACGCCCGTCGATCATCCTGTCCAGAACACGACTTCCTTCTACGGCACGCTTTGAATCTAGTGCAGCCACACCGCCGCAAAACAACACATCGACTCAGGCACCGGAATCGCGACTCGACCGCGATCAAGTGCCTTCATATGAGCTCACGTTCACGTGCAACGTGTGCAAGACTCGCTCGTCGCACCGACTGTCTAAGCAAGGCTACCACAAGGGAACTATCCTCATCTCTTGCCCTGGTTGCAAGAACAGACATTTGATCAGTGATCATTTGAAGGTAGGTTGGTTGGATAAGCACAAACGGATCTGTAGCTAATGCTTTACAGATCTTCTCAGACAAGTCTGTCACAATCGAGGACCTGGTGAAGGAAAAGGGAAGCCTCGTCAAGCGAGGTTCCTTGAGCGCAGAGGGTGACGTCGAGTTCTGGGATGACGGCTCCTCCACACCACGTTCGGCACACTTCCACACCGACTCATCAGCCAGCGGCGAGGAACGATTGACCGACAAGAACCAACCCTCCTCGCAAACCCCAAAGGAGTAACAACTCAGATACACACCAGCTGCTGGTCGGCACGATTATACCCTGTACAACATCCACCCAACTGTACCATACTGTAGCGATAAACGTACGACGAACGAATAGACAAAAGTCATGTTTGAGAAAGGCTCACGGATGCGAGCCATGATCTCTCGAATGAGCATAAGACCGCACTTTCGCCCCTGGCATGCTTCATCCGGGCAATTCTCCTCTCCGTTCGTGCGCAGCCGGCCAATATTGACCTTCGAGCTCGTTCTGATGTGGCATTTGGGGGACACTAACGGGACTTACTGCACCGCCGACGTCCATCTCCGGGTATATGTGACTGTGCTGAACCGGCTTACGTTGAATGGAGCTGGTCGGATGCTTCGGCTCGACTTGTGGTGCAGTGGTGACCACCGGCATTTTCTCTGAAAACCCTTCGTTTCCAACTGTATACGGCTCTGGAACCGCTGCCTTTGATCGTCTGCGACGTCGGCAGAATAGCCAGACACCCAAGGCTATGGCCAAAGCACTGCCCACCACGCCGACTGCGATCCCAGCTTTTGCACCAGTGGAGAGTGATGAGGAAGATGCGATGGGTCGAGACGAAGCGCCAGTCGGCGTGCTGAAACCATCGGTTTCCGAAGCAAACTCATCCGTCCACAGTGCGGTCTGTGACACCAAGAAGGAGAACTCTGACGCCAACGACTCGAAAGAGGGCGTGAAAGTCTGTGTCTCTGGCGCCGACATCGACAGCGAAGCTGCTCTCCCTGTGGTTCTTGACACTGACATGGTTGGGTTTATCGCTATGCCCATCGAGTCTGTCGCGAAGCCCGGTACTTGGACCATCGAGCTTACGGCCATCATACACAGAGTCTGCCAGTATATTACAGCCTCTGTCATCTCGAGAGATGAGCATAGATTCAGTAGGCATGGTGTCATCGCAGTGATGAGAGCGTCAGACTTTGGACATTGGCAGTAGAAGTCGACAGCATCCACACACCCGTTGTTGGATAGGCCTGTGTCGAAACAATAGCCCTGCAAGGTGCATCAGCAAGAGCCTCAAAACGGCAGTCAGAAGCCTGGTAAACGTACCGCGCATTTCGACAGCGACATCTTGAGTCGTAAATCGAGATGTTAAACAGACACCACGATGGTGGATCAATGGCTTCTGGCATATCGAGAGGTTCATACCTACAAGTACCACTTCTATCGCCGCGAAACTAGGACACATATGGCTGGGGTACGCGAATACGGTTGACAGCACTTCGATTAAGGTGTTGCCAAGGTTATCCGAACGGTGAGGCGGATGCAAGGCTAACCGTGGGGTGCAGTCATTGGCTGCAACTACGAGAAACGATAATGCCTAGGTCTTGAGATAACCCCCTTTAGGACGATACATACTGTAAAGGTCTGCGGAATGTCTACTTTGGTGGCTGCGACCTCGAAGTTTGTTTCGCTGTCGCCGTAATTGCCATTCGCAGGCGTCAGCCTTGGCGTCTGTAACCATTGTCCTTCAAGCATCATCTGCCTGCATATGTGTTCCGCTTCTTCTTTCACCACGTGCACTCAGGTACTTCAGGGCATCTGCATACCCTTCTCAATCAACATCCACTCTCTTCTCAATCAACATCCACTCTCTTCTCAATCAACATCCACTCTCTTCTCAATCAACATCCACTCTCTTCTC